TGAAAGAGGGAGGCGGGGGCCCCTCTGCAGGCGGGCCGGGGGGCGGGGGCCGCCAACCCGCCGGGGGCAGTGGCCCCCTGCGCGCGGGCAAGGAGGCGGGGGCCCCCAGCGCGCGGGCAGTGAAAGAGGGAGGCGGGGGCCCCCTGCGCGCGGGCAGTGAAAGAGGGAGGCGGGGGCCCCCCTGTGGGGAGGATACCCAGCGGGCGGGAGGGCGGGAGCCGGGGGCGGGGGCCCCCTAGCGGGGAGGATATCCAGCTAGCGGAAGGGCGGGAGCCGGGGGCCCCCTGCTTTCCCCGAGCGTGTGCTCGACGCAAAAGTAAATGGCCTTCTGCGTGCCGTCGTGATTTAAAATCTGGGCCTCAGCGCGTACCGGTCTCTAAATAAATCAAAGGCCGGCAACATCATGCGACAAGGTTCCAAATGCGAATGAATCCAACTCTACTTGGTATCAAATGTACTTGGGCGTGCAGGTGTAGGACCAGATTTTCACCGCGCTTGGCCACGGCCAAATCAACCCCGGCTCCCACTGGATGCGGAGGTAGTCGTGGTCTGATCCGGCAAAAAAACTGTTGCGGGCCTTCTGCTATCAAATGCAAGTATGTCCGGGTCATCTGGAGGATTTTTGCGATATTTGTCTTGCGCATTTCGTAGCATCCACGATGTCGCCTGATGTAATGCACGCTTTAGCATCACACCGCTTTTTAGAGGGCTTCCTGCTGCCTAGTATTCCGCATGAGAAATGCGTTCTCCGCGTAACACAAACTGGACTGCTGTTCCTGTTCTTTCTGATCACGCAATACAAATTTGTTTGGGATCCCAAGACAGCATGACAAGTTGCAACCTTCCAGACGACCCAGACATATTTGCGATCCATATCTGCGTAGCCGCGTCTTCCTTCGCAAACCACGGATGAGCAGTGCGACATCTTTCTTCATTGCAGCCAGCGATCCCAGTCCAAAAGATACCTTGATCTGTGGCGGATCCAGCCAATGCATTGTACTCATTGTTTCTGCCCCATTCGTACGTATCAAAAGAAAAAAGTTCGTCACGATCACTCATGGGCATTTTTGCAATACAAAATTGTCTCTCATGCGTAAAAATGCATCACAGCCACACTTCATAAGGGATTTCCCTAGTGTTTCTGCAATACAAGGAGAAGGTGTGATGCTAAAAAAATTTGTAATGCAAAACCTGCAACTTAGTGACTGTGACAAACTTTTTTCTCTCCATAGTACGCATCGCATTTGTACTGAATGTCAGCCCTGGTGTCCCACGCATTCCACCCCAGATCCGTTTTTTTGTACAAAAAGTCGGCTTTTGCGCCACTGTCGGCGCCTGGCCTGACGAGAAAAACGATTTCCCCTCTCGTAATGCCCCAGTCGTATTTGTTTACCGTCTCCGTCGGCAATATTACTTTCAAAAATGTTGCCCCCAACCCGGAACTTGCAAATGAAGTTTCTTATGCAAAGTTCCAAGTGAGAGCTTTTTGTCTTGCATGAAAGCAATGCGAGCCTTTCTGATGCAGAATCTTGCAGCAGGGGCGCAATTTATCTTTTGCATAACAGAGACAGACCCGGCTGCTGCTGGGCTCGTTTGCAACTACACAGATTTGAGCTATTCAGCGTGGAGCATTTGTGATGCTGATAGATACATGCAAGCCGGGGAATCAATGTTTCCATTGGAGGAATAAAAGTTTGCAAGACAAACGCGCAAGGTTCCGGGGTCGTGGGCGCATTTTTCATTGTAATAGGCAATATTACAATGAAAAAGGCCCCACCCCAGAACTTGGGAGCATTTGTATTGCAAACCTTTCCAAGTGAAACACTCGCCCTCTTGCATCTATCAGCATCACAGATTTTCAATCGCGAATAGCAAAAATTTGTATTGCAGAAGATCCCAGGAAGAGCGGCGCTTGTCATGCAGGCGATGCTACACACGCCTAGACTCTGCATCAGAAAGAGTCATAGTCCTTTCACGCATGACAAAAAGCTTTCATTTGGAAACTTCGCATCACAAATTATTACAATTTTGGGGGTTGGGGCATTTTTCATTGTAATAGGCAATCGCCGGAATTTATCCCACGAAAAAACTGTTTCACTGTGGTGATTTTGCAAAATCTGCATCACAAGTTTGTTAAGTACGAATGACACTGAACATCTGTCATGCGGAGTTCCTAAGGGAAAACACAGCTAGAAATCCATTGTCTTGCATGCGTAGCATGACACACACTTCTGCGATCCATTTTCTGCATCACAAGTTCACAGTGAAACAGTTTTTTCTTGCAATAGAATTTCATCGTCAACCCCCGGCACCGATGCGGAACTTCATCGTTTTCCTTATGACGTGCTCAAACGTTACAGTCTATTAAAACGTTACAATAAGCACCATCTGGATTTTGTCTTGCATAATGAGCATGACAGACTCGCAGACCGTGAGCGTTCCACTTTCTGCAATACAAATTTCGGAAGATTGTAGTTCGGTTTGGGAATCCGGAAATTGTCATGCGCAATCCGATAAGAGTTGGCTAGATCATGCACTCTTGCATCACAGAGTATTTTCATATTTTATTGCAACGTTTGAGATTGTAACACCTGAGCGGGTTATAATCCTGTTCTTCGGTTTTTGTATCGTACACGAGGCGCCGTTCGCAGGTCAGCCCTTCGGGGTCTTTTCCCTTTTCGGCTGCAGGAGCGACGTAGTGGGGGAACAGGCCTTTGTTTAAATCGTACTTAGTGTTCTTTTTTAAAGGGCTGCCCCACTCGCCCGACGTCATCAGCGACCCCCCGCCAAGAACCGGGGCCAGGTTACCAGCGCCGGCGCCCTCGGCCTCGTCGGCTTCGCCCGCCTCGTCCCCACCACCACCTTCGCCGCAGCTTGAGGTTGCGCCCCCCGACTTTGCTGCTTCGCGTTCCGAACCGACCGGCACAAAGTAGGATTCCTGCATGTGCTCGGACTCCGTCGCTTTTTCCAGCACGACGTGCGCCCCGAAGGAAAAGCCCACATTTTTGCTCAAGCTGTAGATGAACCAGCACCAGCACATTTTTACCTGGAAAATAAAAGTGGAGTGTTTTTTTGGCGATGTTGACGCAGTAGAGGACGAGCTGGTAGAAGTTGTACTAGCAGCAGGCGTGATCATGTTGATGGCACCACCGCGGACGAACAAGAAATCGCCTGTAGAAATAGCACCAGCGATCGGCCGCCGTGGCAACCGACAACTGAGCAGCGTCTGTCCTGTCATCCTTGCTGATGTGAGAGCTGGAGTTCTACTGCTTTTGAAATGATGTTGCGGACGGCGGGGGTGAAGTAGAAAAAGAATAAAGAAATTATAAAGTGGGAGAATAGAAATAATAAATCAGTCCTCGAGAAGGTGTCGAAAGCACTGGGAACTGAATTCTCTGTAGAGAGCATGCTTAGGATCTCAGTCTCACGTCCGCTAGTACCGGAGGTCATTTATAATTCAGAATCAAGATCAGAAGACGTAGGCAAGCTGGCTAAACATGCGACGAACGGAAATGTTTATCAAGTTTAGACACTCTTAGAAGTTCTTCTCTTGCACGAGATAAAAGACGACAAGCTCGCCGCAACGCGCACGGTTTGCTTTCATTGCACAGAACGATTAATAACTTCACGAAGTTATGCCTTTGGAAATGATGGAAAGCAAAGTCATTGTTGTGTTTTACGAAAGACGAACGAGTTTTGGTAAGAGTAAAAAATGGACGAACGAAAAAGAGGTCAGGCGAGGACGACAATTATCGAATATCTACATTTTTTGACACACGACACTGACGAGGTCCTACAAAAAAATCGCGACACATCTAGCTCACCGTTGCAGTATAGGACTCTGACTCAAGGGAGGAGACCTGCGCCGATACAGAAACGCGGAGCAGAAAAAGATGCTTCCAGTAGGTACCAGTCTGCTAGCCCGGGGGGGAGACGGGAAAACTTACTACTTACAAATCGGGTGAAGAAGACGTAATTGTGTTGATGATTGTTCAACAGGGTTGGTTCTAGCTACGTTTCTTGATTCTGGAGGTTGGAACTTCAAAATGACATGGATTAACATTCTTGTTGTACTGGTAAAAACAAAACGAAAACGCAAGGAAAAAGGTTGGAAGAAAAATAAGTAAATGCAAAAAATCACTCTGAAGCTGAACTACGAGTGTGGCAATGATGAGGGGGTGTTTGTGTTTGATGAAGTGCAGCAGCAGCTATACAAAACATTTAAATTTTCTTGTTGACGGTTACGGTGGAATTGGAAATGCTTATAGTGAAATACTTCTTATTGTTCCCTGCTATAAAGAGGTAGAGGTTGGAGAAACAAAGGAGCTTCGAAAGAAAGCCAATCATACGGGCTGCGGTGCATGCACCGTTGAACAGTAACAGTTCCAGTTGACGTTGAAATAGATGTACTTAAGTGTAATAGATACCAATAGTGCGAGCTGTTGCATCTTCATCATGCGCCGCAACATAATTCATGTGTACTTCATAGTACGTGGTTTTTGGAGAGGCGCCACTTACGATGGAGGTCCAAAATTTTCTTCCGCCCTCACACCAGCAGTACACCCTCCTGATTTTCCCCAGCCGCCGAGGACGCGACCAGTGGCGCAAGATGCGAAGCGTGCCGCTGTTGGTCCGTCTCGTCCGCACCAGTATCAGCTGCAGCTTTTTGTTCCGGGAGGCCAGCAGGAGCAATCATGCTGCCGGGCCCCTCGGAGGACGACAGCTGCCCTGGGACAGCAGGCGCTTCTTGAAGACCACGACGACCAGAGATGAGAGCAACATCTTCTTCCCCGTCGTTCGACTGCTGCAAAAAGGAGGTGGATGAAGTAGAAGAGCTACTGCCGAGCTCGTTGCATGCCGCCGCCGTCCAAAAACTGGAAGAACAAGACCTCAGGCAGAACGCGTGGTCGGAGGAGTCGGGATAATAACCATAGCATTTCATACCGGAACTGCAGCAGTCTGGCGCCGAGGAGCATGGGTCGTTTTCTCCGAGCTGCTCCAAGCACCGTGGCGCTGTTACAGGTGCGGGACCCGGTGTGTGCTGCCAGTTCTCGTAGTGCCGTGACGGGGTCGGCGTGTTGTGCCAGTTGATGGCCTATCAAACGCAAATTTGTCTGGGTCTGGAAGACTGCAGTTTCTGTGTGGCCCAGATCGTCTCGTCTGGCATGAAAGCCTTCATCGCATCACAGGTTTATTGTTCGAGCTGCAGGTATCCCAAGAATTATGTTTGACCCGCATGACAAATCTTTTCTTTCTGTGACAAGATTTGGGCGACTTTATTTGCTGACCCTGCAAGAACATGAGAGATTTTGGCATGCTGTAGAATTTGCATCACAAGTTTGCAGGTTTCCAGACCCAGACATAGTTGCAGTGCATATGCCATATGCACTGGACAACTGGCAGGAGGTATAGGACCAGATTGTCACTTCGCCGCCTTGACGCGGCCACTTCTCTGTCGGCAACCACACGATGCGGAGGTAGTCGTTGTCTGATCCGGCGAAAAAATTGTCACGGGCCTTCTATGCATTGCAAATTAAGTATCGTACTTAGTACAAATGGCATTGCAAATTTGTTCAGAAGGTAATGCGCGTTTGGCTAAGAAACGTGATTTGTCATGTATGATTGCAATTAGTACGAGTACGACACTTTTGCAGAGCATATCTGCGTCTCGTGGTCCGCATTAAACCAATCATGAGCATCGTAACACATTTCGTCATCTGGCTTTCTAGGGAAACGACACTCAAAGAAGTTGAGTGTGGGCTTTCCATAATAAGCGTATGGAAGTACTAGCATCAGGACCGCGATCGGCAAAGTTGAAATAATCTGCAATGCATAAAAACGCGAGGCACAGAGGGCCTGTCTTGCATGGATGGCCACAAGTGGGGCTGATTGTAAGCCTGTTCTTCGGGCGGGCCTGACGAGAGTGATATGCATATGGACGGAGCAGCTAAAGTAGCATTACAAAAACTGTCTTCCCTGGTGTCCAAACAGCATGGCGATAGTATATATAATAGGCGTCTAAGGCGGAGCAGCCTGCGGGCAACGCAGCCAAGCGCACCAGCGCGGGCCCCCGAAGGGCCCACGGCCGCGGCTTTTTCATCGCATTTAACAGCGCAGCTGCCGGGCTGCACTTCTAACGCATTGCCAGCGGCTTTTTCGATTTCGAAAGCGGGGCCGACCGCAGGGGCGAGTCCGACAACAGCGAGCCCATGGAAAGCTCGCATACTAGATGGATATCGATGCTGGCAAAATCTGTCATGCGCCACTTGGACGAAACTGGGATCCATTCGGTATCCATTTTAGGCCTGGTAAAATATAATCCCGTCATCTTCATCAACTTTGTCAATTTATTCGATCCAGACGCGTCCATAACTTGCCGTCTTCCCCTTCCAAACCCGGGTTGTAGTCATGTATGAATAGCAAAAGTATAATCCGCATCGTACTACAAAGTGGAAATTAAAATCGCATGACAAATTCCCTCAGCATGAAAAACGAAATTACAATTTTTCGCATTTGTAATTAAATTTGGATAGAAGGGTAAAGCTAAAGCATGACAACTACAATTAGAAATAGAAGTACGAGGACGATATCATTTTTACACAGGATATCATCGCATTTGTACTCAATGTCTGCCTTTGTGTCCGTCTCATCCCAACCGAGGTCCGTTTTCTTGTACAAGAAGTCAGCTTCTGCGGTTCTTTCGGCGCCCGGCCTGACGAAAAAAATGACTTTATCGCGAGAAACAAGTGAAAGTGCTGTTACAGTTCTTACACATCATTGTGCTGCAGTTGCAGCAGACCAAGCAAGACAGACATGATCTGTCATCGTCGATGCCGGATACGCATAATAGGAGCCCTGTTTTGTACGTGTTTCCCTTATGGTCTCTGCATTGCAAGTTTCCTCTGTCAACATGCCGGGCATCAAGTTTGCGCTGCTGATTCATTGTCCAACAAATGTGTATACTGTAGCGCGTTATCACTTTTTTTCCTTCTTGGATAGACTTTCAACTCCTTGCCCCATTCTCCGGGTCCGTCGCAATCTTGTTTAGGGCCACACTCCTCCTTGTTCGGCTTTCGTCGGAATTTCATGGTCGACCCATGGCACCGATGGGTTTCGGTTTTTTCGTACACCAGCTCGCGCGGCGTGCAGGTCAGGTCTTCGGATATGCATTGCAAATATGTCTGAGCAGAAGTCTGGAAGGTTGCTACTTGTAACGCGGATGCTGGAATAGCAATAGGCAAAAAGATAAAGAACAATTTGTATTGCATGAGCGCTGCCCACTTCTTGCTATGCAAATAGAGAACTGCTCAAGCAAGCTAGGCATCCAGATGCCAGCGCAAAATCTGTAATGCTGCTGCGTGCAATGGAGACGACCATTGGCGCGAACGTGATCGAAACGATGCATGCCAAACAAGTGCATTCTTGTTCCAGATCCAGACATATTATTTGCACTAGACATAATATGGGCGTCACCAGGTTCCACATATCCCATAAAGATGCCTCTGTCCACGTCGACGCCTCGCATGATGTCGTCCACTTTACCGAGTGGGTACAACTTTTCCATGTGTGGAATGTCTGGAGGACTGAGTGCAGATTTCGACGCCGTCAAAAGCCCAGGAGCGATTCCGGTCCCGGCACCTCCTCCCATCTGGTCGTCTTCGGTCGTTTCGGCTGGCCCCCCACCACAACCACCTTCGCCGCAGCTTGCGCCCCCCGAGTTTGCTGCTTCGCGTTCCGACCCGGGCGGCACGAAGTAGGATTCGTGTACAAAACTGGATACAACTCCGTGCTCCGGTTCTACTCCTGGATTTTTACCGGTGTCCACCTCGTGGTCCTCTGTCCCTCGTTTTACGACGTGCGCCGCGAAGGAAAAGCCGCCCGGATGAAAGGTGGAGCTGCATAACCAACAGCAGAGCTGGCAAAAATAACGCGAGCCTTTCCGTACAAGGCGCAGCCGTGGCGGAGCAGAAATAAATCTGCTAGTGCAGCTAGGGCTTTTTGCGACGCCACGACGGGACGAATCTTCTGTCGGCCGCCCTAGCAAACGAAAACTGCTAAGAGTCGTCCGTCCTGTCAACATCCTTGCTAGTGCTGGGGTTGTGAACGAAGATTCTGGAATAACAATGATGCTCAGAAAGACGAGGGAAAAAACGAAGTTGTGGGACGACAGTTGTAAATGTAAACGAGAAGATGTTGAAAATAACGGGAGCTCCTGGATTCTTCTTCAACCACGTAAAAAATGCAACCTTCTGTGCTACCTGGAGGGTGGTCCTGTGACTGTGTGCATCCATCATCATGAGGGCTACGTTTAATGTCATCTTGTTCAACGATTCTATTTTTCCTTTTATCTATCTGGCGCCGAAAATTATCTATAGCAGAATGTGTATTTCACGGCAGCTACAGATCGCTTTTTTGAAAGCAAGATCTTCAGAAAACGTCGTAGGCGAGCAGGCTCCATAGTGCTCTGCTTCTTCTTGCGCACGAGATCTGGCAAGTGTGAGTGGGAAGCTTTACGAAAGACGAACGAGTTCTGGTCAGCTTTACGAAAGACGAACGAGTTCTGGTCAGCTTTACGAAAGACGAACGAGTTCTGGTTAGCTTTACGAAAGACGAACGAGTTCTGGTAAGTTTGAGTAAGAAGCTTTACGAAAGACGAACGAGTTCTGGTACGTTTGAGTGGGTGAAGGACGATGTTGAAGGACCACGACGTTACATGTAGTTGACGTAGCAAGTTCATATGGATAAGAAACGATAAAGTAGAAAACCACAAGAGTCAGTGGGTAAAGTGGACGTGGACACGAAAAATGATGTTTTCAAGAATGGATGCTGCGAGTTTCTACTGGCTGCTACATGTACATCGTAAGCACAACAAGAATTATCCATTCGCCCTTCGCGTCCTCAAAGTAGAGGTGGACCTCATCTCGTCCTCTCCCTGCAGTTTCGATCCTTATGCGCATCTACTTCATCTCCTCTGTCTACTACTGGTGCGGTAATATGATATAGCAGTCGTAGCGCTTTTATGATTCGATTTTTAATTTTCATTATGAGAATTTTCAAAAAAAAATGCATAGAATGTAGAAGTCAGTAGAAAGACGAGGGTGGTCACCTGGGACTACACTACGTACTTCTAGTTCCCTTCATCCGGCGAACCTACATCTCCATCATCTCCAGCACACGAAGATGATCCACCTGCCCCCGACGACGAACCCCCGGGCGCGCAGGGCATTCCTGAAGTAGTAGAACTACTTCGACCAGCCACGACTCCGCTCAAATGATCCTGCTCGGGGCGCATATTTGCAGGAAATAAAAGTCGTGCTGTTTTATCTTCAACCTCGCCTTGTTCCGACGGAGGAGAAGTGTGACTGCTCGTCGGGTCGAAATCGAATCTAGTTGCAGTACTTCTATCCAGCACCACAGACACGGTATTTATGTCCACCGCCTCACACTCCTCCTTTTCCTGCAGCACCAGGTTGAACCGCGTTCGGGGGACTTGGATGTGACTTATGATTTTATTTTTCACAGGCACCACGACGGGGGCAGTTGTCTCTTCATGGGTGGCTGTTGTGATGTTGGCGTTCGTCGTGCCAAGTAGAGCTTGTTCTTGTTGATCCTCAGCATTCATCTTGTGCTGATCTTGGTCCCCGCTTCTGGTCGTGTGGTCTACTTCAGGGAGCGGGATCTCCAGCGTCTCATGTTTCCAAAAGCACACCGTTCGAGAAGTCTTAGAAGTTGTCATACTCGTTGTACTATCAAATGCAAATATGTCTGGGTCTGGAAGTTTGCCAGGTTTGTCATGCAGATTTTTCATGACCCATGACGTCTGTAATGCATGAGGCCCTAGCATCACATTCACAGATTCTTACAGGGCTTCCTGATGCCTATTCCGCATGAGAAATGCCTATGTCCCCCCCGCGTGCCACAAACTGGACTCCTCTGGCTGGTCATGCAATACAGATTTCTTTGGAATCCAAACACAGCATCACAACAAGATTAGAATCTTCCAGGCCCAGTAGACATTTTTGCACTTGATAGGAGGTAGAGGAGGACAATGGAATCACTTTCACCGCCACAATGTCGTCTCTGGAGTAAGTTTTCTTGTTCGCTTGATGTTCCATTTTCATTTTGTCGTCCTGCTCCTCACGACGAGCTCGTCGTACAACTGCCGGATCTTCTTCTGGCAAAAAAATTCGCAGCTGCCTATTTTCCTCGTCGAACCAGCAATCAACGTCGCCCACCACGTCGGTTCTCCGAAATGCGCCGTGCGTGCACCGTCTTTTTTTCTCCAACATCGTCCTGGAGGGGGTTGTATCAAATGTAAAAATGTCTGGGTCTGGAAGATTGCCAGGTTTGTCATGCACATTTTGCATGACTCCTGATGTCTGTGATGCATGTCCTAGCATCACAGATTTTGTGAGGGCTTCCTGATGCCTATACCGCATGACAAATGCTCTTTCCGTGTAGCAAAACTTGGACTCTCTTTGCTGCTCATGCAATACAGATTTTTTTAGAATCCAAAATCAGCATGACAAGTTGGATTCTTCCAGACCAAGACATTCTTACAGTTGATAGGTTGCTCTGCTACTCTCAAGTGTAGTTTCCGAAGACGAGAGTAAAGGAACGTCGGCGCGGCCACCAGAGTCATGCATTGTATCTTCAGTACTACCTCCGGATCCGTTCTTCTTCCCACTTGATGTTCCGACGCGGTTCTTCGAGGACGTCGGCATGAGCCCCTCCTTCGTGTGCCCCACCTTGTTATCAGCTGCAAAAGTGTCTGGGTCTGGAAACTTGTAATGCTAAAAGTGGATGATCGCCGGACTGCAATATTACGCAGCCAGGCATGACAAATTTTTGAGCTACTATGTGCTGCGTATTCCGCATGAGAAACAACGTTTTTCCATGACAGATAGGAGAGCCTTTTCCGATGCCCCTATGCATCACAGATTCCCGAGTCATATCAGACACGCATGACAAATGTAAGAATCTTCCAGACCCAGACACTTTTGCAACGCATACTTCTCCTGCGTCTGCACTTGCGAACAAATGGTCTTCCGAACAAATGAAGCACTATTTGTTCTCGTCTCCACCTGAGAGGTAGTTGTAGAAGACCAGGAAGATGAAGAAGAATATGGAAAGAAAAAAGTTTGTCACAGTCACTAACTTGCAGGTTTTGCATTACAACTTTTTTAGCATCACAACTTCTCCTTGTATTGCAGAAACACTAGGGAGATCCCTTATGAAGTGTGGCTGTGATGCATTTTTACGCATGACAGACAATTTTGTATTGCAAAAATGCCCATGAGTGATCGTGACGAACTTTTTTCTTTTGATAAAGAAGGCGGTGTTACTACTACCACTTCGTCCTTCACCATGTAGGCCTTTTATTGTGAGGAAAAATCTCCCCTCCCCATACCAAAAAGCGACACTCCTGAAAATCTGTGTTGCGGATTTGTGACCACAGATCGTCTTTGTATTGCACGAGAGCAACGCCAGAGACTCCGCAGCGTTTTGCAGGCAATTTGTAATGCTGTATTGCCTGCAGAGGATACGCCTGCCTTGCTAGGCACCTACACCAAAACGCCGCTGCTCAGGCTGTGTGCCTGCCTGCAGGCCTCTGCTGCAAGACAAAGTCTATTTGTGTACAACACAAATCCCGCATCACAGATTTCCATTTTGATATGGGGAGGGGGGACTTTTCCTTTTGATACCTTTGGGTCATTAAACACGATCACATACTCGTCACTACGCTCGCCTCCGTACCCCTATGAAAGCGCACAACCTCCCCTCCCCCTCATTTGGATGGCATCTTCCGTAGCAACACAAGGCCTGGCACAGATGCAGCTTTTGCATGACAAATTTGCGACTGATTGTACGTAGTGCTGTTTCGGCCGCTTCAGGAATCTGTCATGCATAGTAGTGGCACAAGGCAGAGGGTGGAGTTGGTGTTTTGCATGACAAAAGAGGGGGACGAGGGGGAGTTGTGCACTGTCATAACCCCGTTTTGCCGCCCAGAATTCGGAGCTCTTGGCGGGACAACTCTGACTCGCACTCACGTGCGGGCTCGTCGCCTGCTCCGGGAAAGTCGTAGGGCAGCTGCGGGGGGGTGTAGTAAGCTTGAGATGAACTACATCCCACGAAAAAAGTGCTACAGTTACACACTTGTTGGAGTTTCTGCATCACAAATTTTCTCGGTGTGGCAGACAAAACTTGTAATGCAAAGATCATAAGGGAAAATGCGGAGGAAACGAGGCTCGCAAGCATTTCCTGCATGACAAAGGTTGTCTGTCTTGCGGCTCCTGCAACACAATGCGTAGCTGTAGCACTTTTTTCTCACGATAAACTAGTCGGGGCCCGCCACGACGAACCGCCCCGCCCGCCCCGACCGGTATTAATATTAGATGAGAGCAACAAATTGTTGGTTCCATATTCGGAATAGTCCGCGTATTTGTAGGATAACGCTTCGCAAAAATTTTCCAGATTCAAGCCCGCGTGGTTGAACTTTATGGCGTTCTCAAATGTTACATTCTCAACAGTTACACGATTTGCCATGCAAAATCACAATCAGAATTGACACGCTAAAGCTGCTTCGCATGACAATTTCTCTAAGCGTCAAACAGGCTGAGAATCTGGGCGGAATCTGTCATGCAAGACGCGCAAGGTCATCCCTTTCACTTTTGCCGTTCTTGCATGACAAATTTCATGTAACAGTTGAGAATGTAACGTTTGAGAACGCCATAAACTTGCGGCAAAATTTGGGAAGTTCGTCCTCCTCCCTCCGGCCCAACAGGAGAGCGTATGGATGTGTCAGAGTTGAAATCGACAAAGTTGAAATAATTTGCCATGCATAAAATGGATGCCAGCTGGAACCCAGTTTCCAAGTGGCGCATGACAAATTTCGGCGGTCCCTAAATCCAGTTTGTCATGCTGTTTAGGCAAAGAAGAGCGATTTTCTGATGCTACTTTAGCAGCTCGAGCTGTAACCCCAAACAGGCTTACAATCGGCCTCACTTGCCTGCGCTGCAACACACGCGCCTCGGGTCAAGCATTTTATGCATTACAGATTATTTCAACTTTGACGATTTCAAACCTGACGCTTCCATAGAACGTACTTGCAGCAGATAATTCGCTGGTTGGAAACGCCGACGTCCCTCCCATTTTCCTGCATGAAGCTCTCCTTCAGCCGGAACCAGTCCGGGCTTGTCGGACTTTGGTCGCAGCCGCGCGTGCAGTCGCCGAGCTGGTCCGAAGTTATCTCGCCTGCAGTGACCAATCGCGATAAGTCGCTGTAGTACTGATGACAAGTCCCCCTGTCGAGGCAGTTATCAAATGTGAATATGTCTGGGTCCTCTGGAAGAGTCGGGGCTTGTCATGCACATTTTGAATGAAGACCCGTGAGGGCTGAGATGCTGACGCTAGCATCACAGATTTTTTGAGAGCTGCTTGATGCTAATTACGCATGAGAACTGACTCCTCTTGCTGCTCATGCAACGCAGATACTTTATTTCCAGACAGCATTACAAGTTCCACTCTTCCAGAGGACCCAGACATTTTTACATTTGATAGCAGTTCGGGTTTCGCGAATCGTCGCGGACGTAGCTCGTGTCTGACGCATACCAGTACTCGTCCGCCAGGTTAAACAGAGAATGCGCCACCTCGTGGCCCGCGACTGGGCCAAGGTCCCTGGCAACCACCGCCGCGCCCATATTTCTATGGAAGCGTCAGCAACGAAAACGACAAAGTTGAAATGATTTGCCATGCAAAAAATGCAACGCATGAAATGCCCGTCTTGCCGGGATAGCAACCGCGGCCGGTTGTGAGCCTCTTTAGGGTCGTTTGGGATAGAGCTGCTAAAGGAGCATGACAAAAGCAGTCTTCGACGCCCAAACAGCATGACAAATTGGATTCCGGTGCTCGGAAAATTTGTCATTCGCCGCTTGATATTTGGGCTTCCAACTGGTATCGGTCTCATGCATTTACAAATCTTAATCTTTTCAACTTTGACGATTTCGATCCTGGCGCTTCCATAATTGCCGGCCCCACCGTAACGCGCCGGCTGCGAGTTGTGAATGATAAGGAAGGTCATGTGATACCCGTGGCCGCACTGCTCAAACGCGTGGGTTCGGTATTGCGCAATGTACCCGTTTATCCACCTGTGCAAATATCATATCTTCTGGGCGCCGTCTGGAAGATGTTGACTGCACGGTTTGATTTCAACATGCGAGTTAATATTTTCACTCTTTGGCGACCATCAGGTCTGGAGGAGTGTAGTGACTAGCATGATCATCTTCACAGAGTTTTATTCGAGGGTTCTTCGTCTTTCCTGATCATGCCTATTGTTCCACATCACGAGATAATAAAACCCTCCCCAAGTAGCACAAACTGGACTCCTGTTCTTCTTGCTGGTCAACACGCAATAAAAAAAATGCAGATTTTTTTTGAAAAAATAATTCAAAAACAGCATCACAAGTTGCAACTACAAGCTTCGTCCAGATGACCCAGAGATAATATTTTAATTTCCAATGCATACCGTTCGGGTATGATTCTTCATATTTGTTTCGCGCGCCACAGCACAGCAGCCGGTCAAAATTGTAGCAGCCGTGATAGCAGCCAGACTGCGTGGAGTCGAAGGAAGGATGCTCATTGTCCGGCGTTGACACATAGAAAACGTTCAAACCGGGGTTGTATGAAATGCAAACATGTCTGGGCCACCTAGAAGAAAAACGCAGGAGTTTGTCATGCTGATTTTGCATGACCGATGATGTCTGTGATGCAAGCCGTAGCATCACAGACTCTGCGAGGACTTTCTGATGCCGACACCGCATGCGAAGTGCCCTCTCCGCGTGCCAAGAGCTGGACTCTTCTTGCTGCTCATGCAACACAGATATTTTTAGAATCCGCAGACAGCATTACAAATTCCACTCTTCCAGACATCCAGGGATATTTGCAATGCATAGGTTGTCTGCGGCGTTGTAGATCTCCTCAAACGGGGCGGCCCGCAGGAGGTCGTACATGTAATAAGCCTGCCGCTCCCATTCGGCTTTTGCGTTGTGGTAACCAGAGCCCAGCTATGCATTGCAAAGGTTGTATCGCACTCTAGATCTAGAAGGAACTAGTACTGATAGCCTGCATTACAAATTTGCTCAGCATTTGAAACGTAACTTGTCATGCGGAATTCCTTTAAGAGCTAGACTTGTAATGCGCCATGGCTGCGAGAAAAATTACTGCGAGTGCGACACTTTTGCAGGGCATACCAGCAGGACCAGGTTAATCGCATCATCGGGGTACTCGTTCATGGAGATCGCCTATCCAAGAACAAAGTGCTTCAGTGACACATTGTGTTATTGCAGGAGCCGCAAGACAGACAACCTCTGTGATGCAAGAAATCCTGGCGAACTTCATTTACAACATTTGTTTCCTACGTGTTTACTTCCCTTAGGATCGCTGCATCGCAAGTTTTCTCTGGCACACAAAGAAAATTTGTGTTGCTGAAGTATACAACAAACGTGTAACTGTATGCACTTTTTTCTTGTGATATCGCCTTGCAGTTGGGATGGTCCGCTTTCCACCGTGCAATGTCCTCTAGCTTCTGCTATCAAAAGGAAAAATCCCCCCTCCCCATATCGAAAAGAAATTTGCGACGCTGTCTGTGAATACACAAATCGACTTGTAATGCTAGAGGGCCAAGAGCCGCAGCTGTGGCCTCGTTTGCAGTCAAGTTCTCATGCTGTTTCCCACTTCCAGCTGCTTCCCGTCATGCTGAAGATACAAGGCTTTCCCACGCATCCCAGTACTGCAGTCCGCAGCTTTATTTCCCTTCTAGCATGACAAAGCTAATTTGCATTTGTGGCCACAAATCTGCATCACAAATTTCCGTTTTGATAATGAGGAGGGGGCATTTTTCTTCTTGATATCTGCTGCAGAGCGGGGTCTGGTGTAACCGGCGCCGCGGTTGTACCAGTTGAGGAAGAAGAGCCGCTGCCGAGAACGTTGCAGTTCCAACCCTGCCAGTCGGGATTCTCCGCTCCGGGAACACAGTACGACATGCACAGTGCGTAACCTGGTGAGTCGCTGTCGTAACACTGCAGCCCGGAACTGCAACAATCTGGTATGAATTGCAAAAATGTCTGGGTCTGGAAGAATGAAACTTGTGATGCTGAACTTGGATTCCAAAAAAATCTGTATTGCATGAGCACCAAAGAGAACGCAACTTGTGCTACGCGGAAAGGGAATTTGTCATGCGGAATAGGCATCAAGAAGCCCTCAAAAAATCTGTGATGCTAGGGCATGCATCACCGACACCACGGCTCATGCAAAACGTGCATGACAAGCATCAGAATCTTCCAGACCCAGACATTTTTACAATCCATATCTGGCGCCTCGAAGCAATTGGCGTTCTGACCGAGCTGCTGCAAACACCACGACGGGGCGGCTGTTGATGCAGTTGTCACCGTTGCAGGAGTCGATACGGTTGTTGGTTGCGTAGTCCTCACCGATGGTTGCGTGGTCAAGGGAGTGGCCGCGGTTCTTACTGGAGTAGTGGCGGGTGTCGTTGACGCCGGCCGCACTGTTGTACTACTGCTCGAGGTCGACGTCAACACCTCGTCTAGTCTATCCTGTGCAAAAGTATCGTATTCGTAGTAATCCCATTCATGCATTACAAGTTTGAATTTCTTTGCTTTCTCAAGTTAAATCCGCATTATTTCTCATGCTGAGGAAATTTGTGATGCATTTATACGAGTACGATACTTTTGCAATGCATATAGTCGTGTTCCTTGTCCAGCGGAATTAGCCTCGTTCTCGTCGTCCCCACTCCCGACTTCTTGCTGGGGGCCTTGTGGCGCACCTTCTTCTGAAGAAGATGAAACAACCGACGGGGGGGAGCCAAGCCCAACCTCCTCCTCGCCGTTGCCCCCTACAGTGAGAGCAGTGCCCAGAACCGCTAAGCCACTGACAACGCCCTTCTTTTCCTCGGCAAGCATATCAAATGTAAAAGTGTCTGGGTCTGGAAACTTGTGATGCTGGGTGGCGTCTCATGATGAGGCCACAAATGCTGGCCCAGCATGACAAGTTTCTGAGCTTCTAGGTGTTGCCTATTCTGCATGACAAACTGCGTTTCTGCATCACAGAAAAATGGAGCTCTTGGGTAACGTGCATGACAGATTTAAGAGTCATGCCAGACAAGCATGACAGACATGCATTCTTCCAGACCCAGACATTTTTACAGTTGATAAAGCAGTTCGGACCGTGACTTTCGGCCGTCGCACGTCTCGTATCAAAAGGAAAAATCCCTACTCCCAATATCGAAAACGAAATTTGTGATGCTGTATTTGAGTACACAAGTCGACTTGTAATGCTAGAAGGCCAAGAGACGCAGCTATGGCCTCGCTTGCAGGCAGTTTGTCATGCTGTTTCCCACTTCCAGCTGCCTCCTGTCATGCTGAAGATGCAAAGGTTTATTCCCACGCCAACCACCACTACAGTCCGCATCTTTTCCCTTCTAGCATGACAAAGCTGAATTGTGAATGTGGCCACGAATCTGCATCACAAATTTCTAGTTTGAGTATGGGGTGGGGGGATTTTTTATTTTGATATCTCGCACTGTTTCGCCTTTTGGGTTTTTCTCGACACCGACACGCGGCCGTGCCCGTGTTTACTAATTTTCCTCGTCTGCGTCCTGGAGGTGACACGCTCCTGCTGCTCCAGCAGCTTCGCTTTAATTTTCCTCGTTTTCTTGCGCCCCACGGACACCTTGCGCTGCAGCTGCAAGGCAAACACGAACACTCCTGCACAGGGGTTTCCCGGCGCGAGGATAGAATGTTGTTGCACGTGATGCAGCAAGGTCGCTGAGCTGGTGGACGAGTTGGGTGGGAATCGTAGAGCATCTTCGCCCGCATGATCCTTCGTTCTTCTTTCCTCGGTGTCATAATTTGTTTTTTCGGTAAAATGAGCAGCATTTTGCTTATGCCCACCTCCTCTTTGTGAAAAAAATGAACAACGAGATAGTAGGAACGACAATAATTCTTGGCGGCATGGGAAGTTGTAGTCGAAGTGGTAGAGCAAAATTAGCAATATTAAAAGTTGCTGTATTTTCCACAGCCGCCGTGGCCCTAAAAGTTGACAAGAAATTCTTGCCTTAGTACAACAACTTCGAAAGTTGCTATCATACATTTTTTTCATCTTCTGTTCCTCGAAAACGGCGCGTCGTTTCTTGGACGTATGCGTATCACGTAGCAACATTCTCGCTCAAGTAAATTATGTAAAGCGATAAAGTAGAAGCTCAGCTCTTGCCGAGGAAAGAAATGTACTAGAGAGCTGCAAGGGGGTGAGATTCAAGCGCGACAGTGACAGTCCTGGTGCGAAAATAACGAAAACGATCACCACTGCTCTTTATTTAATCAATAAGTAGAAGCGGCTATACTGAAATTTGAAATTTTTGATGTTGTACTGAACGAACGATAGAGTGGTGGACGACAACTGAAAAGGTGGACGACAACAAGATTAATAAAGGCGGACGACTAGATGGACAAGCGAAAGGTGAATGTGTTGTACTAAAGTGAACCTTCTTCCAGATCGATAGTGGATCACCAATATGCGTTATTTTTTTTACGTCAGCTGTCGAGACCACAGAACTGACTACACGGACAACAACAAGAGCAACACAACTCCAGACTAAAAAGAAAATAAACTAGCAGCATCGAAGGAAAATAAACTATACGAGGAAAACGAAGTTTGAAGAACGTGGCTCATCCTCTTCACAAGGGATTGATTCTACTCTTTGCACGATGGACGAAAGAACCAGAGGCTGGAGCTGGAGACGGAACGAGCCACGCAAAAATTTAAAATTCTTCCTCACGATAGTGTTGTGGTAGTACCAGAAATAAAAAAATCCAAGATCTCACGGAGAACGCGAAGAAGAGAATCTTCCTCAAAGAACAACTGCAGCTACAGTCTGGATGGTCGTTCTTTCCAGAAGACGACACGAAAGCGCTGGACCTTTCACGCTCATGCTAACCATTTTCTTCACCGGGAAAATTGAGAGCTAGTGCCAAAGTTGCGTAGATGTCATGTTGATCCTCACCTCCTCGTGTGCTGGGAAAGTGCTTCTCCTGCTGCTGTCCTCCCCGTAGTTCTTGTTGCGGTTGATTTTCCTTTTGCTGCTCGTACTCACCCCCGGGTGGGCGGGAGGCACCTCGAGCAGCTCGTACTTGAAGTAGCAAATCGTACGACTATAAAAAGAGGACCTTAATAGCGGACTGGTATCTGAAAAATCTTCATTTGCCGTTGTTCGTGTTGTCCCTGAGGTTGTTCCTGTTGTAGATGATGATGAAGTTGTTAAAGATGAAGTAGAGGTTCCTAATATGTTGCCCTCTGTTCCATTCGTTTTGCTGCTCTGATCGCTGCCAGCCGCAACAGGACGAGGACCGAGAGCACCATCACGTGGGGGCTGACTATGAATATCTTCTGCCACAGGACCCCGAGGACTCGCGGGGTTGTCCTTGTCCTTATCCGCGCCGTGGTACTGGGCGAGATCATGATGGTCATCTTCATTTTCGGGGGTTGGTCGCGGTTGTAGTAGTACATCACCACTTCTGCCACTTCCACTACGAGGCGGCCGCTGTTCTGTAGTAGAAGGAGTGGCTGTCTTAGTACTCCCTCTGTACACACTGACGGCAACGACATGCCTGGGCTTGATCAGTCCCGCGTAAGCGACTATTTCCACCCCGTCCGTGTCGAGTACCAATTCCTGGGTTTTCTGGTCGACGTGACAGGGAATGTCGCCTTCCACGTCGGCCCGGGGGAAAGCGCCGTGAGAGCACTTTTTCGGGGTTGTTGTACTAGCATGATCCTCAACAACTTCTTGCTCGTTTTCGTGTCCCACATCCAGCTGCGTCTTCGGCTCACAGGACACTGTCTGTGCAAAGATCTCGTTGAACTCTTGTCCTGGAGCTTTTACCTTCTTCGCTCGAATGCCCTCGTCCTCGTCCCCCTGCTGGTGCGCGGCGCCGCTTATAATTTCGTCCTGCTCCCGCATCAAATTATCTTCCAACAACTGCTCAGTTGCGGAGGTCTTCGTCGTTTTATTCCCCGTTGTTCGTCGTGGTTCATCTTTATTTTCCCCTTCTCCGACCACGGTAACTTGCCACGCGACCGGGTTAAACACCAGCTCGTAGGTTTCCGGCAGAGACGCGCCTAAGTCGTTATCCCTGTCCTGCAGGTTCCGTTCCTCCGTGGACAGCGTGCCCAGGCACTCCGCGGGGGTCGTGTGACTCCGCTTTGCCCTTCTTGCCCTGGTGGTCGTGGAGGAGGTTCTCTTGCTTTCATTTCTGATTCTGTGGCGGAATCTACTTTTCCTCTTGTTCATCTTCTCTAGAAGTTGTATTCGCTCGTGTCGTTCTTTTCCCGCCGTGGTCGTCGTCCTAGCTCGACGACGACGACCACGTGCACGCTCCTGCTGCTTTTCTGCTCGTCGTGTGTTCATTATTTCGAGCAGCGATGGAATATTACTGCTCGCATGATCCACATCCTCGTGCGAGCCGTTCATCTCCTCGACGACATGTTCATTTTGATTTTCCAACGATGGAGATGGTGGCAGTGGCACCTCCACCTCCTGCGCGGACGCGGAGCCGGAGTCCTCTTGCTCTTCCTCCTCGTCCATATGTTGATCCTGAGCCACAACTTGTTGGCTCGCTTGCAACACTTGCACCGACGGTTGCCGAATGTCCGTGTTCACGCCGTTATGCACTGCAAAAGTATCGCACTAGTATGAACCAGCCATGCTCCGGCTGCCGCCGGAGCGCAAGGCTGTTGGGCCGGGGCAAGACTGTTTGCCGATCGGCCCACAACCCAACGGGCCTATGTACAACGAAACATACTGCATTCGTGCCGCCGGTTTGCGCCAAGGCCAACCCGCAGGACCACTTGCGCGCTTCCCGCGCCTGCGGGCGCTCTGCGCAGGGAGCAGCTGCAAAGAACACCGGGGGCGAACAGAAGGCGCTCGGCGGGAGAGGGTAGCGCGAGAGGGTGGCGCGAGAGGGTGCGCGAGAGGGTGGCGCGAGAGGGTGGCGCGAAAGGGTGCGCGAGAGGGTGCGCGAGAGGGTGGCGCGAGAGGGTGCGCGAGAGGGTGGCGGGGACAGGCGCCGAACAAAACAAGTCCGCGAATGGCCTGCAGTGCCAAATATGGGTAGTGCCATGCGGATTCGCGCCCGCCACTTTGTGTTTTTACCCTCTCGCAGACCTCTCGCAGACCCTCTTTTTTACCTCTTTTGGGGGTCCCCGCTAATAGTCCGGCTATACTCGCGGGTAGAGGTCGACAGAGGTGGCCGAGAGGTGGCCAAGAGGGTCCGCGAGAGGTCGCCCCTTATTCGCGCCACCTCTCTCGACCTCTGTCGACCTCTCGCGCCCCCTCTTTTTGACCTCTCTGCACCCTCTGAGGCACTTAGGCGCCGCCTTAAGGTGGGGCCTTCGGCGGGCTATACTCGCGCGCCCTCTCGCCGACCCTCTCGAAAGGGGTCCCGCGCCACCTCTCCACCTCTGTCGACCTCTTTTTTACCTCTTTTGACCTCTTTTTGACCTCTCGGCCACCTCTTGCTTACCCTCTGTCTACCTCTTTTTTCGCATGAATATAATATATAGTAATCGCATGACATCGGAGTTCTAAGGGCAGTCCGTCCCCGTTGGCATCAGGCCCTACTAAAACCAATAAAAAGAAAGACATATAAGGAATAAAGCACTAGGAGGCTTGCGCAGAACCAAAAACTTACTGAAAGAGAGGTAAGCATAGCTGTAAGGGACTACAAGGGGAGGCTTACGGGGAATAACGGGGAAGGTCAACGAACGACGTTCAACGTAGAGCGGACGAAGGCATACAAACTAAACCGGTTCACAAGTATTAAAGCGTTTTACGAAAGTACGAGGCGCGGCAGCCTAAGCAGGGCGGAGGAAGACGCTACAGCCACACGGGGTCCGTACTACCACCATACAGGTATGTCCGACCAAGGACACATGGAAAGGCCTGAAGGTAGATAGCAGGTGCTCACATGGGGGGGCCCTGGTCACGCAGGGTAAAGCCCGAGGGTGCTAGCTCACCAATACCCGCGGATCCCCCCATCGCAGTCCTCAGAAAAAATACGCCCGAGACGCGATAAAGAAAAACAGACCCTATCCCTACAAAAGGTAGGCATAGAGTCTCCACCTGGCGGAGGTGTAAGCTATATAAAATCAACCTAAGACGATACGAAGAAAACTTTTCGAGAGCCACAGCTATCGTTCACACACGAAGACGTACCGATTTCGGCTTATTGTTTCTTTTTTCATTTTTTCACGACTTACAATTTTGACGTAGGACTTTTATACGAACGCACCGATATTTACGATCTACCGAGATTATCAACGTACGAGTTACTTTAACATGGGCTACTGCCGTACGGAAACACGAACTACACGTATTCAAACTTAGACTTGTAAAACTTTGAACGAAACGTCACGAGGTTCCTGGATGTGTTTTGTGTTAGTTCAATGCATGTTACCTCTCATGCATCGAAGGACCATATACATCGTGGCGCGAACAAAATACTCTACTAATACATTTGTTTGTTTTTTCCTTTTTTCCTTTCTAACATAATTTTCCAAGACCTTAATATACACATGCGAGATTCATTAACCGGAGCATTTGTCAAGAAGAAAGACCCATGTTGAGGCCAACGAAAAGAATGACACGTTCATTTTGCAGAAATTTATTTAGAAGAAATTATTTTGAATGGAAAAGGAAAAAACAAAAAAATGGAAGTCGTATGTGGTCGGTCCGTTGAATCGTCGGCGCAGGGTCGTTGGTGCTGGGATCCTGCCGTTAGGTCAACTTGGGCGAAGGTGTTGTAAAATTGCTCGTGCTAAATATTCATTGTTGTCGTACTTCTGTTTGTACTGCAAAGGCTGTTTTGTTCTTCGAAGTTGTTAATCGTTTCTTCGGTCGGGTCGGAAGTTGTTGTAGCGATGGTTCTGATAGAGGAAAGTCACCGTAGCTGCGTCGTTTTGGCTAGGGCACGTTCGTGATGCTCGGCATTACAGCTTTCCTGCTGCCATGAGGGACAGTTCGGAGGGTGTTGGCGACGGCGAAAACCTGTTGCGCCTGAACTCCGCTGCCTCGTCCTGCACCGCCCCTCTCGTGGCCCGGTCTGCATGGTCTGCAGCTACTTGCATTCGGTTGTGCCGCAGGATGTTGTTCGCATCCAGATTGTCGTTGAACTCCAAGAATTGCTGGTAGTCCCTTGAGATGTTAACTTGCAAGGTAGCCCGCAGCGGAGAACCTACCTCGTGCAGCCTCGATCTGTCGTCATTATCCGTCTCGAAGGTGCTCAGCTGTCGCGGGCTAGGATCCGGGAAGTGTCGGATGTAGGGGAGGGACCCATGCATGTCAAGCTCCATTTGTTCGATTTGGAAGATCGAGGGGCTCAGGACTAACTGTTGCCCCGGGGACATCAAAAACGGGCTGAGCGGTTCAGGTTCCGGCTCCGCCTGCTGCAAGACCGCATCGGCCTGGTATTGTTGCAAGTATGCAAAATACCTACACGGGCTATGACCGAAGGGCGGAGAAGGCGGGAAGTCGAGGAGCTCGATGTTCTGGTCCGGGAACTGCCGCAGCTGCTGCTCTGCATCCTGATTTTCGATGTGTTGGTTCAGGATGTTCTGCGCATTGTCGTCCCATACGAACGGGTTGCTGGGGATCATAGGGACGTGGTAATTGTAGACCGGGACCGGGAAGTCTGCGTCCATATTTAATCGCACACAAATGTTTTCCCCGAACGATCTGACGCTTGCCGGTGGAGAATCTTGCATCGACTGAAAACCCGAATGCGGCAGGCTAGCCGGGGGATCGGACATTGGCACCGGGGTGACCAATACCTGGTTACTGTTTTGCTCCAGCATTCTCCGGCACTCCTGCAAATCAAAAGCGAAGATTGACCCGTTGTTGTGCGCCAACATTTTAGCTCGCAGACCCGTCCTAGCGTTTGTATGAAGCTAATAGTGGGGCTGGAGAGGCGAGTAGTTCCCGTTCAATTCGGACTATTGACCACTCCGCTCGATCGATTAATTTGTCAGGAGTCGTAGGCAGGAACGGGTTGTAAGCGGGAACCGCTGCGGAGGGGGAGATCTGCGTGGTAGAATACTCCGCTCCAGAGTCTGCTTTTAGGTTAGAACCGCTGCTGCCTCTACTAGTGCCACTGCACGTCAGCTGAATAGAATCCGGCGCAAGTCCCCTGTTGAAAGCACGAAACCAGGCTCGCTCCCTCCGTAATTCTTCTTTGCGTTTTTTAACCGCTGGAGGAGTGGCAAACAAGTGGTTTCCGTAAAATCGCTGCTCCGAGAACCAACCGTGTTTGGTCTCGTGGGAGTGGAACGGAAGCGGGATATCGAAGACCTGTGCTGTGCCGAACGAAATCCTCCCGGGAAGCTGTTCAGGATCCCGAAGCGTGCGTAGAAGAGCTGGGTCGGGGCCAAGTTCCGCTAGAAGCGGCGCAGGTCTGCAGAACCGATGAGGACGCGGTGATTGCCACGGGACGTACTCGTCCGACACTCCAGACGCCCGGGATGGAGATGGCACCGTATAAAAATTACTACCCGGTAGGTTTGACCGTAGGAAGTATCTTTCTTCTGCTACTGACCAGTCCAAGTTTCTAATGCCTAAAATAACGCTTTCTTCATGAGGGTAAGACATAATCTAGGGCCCCAGTACTCTTTGGAGGCTATGAAAAAACTTTTTACTTGGACACTTCTATTACTGTTTATGTGTACGTTGTTAAGGTAGAAAGGGATGAGCATGCTCACAAGTCAAAAATATCGAACCAATCGGAGAGAAGTAGCAGGAAACTGCGAGTCGACACTCTGCTAATACTCTCTTTATCTTACATTTTTACGACCCACCGAGCGATTAGACCCCGAGACGTGCACGAAGCTATAAAGTAAGCGACCGTCATACCGTTATTATATCGAGAGTACTGCGCAGCAACGAAAAACGAACAAGACCCTCCTGCAACGAATCGCTTTGTCGCTACAGTTGGGCTAGTCGTACCGGTGTAGATTATTTGAATGCGACATGAAAAAATGTGTACAAGTACCAAAAAAGTTGTACAAAAGGAAACCAATTATATGTTTGCATGTAGAGTTAATTTAGCAAAACAAGCAGTGAAGGAGCTTTAAGTGTGACTTTATTTCAGTATATTAGTTTAGTTTTGTTTAATCTCTAAATGTATTGCATGCTAGAATTAAAAAAGGATGTATGTGACGAAGAGACTAGTATTCCAAGAACAAAAAAAAGTAACAGAAAGAACGAAGATAGAGCTTACATTGACTGCTGGTCTTAAGGAAGAAGGACGTCGTGACTTGCTTGCTTTCGCTTAGCTTAGAGCCAACAAAGAGATTCATGAAAACGATGTAACGGACGGATTACAAGGAGCTTCTCGTGGTGTCTTTCTGGTCTTTTTTGATTTTTTTGAACCCACCAAACCTTCTGTGGTGGTGCACCTACTCCCAAATCCTTTTTCCGTGTACTAGCTTCAACCAAAGAAAGTGCTTTTTACATGTCATTTTCTTTACTATTTCTAACGAGTTTCGTCTTGCGGGGTACCAGCAAGGAGGGCTACAAATCAACTGTGGAAGTTTGACAAGACTTGAAACTGTGAACCAATCAAGAACTAATCAAGAACTTTAGCGAACTCCGACTTTACTGTTAAAAACTTGTTAAAAACCAACTGGACTTGCAAGTTAGTTTCGAGTCTTTTTAAACTTTTCTTTTAACCCCCCTCACAACTTTCAGCTGCAGCGCTTGTCCGGTCGTCTTGTACGACTTACCGCCCTACCTGCCCAGTCTCGTCCGAGGAGAAACAGGCGTCACCACCCGGGGGAAGTTGTGTTTTAATTCCCCGGTCGCAACTGTACCCAAGTTGGGTCTAAAATCGCCCGGATTTCGGCCTGCATCTGCTTCATCCAATCACCCATAGTGGAGACCATTTTGTCGGAGGTGAACCACTTGGGGGCCTCGTGGCGGGCCACAACGAGCTTGCACGCTTTTGCCGGGAACGTGTGGCGAAAGGTGCCGCTCAGCGTGAATCTAACTAGAAGCTCGACAATATCCCGTAGGAAGTGAACAACTAAATAGTTACGCTTATACGCCCGGATGACCGCGCTACAAAACGCCGATTGGTGCGTTTCCGGGTGCACCGCGCTGGCCGCCGCCGAAAACTTCGACAAATAAAATGGAAAAGTACGTGTTTTGTCGTACAAACAGTACAGCAATCTCCTCGGAATTGTGGCGTCGAGGAAAAAGTCCAAAAAGGTCGTAGTCGTGGTGCCGAGTGTTTCCGGCTTACACGCTAGCGCCCTGGGATAAATCAGGTGCAACGGCAGCCGAATGGGCGACAATAAATCGTCGAGGTAGCGAAGGATTTGCAAGAACCTGTATTGCTGCCCAGCCGGTGAAGACACGAACAAGTACTCACTCCAGGACAGCCCTCCATCTGCCATCCTAGGAGCGGGGGTAATACCCATAGGCATACCCCGCACTTGCAAAAATAGCAAATCGGCAATGCCGATATAACAGCTCGCGCAACACCAGCGTACCAGTGCGTCGATATCCGCAAGCGACCAGGATGAAGAAGAAGACGGGGCTTCCCGGGACAAGAACGCAAATTCTTTTTCGGGCCCTTTGCGATTCCTATCATAGGCGAGGACAACAGACTGGAAACCACCAGCCTGGAAGACGCAGCTATTCAGCATGTGGAGGTTGTGGCAAAGAAAGGAATGTGCAAGACCGGTGTACAATCGTTCAAAATCATAACCGTCAAATTCTGCGAAACCACCCGCCGTTACCCGGGCGAGCGCCTCTTCCGAACTCTCCACGCTCCACGCCCCGGGCCACACGCGGCTCTTGAATTCTGCCATAGTGGCCGACAGAATCAAGTGCAGGACCTTGCCGGGGGCATGAAGGACCGTTTTGTCTGTGGCCGCGGCGATGAACCTCATTTTGTAGGCCGGATACTTGTGCCCCTTGATCACAGCGTAATACGCCGGATGCGCCGAGGCTTGGCGTTGCTTTACCTTCGCCAGCAGGGCCGGCGCGAACGAGCCCAGCTGCTCGACGATCTCATCGATCTTCTCCGCCGAGGTAGCTTTGTACACTTCATGGAGTGACTGCTGTGCCGGCGGGAATTCGGAACCTAAAAAAGAAGTACTACGCCGTGCTTGCCATACTGGTAGCAACGGCCGAACTTTTTCCCCTCTCTGGTCTACCCCTTGCTGTACCCAGTACTGCTGAGAATTTAGGTTGGGAATTTGACTGGCCAGTAGCGCTCGGTCAAAATCCTGCTTCGGAGGCCTCTCCGGGCTGCTTGGTATTGAATCCGACAAAGACGGCGTTGAGGACGAAGATGAGCTAGACGTGGAAGAGTCCGGAGAGTTACTGGCACTTGAGGAGCTACTGGCACTTGAGGAGGGGGATCGGGGCGGAGGTCGTAGTCTGGAAATGCTACCGGCATGCGGGGTCCCATGACCAGGTGGCATAGCATGCTGACCTTCTAACCACACCGTCGACGTCTGCGGATGTGCCGGCGCACTGACCGGCACTACGCTGCTGGCCGGAATACTGCTTCTAGGCACTAGCACCTCGAAGCTGTCGATCAATGCTGCTTCTGGAATCACATCGGGGTCGTTGATCTCGTCTGTTACTACTCCTGCCGCCACGTCCAAGAGGTTGACTGGTGGATCTTGATGTGGAACTGATTTGGTTAAATCTTCAAGCAGGTTGACCGCCGTGTTGAAAAAAGGACCTGGCTGTAGATGCCTGCTAGTACTAGCCGCGCTACTAGCGAGTGCTTCTGAATCGGTAGGTTTCGCCAAACAGTCGTTGCCCACGGTGGCGTCGCCGTCCAGCCATAACTCGAAGGCCGAGAGTGGATCCATATCCAACAGCAGCTCGTTTCTACTGGCATCAGCTCCTGTGGCGGGACACTGCGGGCGCATTCCCATCTGCAAAAGTTCAGCAGTTTCGTGGCGACTAGTCCAAGGGTCCAACAGGGTCACCGGGAGCGGACTGGCCTTGAGCTTGCTGGAGAACGAGCCCAAATTGACCGCTTCAGCGGTCCATTGGAGAAGATTTCTTTTCGTTTCTTCACGAAAAAGTACTTGAACGGAAGCATTCGACAGCACGAAGATCGGCGATAACCACTGTAGTTGGTGTAGACCGGCACGGATTTGTAAGATGGGTGCCCGTGACAAGATCAAGGTCGACGTGTACATCTTTTGGTGGTTGAATGCAATGATGGTCCCCGTCTGCGACACCGGGTGCAAGGCTTGCTTGGTCACCGATGTTGTGATCCCGGCCTGGAGGTCAAAAGTTGCTAACTGTTCCAAACCTACCTGCGCCGCGCGGTGCATGTCCAAGGCGCATCCAACGCCTTTAACGCCTTTGAGCAGGCTACGGGAGACAAGTCTCCATCCTGCTTTGGCGTTTAATTTCCACAACAACGATTGCCGCCGCCCTGACAATGCTGAGGGAAAAGGGCGGACATGAACCGTATTGATAGCTGCAGCCACGGGCGCCGATGACTTCGGAATGTTTTGTTTGAGTTCGGCTTGGACGGCTTTGCGGTCTGCTTCAGCCTGTTCAAGTTGCTTCTGGAGGGCGGAGCTACTGCTATCCTTTTTGAGCTTTTCCTGCGCCAGTTCGATCGCGGCATCGATTTCGGCGTGGAGCTTTATTTTTGCTTGGAGGAGGACATGCGGCTGGTCCGTGGAGTCGATCTTACCGAGTTGCAGTAGCTTGTCGCTCTTCGTCAACACAAACTGCAACAAGTTTTTGACTCCGTGTAACTCCAGTTTTGTTTCTTCAATCAAGTCCCGTTCCAGTACCTCGAGCTGGTCTGCTGTAGTTGCTGGAAGTCCAAACTTGTTACGCGTCAGGTATAGACCTCTGTTCGCACGTTTCTCGAGACTTTGCTGCGGAGTATCTACTACTGAAGAGCCACCAACAAGCGGCGCATCGATCATGATCTTTGCCACCGTGTCCGGGTGTCGTGGAGCCCCGGTATGAGCAAGTGCTAGTTTGTTTGTGTCACTGGATACCATCAGTCCGGTATTACTCCGTGGGTCAGCAACCGTTGGGGCCGCGGTCCTCGACGGGGTAGCATTCGCAAATACTAGTTTTGCTCGCTGGCTACTGGGAACGGGGGGAAGATGTGGGCTCAGCGATCTCGTATCTGGAAGAGAAATACGGGTAGGAGAGGGAAGTCGCACTGCCGGGCTAATCATCCTGGGAGGGGATCCAGAAGTTCGTGGAAGCACCGCCTCAGGGGGGCTGGACGAGTTAGTAGCAGCCGGCACGGCGGTGGACGTCGGACGAGGAGGTGAAAAGTCGGCTCGATGGTAGTCGTCGCTGGTGCATGTTGGAAAAGATCCGCGTCCGGCCATGCCCAGGTCTTCCATCAGGAGCGCTGTGTACAAACTTTTACACATTAGCCAGGTAGTCGATGTGGCCTTGTCGTAGTACCCAAAGACGAACAGCTGTTGTAAATTTCGTACAATGTCGAAAGCCGTTGAAAACTTGCCCCATTCGTATGTGTTGGTAGCGGATCGGTCATACACCCGGCCGTTCGCATCAGGAACAGGAATCGGAGCCGCCGAGCCGTCAGCCGTGTTCCAATCCACCTCGTTGAACTGCTCCTCGTTTTCGGGTACGGCATTACACCAGAAAAAATGGCGCACATCCTGAATCAGTTCCTGGTCTTCGATGTTGACCCGCTCGAGCAACTTCGTAGCCGAAAATTTCTGCTCAACACGAAATTTTGGTCGCATCAGCAGCGAAACTTTCGAAGCGACCACTGAATCAAACGCCGGACCGCACAACACTTGGAGGTTGTCTGCCGTAGCTGGCATAGCGATATGTCCTCCCCATGTGCACCCGTCGGGGAGGTAGCGGCGATAGTCAGCACACGCGCACTTGAGATCGCTGCAGGCCTTTGGTAAAGATTTGACCCGTAGGTTGAAGGTCGTGAGGCATACGGGCGGGCCGTATGTAAAGGCCAAAAACCTATCGTTTAGCAAGTGGCGGAAGGTGGAGCGTAGGTTGAGTTTGTCCACAGTTTTATGGTGGTAGAAGAATATGACTGCCTTCTTCCCATCCCGAGACTGCTTGTCGCCGGCCAACTTTGTCATGCGCAACCTACTTTCGACCAGTTCTTGCAGGAGAAACAGTTGTTGCGGTGGAAGGACGAAAGCGGTAGTGAGGTGAATGCGGAGCGCGCGAAGTAGTTGTTTACTGCAGCCAGCGATGATTTTTAACAACCAGGAAACGCAGTTGAATTTTGCTGCCCCGATGTGCCAGGACGGTACTGGAAGCCATCTGCCAGAAGCTGCAAAATCCTGTGGCGGGTCTAACGCAAAGAACAGCCAAACTATCGCGAGCAGAATCCGTTTGACCTCCGCATTGTTTTTCGGGAGTTTGGTGGTATACGCAGTGTCGGGGTGCAGAGTAGACTTGTCTGGTTGAATCGGAGCATGCAGGTCCAGGCTGAGCCGATTGTTGCTGGAGGTTTCGACAGGAGTGAAGATCATTTGTTTTGCCACCCTCTTATCCTCGCTATTACGCACCGTGCTAAACTTCCGACGAAACAGCTCTTGTACCATACTACTTCTGCGAGATGGAGTAACGACCGGGTCCGGTGGTAGTAGTGGTGTTTTGGCCGCATCCGGAAGTTCGATGAGACGGGGGGCATCCGACTGGCGGCAGTTGCGTAGTTGATTTACTCGGCTAGGACCTGCTACACTCCGCCGTTTGAGGCAGGGTTCATCGGACACCAGTCGTCGAGATTTCCGCTTCGCAACAAAAAACTCAACGGAGGAGATGAGCTTTGGCGGGGGGACGGCCGGTGGTGGAGCCATGTCCTCTACGTCCTGCGTGCATTGGACACCAACCCGCGGTGCGAAAAGCTCCTTGTTAGTGGAGTCTTCCACTTCTTGTGTACACTGCACCCCCAGCTGAGAAACATGTGTCTTGCCGGGTGTCACCGGGCCATCATCTTCAGGCGGACACGCGGAGCAATTCGCCTCAGACTGGTCAGAGGGAAGGAAGTTGTAGTTGCCCGCCTGTGTTCAGGTTTCTTTGTAGCCTCTGCAATTTCAAAACTCCACCTTGTTCCGCTAGAAGACGATACATGCTGGAGCCGTCTTCAGGATGTGGACGCCGACGCGGGGCAGCAGGATGCGTCACGTCCTTGAACTCCAAATTGAAACCCCACGGGTAGTACGTGCGGAGTGACACAATCCAAAACGACTCCCACGCATCAATTTGTGATAGCGTGGAGCCGTCGGGAAGCGTAGCTGTTCTGTTGGCCTCCACTTTGTTCATGTAAAAAAGAACATCTGTCGTCACCGCATGGTTCAAGTACTGCTGCTGGTGCAGGTACATCGGGTGCGTCTCATCCTCGTGCCCCAACCGCTCCGCACAGTTTGCGTGCCCATGGAAGCGTGTACCAGCACCCGCACCCGTGTGGGCTTTACCCACGTAAGCCAGTCCACAGCTGCACCGGCGCAAGTATATGAGGCTGGTGTCGCCCGCCTCGTAACATGAACGCTGTTCGCGAGCCCGTACTTCTAGCAGTTTGCCGTTCACTTGTAAAAAGCGGTCAGGCGAGGCGGAAGAACAGAGGCTGCACGGGTTGCCCTTGGCCGCCCTACAACAACTGATCATGCGCGATCTGTCTAGCTGGAAGAGCTCGGGCTTGAGTCTATCCGCTTTCCAGTTGTTGAGGTCGAGGACGTGGGCCTTAAAAGACGCAAACTTCATTTGCAATGGGATCGAATAATCGGCCATCCAGGCCACCGGCAGCTCCTCATGTTTGAAGTCCGACTTTATCGCGAAAATATCGTTTGTGTAAATCTGTTGGACATCGCAGAATTCGGCCACGGCAACGAGCGAGTTGTTGACGGCATGGAGGAAGTTTTCAAGGGGAGGGTTAGGAGCTACAGGTCGAGATGGTTTGCGTACCAGTTGCAGCACCGACGACGAAGATTGCGCTTGAGGTTGCTGGGCGGGAGTCCGACAGGTGTCGCACAACAGAGAAATCGTAGAATTTAAGTTCTGATTGTACAGCAAGGGCGGGTTTTCGGATGCAGTCATTTTGTCACTAGAAGCCACACTATAAAGTGTAATCGGAACTACACTTTCGATTGAGCTGTAAACCAGCTAGAGTCAAGACATTTTAGGATAAATTTGGCCGTCTTCCAATACGAAGCCCGCATCCTCCCAGAAGTGGATCTCCTGGTTAGCTCGGTCCACCGAATCTTCGTACCTCCACTGATTACTGAAAAAATCGTAGTGCCAGCGGAGGGCTCCCCAACTGCTAGTCCAGTAATCTTTGCCGGTACTCCAACTACAACGGTCCTCCTGGGAAACTGTTGAAAGAAATCGGAACGGCTGTTGATGTAATGGAGGTTTGGAAGGTTCTGCTGGCGGCTGATTAGGTGTAGATAGAGAGAAGTGCTGGCCGAGGTGGGTTTTGTTTTTTCTTCTGGGGCTGCCGTCCGCGTGCAAGGGGGTGTACGACGTACGAAGGCCGTTGTCAGCAAGTGATGCTCGTAATCCTTGAAGCTTAGTGCCGTCGTGCCCGGAAGAAGCCCTGGAAAATGTCGCCACTGGTCGATGCGGTTGGTCAGCTAGTCCAGTATCTGGGGTGGTCTGTCGTCGAGGTACCACAGGCGATGGGGATGGCGTTCCGCGAATTTGTATAGTCGTATGATGTGTCTCCTGTCGGATCATATTCGTAGTAGCGGATATCATCTTCGAAAAAACGATGGTGGTTGATAAAATTCCACTACTGGAAACGGCTTGCCGCGCGGTGTAGACGTAAAAGCAGCAGGACGAAACGTTGCGTCGAATATCCCCTGACGACCCGGGAATGCAATAAACCCCTTTTAATAATGTCGTACTTTGTTCGCTTGGTCCAACTAGGCGATTATTCGTAAATAATTTACACGGTTAATTTACACGGTTAGTTTCAAACTTTGACGAATCCAACTACGCAGAAACAACCCACGGACACGGAACCGAGATTGACAAATTGCCCATTTTATGTTTCAGCTTTGGACGAAGTGCTACGTTACGACTACGAAGGTCACACAACGACTCCTGGAAGTTTGGGATGAAAATGGTTAGAGTCGCTTAGTTACTGCCACCACAGCAATAGCGAGCTCTACATGACATCGGAGTTCTAAGGGCAGTCCGTCCCCGTTGGCATCAGGCCCTACTAAAACCAATAAAAAGAATCATCATCATCATCATACCCTCGCGATTCAGTGCACTTCTGATGGTGCACGAGAGAAAAGCAAGTCGCACCAACGCACTTCTGATGGTGCGTGCAGGCGCTGCGCATTATGCTCCAATGAGCAACAGCTCATGTTTTCCATCTTTATACTCTCCGCCGGTGGGAAGCAGCCACCAAGAGTCGATGCAAAGTGAAAGACTTACGCACCGCAAAACTATGTACGGCGCGAATCGCCGAGCACCCCGCAGCCGGGACACTGTCTAGAGCTACGCTATCCCCGAGCGGGCGAGGCATACAGTGTGCGTTTAGCGGATCAGTGCCTTGGGTCAGGTGATACTAGACCTAAGGGGAAGCGGCCCCAAAAGCCATGAAGTTCATTGAATGCGTACACTGTCATCATCCGCCGCAGACGACACACCGCCCCCGGTTACGTAAATCAATAAAGTTAAGCTATTACGCCCTTAGTCCCTCGATGTCATGCAAAGACGAACCCCAGCGGAAAAAGGCGGAAGAAGAAAGAAGAGGANACAACGTTGCACCGCGCGACATGGAAATCCTCTATTTATACCAGGCTGTGGCATATTTCAACAAGAACGCCGGTAGTAGTCGTGTCAAGCTACAAAGCCTGCGATTTTCTTTTTGCATGAGACTCACTACACGACTCCAAATCTAAAAACGACCTCCAACAAATCCCCTTAAAAATCTATACCGCTGCCCTCCTGACTTGCAACTTGAGCCAGCTTCCCTCCTTTGCGTCCGCGATTTCCTGCCGCAGTTCCGTTGCGTCACAGTCAACCCGTCCGTTGACGCCGATAAGGCGCATGTAGGGCTCCAAAACCAAATCATACCTCCCCATTTGCTGGACGAGGCGTTTTATCAAATGCAAAAATGTCTGGGTCTGGAAGCTTGCGAGACTTGTCATGCTTGTCTGGCATGACCAAAAAGCTTGCGATGCGTGTCCAAGAAGAGACCCTTTTGCCTGTCATGCAAAAACGCAGTTTCTTCTGCGGAAAACGCAACACAAAGAAGCGCAGCTATTTCTCATGCTTGGCTGTGAATTACAGAGCATTCACTATTCCCAACGCAGCATTACATCGGAAGTCTACGGGCTGTTCGTCCCTACCGGCATCAGGCCTTACTTAAAACCAATAAAAAATTCGTAATTATCCCGCCGCGATTCAATGCACTTCTGATGGCGCATGCAGAAAAGCAGGGCGCGCCAACAAAAATAAAGGAAACGTAAGGAAGAGCTTAGAACGAGACGTTGTTACGAAATCACGGTACGGCGCGAACGATACGACTAACTAAGAAAGCCAGCGGCAACGGGACGACTACAGCCACACGGGGTCCCGCGAGGACCGAGAACAGGCTTACCGGACCTGCGGTAAATAAAAGGCCTGGAGGTCTTCGTGGGTGCTCACATAAAACAAGTTTCGGTCCACACGCAGCGCACCGTGGGTGCATGCTCACCACTGCGTGAAAACTTGTTCTATCGCCGTGCCACGCCGCTTGGCAGCGCGAAAAAAGAGAAAATCGTCCCTACTCAGACCTCAATTGGAAAGTGTAGGGACGTAGCCAGCAACGGCTAGAAAAACCTAGGAGGGCCAACGCAGCATTACAAGTTTCCAGGCCCAGACATTTTTACATTTGATACGTTTGTTGATCACCTGCGTGACGCCGTAGACCTTGCCGATTTTCAATTCCGAACGCAGCCCCGAGTGCTCCTGCATCTGCAGCCCCAGCCCGATGTCGCCGGACACCTTCTTCGTGTAGAAGCTGAAGTAGCGCGAAAATTTCTGCACCTGCACCATGATGTCGTCCCCCGTGCGGAGCTCCTCTTTCATAGCTTCCACGTCGTCCTTGACGCCGTTGACAGCAACGATGCGATCCCCCACGATCACCTTCTTGTTGGCGTCCGTTTGCGCCTCGTTGTAATTGTGCAAGAGTCCGCCCCAAACGACGGATTTGACCACCAGGTGCGCCGGTGCGTCGACCGCGAGTCCCCTGTTGGCTTCTGTGAAGGCCTGACCGCCGTCGAAAAACGAGATCCCGAATTTCGTGAAAGAAAGACATATAAGGAATAAAGCACTAGGAGGCTTGCGCAGAACCAAAAACTTACTGAAAGAGAGGTAAGCATAGCTGTAAGGGACTACAAGGGGAGGCTTACGGGGAATAACGGGGAAGGTCAACGAACGACGTTCAACGTAGAGCGGACGAAGGCATACAAACTAAACCGGTTCACAAGTATTAAAGCGTTTTACGAAAGTACGAGGCGCGGCAGCCTAAGCAGGGCGGAGGAAGACGCTACAGCCACACGGGGTCCGTACTACCACCATACAGGTATGTCCGACCAAGGACACATGGAAAGGCCTGAAGGTAGATAGCAGGTGCTCACATGGGGGGGCCCTGGTCACGCAGGGTAAAGCCCGAGGGTGCTAGCTCACCAATACCCGCGGATCCCCCCATCGCAGTCCTCAGAAAAAATACGCCCGAGACGCGATAAAGAAAAACAGACCCTATCCCTACAAAAGGTAGGCATAGAGTCTCCACCTGGCGGAGGTGTAAGCTATATAAAATCAACCTAAGACGATACGAAGAAAACTTTTCGAGAGCCACAGCTATCGTTCACACACGAAGACGTACCGATTTCGGCTTATTGTTTCTTTTTTCATTTTTTCACGACTTACAATTTTGACGTAGGACTTTTACGAACGCACCGATATTTACGATCTACCGAGATTATCAACGTACGAGTTACTTTAACATGGGCTACTGCCGTACGGAAACACGAACTACACGTATTCAAACTTAGACTTGTAAAACTTTGAACGAAACGTCACGAGGTTTTTTTTTTTAGTAATCGCATGACAAATTTCTCAGCGTGAGAAACGAAATCTGTAATGCGGATGTGACTTGGCAGAAAAATTTGCAAGGCATAGATGCGATCAGTACGAGTACGATGCTTTTACAGTGCGTATCCGTGTTTGACAAACCCAAGCTCCCCGTACTTCTCCTTGAGCCCGGTGCAGTAACTTGCCATCTCCAGCCCATTTTGGTTGAACCGGCGGCAAAAGGAGGGAAGGGCATCGGTCGTGGTCCGGCCCTGCAGAAGAACCCACTTGCAGTATCCTGAGTAAAAACGTCCCCACCCCGTACTTGTCATGCAAATTTGCAAGAATTACAGAAAGACAAAGATTTGTAATGCGCATCTCCATGAGAAACATTTCCAGTCGCGTTTTGGAATTTGTAATGCTGTAAACAGGATAAGCTGATGGATTTGTCATGCGGTTGTCCTTGCTAACATGCACTACACTACGGACTGCAACTTCTCATGCGTGGCTCCCAAAACTTGTGGATTTGTCTTGCTAGGTTCCCAACTTGACTATGGGGTGGGGACGTTTTTACATATGATATGCAGCACATGATCCGCTCGTTAGAAACGCCCACGGCGTAGGTGTTCGTTTCCATGAACGATTTCGGTAAGACATAAAACGCCTGGTTCGCGCACGCCGGCTCGCAGGTTCCGATTTCCTCAGCCGTCACTCCGTCTACTTCCAGAGCGGCCACAAGCTCCTTCCTGGTGGCCTCACAGGTGGTGTACGTCATGCAATTTGGGTTTTTCGAGTCGTCCCGCACGTACAAACCCCCACGGGCGGCAACGTCGGACTCGTAAAAATACTCGTCCCCGAGGTTGAGCTATGCAATGCAAACGCATCGCATACTCGTAGAATCAATTGCAGTTATGCGTCACAAATCGAAATCTTAAGCTAAACCAGCAATACAAATTTCTAATGCCGCTGAGCTAATTTGTTCGTAACTGCGATTTTTATTTCTACTGATGCGATACAATTTCTGCACTGTGCATATGAACAAACTGTGACCAATTTCGTGGCCCGCCACGTAGTGCCCCAATTCGTTCAGCGTCACTGTCGCGCCGCCCTGGCTGCCCGCTCCGCCGTACCGGTACGTGTTGACAATAATGAGTAGGGTGGAGTAGTAGCCGTAGCCACAGTGCTCGAAGGCGAAGTGCTTGAAGGCCGGGATGAGGTCGTTCATCGTGTTGCCGGTGTTCCCCGTGCCGCAGCACAATCCTACGTAAAAACGTCCCCACCCGGTAGTTGTCATGCAGATTTATATCCACAGAAACATCTGTCATGCGCATCCGCATGACAAGATTTTATAGTCGTGGTGCTATGAGATTTGTAATGCTGCAAACAGGATGACTATGCGTCTTTGTGATGCGGCTGCCCTTACTAAACACCACGACAATACAGACGGACACTTGTCATGCACAACTCCCAAACCTTGCAGATTTGTGTTGCAGATTTACGAACTTGACCCTGGGGCGTGGACGTTTTTACCCAGGATAAGCACACAAGGCGGTCCAAGCCGTTGCACCCGTTGGAGCAGGCGGGCTTGTCGGACGAGTCGATTTCCAAGGCAGCCGCAGTATCAAATGCAAAAATGTCTGGGTCTGGAAGAATGCGCGATTTGTCATGCAGCTTTTCCATGACCCACGAGGTCTGGAATGCAGGACCTAGCATGACAGATTCTGTGCGACCTCTCTCATGCCTATCCTGCATGAGAAACTCCCCTGCGACTTGGTCAAAACTGGACGACTTTTGGTAATCATGCAACACAGATTTTTGCATGCTTCAGATTTAGCATGACAAGTTGCAATCTTCCAGACCCAGACATTTTTACATTTGATACGCAGTTATGGAGTGCAAAAGTAATCTATCGATTCTATCTAATACGTAGTACTAATCGCAATCATGCATGGCAAATTTCCTTCAACATCACAAGCTAGTACGGCATGCTGAGCCACTATCACTAATTTTTGATGCAATTAAAATTAATTTCCTTTTCCTACTACAAGAAACCATCTGATAGATGCAACTTAAACTTTTGCAATTCATAACAGTGACGTAGAAGACGTTCAGGCCTGCGTTATTTTTCGCGTCGAAAACGGCGCCGTACTGGCTCACCAGCGCGTCGTTCATTCGGCGCGCCTGTTTCGGCCACTCGTCGACCAGATCCTGACCAAAAAATCCCGCGGGGACGAGTAGCAGGTTAATCGCCTATCCTGTGCAAAAGTATCGCACTCGTATTGCAGTCATGCATTATAAATTTTTTTCTTAAGGGAAATCCGGATCACAAGTTTTATTTTTCATGCTGAGGAAAATTGTAATGCATTTATGCGAGTACGATACTTGTTTTACAGTTCGTATCGCCTCCGCGGGCACCACGTCCTGGGAGATGGGCACGCAGGTGGGGTGCTGTTTCTGCCACTCCCGCACGGCCTCCGACGCGGGTTGGCCCGGGACAGGATACGCAGATGATCCGCTACTGTAGGTGCCCCCGCCGGGGGGCACTGCGGCCGGGGCTTGCGGGAAGCTCAGATCTGCGGCGTGGATCTTCTGCCCGCCTGTGGTCGACGTTTGATGTTCTACTTCTTCTGGGGTGGTCATCTCACTTTGATGCTCTTCTTCTCCGGCGCAACAAGATGGACCACCACTACCTGCCCCGCCTATTCCACCTATTTCGTCGTCCTTTAATGTTTTTACTTCGTTCTCCACAACGTTGCTGTTGCTCTCTCGTCCCGCCATCAAAAAATCGTCTCCACGATGATCATGTTGGCCAAGGGCGGGTTTGCTTTCTGATGTGGCGCCAGGGGCGGTTCTTTCGGTCTCCTCTGGTGTAGAAGTCCCTAAAACAACTCCTCCCCCTGCGCAGCTGGTACTATCGGCACACGAGTTTTCAATGTCATTTTCGTCCTCCGACGTTTTTTTAACAACTCCTGGCGCCAGAGCCAGTTTTGTTTTTTGCAGCTCAACTTCTACCCTTGTCGTTGTCCGACGAAGCAATGTAGTTTGTTGCTGTTGCCGACGACCACGACTCGCTGGTGCTTTATGGAGTTCTCCTGCTTCTAGCAAGGCTGTTCCTGTTCCTGTTCTTTCCGGCCGAGGTGCACTATTTCTGCCGGTATCTATTCTACGAACCACTGTCTCCTTGTTAATATTCGACGTAGTAGTTCTTGATATTGTTCTACTCTTACGGTGCCTCTGCTCCTGCGATGAAAATGTCGCCTCGTCTTCTTTCTTTACCTCCAGGAGACGCAGGGCGGATGTCGTGGTGGCCGCGACGAGAAAAAATGCCAAGGAAGAACAAACACGACCCCTCTGCCTCTGTAAGGGAAACAACAACATTTTGATATATAAGATGGCGGCCACGAGAAATTGAAAGTGAATTGCGTGTAAAAATGAAGAAAGAACTACTAAATACTCGCTGAATGTCGTCAAAAATGGGGAAGTATCTACGGCACAACAAGTAGTTCTAGTTGGAAACGGCTAGGAGCGGAGTGGATCGACAAAAGCCATGAATGTAGTAGAGGTTCTGAGATCGTGTTGCCCAGCACGACTCCGTCCTGTAGATGAAGTGTTCATTTATCTTTTGCTGTGCAGAATAAGTGCAGAATATCAAACTGGTTTAAGTCGATTCAGGGTACAAAACCTCATATCGTCGTCTACGAGGTACCACCTATTTTTCGCTGGTTGCACGACAATGCACTGGTGCAAAGAGAACGATGGCGCACGAAGTAGAGAAAGTACGAATTATAGCAGCAACGAAAACCAAAACTTACTAACACGAAAGACCACGTAGCTCCTGCACTAGAAGGGAGTCTTGTGCTAGTATGCTTGCTGTACGAATTGTAGGTCGTCGTTGGAATAGATCGTTTTCATTGTACAACGAAATAGATCACGAAGAACTACAAAGACATCAATTCTCGAGCACGAGCTTGAACCTATGTATAAAAATACGAAGACAGTGGTACGAGGAGAACGACTTTTGCAACGCGCCGTAAGTAGAATACAACCCCTGATCCACCTCTGGTGTGTCAGCGCGGCTTTTTTACCCAAATTCACTTTGGCACGATGAGAAATCGAAGGAACGGAACAATGTGAAAAGAAACGGTCCTCGTCTTCACACATCCATGTAGAGGGAACATCACAAGTAGGCGCCTAACTGCGAGAAGACCTCGCAATCAGCACGCGATGCGATGCGAAGGTTCATCTTGCCAGATGTTCTCAGTAAAGAGAACAGGAGTGTTCGACTTTTTGGTTCCGCTCTTCACTTTTTCTTCTACAGTGACCACAGTTCTACTGTTCTTTAAGGAGGTTTTGCTTTATCTCACACGTCGACCTCCATGCGTAGTTTTCGTGTTCCAATTCCTCAAAAAATTGAGGTCAACGAGGAGGAGGACGTCAGTAGAACCATAAAAATATTCCCTGAAGAGGATTTACAAAATAAAGTGTTGATGATGATGATGTACACACGTTTGTTTCTCTTTCTGTTTGGTACAACTTCTATAGCCGAAATCTAGGAGTCCCTGGCCCCCCGCTGAAAATGCAGCTAGTTGTCCACCTGACAACCTTGTACTGCACCTACTATTTCCAGCTCGCACAGAAGAAGAAGAAGAAGAAGTACTTTACGCGATCGCGTTCAAGCAATTCGCAATTTCCTTCTCGATTTCGGCGATTTCGATCTTGCGTTTTTCGATCTCCTCGTTGTTTTTGTCCTTGATTTCCTGTGGTGTTTTTTCGTCGTAGTTCGGCACCTGGGTCTTTTTCATGGCCTGGTCGTACCTTTGCTGTTTTTCCTTCAATTTCTTGTCCAACTTTTGCGAGTGCTGCTTCAGATCGACCATATCCTTGACGTCGAGCGAAATTTGCACCTGGAGGTTCACCAAAGAAGCCAGCGTGCCCTTCGGCGCGGCGTCCACATTGGTGGCGGAGGAAACCTGGTGATTATTGTTGTGGGTTTTCGTTTTTTAGCGTTGCGACTGATTGCCATAGTTGCGCACTACAGATGATGCTAGCAAAAGCGTGCCACTGTTGCTGCCCCTAGTGATTGATTGGCGTGCGGCTGATGCATCTGACACCGTCGCAGCTTCTTCTGTCTATCAGTTCCGCTTCTACCTCCCGGGTCAAGAAGATGAACTGAACATATCACATTCCGTTTCGCATTTATTTTTTTCCGGAAGTTCTTCATTTTTCCAGATAGACGTATTAGGATGAAAAAGTCGTAAGTCTATCGCGTAGTCTCTATACCTTGCCGAGCGTTTTCACGACAAACAACGCCTCCTCGTCGAACGGCTTCTCCTTCGTGTTTGACACCACGTATGCAATCGGCTGTTTCTGCGGAATGAGAAGCGCGGCCTTGCTTGACCGATATGCTGTGCAAAAGTATCGTACTCGTATAAATGCATTACAAATTTTCTCAGCATGAGAAATAAAATTTGTAATGCTGATTTATCTCAAGAAAAAGATTTGTAATGCATGATTGCAATACGAGTACGATGCTTTTGCACAGGATAACCGGACCTCTGATACAACGTCCATGCACTCTTTCATCTGTGCCTCAGCTATGACAGCCTCAGGTTGGAAATCCTCAAAGTGGAAATGATTTGTAATGCAAAAACACGAAGCCAGTTGAAGCACCATTTCTAGTCGGCGCATGACAAATTTATTCCCGGTCACTCAAACCGTGTCTGTCATGCGTGTTAGGCACAGGGGTGCGTTTCTTTCATGCTAAGTAACAGCACTCCAATTCTGAACCCGTAGAAGGACAACAGTCAGCCCCCACATTGCGTTCTCTGCAATACAGTCTTTTTGATGTCGCATTTCATGCATCACAAATTATTTCCACTTTGAGACTTTCCATTCTGAGGCTTTCATATCAGCCGCTTCGTTCTGCCAAGACTTCGTGCCCAGGGGGTAGCTGTCGTTTGTCATGTGGTTTCGCATGACAAATTCTCGAATGTTGTCATGTGGTTTCATGAACGAGAGTTTTCGATTTCATATTTCTCAAGCATATTGATCTGTGGATGAAGGTGTAACAGATCATGATAACTGCAGCATGATTTAGCTGTGCTGATACGTGGTCGAACCACATTCATACTTAGCCACGACCACAAATCTTTCATGTGCGACCATCTTCAAGTAGTAGTCCAAATTTTTATACCTTGCCACCACAATCGACTCGTATTTATTCGGGTTGCTCGGTAGTCTCTGGTAAAGCTCCTCTGTTACGAACGGCGGTGTATGCATTGCAAAAGGATCATGTTGAAGCCATACTCGTAGTACCGAAGTGATCCTCCGAATCATGCAAAAGTCGCTTTTCTAACACTAACACTAACATCACTAACACTAACACGAGTCTACATCAGAATGACAAATTTCGTTTGAATTTGTCATGCTCCTGCACTGCAAATTTTAATTATAATTTGTAAATGCGAATAATAAAATCACTTCCACTTCTATCACTACGTACCGGACACACGACAGTACTTTTGCAATCGATACAGCATCGGGTGCAGCAACCGAAGCCCTTGGTCCAGACAGGTGTAGAGCACGTCCCGGGCGATGTTTTTATCCTCCTCTTTCGAGTCCTGCCCGTAAAGACGCGGCTTCAGTAACTCCAGGTATACGTCACACAATTCCTTCAGCCAGAAATCGTATATGGTGGATACCCCCTCGGAGAATATGGAATGCAAACGTGTCTGGGTCTGGAAGAATGCAAGACTTGTCATGCAAATTTTACATGGGCCTAGCATCACAGACTTCTGAAGGGCTTCCTCATGCCTATTCCGCATGAGAAACACCGTCTCCATATAGCACGAAGTAAACTCCCTTTGCTGGTCATGAAATACAGATGTTTTTAGAATGCAGAGACAGCATCACAAGTTGCATTCTTCCAGACCCAGATTATGTATTTGCATTTGATAGAGAACTCGTATTTCTTAAAGCTCTGGTCCATCTTCACACAGGCGTGGTTGAGGCGGGACAGAATCCATTTGTCCTCCAATTTCAGCTTGTGCTTGGGATTCAAGAAGCCGGGGTACTTGTGCATTTCCGTGCCTTCCTCGTTCAGCTTTAGGTTTTGCAAGGCAAACTTGGTCGCGTTCCAGAGCTTGTTGCAAAATTGTCGGTACCCAACCACGCGCTGGATATCCAAGTTCACGTTTCGGCCCTGTGCGGTGTAGGCAAGGAGGCCGAGTCTCAACGCGTCGGCGCCGCACGAAGGAATGCTATGGAAGCGTCAGGATTGAAATTGTCAAAGTTGAAATAGTTCTTTGTGATGCATAAAATGCAACCCACAGAGTGCCTGTCTTGCAGAGTACGCAAGGGAGGCAGATTGTAAGCCTGTTGAGGGGTAAAAATAGAGCTGCTACAATAGCATGACAAAAGGCGTCTTCCTTAGTACCCAAACAGCATTACAAACTGGATTTAATAGACACCACCAGGATTTGTCATGCGCCACTTGAAAATAACTAGGCGCCTACTGGTATCCGTCTTATGCGTCGCAAATTATTTCAACTCTGACGATTTCGATCCTGACACTCCCATAGATGCCCTCCGGAAAGTCTTTCTGCTGCGAAAGGATGGCTTTGTTTACCTCGGAGGGGGGCAGGTTGCCGGACTTTACCTTATGGATTGCAAAAGTATCGTACTAGTAGAAATCGCATTACAAATTCACGCAGCATGAGAAATGAAGTTTGTCATGCTGTTTTGCCTTGATATCGAGATTTGTAATGCATGACTGCGATTACTACGAGTAGTACGATACTTTTGCACAGGATATACCTTGTCGTGCAGCGACTCAAGTGTGGCGCCGTCGATTACCTTTGTTGTTTTGAATTGTTTCAAATTTATTTTCCCTTGCTACGCAAACGCAGCTCTTCCTCTTTCGCTGGATTTGGATTTTCTTGTCGTTTCACAGGTTTTCGTTTTGTACTCTATCGACAACTGATTTTTGCATCCTCCTCATGCGACGCCGTCAGCAGTGAACTATAGAATGGGCGAATTTCAGTTTGCCTTTATGCAGATAGCACTGCGACTGACACCATTTTGAGTATGTTATAATACCTCCAACGGGTCGATGACGTTTCCCTTGGATTTGCTCATTTTCTCCCCATTTTTGTCCCGTACCATGGCGTGCGACTTATGCAACACAAATCTATTTTTAGAACCGTACTTACTATTTACCAGGCGTCCGTCGTACAAACAAATACATCACAAGTTCCTCCAGTGGCAACGAGCATTTCTTCAGCTTGAGTACTAGTAGAGCAGGTGTTCTTTGTCATGCTGTTGAGTCGTAGAGCAAAAGCTTTTCTCATGCAAAGATGATGTACGTCTACGATGATACATGATACTACGGCAGTAATACAATAAATGTGCGAGTGATACAAGTAGACCGTGGTGAAGGGCAATTTGCCGGTCAAACCGAGCGACATCATGTATCGAAATGGAAAATCCCCCCATCCCATGTTCAAAAGACCATTTGTGTTGCTGGATTTCTGTACACAAGTGAGCTTTGTATTGCGTTTGCACTTGCAGCAAGAGCAGGTTGCCGGCGCATTATACTAAAGCCATTCGGGCACGCATCCGGTTAGCAGCTGAGCATGAGAAACAAGTCTCACATAGGCGAAAACGCATCACAGACTCGCTGTACAATGTTGCGCCACATGTTTGCCGTTTGCATTGTACGCAAGACAAAGCTGATTTGTGGCCACAAATTAGCATCACAAATTTCCTTTTTGATATGGGGAGGGGGGATTTTTCCTCGCGATATCATGACCATTCGCGCGACCCAGAAGAAGAGGATGTCATGCCCGGTTTCGAGCAAAGTTCCGGGGAAGAAGGACTTCATGTCCTCGGTCTCGTTTGGCCAGCCCATCACCTGTGGTATAATCATTTGTGTCATCCGCGAACTACAAAAGATGTTGAACACCAGATGCAATATCAAACACATGCTCGATGGCTAAACTCAGTTTTTCACTCGAAGATGTAGGACTCGTCGTATTTAACAGCCTATATAACCTGATTTCTTAAGCATGACAAAGTAGAGCAACAGGAACAGGAAGTAGTTGTTCCGCATGACGAAAAAACATCTCGAATAATACCGAAAACGGGAACAATCCGCTGGAAAACCAGGTGTCCAGCACGTCCTCGTCCTGCTCGAGCTGCACCTTGTCGCTGTTTAATTCCTTTTTCGCTTTTGCCAGCGCGTCTTCGAACGACAGGCCCACGAACCACTTCTCCTTTCCGTCCTTATCCAGCAACTCTTGCGGCCCGGTGACTTTGTAGGCCGGGATCCGGTGACCCCACCAGAGTTGCCGGGAAATGCACCAGTCGCGAATGTTGTCCAGCCACTTGAACCAGGTGGACTCGTGAAATTTCGGGATGATTTTCAGCTCGTTCTGCTTCACTTTGTTCACCGACTCTTCCGCCAGCTTCTTGCAGTCCATCCACCACTGTGGCTTGAGCAAGGGTTCGATCACATCTCCGGATCGGGAGCAGAATCCGAGCGACATCGCGTGGTTTTCCTTTTTCACCCACAAATTCTTCTTCTTCAATTCCTCCTCCAACTCCCGGCGCACCAATATGGAATGCAAATCTGTCTGGCTCTGCGTCTGGGAATGTGTGATGCTAAAATGTGCATGACGAAAGCACCCCCTCACGCAGGAGAGCATGACAAGGTTGCAGAACACTTCCTCATACGCGCTCCGCATGCGAAACTGCGTTTTTGTATGACAAGAGAGGCCTCGACTTCTTTTGTGGGTCATGCAATACAGATCTCACAGGAATGTAAGACCAGCATTACAAGTTCCAACTTTCCACACCCAGACATATTTGCAATGCATAACCAAATACCGGTGCTTGTTCCCGAAGAGCTGCCCGCCGGCCTTCTCGGTGACGGTGCCGTCGTCGTTGAGCATGTTGATGAATTCCAGGTTGTGTCTTTTCCCCATTTGGAAATCGTTATGGTCGTGCGCCGGGGTGATTTTCACGCACCCAGTTCCGAAATCCTTGTCCACATAGCTGTCTGCGATAATGTATCCCCTGCAAAAGCATCGCACATCTTCTTCTTCGCAGTATTGCTATACAAATTAGCTCAGCAGGAGAAATGGAACTTGTCATGGTGATTTAGCTTGAAAAGTAAATTTGTCGTGCCTGACTGCGATTAGTACGAGGACGATGCTTTTGCACAGGATAAAATCGTCATTTTGCGATCCGGACAGAACGGGTGCTCCAGTGGCTTTCCGATCAAGTGCTTATACCTGAGAAGGTGTGCGCAGTTGAATTTGTCATGCTATTTTTACGTGGGGTAAGACAAGCACAAGGCGAGTCTGTCATGCATGCAACTGCAAGAACTCGAACAGATGAACAAAGGCCTATGCAGGAGCTTCTAAGCACATAGATTTTTATACCTCTCATCCTCCGGATGCACGGCCACTGCGGTGTCGCCAAGCATGGTCTCCAGACGCGTCGTATCGAGTCCAAATATGTCTCGGTCTGGAAACTTGTGATGCTGAATGGTCATGATGGAACAGCCTTCCTAGTGCAGCCAAGCATGACAAATATTTATTTTGGGCACTTTTTCATGCGTAGCGCGCATTACAAACTGCGTTTTTGCATGACGCAAAAAGTCGTGCTTTTGGTGGTCATGCAACACAGATTTTACACGAATGCCAGACAAGCAATACAAGCTTCACTTTTCCAGGCCCAGACATATTTGCATTTGATACGTCGTCGCCACCGTGATTCTCTCCTCCGAGTCCTTCATCTTGTAACTAAAGTGGCACATCACGCCGACCTCCACTTTCAAATCTTTGCTGCCCGGGATGGGTTATCCACTGCAAATATCCCTGGACGTCTGGAAGAATGCACTTGTTTGTCATGCCTATTTCGGATCACGGAAATGGAATCTGATGCAGGCAAAAGCATCACTGGTTTTGAGCACGCCTCTTCTTGATGGCTGTCCCGCATGAGAAACTTTTTACTTGCGTACCAAGAAATGAGCAGCGCATGGCGCTCATGCAACACAAATTTAGTGTTCCAGAGTTTGCATTACAAGTTCCAATTCCAGACCCAGACATATTTGCAATGCATATGGGTTTCAAAGTTCGTCCGGTGATTTCTTCGTAGTCTACCTCTAAATCAGAAAGGGCGGTACGCAGGTAACTGCACCAGTTGATAAGCCGATTGTCGCGGTAGATGAGACCTGGTAGGTGGCAAGGGGTTGTTGTGTTTTTTATCTGTGTCACTTGTAGTTCTATAATTCTTAGGCCATCAAGATGATAAAAACAGTAACATGTTGGCCGCGCCCGCGCGATAGAAAATATCAGGTACGCGGGTCATTGTAATTTAAAGTAGTTGCCATGCAACAATATATCGTAGCAATTACTCGAAGTTGTAACAACTACAACCACTAAAGATCTGCTCGGTGGCTGTGCTGCGAAAAAGGAAAATGAAAAACGAATCATACATCTCTCTCAACGAGAAATGAGACTGACACGACCGCAAGGGTGGAGAGCAAGTATTTGTACTATGGAGTACGTTACTACAACTTTCCACCAAACTATGGAGAGAAAAAAGTTCGCCACAGTCACTAACTTGCAGGTTTTGCATTACAAATTTTCTTAGCACCACAAACTTTCCTTGTATTGCAGAAACACTAGGGAAATCCCTAATGCAGTTTGGCTGTGATGCATTTTTACGTATGACAAACAATTTTGTATTGCAAGAATGCGCATGAGTGATCGTGACGAACTTTTTTTCTTTGATACAAACTCTTCGTAACACTATCTGTACCTTGTTCGTGAAACCGCACAAAAGCGTGCTTCATATGAACTGCAAAAGTATCGTACTCGTTATAAATGCATTACAAATTTCCTCAGCATGAGAAATAAAATTTGTAATGCGAATTTACTTTAGAGAGAACATTTGTAATGCATGATTGCAATACGAGTACGATACTTCTGCAATTCATACTTCACCGCGTTGGTTAAATTCGCGTCCATCGTAAAAGCCTCCCGGGTCCAATCCACCGATGCGCCGAGTCTTCGCAACTGCGAGCAGATTTTGTTCCCGTATTTCTCCTTCCACTGCCACACTTTCTTCAAAAACTCGTCCCGCCCCAAATCGTGTCTTGTCAGGTTCTCTTCTTTCAGTAAAATCCTCTCGACAACGGATTGCGTCGCGATGCCCGCGTGGTCTGTGCCCGGTACCCAGAGGACGTGCTTTCCGTTCTGACGGTGCCACCTGGTCAGCGCGTCTTCGATCGCGATGGTGATCGCGTGGCCCAAGTGCAAAGAGCCGGTCACGTTGGGTGGGGGAATCACCATCACAAATTTGCCGTCCTCGTGGGTGTTGTTCGCGTCTTTCGCGTTCGGGGTGAAATACCCCGCTTTTGCCCACCAGTCGTCCCAACTCGCCTCTACCGCGGTGGGCTCGTAGGCGTTGGCCATCGGCTCCGCGAAGGATTTCTTCTCACCTAGATGAATCATTTTTCCATGCCATGGATATCAAGTTTTTTTGCACGACGAAAAGCGTGGCAGCAGATTTATTTTTCCGAGAACTACGCATCAAAAACAAGCATAAGCTGCACAACTGCTAGTAGGGCCGCCAAACCAAGACAAACCACACAACTGTGACGCTGGTCTTCGCTGTTCCTTTACAACTACTGCTTCTATGTAGTAAAAGTAGTGTTTTTACCTTTTGGCGTCTTGTTCACAAACGGCACTTTAACCGCCTCCTCCACTTTTTTCTCCTTCTTTTTCCCCTCGCCCCACACGGGCTTTTCTTTTTTCACCTTCTCTACCTTCTCCTTTTTCTTCTTACCCTGCTCTCCAGCATTCTCTGCTGCTTCTGCACCGCCGGCGGAACCTGTTGCTGATGCTGGCTTGTTTTGTGCTGCCGTTGCTGGCGCTCCGAGCTTTGCTGGCACTGTTGTCCCTTGTACGGCCGTTGCAGACGTCTGGACGCGGGCCTGAACCGCGGAAAATAACTCGTCTTTCACGATCATGGCTTTATTTGTGATGGGGAAAAACAATTGCAACGTACTACGAATAAATAAATGCTGTCGTTGTGCTGTCGCGAAAAGCCGCGGTATTTTTAGCGGTCCTTGTTTAATACAATAGTAGTACTTTGCGCCGCTGCAAAGCGGAACACTAGTATTAGGTGTTCTACTTCTCGGCGGGGGCAGTCTAGAAGTCGTGGTCGTGGTAGCACTGGGGCAAAAATACAACTTCGGAGATAAAGGAATTTTGCGGCTCGTTTTGGGCTAGTAGAAGACTAGGTGATACAACAAATTGTGCTGAGGTGCCTGGCTCTACGAGGATTTTTTGTCAGCATGTTGGCTCATTCGAACTTTTACTGTATGCGTTTTTACCACTACTAGCGTAAGTAGTTGTTTTGATTTTTGTAAAGGCGAAATATCGAACTGGATCTGGTTGCTGGTACAACGAGCAGGTAGGATCTCGTCCTTGCTAGTGTTGGATCATCTTGCCTCACGATCACAAGAACTTCAACTTCTTCTCAGTTCAAAAACAAAAATTGAACTTGAAGGAGGCACCAGAAGAGAAGATAGATCGCGATCGTTCTTTATTGGAGGCGGTAGGTGTGCTTAGTAAAGGATCCACCTTCTACTTCGCAGTCTTTAGTAGCAAATAGACCAGGAGCTGTTGCGTGCTGTATCTTTTGCAGACCTGCTTGCGCATGAGTCTACTAGTAGAGGTAGGAGCACCAGCTACGCTTTATTCATTACGCTGGCGATGTAGTAGTTTTTTCCATCGATCGTCTTGATCTTCGCTAAGGTAGAGAACTTTCATCTGCCTCCACGAACTAGTACTATGTTCAAAGCTGCCATCAACAAGATAGACTCGGTTGAATGCCAGCAAAAGTTGTTTTTGCGGCAGCCTGCGCACGTATTTTCTATTTCTACCGGAGCTGAATCATCTTCAATCATGATGCGTTGAGCAGCACCATCAAGCAGGTTTCAGAGATTTTTCAGTTCTGGGAGAGCCGGTGAAGAGGAACAGGTTGGTATTGCATTGGATTCAGTCACATCTCATCAAACTCGACTGTGCAAGCACGAGGGACGAGGAGTGGAACTTGATATGAGTCTTTTTTCGTTCGTTATCGTTTGGTACAAAAGAAATCGAAGTATGATTCATTTTCATTCTGCTCTTTGTCTTTACAAAACAGCTCGGCACGCAGCTGCACAGCGACAGCATTATACAATTTTCGGAAGTCGTGCCGCAGCTTGTGGACTCGAGCACCAGAAGTTGTTTTCGTCAGACTATGAAACTGAGAAATTCTACAGTCTCCACCGTTCATTTTGAAAACTCTAAAACGCTTTTTGTTTCGAAGACTTGAGTAATGGAAGTTTTGTTATCGCAGCACTACGAAAATCGCGTAGTAGAGTGAAAGTGTTGGTTCATTTTGATCACTTTTTCGATTAGCAGAGAGCGACAGGAGCAATGAGGCGGGTCGTCGTGCAGGTTGAAGTTATTGTTATATCGGTATTCTATTCTACTTTTTCAACGCACTTCCATCCTGCTTCCCGACCTTCTGAAGCTACCGCCAGACCCGGCCGTTGTGCTGCCTCCGTTTATCATCGACAAACCGACGTCCTCTTCCGCGTTGGGTGCTATGACAGTGCACAACTACTTTCCCTCCCCCTCATTTGTAAAGCACGAACGGCAATACAAGCATCAACAAGAGTGCCGGTTTTGCATGACAAATTTGCATCACATGAGTGTCTCCTTAGGCTACCACAACTTGCCATGTAAGCGCTACCAAGAAACAAAGGGTGGATTGGGTATTTTGCATGACAAATGAGGGAATGGAGGGGAGTTATGCATTGTCATAGATGCTTCCGCAGAGTCACTCTCCCGCAACACCAACTCGTCCTTTATCAGCTCCTTTTTCCCCTCATTTTCCTCGTCCTCGTTATCGATCGCACTCATGCCCCGGCTGCTCGCGACGAAATAGGTCACCCTCCTTTGCAGCCTTTCCCGCATATCACACAGAAAAAAAAGCTGCTAACACGTCATGGTCAACTACATGTGATGCAAAAATGAATACCAATACGTATCTATAATAGTATTGCCACGTATCCTTCATCTACACAGCACGCGTATAGGCTCGGCTATGGCGGATCATTTTTGATTTTTGCATCACAGATTTTTGATATGGTGTGCTTCGCTTTTTTCATCTGTGGGATACCGCATGGAACGGCAGGTGACGCCCGGTTTTTTCTTCATGAAGTATCGTTCCTTAAATTCCAGCGCGTTCTCCGTTTGAAACCCGGTCTATGCATCACAAAAGCATCGTGGCTGAAGTAGTGTGCAAAATTTCGCATCACATCGGAGGTCTAAGGGCAGTCCGTCCCTGTGCCTTTTCTAGGCCTACTAAAACCAATAAATCGCGACTACGTAGTGTAAACTTCTACTGAAAAGCTAAATTGGAAAACTTAGTAAGGCTACTTCTACGTAAGCGCTTGTAAATAAGTACGCGATCAAAAAAGGTTTTGGCATCGCATAATTGTTGCCACCACAACAAGTGCGAATACCGCATCACATCGGAGGTCTACGGGCAGTTCGTCCCTTTGCCATTCAGAGGCCTACTAAAGCCAGTATATGCTAAGCTACCTCGTAACGTAAACTTCTACGGGAAAACTAAATCGGAAAAAACTTAGCATTGCTACTTAAGCGCTTGTTTTGTTGAAAAGGGAATAGTCATGCGAGGTATATCCGTTTTTTAGTGATGGGATTTATATTAAATCCTTGTCGTGCTGCTATAGCAGGAACTACTTGCACGATACTTTTGCAGCGGATACGTTTGGATCTTTGTCAATCTCTTCACTGTATTTCGACGTCGATCCTATCAAATGCAAAAGTGTCTGCGTCTGGAAGGTTGGAACTTGTGATGCCAACTTTGGACTCTAAAAAAATCTGTATTGCATGACCCGCAAGAGGAGTCTAGTTCTTTGTGCTACGCGGGGAGGGCGTCTGTCATGCGGAGTAGGCATGATCAGTAAGCCCTCTAGAAAATCTGTGCCGCTAGGTCGTGCATTACAGACATCCTGGGTCATGCAAAACATGCATGACAACTCTCAGAATCTTCCAGACCCAGACATTTTTGCATTTGATAGATCCGGGCAACAGCCCAAACGTCCGGTGCATTGCGACTACAATGAGTTCCATCTCCGGCTTCGTAAACACGAGCTGGCAGGGAATTTGCCCCACGTCGTCGTCCTGTAGATCCACTTGATCCTTCAACACGTCAAAAAAGTTGACGTCAAAAGTCGGCCGCCAGAAGTGCGTGTAATCGTGGATGAACCTGGTTTTCGTTTTTTATGTTTGTTATTCGTTAGGAAGTTGTCCTATGAATGCGCTTTCGCATCACAGAATGATATCCGGATTCATCACCAGCCTGTCATGCACAGCAGCGAGAAGAAGTGGAACATTTGCTTCGTACTGTTTCATCCATGATCATAGAAGGAAGTACTTAGTAGTACCCCATGCTGCTCTTAAAAGCCAGCTTCTGCTTTGCATTCCGCTGCATTCGGACATAGAGTCTCTCCACTAACTCTGCCGTCAAAAACGCGTCCCGCACTTCAGCCGGCATCTTGTACTCTGCGACGAAGTGCTCGCGCTCGTTGAGGCGCCGCCCGGATACTGTTGTTTGATGGAATACGAATATCTTTTATTTTTTCAGAAGCATCAAAACCCTCCGTCTTTTCATACTTGCGTATCCACAAACCTTTCCGCATGACAAATGCACACGGTCTCTGACGGCAAAAGAGGATTGGAACATTGAAATGAATATATCGACATCATCAAAATACACATCCCGGGCTCCGTTTTCCCTAGTAAGTCCTTTCCCGCTTCGGCAAATCGGACCGGTCGTTCGACTTGGACGTACGTCTGTAGTTCCTTCAGCATTAACCCTTCTGTTTGTTCGAAAAAGTGCGACGCCTGCTTCTATGCAATACAAATTTCCCCATGGCATGTACAAAATACATCACAAATTTCGCCAACAACTTAGGGCACACAGTTTGCCATGCTGAACAGGATTGAAAGGAACAAGCTTTGTCATGCAGCAACGGCATTTGTACTTGTACGGTTGGAAATTAACTGTGGATAGCTTCAGAAAGGGTTGCATCAGGCTCAAGTGCGTGCGAAACTTCGTCTGGATGCACTTCACGTGCTCGAAAAACCGCTTCAGGCCCTCTATTATCGGCACGGTATCCTGAGTAAAAACGTACCCACACCAGAGTTGTAATGCAAATCTGCATGCTGAAAATGTTTCTCATGCGGAGCCCCATGAGTAGCATTTTCTAGTCGTGTTTTGCAATTTGTCATGCTCTAATCAGCATGGTATGCTAGATCTGTGATGCTGCTGAGGTAGCTCAAACAGCACTACACTACGAATCCAAATTTGTCATGCAAAACAGCCAAAACTTGTGGATTTGTCTAGCCGATTCCCCATCTTGACTCTGGTGTGGGTACGTTTTTACTCAGGATACACGGACGGGGTTGTTCTCGCGAGGAAGTTTACCAGCCTTTGCGCGTGGAACTTCTTGATCCTTGGTTTTATCAGCAACCGGTATCATATATGCATTGCAAATACGTCTGGGAGGTGGTGTGGAAACTTGTGATGCGAAACTTCAAGGAAAATCATATCTGTGATGCACGACGTCCGAATAGGATTGACCAACTTTTTTGTCATGCTGGATTATAGCAGTTTCTCATGCTTAAATCGAACGAATATGCAAGAAGCTGAGGAAAACTTGTCATGCTGTTAAGCCGAGCAAGCGGGTAGTGTGCGACGCAAGTAGCAGCAACACAAGTTTCGAGATGTACGTAAGGGAAAATGTTCCACCGGCCCCAGTTTTCCACAAATTGAAAAAAAAAAAAATCGCTCCGTCTCCTCCGGTAGTGGCTGACGTTGTGCGTCACCTTGGTCCACTTTCCCAAGTTCCTCGTGGCCGCGCATCCGGGTTCAATGATATGCAATGCAAAATCTGAACTAGCTAGCGGCGCACAATAGTAACTAGATTAAGACTAACACTTTGAAGATGCGTGTAGCTTTGTCCTATTTTCTAAGACAATTTTCTGTAGCCCGGCAGGATGAACCGTCATGGAGGTCAGCAAGGCGGACGCTCCGAGCAGCGGCCAGCGGTGTAGACGTTGTAGTGCGGATACCTCGTCCCGAAGCGCAGCAGTTATTGTTCGCCGAGGTTCATCTGGACGGGCCTCTGTGGGACCTTGTGCGGCAAGATCTCCGCATCCGGATCTGGTGGCGGTCGGGAGGCAGCTAGCGAGCAAGAACAAACGAAGAAACAGCGACGACTGGCGCAATGGCCTTCCTTCTCCGACCAATGCGCGGCCACTTCATTGCATGTCAGCAGCAGCTGCCTACGCCCCAAAGCCCAAAAATCAGCAGAATGGAGCGGCAGGAAGATCGTAGTGGGCACGATAGCAAACCAGGGCCCTGCAATATCGATCACGATCGCGCAGCCTTCAGGAAATAGAATCGCCGCGCTTGAAGTCACAGGGCGGAAGGTCTCCGGCGCTAGTAGCTACAAAAACCCGGAACGCGGTCCGCCAAAGTGAGGCCCTTTTGGCCGGGGCCGATACAAGGCCCAACACCAATCACAGCACGAGCCGCAACACCAACAGGCCAGAGGCGTCAAATGTTGCGCATTTACAAGAAGCACCTTCAGGCCGTGCCAAGTGCCCCTCTTGGAATCACCAAAGAAGCCACCGGCCTGCTAGAAGATAGTCACCCAAAAAGCACTGCTTTGCACTTGTCTAGGTTCGTAGCAGCATGAAACTTCTTGCGCGCCATATGAAACGGGGGCGCGGCCGCGACAAATTGAGGCGGAGAAACGGAAGCAGTTCATGCACATGCTGGGCCCGGGGATCAGCGTTCTGGCGTCCCTGAAACAGGTCGGGAGCCCCTTCTCTTTTGCCCCGGCCGGCTCGTCGTTCGAGTTGGCGACGACCTTCCGAAGACCGCCGATCGTGCTGGAGCTGGCTGGTGGGGTGAAATTGGGCTCAGCGGCCCATCGGGATCGTCATCCTGAGCAAGCCCGGCCGCATCCTGTTGCGCAGCCTGCCCTCCTGGTTGCGCCGCCTGCTGCCGCTGCGTGTCGTTCTCGTCGACGCCGATTGCGTCCCCGATGCGGGCCGAACCCACAATGGCCTTCGCTATGATTGCCAAACACAGCGCCCGGCTTTTTTTCTGCCACCTTATTGCGCGGCAGCCACCCCACCGCCCTGCCTCCGCGCCGCCGCACAAGATGGGGGCGGCTGTGTGCGGGCTCATGAAAATAAAGAGGAGTATGACTGCGGCGCGAAAATGCCACAGGGCGACGGGCGCAGGGGGCGCAGACTCCGGCCGGCCCGGGCCGCGCGGGGGGCGCAACAATTTGCCGCGCCAGGGTAGCCAGAAGCCGGCGCGCGGCATTTCGGCGCCGGAGGGGCCGGCGCCGAAGGAGCCGAAAGCGAAAAACCGAGACGAGCCGAAGGGCCCCCGCCTCGCCAGTCTCCCCCGGGGGTCTCGCGATTTTTTTCGTTTCTTGTGGACGTTTTTGAATAAGGACCTGAGTCGGTCGATTTTGTGGCCATTTTGGGCGCCCCGAACCGGGTCGAATTTGCCCAATTTCCTCGTGAGTGTCCAGGGGAGGTCTCCGGGGTCGCCGGTAACCAACGTTGCCAAGAACTGGAGGCCCCACCGAGTCGCCTTCTGCGCGCCTTTCGCGCGACTTTGATGCCCACGCGGTCAGGCAAAGGCCACTGGCGTCTCGGGCAAGGCGCCCAAAAAATGGCGCCCGGGGTGGTGGGCCGGCGAAATCAGGTGGCGCGGGGCTGCCTGGGGGTTTTGTGTTCTCTAGGGTGCCTAGGTCCAGCGTGGCAGTTTTGGAAAAGTGGGACGCGTGCCTGTCTTGAGTGCGTCCTTTAAGTCTTGCCACCCTCCCTCCCGCGTTATGTCCTGGCGCCTGTTTGGGAGAATTCCCACCCTTTATGCTGCGCAAAAGTGTCTGCCACGGGGGAGCTCCTTCTAGGCATGTCATGCACAGTCTGCATTGCGGAAAAATCTGCCATGCATGTCTTTCGGAGAGGCATAGCCCCCGGAGAGCACAAAGTCGGCCCATCTGGGGCGGTAGCGCGCTACCGGGGTGGCAAAGGGATTCTCGTCGGGCGGGGGGCCCTCGAGGGTGGGGTCATTCGGCGTCCGGTGTGGCCAATTTTCTAGCAGCAGACACTGTTGCCGTCCTTGTCTCGAGTCGCTTTCCGACTCTTTTGCGCGCGTTTTTCCAGTATTGGTAGGTCACCCCATTGCTGAAGCCCTTTTCGTATTTTTCTCGCGGCGGCGTGTAGCGTCGTATGTTGTGCAAAGGTGCTGCGCAGGTAAGGTGGCCTGGTTAACGCTCTGCGGCTCAGGAGCCAGCTCTGTGCCACTGCGTGCGTTCTCCTATGGCTGGCCCACCATGCGGAGTCAGTTCCTATACCTGTGCAGCATCTTTGCAAAGCATAGCGCGACACTTTCGAGCTCTTGCTGCAGTGGTTGTTGCTGCGGTGCATCCGCCCGAGCTGCGGAAACGCCCGCGCGGTTCCGGTCACCTCCAGAGTGTGTTTCCATTCGGAACTGTTCTGGTCCGTCAGACCGACACAAATTCAGTGGCCACTCTTTGGGTCACAGAGTGGCGCACCCGGGGGGGCCTCGCAAGAGATCTTGTCCTGCAGTCCGGGGACATAGGTCCCAAATATGCCCAAGCAGGACAGGGGCTTTTTCTTTGTTGGTTCTAGGTGCGTCCTGTTGCCTGTTGCCACCGTGAGGAGCATGCTACGAATCGAGCAACACAGGCACTAGTGGTTTGGGCTTTTCAAGTTCATCGCCGTCATTGGGTGCAGGGAGATCTACAATTATGGCGACAGTGCTGAGGTACTCATCTACCCACAACCAACGGCGAGCCATTGGCAGCAGATCTGCGAGCATGTTTGCTGTGTCGAGACGCGGCATCGAAACGGCCTCGCGACGACGTACTGCAGCAGACGAAACCGGCAGCCTCCATCCCGCCGGAAAATCTGGAAGCCGAAACCGGAGAGGTGGAGTGGATCCGGAGCCGGAGGTGCTGCGGTGTCGTAGCTCTAAAGCCTTAAAGTTAGCGTATCTATTGTGCGCCACTAGCTAGTTCAGATTTTGTCTTCCATAAAACAACTCCGAGGCCGCGGAATGGGAGTCGACCTGGGTTGCCGGAATCGAATGCCGCCCAGCGAGTCCCCTGCTATGCGATACATATGTTGAAAAAAATTTTGCATTTTGTGGAAAACTGGGGCCGGTGGAAAATTTTCCCTTACGTAAGATGCTGACCCAGACATATTTACATTTTCTACCGCACCCGCGCGATCTTAAAGAGAAACCGGAACACCTTTGTACCGCGCACTGCACGCTTCAACTTGTGGATAAACCGAAATACCCGAACCATGGCGCACCACCGGCCCTCGTTGTACCGCTTCCGCGCGTCGGGGGAATTGTTCAGCAGCAGACGGTGCATGATAGCTGGAGTGGGAAAATGAAATTTGTGAAATTTCTACTTTCGTTTTGCTATTGCTTTTGGAACAAAAAAAAAACAAAGACAACTTTACAAGTACATGCGAAGCTCTGCTGCAACATGAAGGCGGCCCATCTTCGTATTCTCCATTCCTCGTCTAGAACTTCCTCATCCCCGGCGGCGGGCTTTTTTCCAAACTGCGCAAACCCGGGGATCATGGTCATCATCAGATTCGTCCTATGCATTGCAAACATCGTCGATCTGGGTCTCGATTTGTGATGCGAAGTTTGAAGGACAACCATATTGTTCATATCTGTGATGCATGCTGTGGAGGAACTATGGCGATAATATTCTTTCCGATGCATGATCAAGAACTGGGAGCTAGTTTGTGAAAAATGCTCTTTGCACAGTTTTCCGGAGAACGACCCTGACATCATGTTTGCACCAACCATACTTCCCACTGGGTCCAGAACCCCCCGCGCCGGTGTTCAGCAGCAGCCCCTTCCTGGCGTATTTTCCCTCTTCCTGCAGGTAGGCCATCTTGTTCAAGTAAGAAACCCCGCTGTTTATCACACCCTCCATCTTCTCCCGTTTAGCTGAATTCAAATTCCGGGTTACCTGATAGTTATTTTCATGTTTGATGAGATGATGTTGATCTCCAAACTTTATTTCACGTATAGCATACGTTAAATGCGATCACTTGCGATGCAGAGATGACCCGCATACTGTAGTACTGGGCTTTTGTCATGCAGAAAAACGGATGCACGGCAAGAGTACGGAAAAAAAGCTCGAATTATATTTATACCCGTAACTCCTTGTGGAACCGTTCCTGTTTTATCTTCGCGTAGATCTTTTCCCTTTCGCTCAGCTTGAACTGGTTTATGCACTGCAAAAGCACTCCTCTTTGCACCAAAAACTACGACCTGTGCAGCACTCATAGTGTGCAATTTGTAATGCTAGTAACTCCGGTAATATCAGCATAAGTTTAAGTACTACAAGGCAAAATTCATCTGTCATGCAGTATCTTTGCAAAAAGTTGCGCCATGTCTTTCGTTTTTGTGGGAGTTTTTTTGCAGAGGATATGGTTCGTTTTGTTTTTATTTCGCGAAACGTAGTCCGTTAGCTGCCCGTCGCTCGGGGCGGTTTGTGGTCACTTATGCATTTTTGCAAACGTGTCTGGGAGGTCTGGAAGGATGCGAACCTGTGATGCGCATTTCACAGCACGCACAAACCTCTCATGCATAGGCAGCAAAAGTTGCTCACTTCCTGGCACCGAAGTGGACGTCGATTTGTCATGCGGATTAGGCGTTGCGAAACCTTCTCAAGACCTGTGATGCTAGGGCCGGCTTCCATGCCAGACCTTCCGTGTCATGCAAAAACAGCATGGCAGAAATCTGCATTCTTCCAGACCCAAGCATTTTTGCATTTGATATCGCTGCTTCAAGTCAAATTCCATCTTGACCCTCTCGAGAAGGCATCAAATGCAAATAGGTCTGGGTCTGGAAATTTGTGATGCTAGAATGTGCATGACAGAAACGCTCCCTCATGGAGGACAGCGTGACAAGTTTGCAGAGCGCTTCCTCATACGCACTCCGCATGAGAAACTGCGTTGTTGTATGACAAGAGAGGCTGCGACTTTTGTTGGTCATGCAATACAGATCTTCTCACAGGAATGCAAGACCAGCATTACAAGTTCCAACTTTCCAGACCCAGACATATTTGCAATGCATAGAAAGGACGGGTTACCCAATCCGAGACAGGATTTCTGGATTTTCTCCACGTCCACCGTTTCAGTTACGTCGTTGCTCGAGGCTGCCCCCTTGTTGCTGGTTTTGTTTCCGTGCTGGTCGAGGATTTTTATGGGTAGCAACTGCCCAGAGGGTATCCTGTGAAAAAACGTCCCCACCCCAGAGTTGTCATGCAAACCTGCGTGCCTATAATGTTTCTCATGCGCAGACCCATGAGAAGCATTCCCTAGTCGTGTTTTGGAATTTGTGATGCGCGAATAAGCGTGATATGCTAGATCTGTGATGCTTCTGAATCTGAGCCAGCCAAACCGGCATGCACTACAACATGGCCAAACTTGTCATGCGCAACAACCAAAAGTGGCTGATTTGTCTAGCATATTTCCCATCTTGACTATGGGGTGGGAACGTTTTTTCTCAGGATAGAGGGGGAAAAGGCTAGAGACTTCGGGCTCGCATCCGCACCCGCCGCGTTCGCTAGTTTAGCCGCCTTCTGCCGCTGCAGTTTCAGCCGGACCTCCGCGCGGATTTTCGCGTTTCTTATCGTGTGCAGATTGTGGAAGCCAAAGGATTCGCCCTCGATCTTTACTTCCGGCTCGGTTATGCAATGTAAATTTCCCGCATATGTACAAAATGAGCATGACAAATCTTGCTAACTTGCAGTGTCCAACTTGTCATGCTAGACTAGGACTGAAGGCAAGTTTTCTCATGCAGAGACTGCATTTGTACGTCGTGTACGGGAAATTTACTGTGGATATCGGCATCGTCGTCTTTACTCCCCCCGCCCGCGCCGCCCGGCGGGTTCGAACTGGAGGCGGCGCCACCCTGTTGCTCCATTTTATTTGTGATGTACTAGTTCTGCGTCTTATACCCTTTCTCGGTCGAGAAGAGCAGATACTAGTTGCGGCTGACAACCGTGGTGATGAAGTAAGGTTCTACCACGCTATCAAAATTCTTGTTCTACTTGAGGTTCTAGAGAACTAGTCCTAGTGTTTCATCTTGTTTGTTGCATAAGTTAGTCAACTCTAGTTCTTCATCAACCAAAAGCAAAACAAGACTACTTGCAGTTGCTAGATAGTACCAATTGCGATTTACCCACCTGCCTGCCACAAACAACATCGCTCACGAACAAATCAACTGTGGACGCGACGCGATCGGAAAGTAGAACCCTCTCCAAGTATAACTTCATCTGGTTACTGAGGCTGAACAAGAGCAAGACACAACGACGACGACCACGTGTAGACGTAGGACTACCAGTAGACCTCGACCTGTAACTGAAGACGCTCTAGTACTGTGGTTCTTGTGCCCTCGATCGATATCTAGACTGTCGCGCGTTCTCCAGCCTCCTCACAGTTTCATTAACATCGTGGATTCCCACGACGTGGAGGGGGCGAGATTTTACATTACTAATTTCACCAGTAGTACGACTTCTAATTCGACCAAAATGACGCTATCGACCACTACGAGTACGAAGAGGAAATAAATATTGAGAAGAAATAACGCCACAACCGGTCATGATGCTGGATGCGTAAACGATAAAAACGATCATACGAAGTCGAAGCGATTACTTCCACACAATCAAAAATGAACAGCCACCAGCAAACCATCGTCCGCACACGAAGGGTCAAAAATGGAGTAGGCGTGGGCCTGCGGGCCTAAATTCCGGTGGGTTGGTCGGTTGGTTGGTTGGTTTTGGACAGACGACATTTGACCGAATTTACGAAGTATGGAGAAAAATCCCTGCTCGCTCTTGGCGAAGAGCGGAAAACCATGCACCTGTCGCGGAGACAATAATCTCCTCGAAAAGATTATTGTCTCCCCGACAGGTAGATGGTTTTTTGTGGAGATTATTGTCTCACTCGCCGATACGTAGAGGTCGGAAATTGAAAATCGGAGCCCTGCCCTCGGGGGTGGGGCGGCTCCACGGTTTTGAATTTAGAAGACAGCCGCAACGGCAAGGAGGGCGAAACACGATAAGGGGGTGGTCGGGGCGCGCGGCGCACCTGCCTCCCTACCGGGGCTGCAGCCCGCCGCTGCGAGGCAGAGTGCGATGTGTCCACGCAACACAGACGCCAATCTGTGTTGCGCGGACGCCAATCTGTGTTGCGCGCACCACAAATCTGTGCTGCGCGCAGCTCGCCGCAGACACAAATCTCCGCTACGCGTAGCACAAATCTGTGTCGCGCACAAATCTGTGCTGCGTGTTGCGCACAAATCTGTGTTGCGTGGACGCAAATCTGTGTTGCGCGCAGCAAAAATCAGTGTTGCGCGCAGCTCGCCGCGAGCACCAATCTGTGTTGCGTGGACGCAATCGGAGCTCCGGGGGGCCTCGTGAGAATTTGCGCGAGATAGAAAGAGGTCGGGGCTCCAGTGCTGCATTTTTCTCCAGCCGCGACCTGCGTTTCCTCAACAGCCACCAGCAAACCATCGTCCGCACACGAAGGGTCAAAAATACCAATATGCAGCTAAGCAAACCACTGTGGGTTTTTTCAACAACGGCGGCCACTCCAGCAAGAAGTGAGGGCGTAGACCACGTGGTCTCAAATCGATTGCAATTCTAGTTTACGGTTAGTATAAAGTGTGTGTGTTTGTTGTTCGTTTATTTTCTTTTCATCAAACCCAAATTTTTTCGGGTTTCAGCATCAAGGTTTCTCGGTGCGATAGTTTTACGCTGTACCGATTTTCCTCGTTCACCCCGTCTTCACTCGCTATCACCCCAAAACAACCGTTCAAAAACGGCTTCGCCTGCAGGTTCTGTATCACCACCGGCGTGCCCTTCGGCCACTTGATCTTATGCAGCGGAAAACGGAATAAACCATTGTACATACTACTACGCGTAATTTTTGCATGCTAAATTTCAATTCTTTTTCGGAGACATAAGAACTGTGACGCAAATTCAAGTAAGAAGGCGCATCTGTTGCCAGACTCAGACTGCAAAAACTACAAGTACCACGAGTAGTTGTACGACACTTTTATTTATTTCACCGGATATATTTGCGAGGGTAGCAAAAACTCCTTCGTTTTTGCTTTCACGTACCCCGTATCAAATGTAAAAATGTCTGGGTCTGGAAGAATTCAAGTTTGTCATGCTTGTCTGGCATGACTCTTAAATCTGTCATGCACGTTAACAAAGAGCCCCACTTTTCTGTCATGCAGAAACGTAGTTTGTCATGCAGAATAGGCAACACCTAGAAGCTCAGAAACTTGTCATGTTGAGCCAGCAATTGTTGCCTCCTCATGAAATGCCACACAGCATCACAAGTTTCCAGACGCAGACATTTTTACATTTGATACCCCGTTTCCCGTTCCGCGTCGACCGGCTGCGCCACCTTATGCACTGCAAAAATGTCTGGGTCTGGAAGGTTGGAACTTGTCATGCTAAATCTGAATCGCGCAAAAATCTGTGTTGCATGATTACCAAATGCTGCCCACTTTTGATCAAGTTGAGAGGCAGTTTCTCATGCAAGATAGGCATGATAGTGATCTCACGGAATCTGTCATGCTAGGTCCTCCATTACAGATCATATGGGTCATGGAAAACCTGCATGACAAGTCGAGCAAAGTTCCAGACCCAGACATTTTTGCAATGCATACACCTCTGAGGAGTGCCACGAAAAGTGTTCGACTTTCGTGGCCGACTCAGTATAATCGGGCTCATTTGTCGGTATGGTTACCGGAAACAAGTTCCTCCGTCTCAACGCGGTCAAAGGTTGATTTGCAGCAGCGCTGAGATTGTTCTCTTCCGTGAGCTCGATGATTTCCACTAAGACCCGAACATCCTGCCCCTTGTAGTTGTACCCTCGCACCTTGGCAAGCTTCCCGTTCAGCTCCTGCCGGGCCTCGAGGAATAAAATCTTGCAGAAAGATATCGCAAGAAAAAAGTGTTACAGTTACACATGGTGTTGCAGGCCCAGTATGACAGACAACCTCTGTCATGCCAGAAATGCTTTTGAGCCTCGTTTCATACGTGTTTTCCCTTATGATCTTTGCATTCCAAGTTCTCTTTCTCATGCGGAGAAAATTTGTGTTGCTAAAATGACAGCGAGTGTGTAACTGTAACACTTTTTTCTCGTGATAAAAGAATCCAGGGGCAGAGGGCGGGACCCGGCGAGGGCGCAGGTTTCCAGCGTGGACTGTAAGTACTTCTTGACCACTTGGTTCTCCAATTGTAAACTCCCACCCGAGGAGTTCTGGTCCACCGACTGCGCATACCGGATCACGTCCTCCCGGAGCCCGGCTAGGCAACTCCCCGCATCATCGTAGTTGGAGATGAGATGGATGCTGGGAATCCCCTGCACGCCGTATTTGATGCACATCTGGTCGCGGAGCCCTGCCTTTGCAAAATCGACCGCGAGCCAATCGTGCGGCATTTCCTGTCCGAAATACTGCTGAAATTCCTGGTCCGATTTGTCCCGCGAAACAAACACGATCCTGACCGTGCCCGGCGGAAACTTCTGGGAGAACTGGGCGACCAGGGGGGTAAACTGCCGGCAGGGCGGACACCAGTGGGCGGAGAAGTAGAAGATAACCACTTCCCCTTTCTTCAGCGAAACCTGGTCGGCGGTTTTGGAAACCACTTTCCCCGCGAGCTTCTCCTGGAAGGTCAAGTGGGGAAAAAACTTGTAGATGATGTGGCTGTTGGAAGCTGCCAGGGGGTCGACCCCTTTATTTGATGTGGAAGCCATCTTGGGCTTCACTTTAGTACTGTACTACACTACGAATCCAAATTTGTCATGCAAAACAGCCAACACTTGTGGACGTGTCTAGCCGATTCCCCATCTTGACTATGGTGTGGGTACGTTTTTACTCAGAATATTTCATTATGTTTGCTCGTAAGTCCTAGGAATGCGTCTTTGCACCATAGACTGATAAGATCATAACATATGCGTACTCATCACCAACATGTCATGCGCAGCAACGAGAAGAAGTGGAACATTTGTGTCCCTGTCCTGCTGTACTGTTTCATCGTATAGAAAAACTTACTTAAGTACCCCATGCTGCTCTTAAAAGCCAGCTTCTGCTTTGCATATGGCCAACTTAGAGCACACAGTTTGCCATGCTAAACAGGATTGAAGGGAAGCTTTGTCATGCATCAACGGCATTTGTACGTGTACGGGTGGAAATTAAATGTGGATAGCTTCAGAAAGGGTTGCATTAGGCTCAAGTGCGTGCGAAATTTCGTCTGAATGCACTTCACATGCTCGAAAAACCGCTTCAGGCCCTTTTGAAGAGAAACCGGAATCTTGAAGAGAAACCGGAACACCTTCGTTATCAAAATGAAAAATCCCCCCACCCCATACTCAAACTAGAAACTTGTGATGCAGATTTGTGGTCACAAATCAGCTTTGTCATGCTAGAAGGGAAAAGATGCGAGCTGTAGTGCTGGTTGGCGTGGGAATAAACCTTCGCATCTTCAGCATGACAGGGGGCAGCTGGAAGTGGGAAACAGCATGAAAAATTGCCTGCAAACGAGGCCACAGCTGCGTCGGTCTCTTGGCCTTCTAGCATTACAAGTCGATTTGTGAGTGTACAACTCAAACACAGCATCACAAATTTCGTTTTCGATATGGGGACGAGGGGGGATTTATTTTCCTTTTGATATTCGTCCCGCGCACTGCACGCTTCAATTTGTGGAGAAACCGAAACACCCGAACCATGGCGCACCACCGGCCTTCGTTGTACCGCTTGCGCGCGTCGAGAGAATTGCTCAGCAGCAGACGGTGCATGATAGCTGGAGTGGGAAAATTTATGAAGTTAGAACTTGTCATTGTGAAATTTGTACGCTGGTTTTGCTTTTGGAACGGAAAAAAAGCAAAGATCTTTGGGCGGGAGCCGAACTGCTTCAGATTTCTCGGCAGCTTCGTCTGGCTGTGTTGTGTCCCGAGATCTGGGAAAGTTTCCAAATTTCGGATGTGGAAAGGGGTCGACCCCTTTATTTGATGTGGAAGCCATCTTGGTCTTCATTTAGCAGTGCCTCCGTTATGCACTGCAAAAGCATCGTACTAGTGTAAATTGCATTACAAATTTTGCCAGCATGAGAAATAAAATTTGTCATGCGGATTTACATTAAGAAAAAAATTTGTAATGCATGACTGCAATTACTACGAGTACGATACTTTTGCAGAGGATATCCGTTTATCATCGACAAACCGACGTCTTCTTCCGCGTGGGATGCTATGACAGTGCACAACTTTCCCTCCCTCTCATTTGTCAAGCATGAACAGCAATACAAGCATCAACAAGAGTGCCGGTTTTGCATGACAAATTTGCAGCACATGAGTGTCCTTAGGCTACCACAACTTGCCATGTAAACGCTGCCAAGAGGCAAAGGGTGGATTGGGTATTTTGCATGACAAATGAGGGAATGAAGGGTGAGTTGTGTACTGTCCTAGATGCTTCCGCAGAGTCACTCTCCCGCAACACCAACTCGTCCTTTATCAGCTCCTTTTTCCCCTCATTCGCGTGGTATGGTGAGTAAAAAGGTCCCCACACGACCAGAGTCAACATGGGAAATCTGCTAGACAAATCAGCAGGCTTTGGCTGTTGCGCATGACAGATTTGGGCTCGCAAGGTAGTCCGATGCTTAGCTAGTGCAGCAGCATCACAGACCTAGCACATTATGCGGATTTGAGCATCAGAAATCTCAATCATGGGTCTCCGCATGAGAAACATTAACATTTCCAGCAGCATGCAGATTTGCATTACAACTCTGGGAGGGTCGTGGGGACGTTTTTACAAATGATACGTGGTTTTCCTTCTTCACCCACAAATTCTTCTTCTTCAATTCCTCCTCCAACTCCCGGCGCACCAATATGGAATGCAAATCTGTCTGACTCTGGGTCTGGAAATTTGTGATGCTAAAATGTGCATGACGAAAACACCCCCTCATGCAGGAAAGCATGACAAGGTTGCAGAGCACTTCCTCATACGCGCTCCGCATGAGAAACTGCGTTTTTGTATGACAAGAGAGGCCTCGACTTTTGTGGGTCGACCCCTTTATTTGATGTGGAAGCCATCTTGGTCTTCCCTTTAGTACTGTTGATCTTAGGAACAGCAAAAAATCTTCGGCTTGAAGTATTACTTCAAAATGTCCGCTTAGGTCCTCAGGGGACCTTCGACCCACCCAGGTGGGTGGGCCTTAGGTCCCCTGCCCTAAAAATTATTACAAGATAACAAGGAGCCTAGACGCTCTGGTGGTGTCGGCCTACTGTTACACCACACGGCGCAACCCCCGGCGAATCACGACCGGAATAAGCGCACCGATACCGATACCAGCTAGCTCGGGCGTCTGCGCCCAACCAAAAAAGAAAGGTCATGAGTTCGGCTCTTCATGGAAAAAGGGGCGACGCCTCCCACCCCTTGGTCTGCCCCCGGTGGCGCGAGCTTTTAGCCCGAGCTTCCAACAACTAAGAAAAAAGTGAAGCTTCCAGACCCAGACATTTTTACATTTGATAGTAAATTCCTCCCGTCCAATCCGGCACCGCCGTGAATTGGAAGGAGCGGTAAAAGGAATTTCGGTACAGTATCACAGACGCACCTTTCGCGCAAAACCCGTACTTATGCGTATCGACGGAGATGGACGTGCAGCCGTATCCTGGGCAAAAGTACTATCGCTGCACTCGAAGTACCTCTAATCGCAGACATGCAAGACAAATTTCTTTTGCAAGGTAAAGCACCATGACAAATTCCATTTGTCATGCTCATGCTGAGACCCCTTTATTTGATGTGGAAGCCATCTTGGTCTTCACTTTAGAATATCACAGGAAAAAGTGTTAACGTTAACGGTTTTCACAGATTGCATTCATGCATCACAAATGTAGCCCAATATGCATGCTATGCATGACAAATTCTGACACGTCTTGTGATGCATTTCTGCATCACAAATTCCGTTAACGTTAACACTTTTTCTTGTGATATAGAAGTACTGTTGATCTTACAAACAGATAAAAAAAAAAACAGCTTGAAGTAATATAAACAAGCGTTGAAAGTCAAATGATCAGTCTACTAGGTGCTAGGGATGAGAGGAGAAAGCGAGCTCCACATAAGTGTGCCGTTGATCTCGAGGGGCTAAAAGTGATGCTGTATTGCAGCGGCAACCTAGTACAGAAAGCTAGCGCCGTGCGGGTTCTACAAACCAAAGAACGGAATTGCGGCGTCTTCTCGTCGTGCCTGGTTAAAAACAAAATCTAAATGGAAAGAAAACGAAAAAGTATACCGAGCAAAAAATGATTTTCATAGGCTTTTGAGGTCGTGGTCCTGCAATGTCAGGTGCAGCAGATGCAGAAGCAGATGTAAACATCAAGGCAAATAAGGGCAAAAGATGGCTCTCAGCATGTTGAACGTCTACGTCAAGGTCAACATTCTAAGTACAAACGTAAAAATAACAATTGTACTGGATCGCTAGACAAATTCGGACCCGGGAGCCGAAGCGTCATCTTCATGTTGATATCCTTTTCATCTCCTCACTGATCGAATGATGAAAAAGAACTATGTGCAAGATCATTGAGTACTAGTAGAAGAACATACGTCAGCTCTTGCATTCCGATTGCTGCGCAGGTGTAAGAGCAACTACGTGTGCGAAAGAGTTCTTGGCTCTCATCTTCATTTGCACCAGCTCTAGCCGGACACCTGGTAATCACGTGGACATCAATAATTCTTGCCACCTTTACCTACATCTTTGTTGTTCTTGTTCACAATCTTCGTGACTAGTAACACCAATCCCCGAAAAAACTCGACGTTCTCGCTTTATCAATCGATGTTTTCATATCACTCTGCCGTTGCCGCCGGACTTCTTTGTTCTGCCGGCGTGGTTCCTGTGGTGGTGGAGGAATTATCGCCTGATGAACCACCGCCACAGATTTCGGACGAAGTAGAAGTAGAAGTAGATGGAGACGTCACTGTTTTCTGCACCTTGTAACACGAATCCAGGTACACCTTGGTCAGGTCTCCCGCGAGCGAATTTGGGATACTGGCCGCCATTCCGTAGACGCCGGCCGCGGCTTTCTTGTTCCACGCTGGATCTGCAAGACAAATCTCCACCGACTTTTCCAAATCCGCAACGAACCGACTCTCGCTCTCCTTGGTTGTTTCGTCCAGCACATAATCGGCCACCGCCACCGGGAGCGTGACACACAGGTGAATGCTTGGTGGGTTTTGCAAGGAGTTCAAGTTCCAGTCGAATTTCTCCCGCATTATGCTCGCAATCGCGTAGATGTTCACTTCTTTCGGTTTTCTCGACGCCAGACACACGACGGAGGTGTCGCACTTCCCTAGCTGTTGCAGGTACTGGCAAATCAAAGGCCGTCGTGGTGGTGGTGGTCCTGGTTCATCTTCTGCTGGTGTACTAGTGGTTTTTGTTGCAGCAGCTTCCTGTATCTCCGCCTCGATCCTGCGTTATGCATTGCAAATATGTTGTCTGGGTCTAGAAAAGTGCAGGTGAAGTTTGTAATGCAAATTTTGCACGACCCAGAGTGTCTGTTATGCAAGACCCAGCATCACAGGTCGCGCTTTGACAGCCTCGCGATGTTGCCTACTCTGCATGAGAAATCCGCTCTGAACATGGCCAAAAATAGACAGCTTTTGCTGTTCATGCAATACAGATTTTTGTGGGCTCTGAAATGCGCATCACAAGATTCAACCTGCCAGTCCCAGACATGTTTTTTGCACTGCATATGCGTGCGCAGGCGACAATTTTTCCCGTGCACTCCACATATCCGTCTCTTCCAAACGAAACCAAAGCGGCGTAAGTGGTCGCCGCAATGCCGCCGTTCTATGAACTGCAAAAGTATCGTACTCGTAATCGTATAAATGCATGACAAATTCCCTCAGCATGAGAAATAAAATTTGTAATGCGGACTTACCTTGAGAAAAAAAATTGCAATGCATGATTGCAATACGAGTGCGATACTTTTGCACAGGATACGTTCCGGCTCCCGGCGATGGTGGGGGTCGCGTAAATTCCTCCCGTCCAATCCGGCACGGCCGTAAACTGGAAGGAGCGGTAAAAGGAATTTCGGTACAGTATCACGGACGCTATCAAAAGTAAAAATGTCTGGGTCTGGAAGATTTCTAGACTTGTCATGCAGGTTTTGCATGAGTCTTGATGTCTGTGATGCGTGCCCGAGCATCACAGATTTTTTGAGGGTTTGAGGGCTTCTTGATGCCTATTCCGCATGACAAATGCCATCTCCGCGTAGCAAAAATCACATTCCCTTTGCCGCTCATGCAATACAGATTTTTTTGCAATCCAAATGCAGCATCACAAGTTCCAATCTTCCAGACCCAGACATTTGTACATTTGATAGACGCACCTTTCGCGCAAAACCCGTACTTATGCGTGTCGACGGAGATGGAGGTGCAGCCTTATCCTGTGCAAAACTAGTCGCTGCACTCGAAGTACTTCTTATCGCAGTCATGCAAGACAAATTTCTTTTGCAAGGTAAATCACCATGACAAATTCCATTTGTCATGCTGAGTCAATTTGCAATGCAATCTGTTACTACTAGAAGTACGTGCGCGATAGTGCTTTTGAAGTTCATAAGCCGCGCAACTCGGCAAAAGTGAAGGGTTGACTGGTCTTGCCTAATCCGGCCAGCTCGATGAAAGGGAGTAAAAACCCGCCCAGACATATCACAGGAAAAAAGTGTTACAGTTGCACACTTGTTGAAGTTTCTGCATCACAAAGTTGCTCGACATGGCAAAGAAAACCTGTACCTGTGATGCGCAGACTACAATGGAAAACACGAACGAAATGAGGCTGGCATGCATTTCCTGCATGACAGAGGGTGTCTGTCTTGCTTGTCTTCCATTAGAGTGTGTAAACTGGAAAACACTTTTTTCTCGGGATAAGACACGCGTCCACGTGAAAGGGAATTTTGTTCGGCACGGCAATCTCGTCACTGATGCTCAACAACGGATCCATGGCTCCGTTCGGGTAGTTCGGGGCGGAGTTTCACATGCAAATATGTCTGGGTCCGGGAGAATGCAGATATTTGTCCTGCTCCTGCTGTTTTTGCATGACACAGAAGGGCTGGCATGGAAGCCCTAGCATCACAGGTTGCGAACAACAGGCATCCCAATGCCTAATCCGCATGACAAATCACCTCTTTCTGCATGACAAGAAGTCGTAGTCGAGCCTTTTGCTGGCCATGCATGACAGATCTTGGCATGATGTAGAAATTCGCATCACAAATTCGAACTCTTCCAGTTCACCCAGATATAAAATGCATTTGATACGGAGCCCACAACCGCGACTGTGTCCTCGTCGACCAATTTCTTCATTTCCGCGACGTTGACGCCTCCCGGAACTACTTTTCTGCAGCTCCCGGTCGAATCTACTACGTCTGCTTGTTCGCCAGCAGTAGCACCTCCCGCAACGATTCCGCACTTTCTTAACTTGATGCCGAAATACAGGGCCGCTTTGTCGAAGGCAGCGTGGGCGGTGTATGCATTGCAAATATGTCTGGGTCCTCTGGCAGGATGCGAACTTGTCATGCACATTTTGCAGGACCCGTGACGTCTGTGATGCTGGTGCTAGTGTCACAATCTTTATTTTGAGAGTGTCTTGATGCTACTTCTATACGCATGAGAAATGCCCTCATCTCCGCGTGCCAAGAACTACTGGATTCCTCTTGCTGCTCATGCAAGAACACAGATACTTTCAGAATCCGCAGACAGCATTACAAATTCCACTCTTCCGGATGACCCAGACATATTTGCAGTTGATACGGTGACAGGCAAGACAATGTTCGGAATCCGGGTGTTGCTGGGATCGGTTAGCTATTCTGTGCAAAAGCATCGCACTCGTACTAATTGCAAATCTGCATGACAACTCTTCTTCCAAACGTAAAACAGCATTACAAATTGCATTTTTCATGCTGAGCAAATTTGCAATGCAATTCATACGAAGTACGATGCTTTTGCAATGCATATTAGCTCGATGTTGTTCTCCGAAAGCCACTTATTCCGATACGACAGCATCGCCATCAAAATGGATTCCGTTCCCCCAGTGGTCAGAGATCCACACACGACGCATCGTAAGGAAAAATTCCCCCTGCCTATATCGAAAAGGAAGCCACAGAAAATTTGCGATGCTGATTTGTGACCACAAATCGTCTCTGTCTTGCAAGAAGGCAAATCCACGTGCTGCGCCGCATTATGCAGGTGGTTTGTTATGCTTTTGGGCCTACAGTGTGGACACTTGTAATGCTAGGCGTCTATGGAAAAACCTCGCCGCCCAGGGTTGGCATATGCCTGCAGTCCTCTACTGCAAGACAAATCTGATTTGTGTACGGAAATCCAGCATCACAGATTTCCGTTTCGATATGGGGAGGGGGGATTTTTCTTTTTGATACGAGGGTGGCACTGGTTTGTACTTCCTGACGTGACTGCTCTACTTTCCCTTGTTGACTAGTAGTTGCGCCGGTAAACGTATCCAAGAAAAAATCTGTGTTAGTGTAACTTTCTTTCTTTTTGGTTGGCAGCATCACAAATTTGCTCTACATGACAGAGAAAACCAGTCATGCGCGGATTGTCCAGGGAAAACACACAGGAAAAGAGGACATCATGGCTGTCTGGCATGACAGGTGTATACTCTGTTGCATGTTCTGCATCACAGAGTTACACTTACACAGTTTTCTTCTTGGATAAAACAGGTCGCCCACCATGGCGATCACTTCGGCTTCCAGCTGCCGGCAATTGTTGAACAAGTCGGAGTGGAGCGGGTTGGAGAGTATGAAATGCAAAAGCATCGTACTAGTATGAATTGCATTACAAATTTTTCCAGCATGAGAAATGAAATTTGTCATGCGGATTTACTAATGCATGACTGCAATTACTACGAGTACGATACTTTTGCAAAGGATAGAGAGCATAAACATCCCGTACGCTTCCTTCATCACAGTGTTCACATCAATCGCCAGTGCAGAGGAAGAGTTGTCTTTAGTTTTGCTCCTGGGTTCATCTTGTTTCGTGGGCATCTTGTTCAAGTCCGCGGATTGATAGTAGACGGCGCCGGATATTTTCCCGTTGTTCCAGTGGGCTTTGTCTTCGTCCGCTCGAGATTGCAGGAGTTGGAGGATCTTTTCCTTGGGAAGCCCCGCCGCTGGCAAAGCGGTGTAACAGGAGGAGGAGGAAGACGCTGAAGATGTTCTTACTCGCTCAGTGTTACTTCCTTGTTTCAACACTTCTCTTGTCGTTATAATTGTCGCGTCCAAGTTTTTGGACAATTCGGTGTCAAAGCCCGTTTCCATCTTCACCATCTCTTTCTCGATTTTGCTCCGCGTGCCGAACAGGTTGTACTTTTTGAGCACGTTTTGAAAAACCGCCTGGACCAAAAAACGCTCGTACACGTAGAATTTAGCCACTTGAAAAATGGAGTTGTTGTGATCCTTCAGCAGAGTCTGCATCGGCTTCCAGACGTGTTTGCGGATCAGAAACACCGCAAAGAGGAAGTTGAAGATTTGCCGGAGTTGTTTTTTGTGCAGAACGTGCTTCTTCAAAAAGCTGTCCAGCTTAGGCGGAATTGGTAGCAGTAGATTGTCCGTATTCACGACTGCCAGCGAAAGAAACTGGACTTTGTGTTGCAGAAACAGCAAGAAAGCTGGGTAGGTCAACAGCCAGTCGGCTGTGGAGGAGTTCGTGGGGAACGGTGCGGGCGGGGGCATCTTGATGTTGTGGCTTTTGCTTAAGTATATTTGCCGACGTCGACGTGATGTGCACAAAATAATAGTAGGAACGTACCACTTGAAGCAGTTTGCTGCAGGTCCGTCACACGACTGCCAGTCCTCTAATGAGGTTACAACTCACTGGGTACTTGATACAGAATCATCATCTCATTGTTGTAATACCTGTTCCTGTTCCTGTAGCGGTTTTGGTAATATCAAGCTCTTCAACTTACACAAATGTCGCAGCGACCGGACGAGTCAGCGAGAGAGACTACTACTTCACTTGCTTCTATAGTTACAAGGCTCAAGGACCTCCCGAGCAGATGAGAACTAATGATCTGCGTACAACGACTACAACAGGGCGAGACAGTTGTACCATGACGGAGACCACGGGGGGAGTAAACCTAAACAATCTTTTTCTTTATACGGAAAATGGTGAGTAGATGTAGAAGTTGGAGTAGACCTGAACCAGAGGATTGATTGAAGAGACCAAAAAACTTGCAAGCTCCTTGGATAAAGAATTCAGAAGCCCAACGCACTCTGATCTTTCAGTTCTCCAGAGAGGAAAAAAAAAAGGACACTCGTGTCAATTTGTGGGTGAGGGTGACTACATGATGTCTGTCAAACAAAAAAATACCGACGGTGTGGTCTTGTTGGTGTTTTTCTCGAACAACCACGGGCAATACAGCTAGTAGCACTTCTCCTCGAAGATCTCTCAAAGAAAAAGTTTGCCAGCGCTCGCAGTTTCATGTTCGGAGCATTTGCATTGGAATAAAATCATCAACATGTACGAGCGACCGGCTGCTGTTTTGCAGCGGTCGCAGCTGCAGCCCGGCCCGGTCGCAGGCACCACGAAAGGTTTACACACTTCTGAATGGGGAACAAACAAGTAAGTAAGTAGCTAGGAGGATCATGGTCCACGTCCTCTACTACTTGTAGAGTGCCATCTTCAGGAAACATGTTGCTGCTGTTTTTCACAGAGGTATTGTTTTGCCCGGAGGTGGACGAGCAGAAGGCGAAGCTTCTCTTCCTTCCTGACGTAAAACTGAAGTAAGTAAATCAAAATTACTTAGAAAGATCCCCTCCTTCTATCATGCAGCTATTCGACTTCATCGGATTGTTCAAAAAAACTTCGGCTCAGCAGTGGCCGTGCTGTGTGATGAAGTAAAAGGCATTGATGTTGCGTCGTCAAATTGAACTCCGACCTCCACCGGCGGCCACTGATCGTTGTCCGGAGGAACAGTCTGGTGACCGACACTGCTACTTCTTCTCGAGGACATGTACATCTGTGTAGAAGTTTCACCATCTGGACTACTTGTTGTACTCGAACAAGATATTACCGCAGGATCTGGATCACTATATGATCCCCCTGCTGCATGACTGTGGTCAACATCATCTACTTTTGTCGTCCTAGGTGGAGTACTAGATGAACTGTTGAACACGTCGGCCGCACTGCTCCCCGAGGCTGGTTCGTACCGCCGATCATGTGCAGAAGCACCACCCGCTCCGGAGTAGAATAGATCCGACTGGTAAAATCCTTCTCCTGTAGAGGAAGTTCCGCCGCCCATAGAACTAGACGGTATTAAGCTGCTGCTGCCCAGATGTTGGTTCACGACCCCCAGTGCTGGCGCCGCGCCCCCGGCGTTCAGACTCGCCATATTCCGCAGCGCACTGGAGGTACTGAGCATGCTACCGCTTGCACTTGGTAACGCGTCGAAAGCTGCGCCCCCAGCAACAGAAGATCCGCTACTGTCTAAGCCACTGCTTGCTGCTAGAGAGTTGACAAAATCTGCGTTGGTGGATTTGATTATGGAGTTGAAGTCCTGGGGTGCTTTCCGTCTCTTCTGCTCCCTCTCTGCGCGAAGCTCCTCAACCATCTCTTCCCCACGCTGCGCCATCTCTTGCACGCGCCGCTGGGTGGCCTGATAGATTTTCATTTTTTTATATTGATATATAAAGTACGATCGTTCATCATCTTGACGTTGATGCTAATATTACCGCATGACAGGCTACAACTTGCTTCCCTCTCTCTCAAATACTTCTTCCAACCGCCTGGCGCTGCATATTAAGTAGTATCAGCTTTTGTTCAATGTCGTGATCAGGATCCATCCAGCACAACAACCTGCTCATTTTCCTTCCTACCTCATCCCTGAGCAGCACCACTGCCGTCAGCTGGCTCGCCAAAAACGGGACCGCAAGGTGCCCAACCACCCGGAAAGAAGTGCGGATCTGCAGTTTTCGTTTCGCTAATTGCTGCCAGCCGTACCACCCCGCAACGGAGGTCGTGAGCCAACCTAGTGTGAAATTCCGGGCGAGGGAAAAGAAGAAATCCTTTTCCTCCTTCGAAAAAGCACGGTCGACCATGGTGTCTGTGAATCTCTTGAATGTTGTTGGTTGCGTCTTTAATATTGACAAAAAGAATTGACTTGTTCAAATCTTTACTTCTAGCTTGTAGGTCGTGAGCAGCAGATGAGAGAATAAGTTCGACTTCTGATGATTGGATCACGACAGGAGTTTATTAGTCTCGAAGGTAACTGTATGTGTCCACCAATCTATCTACAAAGCAGGAGCTGCTTTTACTTCATCCTCATGAATAAAGCAAAAAGACGGAGCGACCGGCGCACGCTGCGAGCTTACGCTTAGCAGATCCGCAAGGCGAAATAGAAAATCAAATACAGCTGTTTTCATACTGCTGAACAAGCAGATGACTCCGGCTGAGAATGATCCTGATCACTGCTGGGTTTGTTCTTCGAGTCTTACCTTGTATCACATGCGGTACTGCAACTTGCGGCCAAAGCCACGATGTGGAACTACATAGACTTCTTGTACCGCAAAATTCTAGATAAAACAACGGACAATTAGAAAACCTCCGGGAGGTGCAGCTGACCCCCCAAAGCACAGATCATGAGAGGGCGCGCGGAACATCAATCGGAAACAAGCAGCACAGCATGCTGTTTCGGTTCCAAATTTGGTTTGTATTTCCACCTGTCTCGTAGTACCGTAGCGAGATGAAGCATCGTCTTCTGCCGGAAGATAGCAACAGAGCTGTGCGGGAGACAATGACAAATCGAGTTGTGCGTGGGTTTGCGAAGATGCTGGATGATACTGTCGTGGTTTTCCAAAACGGCACACTACAGCTATATGTTGTTTTGGAAAAAATCTGTCAAAAAAATCCAGTGCCGGTGATGGAAATTATTTGAAGACAAAAATCTTCTGCGCATAATTTTTTTTAGATTCCACCAGACTCAAAGTAATACACCAACTGCTCTGTCAAAGAGCTTCGTACATAGTAATAAATCCTTCTATAAATCCTTCTATCGTCCAACGCGTTGTCTACTTCCTTGGTAAATAAAAGCACGAGCGTGTTCGTGGTTTATTTCTGTATAACGGTGTAAGCAGCAGGAGCAGCAGCAGCAGCAGCAGCTTGATCTCGTTTTCATAGTAAAAATTTCATCTTCGTATTATCGAAACTACTACACCTCCTCGTCAGAAGAACAAGTCAGCAGATCATATATCATTCCACTACACCAAGGTCACTTTGATCGTTCTCCCGTTCATTTTATCAAATGCAAAAATGTCTGGGTCTGGAAAAAATCACGTTTGTCATGCTTGTCTGGCATGACTCTTAAATCTGTCATGCACGTTACCCAAGAGCTCAGTTTTTCTGTGATGCAGAAGCGCAGTTTGTCATGCAGAATAGGCAAGACCTAGGAGCTCAGAAACTTGTCATGCTGAGCCAGCATGTGTAGCCTCATCATGAGACGCCACTCAGCATCACAAGTTTCCAGACCCAGACATTTTTACATTTGATACATTTCCCCGCCATCGTACTGCGCCAGCGCCTCGTATGAGAGTGCACAACTTCTCCTCGCCCTCATTTGTCATGCAAAACCGCAAATCCATTTGTTGCCCTGTGGCACTGTTCGCATGACAAATTTTGGAAGGCCAGACAGTACCACCTTCGGCGCATGCACTTGTCATGCACAGGCCCCAAGAGTGCTGGCGTGTGCATTGCTGTTCATGCCATACAAATGAGGGGAAGGGCATGTTGTGCACTCTCATACCTCGCCCGCGCACTTCTTATCGGCAAACGCGATCCAGGCAATCTGCGTGACCCGACACAGCTCCGTGTGCAGCGTTTTCCCAATGTCTTCGAAGGACTTCTGCAGTTCGCCCCTCGCGATGTCGATGGGGCAGTTGGCGATTTGGATCAGTTTCCCCGAGTTTTTAAATTTGGACAACGAATGCGGAATCCCGTCCTTGTTTCGCGGCACCGCGACCGGGCCTTTGGAAACAACTACTATGAACTGCAAAAGCATCGTACTAGTAGAAATTGCAATACAAATTTGCTTAGCATGAGAAATGGAATTTGTGATGCAGATTTTCGTTAAGAGAGAGATTTGTAATGCATGGTTGCAATTACTACGAGTACGATACTTTTGCCGTTCATAACCACTGCAGCAGGACCATTACCGGAATTTTTGTGGTTCTTGTTGCTCTATGAAATGCAAATGCGTCTGGGTCTGGAAGGTTGTAATGCGGAGTGGGGAATCATGAGGAAGCAACAAGTGCTGGCTCAGCATGACAAGTTTCTGAGCTTCTACCTAGGTGTTGCCCATTCTGCATGACAAGCTGCGTTTCATCTGCACGGCAGAAAAATGGGGCTCTCGGGAGGTAACGTGCATGACAGATTTGAGAGTCATGCCAGACAAGCATGACAAACATGCATTCTTCCGGACCCAGACATTTCTGCAGTTGATATGCTCCCCCCCTTTTGTTGGAAATTCGAGTATCGCTTGTCGTGCTGGTGGTGAGACGGTTCGAAGTCGGAGGAATCCGGATAGTTCTGTTTGTTCCCACTTGTCCCTTTGTTCCGTGGCACAATTCGGTAGTAGGTCTGACCGCCGTTGTTTTTCGAGTAGTTCTGATGTTGACCATCGTCCCAACTGCTGTCGTAATGATTTCCTTTTGTAGAATTTCCGCCACCGTGCTGATGATCTAAACCCCAGCTGTCTTGCTTGCCGTAACCATAGTCGTTAGTACTCCCACCACTGCCCTTGTAGTGCTGCTGGTGGTCCCCGTTGCTCGACGTCCATGTTGATGAATTGTAGTCCTGTTTTCCAGGACCACTAGCAGTGCTACCGTAGCTTCCGTAGTAGGAACTAGGTTCGTGGTGAGGACCTCCGCCCGGGGGTCCGTAAGAAGTGGTACTGCTTGGAGGGTGCTGACCCCCGTAGTAGGTCGAGGTCGCCCCTGGAGGAGCATAATACTCCCCCGGCGGCGGGGGCCCATACGACCCGCCCTTCCCCGGAGGCGGCCCGATCGCAGGCGGACCTCCTGCTGGCTCGCCGTAGTAGTGCTGGTTGTTGTGTTGATCTCCTGCTGCCATTCTGCCCGCATTGAAACCGGCTTCCCAGAGACTGTGGGGCGACGGCGGAGCTGCTGCGTGATGGTAGGACGAGCCTTTGTGGGTCGTCGTCCCTTTTGCTCCGTAGGAATGATAATGGGTTCCTTTCCCGGAAGTCGTGTATGGCTGGTGGCTTGCGTAGTGCGTCTTCGATGTTGCTGCCCCTTTGCCAGTGTAGCTGGTGCTTCCCTTCGTAGTGATTGTAGCACCCTGATGTTTATTATTTGTTGAAAAAGATGAAATAGAAGCAGTAGTATCTGAGCAAAAACAGCTTCATTATTTGAATCAAATCATCAGTACAAAAATTCTCCATCAAAAATGCAGCAATCTTCCAGTTTATCGAGAACTTCTTGTTCTTCTATCGGGGCCGCTCTAGTACTGTAGTTTTATCAAGCAAAAATTTACCTTTCCCTTCCCCTTCTTCGGCGCGATTGCACTTTTCAACACGGTGCCCAGCTTCAAACCCGCCTTGCCCGCGCCCTTTACGGCTTTCAGAACCCCAATTTTCGCCCGCGCATTCTTCAAGCGGTCCGCCAACTGTCTCTTTTGCTATCCAAGAAAAAAAGTGTGTAAGTGTAAGTTTCTTGCAGGAATAGCATCACAAGTTTGCTCTGCATGACACAGAAAATCTATCATGCGTAGCTAGTACTTGAAAACACGCACGAAAATAGCCTCTGGTGCATGTCCAGCATGACAAGTGTAACAGTTTTGCATTTTCTGCAACACAAAGTAAAAGTTACACTTACAAAGTTTTTTTCTTGGATATCTGCGCCAGAGAGTTTAACCCCTTGTGGTTCGAGATGGTTTTGTTCAATGGACCTCCTGTGGCTGCGGTCTTATTGTTCGTTGCAGAAGTACTGTTTTTGTTCAACTGTTTATTCTTCCTTGCCTTCAACGCCAACTGTACTACCTCGTCCAAGGGCTTGTCCACCTTCTCGCTCGCGGTCAGTTCCTTTACAGGCTTATTATTATTCTTTTCCGTGGCTGTTCCTGCTGCTGCTGTCGTTGTGTTTTTCTTGATGAAAGTAATCTTGCTGTACGAAGCCGTGGGAGTCTTGCCACCTTTTCCCTTCTGGTGGAAAGAACCGAAATTCTGCTTCCCTCCCTTTCCCTGCTGGTTGTAATTGTAGGAATTCGGCTGGTACGCATAGTAGGTCGGTGTAGTAGTCTTTCCCGCGCCCCCGCCGCCTTTGCTAGTATTGTAGTGGTTGAAGTTGAAGTTCTTACCACTCGTACCTTGCTGATTTTTCCCGTACGGGGAACTGTAATTGTTGCCATGATTCTGCGCCGCGTAAGGCGCTGTTCCCTTCGCCCGGAAGGTTTTCGTTGCAGAGCCTTTATTTTTTCCATAGGAAGTAGAATTCGGTGTAGAAGTCGTCGTTGTGTTCTTCTTGAACTTCGCCTCGATCATATCGTCGAGACTCTTGTCGAGATTTTTCGCCATTTTGGTCAAGGATTTTTGTCGGTGTCTGCTAGAGTCTGCTTTGAAATGCAGCTTAAAGATGACCTTTACACAGGATAAAAACGATGCTGAGTAGACATCAAACTACGTCAATAAACTTGTATTTACTGTTCTTCAGGCTCTTCTTCCACTTCTAAGGATAAAGCGAAAAAGAAGAGCCCTATCGAAAAACAAAACCAAAAAAGTCTGCTACCAAAAAATGAATCAATTCCACAGGAATTATCTTCATCCGTACTAGTTGTGAGCTAAAGAAGGTATGGTCGTGTTGTCGCAAGGTGGTCGTGGTCTCTGCGGGAGATCATTTGTTTTTGTTGTAGATGTAGTTGTTTGCGAATGGACGAAAAATAAACGGTATAAGGAAAATTCAGAAATCGTAAATTGCCTACGAACAGAACCCCAGTACGACCTCCCGGTAGGGTACTATCATGAATGGGACACTCGTCTTCTTACGTTTGGTCGACTTTAGCAAAAGTCAGACGTTCTTGTTGGAGCACGTAGCGGAATGATCTGAAGTGTGAACGAAGATCTATTTGTTTCGATAAAAATTTCAGCGCTATTCATTCACTTTCGGAAAATTGTCGACAGATCCAGTACGGAGGTGAGCATGATGATGATTTTAGAGAGAAGCTAATACAACCTAAACCCATTGGAGAACGATATGAGGCCATATTTCTGCTCTTTGTTGGACGATATATTCACGTACGATAAAGTACGGACAATTCAACTCTGTGGTGGTCTAGGCCACGTCAGATCTTCTTTTTCAAAAAAGCCCAAAAACGCTTGCCGTCTGAACAGTCAGATTTTGTTTTCGTTTGCGTAACACCAGCAATACCAGCCCCTTTGACGAACGAACTGGCACTGCATGTACAAACGTAGCTGAATTCGAGGAAATTTAAAGGTGGCACTCTATCCAACATATGTACAGTTGAGTGAAGATTATTTGCAATTTATATTTTCCAAAGCGGTCGGCGTGCTTGGGGCTACCATGAGATACTTGAACTGAATTATATAGTGGCGCATATTGATATTTGCTGCTAAAAATTGCATGCCTGCTAATGTTCCAATTCTTATTGAAAAAAATCCTACCGTGGTCGTATTCTGAAAAAAATCAACAACGTATGCTATTCCTAAAAATCGTATTGCCATTGAAATGCTTTATGCTAATACTCGGACTATGTAAAAACGCTCCGCTTTTGTTTGCTATTATACAAAACCGCGCTATTGCTTTCAAAAAGATCTTGTGTGTCGGAAGAAATGATTCTGATGGTTTCTTGGCTGCTGCAGCCTGTGATCACGTCTGAAATTTATCATTTGCAAGGTGTTGTACTATTGAGAGCCTGCGATAACATTGGTGTTTGCTGTATTAAAATGAAATATTAGATTGAAGTCCGCCTATTACTTCTATGCGGCATTCGCATTATTCAAAAAGTTTCCCGAATACGATAATCAATATCGCTGTGTGAGGACAGAGAAAGTGGAAGACTCGATTTCCGAAACTGGCATGAAATCGCAAATCATTGCAGAAAAGTAAAAGTTTATGAGCTGATGCTTGCAAACTCCTGAGTGTATTAGTAAGTAAGTGTATGCTCTTGGACAAAAGCTGATTTGCCTAGCTGTTCGTAGTTTAGATGCGTAGTAGACATGTAGTTGATGTGATACGATGTCAGATGAATTGAAATTCCAAGTGAAGTGTAAGTGTTCCTACATTTGTACGTGCTAGTAGTTGTAGTTCCAAAATGACGTATAAAATTTCCTTTCAACGATAGAGGTAAGCTGCTAGTTGATAAATTCATTCCGGGGGTAGGCGTACTATTTTTGTGATTCTCAGATGCGATACGAGATGAAAAGTGTATTTTATGAAAAATGATAGTGGAAAAATACTTATGTTCTCGGCTAGAGTTCCACTTCTCGTGCCTCAACAACGAACTTTCCCCACAGTTTGTTTGTAGGGTACCTCTACAAGAAGTAACTCATCGACTTACTCCCTCTGCAACTTGGGCATGGTATTCAGGTCCCGCCGTCGTTTCCGGATGAAGCCCTCGGGCAAATCTTTATCCTGCTGACTGTTCCGACTATTGTGCAACATCGGAGGTCCTGTTCCATTGCGCAGCAGCACCATGTATGGATTGTAAATATGTCTGGGTCTGGAAGAATGCAGAAGTTTGTCGTGCAGATTTTCCATGACCCATGAGGTCTGTGATGCATGCCCTAGCATCAGAGATTCTGCGAGGGCTTTCTGATACTCATACCGCATGAGAAATGCCCTCTCCGCGTAGCACAGATTGCGCCTCTTTTATTGCTGTTCATGCAATACAGGTTTTATGTAGAGTGCAAAGGTAGCATCACAAGTTCCAACTTTCCAGACCCAGACATTTTTGCAGTTCATACCATGTTCGCATGTGCGGTCGGACTGCTAGAGCTGGCAGCTGCGTTGATTTTCGTGTCATAAACCGCCAAATCCGCAGGCACTGCTACGGGCGGCTTATTCGCGACCGCGCCGGACATATTATGAGCAGGAGGCACAGCACTCGTCGCACTACCACCAGGATGATTCGCAGCAGCTCCACCGGTCAACATCTGACTCGAGGTAGCAGAAGAAGCTCCAGGTCGTCTTGTTTTCAGCGACTTCGCCCGCTTGATGCTGGTCGGGCCCGGGACTAGGGTGGGGAGTGTGAAGGATTTGTTTTCCACTCCTACTTTTGAGGATGAATGAACTGCTGCTGTTTCAACATCTTTCTCCTGGTTAGAAGTTGTTCCTTCACGCAGGAGCAGAAGTTCCTTCTCCCGTTCCATCCCCTCCTGTGCGGTTGGAGAAAACGTCGTCGTCGTGAGCTGCTGCTCGTAATTTTCTGGCGGTTCTAAGGGAGAGAAAAACTGCTCGCTGTCGTGCAGGAAATTTTTGTCACCACCAGCTGCAAATGATCCACCACCAGCAGATGACATCTCCATCAACTCGTGAGGTAACTGCCGGCTATCCGAGAAAAACAACCCAGGCGAGAGCAGTTTCGGCCGCGTGTGCTGGAAAGCCGGGTCTTCGCCCGGATTTGCCAGGAGGATCTTGGGTTTCTTGGACATGAGACTATTTTCCTGGATCGGCGAGAGTTGTTGCAGGCCGTTTTTGTCAAGAGGAAGAGACATTTGGTGTCCGTCGCCTGCAGGTTGATCACCGCCGAGCATCTCATTCAGCATATTCGGAAATACCATCCCAGGTTCTTGCGCAATTTTTTGCTCCACGTCTTCCGCGTAAAACATCATCAACTGATCTTCATTGTCTTTGCTGTTCTGCTCAATCAATGCGGCCTGCTGCTGCGCAGACTGTGTGTCTTTCTCCTGCATGAGCAGAATCTGGTCCTGCCCCAGATTCGCCATTTCTGGCGGTGTGATAGTTTTCCGGCTGTTTGCAGTCCCAGCACTTTGTCTAGACGCACCAGAGCTGGAAGACGAAGAATGGATTCGCGATCCGGTGGCAGCAGGGTGCAACAGATTGTTCTGCGGGTTTGTTCTCACAGGATTGTGTTCCCTTTGCGACTCACTGCTCGAGCTCTTGTTTTTCACAATGTTCAGCTGAATAATGTCGGCCCCTGACGCTTGTTGCTGCGAGTTGTCAGCTGCGCCAGCATTCTCTACTGCACCAGCAGTACCCGATCCTGCTGCCATCACCTTTGCCGGGCTTTCTGGCTCTGGTAACGGGTTAAACGCGTCTTGCAAAGCGAGTTGTCCTTCTCTCGTCTCCACGACCCGGGACACCAGCCTGACCATCGGCGCCACGTATCCTGAGCAAAAACGTCCCCGCCCGAGTTGCAATGCAAATCTGCATGCCAAAAAAGTTTCTCATGCGGAGCCCCATGAGAAGCATTTTCCAGTCCTGCTTTGGAATTATTTGTCATGCTAGAATCAGCATGACGCGCTAGATCTGTGAGTCTGCTGAACTAGCTCAACAGGACTACACTATGCGGGCATTCTTGTCATGCGAAACAACCAAGGCTGGTTGATTTGTCTAGCAGATTTCCGATCTTGACCATGGGGTGGGGACGTTTTTACACAGGATACCACGGTCAGCATCCTTTCCCCACTCGCGGAGTGGGTGCCCAACCGCTGCATCCACATCCGCAGCGTTTCCCACTCTTCTAGCGTAGATTGCGGGAACAGTTGCTTCAGCTGGAGCCACATTTTCACCGCCTTCAACATCGGAACCCTTTGGCCAAAGTCAAACAATTCCTCCAGTAATTTCAACGTCGAGTGATCATGTGTATGCGCTCCGATCTTGTTCAAAAACGCAAGGTATTTCGTCAGTAACTTCGCGTAGTTCATATTAGTGTTATTTGGTGGGACAAACGCCGTGTTTTGTTGCTGCGCGGAATTCAATTGCGACTGCGGGATCACAATCGGGTCCCGGGCTAAGTTCGCGGATTTGTACCAGATCCCGACCTCCCGGATCAGATTTTGGTACGCGGAAATTTCGTTGTGGGAAAGCTTTGTCAGCTGGATTGGCGGCGGTTGCTCCGGTTCCTCAGCTACGACCTCTGCATGTTGGTGATCTTGATGTGGGTCCTGATCCTTTGTATGATTGTCTTTCATCGTCTCTTTCGAGGATTTTTTCTGCTGCCCGTTATTCGCTCCTCCACCTCCATACAGCGACTTCAGATTCGCCTTCAATTCCTTCGGCGGGTGAAGATTCGGGTTTTGCCACTTGACCGGCTGGTATTTCCGAAGTCTTGACTCCTTCTTGTTCTTTTCATGTGAGTCTTTATTTCCACCAGGTCCATTTTGATTGTCCTTTTCCTGCTGCATTTTCTGTTGCATCAACGTCTCGGCCGACTGTTTGATTTCCTGCAACGAGGGTCCGCAGAGGGCACGGTAGAGCGTCACCAAAGCCTCCGCTTGGTGCAACGCCTGGACCTCGTTGTGCATGTCCAGCTGCAGCTCATCCGCGATTCTCTCACCCAACGCCGTGAAAAACACCGACTGCTTCTTCCTCTTCGCACGGGTAGTGAACTGTAAAGCGTTATTCGTCGTAGCCAGCTTGCTCGGATCGCCTTGTTGTTTACTAGGCGCCGTTTTGGAACTATCGGCTTCTGGGTCTACGCTTGCTTCTTGGTGTTCTAAAACGCCGGCGAGTTGACTGTCCCCTGCTTCTTCGCCTTGCTCTTTTCCTGCGGGCGTAGTTGCAGTGACAACACTAACATCGGTCGGAGAGACGACAGTTGCTTTCTTCACAGCTGGAGAGGACGCCACTGCTGTTGCTGATGCTACAGGAACAGCTTCCGCTGAAGCGCCTCCTGCTGCTCCAAGACCAACAGCCTTTGGAAGATTCGGCGACGCGGCTCCCTGCACCGGGCTAGAAGGTTTACTGGGGGATTTCTTACCACCAGCATTAATGTTCTTCTTCTCGTCCTTCTCCTTACTTGGGCTTCTCGAAGCACTTCCACTACTTCCTTTCTTATCGCCACCAGCACTACCTTGGTCCTTTTCCTTTTCTTTCGAATCCTTGTTGTTTCCTGCAGCATTTTTCTCACCAGCGCCAGAACTTTTATCCCCACCGCCGGCGCCAAACCCCTGCAGAGACTGCTGGACCCGGGAAAAAGTGTTTTCGGCCTCAACTTCGTCCTGCAGTGCCGTAATGGCTTTTTTCAGCCCACCAAGTTCCTCCACTAACTCCAACAACCTGACCAACAGCCCCCGCTCCTTCTCCTCCGTAATCAACGGCGACCCCTCCAACGTCTGCAGGGCCAGTGTCTGCGCCTTCACGGATTCTAGCGGGACGCCGCGGAGTAGCCAGCAGAAGGTCTCTGACCCCCCGAAGAGCTGGAGCTGGTTCAAGAGCGCTTTGAGAGGGGAAAACCGGGACACTCGCTGCCAGCCGAGCCGCCCGCCCTGGTGTTCCTGAATGGAAGAAGAGTCGAGGGGGGAAGCGTTTTCATTTTGGGAGGCGGCGTTTTGTGATGTGCTATTCGCGACGTTCGTTTGTGGTCCCATGTAGTCAATCGTCGTGGTCGCTGTGTTTAAGTTCAACTTGACAGTACCCTTGGTCGTGTTTCCGTCCTTTTTATCCGAATTATTCAACGCCATTAAAACCGGTTCCCGCTTTTTCGTATCCTGTGCAAAAGTATCGTACTCGTAGTAATTGCATTTATGCATTACAAATCTCTTTCTCAAGGCAAATCAGCATTACAAATTCAATTTGTAAGGCTGGGCTAATTTGTAATGCAATTTATACTAGTACGATGCTTTTGCATTTGATATTTCGCGTTCGGTGACAACGTCGAGGATTGATGCGGGTAAATCGATTCCGAGTTCCACTCCGCTTTGCTCACGAACTTCTCGCTTTCGTCGTTCGTCGTATCAAGTGCAAAAGTGTCTGGGTCTGGAAACTTGTGATGCTGGGTGGCGTCTCATGATGAGGCTACAAATGCTGGCTCAGCATGACAAGTTTCTGAGTTCCTAGGTGTTGCCTATTCTGCATGACAAACTGCGCTTCTGCATCACAGAAAAACGGAGCTCTTGGGTAACGCGCATGACAGATTTAAGAGTCATGCCAGACAAGCATGACAAACATGAATTCCTCCAGACCCAGACATTTTTACAGTTGATACGTCAACGGTAAAAACGACGCTTCCTCAAAATCTTCCTCGCTGGACTTGATTCTCCGTTCCTCTACCCCCGCCGGCTTCAACTATCAGATGCAAAAATGTCTGGGTCTGGAAGATTCTGACACTTGTCATGCACGTTTTGCCTGGGCCGTGATGTCAGTAATGCATGCCGTAGCATCACAGACTTTTCGAGGGCTTCGCGGTGCCTATTCCGCATGACAAATGCCCTCTCCGCGTAGCCAAAATTGCATTCCCATTGCTGGCCATGCAATACAGATTTTTTTGGAATCCACATGCAGCATCACAAGTTCGGAATCTTCCAGACCCAGACATATTTGCATTTGATATCAACAACCCACTTCCCATCTTCACTTCCGTCCTCGGTGAGCTGATCCGGGGGGACACCAATTCCGTGTCTAGATCCACTAAGTCCCCTGGTTGTTCCCCCCCGAGCAACTGTGCGGTCTTCAACGCCTCGACGCAGAACAAAAATTCCGCCAAGTCCGAGCCTTTCACCGATTCTGTGAAAAAAGACGGTCCGCGGTTGGTTTTGTTCAGCCCTTTGATCACCTCTAACCAAACCGTCCAGTGGTCCTCGACGTTCTTCAGCGTGAACTGCCGCTCGATGATATTTTGCAGTTGCGAAAACTTGCCGTTCAGAACGTTGTTGGGTTCAGCTTCATCTGGCAGATCTTGCTCGGCGTCCGAAGGTTCAGACGGGACTAAAAACTCGACCACCGTGTCATCATCTTTTAGAGGTCTTCCCGCTTCGTTCTGGTCGTCGATTTGAGAGATAGATTCCAACTTCCGGCACTGTTCATTCTTCGTCAGCAATTTCCCGGTTTTCAAATCCCGCATGCAGGAAACGGATAACAGTCGCGACCTTCTATCCTTGGAATTCGCGATCCCACTGCCCTTGTAGATCGCCGTCATGCCGTCTTTTATCGGATCGGTGAGCGACATCCGCAGAAACCGCATGCCGGTCAGCCGCATCTCCTTCAGGATCTTCATACAGTTTCTAAATGAGTTATGCAATACAAATTTGCTGTACATGCACAAAATGCATTACAAATTTTACCAACTTGGAGCATGCCACTTGTCATGCTGAATAGAATTAAAAGAAAGCCTTGTCATGCAGAAACCGCATCTGTACATGTACAGGAAATTTACTGTGGATATGAGTCGGTGAACCCGCAGAATTTTTCCTCCAACTCCTCTGCGTTTTCTAGGAAAAATTGAAATTTCTGCTCGGACAAAGTCTCCGCGAACTTCGCGTGGTCGGGGCAGTTTTATGCACTGCAAAAGCATCGTACTCGTAGTATTGCAACACAAATTGCCTCAGCATGACAAAGGGAATTTGTCATGGTGATTTAGCTACAAAATGAAATTTGTCTTGCATGACTGCGATTAGTACAAGTACGATACTTTTGCAGTGCATAAATTCGTGACACGAACGATTTCCTCCCCGAGCTTGAACGTGTTGAGCCAGTGAACTGTGGCGAGCCGCTGGATCAAGTCTTCGTCAAACTTCTTGTAGGTTTTGATACTATTTGTCGACGCGTGATGCCTCTGGTTCTGCGCGTGCGCGTGACTATTGTACTTGTGAAAGACGTGGTCTAAAATTCGGTGGAGGCTGTTCTGTTCCGGGGACAGCTCCACCTGTTTTTCTCCTTCCAAAGCCGTGTCGTAGTCGTCTCTCGGCAGCAATTCTTCTTTCGAGAGCTTCACGATCAGATTCATGTACTGAAGGTTATTGACCACGTCTTCGAAGGCAAAACCGTTCTTCCTTAGAAACTGAAGGACAATGACCAAGTCGGTCAACCGTAGTTCCTCCGTTTTCAACAGGGATAAAAGGCTTTGCAGAGCGGACTTCTTCTTCGTTGCTGTGCTGTTCGATGTCATGCTAGAAGTGGGAGGAGGAGCTTTGCTGCTATCATAGACCTGTTCCACACCATTGAACGCTTGCTCGATGGAGGCCGGGAGGTTGTCTTGTGATTCGGAAGAAAAGAGGTGTTGGTCTTTCACAGAGGGCTTGATGGAAGTGCTGTTGGCGCTGTTTGTGGTATTGTATCGGATATATGCATTTTGTTTTTAAAAACTTGTTGCACGACTATAGCGAGCGCCAATCTTCATGATCTTGCAACTGCTACTGCAAGATGATGCTGCAACGAACAAACGGAGAATAAAACGCGAGGAACTACTTGTAGAATGATCTAACTAGTATACCTATACCAATACCTGTCATCAGCCGCGGCGTCTCCTCCGGCATGATCACCGCTCTGCTCCCCTTCCTCCCCCTCCATCTCATCATCCTTCGCCAATTTCATTTCCTCCACCTGTTTCCCCCGGTCGCGTTCCCACCTCTGCACCAACACCTTCGTCTTGTGCTTGTAGTCCTTCAAATCTGTGACTTTGAACGGCTTTTCGAGGAGTTGGCTCGGCGAGAATTCTACTTCTTTGCCCGACTTCGCCGCTGTTGTTTCCTTCAACCAATCCTCATGGATCTGCACGTCCTGCACTTGCTGTAGCAGATCCCACATTGCGGGCAGCTGCTGCACGTCCGGGGCGATCGCGCCGTATGCATTGCAAATATGTCTGGGTCTGGAAACATTAACTTTAACATGATGTGAACTTGTCATGCTACATTCCGGATGGTGCAAAAACCTGTGTTGCGTGATTACCAAAAGCTTCCCACTTTGGACGGAGTGGAGAGCCAGTTTCTCATGCAGGCGAGGCATGATACAGGTCGCGCAGAATCTGTCATGCTAGATCATGTATGACAGTTCTCATGCGTCATGGAAACCCTGCATGACAAGTCTTGCAACCTTCCAGACCCAGACATATTTGCATTTGGTACGCCGATCAATTGCACGATTTTCAGAATCGGGAAGTGGTCGTACCCGCTACAGAATTTCTCCAAATACCTTGCCGACTTCACGATGTCTGTCCCGCCGCCGAAAAACCGGCTAGCCTTCTCGAATTCAAACAGACTGCAGTTTCCGTTGGAAAGCTGTCGCATGAACAGCTTGGCGTCCCGGAGGGTCTCCTGACATTTCGTCGGGCCGCCGGTGTCCAATACGAGGGTTAGCGCGTCCCGGACATAGTCATCGTTCAGCTTCATCATCCTCGGCTCGGATAAGGTTTCCAATAAAGGAATGACCCGCTTCGGCTTGCACTTCTGAACCTTCAACGCGAGTTCCCGAATACCCCCTTTCACCAACGACCCCTTATCAACTGCAAAAATGTCTGGGTCTGGAAGAGTCGGGGCTTGTCATGCACATTTTGCATGACCCGCGAGGTCTGTGATGCTGGTGGTAGCATCACATATCTTTTGAGAGCTTCTTGATGCTAATTACGCATGAGAAATGCCCTCTCCGCGTGCCAAGAACTGACTCCTCTTGCTGCTCATGCAACACAGATATTTTTAGAATCCGCAGACAGCATTACAAGTTCCGCTATTCCAGACCCAGACCTTTTTGCGATCCATACCCCTGTTCCATCAGCAGCATCAAGTCCCGCAACGGCATCTGTTCCTCTTTATGCATTGCAAAAGGATCGCACTAAGTGGGTGTGGGAATCGCATGAGAAATGTCCTCAGCATGAGAAATGGATTTTCTGATGCTGATTTACTTCGGGAATCAGATTTGTAATGCAAGACTGCGAATAATACTATCAGTACGATTAACTTTTGCAGTGCATACTCTTTTCCCTGGAACAATTCCCGGTGGCAGTAATCCAAAACCTTTCCGGCTTCCACGTAGTGGTCCAGTTTCATTTCCGCGTTAATCGTGAGAATTTCCAGCGCCCGCGCCATCCCGCACCAGAAAACATTGCCCCGTCTGCCCTTCTCCATAATCTTATGCAGCTCGGAATTCTGGCTCGTCTGTTGCGGCACAACCGCTTCTGGGGCAGGTTGCTGCACAACCGCTGGCTTCATCGGAGTGGATGATGCTCCTCCAGAACTCGCCGCCTGCGCCTGTTGCAACTGGGATTGTTTCTGCAATTTGGCCATCATGGCCGCCTGTTTCTTCTTCAACTTCGGCCGGATGTTTGCCGTGTGGAAACCTAATAATGGTTTGGTCCCGCACTGGTCTAAATGCAACAACAGCTGCACTGCGATTTGCTTGTGCTGCAGCAAATGCCGTTTCGTGTCCTGTTTCAGCATGTGCGCCTGCGGGTGCGGCACGATCTGCCCGTTCGCTAGCATCTGGAACGGGCCGGGGGCGGTTAGGAAGGAATTCCAGAAATTGACCGCGTCCCAGTAATTGCTTTTGTCTTTCTCGATCTTCTATGCATTGCAAATGTGTCTGGGTCTGGAAAAGTGAAACCTGTAATGCGTGTCTTGCATTCCTAGCAAATCTGTGTTGCGTGAGCAGCAGAAGAGCCGACTTTGTTGTCATGCAAATAAAACGCAATTTGTAATGTGTGCTAGACATCACGAAGCGTTTCAAAAACTTGTCGTGCTTGGCTGCCATGGCAAGCGTTGCAATCAGCAGCAAATCAGCATTACAGGTTTCCGGACCCAGAGTTATTTGCACTGCATATCTTCTTGTCCTTCTTCGCACTGGCGGCCATGGACCTGGTTCCCGGATTGTTATCCTCGAAGAAATGCACAAACTCGAAGAATTTATCTAATCCGCCAAAGCCCTGCACTTCGTTGAGAAGTGCGAGCATTTCTTCCACTTTGGGTATCCCGCTCATGTCGTCGTCCGCAGACTGTTTCAACGAGTTGAAGAAAGTGTAGGCCCAGTTGAGACCATCCACTTTCAGAAATTTGATGAACTTCTGGAACCTTTCCACTCGAACCATGGTGGAGAGCAAATCGCATCCTGTGCAAAAGTATCGCACTCGTAGTAATTGCAGTCATGCATTACAAGTCTTTTTCTTAAGCTAAATCCGCATTACAAATTTTCTTTCTCATGCTGAAGAAATTTGTAATGCATTTATACGAGTACCTACGATGTTTTTACACAGGATAAATCGTGGTCACCGACGATTCCCTCGTTTAACAAATCGTTCTTTTTATTGTCGATTTCCGTATCGGACGCGTCCTCAAAATTGGTCGGCGGGTCGAGGACGAGTTGTAGCAATTCGTCCAATATGGATTGCAAAAGTGCCTGCTGGGAGGTCTGACAAAAACTTGTGATGCAAGTCTGCCACTGATGGACCCACTGCAGTTACTGCAGTGAAGCATTACAAGTTTCGGAGCTTCTACTATGTGTTGCGCATTCCGCATGGCAAACTGCGGTTTTGCATGACAGGCAAAAGGCTAGTTTCCTGTTCATGCATTACAGAGTTAAGATTCATGTGAGACAAGCATGACAAACTAGCAATCTTCCAGACCCAGACACATATGCAGTGCATATCCAGAATTGAGGCGAGTTTGGACTCGTCGAAATTGTCATAGTCGTCGTTCAACTGGTATTTTTCGAAGAGCAAGCTGTGAATGTCCTTCGTGATGGTCGTCTCCACCGGGTCTTTCGTCAATAATTCCGGGATGGTTTGCAGATTCTTCAACAAAAACGGCGCCTGGTCGTTCAGATTAATCTCGAAATAGGGGAGTTGTAACCGGTATCAAATGCAAAAATGTCTGAGTCTGGAAGAGTGCTAGGCTTGTCATGCAGCTTTTCCATGACCCGCGCGGTCTGGCATGCACGCCCTAGCTTGACAGACCGTAGAGATCCTGCATCTAAATTTGGTCAAAAGTGGACCTCTTTTGGTATATCATGCAACACAAATTTTTCCACGATCCAGATGTAGCATGACAAGTTACACTCTTCCAGACCCAGACATATTTGCAATGCATAACCGGCAAGCGTGTAAAGACTGCGCGGTGGAATTGTCGTCTTTATCGGAGAACAAGTCCAGCCGGAGCCGGCACTTCGCGGTTTTGCTACTTGTAGTCCCGATCAGACCCGCTCTGGCCTTCTGGCCAAAGTCGATCAAATCATCGTCATTCACTGTGGTTTTCGTGATGTTGGTAGTCGCGGAGTTGTTCTCCAAAGCGTCGGAGTCGACCGCTGATTTCCAGGTTTTGCCCAGAACCTGTGCGGGTGTAGCTGCTCCACCTGCTGACTTTTTGTTTTTGTCCGGCTGTTCACCAGAAGCTCCTGGCGATGCCCCCTGCTGCGCTTGCTGTTCAACCACGTCCGCGAGACAGCCGAAGGACCGAAGAAAGGCGGAGAGCTCGGAGTGGAGTTCCACTTGATCGGAGTGGTTCTGTCCTTTTGATAGTTTCTCATCCACTAACGCTTTCACGTTCTCATCGATAGCTATTCCTGTCGGTTCCGCCTGGGACACAACTTCGTCGTGGTCGTTGTTCGTATCACCCACGGTGGCGGGCTCCGGCTCGTCGTGAGGCTCGGCGACCGCTGTGTGCTCGTCCTCGTCGCCTGGGCTTTCGTAGTTATTCTCCTCGTTTGCATTGGACTCCTTCGAGCCTTGCTGCGACACGGAAGTTTGTTGGTCTTGCGAAGTGGTAGTAGTACCAGTCTTCCCAGCGCTTTTCCCCGGTGCAGGAGCTGCACCAGATCCAATCATCAACTTCCCGTATTTGACCGCCAAAGCCGCTCTGCCCCCAACCACTTTCTCGACCAAATCCAAGAACAAATCCTTCGATTCTAGAGAGTCGCAGAGTTTTGTCAGCTTCTGCACCAGAACCGGGTCAAGGGGGTGTTCTGGATCTTGGTCGACGTTTAAAGACCGTTTCAACAGCATCTCCGTGTCTACCAGCATCGTCTCCGCTTCTTCGGTGATATCCAACTCCAACCGTTGCTTCGCCACCGCTCTCGCTTTCTTCTTGCTCCCCTTTCCTCCCTTCGGCAACTGGGACGCTACCCGCGCCCGGATTTTCTCCCAGTTCTGCGCCTTTTGGAGTCGCTGGTTGGCGTCGAGATTGGCTCCCGCTAGGTAGACGGAAAGCGCTTGTTTGTCGTTCGGAATTTCTTCGTAGAACTTCGTGCGCGAAGCGTCTTTGGCGCCGGAGGAGAGTTTCTCCGCATGTTGTTTCGCCAATTCGGTAAAGACAGGCGAGATGAGTAGGCATTTCGCGGCGTAGGAATCCGAAAACATCCTCTCCGGTAGCTTCACCAGCCGGTTGTCGCTCCAGGGCATGGGTTGCCCGGAAATAAATCGGGCCCGAATTTTCACGGACACGTAGCAGTCGTGGTGGTTTGCGATCAGTGTTTCGAGGAGTTCCCGATTTATGTTGGAATTCGAGTTTTTTGTCCCGATGTGCTCCAAAACGACATCCGCTAACACCAAGTTTCCCTGCAACACCGTCCCGTTCTGCTGTAATTCCTGGGGGAGCTCGGCGAAGTTGCTGAAAGCTACAAATTCCGGAGAGGTTTCATCAATCGGATTCTGCGTTCTAATCTTATTCCCGTATCGATCTGTGGAGAAGGAATAGGTCGGCTGTGGTTTCTTACTGCTGTAAAACCTGGACCTCGTCCCGTTGTATTTATTTGAAGACTTCTGCTGTCCGGCTGTTGTATTCCCGGGGAGACAAGACGACTTCGCGGTGGGTAAGGTCCCGACGTGAGAAAACAGGCAATTCCAGAACTTCCGAATCCGATGCGGATCGGAGTACTCTTTATTTCGATCCCGTTCGAACGCGATCCTCTTTCGCGCGTCCGCCGCGGTTCCATCGGGGTCGGCTAAGCAGTACGGGTGCTCGTTGCCCTTATCCGTCCACAGCTGGATTTCGTATTGGTAATCCAAGATCACCTGATCGTAGGAAACGTGCGCGTCCGGGATTTCTAAGTACAGCTTCGAATACGCTTTCTCGTAATCGGTGTGGAAAAATTTTATCCTGCCCATCTCCTGCGAGTTGTGTACAGTGTTTCTCGGTAAGGAGAGCTCAGAAAAATCGGACAGGCCAGCAATATCGGATTGGACCGCCGCTTTCAGAATGATTTTCGAAGATTTATTCGCCGGCGGGGTCGTGGGTGGGACCACTACTTCAACTGCAGGTTCCTCTGCTATAATCTGCGCTTGCTTCGAATTCCTTTTGCTGCCTTTCTGCGCCGCTGCTGCTGGGACCACGAATTCCTCCCCGGGATCGTCGTACAATCCGTCTTTCCTTACCCCATCGACAACTCCTTGATCTTCCACCTTCTCGCTTTATCAAATGCAAATATGTCTGGGTCTGGAAGAATCCGAACTTGTGATGCGTGTTGCGGATCATACAAAAATCTGTGTTGCATGACTTGCAAAAGGTCCCCACTTCTGGCCATGTTGAGAGGGCATTTCTCATAGCAGAATAGGCATCACCAAGGGGCTGCAGAACCTGTGATGCTAGGCCCTGCATTCCAGACCTGGCGGAGCTTGAAAAACTGCATGACAAATCTCGGAATCTTCCAGACCCAGACACTTTTGCATTTGATACGCTTTCCTTCGTGACAATGTGCATCAGCCAGTTTTCCGGCTATCAAAAGGAAAGATCCCCCCTCCCCATATCAAAACAAAACTTCTGATGCTGGATGTGGATACACAGATCAAGTCTGTGTTGCAGTAAAGGACTGCACGCAGATCGTAAGCCTAGGCAGGGGCCTCTTGATGTAGGCGCCTAGCATGGTAGACGGCTGCCCTGTAGGCCTTACAGCATTACAAATCTCATGCATCACGTGGCGGACAGCCTGAACTTGCCTTCTTGCAAGACAGACGCGATTTGTGCGCACAAATCTGCATCACAAATTTTCAGACGGATGCGTTTCCAATATGGGGAGGGGGGATTTTTCCTTGCAATACTGGCACTGGTTTTACTTTGATTAACACGTAATCCCCCTGGATCTTGTGATACAGACTTCCCGTCGGGAACTGTACCCAACCGGTGCAGGTGTTCGGATTGGTTAAGTGAGCTTTTTGGAACGGATCCGATAATTGTTTTTTCCCGGACAAAAATCCCGCGTTGAATTTCTTCACTTTTTTCTCTTCCTATCCTGAGGAAAAACGTCCCTACCCCAGAGTTGTCATGCAAATCTACATGCTTCAATTGTCTCTCATGCGGAGCCCCAACTACATGAGACGCATTCTATAGCGCTGCTTTGAAATTTGTGATGCTCCAATCAGCATAATAGAAATAGGCTAGAAGTGTGATGCTGCTGCACTAGCTCAGCGCGATTACACTACGCGGCTACACTTGTCATGCGCAACAGCCAAAGCTTGTTGATTTTGGTTGGAAAGTTCGCATCTTGACTATGGGCTGGGGACGTTTTAAAAAAAGGATACTTCCTCCAATAAAACCTCCATCTCGTTTTCCTCCGCTACGCAGTACTCCAAAACCAAGTCATATCCTGGGCAAAAGTATCGTACTCGTAGTAATTGCATTTATGCATTACAAATCTCTTTCTCAAAGTAAATCAGCATTACAAATTCAATTTGTAATGCTGGGCTAATTTGTAATGCAATCTATACTAGTACGATGCTTTTGCATTGCATAAGTCATCAAAAGACTCAACTTTCTCTTTTCCTTGACCTAGACTAAAGCCGCCGGACTTCCCCGACACTGCAGACCGCGGCATCCTCAAAGTCGCTTCCTCAGTGGAAATCCGGATGATTTCCGGTCGTCCCGGCGCCTGCGGCCGTTGCCGTAACGGCGGAATGATGATATCCGAAGCCAAACTCGCGGTGCCCTCGATGGACTCGGGTTGGGGAATGGAGCCGGAGTGCGAGGAAAGATTCCCGAGCGAGGGGGCCTTCGACAAACTTTTTCCACTCGGTAGCTGCAGCAAACCACCGGTTTCGAGCGTGAGGGAAGAGTCGAACAAGTCGGAATTGTTGTTCATTAACCCCGGGATGCTTGTCAAACTGTCTTCTAATAGCATGCTCGAATTACCCGCGGCTTCCATCATCCCGGTGTTAGAAACCGGTCTGTGCCGCGGTAAAACTGAAAACCTGTACGGCAACCCAGGGGTCAAATTACTCACGTGGAATCGGCAAACCGGCTCGCACAGTATCAAATGCAAAAGTGTCTGGGTCTGGAAGATTCCGAGACTTGTCATGCGCGTTTTGCATGGGCCATGTTGTCTGTGATGCATGCCCTAGCATCACAGACTTTTTGAGGGCTTCGTGATACCTATTCCGCCTGACAAATGCCCTGCTCTCCGCGTAGCCAAAATTGCATTCCCTCTGCTGGTCATGCAACACAAATTTATTTAGACATCCAAATGCAGCATCACAAGTTTGGATTCTTCCAGACCCAGACATTTTTACATTTGATACACAGTTGCGTTTTCCCGTTCCATTTCGATTCGATCTGAAAACGACTATGCCCTACCGTGCTGGTATTCTCCTCAAAAACATTTACCATCGGCTCCGCACGTACCACGTATTCCGTGACCGGTCCGAAGTATTTGCTGTTAAACTGTTCCGTCGGGTGCACCGGACGCCACTTCAACTCGCAGGAGGTGGGAGTGACGTTTTCAATCGTTGGCCTGCCTGGTTTCGGGCCGTGGATTTGGTACTGCACGGGTTCGCCGATTAATTGGAAGAACTGGTTTTTGTCCTTGTATTTCTCCGAAACGCGGTCCTGATTCGAGTGGGTACTTGCTTCTTCCGCGATAATGGCGAAGGAGAACACCTTTTCCAGCGAATTGTTCGGCGGTGGGCACTGCATGGTGATCAACCCGTCGAATTCGTTCTTCTTGATTTCCACTTTCGACCGGATTCTCGAGCTGTGGATCTTCGAAGTGGGCTGGGGGGGAATGACCGTGTACCCGGCGGGGGTATCTGGGATGATCTGCTCCTGTTGGGAGGAGACGACAACGGAACCGGATAGACAGGCGAGGTAGAGGGTTAGGTACTTTGTTGCACTTCCTGTTGTTCCTGCTGTAGTAGCGGTTTTCGGATTAGAGCTCGTTCTCGTCGTGAGGTTTTGACTCGACAGAAACGCCGATCGGGGCAGATTGTACGACAAAAATGCCGTTTCGCCCACGTGGTACTTCGTCTGACTCATGCACAGCACATCCGACACGTTCGTCGGTAAGTGCCGCAACAACGAGTTATGAATTGCAAAAGCATCGCAGTCGTACTGGTATGAATTGCATTACAAATTTCATCAGCATGAGAAATGGAATTTGTAATGCTGATTGACCTTAGAAAAAAGATTTGTCACGCATCGCTGCAATTACTACGAGTACGATACTTTTGCACAGGATACGAGTGGCACGTCGGCAAGTCCCCGGCCTTCTTCTCCCGCAAGATGTCGTAGAGTTTGGACACTTCAATATCCTGTGTAAAAACATCCCCACCCCAGAGTTATCATGCGGATCTGCAAGCACACGAGCATTTGTAATGCGCATCCCCATGAGAGGCATTTCCCATTGTATTTTGGAACTTGTAATGCAGTGAACAGGATAAGGAGATGAATTTGTTATGCGGCTTTCCTTGCTAAACTGGTGCATTACACTACAGCCTGCAACTTGTCATGCGTGGCTCCCAAAACCTCGAGGTTTGTGTTGCAAAATCCTCATCTTGACCCTGGTGTGGGGGCGTTTTTACACACGATATTCAAACCCAGTCAACGGTGGGTAGGTGAAGACCAATGGACCGTCCCGTGACTTTGTCATCTCGTTCACATGCGGACTCTGCGCGCTCGCCTATTGAGAGGAAAAATCCCCCCTCCCCATATCGAAAACGGAAATTTGTGATGCTGATTTGTGGCCACAAATCATCTTTGTCTTGCATGTAGGGCCATAGGAGCCATTTGACGCATTCCAGAGCAAGTCTGTCATGCCCATTCGACTACGGCAAACCCCTTTGTCATGCGCAATTGCTAGCCTTCTGCATACACAGACAAGCTCAGAAAATGCCGCCAAGCACTTGCTGCAAGACAGATCTGATTTGTGTACGCAAATCGAGCATCAGAAACTTCGTTTCGATATGTGGAGGGGGGATATTTCCTCTCAATATCGCTGCCATCGCGGCTTGCGCGCCGGCGCGCGCGGCGCGACGCAGTTTGTTCATGTTGGACTTCAGGTTTTTGGATTGAGTCGTCGCTGGCTTATTGGAACCTAATCCTGCTTTGGTTGGCGAGGAAGCGCCAAGATGACCTGATGTTCCTACCGCCGCGCCGGGTTTCGTGCTACTTGTTTTCGCGTTCAGCATCGTGTTCTCGTCCGCTGTGTCGGAAGTCGACTTCAGCAAGCTGCTCGATATGAGAGTGAAGACAACTCCCACTCCGCCTCATTTGAATTTGTATAGCATGAACAGCAAAAATACAAACACGACCACAAGTGGACGCTATGCATGACAAGTTCGTGTGCCTAGTGTAGTACTGTTCGGGCTTGTTCATCCGGAATTTGTCATGCTAACAGTGCCGCAAGGAAGCGATTGGATTTGGGGTTTTGCATGACAAGTTCAAATGTGAGCGAGAGGGTGGAGTTGTGCACTGTCATACTCGACCCCGTCCGCATCGACCGCATGCGCTTTTTCTCGTACGAGACCCGACTGCCCCGGGTCAGGTAAATCCCGAAAATTTCCGCCGCGAATTCTGTTTTTAACAGAGGTCTCCTCGGATCCAGGAACTTTTTCTTCGCCTGCTGTTTCAAGATCGATTTTGGCGACGATGCCATTTGCCGTTCCTCCTCCTCCTCCACCGCCAACAGCCCGAGCTTCTGCATTAACAACTGTTCCACTTTAATACCCGGGGGTTTCGCGGCCCAGAGCCGGATGGCGAACTCTTCCAAGTCAAACCCATCTGCTTGGTGGAACGATTGTAAATATTGGTTTGTGGACATCGCCATCTGGTGCTTCAAATTTCGTCCCGAAGAAGAAGAAGTACTACGCATCTGCGTCGACAGCATATGCATTTCAAAAGTGTCTGGGTCTGGAAGATTGCAACTTGTCATGCTAAATCCGAATCATGCAAAAAAATGTGTTGCATGATTACCAAAAGAGGTCCACTTTCGAACAAGTTTAAAGGCAGTTTCTCATGCAGAATAGGCATGAAAGAGACCTCACAGCCTCTGTCATGCTAGGTCCCGCATTCCACACCTCAAGGGTCATGGAAAACCCGCATGACAAGTTCACATTCTTCCAGACCCAGACATTTTTACATTTGGTACAGCAAGTACTGAAACAGTCCCTCGCAATCCGCCCGGTTCATATCCAAAGCGCCTCCGAAAACTTCGAAAAACTTATCAACTGCAAATCTGTCTAGGTCTGGACGAGTGCAGATGTTTGCAATGCAGGTTTTGCATGACCCATGAGTCATGGAATGTGGGGCCTAGCATGACAGACGCGGTGAGGTCTCTGTCATGCCTATCCTGCATGAGAAAAATCTCCTACGACCCACTTGGTCGATTGTGGACAGCTTTTGGCACTCAAGCAACACAGATTTTTGTATGATTCAGATTCAGCATGACAAGTTGCAATCTTCCAGATCCAGACCCAGACATTTTTGCAATCCATAAAACTGCCATTTTTGCAAGTGCGGCGCCAGCCCGTTCTGCTGCGCTTCGACAGCGTATCAAAAGGGAAAATGCCCCCTCGCTCCCCATATCGAAACGAAGTTTCTTATGCTGAATCAATTTGCGAACACAAATCAGACTTGTCTTTCTGGAGAGGACTGCAGGCCTATGCTCAGCCTGAGTAGGGAGGTTTTGAGCTAGGCGCTGAGCATGGCAAGCGTGTAGTCTCTAGGGCCAACAGCATCACGAACCGCCTGCAGAATGCGGCGGAGCCTGTGGAGTTGCGTTCTTGCAACACAGAGACGATTTGTGGTCACAAATCAGCATCACGAATTTTCTGATGCGTCCCTTTTCGATATGGGGAGGGGGGATTTTTTCTTACGATACAGCGGGGTCGATCTTCAGGTCGCCTTCTGCTGCGCCGCCCAAATCCCCCTTGCTCATGCTGCGGTTGGTCAAGTTCAAAAAGTTCAACTTTTCAATTTCCTGCACCGGGGGAAGCAAGTGCGGGTCCGCGCCGACAATGAACTGCTCCGCTTTGCTCGTGTTTTCGTGGACGATTTGGTCACGCCACGTGAAAACCACTCTTTTCGTTTCAATCGTGTTGGCTTTTCCAGAGTGCGACGCCGCGGTGGTTTTTTTCCCGCCCTGTTTCAGATATTCTCCGGAGGAAAACAACAGCAAATTTTTCAACGACTGCACCCAGGAACCGTACTTTAATAGCAGCCGCTTCCGAAACACAAATACCCCGACCTGCGGGGCGGACAGAGCGAGGAGGTGGAACCAGGTTTCCTTGGGGATTCCGTCGATCTTCCTGGTCTCAGTTCGCTGGGAAAAGTGCGTCATCTTCGATAAGCATTTCGCGTACTCGAAAAGCGCGTTTGCCTCGTCGTCCTGGACCTTCCGTCTCCGCGCCGCCAAGTGCCGGTACGCAGGGTCTTCATACGGGTCTTCGTGAAATGCCCAGCAGTATCCTGCGTAAAAACGTCCCCACCCCAGAGTTGTCATGCAGCTTTGCGATTACAGGAACATTTGTGATGCGCAGCTCTACGAGAGGCGTTTCCAGTCATGTTTTGGAATCTGTAATGCTGTAAAACAGGATGAGCTTCCCTTGCTAACCAGCACTTCCCTTGCTAACCAGCACTACACGGGAGACGGAAACTTGTCATGCACAACTCCCAAACCTTGGAGATTTGTGTTGCAGATTTACCAACTTGACTCTGGGGTGGGGACGTTTTTACTCAGGATAAACAGTTGGACAGTTTCAGCGAGTCCTTGTTCGTTTCCACCAAGTTTTCAATCACCTGATTCCGCTGATCCTCCAGATCCTCTGGGTCTTGCGCGCTGGAACCGGGTATCAAATGCAAAAGTGTCTGGGTCTGGAATGTTGCAACCTGTGATGCTGTCTTTGGAAGGTAGGAAAAATCTGTATTGCATGACCAGCAAGAGGAACTCAGTTTGTGCTACGCGGAGTGGGCATTTCTCATGCGGAATACGCATCAGAAGGACCGTCAAAAATCTGTGATGCTAGGTCATGCATTACAGGCATCATGGGTTATGCAAAATATACATGACAAGTCTCGCAATCTTCCAGACCCAGACATTTTTGCACTTGATACCGGGAACGGCGGACGCGAGAATTTGGTTGACTTCCAACTTGGTGAGTTCCGGCTCCTCTTCTTCCTCAAAATCGACCCCGATGTTGATCTATGCATTGCAAAAGCATCACACTACGTAGTGGTAGTAATTGCATTTCTGCATTACAAATCTAGTTCCTAAGGTCAATCCGCATTACAAATTGGATTATGTAATGTTGCTAACGCTAAGTCAATTTGTAATGCAATTTATACTAGAAGTGCGGTGCTTTTGCAACCCATATAATCTCCTTTTTCTTCGTTTCGGACTTGGATCCAGAGCGGCCGTCCACTTGAAACCCATCTTGGTCACCACCGTCGAAAAGTTGCTCTTGCTGCTGTGTTTTATCATCAACACCGCCCGGCGTCGCTGGCGCGGTACTGGTCGCGGATTCCTCCGCTAGATTCCGGTCGTGAACCAGTTCTAGATACGCTTTCACCAAGTTTTCCCGAGTCACAAACTCCTGGATCTCAATCCCCGCGGATTTGGCTAGCTCCACGTTGCGACCGAGAGAAGTTGTGTTATTTTTTCCGGTTTGTCCCCTTGCCGTTTTCGTCCCATCTGCTTCTTCCTGGTCTTCCTTGTACCTTAAATCTTGAAACGCCGCTTCGAAGCTGTTATGGATTGCAAAAGTGTCTGGGTCTGGAAGGTTCTGAGACTTGTCATGCACGGTTTACATGAGACGTGATGTCTGTGATGCATGCCCTAGCATCACAGGTTTTTTGAACGATTCATGATGCCTGTTCCCCATGACAAATGCCCTCTCTGCGTAGGAAAAATTAGAATCCTTTTGCTGCTCATGCAACACAAATTTTTTTAGATATCGATATCCAAATGCAGCATCACAAGTTGCGTTCTTCCAGACCCAGACACTTTTGCATTTGATAGCTGTTGTATTTCTGCAGCACCATGGTTCGCAACTTCAGTAATTGCGAAGAGGACACTATCGAGCAAAAAAACTGTGTAAGTGTAACTTTGTAGGCAGAGGAGCATCACAAATTCGTTTTGCATTACAGAAAAAACCTGTCAAGCGCAGCTAGTACGTGAAAACACGTATGATACACAGCTATGCCTATGACGCACTTCCAGCATGACAAGATGTAACTGTTTTGCAGTTTCTGCATCACAGATTTACACTTAAGTACACAGTTTTTTTCTTGCATAGACACGTCGCACAAAGCGGTCGCGATTTCATCCACGTGCACCTTCTGATTCGGCATGTCCGCTAAGAAAGCCGGCCGCCCCGTCAGCATCTTGAAAATGTTCGACAAAAACTCCCGTTTCGTGATCAAAAAAAGGTTCTGCGCATTGGACAACCCGTCGAGAGGACCACTTTCAGATTGTAGTTCCCCGGTGGAAAAGTTGTTCGTATTGTCCCCCTGCGAATGAATTATCCGGTCAAGCAGCTGTGTCCCGTCGGCAGAGAAAATTTCCTTCACCTTCGGAATTTTCAAAATCCCGAGCTGCTTCTGCTCCGTCGGGAAGAAGGCCCGCTCCGCTAGGTCGACAAAAGCCGAGAAATGCACCATGTTCTGCTCCGACACGGCGGTGGTATTTGCGTTGTTCTTGAACAGAAGCGCTTCGATGACAGAGAGGATGCTGGTGCTGGATGACACAGACACTCCAGTGGACGCATTAACATCAAGCATCTGATCGTCAAGTGGTGGTCCCCCAAGAACTGCTGAGCCCCCGCTTGCCGTGGATTGCAGCAAGTTATCCCGGATCCGGGTCATCAGCAACTTCCCCAAGCGGTTCACGGAGTAGCACAGCATGGCCAGTTATCAAAAGCAAACATGTCTGGGTCTGGAAACTTCAACTTGTGATGCTGAGGTCTCGATGACTGAAATACCTTCCAATGCAGCCAAGCATGACAAGTCTCGCGCACACTTTCTCATGTGCAGCCCGCATGAGAAACTGCGCTTCTGTATGACAAAAGATGGCGTCTTTTTGCTAGTCATGACGCAACACAGATTTTACAAGAGTGCAGGACTAGCATTAAAAGTTCCATGCTTCCAGACCCAGACATGTTTGCAATGCATACCAGTTGCCGTCGCGCTTCCAGCGGCGACCCAAACGACCGTGGCAGGCTGTCCACCCTGGTCAAATGTATCCCACGAAAAAACTGCTTCACTGTGAACTTGTGGTGCATGGAATGGAACACAAAACGATTTGTCTTGCTACACATGCAAGACATTGGATTTTTAAGTGTGTTTTCCCTTGGGAAGTGCGCATGGCAAATTTTCTGTACCATATGTAACAAACTTGTGATGCAGATCTTGCAAAATCATGACAGTGAAACAGTTTTTTACTGCGATAAAATGCACGTTCGGTGTGATCCGGTCTCCGGGGGAGTAGGAGATCAAATCGCAAGCGAGAAATTCGTGCATCAGGTTATAGTGCAACACCTGAAAATAGTTCAGCTGGACCAAATTTTGGAGAAAAAAGTCCGTCGAGGACAAATTCAGGCTCCTCCGGGACCGTTATGCATTGCAAATACATCTGGGTCTGGAAACTTGTGATGCATGTCAGTGGATAGAAAGCACGTAGTGACGAACCACCAAGCATGACAGATTTTTTCGTAGGAGCGAGCTCCGTGTTCTTCCGTAATCCGCATGACAAAGTAAGACAAACAGCCTTCTTGCATGACAGATCGAAGAGGAGCTCTTGCTGGCCCCGCAATACAGAGTTCAGGGTCATGGAAAACCAGCATGACAAATCTGGCACTCTTCCAGACCCAGGAGACATATTTGCAATGCATAACCGTAACGCGTGCACCAAAGGCCACTCGACCAGATTCGACTGGTCCTCCAGCCTATCCTGTGCAAAAGTATCGTACTCGTATAAATGCAAGTCTTGCATCACAAATTTTTTTCTGAAGGTAAATCCGCATTACAAATTTTATATCTCATGCTGAGGAAATTTGTAATGCATTTATACGAGTACGATACTTTTGCAGTGCATACAGCCAGGGTTGCCAGGGTGGCGTTTTCAACTTGATCCGCATCTTCGTGAGCCAGGATCTCAATTTCAACACGGATTTTAAAGATAAGCGGCCCTTCTGCTCCTCTTCCTTCTGCTTCCGCTTGGCTTCCTGGATGAGCGGATCGTCTTCCTCCTCCGTTTATGCATTGCAAATAAATATGTCTGGGCCCGGAAGAAGTGGAACTTGTAATGCGGATTCTGGAATAGGTAAAAATTTGTACTGCATGAGCACCAAAAGCTTCACATTTTTTCTTGCTACGAAAATAGGCTATTTGTCATGCGGTACAGGCATCAGGAGGCCAGTGCGAAAGCGAAACCTGTAGTGCTTTATTTGCGTGCATAAGAGACAGTTTGAGTGATCGAGAACAGGCATGACAAACTTTAACTTCTGCACTCGTCCAGACCCAGACACACTTGCATTTGATACCGTTTCGAACTCCTCCATGGAGGAGGTTCCGGGAGTGGACACGAGACGAGAATCCCGTATCCTGCGTAAAAACTTCCCCACAGCACCAGCAGAGTCAAGATGGGAAATCTGCTAGACAAATCAGCCAGCCTTGGCTGTCTGGCATGACAAGTGTGCCCTCGTAGTGTAATCCTGTTTAGCTAGTTCAGAAGCATGACAGATCTAGCATAGCATGCTGATCCTAGCATCACAAACTCCAAAACACGAATAGAAAATGCTTCTCATGAGACTCCGCATGAGAAACTTTTTTGGCATGCAGAATTGCATGACAACTCTGGGGTGGGGACGTTTTTACTCAGAATATCCCGCTCCGACTCTTCATCCCCGTCCCGGGGGGAGATCTCCGCGTCGTTGTCAGCTTTGTCGCCGCTCGCATGATCTTCGAGGGCCTCTAGCTGGTCATTCGCGGAGGAATTCTGTTCCTCCGCGTCGAGTGCGGTTGCGTCTACTTCGGCCGCCATGATGTTCTCGTTTGCAAAAGATTATTTGTAGATCCTTTTGCAGGGCGGGGGTTGGTCAAACAACAACAATAAATAGACACAACTTTTTATTAACTTTAACTTTCCACCCCGGGAAATAAGTAATTCAAGCCCACCCTAGAGTTTTTGTTCTTTCGCCTGGAAAAAAAAGGGGCTGCTGATTAAGTAGTGAAGTTTTAAGAGAGTTACAACAATAAAAGTTACAACAATTTTAAACTCAAGTTTTGTAGTTGTTCTTGTGTGTCGTCCAAGTATTAACTAGAAGCCGACTTGTAGTGAGAGCTCCTGGAGAACAATGGATATCGAAGATTTGACTTACGGTTTTCCAACGTAGGCACAGTTCCTTATCCGTGTGGGTCAATTTTTTACAGTACAACACGTAACGCAACGAGGGACGACGGCATTGACATTGTCATTACAATACAGAGGGGACGATTACACGAAGGCGCTTGGACGACGAATTTATTGACCAAGAGCATACGATTTTTTTTTTTGCCCGTACGATTGGAAAAGCTAGCAGACCTGTACGGTTCTTTTTACGATATCTGTTCACGACGGACGAAGAGTTTAGAGCTTGGACACCCATTAGAATTCACAATGGTTATTTTACGGAGATTTTACATCGTCAACTATCAGCGCCTCCCTTTCCAACCATCCTGCTCATGCCTTGACTAATGACCGCGACAAGCTACCTGCGTTGCTAATCTTTTGGGGCCTGCACGCGGAAACTAGACAGGAAATCACGCACACCATCGGGCTAGAGTTGAAAACGCCCGATATTGTCGGTTTTTCTGTCGCCCGATACCATCGCGATTACGCTGTTACAGAAGGGCGAAAATGGGGCTGACTGCGCGTTTGGTTATTTTACGGGTTATTTTACAAGACTGCGGCTGGTTATTTTACGAACGAACACCCGCGCACAAATCTAATCATGGCGGCACAATCCACATTTTTATAAAATAACCGGCGCGCAAAAAAGCAGCTTTTCATAAAATAACCAAGCAAATTTTCCGCAAAAATCTATGAAGCCGGAAAGTCAGTTCGTCGTGTCCGTTGTGGGCGAAGGCAGAGACTCTCGTCTCTGCCTTCGGACACAAGAAGGACCCACACTGCTAGCAGGGAAGACGCAACTAAGAAGGGGACACCAGAAGGGATCACAAGAAGAACCCGCATTGCAATCAAAATTCTGAGCCCGAAAGCTGGTTCGTAATTTTTCCCCGCAACGCCGGCGAAATTCTAGCAACAATGTCAAATCTCCGCAAAATAACCTACCTAATTTCTAACGGCCATCCAAGCTGTAACGAAGAGTAGAGGATCCACGTTTGACTTTGATGTCTTTTCGTTTTCTTGTTTCACGGAAACAATTATACTGCATTACGTTATTGCGATCGGAGGTTGGAAATCGTTACTTTTACGAAGTAGGACTCTAGTACCCAATGTCGTGTGCTGCTGCTTCACGTACTTTTCCTAGTTCATGTCCAACATCAAAAACGAAACTGCTACTACCACATCAAAGTTGCGCCACTGTACTATGTGTCGAGACGCAACTACTTGTGAGCTGCGCCAGCGCCTGTTTATCCCCGTTCTTTCAAGAGCATGCAAAAGCAAGCGTGGCAACAATTAAAGGAGTAGCACAGCTGATACGAGGAACACGTAGAAAGGGAAGGCGCTAATAAAACAGAGCAGTTTATCAGTTTGAGTTTCAGTTCGCAAAAATTATGGATCACCACCTGGATGATCACCATCATATATATCGGTCAACAGATGAGCTGCTGCTCCAAGCAATAGATTGTCAAAAGACACCACACTACGCTTCTATCTCTCCTTGCTAGAAGTCCACCACAGCCATAACCTCAGCAGCAGGCACCCTGCCGAAAAGACCGCGGCGGCAAAATTCGCGGCGCCCAGAAACTCCGCATTGTCGACTGTTACCAGCAAGTGAAACGCCCAGGAGGAGCAGACGAACAAGCCGAAAAAATTCTGCGCGAAAGAGCCCATGTATTTATGAATTGTAAAAGTATCGCACTCGTAGTAATTGCAATCATGCATTACAAATTTTTTTCTAAAGGTGAATCCGCACTACAGATTTTATTTCTCATGCTGAGGAAGTAGTTGTAGTTTTTTTGTAATGCATTTATACCAGTACGATACTTTTGCTTTTGCAATGCATAGTACTCCGCTTTCCGTAACTCAAACGCCTTGTACGCGTAGAACGCCGGGGAGCCCATGTAAACTAAAAAGGTTGTCATGCCGAGCAGCTGGAATACAAGTTTCACCTCCAGAATGAGAACCGTTGATTTGTAATCCTGATTTTTGTCTTCTTCACTTGCGTCGGATGAGTCGTCATTCGTCTCGTTATCGACCCAAGCGGTCAGTACTGTCGGGTAGTCGATCGCAGCGGTGATAATGAAGATTATCGTGATCAATAGCAGGTAGCAAAGGAGAATTTTTGTCTGTCTCCTGAACTGTTTTTCGTATAAATCCATTCTGTAGCAATGCCGGTAGAGGTAGACCCAGAGAAAGCCCGCAAGCGTCTGCACCGTGCAGGGGATGATCCCGGTACGGAGCCCGTCGAGGAACATGAAAAGCGTCCACGTCCACCCGTTGGCGCACTGGGCCAGGAACTGGAGAGGCGGGGTTTCGAGGAAGAGATGGTGGTGGTGGTCTTGTTCTTCTTGGGGTTGGGCAACATTTTTTTCGTCCTGCTCGGATGAAAAGCGGTGGAAGTGTGCTTGGTCGCTGCTTTCAACGTGAAACGCCTCGTCCCCGGACGAGGGGGTCTTGTTTGATATTTCAACCGCTGTTAAGTTTTCGGCGGCGATTGTTATTGCTGAACCACCGGCACGAAGAATATGGTGCTTCTCAACCTGCTCCTTATCGTTGTTTTGAAAAATTCTTGTAGTCCTAGTGCCGCCTTCCTCTCCTTCCTTGACAAAGCAAGTGCGTGGTGGAAGTGCACCAATAGCACAGCCAGCAGTGTCATGATTCTCATGATCCAACACCGCAGCGGTCGTGCTCGAAGAGGACGATTGTTCTATGATCAAGTTGTCATCCCCCGTGCTGGCTACAACTGCTCCTCCTGCATTTGTGGATGTTGCACCTGAACCAAGGCTGATCCTGATGGTGATTGCTTCATTTTCGCTCGCACTTTTGTTCGGCGACGAGAGGGCCACGTCGATCACCGGATTACAAACGACGGCGTCATGGATAATGTCGTCTACTTGTAGCTCCTGATGCGGTTCTACTTGCTGCTGGTGCTGTTCTTGCTCTCGTTTCACCTCCTGTGGTCGTGCCTCAACAGCTGCACCCTTGGCGTGGCGGTCTGTAATATCCTCATGCTTTCTCACCGCACGAAGACAAGGACAACATGTTTTTGTGTTTGTGTCGTGACAAAAATTTTGGCTCTCGTAGTACGTACTTTTCTTCCTCCTGACACGATAAATGTCGTAAAACAGCTGGGCAGGGCCAAAATAGAGAAATATGGGGAAACCAGCTATGACAATGTCGTAGAGAAGAATTTGCCAGCGACTTTCAGACATGAGAGCAGCGCGGCAATGCTTGAAAAACTGAATTGAGTGGAGGTCTACGGGACGTGGAAAGAAGTAGAGGAGCGACTGACAAGTACTACTTAGGCTCAGACGACATGCTACTTTACCTAAAACAGGTTGATACGTAGCCGGGCAGCCAGTGGGCTCTTGTCCTCTACTAGTTGTCCGAGCAGAGGCAATTTTAACCTTCTCTGTGAAGATCCAACTTATGGTGAAGTAGAACTTTAAAAGCAACGAATTCGTTGCGTCAGACAGAACGAGGTCGGCAACTACAACAGGTTTCTCTTCGAGGCACGGACCAAGAACGAGGTTCTTGTCGGACGAGGGAAATGAAAAAAAGAGCAAGTAGTACTAGTACAACTCCACAGAACGATCACAACGTACGTTTGATACCTGAGCAAGCACGACGTAAAAAGAAAAACGCTACGACAACGACCTGAACGACAGGACGATTACATACGATCTACAGAGCGCCAACAAGCAACCGGCATATAATCTGCGACCTTCGATGAATACTGAATAGTCAAAACAACGAAAAAATCGCTGCACGAACGACGAGGAAAATATTGCTACAACATTCATCGTGCTGGCCTCTTCCTACCAGCACTTGTGCTTCTGGAGAAGTACAACTCACCGGTCGTTTACAAGAAGAAGAACTTCGTCTGCTATAATTTCTGAATTCACAGTCGGTGCTCGCTATTGGCAAACCTGTACTCGTCCGGGTTCGAAGTCGGTGCTCGCTATTCACACCGGGGCCATTTTTAGGCTCGCTATGGCAAACCTGCAGCATCCAGGGACCCTGACAAGGCTCTCGCCCCCACGGCTTTTGGTAGATTAAGCAACATCCGTTCCCAACAATGACGAAGAACAACGCCGAAGAACACTTTTTAAGAGATAAGTCAGAAGGCTACTGGACGCCATTGCCATCAATTTTTATCACAAGCAAAAAAACTTCTCACATGTTGGGTAGACGGCGACGGGCTACGACTTGACAGAGTAAAGCAATACAAAATAGGTCCCAGGCAGGCTATGCACGTACGAATCAAGTCAAAGACGTCAAAGCGAGAGGAGAGTCGTAGTTGTAAAACTTTGAGTTTGGTGCGCATGTATTTTTATGTGGTTTGTTAATATGTACTTTTGGTGTGTCTTTCTCAGAAACTACATACAAATTGTGTTGTTACTATGTATAAGGACATCTTTTTCCACATAGATATAACTTTCTGTGCGACCAGCGCGTAAATATTGATTGTTAAGGTAAAAATGGGAGCCAGGGTTACAGTACTTCATGTGGGATGCATTTTCGAAATACTCAGGGGGCAGAAAACTCTGAACGAAGACTTCTTGAAGGCTGCTTGTACTTGTGCTTGCTAACTAGTGTCTGTCTCTGTAAAGTTCTTTTGAAAAATAAAGGGTGATGCTGAAGGAAAACCGATATGTTTAAAGCTGCGAGCTTGGCTGGAAGAGTTGTGGGTGATATCATGTATCGTATACCCGGACGCAAAAAAGAAAAACAAGTTGGCGTGGTATCACAGTACTCTAGAAGAATACTTACGGACGAAGTCCAAAGGCGTACATACTTTTACCATGCTTAGTTAGACTTACCACTTTTTTGAAATTTTAGGCACTTGACAGAAAATCAAAATTTGAGAAGATATTGAACTTGAAAAAATAAAAATGCGCTTTTGCGCAAAAAATGAAATACTTTTGCAATTCTTCGCTTAACTAGTTGATTTCATGCACTGCAAATATCAATATGTGTCTGCGGTCATGCTAGGCCGGCGTGACTCGTCTCAGGTCTGTCAATGTCATGCAAATTAACACCACAGTGCTGCAGTTCTCTGTCATGCTCATGCAGAGCCGCTGTTTGCCATGCAAAACAGCCAACACCAACACCTATTTACTCAAGTCACAAACTTTTCATGCTGAGTCGGCAATTGCCGAGTCGTCATAATTCGTCTACCCGCATCACAAGTTTCCAGACCCAGATCGATATTTGCACTTGATAGTTTGTTGAACGTTTCTCCGTGCAGCTCCGCACCTTCTTGGGGGAAACACTGATCCGGCTTCTCCTGCTTACCATGCCCTTGCTCCATTGGCAACCGATTTTTCATACCCCCCTGAGGCGCCAATTGTTCTCCTCCACGCATCCATAGCTTGATCCCAAGCTTGTTGGAAAACGCTCTTGCCCGGCTTCGCCGTCTTCGTGTCCGTCGCCGTCTTCATTTCCGTCGCCGTCTTCGCTTCCGTCGCCGTCTTTTGAGGAGCAGAAGTGCGATAACCGCCAATGCGCCCCGTGTTACTGCTCGACCTGCTCGAGCTCCTGCCACTGCTCGAGCTCCTGCCACTGCTCGAGCTCCTGCCACTGCTCGAGCTCCTGCCACTGCTCGAGCTCCTGCCACTGCTCGAGCTCCTGCCCCTGCCGCCCCTGAGTTCTCGCGGAGATGCGTCGTACGCCTTGGACCTCACCGTGTCGACCGCTTCGCCAATAAAGGGCTCACTCGCCTCCTGCTGCTTCTTGGCCAAATCCAGAAACGCTTGCTGGATTGCTGGATTGCTGGATTGCTGGCGCTGTTAGCAAGTTAAAGTTCTAAAACTCTAATATTTGTGTTCATGAACAAGTAAGATCAAACTAGGAACCCTAAACGGCCTAAAGCCTGAAACCCTGGGAGAACCGGCCGCGACGGACGCCCACCTTTTCACGTGGTGCGCCCCTACATGCATAGTTTTTTGGAAAAGAAAAGCAAAAAGAGAAGGATGAAGAAAAAAATCGAGCGAGGCGAGCGAATCTCTCGGCGGCCTATGAAGGACAATCCAGTGGCCAGCCGGGAGTCCAACACAGTAGGGCTTCAGCTGCGCTGGCTCTAAACCTGTACATAGTACAGGTTTAGAGCCAGACTCTATTTGTGTTCATGAAATAAGAATTAGACGCACTAGCCGAGCGCCCCCATATCCTTACTCGAACGACACAGAAGTCAACATGGCGAGCAGAGTAAACAAATGCGCTCATTGAGCGCAAACGCAAGAACGCAGAATGCTATTTATAGATACCGGCTTCCAGTTCGACGGGCTGATCGGCGGCTTGTCGGCCTCGTCCAGCTGCCCCTTCATCTCGTGACCGGTCCAAAGCTATGAAAATGAAAATAAATCCCCCCTCCTCAGCATATCCAGAACAAGGCCGCTGGCTTGCGCACTTACACAAAAAATAAAGTCGGTTTTGCTGTAAGGAACCCACATTGACACTCGCAGCCTGCTGAGGAGCATACAAGTCTATTTGTTTAGCATGTTGGCAGACGCCTGCGCGTGCGCTGAAGCCCAGTAACAGCATGGCAAATCGCCTCCATAATGCGGGGCGCAGCTCTTCGACTGCCTTCTTGCAAGACAGATTTGTGACTACAAGAAATGAATCTGCTTCATCGCAAATTTTTTCATTCTTTGAGTACTGAGCTGCGGAGGGGTTATTTTTCATCACGATAAAACCATTTTCTTCGCACGGTTCTCCTCCATCTTCTTCTCCGCTGCCGCCAGGGCGGCGGAGGAAATGAGCAACTTCTGCGCGGTTTTGGTCATCCTGGACAGCAATAAGAACGCCGGGACTTCTGTCGTGATTATTCGTCGTTCACCTGCAGTACGAATGGTGACAGAGTTTGATCTGGGTTTGGCAGCGTTCAATTATAGTTTTTAATAATTCAATAATAGTATATTAAGATTTTTATCATGACGAGGAATGCTAGGCTTTAATGCCATTGCTACGCCAGAGCATTTTAATAATATTAAAATGAATTCTTGCAGCGCGCTGCAAACCACCCGGCCAAATAGCGCAATGCGTGCTTGATGTTCGTGGCTGGAGGTGGCGATGCATCATGTTTACTAATGTTTCTGTTTGTGCTTATGTTCACGAAACATCAAAGCCCACAGGTATTGAAACTCAAAATACCGGCCGTCTCTTCACGCCAGTTCTGATAGGTTTTGCGAAAGGATGGGCGCGCTTCTACTTGCGTCGAAAATCAACGACACGGCGAGCACCTGTGATTCCAGTTGTCGTTCCTTGCGCTTTGGATTCATTCATCGCACCTAATTCAGGAATGCAGTGAAACTTCTAAGACGATTAAATCAAAGCGAGCGCTTAAAAGTCTGAAAGCACGACGCAAGAGAAGTAGAGAGCCCCTTGCGAAGTCATATACTTATCGCAACGCAAAATCAAAGCTGAAGGCTGAGTAGATCACTGCAGCCGGAGCGAACTGCGTGGATTTGTGATGCGATTCCTGTATTTTTGGATTAAAGCGAGGAAAAAGGAGGCGGAAGTAGACAGTAGCTGAAATGGGCGCGGCGCGTTAGTGGATACTTGTACTTCTGCCCTCGGGGCCCTATACAGCTTAAGGCAGGAGCACCCACGACCTAGGGGCGCTGAGCCCTGCAACCGCATATTAGCAGGTGCTTCTCTAGCTGGCAGCAGGTCGATCCGTCAACGCCGCCCGAAATCTATCATAATTTAAAAAGAAGTCCAATACCTCAGGTTTCGCGAGAGCGGTGGCGCTGCGAAGGTTGCGCTGCGTCTCTTCCGAACGAGTGCGCTATAATTTTTGGTTTCTTCTGAAGATTGCTCCTGGGAGCAAAAACGAAAAAAAAATCCTGCTCGCAAGGTGAAGGTTGCTGTTTTGGGATCATAAGAATATTTGCATCACTTCAACATAATATCCACACTATCCACACTTCTGCTACAGGCAGGTGTCTATCTACAACTTGTATTGGCTTTCATAATGTGTGTGACCACATACAGCCCCGTAAGTACGCAACGAGTACGGATCTTCGCACGAACCGCTTCCACCGCTTCTCCTTGTTGATATACTAGAACGATACACGATCGCGACCACGAGGGAGTCTACAACGTCAACGTTTTTCCACGAAGAGCGCGGCTCTGAATTTATCCTACTGCACGACGTGGGCCACCCACGAGTTTCAATCAGAACGAAGCGATGCGATATACATATACTTCTCATCGTACACGATTATTAATTCGGCCTTGCGTTCGCACGATGTTGCCGATGGCGCATTTGGCAGTAAAAGATATCATCTACGGTCGGTGCTTTCTGTTCTTTTTTTTTTTCTACAATGTCCATCTCCTTGAATTACAACCTTCTCTGTGAAGATGATCCAAGTTATGGCACTAGTACCGTAGAACTTTGAAAGCAACGAGTTCGCTCCTCAGACAGAACGAGGTCAACAAAATCAAAATTCTAAAAATCGAGACGTGGAACAAGAGCAAGGTAGTTGTCGGACGAGGAAAATCATGAAGGAAAGAGCAACAACTCCACAGAACGATTATAATGTACGTTTGGTACCTGGGCATGAGCATGACTGAGCAGGCACGACGGACATAAAAGGAAAACGAAACGACAACGACTTGAACGACAGGACGATTACCTACGATCTACAGAGCGCCAACAAGCAACCTGCATATAATCTGCGAACTTCGACGGATAGTGAAAAAACCAAAAAAAAACGCTGTGCGAGCGACGAGGAAAATATGGCTACAACATCGTGGCCTCTTCCTACCAGAAGTTATGCTTCTGGAGATGAAGCACTCATCGGTCGTTTACAAGAACTTCGTCCGCTATAATGTTGAGTTTCTGATTTCAGAGTCGGCGTTCGCGTTATGGGTCGTGTTCCAATGTGAAGAAAGCATCTCCTTTCATAGTTTTGTCTTCTTGGGCAATTGTAGTTGCGGCGCTTGTTGCACATGGTGAAGTCGGATAACTTTTGTTCAAGAACATCTTCTCGTTCATCCGGAGTACTGCTCTGTTGAAAAAGTCTCAAAGTGTTTCAAAAGTGTAGGACACCAACAAGAACCCGCAACAAGAACATCAGCTACACGTACTAGACTAAGCTGTACTCATCCACGACCAGACGTGGCGTCAGCACACGTCGCTAGTAATACAACGCGAGAAATAGAATCCACCCACCTTGCTCGTCACAAGTCTTTCCCCTGCGCGCATGAACTGCAAAAGTATCGTACTCGTAAAAATGCATTACAAATTTCCTCCGCATGAGAAATAAAATTTGTAATGCTGATTTACCTTAACACAGGGATTTGTAATGCATGATTGCAATACGAGTACGATACTTTTGCACAGGATAGCGCGACTTTGGTTGCAAAGCTCCGCTTCTCGATCCAGATCAGGTGGTACCCAAAGTGTATGCAAGAAAAAAACTATGTGAGTGTAAGTCTGTCATGCAGAAATTGCAAAAAACTGTTACACGTGTCATGCTGGACGTGCGTCGTAAGCTACTTTCATACGTTTTCCACGTGCTAGCTGCGCATCACAGATATTTTTCCCTGTAATTATACAAAACAAATTTGTGATGCTGCTCTTCCTGTTCCTACACCTACAAAGTTACACTTACACAGTTTTTTCCTCGATAAACTGGGTCTGCACGGACAGTATCAAATGTAAATAAAAGTATGTGTTTGGGTGTGGATGATGCAAAAGAACTTGAAGGACAGTAAAGATCTGTGATGCGTCGAAAGGAACAATGGCGAGATGTCTTCCACCAATCATGCTACACACAAGTGAATTTTTCCTAAGAAGCCGACGAAAAGTTGTCATGGTCATGCTGCTGTGCCGCACAGTAAGAAGAGGCTCAGACATGCCTCAAGGACATCAAATTGTCTGCATCTTTGTGGTTCCAGACCAAAACGACATATTTTTCACCCTGCCTAGGCCCGTGCACCGTGTGCAACGGCTTTTCCGGATCGAAAATCACGCGGTCAAAGGCGGGTACCATCTATGCCTTGCAAAAGTATCCTCGCACTCGTTGTATTGCAGTCATGTATTACAAATCTTTTTCTTAAAGGTAAATCCGCATTACAAATTTTGTTTCTCATGCTGAGGATGAAATTTGTAATACATTTATACGAGTACGATACTTTTGCACTGCATACCATTTGGCCATAGGCAAAATTCCCGAGCGATCCGCCCTGCTTGCCGCTGGGGCAGGAAACGTATGAAGTGGTTGATGAAGAATTTTGAATTTTTCTTGGTCGAGAACAACATGCAGATCAACAACATTCTGCTACTTAGAACTGAAACAAGAGAACTCTCTTTCTGTAGAGCAGTCAAATGCATGACATTGACCAGCACGAGTACAATAAGCTCTACAAGCTGCTGCTTGTCTACTACACGACCAAAAACGACGACGAAAAATTCATATTGCATCACTCTCATCATGGATATAGAGTGCTTCCTGGCCAATTCCTCGAATCTTTCCAAGCGGTTGTCGATTTCGCTCTTTAGCTCCTGGGCTTTCGATTCCTGTGGATGTTGTTCCGTTTCATATTCATCTTCAGATTCATGCAAGACAGATCTGTCGTCTGTTTCATCGCACAACATTCGTTTTCCTTTTCGTATTGACATTTATTAAGCATATACAAACCTGAGCAGCTGCTAAAATTGTTGCACGAAGACAAACTACTGTTGACCTCTGAAACGAGAATGTGACGGGCTGTGGCGCGATGTATCGGTTATGGAAGGCGGAAAAAGTGAATTTTCATTTTCTAGCAGTAGTTGCAGATACGAAGTCAAGGCATTCCTCAAGCGGGTGTCCTTCATGCTTTGTTCGACGTCCTTTGTTCATCAGCTTCACCTGATTTTATTTCGTACCAATCTTTATCTCGTGGAAAGAAGTAATGATAGTTTTCAGCACTGTGCACCATCCTCCTGTCGTGCCCTCGTATCTACTGCTCTACATCATTGTCATTCATTCTTTCCACTTTCCATACTGGCGACAGCAGACCGATTTTGACCAGCGGCGTGCGAATGAATTCCGGAATGCCGCAGACCATGATCAGCAGGCCGTATCCTGTGCAAAAATATCGCACTCGTACTAATTGCAAATATGCATGACAAATCCAACTTTCTACCTGAAATAGCATGACAAATTGCATTTTTGTTCTTGGGAAAATTTGTAATGCAATCCACACTAGTACGATAGTTTTGCAATGCATAGGCCGATGCAGAAGACAATTTGTATCCACCAGGCGCCAGCCTTGCTTTCCGGCGCATCCTGGTCGATATGCCTTGCAAACATGTCCTCTGGGTCCTCTAGAGTTCGTGATGCATGGGCATCAAATAGACATCATCTATACGTACCTGTCATGCAAAAACGCAGTTTGCGTTTACCGCATGGCTGCGTACTTATTGCAGTGCCCCCATGGAAGCCCACTCCCGTAATTCAAATTGAAACAAAGAACGCTTCGTAGCATGACAACTTTCCAGTCCCAGATGACACGTTTGCAGTTTATAGACGATGACCTGCCTGGCGCCGGACTTCGGAACAGCGGCCGGCATCCTTTTGCTTCTCTTGCTCGGCTGAAGATGACTGTCGTGTAGCAAATAAGTGAAGAAGGAATGCACTTCACGACGCGGACAAGATGAAAATGGTAGATACTCCCTGGACCTGAAAATGTCGTGGCTGATGTTTACTGTCGGACTGGTTGTTCCTGTAGTTCTTCATCTTCTACGTTGTACTAGGCGAAATGGTTGTAAAAAAACACCTTCCAGCACATCCGGAAAGAGAAAGACAAAGACAACAAAACAACTGATATTCATGAGAATGCAAAGTAGTAGCAGTACTGCCTACTAGAGCTGCTACAACTGTAGAAATGATCTGGAGCAGGGGAACCAACGAGAAAACCGTGGGAAAAAAGCTTCTGATAATAGTAGACATGCAGTCGTGGTTAAACAAGCTCGCAACTCGTCTTTAGCATCTACTTGTACGGCGAACACGTTTATTTCTTGATTTCCCTTCGTAACAAAATCCTTCGTTCGTCTTCATTGAAGACGAACGAAGGACGCTTTTCATCAAGCTGAACTTGCTCGGTCGTTTTCGTTTTTTTTCTATATCATATATCAGCATGAAGTTGAAGAACATTCTACAGCCCGAGCATAGAAGTGAAAAATTTTCTCAGCATCTACATCACTAGAACTACGCAGCGCGACAGCAACACTATTTGCTTTCGCGTGTTGTGGTTCTCGTTGTGGTCATCTGCGCCCTTGATGGTCGCCGTTGTTCATCTCGTATAAGAGGAGCCAGTACTTTCTCTTCCACATGGATCTGAGTACTTATTCCATATTTTTGATGCTTCGATTTTTCTCACTTGTCGACCTGCTCCGGGGATCTAATTAGTAGAAAAACTGGCGTTAAAAATACTCGAATTGGATGCGTCATGATCTCGCAGCTGACCACCAGCTCCTGCTGCATTTTAATTTACTTGATGAAAAGCGTGCTCAGACAGAATCAGTTCTAGTTCTACAGCGTTGATATTTTACTTCTCCACCTTCGGTCAAATCCTACATGATAATCTGCAATCGATCCTCTTCCTTCTTCCTTGATGCGTTGCAAACATATCCCGCACTGCTTGTGCACAAAAAAAACTGCGGTAAACATCTTCACAAACAAAAAATCTGAAAGTGCACGTGGCCACACACCAACCCCTTTTCAAAGAAAATTCGGCCTACGAAAGCCTGAATTAGAATTTTTCCCGGTACTTATGTATACTATAGGCGAACAAGGTATCAGGCGGCACCATCAACCTGTTTTGTTCGTCGTCGTCCCCCTTCTCAAGTTGTCTATAATAGAAGTCCACGCGGCGCTCCTTGATGTGCGTAGGTACTTCTGTAGTCCCAATTCAGCTCGAATAGAGAATTAACGTGGCGGACGGTTCTCCTGGTCACTCCCGTCGGAGTCGTCAAAAAGTCCCGCTCGCCGGACTACCTCATGGGGACCTTGCAAAAACAGAGCTCCGGCGCCGTCGTCATCGTGTCTCATCCGTTCGGCGGCATCTTCAAACTCAGGCTGCAACTCTCGAATGATATCCGGGCCGAAATTGCCGACTCGTCGTTGGCCGGCACGACCACGAATTCGCCGCGGCGCATCGGGGACGGCAAGATCCCTCCGTTCCCTTGGCGGCGGTGTCACCTGCCGCGGCGGGGAACCAGCCTGCCGCTGCGCGTTTTCGAAGTTGCGAAGCGCGTTCTGCGCCGGCCGGTGGAGATCCGGGCTTGGGGATCTTGGAAGATCTTGGTAGGCACGGAAAGGAAGCGCCCCCACACCCGCCGCCGGAGGAGCAGCTGCTTGTGCTTGATGTTCTCCGACATTAATTCTGGCAAAATCTTCGAAGCCCAATAAACCTCTGGTCGTGCGCCGTTCTCGCTGCGGTGCGGCGGGAGGGGAATTTGGTACCGGAGATCGGGATCTCCTAATCCTTATCCTGTGCAAAAGTATCGCACTCGTATTGGAAAAGTCACGCATTACAAATCTTTGTCTTAAGGTAAATCCGCATTACAAAATTTATTTCTCATGCTGAGGAAATTTGTAATGCATTTATACGAGTACGATACTTTTGCACTGCATACTCCCACCCAGCTGTGCTGGTCCCGGTGGGGGCGAGGCCGGAGGACCAGCTCGACGCCCAACGGGGGGAGAAGGGGTCCTCAATGTTGGGCGCGGGTCCGGGTTGATCCCTTCGCGGCGCTGCAGCCCTTGGGGCAGAGGCCCAACAGGTGGAAGTAGGTGACCGGGCCCCCCGCGATGAAGGAAACCAATTTGCTCTGGCTGCTGGTGTAGTGCTCCGGTGTATGTCGTAGCGGCGGCACTCCCGGCAGATGCAGAGCTTCGGCCCGTGGAAGTGGATGGCGCTAGTGCTACGTCATAAACATTATTCATCCCGGGGGACGAAGAGGAGGAGCTGCTGCTGCCGGCTCCCAGCGACAAACCCGACACCAGCAGCGGGAAGGAAGCGAGATAGAAGTAGACCACCACGGCGGTGGTCGTTCTTGGGGTCCAGAACAACTGCAGCATTCTGAATACGTTCTTTGCCTGTAGTAGAGGGCTGATTGAAAACAACGTCGAGTTCTTGACGGGAAAGAAAAGAAACTACTTTTTAAAAGAGGAGATGTGGAGCTACTTGGTATTCTTTCGAGATCGTTTTTTAGTTGTGAGATAAACTTGAAAAAATTCTACGGAAATATATAGAAGTTCACTGCTATTTTTATGCAGCAGAGAACTAGTATAACTCAGCTGGAAATAATGGAAATGAGGCGCGATGGAAAGTAGAGCTCGCAACTACCGATATTATCAAGGAATGATAGATCGATAATATGGCGAAACAAATTCCACATGTTTTGTCACCCATTCTGATCTTTGACCTTGAGAAGTTTCGATGATCTTCAACTGCTGGCGCCACGGGCCAACAGAATGACAATACTAGACGTCGTGGAAATATAACAAAATCTGAATTATCGGATCATCGACATCATTCGGAATTTTTCTCACGACTCTCAGTTCTCTTGGCACTTTGTTGAACATCACAGATCTTATTTTTGTCCCCTTCGAGTGATCCTGATCTGTCTTTGAAGAAAATTTCTTTGCAGTCCAGCAGATCTACTTTTACCAGCACCAGCAGTAGATCCGGATCGCGTAGAACCCAAACCAAACAACAGCCCTCATACATGCTGGAGTTCTTGCTGCTCCGGACAACAACTCCCTGTGTAGAAGTATACATACTTTATTATAGACTTACTACTTATACTAACTTTCTCTATCTTCAAAAAGTCTTGGTTCCCAATTGCATCTATACTTAGAACGAAGGAGAGAATGTTTGTTGTTGTTCTTCCTGCTGCTCGTGCTGGTAAAAATTTTGTTCTGCGTTTTATTTCCTGGTTCGTTGTCGTGCCGTTGGACGTACTTAGTTACCACGGAGCAACTGAACTACTAGCAGTACTCGAGGGTCGTGAGGAGAACAGCAATAAAGTTCCGCCTCCTCTTGGTCTTCGATTTGATGCTAACGGGCTTTTTACACAGGAGGATCTTCATGCAAGAACGTACTTGTGACCTATACGTAGCTACGGTGTCGTCTGCTCTCCTTCTTCAAATCACCTTCGCCTCCTTCTATCCCACGAACAAACTATTTCACTGTGACGCTTTTGCAAGATCTGCATCACAAGTTGAAGTTTGTTAATACACATGACCGCAGAAAAGCTACCATGCGCGCTTCCCAAGGGATGAGATAAACACGCTTAAAAATTCGATGTTCTATGCAGGTGTAGCAAGACAAATACTTCTGTGTTGCATTCTATGCACCACAAGTTCACAGCGAAACAGTTTTTTCTTGCGATACGTTCTTCAGCTTATCCACTAGCTCGTCGACGTCTGCCACCTTCTATGAGAGTGCACAACTTGTTCCCCTCCCACTCATTTGTATGGCATGAACAACAGCATCACAAGCAGCGCGCAGACTGTGTCTTTGGCATCACAAATCGTCTCCTGCGCAAGGATTCTAGTGCTGTTTGAGGTCGTCGTCGTCCCAAAAGCAAGATTTCTTATGCATCGAGTGCTTAAAGGGAACAGCGAGATGTCATGTCGCGTACTTCTACTTGGTATTATGCATTACAAATGAGGAAATCAAGTGGGGTTGTGCAGTCTCATACCTTCACCCCGGCCGCCCTCACCGGCGGGTCCTCGACGGATAAAATCTTCATTTTCGGTGCCAAATCGACGCCGAACGACGCGGCCTCCACCTTCTCCAAAGGTTTCTTCTTCGCTTTCATCAGATTCGGCTATGCAATGCAAAAGCATCGTACTAGTATAAATTGCATTACAAATTGGCTTGGCATTACAAATTAAATTGGTAATGCGGATTTGCGTTAACAAAAAGATCTGTAGTGCTTAAATGCAATTAGTGCGAGTACGATACTTTCGCAGTGCATATCGGCAAGGTCGCGTACCGTGGATCGTTCAACCGCAAATCGGCCGTGATCACCGCCGGCAGGGAAAGCTTCATCGTTTGAATCCCCGCGTCGACTTCCCGCTCCGTGGTGAGAGCCTCCGCGGTATGACAGTGCACAATTCCCCGTCCCTCTCATTTGTCATGCAAAATCACAATTCCACGCGCTGCGCTGCTTTGAGGCACCGTTTGCTTGACAGATTCATCTCGAGGAAGCCTAAGCAGTGCTACGCTACGCGCATGATGAACTTGTCATGCTAGTAAACAAAATGCGACACACTTTGCCCCCCCATTGTGCCATGGCCGCAGATGATGAACTTGTCATGCGCAGACTTCATTTGCGCTGGTGTTTCTATTGCTGCTCACGCAATACAAGCGAGGGGGAGGGAGAGTGGTGCACTCTCATAGGCGGTGCCGTCGATGGAGGAGGTGAAAGTGGACTGGGGCCAGTTGAGCAGCCCCGCGAGGATCTGTATGCTACGAAAAGAGTGCTACAGTTGCACATTTGTAGTGAATTCAGCAACACAAATTTCTCTGCATGAGAGAGAAACCCTGCAATGCAGAAATCCTACGGGAAAATAAACAGCTCTGAAACGAGGCTCCTATGCATATCCGGCATGACAGAGCTTGTCTGCTTTGCTTGGCCTGCAACACAATGTGTAACTGTAACACTTTTTTCTTGCGATAATCTGCCCCACCTGGTTACTGTCCGAGTCGATGGACTGCTTACTATCAAAGGCAAAAGCGTCTGGGTCTGGAAGGTTGGAACTTGTGATGCTAACTTTCGACTCTAAAAAAATCTGCATTGCATGACCAGCAAGAGGAGTCTAGCTTTTGCTACGCGGGGAGAGCGTTTGCCATGCGGAGTAGGCATCAGGAAGGGTTCTAAAAGTCTGTGATGGTAGGGCATGCATCACAAACAATCCTGGGTCATGCAAAATACGCATGACAAACCCGGCAACATCCCAGACCCAGACACTTTTGCATTTGATATTTACCGCACAAAACCAAATTCGGACTCTCCTTTTCTACCACTTTCTGCAACAGCTTCGCCGTCGTATGAAATACAAAACTATCGTACTCGTAGTATTGCGATACAAATTAGCTCAGCATGACAAATGGAATTTCTCTTGCTGATTTAGCTTGAAAACGCAATTTGTCTTGCATGACTGCGATTAGTACGAGTACGACACTTTATTTGCAGAGGATACACCGCCAGAGGTTGCAATTCCTGGTCGGTTCGCATGTCGGTCGTCAGCAAAATCGCTCGGTCTGCACCCATCGCGAGACTCTGGCGCATATGGATTGCAAATATGTCTGGGTGTGGAAACTTGTAATGCTCAAAGTGAATGATAGACGCGCCACAATACGCAGCTATGCATGACAAATTTTGTGGCTGCCATGTCTTTACGTATTCCGCATGGCAAACTGCCTTTTCGCATGACAGTTAAGAGGACTCTTTCGTGCCTACGCAACACAGATTCTCGAGTCATGCCAGACAAGCATGACAAACTTGCATTCTTTCAGACCCAGACATTTTTACATTTGATAGCGCAGCACTTCCTGCGATTTCTCCGCCCCGATGGAAACCGCGATCAACTCTGTCAGCAGACCCTGTTATGGCAGCGTCAGGACCGAAATTGGCAAAAAGTTGAAAATGAAAAACAACAAAATGTGTAATGCACAAAATGCAATCTTCCTCCACACGAATCCTGTATTGCAGAGCAGGCTAGGAAGGACACTGGAAGCCTGTTTGAGGATAGACATAGGGGGGGCTGCTAAAGTAGCATGGCAAAAGATCCCTTTTTTCCCCAAACAGCTTGACAAACTAAACTCGGGTGATTATACCGAAATTTGTCAAGCGCCGCCCAGAAATTGGGCTTGCAACTGGTATCGAGGATTTTACGCATCACAAATTCATTTCAACTTTGTCGATTTCGACTCTGACGTTTCCATACCTTTTCCTTCATGCGGATACCTTCCTCGACCGCGATCTCGCAGAAGTGTTGTGAGGAAAAACATCCCCAACCCAATTAAATTTGATGTCAACATGTCGAGCTGCATGCCCAGGATGTGTTTCATGCGCAGCAAGCCCGTGACGAGCTGCGAAGTTCACAAAACTACCACCTTCCTTTAGCGGAAATTATTCCATCTTGACAACAACGATGGGCTAGGGTTAGGGACGTTTCTACTCAGGGAGATACGAAGGGGTTCATGCTCATCTTCACATTCTTGATTTCGACCCCGGACTTGTCTTTTGCGACGCGCACCTTGACCGCGTAATCAATGACGCGCTTGACACACACGAGTGCCTTGTTCTGGAGAAACGGAGACGGACGAAGCATGGTTGATGGTTCTTGCCGTCAAAACTTTTTTATCAGTGTTCTTTTTTGATTTTGCGAAATTTTCTTTGTAACTGTATCTTTTTGTACTATCACGAGCGACCGGCGTGGAATACGAGGTAAGTGTGTTTAGTATATGCGCATGGCCCAACTAGAGCAATACACGACCTTTCTTTTTCATCTCGCAGTAATTGTAGTTACACAGATTTTTCAAATTCGTCCACAAGGCTGATCATGGTTGTGATGCGTTGCTTCTCTAAACTTACTCTCAACTACAACGCTAAGTACAGCAACCTCATCTCTCGTCTCGTCGTCAAATGTCTTCGCTGGTACAGCAGCAAGAGCAAGGTTTCATTTACGCAGATGCTCTTGAAACTGCAACAAGCGCTCGCCTAGTGCGGAAGACAGATCACACCAAGAACGACGAACAAAGAACAGGCAACGCCTTTTCGCGGAAACTCGTGTGGCCGAAACAGCGGTCATTCCAGTAATATGCCAAGATTCCGACCTCATGCGAAGAGAGGATCTTCACTTCTACAGAAGAACACGACTGGTGGCGCCACCTCATCAAGGAGCCGATCTGTCGTCTCGCGCAGAAGTATGGTACAACGTTGTGTCGGGAGTTGTCCTCGCCATGCTGCTAGCTCTGAATCTTGTTTGAAACAACCGAGTACAACTTCATCTCCAGCAGTAGCGAAGCGGTTTTTTACTTACTGTGCAAAAACCGTGTCAAATGCGTCGAGTGCGACCCACGACCACTTCTGATTTTATTCAAGAAGTTGTGCACGACTGCAGTCAGAAGTATAGTTGCAGTTCTCGTGCAAAGAATTATCCTCCTCAAGGCTTCGCATCCGGCTGGAAAATGACGCCAATGTAGGTCGTATGGATTGCAAAAATGTCTGGGTCTGGAAGAATGCAGGAGTTTGTCATACAGATTTTGCATCACCCATGAGGTCTGTGATGCTGGCCGAGCATCAGAGATTTTGCGAGGGCTTTCTGATGCTCATACCGCATGAGAAATGCCCTCTCCGCGTAGCACAAATTGCACCTCTTTTGCTCTTCATGCAATACAGTTTTTATGTAGATTCCAAGTGTAGCAACACAAGTTGTATCCTTCCAGACCCAGAAATTTTTACATTTGATAGGTCGGTATGGTTTCGATCGTGATCCCGTCGCTGGATATGGATGTGTCAGGATTGAAATCGACGAAGATGAAATAACTTGCAATGCATAAAATAGATGAAAATTGTAACCCAGATTCCAAGTGGTGCATGACAACTTTGAGTAAGGCCGAAATCCAGTTTGTCGTCCTGTTTGGGTAAGGAAGACGCCTTTTGTCATGCTACTTTAGCAGCTCAGTTTCATTCTACTCCTCAACAGGCTTACAATCTGCCTCACTTGCCTACTCTGCAAGACATGCACTTTGTGGGCTGCATTTTATGCATGACAAACTCTTTCAACTTGAACTTTGACGATTTCAATCCTGACATTCACTCCCATACTGGACTTCTTGAAAATGAACACGTCGCCCTCGTACCCACTCGTGTCGCCAACGTTAACAAGTGCCGCTCTTTGCGAAGTGCGTACTGCGCTTGAAGATGGACCGCGGCTACTGCTTCTGCTCAGTGTTTCAACACAGCTACCGTCGTTGGCACCTACCACCTACTTCCTTACTTAGAGGTGGTATGATTATTCCTCAACATTCGGATGGCGTCTCCTCCAGAGGCTGCTCGGCCCTGTCCTGCTTGTTGGTCCCATACGGACCACCGTTGGGTCGAGCTCTCCCGCTTCGCTCCTTCCAAGCCGCATGAGCTCCTCCCCATACTGCTTTGCTTCCAAGACCCTGCTCCGTACTTCCCGGTCCCTGCTATCCCGAAGCAACTCTCCCTGACGCTGCCGGCGGTCTCTTTCCGCCGCTCGTCGTGCTTCCTCTTGTTCCCTCGCCACAGTTCTGGGAAAAACAAGAGAGCGAATCCCTTGGCAGCAGCTATTATATACCCTGAATAAGTTATCATGTAACCGTTCTTGTAAAAAAGTGAATGCTGTTGCAATAAATGGCAGAAAAATTGGGGTTAGTGAGTACAGGCTGCATGTAATTATGCACAGTGTCACTTTTTCACGTCAAAAATGCATGTGCCATTTATTTTTTCACGCGCCATCACGTTCTTCTATCAGCGAAGGAAGCTGCGAGAAGATCTTCCGTGAAGTATTTCACTTTAGTACGAGTACGATACGGACACAACTTCTACGCAGCATATTGGCTCTGTCCTTAGCTCCGATCTCGCCACAGAGAGCTGCATTGCTGCGGAAGGAATCGTACCACCGTTGTTCCCATCGTCCTCTGCGGTTGCGGACGCACTCGCCGTCTGCGCAAAACTGCTTCTCGACATCGCTGGCGTCGCCGTGGTACTTGCTGCGCAAGTCACCGAAATCTCCGCTAGGGAAGCTACCCCGTCGTCATTCGTGTCGAACTCCGTCATGCACGTTTCTGCAGGAGTTGCAGTTGTTTCATCACCAGCCGAAGAGCTGCTGACATCTTCAACCCGCTGCGTGTCATGATTCTTGTTCCGAATCCCCATTTCGGCGACGAATTTCTGCATTTCCGCCATATCCAACCGCTGATCACCGTTCAAATCGAAGACCAAAACCGTCCTGCCGTACTGGTACGCGTCGAAGTTGTAGAGCAGAAATGGAGCCTCATACTGGAAGTGCCGCATCAGTATCTGGGAGAGGTCGACGTGTAAGTAGTACATTGAAATTTCATTCATTCCCATCTACTTGCTGTTGCAGTGCTACTTTTACAATACTAGACGCCACGCGCTTGTTGCGTGAGTAGATTAGTACACACGATTTTACAACATGATGGGCCGTTCAGATAAACATGAGCGAAACTTCTGTCATCGCCCTGGAGATGCAGACGCACGTGCACCAAAAGCAAGAAGTAGTATTTGTACCTGCATTCCCTGCAGCTCCACCGACGGGACCTGCTTCAGCATCTGGTTCTCCATAGAAACCGTAGTCGCCACGTAAGTCGACCACTGTCCCTGGAAATGACTCAACTGCAGGTCGGTCATCGCGTCGAGGGAGGTCGCCTCCACATGATTAGTTTGCAGAAGGCTCGCAGTTCTTGTGGTGGACGAAAATAAGGACCAGCTCCTGGGGTTAGTCTTCTTGTTGGGCAAAGTCAAACTCGTCCTTGTTGTCCCTCCAAAGACGGTAGTTCCGTCAGGCAGTAGAGTGGAGGTGCTCCTCGGGGAATTGAAAGAACCATCTGCACCTGCTCCGCCCAAGCCAATATCACCTTCCTGCTCGCCAAGCTCAGCAACGACATCGGTGGCCGCGTCCTCCTCGATGTGGATCATGTGGTCCTCTGATACAACAAGACCACCAACACGGTCTTCATCCTGCAGCTGCTGCTGGATCACAGATTTGGGACTGTGCTGCAGTGCAGCCGTGAAAAAGTGCCAGTTCAACGGACTCGACATGTCGACGAAGGTGGCACTGTGGTACAGCGCCGCAAGCCCGGCGGTCCCGCCAAGCAATTCGAAGACACAAGGAGGTGGTCTCGTTCTTACACTTCCTGGTCGCGCCGCCATCTTGCTGGAGTCAGCACTTGTTAGATTGCTTTCACTAGGAAAAAAAATGGCGGCTTTTTTTTTGCAATTTTCCTGTATTTGACGCGTCTTTTTTGTTTTTCTGTATTGTTCTGACAAGGCCGCGAAAATTGACGAGATTATCAGTAGCAGCGAGCGATACATATGATAGGTGGTTTATCATTCATTCTTCCTCTTTGGTTGGCGGGGAATAAAGCAACAGAGTTCATACAAAAACTTCTTTTTCACGACAATCTCACGACAGAAAAGCGAGTCTGGCTGACATCCTCCCACGGCGACATTGTTGAATACTTACTCGATATTATACGAAGAGAGCACGACGTTGCCGTTGTCCCTGACGAAATGAGCACAACCAAGTACAACCTTCATCTACTACGAAACTCCTTCAACGAGTATTGGTATTCCCGTGACAAACGAATAACGATGATCCGAGCATATCTCTTTTTCTTTGAAGATGTTCATCGTGCTTGACTGCAGTTTTAACTTTACTCGACGAAATTCTGATTCTTATTCTTTTTCACGTCCTTACATTTTTAAAAACACAAATCCGCCGTCGTGGTCCCTTGAACCGTCTTTCATCAAAATCGTCCTCAAACTTCCGCTTCTGAATTTGATGATTTTCTGTCTGTTCATACGCATGAAGATTTTTCTTCCGGAACAACCAGAACCAAGCACAGTGGGGGAAAAACTATAGCTTGTCTCCACTTCGTTTGCCGACGTCTCGTCGAAACTATATTACACAGCACGCGCGTATAGATTTCCATTCATTTACCCCAGCTCCTGGCGGTCTCTGCGGAACCGATGTGTCGACCGTAGAAGTGCGCAAATACCACCGTGAGCCGCAACTAGCTAGTCCGCAGCAAGTCATCTACTTCATCGATCGCGCCCCTTAAGGCTTCGCATCCGGCTGGAAAATGACGCCAATGTAGGTATCAAAAGGAAAAATCCGTCCTCCCCATATCGAAAACGAGACTTGTGATGCTGTATTTGAGTACACAAATCGACTTGTAATGCTGGAAGGCCAAGAGCCGCAGTTGTGGCCTCGGGTGCAGGCAATTTGTCATGCTGTTTCCCACTAAGTGGCTCTCTGTCATGCTGAAGGCGCAAGGTTTTCCCACGCCAGCCAGCACTACCCTCCGCATGTCTTTCCTTCTAGCATGACAGAGCTGATTTGTCACCACGAATCTGCATCACAGATCTTCGTTTTGATATGGGGTGGGGGGATTTTTCATTTTGATAGTAGGTCGGTATGGTATCGATCGTCTCCCCGTCGCTCGACTTCTTGAAAATGAACACGTCGCCCTCGTTATGCATTGCAAATGTGTCTGGATCTGGATCTGGAAGGATGCGAAGTTTGTCATGCACATTCTGCATGACCCAGCATTACAGGTTTTTTGAGGGCTTAATGCCTATCCCGCATGAGAAACACCCTCTCCGCGTAGAAAAAACTACTGGACTCCTCTTGCTGCTCATGCAATACAGATTTTTTTAGAATCCACAGGTAGCATCACAAATTCCATTCTTTCCAGACATCCAGGGTGGATATTTGCAGTGCATACTCGTACCCACTCGTGTCCCCGACGTTCAGCACTATCAAAATGAAAAGTCTCCCGCTCCCACATCGAAGTGGAAGTCTCTGATGCGGGATCTGTGTACACAAATCAGCTCTGTCTTGCAGTGAGGCACAACTGCAGGCAAAGCATAAGCCTGCGTAGGGGTGTTTTGGTGTAAGTGCTTCGCATAGTAGAGGCCTGCCATGTAAGCGCAACAGCATTACAAATCGCCTGCATAAGGCGGCGGATTTTTTGCCTTCGCCCTCTTGCAAGAAGAGAGACAGGATCTTCTGTGGTCACAAATCAGCATGACAGATTTTATTTACAGGTATACCTTTTCAGCATGGGCGGGAGGGGGAATTTTTACTCGCAATAAGCACCGCAATGCCGTCTGGATTCAGGTTGTTCATTGCATATTTCTTCGCGTTCTTCTCGCTCATCATGTATCCCCCGTGCAATCGGTCGTACTTTTTCCCCGTCGGCAGATTGTCATTCACCGCCCCGGCGTAATAGCTCGGCAACTGCACGACATTCGGCGCGATTTTATGCATTGCAAATATGGCTGGGTCTGGAAGATTGGAACTACTTGTCTTCATGCTAAATCCTTCCGAATCATGCAAAAAGAAAAATCTGTGTTGCAGGAATGGCAAAAGCTGTCCACTTTCGACCAAGTTTGGAGGGGATTTCTCATGCAGGATATTAGCCATGACAGAGACCTCACAGAGTCTGTCATGCTAGGTCCCGCATTCCAGATTTGATGGGTCATGGAAAACCTGCATGACAAGTGGCCTAGCAATTATCTTGCAGACGTCCAGTGAGATTTGCAGTTGATAGATTTCGTGCAGTCGCAACTTGTTTTTCGCAAAGTCCGCAGATATCTCGTATGCATTTCAAAAATGTCTGGGTCTGGAAACTTGTGATGCTAAAATGTGGATGATGCAGACAGTTCCGAATGCAGCAACCCAGCATGACAATTTTCCGGAACGCTTTCTCATAGGCAATCCGCATGAGAAGTTGCGTTTTTGCATGTACAAAAGAGGCTGCGACTTTTGTTGGTTATGCCATACAGATTTTCTAGGTATGGAAAGCTAGCATTACAAGTTCCAACCTTCCACACCCAGACACTTTTACAATCCATATCTCGGTGGGTTATGCCAGAAGTGCACAACGGCTTCCCTCCCTTGTCTTCCTAATTTGTCATGTAAAGACACCAATTTTTACCAGCATCGACTACAGCATTGTAGTTGTAGCATTCTCTGGCATGACAAGTAGCAGCACGAAGACGAACCAAAAGTCATCTACTTCATCGATCGCGCCCCTTAAGGCTTCGCATCCGGCTGGAAAATGACGCCGATGTAGGTCGGTATGGTTTCGATCGTGGTCCCGTCGCTGGATATGGATGTGTCAGGATTGAAATCGACGAAGGTGAAATAGCTTGCAATGCATAAAATGGATGAAAATTGTAACCCAGATTCTAAGTGGTGCATGACAACTCTGAGTAAGGCCGAAATCCAGTTTGTCGTCCTGTTTGGGTAAGGAGGACGCCTTTTGTCATGCTACTTTAGCAGCTCAGTTACAGTTTCTACTTCTCAACAGGCTTACAATCTGCCTCACTTGTCTACTCTGCAAGACAGGCACTTTGTAGGCTGCATCTTATGCGTGACAAACTATTTCAACTTGAACTTTGACGATTTCAATCCTGACACTCTCATACTGGACTTCTTGAAAATGAACACGTCGCCCTCGTACCCACTCGTGTCCCCGACGTTCAGCACCGCGATGCCGTCTGGATTCAGATCATCAAGTGTAAATATGTCTGGGTCTTGAGACTTGTGATGCTAAAGTATAGATAAGACTGGCGCTTTCAAGTGCAGCCAAGCATGACAAGTTTACTTGACGCCGTCTGCTGCATAGCACGCTCACACATGTCATGACAAGCTCCGTTTTTGCATGACGACAAAGTGGCGCCTTTCTACAACTTGCTGGATGTGCAATACAGATTTTTCAGGAATGCAAGACATGCAACACAAGTTCCACTTCTCCAGACCCAGACATATTTGAGATGCATACAGGTTGTTCATTGCATATTTCTTCGCGTTCTTCTCGCTCATCATGTACCCCCCGTGCAATCGGTCGTACTTTTTCCCCGTCGGCAGATTGTCATTCACCGCCCCGTATCCTGTGCAAAACTATCGTACTCGAAGTAATTGCAGTCATGCATTACAAATTTTTTTCTTACGGTAAATCCGCATGACAAATTTTATTTCCCATGCTGAGGAAATTTGTCATGCATTGATACGAATACGATACTTTTGAGTTCATACCCCAGAGTAATAGCTCGGCAACTGCACGACGTTCGGCGCGATTTCGTGCAGTCGCAACTTGTTTTTCGCAAAGTCAGCAGATATCTCGGTGGGTTATGCCAGAAGTGCACAACGGCTTCCCTCCCTCGTCTTCCTAATTTGTCATGTAAAGACACCAATTTTTACCAGCATCCACTACAGCATTGTACTTGTAGAATTCTTCGGCATGACAAGTAGCAGCACGAAGTAGATGAACCCACTGAAGATCCCTACCAGCATCCAGACATGGGCTGGTTTTTCTGGTATAGATAGAATGGAATCCCATTCATCTTGAGGCTAGTACCGCGATGTATTTCTGCCACTGGAGGTCCTCCTCTTGTTTTCAAATACGCAGGACGACACTACAGAGCCGTTCTTGTGCACTCTCTTCATAGTGACTTTTTGTGGTACTCAAACCCATCGACGACGCTGCAGCCGAAATACGCAAACGTGTTGGCCTATCAAATGCAAAAACGTCTGGGTCTGGATGAGTACAAGGTTTGTCATGCATATTTTCCATAAGGCATGATGTCTGTGATGCATGCCTGGCATCACAGATTCTGCGAGAGCTTTCTGATGCTCCTACCGCATGAGAAATCCCCTCTTTGCGTAGCAACAAGTGGACCTCTTTTCCTGTTCATGCAATACAGGTTTTTTTAGCATCCAAATGCAGCATCACAAGTTGCACCCTTCCAGACCCAGACATTTTTACATTCCATATGGCCGTAATCCCGCATCCAGACCCCAGATCCGCAATCGTCTGTCCCCGTTGCAGCTCCAGCATCTGCAGCATCCTGCGGTTTAGACTCGCTTGGGACAGGTTGGACTCGCTGTTCTGAAATCTGGGCACCACCTGTGAGCTGTCCGTGTAGTGCCCCCGCACGAAGTTGTAAGCGTCCGTCAGTGTGCAGTTTCCGGGCTCCGGGTAGTTTGTAGTTCCGGATCCTGCTCGACGAGAGCTGCTCGTCGCCGTCCCATCGGTTGTGCTAGTATAATCGCCGGTGCCGCTAGCTGCAGTGGTTCCACCGCCGGAGAAAGCGGCGGCGCGCTGCAGCAAGTTCATATTGGAGGACAAACAGGGAGGAAAGACGAAATCAAGGAGCGTCGTTGCTGTAGCTGTGATAGCCAAGAACAAGCCCCTCGAGGACGTTGATCGCCCACGACCCACGATGAAACTGTAGTTCTTCTTGTGCGGATGATGAAACAAAAAGCGGTTGTTCAGCCGGACTATCCGATGGTGATGATTATACTGGTTTTTGGTCGCCTGGAGCTGCTGGTGTTGAAGATACGAGGAGGAATTATTGCACAAGGGCCGGGCCACACGCTCAACAGAGCTGCTGTACAGACTCTTCATCGACCAGGGTGGACATAGCAGCTTTCTCTTGGACAATTTGATGATGAATGTTTATCTTTCACTTCTTGTTCCACGGAAACGGACCACCCGTCGGTTTCACGGAGGTGAACATTCTTTTGAGAAACAAGAAAGATCAAGAGTTGTAGTTGTACAACTAGGAATACAACAAACAAAAAGGCTCTCGAGCAGGTCGTTGTGGTAGCGCTCTTATTGTTCATCCGCTGGACCACGACACGATAGCACCATGCTAGTAAGTTTCACTTCTTCTACAACTTTTTATCGAGCAAATTTCGTCTACGGCAAAAAGGTTGTAAGTAGTAAGGCTCAGGACGACACACTGCTAAGAAAAGTACACGGTGAGTCACTGACACTGTAGGTGTGGAGCGCCGATGTCTTGTTCGCGCAGAGGAGCTGGTGTTCTACTGCATACTAGGGTGAACAACTTGATCTTCAGGTTGACTGAAGTTTTTCTTCTATCTATTTTGATTTCCTCTCTTTCTAGTCATGCGCCTGCGCGTCGGGAAATATTACCAGAGTGCGCTGTCCTAGTTTTTACACTTAATTCGCGATTTTTTCATCTGACAAGAACCGGGAAAATAACAAATTACAGCCGCGCGTCTGCGCTGCCTTTTCCCAGAACCCGACCGATAGTTTGGTTTTGATGTTGGGACTTAGAAGCCGATAATCGACACGATGGGCACATTTCTATCTGCTTCGGAACATCACGACAGGGCTCTAGCAACTGGAATTTTACCGCGATGAGTCAAAGGCTCTTTTTTTATCTTTTGTATACGAAGAGTACGAGCTGTGTCTCCTGCTGTACTAGCTTTTTATCTCATTCCTCCATGGGTGTGATTTTTCAACTGCAACTTCTCCTTTCAACACGTTTTTCCGTTCTGTTTTTCAGTCGGTTCATCTTGAAAAAATCGCATTCGCTCCTGCAGCTCAAAGAGCCGCATGACGAAGACCGGCACTAGTACAACTGCTTCTCTCACGTACTATCCTCATTCCAGCCTTCGTTTCTTCAAAGCTGGCGCGACCCCACTTGCGGTTACCGAGGGCTCCGTTCCCGCTGCCTCCCCGCCGAAATACGCTGTTGGCGGAAACCCGGAACCAAAAACGTCGCTGTTTGGCTCTTTGTTCGCGTAGTTGCCTTTCTTCCCACCCCCGCCGCCGCCCTTGAAGGGATCCGACTTGTTGATGTTTCCGGCGCCCTTGAAGTTCTTGCTCATCGTCCCGTCTTTGGAGCCATAAAAATGCGGCCCACCAGATGAGAAGTCATAGTTGTTCTTCCCCTGTGGTCCTTTCATATTCGCTCCCATGTTGTGCTGGTCGCCAGTAGTAACACCACTCGAGGAAGAAAAATTCTTGCCACCAGCATTCCCTTGGTCGTTTGTCTTCATGGGCCACACGACATTGTTCACGTTGCTGTGCAGCTCCACGCGGTCTGCATAGAATTCGCCGGGCTTTTTCTGGTTCCGGTGGATCGTGAAACGCACCAGACAGGGAATTTTCGTGCTCTGCAGCCAGTTGCCGATTGCGGGGTCCGAGCAGTCCGGGGCGAAATTCCCCAGTAGTTGCTGCTCCGCAATGTAGCGCTCGCGCAGGCCGTAGATTTTGTACTGCAGCGTGAACAGGTCCCGGTCTTCCGCGATAAAAAAATGCGACTTGATAAAACCCGACTTTCCAGCTTGAAACCGCGCCAGCGTGCCGACGATCCGCAGCCGGGGGTTCTTCTCGCACTCCTCCGCCCACTTTTCGAAGGATTTCGGGTGCTTAAATTCGTTCGGATGGACGAGCAGCATGGTAAGCGGAGCGTTGTTGTTCAATACGTCTCTTTGGCCCGGCAGCGATATCGGCGGCACCACCACGTCGATTCGCCCATTGTCCTTCCCCTTTTTCTATGCATTGCAAAAAGAATGGGATCTGTCATGCTAACTTTCGAGTATACAAAAACCTGTTTTGCATCCGTAGCGAAAGGAACTCAGATTTTTGTTGCCAACCGGAGAACGCATCTCTCATGCACGATAGGCATGAGGAAGCCTTCGCAAAAGCTGTGATGCTAGAGCATGCATCACAGGCATCGCGGGTCATCATGCTCAACATGTACGATTTGCATGACAAACTGACTCCCCCAATGTAGTTCCAGACCCAGACATATATTACATTTGATATTTTCCCCGACTGCTGATCGCCGGGTTTTCCAAGAGCGCCGCCCTTGTTTTTGCCGCTTTGATCTCCCTGCTTGTTTATTCCGAAGGTTGTTGTAGTACTATTTGTGGAGCCTTTGTCAAAGGATTTCGATGTGCTAGTTTGCAAGATCTGCGAAGTAGAGGAGGACGATCCGACACCTCCTGGAGGGATCTTCAGAGTGGTACTGCTACTGCCAGAAGCTCCTGCCGCTGTCTCTGGTCCTCCAATCGTACTGTCTAAGAGCTTGTCCTGCTCCTCCCGCTTCTCTTTTTCGTCTCGCTCCTGCTCCGCTTTCAACTCTTCGGTGTTGTTATGCTGTGCAAAAGTAGTACCGCACGTGGTAGCAGAAATTATGATTATCGCATGAGAAATTTCTTGCCCAGCATTTTTACAAATCAAATTTCGTAAAAAATTTTTATGTGCAGCTCTACCTTGAGAAAGAGATTGGTAAAAATTATGCGTGACTGCCACTAGTACGAGTTGTGCGATGCCTTTTGCAATTCATACATGTCAAATGTAAAGGGGTTGTTGGTGTCCAGCTGTTCTTGACCTCCCAACAGCATGTCGACACTGTTGTCGTCATTATCCTTCGAGAACGACGCAGTGGTCACCTTCACAGGGGCAGCGGCCTTGCTCAGCGGCTGCGAAGAGGAAGAAGAGGAAGCAGTAGGGGCGGTATAAGTATTTTTTGCAACCGTGTTGTGCTGCTGGTTTCCCTCTACTTCATCACCGCCTGCTGGCGCTTGCTGATTACTCGTCGTCGCCGCCGCCGCCGGCGCTCCGGGAGTCGCAGTGGTTATCAACTGTAAAAATGTCTGGGTCTGGAAACTTGTGATACTAAAATGTGCATGATGAAAACACTTCCGAATGCAGTCCGGCATGACAACTTCCCAAAACGCTTTCTCATAGGCAATTCGCATGAGAAGCTGCGTTTTTGCACGACAAAAGAGGCTGCGACTTTTGTCGGTTATGCAATACAGATTTTCTAGGTATGGAAAGCTAGCATTACAAGTTGCATTCTTCCAGACCCAGACATTTCTACAATCCATAGTCGTCGTCGTACTACCAACCAGCACAGCATCCCCGTTTTCGTCCAGCTTGGTCCAGATGTCGCACCCCACGGTCGGGTTCGACTCCCGATTCAGCGTCATCTCGTCGTGAAACTCGATCTTTTCCGCCAGAAACTTATGGCGTTCTCAAACGTTACATTCTCAACTGTGTCTGTGACCACAACATGAATTTGTCATGCAAAACTACCTTGAGCCGGTAGATGATCAAGCTGCTTCGCATGACAAATCTCCGAAGGGCTAAACAGCGTCTAAATCCGTGCTGCCAAATCTGTAATGCGAAAGCAGTAAGCTTACGCCTTTGACTGTTGCGCCTCTTGCATCACAAATTCATGTAACAGTTGAGAATGTAACGTTTGAGAACGCCATAAAACTTGCCGGGTTGCTGCGGATTCCGGACCACGGTGAACCGGACCAGGGAGGGCAGCATGCTGGACTTCAGCCAGGGAATAATGGAATTCCGCATTTCTTCCTGCCTCTCCTCGGCCGTTGACGCCGCTGTCGCGGTCGCCTGATTTTTCACCGGCGCCGACGAAAACGGATTGCTCAGCGCTTGTTGTTGCCCGTGATCATGGACGTCGTCCGAAAAATTCTTGTCTGGCGGTGGAAGATGAACTAACCCCGCGGCAGCTCCCAGCACTTCATCCCCTACTTTCGACTGCTCTTTTTCCGACACGTGTCCGGTTCGCAGCTTCCACTGCTCCCGCAGGTCGGCAAACTTATGTACGAGGCAAAACAGATTCGGAATGGAGGGCGGGAACTGGGGCGATTTGATGAAGCCGTACTCTGTGTTCTCTTTCATGGAAACGAACGTCCCGACCAATCTCAGCCGGTAGTTCTTGGCGCACTCGTTCACCCAGCTATCATAGGGCTTCCAGGGCTCCTTGTCGTGCACCACTAGCATGGTCATTTTCTCCTTCAGAAACATCATGTCCTTCATCTTGATCGGCGCAATCGACAGGTCGCACCGGTCCGCCCCGCCCGGTCCTTGTATGACAGTGCACAACTCTCCCTCGTTCTCATTTCTCATGCAAAATCCACATTTCCAATTGCTCCCTTGCGTCACTATTATGCCCGACAAATTCCGGTGGAGGCCCAAACAGTATAATGCATTGGGCGCAAAAATTTGTCATGCGTAGCTCTACCTGTGCTGGTGTTTGTATTGCTGTTCACGCTATACTACAAAGACATGAGGGGGAGGGGGAGTTCTTGTGCACCCAGTCGGATACCTTGCGGCGGCTGGATGAGAGGCTGCTGCTGCTGCTGCGCGGCTGCTCCCTGCATCAGACTCTGGATCACGTTCAAGGCCGGATTGGTCGGGCCCCCGCTGCTCAAGGCGTCCCGCGCCCAGTCGCCGTACACGCCCCCCAAGGTGGAGGAAACCAGGTCCAACAGCTTCGCATTGGGCGGCGGGGGCGCCGGCGGTAGCTTGCCCTTTCCCTTGCCGCTCTGGTGGTCGGGGGGGTTGCGCTTTTCCGGTGGCGTATGGATTGCAAATATGTCTGGGTCTGGAAACTTGTAATGCTGAGTTGTGAATAGTGAATGGTGATGGTCTGTAATGCATACCCAAGCATGAGAAATATTTCCAGGGCTTAGTGTTGCGTTTTCCGCATGACAAACTGCGTTTTTGCATGACAAGCAAAAGGGTCTCTTCTTGGACACGCATCACAGACTTTTCAGTCATGCCAGACAAGCATAACAAACCTTGCACCCTTCCAGACCCAGACATTTTTACATTTGATATGGCGGCGGTTCGGACAAAAGCGGCCAGCCCTTCCAGTTCGCAGCACTCGCGTTGCCTTTGGGAAACACCGGGACGTCGGTCGTTTCGTCGAAGAATTCGATGTGCTCGGCGTAGAATTTCCCCTGCTGCGCCGTGTTGCGGCAAATGGTAAACTTCACAAGCGCCGGCACCTTGGTCGATAGCCACTCGGAAATGTATGAATTGCAAAAGTACCGCACTCGTATAAATGCACTCATTACAAATTTCGATTTCCTCAGCATGAGAAAGAAAATTTGTAATGCTGATTTACCTTAAGGAAAAGATTTGTGGTGCAGGATTGCAATACGAGTACGATACTTTTGCACTGGATAAAATGGTGGCGTCCTCAATTTTCTCCGCCTCCTCGGCCAGCTGTTCCTCGCTGCTGGCTTGCAATCCCAGTTTTTCCTTGCAGTACAACTTTTTCGCGTCCACCAGCTTCCACTGCAGCACAAACAGATTCTATCCTATGCAAAAAAGTCCCCACCCCATTACTATCTATTATATTCATGCGAAAGTAGAGGTCTACAGAGGGTCGGAGAGAGGTGGCCGAGAGGTCAAAAAGAGGTGAAAAGAGGTCAATAAGAGGTCAACAGAGGTGGAGAGGTGGCGCGGGAGGTCATTCGAGAGGGTGGCCGAGAGGTGGCGCGGGTATAGCCCGCTGAAGGACTCACTCTAAAGCTGCGCCTATAGGGACCAGAGGTGGCCGAGAGGGTGCCAAGAGGGTAAGCGAGAGGGGGACAGAGGTGCCGAGAGGTTGCGCGAATAAGGGCGAACCTCTCGCGCACCCTCTCGGCCACATCTCGGCCACCTCTGTAGACCTCTACTGGCGAGTATAGCCGGACTATTAGCAACACCTCTCGGGAGAGGTGAAAAAGAGGGTCTGCGAGAGGGTGAAAAAGACCCGAATCCGCCCGGCAAGCGGCCGATTTTGTTGGGACTGTTTCATGGCGCAAGCCCACACCTCTCGCGCTACCCTCTCGCGCTACCCTCCCGCGCACCCTCTCGCGCCACCCTCTCGCGCTAACCGCTCGCGCCAACAGTTTCCGCTGGGAAGCCAGTTGGGCGGGGGCGGGTGTGTGTGTGATCAACACAGGGCAGCGCGATCCCAGTTCTGCTTCGGCACCTATGCCGAGGCGGTTTCTCTTCGCCCCCAAGCTTCGCTGCAGCTGCTCCCTGCGCATAGCGCCTGAAGGCGCGGGAAGCGCGCAGGAGGCCCTGCGGGTTGACATAGCGCAAACCGGCGCCAGTAATTCCTTCGATCTGTCACGCTGTCCGTAAAGCCCTGTCGCTGCGGCCCGATCCGCAAATAGTCCTGCCCCGCCCCAACAGCCTTGCGCCCCGGCGTCAGCCGGGGCATGGCTGGTAGCTGTCATGCAAATCTGCATGCTCAGAACGTTTGTCATGCGGAACCCCAACACGAGAAGCATTTTCTAGTCGTGTTTTGGAATTTGTAATGCTTTTTTAATCAGCAGAATAGGCTGGATCTGTGATGCTGCTGAACGAGCTAAGTCGAGGCGATTACACTAAGAGGCCATCAAACTTGTCATGCGGAACAACCAAAGGTTGTTGATTTGTCTAGCAGATTTCCCATCATGAGGACTATGGTGCGGGGACGTTTTTGGTCAGGATAGATTCCCGGACGCGGGGTCAAAGGAGTTCGACGTGATGAATCCGTACTGTTTCTTATCGCAAGAAAAAAGTGTTACAGCTACACATTTGTAGTCAATTCAGCAACACAAATTTCTCTGCATGAGAGAGAAACCTTGGAATGCAGAAATCCTACGGGAAATAAGCACCTATGAAACGAGGCTCTTATGCGTATCCGGCATTACAGAGTTTGTCTGTCTTGCTTGGCCTGCAACACAATGTGTAACTAACATGTGTAACTGTAACACTTTTTTCTTGCGATACTTCGCAGCTTCGAATTTGTAGAACGACCCGACGAGCCGCAAGCGGTAATTTTTCGCAAACTCCTGCTCCCACTGCTCGAAACTTTTTGGCGTATGGCGTTCTCAAACGTTACATTCTCAACTGTTACATGGTTTGTCATGCAAAATGAGCATCAACCTCCACACGGTGAAGCTACCTCGCATAACAAATTTTGGAAGGGCTAAGCAGCATGGGAATCTGTGCCGAAATTGTAATGCAAGAGTTGCAAGATCCGGCCTTTCCCTGTTGCCATTCTTGCATCACAAATTCATGTAACAGTTGAGGATGTAACAATTGAGAATCCCATATGGCGGCTCCAGTGGGTGCACCGCGAGCACTGTCATGGTGGAGGATAATACCTCATTTGTTGAAGATCCAGAAGAAGCTTTCGGGTTTTTCTGGTTCTCAAATTTCACCAGCGGCCAATTGCAGTCGACGCGGCCGGCCGGCAGTTGCTGGCCCGGGTTCAACATAGTTGGCGGTCGTGGCGGCGCCGGTGGGGCACGAGCAGTAGTTGCGAGTGCGGCGACCAGTGCACCAGCTGTGCTGGTGTCCAGAGGGACAGTACCGGCAGGTGTAGTTGCGCTTGTTGTGTTTGTATCGAATGCAAATATGTCTGGGTCTGAAGGGTTGGAACTTGTGATGCTATCTTTGGATTCTAAAGAAATGTGTATTGCGTGACCAGCAAGAGGAGCCCAGGTTGTGCTACGCGGGGAGGGCGTTTGTCATGCGGGATAGGAATCAGGAAGGCCTGTAAAAATATGTGATGCTAGATCATGCATTACAGACATCCTGAGTCATGCCAAATATGCATGACAAACCTGGCAACCTTGCAGACCCAGACACTTTTGCATTTGATAGTTTGTTCCGGGTGGCAGCGCTGTAGATGATGGTGGGACCACCAGGCCGCTGCCGCTGGTGCTGGCAAGAGCTGCTGCCCCCGTAATATTGGTGGACGACGACTGCGGGACTAAAACAGGCTGATGTCAAAAGGAAAAATCCCCCCTCCTCATATCGAAAACGATATGAAATGCTGTATTTGAGTACACAAGTCGACTTGTAATGCTACAAGGCCAAGAGCCGCAGCTGTGGCCTCCTTTGCAGGCATATATTGTCATGCTGGTTCCCACTTCCAGCTGCCCCCTGTCATGCTGAAGATGCAAAGGTTTATTCCCACGCCAACCAGCACTACAGTCCGCATCTTTTCCCTTCTAGAATGACAAAGCTGATTTGTGACAACAAATCTCATCTGCATCACAAATTTCTACTTTGAGTATGGGGTCGTGGAGGGATTTTTCATTTTGATAGCTGATTCGCGTTCCTTTCCGTTTTTAATTCGTAGTGTAAATTCGCCTTTTCCGAATCCCGCCGCATGTATCGCAGGAAAAAACTGTTTCACTGTAAACTTGTAATGCAAAACATATATCTTAGAAGTGTTTGTCTTGCTACACATGCAAGACAATCGATTTTAGCTGTGTTTTCCCTTAGGAACCTCGCATGGCAAATTTTCTCTGTCATGTAGAGCAAACTTGTGATGCAAAACTTGCAAAATCCTTACAGTGAAACACTTTTTTCGTGGGATAGCATGATATCCATGTCCACAAACTCAATGTGGTCGCAATAGTACTTTTATGAACTGCAAAAGTATCGTACTCGTATAAAAATAAATGCATTATAAATTTCCTCCGCATGAGAAATGAAAGTTGTAATGCGGATTTACGATAGGAAAGAAACTTGTAATGCAAGACTTGCATTTATGTGAGTACAATACTTGTGCAGTGGATAACTTTCCCGACTGCTGCGCGTTTTCGTGCACTGTGAACCGGACCAGATGCGGTAACTGCCGGGCCAGGATCTCCTCTTCGCTGGTTTCGAAAAACCTATTTCCTGTGCAAAAGCATCGTACTCGTAGTAACTAATTGCTGTTAATTATGCATTACAAATCTTTTTCTTAACGTACATCCGCATCAGAAATTCCATTTCTCATGCTGAGGAAATTTGTAATAGTAATACACCTAACTACTAAGACGATGCTTTTGCAGTTCGTAACTTATCCGGGAGAGCAATCACCTTCGCGCAGGCGTTATCGTCAAAATATTTGGACATGATGAACCCGTAGCGCACGCCCCGGTGCCCGTAATTAACCAGAGTTCCGATCAGCCTTAGGCGGTAATTTTTCGCGCACTCGGTCACCCAATCTGCGAACGCCTTCGGAGCCTCGAGGGGGTGGACGCAGAGCAGGTTTGTGCCGCCGTGGTAAAACTCAGGGTTCCCGTAATTCACGCCGGGCGCCGGGTTTTGCAGCGCCACCGCGTTTTTCTGGTTGCGCACGGTTATCGGCGCGTGGGTCAGGTCGATTTTGCTGTTCTGTTTATTGCCGTAAGTGGAGGAATTATTACTCAGGCTGCTCGCGGCCTGGACCTGGTTGTTCCCGAAATGTTGATCAAACGAGGTTGTGGTTGTTCCGGGTAGTTGCGGCACTTGAAGCATGGCCGTAGTTGTTCCTGCAGCGGCGCCCCCACCCGCGTGGAAAACGCTCATATTTGGGTTGCTGTTCGCCTCCTCAAAGGTTGGGTAGTTCGCATAGACGTAACTGCTGCCGTTCGTCAGTTCCAGCTCGTGACCGAATTCCAGTGCTTCAAAGAACCGAAATCTTTGGTCCCAAGCGGAGTTCCTTTGGTTCACCGGCTTCCGCCCGTGCGTGCCCACGATTCCCTGAATCAGCACCGGGCCGTCGTGCTCCGTGTCGCGTGCCTCATCCAGAAACACAACGTCATCTGCATAGTAATTGTCCGTCTCCTTCCTGGTTTTCGAGCCTTTTTTCCCGATCCGGAATGCCACCAGCCGGTCCTTGCCGTATTTCTCGAGCCAGTTCGCCAGGATAGCGGACTCGTTTGGGGTGATGAAGTAGTTGCTGGGGTCGATGATTATCCTGAGTAAAAACGTACCCACACCAGAGTCAGGATGACGATTTTGCAACACAAACCTAGGAGTTTTGTGAGTCACGCATGACAAGTTGCACTATGCAGTGTAGTGCAGGTTAGCAAGTGCAGCCGCGTCACAGATTCATCTGCTCATCCTGTTCACAGCATCACAAATTCCAAAACACGATTGGAAATGGCTCTCATGGGGATGCGCATTACAAGTCTTCCTGGCTTTGCAAATCTGCATTACAACTCTGGTGTGGGTACGTTTTTACTCCGGATAATGATCGGGTGGTGTTTTTGCTGCAGGAAAAACTGCTTCTCGTGGTTGCCGTATTTTTGCAGGTTCTCCGCAAAATGCTCCATGAACCGTTTCTTCAACCCGCGCCAATTCGGAAAGGGGCAGAAGATCTGCTGCTCCTTGTTTTTCAGCGTGAACACGGATTTCAAAAAGCTGAACTTCTGGTCCTTCGTAGACGCCAGGCAGCCGATGAGGCGGAAATTTCGGTGCTGCTCACAAAAGTCGTACCACTGATCGAGATATCAAATGCAAAAGTGTCTGGGTCTGGAAGATTCCGAAATTTGTCATGCTAGTCTGGCATGACTCTGAACTGTGTATTGCGTGGCCGCAAAGAGCTCCTACTCCCTGTCATGCAAAAACGCAGTTTCACATGAGGAATACGCAACTCAGAATCATGGAACAAACTTGTCATGCTTGGCAGCGCATTCCCATTCCAGTGAGCTCACTATTCCCTTCCTTGCATCACAAGTTTTCAGACCCAAACATTATTTGCATTTGATACGACACCCGTCTGCTCCACATTGTTGGCGATGGCTAGATTGTATGCAATGCAAAAGCATCGTACTTCTAGTATAAATTGCATTACAAATCAGCCTAGCATTACAAATTGAACAATTGAATTTGACTTTGTAATGCTGAATTACTATTTATTACCTTGAGAACAAAGAGATTTGTAATGCATAAATGCAATTACTCCGAGTGGTACGATGCTTTTGCACAGGATAGATTGTCCGTGATCTGGTGCAGTTGATCTGGGAAGACCATCTGGGAAACGGGCAATTTCGACAAATCCTCATCCTTACCGCCCCCGGCCCCGAATTTGCCCCCGCCGTCTTGCAGCTTCCCCATGCCCTTCTTGCCTTGACTGTAAAAAGAACCACTAGTATTCAACTGTCCCCCGCCCTTGCCGTGATGTTGCTGCGATGAAGGAAGCCCTGCTCCGGCGTGATCCATCTCCTCCAACTTGTCCAGCAAATTGCCGATCCCCGGCGCGTATGCATTGCAAATATGTCTGGATGTCTGGAAACTTGTGATGCGAATCTACCAATTGTGGGCGCACTGGAATATGGAGCCCAGCATGACAAGTTTTTGAGCTGCGTGCTGTGTGTTTCGTTTTTCGCATGACAAACTGCGTTTTTGCATGACAGGAAAGAGGCCCTTATTTTCCTGCTCATGTACTATCACAGATTTAAGAGTCATGCGAGACAAGCATGACAAACTTGCATCACCCCTGAGGACCCAGACACATTTGCATTTGATAACGCGCGGCTGTTAAACATTCCGGTGGACGATGCCAGGTCATGATCTGTGATTATGAACTGCAAAAGTATCGTACTAGTATAAATTGCAATACAAATTAGCTCAGCATTACAAATTAGATTTGTGATGCGGATTTGCCTTAACAAAAAGATTTGTAATGCATAAAAGCAATTAGTACGAGTAGGAGTACGATGCTTTTGCATTGCATAGTGGTTTGTTGTAGTTGGTGTTGTACACCCCCGTAGATGTTGAAGCCGCCGTAATTATCAAATGCAAAAGTGTCTGGGTCTGGAAACTTGTGATGCTGGGTGGCGTATCATGAGGAGGCCACAAGTGCTGGCTCAGCATGAGAAGTTTCTGAGCTTCTAGGTGTTGCCTATTCTGCATGACAAACTGCGTTTCTGCATGACAGAAAAGTGGCGCTCTTGGGTAACGTGCATGACAGATTTAAGAGTCATGCCAGACAAGCATGACAAACATGCATTCTTCCAGACCCAGACATTTTTACTTTTGATAGTCCTGTTCTCCGTCAAAGTTCACGGGCATGCTGCTCGCAAACAATTCCACGTCAATTTTCCGGTCGAGAAACAACTCCACATTTTGCTTGTCGTCGATCGTCGCCGAGCTGGAACCACGGGGTGGCCCGAGGTTCGTCCCGAAATTCAGGTCGGGAATTTCGGAAAGAAGAAGGCAACTGTTGTAGAAGTCATGCACCTGGATGTTGACAGGTGGCGCGGCACTATTCTTTTCCGCACTACCTGCTCCACCACCGCTGCTGTTTATCCAGGAAACAAACTGTGTTAGTGTAAGTCTTTTGGGAAACAAAACTGCATCACAAGTTCTTTGCCTGCCGTGACAGGAAAAACTTGTTATGCTTATGCGCAGATAGGAACGGAAAACACATAGGAAGCGAGCCGATGATGCACGTCCCGCATGACAAGTGTAAAAACTGTTTTGCATTTATTTTCTGCATCACAGATTTACACTTACACAATTTTTTTCTTGCATACTGTTCCGCTGCAGGTTAATGTACTGTCGCACCGTATCCAGGAAAAAAAGTGTGTAAGTGTAACTTTCTTCAGGGAACAGCATCACAAATTTGCTCTACATGACAGAGAAAACCTGTCATGCGTGGCTTGTAAGGCAAAACACACATGAAAAGAGAGCTTCATGGCTGTCTGGCATGACAGGCGTACCTCTCTAGCATGTTCTGCAACACAAATTTACACTTACACAGTTTTTTTCTTGCATACACCGTTTCGCGGTCCTTCAGCCCCATGGTCTTTTCCACCTTCCTATCAAATGTAAAAGTGTCTGGGTCTGGAAGATTCTGAGACTTGTGATGCACGTCTTGCATGAGCCATGATGTCTGTGATGCACGCCCTAGCATCACAGATTTTTTGAGGGCATCTTGAACTTGATGCCTATTCCGCATGACAAATGCCCATACTCCTTTTGGCAAGAGGAGTATAGCAAATTGCTACTCATGCAATACACATTTTTTTGGAATCCAAATGCAGCGTCACAAGTTGCATTCTTCCAGACCCAGACACTTTTGCAATCCATACTTCCAGGCATCCACCCCCCGCATGCCCTGTATAACCTGCTCAGGTGTTACAATCTCAAATCGGTTACCATAGAATGTCGAAATCTGTGATGCAAGAGTGCATGATCTAGCCAACTCTCATCGGATTGCGCATGACAAGTTCCGGAGCCCCAAACCCCACTACAATCTGGCGAAATTTGTATTGCAAAACGTGGAGCGCTGATGTGCGACGAGTCTGTCATGCTCAGCATGCAACACAAATTCCAGATTCAATTGTAACGCTTGAGATTGTAACGTTTGAGCAAGTCATACCCTGCTGCAGGAGAATCTGCCCGGTGGAAACGACTTCGTCACTCGTGCCGCGGTTCAGGATCTCGTGCTTCTTGCTGTGCATATCAAATGCAAAAGTATCGCACTCGGACTCGTCGTATAAATGCATTACAAATTTCCTCAGCATGAGCGATAAAATTTGCAGTGCTGATTTACCTTAACAAGCAGATTTGTAGTGCATGATTGCAATACGAGTACGATACTTTTGCAATGCATAGTGCACCTGCTGCAGCAACTCCAGGACGGACTGCGGGTAGAGCGTCTATCCTGTGCAAAAGTATCGTACTCGTACAAATGCTAATCCAAGTGTTGCATTACAAATCTTGTTTCCAAGCCAAATCTGCATTGCAAATTTTAACTCTCATGCTGAGGGAATTTGTCATGCATTTATACGAGTACGATACTTTTGCAGTTCATAGCGTCCCGTTCTGGGCCAGTTCGTCTTCGATGAACCGCTTGTGTTTGTCTTATGCACTGCAAAGATGCCTGGGTCGTCTAGAAAGTAAGTTGTGATGCTGGTTGACGATTCCTGAGGACACGACAAGCGACGGGTCAGCATGACAAGTTTCTGCGTTGCTAGGTGTTAATTGTCTATTCTGCATGACAAAGTGCGTTTTTCTTTCTGCATGAGTAAAAAAACGGGTTCTTTTTGCAAAACGTGCATGACAGACTTTGGAATCATACTGGCGGAGCATGACAAACCTTGCATTCATTCCCAGAGGACCCAGAGCTATTTGCATTGCATATGTCTAAGTTGATCACGACGAGGCACTTGTTCAACGACTGCATGGTACTAAAGGACTTTTTCGCACTCCCGAACGTTTTCTCGAGCACAATCGACATGGCGATCGCGGATCGGAACTGCAGCAGCGCCTGCTCCGAATGCGAGTCTTGGCTATCACATGCAATCATGTCTGGGTCTGGATAATTGCGAGATTTGTCATGCTAGTCTGACATGACCCTGTGCTCGGGGTTTTTGCGTGGCCGCGAACAGCTCCTCTGGCCTGTCATGCAAAAATGCAGTTTCTCATGCGGAGTACGCAACTCAGAACCACGGCAAAACTTGTCATGCTGGGCAGCGCATTACAATGCTTTCACCATAATTCCCTTCCTTGCATCACAAGTTTCCAGACTCAAACATATTTGCAATCCATATTGGCCCTGTTGCCGCAAGTCGATGCCGTTCATTTGCATGGAGATTTTCTGCTTTTCGTCCTGCCACTCCTGCCAAATTTTCTCCAGTTTCGGTTCAAACAGGTCGTTGAAATCACACAGAAGTGGTAGCAATTTGCTAGTCTGCACGCAGAAGAGGTATGAGCTGCAAAAATATCGTACTCGCATAAATGCATTACAAATTCCCTCAGCATGAGAAATGAAATTTGTCATGCGGATTTGCCTTAAGGCTAAGACTTGTAATGCAAAACTTGCATTTATACGAATACGATACTTTTGCACAGGATAAGAGGAGATAGAACTCGATTTGCGGGGAAAGCTCATATTCCCCAACGATCTCCAACACCTTCTGATACAACACCCCTATCGCAAGAAAAAAGTGTTTCACTGTGAACTTGTGATGCATGGAATTGAACACAGAACTATTTGTCTTGCTACACCTGCAACTCATTGGATTTTCAAGCGTGTTTTCCCTTGGGGAGCGCGCATGGCAAATTTTCAGTGTCATGTGTAGCAAAGTTGTGATGCGGATCTTGGAGAACCATTACAGTGAAACAGTTTTTTCGTGGGATAACCCCGAGACTGACCACAATCAGGTCGCTATCCACTTGGCCCCCGCGCGAGGGGATAGCAGCTGCAGAGGAGCCATTCATATGATCTTCAGTCGCGTTCAAGAAAAACTTGCTCTTCTTCAACCGGTATGAAAGGGAAAAATTATCGTACTCTCGTGGTATAATTGCAATACAAACTAGCTCAGCATTTCATTTCATTTCATTGAGACGAACCCCCTTGTAATGCGGATTCAGCATGAGAAATGAAATTTGTAATGCGGATTCAGCTTCGGAAAGAGATCTGTAATGCATAAATGCAAGTACAACTACGAGTACAAGAATACTTTTTCAATGCATACCCGCCTGCAGATGTTGTCCATCACGTCATCGGCCGCGAAAGTCGGCTCCTTATCAACTGCAAATATGTCTGGGTCTGGAAATTTGTGATGCTAAAATGTGCATAAATGAAAACACTTCCTCATGCAGGAAAGCATGACAAGTCTGCGCGACGCCTTATCATACGAACTCCGCATCAGAAACTGCGTTTGTGTATGACGTGCGAGGCTGCCACGTTTGCTTTTGTTGGCCATGCAATACAGATTTCACAGGAATACAAGACCAGCATTACAAGTTCCAACTTTCCAGACCCAAACATTTTTGCATTTGATACTCCTGGTGGCTCAACAGCTTCAACATCCACTGCTTCTCCGTCTTTTTTAGCTCGAGCAACTGCTTTGGACTAGAAGTAGTCCTTATGCATTGCAAATATGTCTGGGTCTGGAAGATTGCAACTTGTCATGGTAAATCTGAAGCATGCAAAAATCTGTGTTGCATGAGTGCCAAAAGCTATCCACTTTTGACCAAGTTGGAAGGGAGTTTCTCATGCAGGACAGGCATGGCAGAGACCTCACAGAGTCTGTCATGCTAAGTCCCGCATTCCAGACCTCATGGGTCATGGAAAATCTGCATGACAAGTCTAAACTTTTCCAGACCCAGACATTTTTGCACTTGATAGTCCTGTTGTTGTTCCCTCCTCGGCTCTGCTGTTATGAACTCTAAAAGTATCGTACTCGTAATGTTGCAAATGCAATACAAATTAGCTCAGCATGAAAAATGGAATTTGTCATGCTGATTTAGCTTGAAAAAGAAATTTGTCTTGCATGACTGCGACTAAGACGAGTACGATACTTTTGCACAGGATAGCTGTTGCTTCACAGCTGTTGTAAAACTTTCCATCATTTGGTCCAGGTGGAAAACGACGTGCAACATCAAATGCAAATGCGTCTGGCTCTGGAAAGAATGGAATTTGTGATGCTATCTTTCGATGATACAAAAACCTGTATTGCATGAGCAGCAAACGGCACTCAGATTTTTGCTCTTCTGGGAAAGCCTTTCTCATGCCGTATAGGCATGAGAAAACCTTCACAAAACCTGTAATGCTGAAGCATGCACACCGACATCATACGTCATGTAAAATTTGCATGACAAACTCACCCAATCTTCCAGACCCAGACATATTTGCAGTTGATATGCAACATCTTGTTGCAATCCAATTCCTGGATCAAAAAGTCGAAAAACGCTATCCTGAGTAAAAACGTCCCCACACCTAATGCAGATTTGCAAAGATAGGAGGACTTGTAATGCGCATCCCCATGAGAGCCATTTCCAATCGTGTATTGGAATTTGTGATGCTGTGAACAGGATGAGCCGATGAATCTGTGATGCGGCTGCACTTACTAACCTGCACTACACTGCGGAGTGCAACTTGTCATGCGTGACTCCCAAAACTCCTAGGTTTGTGTTGCAAAATCTATCCCCATCCTGACTCTGTTGTGGGGACGTTTTTACTCAGGATAAACGCTTCATCCTCTTTATTCGGCGTCTTCCTCTTGAATTCCTGGATGCGGACGATTTGGTACCCGACCGAGTCGTTCAACAATTGAATGTCCTGCCAATCATACTCCTGCCACACCTATGCAAGAAAAAAACTGTATAAGTGTAAGTTTGTGATGCAGATGAAAGTGCAAAACAATATATGCTTATCATGCTCCACATGCATGATGGGCTCGCTTCCTAGTGTTTTCCCGTCCTATCTGCGCATGCCAAGTTTTTCCTTTCATGGCAGACAAACTTGCGATGCTGTTTTCCCAAAAGACACACTAAAACAGTTTTTTTCTAGGATAACACCTGCTGCTGCTGGCCGCTGGAGCTGCTGGTGTTGTGGGCTGAAAAGTTGTGCTTATCAAATGCAAAAATGTCTGGGTCTGGAAGAATGCGAACTTGTCATGCTAAATCTGAATCATGTCAAAATCTGTGTTGCATGATTGCCAAAAGCTGTCCACTTTTGACCTAATCGAGAGGCAATTTCTCATGCGGAATAGGCACGATACAACTCTCACAGAATCTGTCATGCTCTGTCCTACATAACAGACCTCATGGGTCATGGAAAACCTGCATGACAAACCTAGCACTCTTCCACACCCAGACATTTTTGCATTTGATAATGCTGCGGCTGCTGCAAATGGACTGCGCTGGTCACCTCCGGGAAACACATATTCATCAACAACTCGCTCTGCTGACTGTTATTCCCCGAGAGGAGCTTCTGCTCCAAAAACCGCTGCATTCGCGTCGTCATCTTGAAGGTTTTCGGACTACTCCTTCCTTCCACGACACCCCTAAGAACCTATCGCAAGAAAAAACTGTTTCACTGTGAACTTGTGATGCATAGAATGGAACAGAGAACTATTTGTCTTGCTACACCTGCAAGTAGACCTCGACTCTTTAGAGATGTTTTCCCTATGGAAGCGCGCATGGCAAATTTTCTGTGTCATGTCTAACAAACTTGTGATACAGATCTTGCAAAATCATCACAATGAAACAATTTTTCGTGGGATAGAACCCGGACTTCTTCTACTACTAACTCACACGACTTTCTTCGCGTCACCTCCTTCACCTTCGGAAAACCACTAATTCCGGACGATGGATTTGGATTCCAGAGGAAAGAGAATTATTTCTTTCCCACCCGAATTATTCTCCAGGCAATAATCCTCGACATCCATGTTTATTTCGATCCGATGAAATTCTAATTCACAGGAACAGATTCTCGATACAGATACGGATCAATCGAAAAAGGAAAAATCCTAATCCATCGAGAACAAAACTAGGAATGTTGTTCACCAAGGAAGAGACACTTCTATTTTTCTTTGAGTTTGAGTTTGGATGAATGAAAGATCAACATGAGCGTCAATATCAAGAATCGAATATACGTTAATTTATGATGTTGGAGTTGTGTAATTTTCCAGGAATAATCTTCACATCGGGGCGATGAATGTTGAGCAAGCACAAACAGGGTGAGAAAGAGAAAGATATTATCGGAAAATACACTGAGAAAAAACATGAATACAATCCACGAGAGGGCGCCTGTGATGGAAATCAAACAAAATCAATTAGAAGGCACCCGGAATTTCTTACTTCCTAAAGTCTTTTTTCCTACCTTGTTCGCAATGACGGGACATGAGTTCTTTCCTCTTTCTGCACATTTTGTTTCAATCGACCTACTTATCGGGAAATTCTCAATAATCTCTTAGGATTTTTTGGAAGTGACTTACATTTCATCTCACGATCGCGTAGGCCACACAGACATTGGAGAAGTCGTAGAAATCCATAGATTTTTTTAGTTGATTATGATTCTGGAATTCGAATTTAACTGCCCCTAGAACATAATATTAAAGGAACACCAACTACAACCCTTGGCATCTGTGCGACTTTTTCAAATCTAGACGGATCTGCTGCTGTCTGGTGAGCCAGAGCCTCCGATGATGATTCTAAAAGTTCATAACAGCTTCAGCAGACCAGAACAATCAGGGCGCCAATAATAGATATGTATTTGTGTCCTGTGCAGCTCACCACGGACTAGGTCGGTAGAACAGAATTTCGCGTTCATGTTGCTCCGAGAAGAACATCACACGTCGAAGAAATCTTTTCGCGTTCAACTTGTTGTTCCGAGAAATTTATAAATTTTCGGAGTGACATCCTGATCCCAAGAAAGGCTTCGCATTCGCTTCCAAGCATCTTCCCGCAAGAATATGAATAACGCCAAAGAAAATTATAAGTATAACTCGTACTAGTATGACAGTTTTTACACTGACTTAGTACAGTTTCAGTTTGGCTTTGAAAATTGTTGTATCACAAAACTCACCTAGTTTTAGTTTTACAACTCATCTCATACGATGTAGCTCGTCCCTAGCATGTGATGAAGGTACGACGGCGACTAGGTCGGCAAAACTTTTGTGTAGTTTAATTGTGTGTTCTTGTAGTACTAAGCTACAGTGTCAGTATAATCGCGTTGGATCATTTGTACATACAGCGCTAAGTAGTAGAAGAAACTCAAAGTCAAACCTTTGGCACCAGCATAAGGAACGCGACCTCGTGTCAACCAAAAAGGAGCCCCTGCTTCGTGTTCACATCACATCCGGCTGAGCAAGTCTTCTTTTTTCCGGTCATAGTCTCTATCGCGGTGGGAAAATAAAACCGTTCATTCAATCAGTGGGCGATTGGTCTGCAACACGTGGTGCCGTTTGTCGTGATGCGTAATATGCTTATGCGTTCATGCATTGGAGGTCCTCTACTTCCTGGTCGTAAGAGGGTCAGTTGTACTTCCGCGTCATCAAGTGCATCATGCGCTTCACATGATGCACTACGGGTACAATAATTCAAATGCAAGTTTTTATTTCCCAGTGAAAAGATGAAACAGGTCTTTATGAAGTTTTCCATTTTGATAATCTTCCTGCGTAATGTGGCCGTCATCACACATTTTTTTCAGTGCTGCCAACCGCTGCTGCAGATCGGTTGGATCCTCGGGGGGTGGAAGTTGCTGCACTGGACTGGTCGTAGCGACCTGCTGCTGCGGCACCCAGCCGTATTAAGAGGAAAAATCCCCCCTCCCCATACCGAAAACGAACATTGTGATGCTGTATCTCAGTACACAAGTCGACGCGTATTGCTAGAAGGCCAAGAGCCGCAGTCGTGGCCTAAATTGCAGGCAATTTGTCATGCTGTTCCCCACTTCCAGTTGCGTCTTGTCATGCTGAAGATGGAAGGCTTCCCCACGCCAGCCAACGCTACAGTCCGCATGATCTTTTGCCTTCTAGTATGTGTATGACAAAGCTGAATTGTGGCCACAAATCTGCATCACAGATTTCCGCTTTGATATGGGGAGGGGAGATTTTTGTTCTTGATAAGCCGCCAGCTGGCATCAAGCCCCTTGCCGCCATGATTCCCTGGTTCAGAAGTTGAATACTGCGCTCCACGTCTTGCGGGGCTATCAGGAAGGCGTAGGGTGGCGCCCTTCGCCTGCTGTGGCTGTGGGCAATGCCGTCATCGTCTCCGACCGAGGACATTTATTACAATGAAAAATGCCCCCACCCCGGAATTTGAAAAAGAAAAAGTTTCTCATGCACAGTTTCCAAATCAAAGCTTTTTGTCTTGCATGAAAGGACAACTACGAGCCCCTCTGATATGCAGAATCTACGCGCGCAAGGTATCTTTTGCACCATAACAGACCCGGCTACTGTTGGGCAACTTTGCAGCACAGATTTGAGCTATTCAGCATGGAGAATCTGTGATGCTGATATATGCAACACGGGGAATGTTTCTATTGGAAAGGTTTGCAATACAAATCAATGCTGCCAAGGAGGCATTTTTCATTGTAATAACATTCTTCTGGGGTTCAGTGGTGTTCGGTACGGACAGAAGAAGTGTATCCTGTGCAAAAGTATCGCACTCGTATTGCAATCATGCATTACAAATTTTTTTCTTAAGGGAAATCAGCATGACAAATTTTATTTCTCATGCTGAGGAAATTTGTAATGCATTTATACAAGTACGAATACGATACTTTTGCAATGCATAAAGTGAATCACCGGCTTGTCCTGTGCAAACAGGTCCCCACGACCCCACAGTCCTCAAGTTGGTAAGTCTGCAACACAAATCTGAATGCTTTGCTGGGAGTTTCTGCATGCCAAGTCTCCAACATCTGTAGCGTAGCGCTGTTTACTAGCGAGGATAGTCGCAACATCACAGAGACGCCTGCTTATCCTTTTTACAGCATTACAAATTTCACAGCACGACTACAAATTCCTCTCATGGGGATGCGCACCACAAACAATGTTCCTGTCGTTGCAAATCTGCATGACAGCTCTGGGGCGGGGACGTTTTTACTTAGGCTACCGCTGCCTCGCCTGTTGCTCCTCCGGGCTGAAACTTGTCTTCCCGCCGAGAAAGCTGGGCAGCACTTGCATCTATCCTGTGCAAAAGTATCGTACTCGTACTAATCGCAGTCATGCATTACAAATTCTGTTCTCATTCTTGTAAATCCGCATTACAAATTTTATTTCTCATGCTGAGGGAATTTGTCATGCATTTATACGAGTACGATACTTTTGCATTCCATAGCATCGGCTGCACGGCAATGGACGAGATGTGGCCAACCAGATCAAGTTTGTAGATGGTCTGCGTGATGTAGCTCCTGTTGTATATGCTTTCTTTGGTGCCCGCCTTCAAAAAGAACAAGTACCGTTTGCCAAGCGCAAAAATGGTCTGCGCTTTCTGGTCGTTATCAAACCCTTCCTATCAACTGTAACTATTATGCAGGTGCCAATGCCCATACTGTATGGTCTTCGTCCATTCACGGACCGATGGATGCCTACAGCGGCCCCCGCCCCCCGAAGGGGGGTGGGGTCGCCGTTTGGTGGTGCGCGAGCACACACCCGAACGCTGAAACGCACCGTGAGCGTCCTTCAGAAGTGGCGGGGCGGGCAGTGGGCCTCACCCCTAGAGCACACATAGCCTTCGGCTCTGATGTGAGCTAGACTATACTCTTGGAAGGGCGGTGGTTCGTTGTCGTAAGGATGCATGCACACGTGCCGTGGCAAGACTAAGACCGTACAGAGAGACTCCTGACGCCTCACTGGAGGCCATGACAGGTCTGGCCCTAGAGAGGGTCAGAGTCAGGGTGGGCAGAAAAAGACCAAGAGAATAGGGAAAGGAGGCCTGTACGGCATCCCTCCCGGCGTGACGACGGTCATGCCAATCTCAGTCACCTGCGGCCGCGTAAGGTTCTCGACCGACTCGCCGCCTCCAGCGGCTGAGCCACACAGTATGTCCAACCAATTCGTCGAGACCGCTTGCGCGCGTAAACATCCATCAGACCAAACAGCATGGGCGGCACCTCAGTCTAGTTACCCAGTCCTAAAAATGTCTGGTTCTGGAAGAGTTGGAACTTGTCATGCTGTTTTTGGACTCCAAAAAAAATTGTATTGCATGACCAGCAAGAAGGGCGCACTTTGTGCTACACGGATAGGGCATTTCTCATGCGGAATGTGCATCAGGAAGCCCTCCAGAAGTCTGCGATGCTAGGTCATGCATTACAAGCATCGTGGGTCATGAGAAATATGCATGACAAGTCTTCTTGCATTCTTCCAGATCCAGACACTTGTGCATTTGATACTTCCGCCATGTCCATCATGAGGTTCCCGAGGCCGCAAGTGCAGCAGCAGATTACACAGCTGGCACCAGAGTCCTGCCGCGCGTCACTGGAATCCTGCTGCATCTTTAGCCACAGTTCGGAAACCCGCCAAATGTGCTTTATCCTGTCGAAAAACGCCCCCACCCTATAGTCAAGTTGGAAAATCTGCAACACAAATCTCCAAGCTTTGGGAGTTGTGCATGACACGTTTTCATCTGCAGTGTAGTGCTGGTTAGCCAGGGCGGCCGCATGAGAGAGCAAGAGCAACTCTCTCATCCTGGCTACAGCATTACAAATTCCAAAACACGACTGGACACGCCTGTCATGGAGGTACGCATTACAAATCAATGTTCCTGTCATTGCACATTTGCATGACAACTCTGGGGTGGGCACGTTTTTACATATGATATGCGTGATGTATTCTTCATCGGGGTGCTGCGCCCGCACGTATTCCGCCACATTTGCGGCGTCTGCTATCCGAGAAAAAAACTATGTGAGTTGAAATCTGTGATGCAGACAGTGCAAAACTGTATACGATTGTCATGTTGGATGTGCGTCTTCATCATAGGCTGCGTTTATACGTGTTTCCAATGATACTAGCTCCTGCGCATGACAGGTTTATTCTCCCTGTACTATTATGCAAAACGAATTTGTGACGCTGCTCTACTTCCTACAAAGTTTATACTTACGCACTTTTTTTCCTGGATATCTGCTTCATTCGTCTCGGAGAGGCACTCCGGAAGTGCTGGCCCCATCTTTCAACGTTCTCCAATGCTACGCCAAATTACGCTTCGTCAAGTAGACCAATGTGATTCCTTACGAGTTTGAGGATACAAAGAAGAAATAAAAAGAAACCCAATGGAATGAGAGTAAAAGTAAAACTTCCACCAAGAGCGACGTATCTTAACTTCGGTAGTTGGCAAAACATAATAATTTTCCTATTCCCCCTGAAAACAAATGATGATAAAATTGCGGGGTGCGGTAAGCTGACTGAAGAGACTGTAGGTCATGCGCAGCCGCAGCTGCAGGCTCTAGTAATAAATAAAAAAGTATGAACTTCTACATGTCATTTATCATAGTGTCTCTGATCTACTTCGATCGTGCGCAGCTGCACATTGATTCTGCTTCACCGAGAAAGCCTAGTACACCGATGGCATTGACTTCTCCTGCGGAGAGAACCGACGAATAAAGCGCGACAGACTTCCTTTTTTATTTTTATTTCTCCGTATAGAGAGGAAGAAATCACAACCGAGGGTCTTCAACCAGACGTGCTCTTTACTGATACTGATGGTAGATCTTGCGAGGCAAATACTTATCCCTGGACGTCTGGAAGGATGTAACTACGTTGGTTGTAATGCGTCCGCCGGTGGGGGCGCTTTGACTACCAGAAGCTGCCCAGCACTTTTGCTCGAGTTAAATAAGAGATTCTTCTCATGCAGGATGGACGGGCATTGCAAAGAGCTCGCAGAATGTGTAATGCTTCTACCTAGCTGAAGACCTACTCACGACACACTTCAGCACGAAGACGAACCGATCACGACCACAACAAACAACGAAGATCATAGATCCAGGCCGAGCCGTCCATCCATGACATGCGCAACTTCTTCTTTGGAACAACCATTCCCCCTCCCCCTCATTTGTCATGCGAAATCCACCCTTTGCCTGCTAACACTATTTGCATGACAGATTCCGGAATCCCAAACAGCACTACGATTCTCTACGGAATTTGTCATACAAAAGCTGCATCTTTGCCAGCGCTTGTTTTGCTGTTCCTGCAACAGAAATGAGGGGAAGGGGCGAGGGGAATGGTGCGCTCTCATAAACCTGACGAACTATACACAAAAATATCACTGACAAGCACCACCAGTCGGCCACCACAGAGCATCCTGGCTGGTGTGGTGATACCGGTTTACTTAAACTCGGTGGATTCCTCATTAGAATTCTAACTTTTACTTGTTCCCAACTTCATCACCAATCCTAGTGTTTATTTCAAGCAGGAGCGATTAATAATATGCACAGTTGCATTTTCATCTCTTCTCCTCAATAGATTTAGATTAGAGTACATTATTTTTTTAACTCAGCATGAAGAGCTTTCTCGCTAGAAGCGTAATAAATAGTGCTGCTTGACGGAAGTTTGCTAATTTGATCACTGTGCAAGAAAAAAACACAATCACAGTGAGACACTTCTTTTTCTTTGGGAGCTTCGCATCACAGCTTTGCGTTTGTCTCGCATGACAGTTTTTTTCTTTCTTTTTGCGGTAGCATACTAGGAAAAGCACGTATCAAGACTACACGCAATCCATTTTTTCTTTTTTACGCATGCCGGGCTTTTTTGTGTTGCAAAAACGTGCAAAAGCGGTTGCAATGGTGTTTTTTTGTTGAATAATCGTGATCAAAGATATTCTGCGAAGTTTTGTCGGTTGTTCGGCGGTGGTAGTAAAACATATAAAAAAAAATGTGTAAAAGTAAAAAGGAAAAAGTGAAGTCGTAGCATATTCAAAAAGTAAATGAATTTATGAGTGTGCACAAGTACCCCTCCCCTTCCTTTGTTTTGAAAAATAGCGAATCTTCCTTGGGACTGTAGTTCGCATGGCAGGCTGCGCAAGCAGCACAGACAGCACTGCGTGCAATATTCTATGAAGTTCTCATGCAGCAGATGCACTGTTGCCGACGTTCCTGTTGCTGTGGATGCATGAAGGGGAGGGGGCGGGTTGTGCGCTCTCATAATCAATCTAAATTATTCTGTTCTAGTTGCCTTGGTTTTGTTCTTGCTCAATACACAAAAGTAGGAGCCTTAGAAGAGGTGATCTTGTCTCATTTGCGGAACTATTCGTATCGGATGGTGCTTCAACAGCTGCTAGAAAAAATTCTCGTTCGATTTATTGTATCAAATGCGAATATGTCTGGGTCTGGAAGGTTCCCGGGTTTTGCATGGCCCGCAACGCATGTAATGCAAGGCCTAGCATCACAGATTTTTGGAGTGCTTCCTGATCATGCCTATTCCGCATGAGAAACGCCCTCCCCGCGTGGCACAAAGTACTCCTCTTGCTGGTCATGCAATTATACTATTTTTTTTAGAATCCACCAAAGACGGCATCAGAAATTTCCAATCTTCCAGACCCAGACATATTTGCACTTGATATTTTGTCTTCTATCCCGTCCTGGTCGAAAAGCGCCTACTCCTCGAGTCTTACTTTGCAGGTTCAGTCGCGGTACTATGCAAAGCCAAACCAAAAATGCATCTCAGCATCTGCGTGATAGCATCGGGTTGCGAGTTCTTTTTCGTAAACACGAGCCGGAGCCAGGTCAGAATCAGACCATCAAAATAACTTTGCAGGGAATAACATGCCTACGAGTGCCAGCAGCGATTGTCACCAACACAACTGCGATGCTTTATTCTTCTTCACAGGATACGTCGTGGTCGGTGCAGAAGCAATATGCATGTGGAAAAGCATCGCACCAGTACGAGTCGCATTGCCTGATAAATGGAATTAATATTTACATTGCTTGACTTCCGGGTTCTGGTACGGCATACCCCCGGCGACAGGTGAGCTTGACAGGTGACTTTGACAGGTGACCTTGACAGGTGACCCTGACAGGTGACCTTGACAGGTGACCTTGGCCGGTGACCTCGACAGGTGACCTAAGCGCTGACGTCATTTATGAAGACACGCAAAGGAAATATTTGCGACACAATGAAAAATGTAAAAGATAAAAGCGCAAAAAAAAAGCGACGGAGAAAATCAAAATGAAAAAGATAAAAACGCAAAAACGCAAAGCAACTGCCTCCACAGAGAAAGGAATATTTGCGCTGCCGGGCAAAAATCGGAAAGCGCTTGCCTCCGCAACGCGTTACTTACATTGCCCTGCGTCATGGGAAATGAATTGCGGCGAAACATTACAGAATTTGTCTGCAGCCACGCGGACCTATTTCCTTGACTCCTATTTTTGTTTTGTGTTGCAAAAAACAGGGCACCCAGTTCGTCCTTTTGCCTTTAGCGCTTCGCGCACTAAGCCACTATGCGCGCGCCTGGTGTGAGGCGAGGGGCGGACGCTGTCCGCCCCGATGCCGAACACCCTTCCCCCACTAGCGCTTCGCGCACTAGGCCACTATGCGCGCGCCTGGTGTGAGGCGAGGGGCGGACGCTGTCCGCCCCGATGCCGAACACCCTTCCCCCACTAGGGACGGGCACAAGGCCCCAGCGTGGGGACCCTGTCCCCACGCTCGGGCGGGCCTTGTTTGTCATGCTGGGAAACTAAGGGCAGGGCGCCCCTGTGTGAGTAAGCTTACAAGCTCTGAACCTTCGACGTCGCCGCCCGGTCTCCATCGTGAGGCATCGCGCGAGCACGAATGCCGGCGAAGTGCTGGCGAGAGCTGAAAGGGTCAGAAGGCTCGTCGTACCCGGTAACCACTAAGACAGAACTCCGGACAGTGCTACTTCTAGTGCCTAGAGACAGCAACAGCAACCCCTGGAACGGCTGCGACGAAACAAGCATTTTTTTCTCTGCGTACTCTGTACAAACTGAAACTCAAACTTTCCCATTAGCACAGAGGGGCAGAAGAACAAGCAAAAAAGCGGTAGGTGAAAAACGAAGACACAGCCCGATCTACGGTAAACAAACACCCTAAAAGTGGGGTCGCAAGAATGTAACAGCTGAGGATAACGTCCTAAATGAGAAGTTGCGCCAGTGCTGGTGACAACGTCCAACAAGGAGCTGCATGCAAATCGCCAAACAACTGAGACGAGACACAGTCGCCGCGATCTGGAGTCACAGATCTAATCCACCATGGTGGAGCGCGTCATGCTAAATGAATTACCTAAGAAACCAGATTAATACTTACATTGCTTGACTTCCGGGTTCTGGTAACGCATACCCCCGGTAACAGGTGACCGCGACAGGTGACCTTGACAGGCGACCCTGACAGGTGACCTTGACAGCCAGGTGACCTTGACAGGTGACCTTGACGGGTTACCTTGACAGGTGACCTTGACAGGTGACCTCGACAGGTGACCGTGACAGGTGACCATCACAGGTGGGCGCGACAGGAGGCCACGACAGGTGAAGACCATTTCCCCACTAGCGTTCCGCGCACTAAGCCACTACGCGCGTGCCTGGTGTGAGGCGAGGGGCGGACGCTGTCCGCCCCGATGCCGAACACCCTTCCGCCACTAGTGCTTCGCGCACTAAGCCACTATGCGTGCGCCTGGTGTGAGGCGAGGGGCGGACGCTGTCCGCCCCGATGCCGAACACCCTTCCCCCACTAGTGCTTCGCGCACTGAGCCACTATGCGCGCGCCTGGTGTGAGGCGAGGGGCGGACGCTGTCCGCCCCGATGCCGAACACCCTTCCCCCACTAGCGCCACTAGGGATGGGCACAAGGCCCCAGCGTGGGGACCCTGTCCCCACGCGTGGACCTTGTTTGTCATGCAAGTCAACTGGCACTTTCTTATACCATCACGAGTACGATACTTTTTCAATTCATAAGCAGTCGGGCGGCTCGAGCTCGAAAACCAGTTGTTCGTATGCATTGCAAATGTGTGTGGGTCTGGAACACTGCAGCTTGAGCTTGTCACGCCAAGTGTGGAATCACGCAAAAGTAAGTTTGTCTTGCATGCAAATTCCGAAAAACTGACGTAATTTGTATCACATGTCTCGCGCCGTCCTGTCATGGCGGCAGGGCGCATACTCTGACAGCGATGGGGAAGAGGGTAGGCAAAGCCTACCAGCGAGTATGCACGATCCTGATACCACTCCCATCGCAGGAAGGGTCGTGCACATCACTTGTCCCCATTGCCAACACGGACCAAGCTGCGTCCTGAACGAGGGAGCATGCCCCCCCACTCCGCCGGAGGGTTTTCCCTTCTGAGGCCCAATACTAGATAAGGGAGGGTGAATGGGGGTGGGGCGCTCGCCCGCACTCATGAGTGCGGCGACAAGACCCCGAGCGCGGTTCTCATCGCGCAGCGAGTCTGTCCGAATTCGCAGGCAGGCGACTGCCGGGCGGCCCCCCAATGCGGGGGCGCCCATTCCGTAGAGGTTAGCCACATGAGGGCTTTTGTAGTGGCGTGCCACTGCGTGATGTACTTGCGCCGCGTTTTCGCGGGTTACGAGAGGCGCGCGCCTCTGGATGGAAGCACCCTCCGGCCGGAGTAGCTAGCGGCCTCGCGCGCGGTCCCTCGTCGTATTCGGCGCTTGGCCTTGAGTGGGGCCTGGCTTCGGCAACACAAGCCCCTGCAGCGCGCAACAAAGCATTTGCGCAGCGACCGACGTGATGCCTCCGCCTGTAGTCAGGCAAGCTCCCCATAGAATCGGCCGCCTGGCCTCTTTCCTACCTAGAGCAGGCGCGGCGGCCCCGGCCTTTTAGCGTCTACGCTTGCCGCCGGGCGCGCTGGAGCGAGGCTGGCTCCACGGCTGCGCTGTGCGCTGCTCTTACTGAAAGCGAGGGCCACTCAGCCCGTCCAAGCGGTGCTTCATTCAACCAGAAGCACGCGGTGCATTTTCTCCCGGAACATGCGCGCGCGCGATGATTCACGGGCGAGCGACCCCCGGCCCCGGGCGTCGCGAGTACGCGGGCGCCGACTCTTGTCGGCAGAAGGAGCTGCGATGCAGCTACGTAGATTTCTGGGCGTTACGCCTCGCGCAGGGATCTGCAGTCGCACACCTCGTGCTCAGTCCCCGATCGAGGATCTGCACTCGCTCCCCAGTTCGGAAAGCGGATGCAAGCTGGCCGCGGCAGTACCCGCCAGCACTTGGCTTTTCTAATTGCTACTGCGCTCCCCTGACTCTGTTCAGCGCTTGCTGAAAACGTCAAGAGGAAGAAGCGCAAATTTCGATCGCGCGATCGAATCGGGCGGCGTCTAGCCGGGACGGGGCGCTTGCCCATTTTTAGCCAAGCAGATACATAGTAGAGCAATGAGGAGAAGGGGCCCGACCCTCGCATACCTATCAAATTACCTACCCTTATCTTCTCTCTGCCTGGAGTCACAGGCTCGCCAGCCGTTCGAAGATAATGAACATTTATTATTGCCCAAGTTAAGCGGCAGCTTCTCATGCAGGAGACCTCATGATAGAGATGTCATGATAGGTTCTGTGACTGTATGCAAAAGCAAATGCATTATGGGTGTGGGCCATGGAAAACCTGCATGACAAGTCTTGCAACCTTCTACCTAGACCCAGATACGGTCGCAATGCATAGGTCCCGAACCAGTCCAAAACAGGTCCGATGAAAGACATGCGCAAAGCTTCTCTTGCTCCCCAGGCTGCTTTCGCTGGTCCAGTTACTTCATTTTCGTGTCCGAGAAGATGAAAAATAGCGTCGGCCGGCATGACATCAGGAAGACTTGGACCGTTGTGCACGAGATCTTGGCTGAGCCCGACCGCATTCTGGGCGAAATGCGAAAAACTGTATCAAAATAAAAAGCTCCACATCACTTACAGAAGCGATGAAAGATATATCCAAAAAAGAAAAGTCACTACTTTTCGTCTACTAAAACAACGCACCAACCGCGAAAGCTTATTCTTAGCTGCGCGCGCAGGTGGTTGTAAATTGATGAGTGCTACCTGCAGTGCTTCTACACCTTAGCCTTATATCGTGGCAACATTTAAATTTCCACTCGAAGTGGGAGCAGCAAGGCAGCACTTTTCATTTTGATACCCCGTAAGAAAAGCCCGTTGCAATAGTAGCGACTCTCTTCAAAAAATTGAAGGACGCGTTGTCGGCATCGCAGCGCAGCAGCAGTTCCGTGACCAAGAGCGGGCCATGCTTCGCCGGATCGTGAATGGTAATTTCCATTTTCCGACCTCCGAACCACGTTTTGAAAGGATTCAGGGATTTCGAACCAGTGTACTCCAGCCGGGCGACTTCTTCTTTCTTTCCATCCTCACTATGCAAAAGAAAAAAGCTATGTATTTGTAATTGCATTTGTATATGCAAAAATGAACACTATATATTATGGGAGAAAAGCATCTGTCTTGCATATCCTAAGAGACCGGTACGCGCTGAGGCCTAGATTTGTAATCGCGATGCTATGGCGAGGGTTGCTATTTTTGCGTCGAGCATACCGTCGGGGAAAGCAGGGGGCCCCCGCCTCCCGCCCTCCCGCCCGCTGCGTATCCCGCCTCCGCAGGGGGCCCCCGCCCTTCCGCCTCCGCAGGGGGCCCCCGCTCCCCTCCCGGGCCGCCCGCCTGGGGTCAGAGGGGGCCCCCGTCCTTCGTTCTCCGCGGTAAATCTCTCCTGCCCGCTGGGGGCCCCCGGCCTCCACCTTTGGCGCCCTCCAAAGGGGGCCCCCCGCCTTTCTCTCCTGCCCGCAGGGGGCCCCCGCCCCTCACTCCTGGTGTTCCAGGGGGTCCCCCGCCTTCCTCTCCCGCCCGCACGGGTTCCTGTCGCCTACACCGCACCTGCTGCTCCAGGGGGCCCCCCGTCTTCGTCTCCCACCCGCAAGGGTTCCTGTCGCGTACATCGCTCCGCGCCCACAGCAGGGGAAACGCAGCGGGGCCCCGTCCCGCAGTCACCCCCCGCTGCCGCAGGCAGAGAGCCCTCGCTGTTCGCCTTGGTAATGGGCGCGCCCCTGCCCTCCCAAGTGGCAGCACATTCATGTGTCCCGTGCGGCTGGAGTAACCCGTAGCGCCGGCTAGGCCTCTGCGCGGGGTCAAGCGCAAATACGCGGCTGGAGTAACCAATAGCGCCGCCGAGGCTTTGCGCGGGGTCAACCGCAAATACGCGGCTGGAGCAGGAGAGACGTGCGCAAAGGCCCGCGAATAACGTTGCCTGCGGCCGCCGAGTTGGAAACGCTGCCTGGGGCAGCGCACACAGAGTTGAAAACGCTGCCCGCGCGTGCCGAGGTGATCGGCAGGGGCGGCCTGCGCGGGTGGGGGGTCTCTGCAAGAATTCGGGGCAGCTGTGTCGCGCCTGTCGTTGACGCCACGAGACGCGGTTGTCGTTCTGGCGTATTCACAACCATACGCCAACCAGCCAACCAACCACAGACCAGCAGGAGATACTGCCCAGCACATGACCAGCGTCGCTGGGAAAAGGCGCCAACATGCGCCGCCGCGCGCCAAAATGGACAGACACCGGCCGCACATGCGCCAACGCGCAGCAGCGTGGGCGCGCCGGAAATACTGCCCCAATGCGCCAGCGTGGTCCCGGGTGGAAGTTGGGAAACCGGGCGCGCCGTGGTTCGCACAACAAAACTGCCGAAGTTGCGCGATTAGCACAAATAGAATCGAAACACGGCCCGCACCGCCCTGGTTCGGCGCAAAGTGTTGGGATAGTTGCGCGGCGGGTTGCACCGTGCAACTTGCCGCGCAACTCGGGCCATACCATCGCGATTCGCAACGCAAACCGTGCAAAAGTTGCACGAGTTGCACAGGTTTCCGGGAAACCTCGGAAGGCCCATACCGTCCTGGTTCGGCGCGAAATATTGCGATAGTTGCACGGCGAGTTGCACCGTGCAACTCGCCGTGCAACTCGGCCGCACCGTCGTGATTCGCAACAAAAACGTGCAAAAGTTGCACGAGTTGCACAAGTTCCCGGGAAATCTCGGAAGCCGAAAACTCCGGGATCCTGGAAAAAGGTGAAGATCAGCAAAGAGAGACCAAGGGGAATCCGTCTCGCCACAAACTGCGAACCCGCATGGTATGGCGCGCGTTCGCCAATGAATTCGCTATGTTTGACCAGCGTAAAAAAAGGCGCTTCACGAGGGCACCGCGCCCGGGTATATACGCAAGGTCTGACCTCAATCACGATGCTAGTGCGAATAATTCTAGGCCTCAGCGCGTACCGTTCTGTATCCTAAACGCCATGTTGTGGGCCCAGCGATTTTCGTGTTTTACTATTGCGCTTTCCCATTACAAATTGGGTATGCTAGCTTTTTTCTCCGGGATACCTATTTGTGGCGCTGGACGGATTCTCCATCACGATTGTCGGTCGGTAGAGATGGCTTGACAATAGGGCCAAGGAGGTGAGTCCTTGTTCAGCGATGTGCATGGTGTACTGCAGATGGACGCCGCGGCGCAAAAACAAATCGGCTTCGCGCTGTTGTGTGTCTTCGGCGGTCGTGTAGCGGTAAAAGTGCCATGCGGTGTCAAAGAGGCCACTCGCGGTCGTAAAATTTGTCTGCTTCACCCATTGCAGGTGCCCGAACTGGAAGGCAAGCTGCAATCCGCCAAACGCTCCCGCGTCGGCCATGGGTTCCTGGCCTTTGTAGCTTCTGGCCCCGGTAACAAATTCCCAGATGCTGCCACTGGTCGCCAGGTTCCGCAGTCCCGTCCCCTGGGTGATGACGTTTGCGACGTTGCGCGCCGTACTAGCCGAAGGAAGGCTTTTCCGCTGCACGTAAGCGAAAGGCATTTCGTCTTCCTCGTCCCGGCCCTCGATGAACGCGCGCGTCAGAAAGCGATCGGGTAGATAGGCCAGAGGGTCGCTGGGATCGCCCGGAAGAAGCGTGAGCCGCTGCTTGAAGAAAGCATTCTCCTCTCGGAGGTCGTCGTAGCCGAGCCAGCCCCTCCACGACTCCGAAAAACCTTGGCCCGGCTCCGCCTTGAAGAAAACGTTGTAGGGGAAGGTGAATCCGTGAAACTGCCCCATGAATCCGCTCTTCGCCTTATCCGCATCGACATTAATACGGTACGCGATGAGACACAAGGGCTGCTTCAGCATTCTTGTTTCTTCTTTTTAGACAGCTTGCGCTGGTCCAAAAGTTGCACGGGTAGCAGTTGAGTAGAAGTACCGGACGACGGCCCTCCTGCGGCCGCGGCGGTCGTGGTAGTTTCCTTTGCCTCTGCCGCTGACGTGTCCATTGGGAGCGGGGCGTTGACGGCGAACGCCTGCTGCGCTGCTGGGGAGAGTTGCTGTAGTTCAGTCGCTATGCATTGCAAATACGCCTGGCGTCATGGGAAATTGAAATAAGTATAAAGATAGCAACGTCCGTAATGCATGAGTGCGAGTGCGTGCTTTTCTTGTATCTATTTCTCCGTGCAGGAAGCCAATTTGTCAGGAGGAATACGGCAAAATTCGCGGCATCACGCGAAAAATTTCTGATGCGCTCATGCCGTACAAAGCATCGCTCTAACTGTGATGCAAGACTCAGCAACACAAATTCGCTGCATCTTTCCAGACCGAGACATATTTGCAATGCTTAGTCGCAGCTGCTCTCACTGCCGCTTCCTCGTCTTCCTTTTGCTTGGGCAGTTCCAGGGGGTTGCGCTCGGTCTTCCTTTTGCTTTTCGTCTTCGTTTTCCTACCTTAAAATATTTTCAGAAATGAAGGTAGCGCAATTCATGTATATTCCTTGTTCTTACTAAAGTCAAAGGTCAGAGTCAGACTTGTTCGCGCAACGTACAAGTATATCAACGTAAAATTATTAAACGCTAAATAGAGCATAAAAATTGAGAATGAGAACACAAATGTAAGTAATCGAAGATCACCTGCCTTCCCACGGAGCTGCCGTTCCTTTTCCGGTGCGGGCCCCTTGTAGTTCCGAACAATTTTCCCGACAACTACATCCGCAAGCTGGTACTGACAAAGAAACATGACCTGCGACCGTAGGAAGAACCGCGCAAAGGCCGTAAAGACGATGTTGCGCTGCATGTTTCCTCGCCGAGCTGGTACTGTTTCACCACGACTTCTGCAACTTCTGAAAACGCGAATACACTGACCGGCAGTAGCAGTTTCCGTCCCCGTGTCCGTTTTGTCGCCCCGGACAAGATAATGTCCAGCACGAGAACTAGGGGCGACCACTTTTCTTATTTCTTGTGTTTCGCGAAACTAGAAATACTGACTTGCTTGGCGCGCAAAGGTAAAGTCGGTGTAGTGGAAAGAACAAAAGTTTTAGAGCGTGAGCGGATTACTTATGTCGTAAGTAAAGTATCGCTTTTCTTCCCCGTTCTTGTTGTGAAGGCCCCGAAGGCAAAAAGAAAAAATGTCTTCCTTTTGTTTTGCTTTTCTTGACGCCATGGACCACGAGCCATATTATTTACAACGAAGCACGACGATGGTATGCAGCTTTGACGAGTACTAACAAACAAGCCCCAACATTTAAGAGGATCAGCATTCCTGCGACGACGTTGATGTCTATGTCTGTTCACTGCTTTTTTTTTTCTGTTTCCATGAAGCGACACGAAGATCACGACCACAATATTAAACGAACGAAGATCTTCATAAATAATCGATTGAGCGAAGGCCGAGCAATCGATGAAGATTTTTTGTTTGTTGGGCGGGGCGACACAGAACCGCTTGGAAGTTTTTCTTTCGCCTCGTCACGTCGTTAGCGCTACTTGAACAAAAATACGAACTGGCCAAACAACTTGCGTCCATCGATGAACATGGGGGCAGATGGGGGCGACAGGTGACCGCGACAGGTGAAAACATAAAGCAACTTACACTGAATTACTGCGCCCCGCATATTACAGTGCGCTGCTGGCGAAGCAGCTAGCGTGATCTCTCGTCGGAGATTGTGTATCATTGCCGAGAACACCAGAGGCTCGAAAAGGTGATGCTAAGCGTGAGCCGCCTACGCTTCCACGTCGCCATCGGTCAGCATGCACATTTTTGTACACTGTCACTGTCTGTCAGGCATGCGGAAAAATGCATTGCAATAAAATTTCATACACAGTTTCCACCCTCATTTCCGTGCAATACAAGAAGAAACCATGTGCCAGAAGAATTTGCGTTACGCAGTCCGAAAGATATTGGCTGTCACGAACTTTTCTCTTTCGATCAGTAGCGACATTTTTGTGCTATCATCTTGCGCCAGGAGATCCAAGAACCGAAGCCGAACGTCGACCGAGGGGCTTTTAGGTAATTCCTGTTCCTCTTCAAATTTTTACACTGAACCACTTCCACTGCATACAGAAGTCTGCTGCTGGTGAAGCAGCTAGCGTGATGATCCCTCGGAGATTTTGTTTCATGATTGACAAGAACACCGGCGGCTCGGAAACGTAATATAAGGGTGATGTGCCACCTCAGCCGCGGCTACAACGGCGAGTGCTTTGTTTTTGATATGCTCTGCCTTTTCCCGTGGTTTCTTGAACCCAAAATATGGTAAAGAAATAAATTTGTCGCATGTATCAAATGTTTACTATTATTTCTTGTCCCATGTGTAAATAATGAAATAAGTCCAGCAGGTTTGCTACGTTAGCTTTCGCCGAACCTACTGGGGCAGGCTATGCCGTGAAAGTAGGTGGAACTTCTACGCCGGGAAAACAACAGCTTCATAGGTGGTCATGCGAGCTTCTTCTTCGGCTGTCTTGCGTCTTTTGTCGATTGCGCTTGTGCTGGTGACTGGAAACAAGCGCGACGAGAGAACAATACCTGCGATGATGTTGTTTTAGCGATTTCGATTTGTCTCGCACATCACACGCCGCGAGAAGTGGGTTGCGCGAGAGTGCCGCTTCGAACAAGTACATCTTCACAGACAGACCACGGGGCCGAAAGATTGATTTGTTGCATGACAAAGTAGAAGTCTACTCCTTCTACTTCTAGCCTACAAAAGTACAAAAGTACCTTCTAGTATTCGCTTTCGTTGCCAACTTCGCAGAGGGTACTTATAACTTCGCCTTTTGTACTGCTTCTACTGGTGCGCCTACCTCCCTCTGTCGGTTGCACAGGTTCTAGATCTAGATCAGACGCACGACGACGGCGAGAGTACCTGTATAAAGTGATGCTTCGTGGTTTCATCACTCGAATGCAGCACGAAACACCCACACGTCGACGTAGAACCCAGTGTGGCTCTGCTGTTGTTCAGTGGAATCTGTATGATTATTGAAATCTGTTCGACTCTAAGCTTTAGATTACATATCTGTATAAGTTTAAGTAGCTCGTCACAACAGTACAAAAATACCTTCCGTTCGGTGTCAACTTCGCAGAAGATGGTATTTCGCATGTGGAAGTACTGCAGCGTCTACTTTGACTGTCTTCATCTTGTGTTCATTGCGCTGGCTCTGGTACAAAAGCAAGACCAGAGATGTCTGGTACAGAAGCAGCGACCTGTGTGTAAAGTGGTATTGAGTGATTCTTTCATACTAAGGGGAAAAGTTCAAGAATAAGAATCCGAGCAAAAATTGCTTAGGGGGCCCAGCGACGGTAGGTGCTGGGTCGCGGTGTTGTAGTCTTTTTGTAGTAAGTACAAGACAAATGCCACACACAGAAGAAAAAGGAGAAAATACAAAAGGCCGGCTGCGGCCCCACCCCCAGGCTGCGGCCCGGCGCTTCTATGGCCCGGCCACCGCCCCGGCCCCGGCCTCGCCCGATGCTTTTGTTGGCCGGGGAACCCAAAGGGAGCCGGAGCCCAATTCTGTGGCCCTTTCGGAGGGCCAAAAAATCTCAAGGGGGGGCCTCCGCGGGGGCTTTCGCGGGGGGGTCTTCAGGGGGGTCGATCTTTCTATTCTTGAAAACTCAACACCCATGCTATGGTGCCGATTTGGGGGCTCAGAGGGGGGGCGCCAGTTTGCCGCTTCCGGACCCTTTTCGGAACCCCCCACCCTGTCCATTCTTGAAAACTCAACGCCGATTGGTAATTGCCTATTTTCATGCTAATCACGATCTATAAGCAAAAAGGCGCGCGAGTATTGAGACTGCCACTTTTTTGTACGGAGTGTCTCCTCCAGACCGATCCGAAAGTGGGCGCGCGCGATGCTTCTGGGCCACCCTCACGAGCCACCCTCCCCGGTTTTCCCGCTGGAGATGTACCTCGCCGACCTCCAGCGCGGAATCCATTTCGTCATCTGCTTCTGCGCCCTCGTCGAACCCGCCTAGCTATTTTTGCAAAAATTCTTATTCTTGAACTTTTCCCTGTAGTATTTCACTTACTTACTTTATTCATCACAAAAGACCCCGCCCCCACAAGGAGGAGGGTCCGACTTTACATACCGATACCTGCATGATGAAGATCTTTGCCGCGAATCCACGAAAGAATCCTGTGGTGTCAGTGTCACTGAGTGACACGAACTTCGCATCGCAAAACAACCCATACAGATCCTACAGCAGCACCGTAAACACTTACCTTCCGCCGCCCGGTCCAGATTCCTGCTGCATAGACTACCCGACAATAGGTCGTGCTGCGCTACCCGACAATAGGAGAAGCCGTCTTCGCATCGCGAGTACTGTTGTAGTCGACCATAGGTCGCGCCGCGCTTCTTGCGGTTGTTTCACCCCGTGCGCAGTGCCCCTTCCAGAGAGGTTCGTTCTATATGAGTGATGCTTATGGTTCTACATAATAATCGGAAGCGTGCTCTTGTGCTACTTGTAATCCCGGTAAACATCTGAAGTTGCAAGTGTTAGGATAAGATTTAAAATTTATAATCCAAAACGGTTCTGATTATTAACGATCTTCGCAATGCGGAAGTAATTGGGTAGGCTATATTTGTAATATTTTTTGTAAGATAGAAGCTCTTGTGTATGAAAAAGTAAAGTGCAATAGGAGGTGATCAGTGCCAGCTGTAATATACGATATCGAAAACCATACTAAGAAGAAAGATGCTAAAAAATGGAAATTGTTCAAGCAACAACAAAAACGGATATGATCATCTGGAAAAATGCATTCACATTCTGAAGCAAATCGTTGAAAATTTTAAATTTGCACTTTTTGGTGTTGGTCGGTATCGACGATGTAAATCTCGTATTCGCGGATGTAGGTCTCTCGGATGTAAATCTGATCGGGTTCGCATGCGGTATCAAAGTTAAAGACGCAAAAAAATGAAAACATGAAGTAGTAGTAAACAAAAGAACTCCCTTGATGGGTTTTGCTGTGCTAAACAAAAATCTGCTTTGTGCATTTGTTTTCTGGTTCCACCATCCAGCGCGATCATGCAGAGCAGTTCTTTTATTCAGAATCATACTTACTTAGCGATACTTACTTAGCGAAACCACCTTGCTGCCATCCGGGCACGGGTCGCTCATATCGCTGTATGGGTATTTGGCGCCGTTGTTGTATGGCGTTGGTCTTTGGTGTGCGTCCAACGAGCACAACTCGGTGATAAAAGTCGAGCCGGTGTCGAAGTAATTCCGGCACAAACCCTGCTGACCCGGGTCGGCTTGGCCGGGGAACTCGGCCATCATGATGTTATCGCATTCCTGCTTCTGGTGAACTGGCGCTTTCAAAACCGGGCAGCCACGGTCGTCCAATTTGAAAGGCACGTTGTCGTTCCCCATCGACATGGCATCGCACCTGTAGTTGCTCTCAGGTGGCAAGGATAGGTGGCAACGGCCGTCGTTGTTCTTGGTGAATCACTTCCCCATGCCCCGCTTCCCCACCTCCCCACTGCCCCATGGTGGGGAAGTGCTTCCTCCGTGGCGGGGAAATGGGGAAGCCAACCCCCGCATCCCCACCACCCACTGTAATACCTTCTCGCCCGCAGCTGCGCTCAACCACGTACCTACCTATGTATGTGGCCGCCCGCCACAAACCTGGCGGCAGACACAGGCGGCCGGATGTGCAACAACGCACGGGGCGCGCAATCTTGTAAAGAAACATGACACGGGAAACACGGTGGGGGCACACTAAAGGGCCACGAAGAACGAAGGCGAGTAAGGGGGGGGAAGAGCCGAGGCACGGAGAGAAGGGGAGGCGCGTTCAGGGAAAAGCGGCAAAGCGGGCGGCGGAGAAGCACCGCCGCGGCCCCGAGCCCCAAACCCTAGACCCTAAAAAACAAACCGGCCGGCGGCTCCATGCCTCACCGCTCCAGCTGCAGTGAGGTGGTGCAGGGCAGGTGGGGAGGCAATGCAGAGGACGTGCGTGGGGCAGTGCTGCAGGTGCGGATGCGCGCCGTGGGGAGGTGGGTTAATGGGATGGGAACGTGATTCACGTCCTTATTCTTGTAGGGCTGCACGAAGACCTTGGTCACGACCCACCCCGCCATCTTCTGCGGTCCTCCCAAACCATAATTTTTATCGTAATTCATACAACCGTTCTCATCGCATCCATCGCAATCCAGCATCTGGGGCGCCTGATTGTAGGTGCAGTAGCAATTGTTTTCAGCTGGTGTCGGTCCATCATGAGCCCACCACCGGTCGTCCGACATCGAGGACTTGTCCTGCATCATGACCGCGGCGAGGGATTTCGACTTGCCCTTTTTCTTGACGACACACGCTATCAAGCTCATAAGTACCCCGCCCAGAAAAATGCAAACAAGTGTTTGCAATGCACAGTTCCCACACGGCAATTTTTTGTCTTGCATGAAGCCCATGCGATTCAGTTTGCCTTTGTTCAACAAGAATTTACTACCATGCGGCCTATGCAGCAGTAGAGCGGCCTAGTTCACATATACTCATTCTAGTATCGGAAGTTCTCATATTAGCATATTGCAACACTCCTGCGAAACCTCATAAGATGGTACTGATTCTGCTATGTGCAATTTGTGTTGCAGTTCTCGCTGATACTTCCTTGCGAGAAGATTCCGGAGAAAACTGAAAAGTTTTGCATTATACAAACACTCATCTTCCAACATTCGGGGTCTAGGGCACTTTCAATTTTGATACGCGCCTCTCCTTGTTCCGTGACGACCTTGTTCTCCAGAAAGGTTCCACCGACCTCGCTGCCCGCCCACGCGTTGGTAAACTCCAAATCCCTATGCATCGCAACTATTTCTGGGTCTCGGGGGATGCAAACGAAGCTTACGATGCGCATTCTGCATCACAGGAAAATCTCGCATCGCAAACCAGCAAAAGTTGCTCATTTGTTTCCTATCGCTACCAGTTAAAGCGGATTTATTTTCATGCGGATTTTTAGGCATTTTGATTTTTTGAGACACCTTCACCTTCTAGAATGTCCAAGCTGCAATGCTAGAGCTTGCATGCCAGCGCGTCTGGGCAACGAACCGAAAAACAGCATGACAAAGGTCTGCGTCTGCACCCTTCCAGACACAGAGACATATTCACATTCGATATTCCAGGGAGGTGGTGGTGGTGTTCTTCATCGCGGCGACTTCGGGTGTCGCACCAACCGCCACAAAGATCGCTTGCTTCATTTTGCAACTTGCGGGACGAGCTTTATCAAATGCAAAAATGTCTGGGTCTGGAAGATTGCGAGGTTTGGTTGGTTGGTTGGATAGCGCCTGTCGCCGGTGCAGGTCCCGCCCTCCATCGATTGAGGTTTGTCATGCTTGTCTGGCATGACCAAAAAGTTTGTGATGCGTGTCCAAGAAGAGACCATTTTTCTTGTCATGCAAAAACGTAGTGTGTCATGCGAAAAACGCAACACAAAGAAGCGCAGACATTTCTCATGCTTGGCCGTGCATTACAGAGCGAGAGCATTCACTATTCCCAACGAAGCATTACAAGTTTCCAGGCCCAGATGACATTTTTGCACTTGATAACAAGCTTGGGACAATAACAATTCCTGTTTCTAGCTGTAGAAAAGAGTAGGCTTTTCGTAACCGCTCCGAGGCGATTTAAACGAGGGTGTTCTAGAGGTGAGTCGTGTAACGACTAGCGGAAAAAAACTTGCTTTTGCTCCTGGATTTGTTGGTTTGTAAGTAAATGAGCATTTTTTACATCACTGATGGACGACGTTGAATGATGATGGTAATAGGCTTTCAGTGTTTCTTGCACGAAAGATTTTTTATCGGATGCTATAACTTAGTTTTACAATCGATTATATTGTCAAGTGGAGTCGCACGAAAATCTTAGCACCAGTTTACGACTTTTAGTTGTACTTCACGTATGAATGAGAAAAGATGAAGTGAGAACTTCCAGGCAATCGACGAAGAGGTGGACCTGACCAGAACGAAATTACAAATCGTACGAATCTTCCTATGTCGACGAACTACGCACATCATGTTCTGGTCAACTACAAAACGAATCAAAGGACGACGAGTGAGGAGAGTATCTCGGTCAAGTAGAAGATCTCGGTGCTACTACATCTATCAGCACTACTACGAAAGGCGTGCTTTGTTGTTCCCAGCGACAACCACGAGGACGATACGATATAGGATTTTGATTTTCTTCTTCTTCACCAAGCAATTCATAAAGTCACAGCTGGCTTGATACTGCTGACCCCAACCATCGAAAAGAACAGACTTGGTACTTGTTCATCGACTGATATAGCACATTAATATTTATGAACAAGGACGAGCTACTGATCATGGTATGATACGACGGCTGCTATTGCTTTTCGACGAACTTCAGTTTACTTTTAAAACTTCATCCAAGCATTCAACACGCCAATAACGCATGCACTACTACATACCACAACCACTAACAGATTGTGATTGCGTCTTGTTAGCATGACATAGTAAAATTTTTTGAACGTGCTAGTACTGTATCACGCCAGTTCATCGGCTCAGAGTCTTTCGTTCGAACACACAGCTGGAAGTTATGTTTAAGTACTCACCAGCCCAAAAAATGACGTGCGTGGTGCAGCGTGCAGCACCTGCAGCAGGAAGACTTGGATATACAGGGTCATCAGGTCGAGAAGCGTGTGAAGCTCAAGCTTTTTTTGTTGTAGGGGTAATTACAAGTTGTCCTTTTTGTTTCATATCAGGAGCGTGCGGCGCAAACCGGCGTGCTGACGGTTTCAGGGCGTTGAAAGGTGCGGGTTCTCCACGACCTTTCCGCCAGGGTTGTGCTGCTGTTGACACAGGACGCAGATGTTGTACCAGATGTGATTGTGAATGCGGTGCCAATAGAAGAAGTAAGTATTTACACGACATGTCATCATCATACGGAAGCTGTCGCGTCCTACTTCTTTGACGTCGTTATCCTGAGTAAAAACGTCCCCACCCCATAGTCAAGACGGAGATCTCGCAGCACAAATCGATAAGTTTTGGGAGGCAAGCATGACAAGTTCCTCTCTGTAGTGTAGTGCAGTTTTTCAAGCACAGCCGCAACACAAATCCATCTAGTCATCCTGTTACTGTTCACATCAGGATTACACAAAGTCCAAAACACGACTGGAAACGCCTCTCGTGGGGATGCGCATTACAAATCTTCCTGTAACTGCAAATCTGCATGACAACTCTGGGGTGGGGACGTTTTTACTCAGCATAGTCGTTCCCGCTTGTTTTTGCTCCTCCTGGTCTGTTTTCACCCCGTACATTTTCTTCAACAATTTATGAACTGCAAAAGCATCGTACTCGTAGTAATTGCTGTTATGCATGACAAATCTCTCTCCGAAGGTAAAACAGCATTACAGATTTGATTTGTAATGCTGAGCTGATTTGTAATGCGATTTATACTAGTACGCTACTTTTGCACAGGATACAATTCGTTTTCCTCCAATTTTGCCTGGATATCCGCCTTTTTCTGGCGTATGGGGCTCTCAAATCGGTTACCTTCTCAGCTGTTCCATGAATTTGTCATGCAAAACTCTCATCAGTATCACTATCATCAAGCTGCTTCGCATGACAAATTTCCGAAGGGCTAAATGAGAGCATCTAAACTTGTGCCGAACCTGTAATGCAAAGGCGCGTAAGCTTTTCCCTTTCACTTTTGCGGTTCTTGCATTACAAATTTCATGTAACAGTTGAGAATGTAACTGACTTGAGAACGCCATATGACGGTTTCGCTGGTTGTAGTAGAGCAGGACGAGATACCTGGAGATCACATCAAGAAGAGTGTCGTTGACAATGATTTAGTTCAATTTTTCATTTTCATCAAAAAAAAGCCTCTTAGGACCACCAGGGTATTCATCTTGTTTATTTTTTGCATGACAAACTATAACTACACAGCACGCAAATAGATGAAGATTTTAGCAGGATCATTTATATGGCTGTGTTTTATATCAACTGCAAAAATGTCTGGGTCTGGAAACTTGTGATGCAACTGCAAGTCCGTGAACAATAAGTGCTCTGTGATGCGCCGCAAGCATGACAAGTTTTTTCGTGCTTCTGTGATGCGTATTTCGCATGAGAAACTGTGCTTTTGCATGACAGCCAAGAGGACCTCTTGGTGGCCGCGCAATACAGAGTGCAGAGTCATGCCAGACTAGCATGACAATCTTCCAGACCCAGACATTTTTGCATTTGAATTTGATACTTTATACCTTCCGTCCACATTAAACCCGGACAAACTGTCCAAAGCCAGCTTCGCATCGTAAATATCGTCGTAGACCACGAAATATGAACTGCAAAAGTATCGTACTCGTATTGCAATCTATGCATCACAAATCTTTTTCTTACGGTACATCAGCATTACAAATTTTCTTTCTCATGCTGAGGAAATTATTTGTATAGGCATTTCTACAAGTATCGAATACTTTTGCAATGCATACGAAAGCGGTTCCCTTGGTTTCCTGCGTGTTTCCTTTGCGGATCTGTCTTATGGACCCGAATTTCCCGAAGATGTCGTACAGCTCATCAGTGTATCAAGTAAAAAAATTTTTTCTGGATGCCTGGATGAAACTTGTAATGCTAAAAGTGAATGATAGACGCACTGCGACTGCCATTACACGCAGCCAAGCATGACAAATTTCTGAGCTGCTGCCCATCGTGTTCATCTTGTTGCGTATTTTTCCACAAGTTGACATGGCAACCTGCGACTTTGCATGATAGGTTGTCAGAGGACTCTTTAATAATATTCTAATGCCCATATATGCATCTTCACAGTAGATGCTCGAGTATATGTCATGTCAGAAATGCATCATGACAAGTGTACTAGCAATCTCCCAGACCACCCAGACATATTATTTGCGGTCGATACCGAAGTGATTTTGTAGGGAAGATTCCGGACGTAGATTATCCTGTTCACCTCCGGGGGCAGCCGGACTGATCTCCTTCCCGCGGCTGTGGACAACACGGACGGGTTGCTGGCGATGGGATGCGGAGTCTCGGCGGTCGGCGGGGGAATCATTTTTGCAGTTTTTTTTGGGGGGGCGCCTTCGAATTCCGTTGCACAGCTTTATAGATTTCTTCGAACTTCCTTTTTAGTTTTGCTTTTGGGTGTACATCAGCAGGGAATATAATCAAAACTAGAGGACAAAACACAAAAAAGTCCCTTGGAAATACTCGCTACATGAAGGTGACACAAGATGAAATTATCTCTATGGATGAAAAGGACTTAGAAACACACTCGCCTGTTGAACCAAATGGAAATATAGTTGAAATTTGATTTGGAAGGAATGAAACACATAAACAAGACGTGAAAATCGGAGAAAAACAAAAATGAAAATTTGCATCTGTAATTTAGTTTTTCAGAGTTATATTTCTCTTTTCCATTTTCAATAGTGGAATTTTAGAACCTTTGCGTTGGCGCTCGCTTGCACGACGAGCAGAACTTGAACTCCTCGAAGAACAGTGAAAATTGAAATTCACATTTTACCTCAGAATTCTAAAGCCAGATCGTCTGGATCTGGTGGGGATCTCTGCTTTTAGGTCGTCGACGGGATGCAGATGCAGTGTCTGAGTCAGTCAAGTAAGTACTTACTTAGGTACTCATACATCACCGGAAAGTAGTAGACAAGATCAATGATGCTCCCGCTTGTTGCATTAGATACTTTCAACATCGGAAAGAACTACAGCTGATGTTGAGATTCAGATTGAGATTTCGTTTGATCAAATAAACGACTGGCCTCCAGCAAGTCGCTAAAGAGAAGCTCGTCGTCGTCGCGCTCCCTACGTCTACATGCCAGGCGCAGGCCGCCCGACCACAGGGGAGACAGAAAGAAGTACTTACGTGGCTGTCGCGAACAAGAAGAGGACCCGCTTATGCTTTCGATTTCTTTTTCTTGCTCGAAAGTCTATTCATAATTTCAAAACATCAATCCTAGGGCACGACCTACCCTAGGTACAACCTGTGCTGAAAATTCATTTCCGACCCGCCATCTGATCTTCTTCGGAAAAAAAATGGAAAATGATATTGAAACGTCGATGAAAGCGAATTCTCCAAATTTTGGTACAACAACTTTTGCTGCGGTGATGTTTTACTTTACTTTCAGCAAGACGACGTGATGGAAAAGAAAAAAGCCACCGGAGCTGCATGAAGATCGACCCCAGCATATTCTGAGTAAAAACGTTCGTTCCCACCCCAGAATTGTCACGCAAATCTGCATGCCAAAGAAGTGTCTCATGCGGAGACCCATGAGAGGTATTCCCAAGCTGTGTTTTGGAATTTGTGATGCTAGAATCAGCGCGATGTGCTAGATCTGTGATGCGGCTGAGCTAGCTAGTAGACAGGATTACACTACAAGGACAAACCTGTCATGCGAAACAGCCAAAGCTGGCTGATGTGTCTAGCAGATTTCCCATCTTGTTCACTATATGGGGTGGGAAGGTTTTTGCTCAGAAAGATACAGCACTAGTTATAGGCAAATCCCGGGGGCCGCGCTGCTGTTCTTGCCTGTGGCGGATCATTATTCGCGAGCATCGGTGCCGCTGCGGGAGGAGGCGCTGCTCCTGCATTACAATGAAAAATGCCCCCACCCCCGAACTTGGGAGCATTTGTGTTGCAAACCTTTCAAAGTGAAACGCTCGCCCTCTTGCATCTATCAGCATCACAGATTTCCAATCACGAGTAGCAAAAATTTGTATTGCAAAAGATCCCAGCAAGGGCGGCGCTTGTTGTGCCAGCGATGCGATATACGCCTAGAGTCTGCATCAGAAAGACTCATACTCCTTTCATGCATGACAAAAAGTTTTCATTTGGAAACCTCGCATCACAAATTCTTGCAGCTTTGGGGGTGGAGGCATTTTTCACTGTAATATCCTGCGCCGGAAGTTCTCTCCCCCCGCCCGTCCGGTGCTCCTAAATTCTGCTGCCCCGATATCCTGTGCAAAAGTATCGTATTCGTATAAATGCATTACAAATTTTCTCAGCATCAGAAAGAAAATTTGTAATGCGGATTTACCTCAAGAAAAAGATTTGTAATGCAAGACTGGCATTTATACGAGTATGTACGATACTTTTGCACAGGATACCCGAAGGCTGTTGACCATGAAGATGACCTCCTGCTGCGCTGGTGTTTCTGTTTGGCATGTAGTTTTTGGCACTACCGCTAGTACCACCTGGCACGTAATTCCGCAGATATCTCCACTTGTAGAACAGCAGCGCGCCCATGACCAGGAAGTAGATCGAAATGGCGACCAAACTGATGAATGCGTTGACGAACACCGTGTAGGAAAGCAAGGGGACGCAGTATATTCAGAGGAAAAATGCCCCCTCCCCATATCAAAATGAAAATCTGTGATGCCGGATTTGTGTACACAAATCGGATTTGTCTTGCGGTGGAGGAGGAGGACTGCAGACAGATACAAAGCCCGGAACGGGGTGGCTTAGCAGGGTAGGCACTTAGCATGACAGACATCCGCTCTAGTAGCGTAGCAGCATTACAAATCGCCTGCGAAATGCAGCGGAAGCCCTGGCGTTGCTCCACTGCAGGACAGACTTGATTTGTGGCCGCAAATCAGCATCACAAATTTTGAGGGAGGGGGGATTTTTCCTCACAATACAGTACGCAAAGTGGCCCGGGGTGAACGCCAGCCAGCCGCCCCAGATGTGTATGAATGTGTGAGGATCGAAAACGACAAAATCGAAAAACTTGTCATACGTAAAATGTAGGGCACTGAAGGCCTGTATTGGGAAGCAGGCAAATGAGACCGATTGTAAGCCTGTAGTTGAGGGGTGCGCAATGTGCTGCCAGAGTAGCATGACAGGAGCAGTCTTCTTTGCCCACACAGCATGACAGACCGGACTGGGGTGCAGCTCCCGAAATTTGTCATGCGCCACTTGGAAACTGAGGCTCCAACTGGTGTCGATATTTTGCATCACAAATCTTTCGATTTTGTCAATTTCGATTCTGACACTTCCATAATGTGCACCCCCAGTGTGAGAAAACTCGTCGCCACCGCCACGGAGCGAAGCTCGACTGTAGGCTTGTAACGAAAGTAATATGAACTGCAAAAGCATCGTACTCGTATATATGCATTACAAATTTTCTCAGCATGAGAAATGAAATTTGTAATGCGGATTTACCTTAGCAAAAGGATTTGTAATGCATGATTGCAATACGAGTACGATACTTTTGCACAAGATAAGTAACACTGGATCGCAACGTCAAAAGCGGAGACGGCAGTGCCGGTGAGTTGTGAATTCCAAAAATAATGCTTGGGTCTACTGGAAGGCTGCAGACTTGTGATGCAAAATCCAGATCACACAAAAATCTGTGTTGCGCAATTTCCAAAAGCTGTTCATCTTCATTTCATCTCATGCGGGCGACAAGGGATCAAGAGGCAACAAGCGCCAAAGAAGAATCTGTAATGCTTTATTTCTGTGTACTATTTTTTGTGTGAAGCAAAACCTGCATTATATATACAACAATCTTCTGCACCTGTCGCTCTCCAGACCCAGACATATTTTTTGCAATGGATATGAAAAGGTAGGCCAACATTTCCGAGCAGATGGAGTACCTGAAGACGAGTTGTACTTGTATCCATAAATTTGGACCATTCGTCACGCGTCCGAAACAAATTCATATTCAAATGCATTTTTGTACTTACACCCCAATTATCGATCCTGCCGCATCTTGTTCGAACAAGTGGATCAAGAATGGTACTTCTGGTGCACTTACTTACTTACTCGTGCGAGTGGTATTTCAGCCAGCCACGCACCGGCGCGTTCCACGTGAGCATTCCCACCATTAATGCGCTCGCCCAAAGGAGTATCGAAGAAAAAAACTTTGTGAAGATGCGCACCATGCAAAGGGAACAATGCGTCTGTCACGCTGGTCATGCATTCTGAGCGCCATCCAGGCGCGTTTATTCCACGTACGTCAACTGCGCACGACAGGATTTTGCTGTCATCAATGCCAGACAGATACTTCTATTTGTAATGCTGTTCCTCCAATAAAAAAGTAGTTACACCTACATTCTTTTTTTCTCAAATAACAAGCCCCGGCGGCACCAGAAACGGCGCATGAACTGCAAAAGTATCCTATCGTAATCGTATAAATGCATTACAAATTTCTTCAGCATGAGAAATAAAATTTGTAATGCGGATTTACCTTAAGGAAAAGATTTGCAATGCATGACTGCAATTACTACGAGTGCGATACTTTTGCACAGGATACGGCGCTAGCACCGACATTTTTTCGTACTTGGTGCCGTTGGTGAGGTTACCAAAGATCGACAGCTTTTGCTTCTCGTGCTGCGGCTGCTCGGCGTCGCTGCCGCTCTGTCCTATCCTGAGCAAAAACGTCCCCACCCCATAGTCAAGTTGAGAATCTAGCAACACAAATCTCCAAATTTTGAGAGCTGTGCATCACAAGTTTCCCTCTGCAGTGTAGTTCTGATTGGCAAGAGAAGCCGCATGAGAAAGCCACTTTCACATCCTGTTTACAGCATCACAAATTCCAAAACTACACGATTGGCATTGGAAATTCCCCTCATGGAGCTGCGCATTACAAATGTTCCTGTCATTGCATATTTGCATGACAACTCTGGTGTGGGAACGTTTTTACTCAGGATATGTCCGGAAGATGCGTTGCCCGTCTGATGACCTGGTTGTTGTTGACCTTTCGTTCCTATGAACTGCAAATATGTCTGGGTCTGGAAGATTGCCAGGCTTGTCATGCATATTTTGAATGACCCCTGATGTCTGTGAGGTATGCCCTAGCGTCACAGATTTTTAGAGGGCTTTGCGAAGCCTCTACCGTGTGAGAAATGCCCTCTCCGCGTAGCACAAACTGGAGTCCTCTTGCACTTGCTGGTCATGCAATACAAATTGAAATTTTTTTAGAATCCAGAGACAGCATTACAAGTTAAGAATCTTCCAGAGCCAGATATATTTGCATTTGATAGTTCCGTAGATGCCCTTCGTGAAAAACGTGTCTAGCTGGTCCAGAAAGTATAACGCTGCGACGCAGCATCCCGCAATGAAAAAAAACAGCAGCCCGATGGTCAACGACTCGGCCCTTCTGTCTTCCGCATTCGGGATATGACAGTGCACTACTCCGCCTCCTCCTCATTTCTCATGCAAAATCCCAAATCCAGTCACTGCCTTGTAGCTGTAGCACTGCTGGCTGCATGACAAATTCCGGAAGCCCAAACAGTACTACAATAGGTACACAAATTTGTCATGCGTAGCCTCCACGTGTGCTGGCTTTTGTAGTGGTGTTCATGCTATACAAATGAGGGGGAGGGGGAGTTGTGCACTCTCATTCGGGAACGCCGGGTGTCGCGGGTTCTCTTTCTTGAATCGCTGGTAGTGCGGGGAACTGGAAGCGTATCGTGAGAAAAAAGTGCTACAGTTACACACTCTGACGCAGGACGAGCAAGACAGACAACCTCTGTCATGCAGGAAATGCTTTTGCTTGCCAGCGTCATTCTCATTTATTGGTGTTTTCCCTTGGCATTACAAGTTTTCTCTGCCATGCAGAGCACATTTGTCATGCTGAAATTCCATCAAATGTGTAACTGTAACACTTTTTTCCTGTGATAAAGCGGCGGTGGATTCTGTTGTCCCGCTTGCAGTTCCGGTTCTTGCGGACGGCGAAGCAGCACGATCTGTTGTAGCTCCTGCGGCACCTGCTGGCGTGGTCGGGGTACCCGGCTGCACGACAGGGTTATGGCGTTCTCAAATGTTACATTCTCAGCTGTTACATGATTTGTCATGCAAAATGACCATGAGCCACCAGACGATCGCGCTGCTTCGCATGACAAGTTCTCGAATGGCTAAACAGCGTTTAAATCTGTACCAAATCTGTCATGCAAGACGCGCAAGCTCCCTCCTTTCATTTTTGCCATTCTTGCATGGCAAAGTCATGTAACAGTTGAGAATGTAACAGTTGAGAACGCCATAAGGGTCTTGGCGACCATGTAGTTGCGTGGAAGCCGCATCATCTTCCCGTGACTTTCTGATTCTGCTTGATATTCTGCCTTGTTTCTCATTATTTTCCGCCAGGAGAACTACTAGATCTCCCGCTCTAGTTATCCCAAGAAAAAAGTGTTACAGTTACACATTTGTTGTCAATTCAGCAACACAAATTTCTCTGCATGAGAGAGAAAACTTGCATTGCTGAAATCCTACGGGAAAACACGTATGAAACAAGGTTTGAAAGCATTTCGTGCATGACAGAGGCTGTCTGCCATGCGTGTTTTGCAACACAATGTGTAACTGTAACACTTTTTTCTTGCGATACTAGTAGTACTCCCCGTTTTGTAGTTCTTGTGAGGGTCGTCGTCGCCGGCAGTACCAGTACCACCAGCGCCGGCGGTTTGCTTCAGAAAGGACCGGAACGCCGACTGGTTCTTTTTGGCGCTCGAGATCCACGAAGGATTCGGTTTGCGTTTGGGGGAAGCGCCAGAGAGTTTCTTATCCTCAGCCCCATGGTGACGTGTCTCTAGTGGTTGTACCTGCTCCTTCGTATTAAGGACGTCGAGAGCATATTGCTTTTTGTCCAGCTGTAGAAACTGCTCGCCATTGAGAAACCCGAACGTGCTGAGAGCGGCGACAGATATCGCGGTCTGCGGCACGAGGTTGGCTACTAGCGCGGACAACACGAAAGAACAGCGCACGATTCTTCTTGTTCGAGTATGAGGACGAGCTCCGCTTCCGGCTGCGGTTCTTGGTACAACTACACTCGAAAATGAAACCCCCGACCAGCGGCCGTGGCCGCGTCCCGGCGCCATCAGATTTTTCAATCAAGTTCTACATTTTATTGCTGTCCACGTGGAGACCGCGATGGAGCAGGTGTTTGAGGTAGTTTTTTTTATGTTTGATATACGAAGGAGCAAGAAGTTCATTCTTGCGCATCATGACTCAAAGACTTGGTCCACCTGACCGACCGAACACGATGAAAATAAATTCACTTCTTTTACACAGCAGGTAGTTGTAAAATGAAGTCCAACACGACGACGGAGTAGAGTGGACAGTGTGAAGTTGAACGCCGGGGAAATAAGAATAACAGAACATCAGCTGCGAGGAAGGATTTTTGCACGAAAAGCAGAAACACCATAAGAAATCCGCTTCGGTGTCTGTGTCTCACAGTCGAGACAAAAAGTTCTTCCTCTTTTCTGACGATTTCCACTCAACCCAAAAAGTTGTTCAAGACGCGGTTTCCGATTCAAATTTTTTGTCCAAAAGACCAAAACTGTTTAGAAGATGATGCAACGGATTACAACTACTTCTTCTGTTCCCATAAATAGAAAATGAAGATCATAAAACTACAAACAAGCTACACAAAAACAAAAAGTCAACGCCAACAACAGACAAAAACAAAATGTGTACAGCAGGGCAGGCATAAATAAAACGGCAGCTGTGTGGTGATTCGAATTATAGTCCTCCAACTTCTAAGCCAACAATTCATTTCGCCGAAAACAAGCATGAACGAAATTCTCTTCATTTTCATCTGCAGCGGCAGAACTCCAACCTACAAACACAACAACAAGGGAAGAAGATTTATTTTTCCGCAACCATGAGAGCGGTTGTACTTGGAGAAAACAAATTATCTGGACGTCGGCAAAAGTTCCTAGCAGCACAGGAGGTGTAGTTTGCGCTACTTCTGCTGTGTCGCTTATATTTCCATTGTTCTCGTCGGACTATTCTTGTTCTACTGCTCTTTTTTTACCTTCGAAGATTACAACAAGTACGCGAATCCTCGTCCGTTCCAGACCGCAGAAGCGGGATGAGAATAATCCTGTATTTGCGAATAATTCCAGGCTTGCACATGCTCAAGAACTGATCCTCTCGGATAATTTCTATGTATACCTGGTTTAAACACAAATGAACCACGACGCCATAAAAATCCGTGCAGATGATGAAGCAGATCCTCGTGTTGTGCAGTCCTCGCGTTCTATTCTCCACTACATCTACTTCGTGCTGCTTTAGCATCTCTGTTTGCGTTTGGTTTCGTCCAGGTCGTTTATCATAATTGCGCTTTATCTTCTACTTACCATGATCAAGCAGCAGGCTGCTCCACGACCATCCTACTAGTACTACTGCTGCTGCTGCAACGAGTGGTCCGTTGTACATCGTCTCGTTCTAGCCGGTTTATTCATGGTCGATTGTGTCGCTGCCTTGTCGTGGTCGTTTGTAGTTCGACAGGGAAGTAGAGAAGGTCGTGGAGTACTTGTTCTAGTACAGCAGGGCTGCGCGGCCGCGGTTGTTGTAAGTAGTTGATGCCGTTGCGCCGGGTCTTTCACATTTGCTTTTACACTTTCCAATCTGCAGCTCGTGGCCTTCACGTGGTACTCGTCATAACAGGTTTTTATCGCGGCCAGGGGATACCGGAGTTAGTCTTACTGGTAATACTGGTAGTAATTCATCTTGTTCGCGAAAATAGTACAGGGAGGTGGTAGACAAAGGAAAAACGTTGAGTTGTTCTGAGTAAAAACTACTACCGGGGGCGAGAGGACGAAGATGAAGCCCAGGGGCGACAGCGGCTTCTTGTTGTTGTTTCGGATTAAAAATTGTTTTTACTACACGAAGGACGATGGATCGAGCAGGACGAGGAGGTGCGGAAGATTTATTAGGGCAGCTTTTTGTCGTGTGGTTTTTCTGCAGATGGTGCGTCAAGAACAGTACATCAATCATTTTGTGCGGATACTTATATTCTTCATGGGGAGAAGTTTGTGATGCGGAATCTGGATTCGATTCTACGCCCGATCCCCGAGCTTGTCCGCTTCCACCTTGTTGTTCTGCTTCCGCAGCAATTCCCGCCCGGTTGCCTTGTGTATCCTGTGCAAAACTATCGTACTCGTAGTAAATGCAGTCACGCATTACAAATTTTTTTCCTAAGGTAAATCCGCATGACGAATTTCATTTCTCATGCTGAGGGAATTTGTAATGCATTTATACGAGTACGATACTTTTGCAATGCATATTGTAGTCAAAGTCGCAGTTGTGCTCTTCCGGTAGCCGGTGGGCGCTGCAAAACACGTAGCCGCACCGGCACTCGATGGCACCTGGAGTAGAAGATTATATAGATTTGTTTACATTCATCTTCTTCATCATGCTGTTTGTCATGCGAAACATCCACAGAAAGGTAGTTTGTCATGCAGAACTACATCAACCATACGCTATAATTACCCGCCAACTTGCACTTCTTGTTGCACACCCAACACCTCGTTTTGTCGGTCTGAACAGGTCGCTCCTTCTTCTCTTCTTCGTCGTCGCCTTGTTTCATCTCGACGTCTTTTTCGCCCTTTTGTTCCTTCTCCTCCGCTTCTTTCTGCTTCTTTAGTATCTCTTCCTGGTCCTTCTGCTGTTTCTGGGTAAAACACTTCGAGCAGTAGTTTTCCGTTTTCGGGTTGCCCTGTTGTTGTTCAATAATTAAAATTATTTTTCGTTTATTATTTCCATAGATGTAGATGATACTGAGTGAAGATCAAGTTCAAAGTGCAGCATACTATCAGTTGCATGACAAATCGAAGAGCAGGAGATCAACATTCCGCGCATGATGACGAAAAAAACCTACGACGAAAAGATGGAACTACATATAGAAGGACTATAATACCCAAAACCCGCAGTCGCCCTTACACCTGACCGGCTCGGCGGATTTGTCATCCTTCGTTTCCTCTTTCTTCGCGCCGTCTGCACTGCTGCTCGTATGCACTGCAAATATCCCTGGATGTTGTCTGGAAGAGTTGTTGTCCGAGTTTGTCATGCTAGGTCTGATCGACACAAAAGTCTGTATTGCATGACCAGCAAATATTAAAGCGTTCACTTTTGCTCACCCGATGAAGACAACGGCTGTCATGCGGAATAGGCATCGTCGAGGAGCCTTTTCAAAACCTGTGATGCTGGGGCCCGCATTCCAGACCTTCTGGGTCATGCGAAACCTGCATGACAAACCTTGCAGTCTTCCAGACGCCGGAGACATATTTGCACTAGATAGCTCGCCGCACTCGCCGAAGTCCCTGACACAACCGTCCCCTTCACGAGGAACACCGTCGCGCCGCTTGCGACCTTTTTGTCTGCCAGAACGTCGTCGTCGGTGAGGACTTTACCTGACAATCGGATGAAAAGGATCTTCTCTTCATCCTATCTACAGCAAGACAAAACTGCACACTCATGTCAAGTTCCGCATCACAAAAAAAGTATTACTCGACGTAAGCAAGTAGAAGTAAGTACTCACACTATACCTTTGAACACCAGCTTCTGGACTTCTATTGGGAATTTCTGTTCCGTTTTCTTCGCTATCAAGTCCTTCAAGTCCGGTATCCTGTGCAAAAGTATCGTATTGCAATCATGCATTACATATTCTTTTGTTAAGGTGAATCCGCATTACAAATTATATTTCTCATGCTGATCAAATTTGTAATGCATTTATACGAGTACGATACTTTTGCAATGCATATCCAGGGTTTTCACGCATTTTGTCTTGTCCGCTTCTATACTGACAGGTGTGGACCCGGAGACTTTTATCGTGAAGGTCAGCAAGTTTTCGGGTGGTATTGACGGGGCAGCACGGGAAGCAGAATCATCTGCTGGCTCGTCTTTTGCGTCTTTGTTCTCGTCTGTTGAAGTGCCGGTTTTGTTGTCTCCTGTTGGGTTGTCGTTTGCGTTGCCTGCGGTGGAAGAGGAGGAGGTTGCTGGTTTTTCTTCTTCGGGTTTGTCTTTGTTCAGGACCAGCTTGTCCTCCGGCGGAGGGGAAACTTCCGGGGTTCCCGACATTTTTCTCGTTTTGGGTGTAAAAGTCAAACTTAAGCTGAAGCTTATTCAAAAAGTTGTTCTCAACAGTAGCTCTGTATCTATAATTCGCTAGAAGAGGAACAAGAATCTCTAGTGGATTCAATTTGCTGGACTTCTCGGGTAGGAAACTTATGTCACAAATAACAAACGCCAGGTCGTTGTAAGGTACTGTCTTTGTACAAGGGCGTGTGACTACTTAATATTACCCAGCGGGTTTTCTAAACTCTGGCGTCGCAACCACGATTTTTGCTGCGAAAAAAAAGTAGCTCTAATAATATTGCGTAAATACAACAGTGTTTGTGTTCTCAATCGGCACTGCGAGTTTGTTGTGTGTTGCGGATTTTCTTAGCATATGGTCTAACTACAGTAACAGGAGTCGAGGATCGTACTGCTATTACAACTAGATTTCAGGATTATTTCCTTTGCAGCTCCGTTTTTTTTTCGTTATCTTTCTTCTTAGATGTTTGGTGAACGCCATTGCGGGGTTGGTGCTAAATAATTGAACCCTAAAATCAGCAGCTCATCGTCCGCGCCGGCTCGCGGTATTCATCGATGGTTACCAAAGTCAACCACAAGAAAAATACAAATCTCACGCTCACACTGATGGTGAAAGCTCACAATGTTTTCATACAAATTCTGGGTCCAAAAATTTCAAAAATAGAAATGCTCAGCGGGGAGGCGTGGTGGGTATTAAAGTGAGGTTCGTAGCGACAAGAGTGGCCTGTGGTGCGATAAATTTCAACAATTGTGTTGGACACACAGGGAAGATATTGAAGTAGAGGCATGAAGATCCATTACAGCCAAGAGGTAAAGAAATCTTTCTCTAACTTGTTGTCCAAACAAGGCCGCAGTGGAACAAACACACCACCAGAGCAAAGATAGAAGGCCGAGATTCGCAACAGGGACCGAGTTGCAGTTTCCAGCTTCGTTTATTTCTTTTTCATCTCTTGAACAACGATGTAAAGGGTTCTTCCTCCGGTACTAAATCAGAAACTACAAGCCGCAGACCGAGTCGAAGTAGAACGACGAAGTGTAGTTTCTCGCTCTCTCATACTTCATCATCCTCTCATTCTCTTTCTCAGGCGAACGTCCTCTTCGATAAAATCATAGACGAAGCTTGATGTACTGGCAGACCGACTCATCTATTAGTTGTAGAATAGGTATGGCATATTTCGAAAGTACTATTTCGCGCGCAACGAAACGATGAATAGACATCAAGGGGGTAGCGAGATATTAAAGATGAACACGGATCTATCAAATTTTTTCTACCTCACCGACTCAGCTCGTCGTAGGGACACGACCTACAAGGTGAAGAGGCGCCACCTCATTTAGTACAACTTATTCGTTCTATTGCAATGTCATATGAAATAAATCCAGCCTGTTTCTGCGGTTTTGTCAACATGTGTTTCCGTTGGAAAAACATTTATGCGCGAAGCGTATAATCGTCAGATAGAGGTGGTCGTGGTTCTATGTGTCAGGATTTAGAGTTCATCTCCGGAGCAGGAGGTGGAAAACAACGTAGAAAATCCCAACCACAACTCAATACGCAGCCTGTATTCACTTTTTCCCCCTTCCCTTTCCGCCCTTTCCACCCCCTCTTTTCGACGTTTTCTTCACGACGCCCTTCTTCGCTTTCTTCTCGCTGGCCGCCTGAAACTGCCCCGTTTTGCTGTTCACCTTGGAACTAAACCCCCCGTTTTGCACCTTGTCGAACGTCTTCAAAACCGCCGAAGTCTCGTTTTTCTCCACCTTTATGGCGCTCTCAACTGTTACAATCTCAGCTGTTACATGATTTGTTATGCAAAATTACCTTGACTATCAACGCCATCAAGCTGCTTCGCATGACAAATTCTCAGACGGCCAAACAGGCTGAGAATCTGCGCCAAATCTGTCATGCAAGACGCGCAAGCTCCTTCCTTTCACTTTTGCGATTCTTGCATCACAAATTCATGTAACAGTTGAGAATGTGACGTTTGAGAACGCCATAACCTTCGCCCCGCTGTTGGAACCCCCCGCAACGAGTTTCTTCTTCCCGTATGACAGTGCACAACTCCCCCTCCCCCTCATTTGTGATGTAAAGTCCCATATCCAAGTGCTGCCTTGTGGCACCGTTTGCATGACAGATTATGGAAGCCGAAACAGTAAGACACTACACGCATGAACTTGTCATGCGCAGGCTCCATGTGCGCTGATGTTTCTATTGCTGCTCATGCAGCACAAATGAGGGGGAGGGGGGGTTGTGCACTCTCATATCCCGCCCCGCTTCTTCACCACTTCTTCCTTCTTCGCCAGTCGGTCGAACTTCCCTCGGGAGCCGGAGGAGGTCTGGGCGCGTTTAAGGGCCTCTTTCAGACCGTCTTTACCCCGGTTACTGTTCGTGCCCACGTTCTCGCCTTTGAATTGGTATTTTCGACAAATTTTTTTACGTTTCAATTTTTGGGTATTGTTCTTTCTATTTGTATTTGCAGATCTTCCGCAACGACCGCATGACAGATGAGGCTATACCAGCAGCAAACATTGCATAGGACATCAAGATCAAGTAGTACAACAAAGTTGAGTATTAGTATTTGTCTTTTTATACCTGTTTTCTCCAGAGAAACCGGTGCGAGTTTGAAGCCGGCCTGTTCCACTTTGTTCCGCATCTCCCGTAGTTTCTGTTTTGCCATGTTCAGCTTTTTTTCCGTTTTCCGCTTCTTAAACGGGTCCTCCATCGGGTCGGTTTTCCCGTCCTCTTTAACCTCAATGGCCCACTCCGCATTCTCCGCGTTCTGCTTCACAGATTTGTAGCCGTACCGCCGGGACCAGCCGCCGACCGTTTCGTCCCACACCATTTTGCTGCGCTTCTTCTTCTCGATACCACGAGCCTCGGCGAATTTCTGAGGTTGAAATTTTTTCTTTTTGACTCCGAGTACTATAAACCGAAGGAACTTACGAATGCTGCTGCCAAGCTGTAGTTCACATCTGACGAAACACGCAGGAGGGATACAAGAGCTATGGCTAGTATGCTGCAATTAGCATGCGTATAAACTAAATTTGAATTAAAATTATTTCATCTATCTGGTATAAGATGAAGCTCTATACCTCCCATCTGGTTTTTTCCTTCTGTTTCGGGCAGGGCTTCTGTCTGGGCAGCCGATAAACCTCCGCCGGACTGTCGAAGTGGCCCCGTAACACCGCGACGGTGCCCGTTTCCGCGGACTCCTATCCAGCAAAAAAACTGTGTAAGTGTAAGTTTGTAGGAAGATCAGCATCACAAATGCGTTTTGCATCACAGGGAAATAAACCTGTCATGCGCAGCTAGTATCAGTGGAAACACCTATGAAAGTGGCCTGTGACCACGCACCTCTAGCATGACAAGTGTATAACAGTTCTTTGGCATTTCCTGCATCACAGACTTAGTACACCTACACAGTTTTCTTCTTGCATAACTCCTGCGGTAAACTGAAGAGTTTATTCACCAACAATTGCACGTTGTCCCGCGTCGCGGTGACCAAGGCCTTGTTCTTCGCCGACAAATTGTTCAATTTTGACTCATCGATTTTAATTGGAGTAATGTCGAAAGCGGTCATATCCGCGAAGTTGTAGGTTAAATTGTCCTCTTTATTCTCCGGCACCGCGGAAAGCAGCTCCACTTGCTGCCGTTCCACGATTTTTGGCTCTTTGTCTTTGTTCAGCTGCACAACGGCCTTGGAGGCGGTCGTTGGTGTTGAAGTCGTCGTCGTTGCTGCTGCGACTGCAGTTGTACTAGCAGAAGAAGTTGTACTGGATGCAGGCGTAGCGCTGGGTACAGCAGAAGCTGGGTCGTTCGTCTTGTTCACAACTGTTTCCACAACATCTGCAGTTGTGCAAGTCTTTCTCGCCTCTCCCACTGTTGAAGCAGCAGGAAGGGGGGAAGCTACAACAGCCGTCTTCTCGGCCGTACTATTCTCGTCCATGGTCGTCATGATTCAGTTTTTCTGGTGGTTTTAACTTTTTCGGAGCAGGGTTTGACAATTCTGGATCTACTTAACGCAAACGAGCCCGGTCTAAAAATGAATTCAAAACAACTTCAAATTGATTTCAAACATTTTGAAAATTGAAGAACTAGCCCCTTTCTTCCGGGGAGAAGTGGTTCGCAAGCTGGCAGAGCAGTGCTTTTAGCTTCATTTGGTTCAACAGGGGAGGAGCGCACTCTTGCCATACAGGTGCCTGCTTCTTGGGAGGGCGCGCGATGCTCTTATTCGAAAAAAGGAAAGACGACAACCCGCGCGCGCGTTGCAAATCTGTCTCCAGCTTGGCATGTGGCCCGCCGTAGTTGTGTGTTGACGACTTGGGCCATATATAGACGCGCCCTGGCGCCAAATAGGGCAAGGCTAGCTACAAGGAAGCAGAAAAGTGATGGGGTCCGCATTGTTGATCTGGTTCATTTTCGCGATGCTTAGCCAGGAGGGCGAGCGCCGCTCCGTCCAGGGTGGGCTAGTGAGCGACAGCACAGTCAAGGCACAGCACAGCCCTTTCTTCTGTGCCATATAAACGCGCGCCAGCTTTTGGCGTGAGGCGGACCACCGAGGGAGGGGCGGCAAGTAGTGCCTTGCGAACGTCCAAGCCAGCCCTCCCTGGCTTCTGTGCTTGGTCTTAATGCTGTTGCTGCTGCTGCAAGCGGAAAGCGCAGTTGGAGAAGCCTAATTCTGCGACCCTCCGCCCCTGCAAAGGCGCAAGAGCCGGCGCTTGGTGGCTGCCATTGGAGCGCCGGGCGAGAGCAGGTGGCGATGGTTGCTCTTTCTAGCAGCCGACGACCAGCATTGCGAAGGCAGGCAACCCAATTCAGTCCGACAGACAATCCGGCTGCAATCCAGGTCAATCCGAAAACAGTCCAAAAAAATCTGCCATCTTAGAATCCAGGTCAAGACTTTTTTGGACTGAATTTGGTTGAGGTCGTGGATTGAGGTTTGTCCGGCCAACTTCAAACGCCGGATTGGATTTTTCGGACCAACTTCAAACGGCGGATTGGATTTTTCGGACCAACTTCAAACGGCGGATTGGATTTTTCGGACCAACTTCAAACGCCGGACTGCAGTCGCTTCGTGAGGCCATGTCGGAGCAGGGTTTGAAAATTCTGGATCTACCTTCGAAGGCGCGCGCGTCGTGCACTTCTTAAAAAAGAAGGCCAGGCCTTCCTCAGCCACCCAAAATTTTTGGCTTGGCGCGGCGCTGCGCGCCGCGCGTTTGTTTTGTTTTTCCTCACCCAACTGGTAGGGGCGTGCAGAATTTTTGTGAGAGAGGAAAAAAGCGACGGCGGGGTGTGCTCGCTGTCTCACTTCAGCCCGAATCTGTCTTGTTGTTCAATTTGCAATTTGTCACGCGCTTGTTATTGAAATGGCTCTTAGTGCTTCAACTTTCCACCAGAGTGCTGCAATACCCATCTCAATAGCCGCTGCGTGACACGTTGCAAACTGAAGCTGGACAACAACGCAAATTGTTGGAGTGCCCACTTCAACAATTTGCACAACGCAAATTGCTGAAGTGGTTACTTCAACAATTTGCTGCACGACGCGAATTGTTAAAGTGGCCACTTCAACAATTTGCGTTGTGCAAATCACCATTTCAGTAATTTGCACAACGAAAATTGTTGATCGTGCAGCTTTCAACAAAACTGTCATGCAGTTTTCGCGTCTGAGCGAAAGCTGTGTCATGTAAAACGCATCAAATTGCATGACAAGTTTCCACGTTGGAGAATTTGTCATGCAAAATGCATCAAATTGCTGAGCCTGAATTTGAAATGGCTACTTCCCTCATCGAAGGAAAGTTGAAGTGGCCACTACTTCGATTTTCCTTCATCGAAGGAAAGTCGAAGCGGCTACCTCAGCGCTCCTTTCTGCAGGAAAGTGGAAGGAGCCGCTTCAGCAGCCTTCGCACCTCTTTCGTCCTTCTGCGTGACAAATTTCCAAACTTGGAAACTTGTCATGCATAAATGAAGGAGAAGGACCACAGAACGCCAAAGTTGTTGAGGTGGCCACTTCGGCTTTTCCTTCATCGGAGGTAGGAAAGTTTAAGGGGCCGCTTCGTTAGCGGTTTGCTTGCCCCTCATTTCTGCGTCGCACATTGCCAATCATGGTGGCAATTTGTATAAGCTGCAACGAAGGACAAAGGAAAGCGCTTCCTTTGTCCTTCGAAAGTTCCGGCCCCCGCTCGTGGAAGAACGAAAAAGCTGTGACCTGAATAAAGATTTTACTCAGGTCCGGCGGCCTAAATAAAACTTTTACTCAGGTCCGATGGCCTGAGTAAAATCTTCAGTCAGGAGGAGCAGGGCCATGCCCAAAAAATTGCTCGCGAGCGGTCGGGATGAGAAAAGCCCGCTTGAAAATTCAAAAAACATTTGGAATTTCCACGCGGCTTTCTGTCCAGAGACTTCCTCGCGAAGGATTCTCCTCGACGCAGTCCATGGAGAAAAGCCCGGCCGGATATTCAAAAAGTTTATTTGAATTTCCGGGGCGGTTTTTCATTTTCTTAACCCGAAGGTCCGGTGGCCTGAATGCAACTTTTATTCCGATCGCGTTTCCTTTGTCCTTCGTTTCTGCATGATTTGTAATGCAGGAACGTAGGAGAAAAGAGGGGCCGCGTCAACTTTCCTCAGATGGGAGAAAATTGAAATGCCCACTGGCTGCAGCAGTTTCGTGCTTCTTTTGTCCCTCATTTCTGCGCCACGGGCTTCCAACTTTGGAATATTGTAGCGCAGAAGTGAAGGATCACTAGGACAACAGAGAGGCGAAGTAGTTGAAGCGATCAACTCAGCGACGCGGTGGATCGGCGGCCAGTGCGTGATGGAGGAGAACGAAGACGATAGGACGGCTCGGCGCAAGTTGTCACCGGTTTGAGTAATGCCCAAAAACCTTGAATAATGGTCCGACTTTTGTTGGACAAGATCTAACTTTTTCGGAGCAGGGTTTGAAAATTCTGGATCTACCTTCGAAGGTTTGAATTTGATACTGACTGCGAAAAGTATACTACGAAAAAATGGTGGACGACAATTATATTCGGGTATCTACAAAAACTTCACGTGCACGACCTGTTGCGGTTTCATCACACAGAAATGACCTCACAACCAACAGAAGTATTGGAACAATATTCGGAGAGGGAACCATTTCAAGCGTGAAGATGAATGCCAAAAGAAGGATCTTCATCGATGATCTCGGTGTACTACATCACGAGGGCGGTCTCAATTTTTATATGCGCTGTTCTTCATCATCTTTTTCAGAAGTAGATCCGCATATGATTCCTCGGAAGATCAGATTTCGACTTGCAGATCCACACCAATGTAATTGCTTCAGACAAAGAGCAAGACGTGATCTGGGTCTGCTACGTCGAAGATTTTCAAGTTCATGCCCCACGATCTTCACTTTGGCGCTGCATTTCTCGCAGGCGAGTCGAAGGATCTATTGGGTGCTTGCTTTCGGCACATCATGATCTTCACAGCCTTGCCAGGACAGAAAAGATGACCTGAATTGCTTCACTGCCGGGCGGACAGAGCAGAATTGTTTCAATGATCGCAGGGAGAGGGATGAAAACTCAAACGAAAAGGTCGGAAAAAATTTAAGTACGTTGCAAAAAGAGGACTAGGGGCCAGCACCTTCGCTTGTTTTGGTCCCTTGTTGTGTCTTGTTTTTGTACAATGACTGGATTCTGAGTTCAGGTACAAAAGGTCAAACGTACGAACAAGCTCAACTGTTCGACATTTGCCTAGGCATTAACACGATAATTCGGGTCTTGTTCTACTTCCGGACGACAGGGATCCATTACAATCCGAGCGGTCTCTGGTTGTTTTATTGCACGGTTCAAGTATAGATACTCTCGGAAAAGAAACTTCTGTGGAAATAGAGCTGGATTGGGTTTATTCTTTCAGCACGGCTAAAACTATCAATGCTGCTAATTTAGACATACAGAGGCATGGTGCTTTTCATCACCCTCTCCTGATAATCCGCAAAAACTCCTCTTCTGACACTAGCCCGTCGCCGTTATAACCCGCTAAGGTGTGACAATCTCAAGCGTTACAATAGAACCTGGAATCTGTCTTGCACGATGAGCATGACAGACTCGTCGAGCGTTCCACTTTCTGCAATACAAATTTCGCCAGTCTCTAGTGCGGTTTGGAACTCCAGAACTTGTCATGTGCAATCCTTTGCTGGGAGTAGGCTAGATTATGCACTTTTTGCATCACAGATCTCCATATTCTTTTGTAACCTTTGAGATTGTAACGCCTGAGCGAGTTATAGCCGTCTCTATCGGCTTCTTTGATCATCTCGAGCAGCTCTTCGTCCGACATGGTTTCACCTGTTCGTTGTTGATTTTTGCATGCTCGCATGACAAAAGCGCATTGCTTTTGCATAAATTAGAAACACTGCCTTTACGTTTACCTACTTTGATTTTGTTGCGATATGCAGCTATGCATGAGAAATTTCCTCACCAAAGTACTATACCGAGCTCCTTTGCCACTTGCTTTAAATCTTCGAGAGAAATCTTCCCACTACCCCCCTGGAAGAGCAAAAACGCCTTCTGTATCTGCTGCTTTGTGTCTTTTTCACTCATTTTTGCCGTCATTGCCGCAACAAACTCGTTGAAGTCGAGTTTTTTGGAACCTATGGGACGAATTGGTTGTGTTCATTGCATGAGCCGCAAGGGAACATAACAAGTTTTCTGTTTTAGCATCACAAATGTCAACAAAAAGAAATCTGTCATGTGGAGAAACCTACAGTACAGAAATCTGCCATGCGGAAAGAAATCTGTCATGCAACAGTACCTGCGTCATCCCCTCCTTCCAATCCTGAATATCCTGTGCAAAAGTATCTGATACTCGTATAATCGCAGTTGTGCATTTGTTAAGGCAAATCAGCATTACAAATTTTTTTTCTCATGCTGAGCAAATTTGTAATGCATTTATACGAATACGATACTTTTGCAATGCATAGTGAAATCAGTTTCTTGATCTCTTCTTTCCTCGGCTCGAAACCTGCGTTTCAGTTTGTCATGCTGACGTGCAAGACAGATCAGTTTGTCATGCTGACGTGCAAGACAGATCAGTTTGTCATGCTGACCGGCTCGAGATCAATTTGTCATGCTGACGCGTGCAACACAGTGTATCTTTGTGATGGGTGTTCATCACAATTGCACATTTTTCATGATTTTAACTGCACGACCATGCATGCAGTGCCAGCAGGACTTTGTCATGCACAAACAGAAACAGCAACCGCTATAATACCGAGTGCTCTCAATGCGACTTTCAACTCCTTTGCGTCGATGCTTCCGCTTCCATCGGTGTCGAAGAGGTCATATGCTGTGCAAAAAACTCGCAGTAGTGCTGGTCAAACGATACGTTGCAATCAAGCATGATTGACAGGTTACTTCTTCACACATCTCCCTGCATGACAAACTCAAACTCAAACATTTTTGTTGTTGAGAAAAAATTTGCACTGCGATTTCTACTCAATGCGAAGTTACAACTTTTGCACAAATGCGTAAGTCGAAGGCTTCCTTGATTTCCTGTTTCTGCTCTTCTGTCAGAGAAAAATCCCGCTTTTTCGATATAACCTGCTCATGTGTAACAATCTCAAACGTTACAATAGCATATGTGATGCAAGAGCTGCATGATCTAGCGTACTCCCACAGGATTGCGCATGACAAGTTTCGGAGTACCAAACCGCACTAGAATCAGGCGAAGTTTATGTTGCAGAAAGTGGAACGCTGGGAGAGTTTGTCATGCTCATCATCATCAAGCAAGACAGAATCCAGATTCTATTGCAACGTTTGAGATTGTAACATCTGAGCAGGTTATATTCGAAGCCGCAGACTTCCGCGCTGCGGTGGGAGAAGCCATTTTTCCTTTCTGGTTTCTTTGCTTTTATTCCGATACAACGCAACTTTTTGTTTTTTTTCTGATGCTTCATCTTCAATTCGAGGTCCTCTTCGCAAGTGAGCGACAGCAGTAGCAGGTCCGTCAAGCGAGTCAACCTCATACTTGAGCACACATGCGTTGCTGCGAGAAGCGAGGACTCTATCTCTAGCTGTAATTCAAGTCACCCTCACTTTTTCGAACTCAAAAGCCTGCATAGCCCGAGAGTTGTGATCTTCATGCGCCGTCGCTCCTCAATGGTGGTCTCTCACAACAGTTGAAATTCCCTCAAAGAGCCAGCTGCGCTCACGGAGGTCACGGTCAAACGAAGATGTATACAACGAGCGGGCTCAAGTAGAACCAGTCGAGAACGAACAGAAATAGAGTTTATACACCCAGATACAAATCTGAAAATCGGTCCAATCGAACACCGCAAGCAGCACGGGGTTTATAGCGATTCAAGCTCGAGAGGGCTAATCTGACTTCATCCATGCTGTCAGCCTGAAGCAATTAGCAATTCAAAAAATCCGCCATTTCCCGAAAACGGGAACCACCCAAAAAACTGGCAGATTACAAACAAAACCGGTGGACTTTTCGATTTTTTCTCACAGCAAAACTGTGAGTTTGAAAAATCCAGGAACAACTACCGGGAAAAAGGAATTGCCTTTCGGAGCTGCAGCCCCCGCTGAAATACTGATACTTTTCAAAACAAAAGACGTGCAAGCATGATTTATTTGTGCTGTACATCCAAAAAGTTTTTCGAGTTCATTATCCGAGACGGAATAACTTGATATGAAACCTAGGAATTTTGGTCTCGTACTCGTTCTCGACGTTTTGCACGTACTTACTGTTGTTACACTTGCTGGTATTTTGCAATACAGATAATATATAAATTAAAATTTATTTTCAGGAAAATTTCAAATCGGTTCCTCAATGGGATTGTCTGTGGACGCGGTGGAGCTAGAAGTTGTACTCAGCTGTGTTTGTAACGCTGTAGTTGTAGAAGAAGTTAGAGATGTACTAACCGGCGCCATAGTCACAGCAGCAGTTTCGGATGCTTGTTCACCGTCAAGCTTATCATCACCACCACCAACTCCGGGCGGCAGCAGTCCCTTTTTCTTCAGATTCCCAATTTCATCTTGCAGTAACTCCTTTTCCAACTCTTTCGCTACCACCTTCTCCAGTTTCGCCCGTTCTTCCTCCTCAATTTTCGCGGTTTCTTCCTCCAACTTCGCTTTCTCATATTCCTCCTTTTTCTTCTCCCCATAGTCCGCCACTAACGCTTTCTCCAGCTCTTGCTCACTGCTCGCCGCAGCCAGCAATTCCACCTCCCGCATTTGCTCCAACTCTTCCCTGATGGATTGCAAAAGTGTCTGGGTCTGGAAGAGTGCCAGGTTTGTCATGCAGATTTTGCATGACCCATGAGGTCTGTGATGCATGCCCTAGCATCAGAGATCTTGCGAGGGCTTTCTGATGCTCATACCGCATGAGAAATGCCCTCTCCGCGTAGCACAAACTGGACTCCTTTTGCTGGTCATGCAATACGGACTTTTTTGGAATCCAAAGACAGCATGACAAGTTCAACACTCTTCCAGACCCAGACATTTTTACAGTTGATATCTCTCGTGATTCTGGGTGCCATGAAGTGTTTCGTCTTGTCGTACGCATATCCTGTGCAAAAGTATCGTACTCGTAGTAATCGCAAACATGCATTACAAATCTTGCTCTTAAGGTAAACCTGCATTACAAATTTTATTTCTCATGCTGAGGAAATTTGTGATGCAATTCATACTAGTACGATGCTTTTGCAGTTCATAACGCAGGGTGGGTTACCATATCCTTGTGATATTACAATGAAAAATGCCCCCACCCCCAAAGTTGGAATAACTTGTGATGCATAAGGTTTTCAAATGAAGAACTTTTTATCTATGCGTGAAAGGAGTATGAACCTTTCTGCTGCAAAATCTAGGCGTATATCGCATTGCTTGCATGACAAGCGCCGCTCTTGCTGCGATCTTGCGCAATACAAACTTTTTCTATTCACGATTGGAAATCTGTGATGCTGATACACGCAAGAGGGCGAATGTTTCATTTGCAACGGTTTGCAATACAAATGCTCCCAAGTTCGGGGTTGGGGGCATTTTTCATTGCAATATGTGAAGAATCTTCTTCCTCATATTGGTCTTCGGGTCGTGCACGATTTTCGTGCCGAGAAAGAAATGCTATCCTGTGCAAAACTATCGCAATCGTACTATTGCAGTCATGCATCACAAATCTTTTTCTTAAGGTCAATCCGCATTACAGATTTTATTTCTCATGCTGAGGAAATTTGTAATGCATTTACACGAGTACGATGCTTTTGCAGTTCATAAGTGCAACGGATGGTCAATGTGCAGCTGCTCTTGCAGTAAGTGCGTCAGATGCGCAATCACAATCCCCCCGGAGAACCCAACCCCGATGCAAATCACGATCAGGATGAGAGCCGTTTCCCGCCGGTGTTTTTGCTTTTGATTCTCAGTCACTACTTTACTGTGGCGATAATTATTGTTGTTTTGGTAAACCATGTGGCTTTGCATCTGCTGTTGCCGCTGCTGGTTCATGTTGTTTTCTTGTTGATGAAAATTGTGTTCATATTGCGGCGTGGCAGAGCCTGAGGATGTTCTTGATGACCCGAAGAAGTCCGCCGCCAAATACTGAAATCCGGGCACGAAACTAAGAACGGTGTAGAGAAATTGGTCTAGTTTTGCGTTCAAATGGCGGATTTTCGAGTGATGCGGGTGTTTAGTCGTAGTTCCATTGTACGCTGATGTTGAAAGCGGGCGCCCGTAAGAATCGTATTTAGGTGGCCGTTCCCTTTGTGTAGAAGTTGTTCCACCTTCTGGAAAATTATATCCACCACTATGGAACGGCACGCCCTCGCTCGACAAGTGCTTATTAATCTTGGTAGGAGCCGCGGGGGTTCTTCCGTCGGTCACATAATTCGGGTGATGTTCGTTCTGATTCTTGTTCATCCCGTAGTTTGGGTAAAAATCAGTGATTTGCTGCTGTCTCCCCGGTGGTTTCGGGCGCAGTAATCTTTCCAGATCCCGTACCCCCTCTCGCGTCCCAAACCCCGCGGGGAGCATCTTTTTCAGGATCAGACTCGCGTTCGTGGTCGAGGAGGACCTGGTGCTTGAACGACTGCTGGTTAAACTAAAAGACCCGTCGTCCGTTGTTGGATCTAAGCCCAGGTAGTCGCTGTAGAGATTCTCGTAATGCTGTTCGTCGTTTCGGTGGATCCCTTCCGCTAAATGCATGTCAATCACGACGGAATCAATGCTGTGGTCGGCGTCTTCCTCCTCAACCGTCCAGCCGTAGTGCTCCACCTGCTGCTCCTCCTGGTTGTAAAACGGAAGTTGTTGCAGGGAGTCGTAACTGTTGTGCATAACAGAGGATGATCCGTCATGACTATTGCCGTAGTTGTTCATCGTCGACGAGGAGCCTGCTGAGAGTAGCTCATTCCTTTCCGGCGAGTCATGCTCTTCCTCTTTCCCCATCCAGTCAGACGGAAGAAACCGGAGGCCAACACCAGCAAGATGAAGAGGCGTTCTTTGTTCTTCTGGGTTTTGGGTGCTAGACTGCAAATGCTGCAAAGTAGAACCACCTCGCGTAGTAGTAGTCTTATTGTTCAACATCGGCGCAAGACCATTCGTCTTCACATTCCCGAATTGCAACGCAAATGGGTCGTGCAAATCGTTCGGCAACGGCGCCGGTTTCTCGCTGAATTTTATCCGCAAGTTGCTCCTTTGCGCAGCTTCCCGTTTTTTCCTTTCGATCTCCTCCGACACCTTGAGTTTTTGTAAATACTCGTGCTCGTGAGCCGAGGAGGGGAAGTGTTTTCCGTGGAGAGGGTCTACAGGTAGTTGACCGTCGGATGAACAAATTGGGGTTCTGGGCTCCGATCTCCGAAGCCATTGCGTCCAGTGCCGGGCGGCGGATTTCACTCTTTCGAAACTGCTGAAAGTTGTAGTTGCACTGCTCGCTGTGGCAAGTCCTACGTCATGTGAAGAGGATAGATTGCTGCTCCTGGTCGCCGCGGATGGGTGGTTTAGAAGTCCTGCTGGAAGAACTCCTCCTACCGGGGTGCTATTGGCCGTGGAAATTTCTGAGGCTCGTGCAGAAGTAGCGAGGGGCGAGTTTATTTTTTCAATGCTGTTGCTGAAACTGAATGAGTTATTTCTTGAGTAGGAAATAAAATCGGCCGATGTTCCGTAAGTGTTCGTGCCTGATAGTGCCGCATTGTCAAACTCGTTTTCGTCGCCAGAGGAGTCCACGATTTCCGAGAAATCTCGCTCAGAGGCGAAAAGACCACCTCCCTCTGCACCGGTACCGGAGCCTGACATGGTTTTACCTTCAGCTAAGAGTAAGATCTAGCCCAGTAATGCGACCACATTTGTTCATGGGCCTTTTACTCGCACGCCCGCTCATGTTGGCGCGCACGAAGAGGAACAATAAGAATTATTCAAGCAACCGGTGTGGATTTTTTCTATTTCAAACAAAAGGGGGTACTACGGTGCTTACTCTTAGATGTTTACATACTCCGCAGATGTCTAGCGTTAGGTGCTGGTGAATAAACTTTTGAAAGTGATGATGAACTAGGGGAAGTTAATACCTAAAACAGAACCCTGGACATCAAGTTCAAGTGTGAGGAGAAGATCAAGATCATAGAAGCGCAACCGGCGTGCACCAAAAAGAATCACTGTCCCACAAAATAAAAATAAGAGGAACAAATCACGATGTTGTGGTCTAGCACACGAGGCAGAGATACTAGCAAGGACGAACATTTTTCAACATGTTGAACGAAAAAACAGACCGGAAACCGAAACGATATCTGCATCACTAAGACCGACAAGTTGCACTGCGGAATAGCTGCCGAATATTAAATGCTGAACGAGTATGTACGAGAGGACCACACGCAGGTGGAAGTATAGAACGAAGCCGAGTTTATAAACGACGTACGAAGGAACCTGGAGAGACCGAACGACATCAACTTTGATGTTCGGAAAAAACGACAGCACCGAAAATCATATTCGACGAAACTTATCATGCTGCCTCTGGAGAAGCGGTCCAATTTGCAAGAAGCGACAATACGTCTACAAGTAGAGGACCTTGGCGTTGCAAAGCAACTCCGTTGCTGCATCCTTTGCAATATGCAGTTCCGGTTTTAAGTACATTTGGAACTGAAAGGCTTTTTTATTTTTGTCTACGCCTCCTAGTCTGAGGGTCATAGAAACGGACAAAACACGTCTATCCTCTCTTTCCTCAATACATCCACGCCAAAAACGGTTCGAAAATCATTATCCCCCTGCTCCTTCCTGTCAAAAACCTGCAATTTTTCCTCGAAATCAGGGAAATTTGATATCACCCCATTCACATGCCGTTCCTCGAGACTTCCAAACCAGCCCTGCACCTTCACCAACGCGACGTAATAGGTGGATACTAGGATCTCCTTCATATGGAACTGTCAGGATCGAAATCGTCAAAGTTGAAATGATTTTTTTGTCATGCATAAAATGGATACCAGTTGGCGGCCAGCTTTCAAGTGGCGCATGACAAATTTAGGAAGAGCCTAAATCCAGTTTGTCATGCTGTTTGGGTAAGCAAGACGCCCCCTGTCATGCTACTTTAGCATCTCTTTTTTTACCCCTTAACAGGCTTACAATCTGCCTCACTTGCCTACTCTGCAAGACAATCGCTTTGTGGGTTGCATTTTATGCATCACAAACTATTTCAACTTTGACGATTTCAATCCTGACACTTCCATACCTCAACTTATTATTGTACTGGTTGCTGCTCGGTTTGATGTTATTGTTACTTCCCGCTGTGCTGTCCGGCTTTATTCGGTTTTTTATCTCCCCACCCAGCTGTTGCATTTTTCTCCAAACCGGTTTCACGTTCAATTCCCACTCTTGCTTATGCATTGCAAATATGTCTGGGTCTGGAAACTTGTAATGCAAGGAAGGGAATAGGAAGCGCCCTATAATGCGCTGACAAGCAAGACAAGTTTTTTTCATGCTTCTGAGTCGCGTAATATTCCGTATGAGAAACTGCGTTTTTGCATGACAGGGAGGAGGAGCTCTTCGGGGCCATGCAATACAGAGTTCAGATTCATGCCAGACCAGCACGACAAATCTCGCAATCTCGCAGACCCAGACATCTTTGCATTTGATACTGCTCGATCTCCGTTTTGTGCGCTTTCCGGAAACGGTCAATGTCCGCCTGGCCGTATTCTATTCTCGAATACATTTCTGACAACTCCTTTCCATCAGCAGTGGTCCCCGAGGTGAAAACAGCTGTTTCCCCCGTTTTCGACTTAGTCAGATTCAGATCGCTCCGAACGGAAACATTGGTTTCCAAGGAGCTGCTTTCGATCTTGATGCTTTCAACAAAACTATGGTCCTGGATGCCGGGAGTAGAAATAGCCTGTGGTCCTGCAGTTGCTGTCCCTGCTCCTGCTGTGTGCGGACTTTGATGTTCGTCACCCGTCTTCACCAATACCCGTGACAAATACCCCTGCATCACCCTTGGGCAGATATTTTCGACGATTCTACTGAGAGGAAAAATCCCCCGTCCCCATATCGACGCGGTATGCTTCCGAAAATTTGTGCTGCTGATTTGAGCCCACAAATCACGTCTGTCTTGCAAGAAGGCAACTCCACAAGCTCCGCAGCATTTTGCAGGCGGTTTGTGATGCTGATGGGCCTACAGCACGGACGTTTCTCATGCTAGACGCCTAGGCCAAAACCTCTCTAGTTAGGCTTAGTATGGGCCTGCATTCCTCTCCAGCAAGACAAATCTGATTTGTGTACGCAAATCCTGCGTCAGAAACTTCGTTTTGATATGGGGAGGGGGGATTTTTCCTTTTGATAGATCCGAAACTTTATCTTTTCCACGATTTTCGCGAAGCCAAACGACATCTTTTCAAACGCGGAATCGTCAATGTCGTCAAAGTAGCGGATATCCAAGAAAAAAAATTGTTAGTGTAGCTTTTTTTGGGGGAACAGCATTGCAAATCTGTCTGGAATGAGAGCAAAAACCTGTCATGCGCAGATGGTACGTGAAAACGCGCTTGAATGGCCCTCGCAATGCATGCCCAGCATGACAGCCGCAAAGAGTGTGCATCTTGTGCATCACAAAGTCACACTAACAACCGTTTTTTCTTCGATAGAGAAGAAATTGCTGGGAAAACCAGTTGGACACCAAATTCCGCAACATCTTGTTCCACTCGTGGATCAACGCGTCTCCCTCGTGGTAAGCATCGGAAAGGATCACGGTTTTTTGGTGAAAAGAGGCGCAGGAACGGATGTCGAGGGGGTTGTTGCTGTCTTTGATGTCAATGTTGTTGTTGTCATCATGCTGCGGTTTACTATTTTCAATCAGGGGACGAGACGAAGATGGTATCGCTTCTTCAATTTTTTCTGCGATGCAATTTCCCTCCGCTTCGGCAGCTTGCTTCCTAGTCTCCAGCTTCGTCAAATTTTGCACTTTTTCGATCAGGTCAATGCTGTCGGAGTAGTATGGAAGGGAAATAAAGAAGGGCTGAACAACTCTGATGTCGTATGGTTGGAGTATTACCGTTTGCAAAACAATTACTATTTAAACAGCAGCAAACCAGAGTTTTTGAAGCTTTGGGGTGTGTTCTGGGGTATGCAAAGTGGCCGCGTAGCATCGTGATTCGTAATTTGCAGGGCACACCCCGAACACACCCCAAACACACCCCAGACACACCCCAGACACACACCCCCGACACACCCCGGCAAGAGCTTTTGGGCCTTAGGTCAACGCGTGGACTCGGCCCCCGCGTCATGACCTCCTAAAGAAGGGCTGAACAACTCATGTAAGGGAAATAAAGAAGGGCTGAACAACGGTGATGTCGCATGCAAATCTTGTATTACCCTTTGCAAAACAATTCGTCATGCTGCACACTTTTCCCTCTATTCTCATCTATTTCGTTTTCGATGTATTTGCAAAATTAATAATCGCATGCCAGCAAGAGTAACCCTTTGAGCTGAAAGGGCATGATCCACCAAATGACCGTTATGAGCAGCCCCACCTTGAACCATATCCCCAACAGTGCGGTAGGTGTTCCCTTGGTAATAAAAGATCTTGTTCTCCTCGAACCAATACGGTCCGGCTTGCACACTGTTTCGATACCGCCAATTCCAATTGTTGAAGCGTATCTGCTGTCGCAAGCAGTCCTCATCCCCCTGCCAGCCGCAGGATATAACCCGCTCAGGTGTTACAATACTCAAAGCGGTTACAATAGAATATGGAAATCTGTGATGCAAGAGTGCATGATCTAGCCAACTCTCATAGGATTGCGCATGACAGGTTCCGGAGCCCCAAACAGCACTACAATCTGGCGAAATTTGTATTGCAAAAGGTGGAACGCTGTGCGAGTCTGGCAGGCTCATCATGCAACACAAATTCCACATCCTATTGTAACGTTTGAGATGGTAACCGATTTGAGCAAGTCATACAGGAAACCCGGAGATTCTCCATGTAGTGCTGCCACTTCGTATCGGTTATGAACTGCAAAAGTATCGTACTAGTAGTAATTGCAATACAAATTAGCTCAGCATTACAAATGGAATTTGTCGTGCTGTTTTGCCTTGGGGTGAAGATTTGTAATGCATGACTGCGATTACTACGAGTACGATACAACTTTTGCACAGGATATCGGTTTTCAGCTGCTCGTCTTGAATCGAGTCAATGTGCATCGATTTGTCAATCTGCTCCTTCGCAGTGGCAGAGTTGAGAAGCATCTGGTGAACCACGGTGGGGCTGATGTTGCCAGTAGGTGTTGCATATCAAATGTAAAAATGTCTGGGTCTGGAAGATTGGAACTTGTGATGCTAACTTTGGACTCTAGAAAAATCTGTAATGCATGACCAGCAAGAGGAGTCTAGTTTGTGCTACGCGGGGAGGGCGTTTGTCATGCGGAGTAGGCATCAAGAAGTCCTCGCAAAATCTGTGATGCGCGATCGTGCATTACAGACATCCTGGGTCATGCAAAACATGCATGACAAATCTCAGAATCTTCCATACCCAGACATTTTTACATTTGATATTGCGGAGTTGAGAAGCATCTGGTGAACCACGGTGGGGTTGATGCTGCCAGTAGGGTATGACACGCCCAACGTACCCAGAGGCCTAAATCCCATGGGGGATAAAAAAAAAATTTTTAGATAGTGCAGTAGAGCATTAGAAGTTGCATGCTTAAGTGAGCTGCTTTTCAATGTGCTGACCAATTCAGATAGCCAAGTAGGGCGCTTTTGAATGTTTGAAGGGGCCCACAGGGACATCTCTTTGGCCATGGATTCGCCTGCGAATTCATGGGCCGAGGGAAGTTGATGCCTGGAGGCGACGCGTGTTATGCAAAGCATCGCCAGGCTGGGTGAGCTATTGCTTTTGCATGGGGATGATATTTGTCTGCAAGACCGATGGGGCGAGGCCTCCGAAACTCTGCAGCTGATGGGGATCGCTGCAGGGGGATCTCCTGTAGAGGGAGCATTTTTAAAAATTGCAAGGCGTCTACTTTGTCAAAAGAGAATCGTAGCAAATCGAATCCGTGGACCAGGAGAGTCCACTCCTGGGCTCCTTTCACCATGCCAAAGCGCCTTTTTTAGCTAGCTATCTAAATGAGTACCTAGCTCAAAAAGATCAAGCAGTTACATTAGAAATAGCGATCTACTTTGAAGTTAAATTTTTTTTCTTGATCCCCCCTGGGTAAAAGGCCTTTGGGTACGTTGGGCGTGTCATATAGGGGTTGCAGTTCTCTCGGAGTTGAGAAGCATCTGGTGAACCACGGTGGGGCTGATGCTGCCACTAGGTGCTGCAGTCGTTATTGCAGCCTCTGTTTCATCTCCTGCTGCAGTTTTGATTCCGGGAGGACTGTGGTCTCTGTGTCTGTCACTGTCTGCCCTGAACTTTAGCAAATTTGCCTGTTGTGATTTCCGTTGTTGCGCACGGAAGACGATTTCCCTGTTGTGCTTCTCGTTTTCTGCGCAGAGATGAACTTGATGCTGTTTTTTCATCTGCAGGAGGGATTGTGCATCATGTGCTGCGGGGGCATCAGAAACAGCTGAAGTAGTTGCACTTTTTGCCGGTTCCGTTGTAGATGATGAAAACAGTTGTGTAATAGTACTCAGTGGGCTGCACCCGGCCATGAACACCTTTTCCATTTTTGGGTTGATCTGGTTCATGTCAAAGGCGAAAAGCGAGGCGTTGGTATTCTGAGAAAAACGGTCCCCACGAGGACCCCAGAGTTTGTAATGCAAATCTGCACGCCAAAAAAAGTTTTTCATGCGGAAAAACCCGTGAGAAGCATTTTCTAGTCGTGCTGTTTTGGAATTTGTGATGCTATACGATCGGCGTCACGCGCTACATCTGTGATGCTGCTGAACTAGCGCTGCGAGGTGGTCACGCTTGTCATGCGAAACAACCAAAGCTTGGTGATTTGTCTAGCAGATTTCCCATCTTGACTCTGGTGTCCTCGTGGGGACGTACTTAGGATAGTTGGTCAAGTGACACGCGACTTGGAAGAAGGTTTTTAAATATCAAAAGGAAAAATCCCCCCTCCCCATATCGAAACGAAATTTCTGATGCTGGATTTGCGTGCGCAAATCAGTCTGTCTTGCTGGAGAGGACTGCAGGCATATACCAAGCCTGGGTCGAGAGGTTTTGACGTAGGGGACTAGCATGACAGACGTCGGCCCTGTAAGCCCAACAGCATCACAACCCGCCGGCATAATGCGGCGGACTCTAAGGCTTTGCCTTCTTGCAAGACAGACAGGATTTGTGACCTCAAATCTGCATCACAAATTTTCAGACGAATGCGTTTTCAATATGGAGAGGGGGGATTTTTCCTCTCAATATTAAAACACTGGCCCCAATTTCGATGTAGGCAGTGGCAGTGTTTCTTGTCCTCATCTCGGGGTAGTAGTTGCTTTCGCCGATTGTCGTGTCGCTGGACGAGGTCGTGGACCCTGGCACTTTTGTTCTTGACGGAGCTCCTGCAAGCGGTGGTCCTTTCACCAAGTAGATCAGCAGGTCCGTAAACGTCGCCGGTCTCGACGGTCGTGTTCGGCCCGGTTCGTGGGCTCCTGCGGAAGATGGAGATGAAATACGATCGGTTTCCACTACCGTCCGATTCCGAGCGTACGGGTGAAAGTGCCCGACTAGTTTCTGCATGTCTGTCGGCTTCAAACCGTACCGGTCCGTATCCTGTGCAAAAGTATCGTGCTCGTAGTAATCGCAGTCATGCATTACAAATCTCCATCCCCAGGTAAAACAGCATGACAAATTCCGTTTGTCATGCTGAGCTAATTTGTATTGCAAGTACTACTAGTAAACGATGCTTTTGCAGTTCATAGTCCGGTGCTCTCACAGATTCGTACCAGTTGATCCAACGAGGGGACTGTGGCAATTTCTGGATCTCTGCATCGGACTTCTGCATGACAGAATTCATATGGAAGCGTCAGGAACAGGATTGAAATCGTCAAAGTTGAAATAAGTAACTTGTAATGCATAAAATCAACACCAGTAGGAAGCCCAATTCCCAAGCATTGCATGACAAATTTTCAGAGCACCGGTGGAATCCAATTTGTTATGCTGTTTGGGCACAGGCGACTGCTTTTGTCATGCTACTTCATCTTTAGCAGCTGTATTTCAAACCATAACAGGCTGACAGTCGGCCTCGCTTGCCATCCCAGCAAGACAGGCACTTCATGCCTTGCATTTTATGCATGAGAAATCATTTCAACTCTGACGATTTCAAACCTGACGCTTCCATAATTCAGCAGCTGTGCGTAGAGGTTGTTGCTGTATAGCTCGTCCCGGGAAGTAGTTGATGGGCTTGTTTGCTCAATCCTCTCTGCCGCCACCTGCGAACAAGAAGTACAACTCCTGTCATGCACGAGGGCGAGAAGCACCAGCAAGCGCTGCGGTCGTGCTAAAATAGTACTACCCCCAGCACCACGGTGCGGCACCGGCCGAAGCCGCATTTTGGTCGTGTTTTGTTGAAACAACTGAAAGCTTCAGAATCAGAATCAGAAAGGTCTCGAAAACTGCGCGCTCCACCATCGAGCACACCAAAATCGTGGTGAGAGCCCGACGGTCTGGTCGCGAAACATCATGGCAACATCAGCAACCAACCAACAAACAAACAACAGTGGGAAAAAATAGCGATAGCGATGGCCCAACCTACCTACTTCCAGAGAGAAAGCCTTACCTACATACAGTAGTCGTAATTGCGATAGCAAAAGATGAAGAGCGTACCTAAATACAGATGAAAATAAACAACAACAGCAACCTACAGACAAATGGAAAAGACGAATACTGCTCCTGATTGAAAATTGAAAACAAATGGAAATAGCGAAGAAATCGGCTAGAAGATAGTTGGCAGTAAAAGCTAGCAGCGCGCGCCTCACATAGCAACTAGATCCAGATTCACATACGAAAAGGAAAAACCGACCTCTCAGAGCGTAGCGGCTCGCTTTAAAGTTACAATTGCTTGATCTGCTCTGATGATCGCGAGTAAAACCTTGTGCAGCAATGATCTCAACATCAAGAACAACTACGCATGGTTTCTTTATTTCCATCCTGTATTGAAAGACGACTCCGTGCGTTGGTTGCCGCACTTGTGTTTTTAGAGGTGTGAAATAATCCCGCAACTTCATTTGACGTCAAAGTCCTCTTCAGGCGAGGCCTGGAAAATTTCCTGTTTCGCAAAGAAATGAAAAACGGTTTTCAATAAACAATGCTACAGCTGCAGAAGGGGGTGTAAAGTTATATGATCTTCGTGTTTCTTGAATTCAGGAATCGGTACTACGTCGAAAATTCGGGTCGGCAATTCTACTCAAATGTGGTCGGGTCAACTTCAATTACTGTGATGGAAGAGACTACTACAATATGTTTATCTATGTAAAAAGGAAACAAAAGAAATAAATTTGAAAATTATAAAAAGAACTGAAAAAGCGAACGGTTCAAACATGGTCCCCTTGTCTACGACATGCGACGTTGGTCAATATCCATCCTCCTCCGCTTCGCGGGATTTCGTGCACCTCCTCACTCGTCGCCATAATACATCCCGTTGTCCCCAATTTCGGCCACACCGGCGTCCTTCAAAACAGCGTCTTGCTGAAAAGCATGAGAAACAACCGCCGGGTGTTCTACTGCGGCGCTTCTTTCAACCACCGGCGAAGAAAGTTGTTCAGCATGATTTTGATGTTCTGCGGGGGACTCAACATGGAGGTGGGCAGGAGCGTTCTCCACATCCACACTTGATGTTTCATGATGTGCTGCAGTGTTTGCCTCTTCGGATGTGCCAGCAAATTTGGAGAGAAACGAAGAAACCCACGAGACGAGGTTAGAAGTTGTACTTGCACCGTCATGAAGATCCTCTTCGTCATCCTCCTCATCTCCCGCTGGAGGTGGTAAATCGTCCCTACGTTGCAGAAATTTCCGCTCCCAGACGACCTTCTTTTTCTTCTTTTTCACGACCCGTTTCTTGTTCTTTTGCGAGACAGGTGGATGAGGCTGGTCAAACTCGTCGGGCTCATCATCGTTCTCTGCATCGTGGTCATGGTCTGCAATACCACCTGTAGTCTCCGGCTCGTCCGGCGGCGGAATGTCGTCCCTTCGTTGGAGGAATTTCCGCTCCCAGGCACGGACGGCGACAGTGTTGTAGTGCAGCAGCAGCCCAGCCGTAGTGCAGAAAACGCCGTTGCGGAGGGGAAGAGATTTCATATTGCGAGGTGGAGGGCGGGGTGCCATGGTTTGTATCTGAAGTATTTGTAGTCGTACTCTGCTCGTATGGAAAATTCAAAACCGAAGAGAAGAAGATGACAGGGGGTCTCTTCATAGAGAGTGCGAAATTATAAAGATGGGGTTTCTTTTGCGCCTTCGTTGGATCCGCCTCGATAACAGCGCTGATGTTTGTTTTAGACAAGAATAAAATTTGCTTTGCAATCAAAAAGCGTGGCTCGTCGTGACTGTCTACTTTTACAACACAACTACTCTGACAAGACGGTTACATATTATGAGCGGCGTTGGCAGTACGACCTGCAACTCGCGACGAAAAGCACCGACATACTTTCATTGTCGTGAAAAACCGATTTATAATATAGTACCTACTGCGGAGACGAGCAAACTACCGAGGATCATGGCAACTACATGAATAGAGGCAGACCAACGAACCTGCATTGGTCCAACTACGAGAGCAGGACAACACTGCAGAAGAACGTTGCAGCACTCCAAGAAACCGATGAATTTTGTTGAGAGAACCGGAAATCTTCTAAGTGCCGACACAAACTACCGAGAGCGTCAACGATAACGAGGTAGCACTCCTAAACCGAGCAGTTTATTCTCATGACTTCTTTGTAGCTGGTATAGAAGAAAAAGTGCTTCCAGTGGTATTGGGAAGGAGCTTCCCATGGGAAGGATTGTGGTCCTACTGGAAATAACCCGTGACACAGCTGTGGTTCGCAGTGCTGTGATTGACAAAGCCAAACTCACGACAGGACTAGGGAGGTGGACACCGTTCCTCCTACCATCAACATGTTTGAAATGCTTCTGCGGATAGGAAGCAGCTACTAGGGCAGCTCATGGAGTCGTCATTCGCTGTAGTGATCATCGATTTTCATTTGCAGGAACGATATTAGTACAAGAAGTCTTCATCGCTTGTAGTTGCGGTCGTGTAGAACTGCAATTCACAGCTTGTTCACAATCCTGGTCGATTTCCACTTTCCGACTTTTTCAACCATATCGATCAGTATCATCGAAAGTACTCCAAAAACTCCAATTCGCACTCGTGCAACTCGTACGCAGGAATGACCAGAGCGTGCAGTGGCGGTCCGAAGTCAAAATCCATCAACTTGGCCGCATCACCGACCTTAATCACCTGATCCACTGCGCCAATCCTTGCCACCCCGATCAGATTCTTCTCCGATTCCAGGTCAAATTCTTGCTCACTGTCGAACAATTCGTGCTCCTCTCGTGCAGCTCTTTGTTCGCTTATTTCTCCTGACGACGACGGTGTTGTGTCTACTGACTTGGCCTCCAGTCCTGCTGGCGATGATTTCGACTTGTCGTCTTTTTCACAAGTCTTCCTGTTCCTTGCGATTTCCACCAATTGCTCCATATGCATTGCAAAAGCATCGCACTGGCACTACTAGTAGAAGTCGCATTACAAATTCGGCCAGCATGACAAATGGAATTTGTCATGCTGCTTCACCTTGGGATGGAAATTGGTAATGCATGAGTGCGATTACTGTACGAGTACGATACTTTTGCACAGGATACTCCAACGCCTGTCCCACAGTCATGTACCGTGGTGGCTCGAACACGTTGAAAATGCCCCGTTTCATGTTCAACATCGACCGTTCCTTCACTTGAATGTCCAGCAGACACAGCGTGTGCAAATTCATGCGGCGATTCGCGATAATTTTATCATAAAAGCTCTCCGGCCGCCAGCTGTTTTGCCAGAAGGGGAGGGAAACTGTTTCTCCGAACCGGTAGAGCTGGAGTCCACAGGAGGAGATCGCGTTCATAATGCTGGCGTTGTGTACCACCTCGTAGCGCAATTTCTTCTTATCGAATGCAAACATGTCTGGGTCTGGAACCATGCAAGGTTTGCCATGCACATTTTGCATGACTCCTGATGTCTGTGATGCATGCCCTAGCATCACAGATTTTGTGAGGGCTTCTTGATGCCTACACCGCATGAGAAATGCTCCTTCGCCTTGGCAAAAACTGGAGCTCTTTTGCTGTTCATGCAATACAGATTTTTGTGGAATCGAGACGCAGCATGACAAGTTGCATCCTTCCACACACACACATATTTGCAATGCGTACTTCTCCTTGCACCGAAGAATTAAATCCGTGTGCGTCGTCGCACACAGGGCGTCGCCGACCACGAGAAAAGCGACTTTTTTCCCCTGTTCGACCTTGTCCAGAATCTCCTTTCCCGATTCCACCAGTTCCCGGTCGGCTAAGAGGATTTGCTTCTCGGGGTACAAGTGGAAAAGTTGCTGCGCGGATGTTTCGCCGTTTTGCAGCTCCAGGATATCATCAAGAACGTGCTCCTGCTCTGGTGTTGTTTCCGTAGCTTGTTGATGTTGTTCCGTTTCTAGTGCATGTTCTTGACCACCGACGTCTTCGTTCACTTTCCTCCTCGTCGCTTCGTCGCGTGAAGAGGTGTTGGACGCAGCTGCGGGCAAGATCGCCGTGTAAGCGTCTAGATAGACGAAGTCCGCTTGCTCAATCACCTTTTTTCCCCGGAGGGTGACGTCCTCGGCAGAACCGAGGCCCAGGCCGACGAGGGACAACATTTTGATTTTATTTCTGTAGCGTCGTGTCGGATAAAAGCCTTGATACTGCAAAAAGAAGAACTGCAGGGGAAGTAAATGCAGAAGTTGCAGCGAACAAGACTTTGACGATAGTACAATAGACGGTCGCGCGATAATCGAAGATGAAACTCTTCTCAAATGACTCAGCACATCTGCCCGAGTGCTTTAAGAATTTCTCGCCTGTTCGAGGATGTTCAAAATTCAGGATTTTTGACTGCAGGAGAGTAAAGCGCTGTGTAGTTCCGGATCATTGACGTTGTTCGATCTCCTATTTCCAGTAGATCCTGCTTTGTACAAACAGAAAGCGAGCGCGAGTTGTGCAGCTCTGCCAACATGCGTGGTGATCTCTAGTTCTAGCAGTCGACGGGGCCCGACATCAGGGACAAGTTAACTCAGAGCCGCCGTTTTGTGTTGATCGTGATCTCGCCCTCCTGCTGATCAAGCGCCATTGAAGATGTTGTGGCAAATCATTTTTTGTGGTGCTGGGTGGATCATTTTGGCTCTATTTCTAAAAAGACCTCGTCACGTAAGTAAGTACGTAGTTTGTTCGCTTCACCTTCAAGGCGCTGCTGCTTGTACGCTGCCTTCTATCGATAGTGCAGCTGTAGTCGACAGCATGCGCACAGATTTGATGAACATCACTTTAGAATTTCCAGAGGAGTAGCGGTGCAGTAGAGCAGAGTTGCTTCAATCTACGATCTCTTTTGGTCCCTCGAACCGTTCACCATTTGTACTTTCTTTTGTTCCAGTCTGCTACTGCAGGAGAGGGACTATAGCGGGGATCTGCTGGCGTTAAAGTTCATCCTTTCCAAGAGTAGTAGTTGTACCGCTCTTGATTCATGTAGTTGCGTAGTAGAATTCCACTTACAACCCCGTTGTAAGGTGGCAAGTGCTAGTCTCCTAACAGCAACTACTTACCGTCACCTATCCTGTCCATTCCCACTTCTGCCCATCCGGTCTGCAATATACTGCCGAGCGGAGTGCAATTATCCAGCAGAAAAAAAGCACAACCATACCAAAAGAATTTATGTATGAACTTGTACTTGCGTTTCTGATAGCGCTATGGCCAATACAGCTACAGGCAATTGATTCTCTGTCATGCGGAAAGTAGCAGCACTTCTGCTAGGTGTTGACTAGAAGAACCGGAGACAGACCAAAGAAATGTGTCATGCTGATAATTTTCTGTGACACTACTACAACCTGCAACACAAATTTCTTTTTTTTCCTGCTATGGGTGTTGTGCTTTCTTGTTGGATAGCAGAACCGAGGCCCAGGCCGACGAGGGACAACATTTTGATTTTTTTATTTCTGTGTCGTCGTCGCGTATTGGATAAAAACTTTGATACTGCAAGAACTTCTACAGCAGGGGAAATGAACGCAGAAGTAAGTTGCAGTAAACAACACAAACACTTTGACGATGATACAACAGGCGGTCGCACGATAATCGAAGATAAAATCTTCTCAGATGACTCAGCACTTTGGTTCGATGAAACAAGAGTTTTTTACTTCAAACAGCATAAATATAGCACTTCAAGAATTTCTCGCCTGGTGATAGGATGTTCAAAATTCAGGATTTTTGACTGGAGGAAAGTAAAGCGATGTGTAGTTCCGGATCATGGACGGTGTCGTTCTTCGAATTCGATCTTCTCCTATGCATATTTCTTAGCAATGTAGATCCTGCTTTGTACAAACAGAAAGCGAGCGCGAGTTGTAGTGCAACTCTGCCATGCGTGTGTTGTCATTCTAGGCGGGTGGTGAGCTCTACTTCTAGCAGTCGACGGAGCAAGAGATCATGGACGGACAAGTTAACTCAGAACCGCCGTTTTGTGCTGATCGTGATCTCGCCCTCCTGCTGATCATCAAGCGCCATTAAAGATGTGGCAGATCATTTTTTTGTGGTGCTGGATCGTTTTTTTGGCTTTATTTGTAGAAGATCTCGGGACGTAGGTAGTTTGTTCGCTTCACCTTCAACCCGCTACCGCTTGTACGCTGCTTTCTATCAATAGTGCGGCTTTAGTCGGCAGCATGAACATAGATTTGATGATAAACATCACGCTACAATTTCTAGAGGAGTACGTAGCGCTGCAGTAGAGAGTTGCTTCAGTCTACTTTCTATGATCTCTTTTGCTTCCTCGACCTATTCACGATTTTCTTTTCCGAACTGTTACTGCAGGAGAAGGACTTCTATAGCAGGGATCTGCTGGTGTCAAAGTTCATCCTTTCCAAGAGTTGTAGCACCACTCTTGATTCATGCTGCGGTCTAGTTACAGTTCGGTTGTTAGATTAAGAAGCACTAATCTGCTAACAGCAACTACTAGTGTCACCTATCCTGTCCATTCCCACTCCTCCCCATCCGGTCTGCAATATACTGCCGGGCAGAGTGCAATTATGCAGCAGATGAAAAGTCCACCCATTCCCAGCATACCATAACAAATATAAACTTCCGTTTCCGAATGTCTTTCAGTTGTGAAAAAGCTCTATCATCTAATGCAGAGACCAAAGGAAGGGAAGTCTCGGTCATGCGGTAAGTAGCAGCAGTACTAGGCAGCGACTAGAAAAAGCTCTTCACCATGACAGCACATCTTTTTAAAAGATGTGCTGTCATGGTGAAGAGCCACTGAGAGATGATATTCATATTCTGCAACACAAATTTCAATTTGATAAACTTTTTCCCTGTATATGAGTGCACTTTTTGTTGGATAGCAGTACCTCCTCGAAAATCGGACTTGTTCCCCGGGCGCTCGTATCCTGTGCAAAAGTATCGCACTCGTATTGCAATCATGTATGACAAATCGAAATCTTGTTCCTAAGGTAAATCCGCATTGCAAATTTTGTTTCTCATGCTAAGTAAATTTGTCATGCATTTATACGAGTACGATACTTTTGCATGTCATAGCTCGGAATGTGCTCGCCGGCGGGACCGGCCCGCCGCCCGGGGTCCGAGTGGTACACTGTTGTTTCATTTGTCCGATAATTTCTTTAGTAGTGTGGTTCATGGTTATGCATGCATGCATGAGTGACAGTTTCTACACGACCCAGCCAAATGCAAGAAAGTTTTGCCATCCAGGCTAAACACGATGAACACCAAGGATAACGAATGATATCGACATCTACTTCTACCTCTACGAGCATACGAAGGGGCCCTTGTGCAACAACAAGCGCAGCTAATATAGAAAAAACCATACTGTTCCCCCCGACAACGCCCCACGCGTTCCAGCCTCGTCCACTGGCGATCGCCGGCGCCTTATCCAATGACAAAAGTGTTACGAATTTAACATTTGTACTTGTAGTTAATTCAGCATCACAAATTTGCCTCGCATGATGGAGAAAACTTGTAATGCAGAGATCATAAGGCAAAACACACACGCAACGAGACTCGCAAGCATTTTGCGCATTGCAGAGGTCGTCTGTCTTGCATGTCTTGCAACACACGGTGTAACTGTAACACTTTTTTCTTTGCATATGCCTCTATCCCCAACCTTCTCTGCATTTCCGCACTGCTCAAGTTACTTCCGCGTGCCCCGCCCCCGGAATGCTGCCCAAGAACGCCACCAGGGCCGGTTCCCGTGTCGTCGTTATTTACTGCGCGCGGGCCGAAGGCCCCGGAGGACTATCCTGAGTAAAAACGTACCCACACCAGAGTCAGAATGGGGATTTTGCAACACAAACCTAGGAGTTTTGTGAGTCACGCATGACAAGTCGCGCTATGCAGTGTAGTGGAGGTTAGCAAGTGCAGCCGCGTCACAGATTCATCTGCTCATCCTGTTCACAGCATCACAAATGCCAAAACACGATTGGAAATGCCTCCCTTGGGGATGCGCATTACAAGTCTTCCTGTCTTCGCAAATCTGCATTACAACTCTGGAGTGGGGACGTTTTTACTCAGGATAAGGACGAAGACGCAGCTACTCCAGCAGAACCGTTGCCACCTCCATTCATGCTAGGACCTGCTCCCATCATCCCTGGGCGTGCGCCGTTGATGCTGGAACTACCGCCACGACTTCCGAACATTCCGCCACTGACTCCGCGATTGTTCCGGTTGCCGCCAAACATGGGGCCTGGTTGGTGGAAAATTTCGATTTCGTGATCGTCGATTAGACAGCGCTCCGCGCAACATTTGTGTTGGCACTGGGCAACACATTCGGAGAAAGAGGAGGGGAAACAGGAGGAAAACATCTTTTGGGTTAGATGTCGTAGTGGTAATGTCTAATGCTGATGCTTTATTTGTTCCATTTGAGTTTTAATATGATTGCAAGCGATACAGCGTTGTTGTAAAAAAACCGAAGCTGCGGTTGCGAAATAGAGAGGCCTTTTCGTGATTGAAGGCCGTTTTTACAGTGGTCACTACACCTTGCGTCTGCGCACCAGTTGTTGTTCTATCACGCCCCTCGATGTGAAAGCAACGAGAAAAAAAAACCGTTATTTCCGCAAGCTAAGTACGCGGCCATTCTACTAGAGAAGACTTCAGAGCTTTTAGTGTTGATATCCAAGCAAAAACGACTTTGACAAGTGTAGAGTGTACAGTGAGGTTCTATATGTGAAGATGACGATTGACGAAGCCCGACGATATAATTCCGACACACGACTAAACGACTTCCTTGAAGGAAAAGAACCCCCGAAGTTTCACACGCAGCGACGAATGCGATATCTAGCGATGTTGCGGTTGCCTGACAAGTGAAGCGCGAAAATACTTGGGAGTGGCCGTTTTTGTGCTCTCAGCCAGACTTTTGGATCGGACTTTTGGATTGCTAGTGTGCCACCGCCAACTAGTCAAGCCCATTGAAGCGTCTACATGACCCACGGAGAAAAAGGTAGCGAGCCCTCCTGTAAAAAAACACACACATGCTGCAGAGGTTGCCACAATGCTGGATGCTGAGCTCGAGCCCATTACGAGACTGACGGCCCACCGAGGAAGGCTGCACCGATCCGAGCGGGAAGCGCAGGCGGAGGCTGTTGCCGCGCGCGCGAGTCGCCTGCGCCCGCGCTTTTGCGGGGCACACCGCAGAAGCGCGCGCGCCGCGCGGGCACACGGCGGCACAACATACGGAGCGCGCGCGCCACGTCGCGAGCCCCCTCCGTCCCCTTGCTGGATCTGGCGCCCACCTTTGCCCTGTCCCACTTTTCCTTTTCCCGAACCGCGAGGCGATAATAAAACCGGGCGCCGCGGCTGCGCTACCTACCGGGTCCGCGCGCCCCGAAGCGGAGGACGCCGGCGCGTACCCACGCCGCAGGCTTTCGCCGTACCCCCCGGCGCCCCGGCGGCCGCCACACGAGGCGCGGGCGCCCCCCCTTCGCCAAGATAATCAAACAAGAAAACCCGCCGCGGCTTGGGCGCAGGCTGTTCCTGGCAATGTGTGCGCCTTCTTCCATCTGCGAGTACGAGCGCAGGCCGCCGGCGCGGGGCGCTTGTCGCCCGCCGTGCCGCGCCCGGTTCTTCGGCCCCACCTGCCTGCCAGCCTCGTAGGATGTCGCACATGTTTCGGCTATTGGCCTGGCCAAATTCCCTAAAATGGCGCGTCCATTCGCCATGCTTGTACGGCTTGAAGCCGATGCGTGGCACCACGTGCCGCGCCAGCCGGCGCCTTCGGCAAGCCCATGCGCGATCCGGCCGCGGCGCGGGCGCCGGCCCTCCTCGCGGCCGGCGCTCGCGCTTTGGGCCCGGTATCGCTTGGGCGAGCTCCCAGGGTCATACCCTCGCGCCAACCTACGTCGTACCTGGTGAAGGATCGCCTGGCGCCCACGACGCGCCCCCTTCTTGTTCGGCTTAGCTGCCGCCTGGGAGGGCCTGGAACTGCGTGGCGCCCGACTGCTGTGCTTCGGCTTCGGTTTTTCTTTGGGCGATCGGTGGGTGGCGAAACCCGCGGACGGCGCCGGCACCGCCGCACCATTCGCCAAGCTCAGGCGGGCAACAGAACTGGAATTGGTGCGGCGCTCATGTAAAAAAACGCGCGCGCCGATGATTAGGCCGCGCGCCTTGTGAAATCGGCGCAGCACTGTCGCGCAACGTACGCGAAGCCAATCCACTGGAGAAGCCCGCGACACACATTTGGCCCATAGCAGCGCGCCGCCCCCGCCTCTCCTTGGTCCCCGTCTGGGGTCCACGGGCCGCGACCTTCTGGGGCGCTGCCTGCAGCCGGGAGCGCAGCAAACACGCCGGGCGCACGCCACGAGCCGCAACAGCTCCCCCCCCGGGCGCGGGATGCGGCAAAGCCAGCCAAAGTCGGCGAACTGGCCCCGGGGGACCACGTGGGGCCTCGCAAACTCCGCGAAGCTCTGGATTGCCCGAAGGTGCTGGTCTGCCCTCCACGTCCCTCCCCTCGATCTGGATGGCCCCGCAAAACCGCGACGCCTTGGTCTGCCCTGTTTCGCTGGTAGCAGTGCGCAAAGATGTACCACAGGGGCGCAGGCTTCAGCGCTGCCGCCGCCCCCAGCGTGTGGCGCATGTGCGCAATGTCTACCCGAAAGCCCGGCCGCGCGGCCGCGCGCACGGCCTGCGCAAGGCTCGCCCGCGATTCCCTCCAGCTTTCGCCTAGTCAGTTTTGAGTCTGAGCAGATTCATATATGCAGGCTGCAGGAGTCATCTCAAGTCGGAACATACTTATCGTGAGTGTGGAACTTGACCGGGTTCTTGCTGTACTTATGCTGTTGCTGCCGCTTCAAATTCTTCTTCTTTTCATTATGTCTGTTTCTGTACGTCTTCTCCTGAACATGATTGAACGTGCTTTGTGAACGATGGCTAAAAGCAGCAGCTCCTGGCACCAGTCCCCGGCTGCACGGCTTGAACAACCTGTGAAGAACGGACAGACCTCTCCTGTCCTACACCTACTTCCTCACACACATACAGCTCCCGCCACTTTGTCGTGAAAAACTCCAACACCGGGGTCCTCGTCGTGCACGATCTGACGGCGTCAGCACCAGCAATACCATCTGCTGCTCCTTGTGCCGCAGCCGCCCCCTGCTCAACACAAATAAGCCACTCGTCCTGTTTCAACAACCGCATCAAATCCACACCCCGCCGCCCGTTCTGCTCCGTCACGAGCAGCGTTCGCAAGAACCGCTTGGCTTGCTCACTCACTTCCGGATACACCCTAACTGGGTCCACGATCGGTCTCACCAAGTCCCCGTCTTCGTCGTACACCATAAAGTCCTTGTCCGTCAGCCTTCTCTCTTGCATCCTCAACCGCTCTTTTCGCCCCCTGTACCCGGGTGCCGGTATTTCCCAGTTTTGTGACTTGATCTGGTCGAACAGCGGGACCGGGGCGAAGTGGAAAAACGGCAGCTTTCCGAACAGAAAACAGTATATCAAATGCAAAAGTGTCTGGGTCTGGAAGAATGCGCGACTTGTCATGCAGATTTTCCATGACTTGTGAGGTCTGGAATGCAGGAACTAGCATGACAGATTCTGCGAGATCTCTGTCATGCCTGTCCCGCATGAGAAACTCCTTCTCAACCAGGTCAAAAGTGGACAGCTTTTGGTAAGCATGCAACACAGACTTTTACAGGAAGCAGACTTAGCATGACAAGTTGCAACCTTCCAGACCCAGACATATTTGCAATGCATACAGTACGCGGTGACGCCAATGGCCCAGACGTCCTGGGACTTCATGGACCATTTCTGTTTGTACTCGTAGTCCACGGCCTCCTATGAAATGCAAAAGCAGCGTACTAGTCTAAATCGCATGACAAATTTCCTCAGCATGAGAAATGAAATTTGCAATGCGGATTTAACTTGAGAAGGAAATTTGTAACGCATGGCTGCGATTACTACGAGTATGATACTTTTGCACAGGATACCTCCGGGGGGAAAAATTCGTAGGTACCCTGGTCGTCCCGCGTGAAAACAGAAAATTTGTCATCTTGTTCCTGTTGTGCTGTGCTGTCGACGTCATCAACGGGATGAATTATGGCCGCACTGTTAGAGTCGCCCGGTTGAAGCAGATGTGTCGTGCTGTCAGAAAAAGTTGTGCTTTTCGGAGCTGTTGTTGTAGTTCCCCCATTTCTATGCAGCTCCGGCTCCGTGAATTCAAAGGCCCGGCCGAAATCGCAGAGCTTCCCGACCCCGAGGTTGTCAATCAGAAAATTTTGCGGCTTGACGTCTCTATGGGCGATTTTCAAGTTGTGAAGGTACGCCACCGCGGAAACCAGATCGAAAACCAACATCAAGTGCAAAAGTGTCTGGGTCTGGAAGGTTGGAACTTGTCATGCTGACTCTGGATCATGCAAAAATTTGTGCTGCATGATTACCAAAAGCTGTCCACTGTCAACCAAGTTGGGAGGCAGTTTCTCATGCAGCATAGACATGACAAAGACCTCTCAGAGTCTGTCATGCTAGGTCCCGCATTCCAGACATCATGGATCATGGAAAACCTGCATGACAAGTGTACACTCTTCCAGACCCAGACATTTTTGCATTTGTTAACCAACTGCCGGGCACACGTTTCCGGGTAGTAGTGGTGGGTTGCTGGGGGCGGAGGTTTTGTGGTTGATGTCACTTGTTCAACACCGGGTTCTTGTGAAGAAGATGTAGTAGTTGTCCTTGTCCTTCCATGAGAGGTTGTTACGTCATTTTGAAGAAGCGCTTCTGTCTCGCTCACGATTCGTCTCCTTTGTATCTTTCCAACATAATGTTGTCCTCCAGCCTGCTCTCGTCCAGTAGTTGCAGTAGCAGAATTTCCCCCGGTTTTAAAATTTTTACTCTTTTGATGCTTTTTTTCTTCTTCCACTTCTATCAGCCTCTGCAGCCCGGGGATCACAAAGGAGTTTAAATACCTGTTCTGCGCCCAATCGTTTTCAAAAGCGATTTTCCTCACCTCGTCCTCATCCAACTCCTCTTCCCATTTATTTTCCTCCAAACTCGCACCGAATTTGTCGCATGACAGTGCACAACTCCCCCTACCCCTCATTTCTCATGCAAAATACCGAATGCACATCCTGCCTTTAATCACTCTGCACATGACAAGTTTTGGACACCCAAACAGGACTACATTCCATGTACGGATTTGTTATGCAAAAGCTACATTTGTGGCATTGCTTCTGTTGCTGTTCGTGCAATACAAATGTGGGAGGGGAGTTGTCGTGCACTCTCATATGTCGCAACACGGCTCGAGAAACATGTAGAGGTATTTCTCCTTGACCAAAAGAATCGGTTCGTGCAGCCGAATGAAATAATTATAATTTTCGCAATTTTTATTTGTCATGCTGTTTTTACTACAATGTAAATGAAGCTTCTCCATGATGGCGATCTCCTCGTAAACCAAATCGAGTTTCGTCCTGGGCTTTTTACTTTTCCGTGCCTGCAAGAGCCCACCACTCCCTCCTGGGGCGTCGATTTTCTGCTTTCTCAGTTGCGGTTCGAAGAAACATTTTACGGCGCAGTTTTTTAATGTGCTGTTCGGGGACGTTGGCGTGGCGACAGTTGCGCTCTCTCCTGCTGTTCTGGTCGTTGTACTCCTGCTGCTGCTGCTACTACTGCCTTTCTTGATCACGCCGAAAGTGCCTTCACCTAGGAGAGTGTCGTGGTAGATGAGACGATACTCCTCGTTTGTGCCGGTGGTCTCCGTAGCGGAAAGCCGAAAGATCTCAATATCCTGATCCGTAGTATGCCCATTCTTTCCTCTCTGCCCTTGTTTCGGCGCATCTGGTTTGATATCTGGCGTCACGTGTACGAACGAAAACGGCCGGGAGCTGCTGCTGCTGGACATGGTCTGATGGTCTTATTTCAGCCCCCGAGGACCGCTTTTTTCCTTTTATCGATCGTTTACAACGTTTACGTTTCCTCCATTTGTGCTTTTCATTTACAAAACAAGAGGAACCTCGTGAAGGAAAACAACTACGCGAGAAAGTTAATCTCCAGTTTCGTTCGAGGCGCTGAACGCAGTAGCACATAGAAATTCCAAAAATTAAAACACGTTCACGTCGTGCAGCTGCGCCCTCGTATTAAAAAGTCAGACACATGATCGGACATGCTGTTGAGGGAGCGACCGAAACTCGGGCAGCGTTGCTGACAGAATGGTTGGTCCTACAGAGGATCTGTGTCTGGATCATCCAGCTGCACTGGATAAGGATATCGATATGGATACCCTGGTCTGATCCTAAAAATAAACCATGTAAGCAGGCACTTGACCGGAGTCACGGACTGATCCTAACAAGAAACCTCCAGGTGAGTATAAGCTTGGCCCGTATGATCCTCGGAGGAATTAGAACAAGCGGGCTGCCCCTGTTTCCGAACAACAAGTATCAAGGTCAAGATCGCCGTGCGTTCGTACTAGGGAGGCCAAAAAAATCATGCAGAATCATAGCTGCAACCGTATCAAAGTAGAGCGACAAGGAACTTTGTCCGAACGCTTGCATTGTTGCACTAAAGGAAACCTTTGCAGAATTTTCATTTTGTCATTATTAACATGATATGAGCGTCTTGTACAACATCTAACTATAGTGGACTTGCATGCTATTTGTTAACGCTGTGCAGCGAGCACTGATTTCTACATAGTACTCCTGAGAAGTGCATCCTCAACCACGAACTGTTTTTCCTGTAACATCATCAACCAGGTTGTTGTACTTAGTACCACAGTTCCGCTTAAATCTTCCCTCAAATCCCGTCCGTCACAATGACCGCACTTTGCAGTGGACCGCCGGACGAGTTCACTCGGTGCATGTTCACGCTTTGCTCAAAATAAACACCAACATCCGGCTCCCGCTCGACAGTTTCAACATCATGTAGTTGATCAGCGGGTTGTTCATCTGCAAGAATTGTTTGTGTTGCTGCGGCAGAACCAGAACCATCCGTCTTCTCCTTCCTACTCAAATGCACAATCAGTTCCAAGTTCACCGGCATTTTCATCTGTTGCACCAATTTCATGAAATTCTCTGCCGCTCGGGCACTATCGCGGCTTTCAAGAAACGGCAACACTACGTTCGAATACGCGTTGTGGGTTATCCGCAACTCAAACTCCAGCTGATTCCTCTCGCCGACGTCGACGAAAATCCCCCTCCTGCGAAACACGTACCCCGGGGGGGACGTGAAACTGCCCTCGCGGTCGTTGCGGAGCTCGAAAAATCGGTTGGCGTGGTGGAACCGGGGGTCGGGCTTTTGCGGCGTTTCGGCGGTCAAGTACTCGAAATGATCGAGGTAAGGCTTAGCATTGTCCTGCTGAGAAGTCGGAGCCGCCTTGGGAGGTGTTGCCGTAGGTCCAGCTTGATGTGCAGCTGCTGCGACCTCCACTGCAGGAGGGGAAGGAGTTGTTGACACGAGTTTTGACAAATTCGGCGAAACGACGGAGTTCAACCGGATCCGCAACACCGTGTAATGCTTGGATCTTGGAACGAATGGCCGGTATGACAGTGCACAACTCCCCCTCGTTTGTCATGCAAAATACCAAATCTACGTCCTGCCCCTACACACTATCTGCATGCCAAATTTTTAGACAACCTTAAACAGTACTACAAGCTACCGTATCTTCCAGATTTGTCATGCGGAAGCCGCATATCTGCGGTTGCTTGTATTGCTGTCCATGCAATACAAATGAGGGGGAGGGGGAGAAGTTGTGCACTGTCATAGCCGCTGCCCTGCTTGCACTGATGACCGTGAGGTCTGCAGGTCCAGCTCTTCCTCGAGTTTCAGCTTTGACATGACTTGCTGCATCCCAAAGTCCTGCATGCCATCGTATTTATCAAATGCAAATATGTCTGGATCTGGAAACTTGTGATGCTGATCTGTGGATGACTGAAATACTTGCCAATGCAGCCAAGCATGACAAGTTTGCAGAACTACGCTCTCTCATGTTTAGTCCGCATGAGTAGAAACTGCGCTTTTGTATGACCAAAAGGGGCGTCTTTTTTGTTAGTCATGCAACACAGATTATGCAGGAATGTAGGACTAGCATTACAAGTTCCATGTTTCCAGAACCAGACAGATTTGCAATGCGTAGTATTTTTGGCTCATCAAATCTTCCAGCAAATCCAGAAAGTACCCAAGATGTTTGTCCGTGTGCAGTGCCGTATTAGGACGAGAGGGAATTTGCTGTTGATGCTGATGCTCTGCCGATGATCCATGTTCTTGTTGTGCGGGGGTACAACTAGTCGCTTTCTTTACCAACTTATCCCACGAAAAAAGTGGTACAGTTACACATTTGCTGATGCTGTAACTTCAGCATCACAAGTTTTCTCTGCATAACAGAGAAAACTTGCAATGCAAAGATCAAAAGGGAAAACAGGAAGGAAATGAAGATCCAAAGCATTTCCTGCAAGAGAAACGTTGGCAGTGTTGCTGGTCTTGCAACACAGTGTGTAACTGTAACTCTTTTTTCTTCCCATACAACTGTCGCCGTTCCACAAATTTTTTCAGCTGCTCCTTCAAAGTGAGTTGCGCGGCGGCGTGTCTCTCGCTTTCCCGTTCCTCTTGTTCTAGTTCGAAGATACCGTTGTCGTCGTCATTACCGCTATCGTTGTTTGCTCCTGATGAAAATCCAGGCAAATGATCCAGCTGTATCAAACAAAAAAGTGTTTACATAAACGGTTTTCATAGATTGCAAATATGCATGACAAATTTTGCCTAGAATGCATGCTATGCATGACAAATTTCAATTTGGCGCGTTCTGTGATGCATTACTGCATCACAGATTCCATTAACGTTAACACTTCTTGCTGTGATAAGCTGGTACGTCATTCGAGACTCGAAGAACCTCCCGCCCCAGAACTGGCTATCATGGCCGTGGTTTCTATTGTTCTCGAGTCCGTACTGTTCCCCCGTGTTCAAACCCGCCTCGTACCGCGCCTCAACCGCCCGCGCTTCCTCATCCTTCAGAAACCGGAACTTTTTGCAAATCTTCTCCATATTCACGGACAGTTCCGTTTTGATCACATTCGAACCACATACAATGTGTTATGGGAGTGTCAGGACCGAAATCGACAAAGTCGAAATTGTCTGTAATGCATAAAATGCTACAGAAAAAGCGACGCTATTGCAGAGGATGCAAGGAAGGCGGATTATAGTCCTGGTATACGGGTCAAATGCTGGGCATGGGCTGCCGACTAGCATGACAGACGGCAGCTCTTTTGCCCTAAACCGCATGACAGATTCGCTTCCAGAACGGGGAAAATTTGTCATGCGCCGACTACAAACTGTGGGTCTAACTGGCTACTTTTCCATTTTGTCAATTTCGATTTTGACACTTCCATACGTGTTTCTCGTCCTGTATTAGAACCGACCGCTGGGACGCATCATAATCGGTGTAGAAGTCGAGGTTATGAACTGCAAAAGCATCGTACTAGTATAAATCGCATGACAAATTTGCTCAGCATTACAAATTGAATTTGTAGTGCTGATTTGCCTTAATTTGTAATGCATGAATGCAATTACTTCGAGTACGATACTTTTGCACAGGATAGAGGTTTTTTTCCAGCAAATCCAGTAACACCATCCAGGGTTGGTGGTTCCGGGTGACGAGGGCTTGGATTTCGATGTTCCTGCTATTGCTACTAGTCGTAGTTCCCGGAGAACGAGGACCCACACTTGGCTGTGCTGGCGGTCGCGGTGGTCCTTCCACCCCCTTCCCCGTGTCTATTTCAATTGTCGGAAGTGGCTCTTCGTCGGCGACCTGCACGTCTTCAACGACCAACAATTCATCCACGAGGTATTTGTGGTCGTTGATCGCCTCGGAGGAAACAGGACCACGACGACGTGAAACATTACTACTAGATGCTGCTGCTGCACCTCCTTCTGCATAAAAATCGTTATCCAACACTGAAGACGAGGGCAGGGCTAGTGACAATTCGAAGTGCATGTCCAGGTTCTTCAGCAGGTCCAAACCTTGCGATGTTAAGTACTGTACCCACTTGTCCTTCAATTCCCTTATTGTCCAATTTTTCCAAATCTCTTTCGGAATCACGGCAATCAGGTTGCCGTTCAAGCCCCGGACCTGGAGCTGCTGCTGCTCTTCCGATGTCGTGGTGGGATGAAAAAATTCAGCATCTTCGTAGCCGTGCAGACCCGAAGCAGACCCCTCAGCTGGTGTATTAATTCCCGTTGATGCAGCGGCATTATCAAGGCCCTGCTGCTGACGAAGCCGGAGGCTCCTGGGACTCAAGGTACTAGTGTTTGCTTCGTTCCTGCCGGTACTAGTACCCTGTCTGCTTTGTGAAGAAGAAGCGGTACCTCGAGTTGTACATCCTGCAGGCTGCTTCACTGCCCCTCCACTTGACGACGGCGGTTTCTTCACCCCGCCTGTGCCAAACCAGGTCGACGACGAGAATCCTGAAGATGATCCGCTCGGACACCTCCCATGCGTTGCGTTCACGCCTGGCAGAGCGTGGTCGTCGTGGCCACCAGGAACAATTGTTCCTCCGGAAGCAGGCAACACCCTTCCCCCCGCCGTGGGAATGAAAGCCCCGGATTTGTACCTCGTGTCAGCTGTTGCTGGAAAAGGGTGTTCGGCCGAAGCAGAATGATAAGTAGTACCGCGAGCAGGTTTTTCTCGCACCTCGGGACTGAAGGGACGGACCGCTGTGGCGCCGGAAGATGATGCGTCAACATGTTCGTCATGCTGTTGCCGATACCTGCCAGCGAATGCCAGGTCACGAGCACCAGAGGTCTCCTGCTGCCCACTGCTATCCTTCGAGGAGATCCTCTCCCAAAAGCCCTGGAGTCTTTGGAAAGGAGAGGAAATGGTAGATGCAGCGTGTAGTGGCTGACCCTGTGGTGCTGCACGTGCGCCATGATCTTTACCGCTCCTCGGTGCGGAGCGAAGCTTGGTCGCTAAAGTTGAAGACAGGCGTGTGTTGCTGCAAAGCAGCAGCAGTAGCCGCACCATTTTGGCGGGCGGGAGAGAAGCGGGAGTCATAGCAGGAGGTCTACTTGTCATGGTTATTGATTCTTGTTGGTTCTTCGATTGAATCGGTCGAAAAAAAAATGATAAAAAAACAGGTGCAACAATGCAGCGTACAGATGGTGCAAAAAGTCAAAGACAGCTAAGAAACCAGCACAGCAGGCGTCGATTGTGCTGCAATAGACCCAAAATTTATCCGAGCAGAGAGTGGCCCGAGGCAAAATGAAAAAAACTTGTTCTCGCAACCTCTACCCCGCAACCAATGCGGCCATGACCTGGCTGATGCATCTTCCAAAAAGGAGCGCGCTATATAAGATCGAAGTTTTTCTTCTGTGAGAAGTCCGGTGCTTGAGAAGATCTTCTGAAAAAGCCAAATTGATGGTGCACTGGAACCTCAACAACCTGAACTTAAAGTTGGAGAAGTGCAAGTACTACCAAAACGCGATCATGATACGCAGGATCAATCGAATCGGGTGCTCGCGAGTCAACGTGTTTGTGCCATCCAGCGAAGATCAACATCAATCGATCCAACACTTCTACTTACTTCCGCAGCCGTTCGTGTCTGGTTGTGCAGCTTTAGCGAATTTTTTTTTATCAAATCTCTTTCCCTAAATCTAAACAATTTCATTCGTACTTGATTTATTCCGCCGGTGGAGTTTATTTGTTTCAACGCCATTTTTTCCTCCACTAGCACAACTATCCAGCTAGGAGTACATTTTTCATCTTGAAACGATTTTTTTTTTGAAAATTGTTTTTCGAAACGATATAAAACTGTAAGTAAATCGGAGCTCTAGAAGAAGGGTAGATGAAACCTAAGTTTGAGTTTGGTACAGGCGTGCATTTTTGGAGAGGTCTCTTGTTTGCATCATCAAGTGCACAGAGTAAATCCTTTATTTTAGCACGACAGTTACTTGCTCAGGTCTGTTAAGCTATAGTAAGTCGTTATTTGTTGGTACAGAACCTTCCTGCTCATTTGATGTTTCATCACAATATCTGTATCTGATCCGATCGTAGAAACGCCAGAAATGCTGAATTCCCTAGTAAAACAAGTTTTCTCTGAAATCTGATTAGTTGTAAAGTGTAAACAAGAAACGGTATAAGGAAATCTCTTGTACTGTAATTTTTTGCAATTATTTTCAGCTATTCTGCTGGTGCTTAGCTTTTCTAGAATTTGATTGCGTGACTGCGCAGCGTATCTAGAAGTATATCGTGTGCTGTATTCCCGAATTTAGGTTCTCTGAAAAGCCTCGACAATATCATTGGAAAAATAATTCACATATTCAAGTGTATTAACAGAAAGGTAAAATTGTGAAAGCTCTCGTTGGTAGTAGTGTGTCATCACGCGAAGAGCAGAGCCTTGTGAAGATTCTGATCACAGGCCCTGACTACGCGGACATCACAGCAGGTAAATGGGAGCCGCGATGGTTGATCGATTAACTGCGACGGCGACCACCATCCGGTGCAGCTGCGACGGGCAATTGCTATAGTCTCAAGAAGATTTTTGTGTGATAAGTGAATTTTTCTTCGAAATTTTTCCTGCTGGTCCTAACAGCGGCTACGATTATTTGCCCTCCCTGTCATGTCGGAGGCCGCAAGGGTAAACGCAAAAAGCTCTCTAAATTTGGTGTTCTTGCTGTAAACTGAAAAAGCATTAACAAGATCGACAACTGATGTCCCATTGGTGTTTGAAGTTTTTGATAAGTACTCCGATGATTTCTTTGTCTGTGATCAATTATATAAATTCTGCAATAAATAAGTGACAACACGTCTGATAAGCGTAACTAAATGAAATCGAAATCTGAATCTGTTTATTCTGAACAATAAGGTTCTAACCTAAGGTCGGTAAAGTGTGCTTTAAACTGAAAATAATAATCACGAATTTTGATGCCTACGCTGTCATAGACTTTGAAACGGATTTAGGCTATGAATCTGAAACCACTTGCGAATGCGAGCCGAAAAAATTTTTCTGCAGTACAAATTTCTCTTCTGATTTTGCTAATTCTGGATTAACCTAGTACTGACCTTCCCCCGCACCAGCTCCCTCTTCATATTCCCCCTCGTCATACTCCCCCTGCTCGCCCTGATCCCCATCCGCGGTGGACACCCAGTTTCCATCGTCATCGTAGTAGCCCCCCTCGCCATTCTATCCCGAGAAAAAACAGACGTTACAGGTACACACTCTGGTGGAAGACACGCAAGACAGACAACCTCTGTCATGCAAGAAATGCATCCCAGCCTCGTATCATTCATGTTTTCCCTTATAGTCTGCGCATCACAGGTTTTCTTTGCCATGTCGAGCAACCCTGTGATGCAGAAACTCCAACAAGTGTGTAACTGTAACACTTTTTTCCTGTGATACATTCTCCTGGTTCTCGTCGTAGCTCCCCTTGGAGTCGTAGTTGCCGCTACACTATCCAGTGGAAAATCATCGTACTAGTATAGGTTCTTGCAAGACAAATTTCTTCAGCATGAGAACTGGAATCTGTAATGCGGAATTACCTCAAGAAAAAGATTTGTAATGCATAACTGCAAGCAATTGCTACGAGTACGATGTACTTTTGCAATGCATATACCCTCCTCCTGTCCATCGTCCTCGACGGACTCCACTTCCCGTGCGCTGCTCCGTCGGGGTGCGCCATCCAGCACCATGCTCCGAGTCGTGGATCTACGAGCCGCGTCGTCGTCCTCCTCGTTCTTTTTCGGCGGGGGGCGCACCGGCCCTAGGACTCCGCCGCCGAAATTTCGCTTCAACTTGCTATCAAAAGGAAAAATCTCCCCTCCCAATATCGAAAAGGAAATCTGTGACGCTGGATTTGCGTACACAAGTCAGATCTGTCTTGCAGTAGAAGACTGCAGGCATATGCCAACCCTCGGCGGCGAGGTTTTGCTTTTGACATAGGCGCCTAGCATTACAAATGTCCACCCTGTAGGCCCAGCAGCATTACAAACCGCCTGCACAATGCGGCGCAGCCTGTGGGGTTGCCTTCTTGCAAGACATCACAGGCGATCTGTGATAACAAATCAGCATTGCAAATTTTCGTTGGCTTCCTTTTCGATATGGGGAGGGTGGATTTTTGCTTACGATACTTGCTTTCTCTTGACTTGGCCGCGTCGCGGTACTTCGCGTCTAGGTGTTGGTGGTAGTCAAAAATTTGCTTGTCCGTTTCCAGATACTTTTCCGCGACCGTGTCCCTCCGCGGTCCCGTGTCCGTTGACACGATGGATTTCTTGGACGCGCCGGCGGCTAAGAACCCGGCATCCGCTAAAGCGTCAGCATCGAGATCAACCCCAGCCTTGATGTCCGCGATGTAGCTTCCTCGGCGCTTGATGTGGGAGTCGAGCTCCAAGTGCCGGGCCATTTTTTCTTTGTCCAGGTAGTACTGTCGTCCGTGCGAGAAGTCTAGACTGTCCCGGAACTTGACATAGTGCTCCAAAATGTCCGACATCAAGTCGGACAGCGCGCCGACCAGAATACCGAAGAAGATCAGGCCGAGGAAACACTGGAAGTAGCAGAGGAAGATCCCGGTGTATGTCTCAAAGTCCGGCGTGACCCACTCGCCGAGCAGAAAGAAGAGCGTGTACATCATGCTCGTCGGAATGGAGTCAAACGCCCCACCCATCTCGCGCTCCGCGTACCACCAAAGACCCGAGCAGACGCACAGCGTATGCATTGCAAATATGTCTGGGTCTGGAAGGTGGTAACTTGTGATGCTGTCTTTGGATTCCAGAAAAATCTGTATTGCATAAACTAGCAAGAGGAGTCCAGTTTGTGCCACGCGGGGAGGGCGTTTCTCATGCGAGATACGCATGATCAGGAAGCCCTGTGAGAATCTGTGAAGATGCTAGGGCATGCATTACAGGCGTCATGGGTCATGCAAAACGTGCATGACAAACGTGGCAATCTATCTTCCAGACCGAGACCCAGACATATTTGCATTTGCTACAGCGTGAACAGCGACAACGACAGTCCGCCCTGGAAAATGACGAAAAAGGTCCCCATATCCTGACTAAAAACGTCCCCACACCAGAGTCAAGATGGTAAATCTGCTAGACAAATCAACCAGCTTTGGCTGTTTCGCATGACAAGTTTATCCTTGTAATGAGTAATCCTGTTTAGGTAGTTCAGCAGCATAACAGATCTAGCATATAATGCTGATTATAGCATCACAAACCCCAGAACACGAGTAGAAAATGCCTTTGATGGGGCTCAGCATGATAAACTTCTTTGGCATGCAGATTTGCATTACAACTCTGGTGTGGGGACGTTTTTACTCAGGATACCCCATGCCGTTGTAGAAGCTGCGGATCCCGCGGAAGAAGCCCAGGTTAACAAAATGGATCACGTGCAGAGCAAGGACACACTGGAGAAAGTTGTTGGCGAACAAGGCGTGGTACTCGTTTTCTGGCATCCGCGTTTTCTCACCTTGGGCGTCGAGACGAGCCTGTGACCGATTTTTTTCACTTTATTTGATGCAAAAATGAATGAAGATCATGGTTGTGCTGATTTCAAAATTCATGATCATGCAGACCACACAAGGAATAAAACATTGACATTCCTTATTCAATTTATCTCGTCGCATTTTTCCCAATATTAAAACAAGCGTCGCTTCATGTGACAGTTGTACCACTTGTGGCCATTCCTCCGGATCCAGTAAAAAGAGCTGCTCGAGAACCAGCCACACGAACGCGGCTAGTAATACAGCGTCAACCACCCTGACGAAGCCAAACAGCTCGTACACGACGGAAAATTTACTGGTCACGTTGTCCGGGGCCGCCCGGAGGTACAGCGAATACTCGATCACGTAAAACACGAACAACACGCACTCGATGCAAAAAAAGCCAAACGCCCAATCCCCTACCTCTGGGGTTGCGTAGCCCTTGCTGGTGAACTGCCGCGCGTCCTCGCCCGCGAGCACGTACAGCGACGCGTCACAGGATTGGAATATGCCGTCGATGGTGGTAAACAGATGACATGTGATATCCTGAGTAAAAGCGTAGCCACACCAGAGTTGTAATGCAGATTTGCAAAGACAGGAAGACTTGTAACGCGCATCCCCATGAGAGCCATTTCCAATTCTGTTTTGGAATTTGTGATGCTGTGAACAGGATGAGCAGATGAATCTGTGACGCGGCTGCACTTGCTAACCTGCACTACACTGCATAGTCCAACTTGTTTTGTCAAGCGTGACTCACAAAACTCCTAGGTTTGTGTTGCAAAATCCTCATCCTGACTCTGGTGTGGGTACGTTTTTACTCCGGATATGTGAGCATGAAGTACTGGTAGAACAGACCGAACCTGTCGTTCAGGTACCTGGGTTGGTCCGCAACGAGGCCCAGCGCGAGGTTCCTCTTCTGCCTCCGCCCCTGTTTTGTGTTGGGAATCGGGGGAATTATTGCCTCCTCTTCCTGCCCCTCCCCGCTGTACTGACTGGACATCTTGGCCAACGACTTCGCCGCGCCGGACGGCATGCCGGAGGATCGATAGGAGTGGGAGACGGAGGTGTGGCCGGAGGCGTTATCCAGGAAAAAAGCTCCTGTGTAAGTGTAACTTTGTAGGAAGAACAGCACCACAAATTCGTTTTGCATGCTTACAGGGAATAGAACCTGTCATGCGCAGCTAGTACGCGGAAACACGTGTGAAAGTTGCCTAAGCCTATGACGCACATCTAGCATGACAAATGTATAGAGTTTTGCATTTCCTGCATCACAGACCTTACGCAGCTTTTTTCTTGCATATGCGTAGGAGCTCGACCAGTATTGGGTCTTGCTTTCTTCCCCGTCGCCTATGCTGAGCAAAAACGTCCCCACCCCAGAGTCTTCAAGTTGGGAACTCAGCAACACAAATCCGGAAGCTTTGGGGGTGACGCATGACAAAAACACGACCAGAAATGCTTGTCGTGGGGGTGCGCATTCCAAATGTTGCTGGAATTGCAGATCTGCATGACAAGTCTGGGGTGGAGACATTTTTGCTCAGGATATCGCCCCCGTCTTCTTCACTTGGGTACGTCCCCTCCGATTGGGTTGCCAGGTCTTCGTGGCTGTTATGGAAGTGCACAACTTCGCCTGCCCCTCATTTGTATGGCGTCCGCAGCAATACAAACACCAGCACCCGTGGAGCTTGTGCATGACAAATCCATGCGCCTAGCCTGGTACTGTTTAAGCTTTCCGAAGTAGATGAATTTGTGATGCAAGCAGCGCCACAAGAGGCAGCGCTTGGGCTTCGCTTGGCTTTGGGGTTTTGCATGACAAAGGAGGGGGACGAGGGAGAGCTGTGCACTCTCATAGTAGTCTTCGTCCGTGTATTCCTGCTCCTCATCGTAAAATATCAAATGCAAAAATGTCTGGGTCTGGAAGATTGCAACTTGTCATGCAAAATCCGAATCATGCAAAAATCTGTGTTGCACGAGAGCCAAAAGCTGTCCACTTTCGACCATGTTGGGACGGAGTTTCTCATGCAGGAGAGGCATGACAGAGACCTCAAAAAGTCTGTCATGCTAGGTCCCGCATTCCAGACCTCATTGGTCATGAAAAACCTGCATGACAAGTCTGCATTCTTCCAGACCCAGACAATTTTGCAATTCGTATAAAATTGAAATACCTGTTTCGGCTTCCCATCTGGCCCGGTTGTTGTGGTAACGCGCACCGGGGCTTTGTTTTGTTGATTTCTACTCGAAGAAGTACTTCTTGATTTATCTCCCGCCCTTGATGAAGTAGTAGATGATCTTCCTCCTGCGATCGTCGGAATAGGCTCCACTGCGGTTTTGCTGCTGGTGGACCGCTTGGAGGACGAAGTTGATGAGGAAGAAGAAGAGGACGTTGTGCCTAGTACTTTGTTCTTCGACGCATTGTTCCTACTGGACGATGCTGCTTTGTGCCCTCCCTCAAAATTCGCGGCCAACCCGCCGCCGGCAACGAAGCCCCCGGGGCCGCCTTGCTGGCCACCTTCGTCGTAATTTTCGTCGTACTCCCCGGATTCGCCGTAATTCTCCTCCCCGTTTATCCTGTGTAAAAACGTCCCCACACCATAGTTGTCATGCAGCTCTGCATGTTTAAAATGTTTCTCATGCGGAGCCCCATGAGCAGCATTTTCTAATGCGGTTTGGAAATTCCAATTTGTCATGGTCCAATCAGCATGAGATACTAGATGTGTAATGCTGCTGAACTAGCTCAAACAGCACTACACTACGCGTCCAAATTTGTCATGCGAAACAGCCAAAGCTTATGGATTTGTCTAGCGGATTTCCAATCTTAACTCTGGTGTGGGGACATTTTTACTCAGGATACCATTTTCGTCATACTCCCCAGATTCCGGGTACGCCTCGCCGTTTTCATCGTTATCAAGTGCAAATATCGATCTGGGTCTGGAAGAATGCATGTTTGTCATGCTTCTCTGACATGACTCTTAAATCTGTCATGCACGTTACGCAAGAGCTGCGCCATTTTTCTGTCATGCGTAAACGCAGTTTGTCATGCATAATAGGCAACACCTAGAAGAAGCTCAGAAACTTGTCATGCTGAGCCAGCACTTGTGGCCTCCTCATGATACGCCACCCAGCATCACAAGTTTCCACAGACCCCGACACTGTTACAATCCATAATCGTACTGACTATCATATTCCCCATCGTCTTCTGCAACCGAGCTCAGCTGGGAGCCCTTCTATAACGCGCTCAGGTGTAGTTACAATCTCAAACGTTACGAATAGAATCTGGAATTTGTGTTGCAAAATGTGCAACATCTGGCCAACTCCCACAGGAGCGCGCATGACAAGTTTCGGAGCTCCAAACCACATGAGAATCTGGCGAAATTTGTATTGCGAAAACCCCAAGTCTCTGTACGGTACTCATGCTGTTTATGCAAGACAAATTTCAGATTCTATTGTAAAACGTTTGAGATTGTAACGTCTGAGCAAGCCATACCTTCTGCGACCCCTTTTTCCTCTTTGAAGCCCTGGTGCCCGTCGTTGCGCTAGACGCCGTGCTCGACCGGACACTGCTCATCATCTCCTGAGAGCCATCTTCCGTGCCGTCGTAGGATTGCTCGGTCTCTCCGGAAGTCAGCACCGTCCCCCGGGACATCGAGCTCCTCCGGGAGCTCCGGCTCTTCCGGCCCTTTATGTATGCTGTGCAAAAGTATCGCACTCGTAGTAATTGCAATCATGCATCACAAAACTTTTTCTTAAGGTAAATCAGCATGAGAAACTCCTTTTGTCATGCTGCGAAAATTTGTAATGCGATTTCTACTAGTACGATGCTTTTGCAATGCATATCATCTCCTCGCCGGCGAATTCCGATTTCCTGCCCTTTTTCCCTTTGCCCTTCATGGTCTCCCGTTTCTTTAAGATCGGCCGCAAATCCGGATTTTCTTCCCGGAACTTCCGCAGTCGTTCCTCGGATTCCAGCGCCTTTTCCTGCACCGCTTTTCTCATCAGTGAGAGTTGCCGGTACATGCGCCAGGTTTTTTGAATCGTGATGGCCGCCCCGTTATGCATTGCAAAAGTATCGTACTAGTAGAAATTGCAATACAAATTTCCTTAGCATGAGAAATGGCATTTGTCATGCGGATTTGCCTTAGCAAAAAGATTTGTAATGCAAGACTTGCATTCATACGAGTACGATAGTTTTGCACACGATACCCGTTCTGGTCGTTTTGCCGCATGGTCCTTCGTGCCCGCTTCTATCAAATGCAAAAATGTCTGGGTCTGGAAGGTTGGAGCTTGTGATGCTAACTTTGGACTCTACAAAAATCTGTATTGCATGATCAGCAACAGGAGTCTAGTTTGTGCTACGCGGGGAGGGCATTTGTCATGCGGAATAGGCATCAGGAGGCTTTCTAAAAATCTGTGATGCTAGGTCATGCATTACAGACATCCTGGGTCATGCAAAATATGCATGACAAACCCGGAAACATTCCAGACCCAGACATTTTTGCATTTCATAGCTTCATCTCGTGAATGATGATCGCGGTGATCAACCCGACCGGCGCGCCTAGGAACCCCGTATGAACGTGCGCAATTCCCCCTCGTTCTCATTTCTCATGCAAAATCCAAATCCAGTTGTTCCCTTGGATCAGTATTATGCATGACAAATGCTGGAAGCTGCCCAAACACAGCACTACAATCCGTGCATAAACTTGTCATGCACAGCATGCACGTGCGCTGGTGTTTGTATTGCTGTTCATGCTATACAAATGAGGGGGAAGGGGAGGGGGAGGGGGAGCTATGTGCACTCTCATACCCCGTCATGAAAATCCACATCACAAAGTGGATCAACCTGGCCAGCAAGCAGTACTCGACGAGCGGGTAGTATCCAGAAAAAAAAGCGTGTAAGTGTAACTTTCTTTGAGGAACAGCATCACAAATTTGCTCTACATGACAGAGAAAACCTGTCATGCGTGGTTTGTAAGGGAAAACACACAGGAAAAGAGGACTTCATGGCTGTCTGGCATGACAGGCGTAACTCTGTTGCATCTTCTGCAAGACAAATTTACACTTACACAGTTTTTTTCTCGCGATAGGTAGTCCCCGGTGGAGTGAATCATCATGAACTGCAACGACGCGACGAAGGAGTAGTATCGGGATCTTAAAGACGATTCCTCTTCTTCCGCTTCCGGAGCTAAATCCACCGCGTCATACTCACAGAGACGGTATCAACTGCAAATTATATGTCTGGGTCTGCAAGCGTGGAGCGTTAGTTTGTCATGCACATTTTGCATGACCCATGATGTTTGTGATGCATGCCCTAGCATCGCAGGTTTTTCACGGCCTTCTTGATGCCTATCCCGCATGAGAAATGCCGTCTCCGCATAGCAACAACTGGAGTCCTCTTGCTCTTCATGCTATACAAATTTTTGTAGTATCCAAAGTTAGCATCACAAGTTGCAATCTTCCAGGAGACCCAGACAGATTTGCAATGCATAGACGGATGAAGTAGGTGAAGATGAGGAGAAAACAAATGAACCCGTAGAAAATGCACCACAGCTCGGTGCCGTATTTCGTGAAGATTCTCAAAAGAATCCGCAGGGAGGGGGAAAACCGATCGATGACGCAGATGATGAACATCCGGGCCGCGACGGCGAAGGCCGCAATATCCTCAATCCCCTTCCGCGGATCGTTGTCTGAAAAAGTGATGTAGAGGTTTCGCGAATAGACCCGCATAATGGACGTCGTCGCCGCGGCGATCAGGAACACCCCGTGCCCGAAACCGGCTAGGGTTCGGCAGTACCAGAGATTGGCCGCGGAAAACGTGGCGAGAAGGAAGTCCACGAGGAGCAAGAGAAGGACGATCAAATCCAGCCACTTCATGAACCGGGCTAGCAACTGACTGGGCTCGAACCCCATCAGCTCCTCGATATCGTCGACGTAATCGACATCGTAGAATTGCAGAAACGAAAACCATATCCAATGCAAATACGTCTGGGTCTGGAAACTTGTGATGCCAAAATGTGCATGACTGAAACGCTTTCGAATGCAGCCAAGCATGACAAGTTCTTGCAACGCGGTCTCAGGCGTAGCGCGCATGACAAACTGCGTTTTTGCATCACAAAGAACACTGTGCATTTGTTAAGTAGTCATGCAATACAGATTTCCTTGGAATGTAAGGCCAGCATCACAAGTTCACTTTTTCCAGACCCAGACGTCTTTGCAATTGATAAACCAGTCATCGGCATGGGTTTGTTCCTTGAGGTCCGCCATCGCCTCGTCCTTGCTGACGGTGAATTTCGCTAAATGATCGAACTCATCCGCGGGTAAGTAAACCTGGAAGAGCTTATCCTTCAAGAAAGCCGCATTGGTCGCAGTAGCCCTGTCGTAGACCTTCTTCTCGACATCGCTTGTCGGGTTCGCGTTCCTCGCGGCTTGAATCGTGAACGGCTTACGCGCTGCACTTCTCGTTACCAATTTTGCGACGATCTTGAATTTGTCACTGTCCAAGAACTATGCATTGCAAACATGTCTGGGTCTGGAAACTTCTGTTGCTGATGCTTGCATTGCAGACTGGCTGCTGGTACGGCACAAGAGCATGAGAAATTTCCCTCGGCTCCTTGCGGAGCACTCATTCGTATTTAGCATGACAAACTGCCTTCCAGCACGATAAGAAAGCCGATCCATCGCATGCATGCATTACAGATTTTGTCGTCCTTCAAAGTTCGCATCACAAATCCAGGCCCAGACATATTTGCATTTGATAAAAACTTTGCCTCGGTCGCAATCATCACCGACGCGAGTTTGTTCAGCGACTTCTTAATCTCCTCAGTGTTGTTTTCCTGCAGCATCTTGTTGAGCGACCGGATGGTAAACCAGATCCTTAGATTCTCCGGGTGCTTTGTCAACCCCGCACTGACGCCGGGAATCTTGCCCTGCAAGTGCGCAATGTGTCCCCCCGCTTGCTTGAACTGCCGCATTGTCCGCCCTATCAAATGCAAATATGTCTGGGCCTGGGAATTTGTAGTGATGCTAAAAAGTGCAAGAGGAAAGCACTTCCTCATGCAGGAAAGCGTGACAAGTTTGCAGAACGCTTTCCCATACGAATTTCGCATGAAAAACTGCGTTTTTGTATGACATGAGAGGCTACCGCTTTTGTTGGTCATGCAATACAGATTTCACCGGAATGCAAGACCAGCATTCAAAGTTTGTTCAGAACTTTCCAGACCCAGACATATTTGCATTTGGTACGCCCGAACTCGTGCAAATTGTGCGAGTGGTCGTGGTTGCCGGGGAAAAAGGTTTGGCTTTCCTTCTTTTGAATAAAGGCACGCGGGGGGCGGAAGGAGGAGTCGTCGTTTCCTTCTTCTTCTGCCTCCGCTTTGCTGCTTCGCATCTGTGCCTCGACTGCCTGTCTGTGCTCCAACTCCGCGAACTCTAATTCCACTTCTTCCACCGTTTTCACCAATTTTTCCACCGGTGTCTGCCACCACATGCTCTGCAGAATCTGCGACTTGGCGTGGGTGCTCGCGAACTCGAAGGAGTCATTTAGCATCTGCAAGTCTTGTTTGAGCTTTTGTTTCTTCGATAATTTCAGTTTTAGCTTCTTTTTTTCCCGCTTTATTTTCAATTGCAGAAACGCGCCGGGCTCTTCGTTTTCGTCGCCCTCCTCTTCACCGCCGTCGTCATGGTCATCACCCTCTTCGCCACCATCGTCGTCATCATGGTGTTCCGAACCGTCGTCGTGCATCTCATCATCTCCATGCTCATCGTGATCGTCGTGCTCCTCCTCCTCGTCCCCACCATCTGCACCTCCACCGTTATTCATCATTCCATTCGCCGCCATCGCGCCGGCCGCCCCAGCAACCGCCCCGGCTCCCGCAGCTCCTGCTGCGCCCAACTGTCCATTTAGCCCCGCGCTCCGGGCGCTCCCGGAGACCGCGCGGGCTTCTTGCGGGATCAGCCCCGCTTGCGCCGCCTTCTGTATGATGGTGGCGACCACGGGCTTGGGTAAAGGTTGCCCCGCTTGGGTCGTGACCTGCACGATTTCGTCCACGGAATAGCCCTTCTGCGCCAATTTGACCACATCTCCGGGCGTGATCTTCTGACCGGGAACGGAGGGGTCCAACTTTCCCGGTGGGGACGAGTTTTCTTCATCCTGATGCTCAGCAGGCGTGTTGAGTTGCCCATGATCGTCGGAGTGATCACCTTCATCGGTGTTTTCAGTACCTTTTCCACCGCCCTTGCTCGGGTTCGCAGCCCCATTCGGAGGGGCATCGGTCATGGGCTGCTCTTCGTCGGTGAGAACGGCGTCTAAATCGGCCTCGCCATCCTTTGCACCGGCGGCTTCGTCCTTTTCCCTTTGCAGTTCCTCCTCGTCCTCCAGCTCTTCTTGTCTTTTCCTCTCCTCGTCCTGGCGTTTTTTGTCCTTCTCTTCCTCCGCGACAATGTTGATGTCCGAAGAGTGAATCCCGTCGGTCAGAGGCTCTTGAACAGTCGTCGGCGGCGTGTTGGATTCGACCGGTTTTGTCACCGGGTTGTCGGGGATTTGCTGCGCGATGTTGTTCATCGCGATGATAGCATCCGGGTGCTGCACTCGCTCCGTGTGGAGAATGTGCACGTCCGTCATCCAAGAAAAAAACTGTGTAAGTGTAGCTTTCTTCGGCTGACAGCATCACAAATTTGCTCTGCATGACCACAGAGAAAACCTGTCATGCGTGGTCTGTAAGGCAGAACACACTTGGAAAGAGGACCTCGTGGCTGTCTGGCATGACAGGCGTAACTCTGTTGCATGTTCTGCATCACCGATTTACACTTACATAGTTTTTTTCTTCCATATCCGTCCGCATCAATTCATTCAAAAACCGATCCGATCCGTGCTGCTATCAACTGCAAAAATGTCTGGGTCTGGAAACTTGTAATGCTGCGTTGGGAATAGTGCATGCTCTGTAATGCACAGGCAAGCATGAGAAATATCTGCCCTTCTTTGTGTTGCGTTTTTCGCATGACAAACTGCGTTTTTGCATGACAGGCGAAAGGGTCTCGTCTTGGAAACGCATCACAAACTTTTTGGTCATGCCAGACAAGCATGACAAGTCTCGCAATCTTCCAGACCCAGACATTTTTGCATTTGATAGCTGCGTCATGATTGCTACCTCCAATGCAAACCCGCAGTTGTGTTCCTGCTTCAAGGGCAACACCAGCCCGATCTCGTGCGCGGATTGGGAGATGTGGGTTTTCAATTGCTCCACCATGCGAAACCGGTCGAGGTATTCCACGTGGTCTAGATCGAACGCCATGGCAACCGTGTATTGTGGCGGGGCAGCGGGACCCGCAGCTCCGGCGCCATTTGCCGCCTATGAAGTGCAAAAGTATCGTACTCGTATGAATGCATGACAAATTCCCTCAGCGTGAGAAATAAAATTTGTATTGCGGATTTACCTTGAGAAAAAAAATTGTAATGCATGACTGCAATGACTACGAGTACGATATTTTTGCACAGGATACCGCCTGTTCCGCGGCGAACTCTTGTTCAATCGCCGCTTCTATCAAATGCAAACATGTCTGGGAGTCTGGAAACTTGTAATGCTAGAAGTGAATGATATGCGCACTTCAATACGCAGCCAAGCATGACAAGTCTTTAAGCTGCTACGTGTTTCGTTTTCCGCATGGCAAACTGCGTCTTTGCATGACACGCAAGAGGCCCTTCTCCTGCTCATGCATCACAGATCTAAGAGTTCTGCCACACAAGCATAACAAACTTGCACTCTTCCAGGCCCAGAAATATTTGCTGTGCATAGCTTCCGCGACATCCTCATCCGTTGGTGCTGCAGCTGCTTTTTTCTCCTTCTTATCTTTTTTGTCCTTCTTGTCCTTTTTGTCTTTCTTATCCGCCCTACTCTCCACCCGGGAAGACAATCCCATCGCCTCTGCGGTTTCCAATAACGTCTGGAGGAACGAGGAAGAACTTAGCGGCTCGGCCGCTGCACCAGCAGTTCCCCCCTTCGCGCCGCCAAACGGTTTTTCGTACTTAAACGCGTTTATCACTAGGTCCACATCTTCGGACCTTTGCTTCGGCAAATGTTTCGAGGTCAATCCCACCATTTCGCAGGTCTGCCGGGCGTTCCAATGCGTGATGTAGCAGGCGTCATCCGTGACGGGGAGAGGGAGGTAGACATCGGAGGAAGACCACAGCCCTGCACCGGAAAGCTCCTCGGGCTTCGTGACTTCGAAGTCGCCGATGTCATCGTCTGCGTCGCCCCAGTACCTTTTGATTATATGGTGAAAAATTTGTCATGCGGAGATGCGAAATAGAATCGGATAAAACTTGTCATGCGCATCGACTACGAGTATCACAGTACAAACTCTACCTAGGATCCTCCTCATCGTCGTCGTCCAAATTGTGGTCTGCATGCTCCACGTGGTGCTCGTCTACGTGGTGAAAATCCGGCTGCTCCCGGATCGTCAGCCGTATGCTGAGCAAAAACGTCCCCATCCCAGAGTCAAGTTGGCAACTCAGCAAAAGAAATCCAGAAGTTTTGGGGACGACGCATGACAAGTTTCTCTCTGTACTGTAGTACAGGCGGGTAGCAGGCACAGCCGCATAGCAAAGCCATTCTCCTATTCTTCTCACAGCATTACAAATTCCAAAACACGACTGGAAATGCCTGTCATGCGGGCGCGTATTCCAAATGTTGCTGTAAATGTAATTGCCAATCTGCATGACAACTCTGGTATGGGGACGTTTTTACTCAGGATAAGCCGCATCTGCTTGTTATCCCGCAACTGGTATGAATTGCAAAAGCACTATCGTACTAGTAGGAATTGCATTACAACTTTCCTTAGCATGAGAAATGGGATTTGTAATGCTGATTGACCTTAGGAAAAAGATTTGTAAATGCATAGCTGCAATTACTACGAGTACGATCCTTTTTTACTAGATAACTGGCTGTTCTCGCGCGCGCAGACCATAAACCGATCCTCGCCGTGGGAGAATTTTTCGATCATGGCGCGGTTCATGAACGCGTGGTTGGTAGGGATGTCTAACACCCGGAAAAACTTCGTGACGTACTGCTCCCCGACCGCGTCCGCTATTGTGAGGAAAAATCCCGCCTCCCCATATTGAAAGCGCATTTTTCTGAAAATCTGTGATGCAGATTTGTAGTCACAAATCCGGTCTGTCTTGCATGAAGGCAAATCCAGAGACTCCGCCGTATTACGCAGGCGGTTTGTAATGCTGTTATGCCTACACCGTCGACGTTTTGAATGCTAGGGGCCTACGCCAAAACCTCGCGCCTCAGGCTTGGCATATGCCTGCAGTCCTCTACTGCAAGACAAATCTGATTTGTATACTGAGATCCAGCATCAGAAACTTCGTTTTGATATGTGGAGGGGGGATCTTTCCTCTTGATATCCGCCCAGGATATTTCCGATCCGTATCGATGCTGGTACACCGCTGCGTCGTAGGCGCCGCGGAAGTATGCATTGCAAATATGCCTGGGTCTGGAAACTTGTGATGCAAGTCAGGGAACATTGCGCACATTGTGATGCACTACCGAGCATGACAAATCTGTCCGTGGTTCTGAGTTGCGTAATCCGCATGAGAAAGTGCGTCTTTGCATGACAGGCAAGAGGAGCTCTTTGCGGCCACGCAATACAGAGCGCGGAGTCATACCAGACTAGCATGACAAATCTCACAATCTCGAAGGCCCAGACATCATATTTGCAGTAGATAGAAAGCGGTACTTGACGTTTTTGTGCAAGCGAACCGCGCCCGTTTCTTCGTCGATCTCCATCATCTTGTATCAACTGCAAAAGTGTGTGATTCTGGAAGAATGCCAGACTTGTCATGCACGTTTTCCATGACCCACGAGCTCTGGTATGTAGGACATACCATGACAGATTCTGTGAGAGTTCTATCATGCCTATCCTACATGAGAAATTGCCTCGCGATTAGGTCAAAAGTGGACAGCTTTTGGTAATCATGCAACACAGACTTTTACATGATTCAGATTTAGCATGACAAGTTGCTTTGTTCCAGACCCAGACATTTTTGCATTTGATATCTTGTCGCCGGCGTCTTCCCCAGTGGGTGTCGTCGACTTCACCGGAGTCAGTGCCCAGAACATCGTATCCACAGCAAACCTACCGTATAATAGACTGTGTACTGGCGTTATTTCTGCATGACAAAACTTTTCCCCAATAGTCACGCAGCATGACAAAAGTACGTAGTTCAGATTGGCAAAGTTAGTTGTGATGCATTCTGTCCATTGATAATACGGTAAACTTGTCTTGCATACATGGCCATCTGGTTGAACTCATTTTGGTAGACGGAGTCCTGGTCTCCCATCCCGATAGCGATGAATTTTTTGTCGCGGTAAAAATTCTTGGGCGGATCACCAACCTCGTAGGGAAAGTCAGATTTGATTTCTTCCGGTGGGGTTTTTTTCAAATCCCGCGTCATTTTCCGCGGCGTGTGTAACGCTTTCGCGTCCTTCGCGGCCATTTCCTCGGCTTCTCTCGTGCTGTTCACGTCCACAATGAGCTTTCTCTCCGTGCCCTCAAAGTACTCTGCGGTCGTCCCCACCTGGATGAGAGACAGCTCGTGCTGCAGCTCCGGCACCATCAGAATCGCGGTGTACCCGTGGCAGGTGTAAACAGTCGTGATCGCGATAGAGAGGAAAACCAAGATCCCGACGAAAATGGAGTAGAGTCGGCCGTACTCCGTGTTAGTCGTCCACATGAATTCGTACCAGCCGCTTCCAAGGGGAGTTTTGTCGGAGCGTTCCGGTAACAATTCTTCAGCTAACTCCTTGTCCTGCAACATTTTCTCGTGCTTCGCGTACCACTCGTCTTCTTCCTCCTCCTGGGTTTTCTTGCTCTTCTTCCCGCTCTTCAACATGGAGGAAGCGAACCCGGAAGTGTACGCTGAAGTCGCGCCGGTTTGCTGTGACGTGCGTAAACTAGACCGGTACAACTCGCTATCCATGCCGCTGGAGCCCGGTTCTTGGGAGTCGTAGGACTGAAGCGCACTCCCCTCCGGGTAATTGCCTGCTCCTGGACCGAAGGAAGCGCTGCTGTCCGGGTACGCTCCGTCTTCGTCGTAGTTCTGACTGTCGTACCCCTCGTAATTGCTGGCCTTGTGCTTTCCTTCCTTCTGGTGCTTATCTTTCGACGCCGGAATTATTTTCCGTTTCATCCAAGTCTTCACATCTTCTTTGTCTTTCCGCTTGTTCGTAGAAGTTTTTTTTGCACCCGATGAAATTTTAGACGACGACGCGGTTTTATTCTGCTTCTTGTGGTCGCCCTCGGAGTAGTAGAGCTGTTGCCCGTACTATCGCAAGAAAAAACTGTTTCACTGTGAACTTATGATGCATAGAACGGAACGCAAATGCGTTTGTCCTGCTACACATGCAAGACATTGGATTTTTAGCTGTGTTTTCCCTTAGGAAGCACGCATGCCAAGTTTTCTTTGTCATGTGTAACAAACTTGTGGTGCAGATCTTGCAAAATCGTCACAGCGAAACAGTTTTTTCGTGGGATACGTACTCCGACATCTGCCCGTCGGATTGTCCGTATCCCCCGGCACTGTAGCCCGCGTCCGAGGCACCGTATCCCTCCTCATCGTTGTATTCCTCCCCATTCTCTTCATTTGCGTCGTACTCTTCGTCGTATTCCCCAGAAGCGCCTACTCCGCTCTCCTCATTTTTCTCCGTCTCGTCGCTCGAGTCTTCTATCCTATTTGAAAACATCCCCACCCCATAGCTGTCATGCAGATTTGCATCTACAGAAAAATCTGTAATGCACATCCGCAGGAGAGCAATTTGTAGCCGTGTTCCGGGAAGATTTGTAATGCTGTAAACAGGATGAGCAGGCGTCTTTGTGATGCTGCTGTCCTTGCTAAACAGCACTACACTACAGATGGAAACTTGTCATGCGTAACTCCCAAAACTCGAAGATTTGTGTTGCAGATTTATCAACTTGACTATGTATGGTGTGGGGACGTTTTTACTCAGGATATCTTCGTCATCATCGTCATCGTCGTCGTCGTCGTCGTCCGAGCTCGACATCTCGTCCGCGAAGTAGGCTTATCCACTGCAAATATGTCTGGGTCTGGAAGGTGGATGCAAACTTGTTATGCTAACTCTGAATCGTGCAAAAATCTGTGTTGCATGAACCGCAAAAGTTACCCAGTTCTTGCCACAAGATTCAAGTTTCTCATGCGGCTTTTGCAAAGAACTTTGTGATGCAGCTTCTCGGTGCATTTCTGACCATCTTTGTGATCCACGAGATGCATGACAAACTTTGCTCTCTGTCTTCCAGAGGACCTCGACATATTTGCAATTCATAAGGCTTGTTGCATGTAGGATTGGTAAGCGGAGGCGAACAGTCCCGCTGGCAAGGCAAAGATTGCTCCGGCGTATAAATACAGAATACAGTGAAACGCCCGGCTCATGCCCTGGCCGGAGAAATCATCCCAGGGGGCCTCGCCCGTCAGCGTTAACCCCGTGACCCACATCGCCTTCTATCCTGTGGAAAAACGTCCCCACGCCAATGCAAATGCGCCATGACAGGAACATTTGTCATGCGCATCTCCATGAGAGGCATTATTTATCTCCAATCGTAATATTTTGGACTTTGTAATGCTGTAACCAGGATGAGAAGGCGGCTTTCTCATGCGGCTGCCCTTGATGCTAACCAGAACTACCCTGCTGGTGGAAAAAACTTGTCATGCGAAACAACCAAAGTTTGTCGATTTGTCTAGCAGATTTCCCATCTTGACTAACGAGTGGGGACGTTTTTCCTCACAATACCTTCCCCGGCGACCCCATCCATTCCAAGCGCATCTCGTCGTTGGGGTTTTATCCAGGAAAAAAACTGTCTGTGTAAGTGTAACTCTGTAGGGAAAATAGCATCACAAATTCGCTTTGCATTGCAGGGAAAACCTGTCATGCGCAGCCAGTACGTGAAAACACCTGTGAAAGTAACCTATGACGCAGACCCAGCATGACAAGCGTATAACAGTTTTGGACTTTCTGCATCACAAACTTACACTCACATACTTTTTTTCTTGCGTAGGTTTCGAATCTCCATCAGGGACCAAAACGCCGCGGCGATCAGCAGAATAGAGGTGCTCCACACGACGAAGCACTCGTACAGGTGGTAGTAGGCGCCCGACATGAGAAAATAAATCTTCCGGAACACCCCGATCCTCCGTTCCAACACGAGAATGCGGAATACCACAGCCCCGTAGCAAATCACCAAGTAGTCCTGGGCGTAATCCGGCCCGGGGAGGGTTTTGTGCTCACCGTGCAAGAATTGGTCCTGGTTGCCCCGCCCATACTGCAAAAACATGCCGAACATGATCGCAGAGGGAAGCCAGAACAACAACCGGCGCAACCCGTCCATGGTGAAGATAAACATCGGCGGCTTCCACTTTGGGTCCATCTCTGGGGCGCCGATGGGGTCGATCTCCAAATCATGATCCTCGCGTCTCCTGAGTAAAAACGTCGCCACCCCAGAGTTGTCATGCAGATTTGCAGTCACACGCAGATTTGTAATCCGCATCCCCATGAGAGGCATTTCCAATCGTGTTCTGGAATTTGGGATGCTGTAAACAGGATGGGCAGATGGATTTGTGATATGGTTGTCCTTGCTAGAATGCACTACACTACGGAGTGCAACTTGTCATGCGCGGCTCCCAAAACTTCTGGATTTGTGTTGCTAAGTTCCCAACTTGACTCTGGGGTGGGGACGTTTTCACATATGATAACGCGGTAACGGCGTTTCAAGGCGACAATCGGGATCATGTGCTTGTTGTTTTCCACCACCCGCAGGCAGTAGTGCATGAAGAAGAGCAGCGTGGCGATGATTTCAAAGATCAAACAGGACTTCAACCGTCGGCCGTATTCCTCCACCAGGAAATTTTCGTGGCAGTTTTCCTTGCAGAACGCGTTCTTGATGGCCCAGTAGTAGCTCTGCGACCGCGGGTATGAAAGAAAAAAACTGTGTTTCTAGTGTACGTGTCTTCGAGTGACAGCATGACAAACTTCCTCCGCATGACAGAGAAAGTTTGTCATGCCCAGCCACGGCACGTGAAAACACGCACGAGAGGAAAACTTTATGGGTGTTCGGCATGACAAGTGTATACTATTTTTCATTTTCTGCATCACAGACTCACACTATACGCAGTTTTTTCCTTGCGTAGGGGGGTTCGGTCCGCGGAGAGGAAATACGCATGGTCGTTGTGGTAGATCGGTGCTAATTCTCCCCCGTGTCGGTCCAGGTTTTGGTGGCTGAAAATCTTCGAGGTCACTGCCCGGTCGAATAACATCATGACAACGATGGACACGATTCCCGTGAATTCCAAAAACCGGTTGACCCAGGGGGACATCACCAGCTTGGAAGTGAGCTCCTTGTAAATGCCGTACTTCACCCTGCCCTTCCGGTCATCCAAGCTGTTTTTCGTCCGCGATTTCCGGGAGACCAGGTTGCCATCCGCGTCGTAAACCTCTTCAATTTCGTGGGTTTCCACCTCCGTGGAAGAACCAGAGGAATTACTGCTGCTGCTCCCTTCGCCTCCCTTGGAAGAGCTGTTGCCGTCCATCGAAAGGAGTTTCTTCTCCTTCACTCGGTTGTCTTCCTGACCCGCCTTCACCGCGTGCCAAACTTCGTCATCGTGCATCAGGTTGTCAATCTCGTGTTCAAACGTATCCAGTGCAAATATCTCTGGGTCTGGAATGTCGGAACTTGTGATGCTGGGCTTACATTCGTGCGCAATCTGTGTTGCATGACCACCAAAAGTCGCAGCGTCTTTTGTTTAGTACACAAAAACGCAGTTGTTCTTTCTCATGCGGACTGCGTATGAGAAAGCGTTCCACATGCTTGTCATGCTTGGCTGCATTCGGAACAACGTTCTCATCATCCACAGTTCAGCATCACAAATTTCCAGACTCAGACATATTTGCAATGCATAAAAAGCGTCCGAGCGCAACTCCCCGGACTCCGTTTCCGTCTCCTGCATGACCTCCTCCAACGCGCCCCCGAGCAGACCACAGGGAAACGCAATCGTGAGGGCGCCAAGGGTTGCCGCGTAGAAAATCGCAAACCGGGAGAGATTCGATTGGTGTTCTTCGCCGAGGGGGAATTCGCCGTTGAAGTTGAGAAAAGCCTCGTACATGGAGCTTGCGATCGAACTGTACTTGCCCTGGTGCCAGGACAAAATGGAGGACTGCTTCGGGGACCCGTCTTCCGCCTCAATCACCCACTGCTCCTCTGGCCCGTACAGGTAGTACAGACACCCCTCCGTGACCCAAACCGAAATTAACAGCATCAGGCCAATTTTCAGTAGTGTTCTCACGGACTGGAAGATGATGATGAAGATCTTGAATCCAGAGTTCGCCCGGTAGATGAGGAGATCGTTGGCCAGGTCGAAGACTTTGAAAATGATGAAGAGAAAGGACTCGTCCACGGCGGTTAACCTCACGTCTATCGAAGGAAAAAAGTGTTACAGTTACACATCATTTGTAGTGAATTCAGCATCACAAGTTTTCTCTGCATGATGTAATGCAAAGATCATAAGGAAAAACACACATGAAGCGAGACTCGCAAGCATTTTGCGCATGACAGAGGTCGTCTGTCTTGCATGTTTTGCAAGACAATGTGTACCTGTAACACTTTTTTCTTTGCATAGCGTCGGTGTACTCCGGCATGTTGGTTGCGATGACAAAGTCAAACGTGAGGTAGGCAATGATCGCCACGTCGACTTTGACGAGCAAGTCTTTCACGAAGTAGACCCATCCGGACGTGAAGCGATCTGGGTACACCCTGGAGGCTATCAACTGCAAATATGTCTGGGTCTGGAAACTTGTGATGCAAACCAGGGACTACTGGGCGCACTGTCATACGTGGCCAAGCATGACAAGTTTTTGAGGTGCTATGTGCAGCGTATTCCGCATGGCATGGCAGACTGCGCTTTTGCATGACAGACAAAACGATCTTTTTGCACCTACGCATGACAGAGGTCCCAGTCATGTCAGACACGCATGACAAATTTGGCAATCTTCCAGACCCAGACATATTTGCAATGCATAGAGGCATAGTTGAACCGCATCGCCGTGATGAGAAACAGCACCAGCAGGTAGAAAAACTTCATCAGGCGCATATTGTGAGAAAAAATCCCCCCTCCGCGTATCAAGATGGATATTTGTGATGCTGACATGCGGCCACAAATCAGATTTGTCTTGCACAAAGTGCTTGGTGGTATTTTCGAACTACCCTGTTCGGGTATGCAGAAGGCTAGCAATTAGGCATGGCAAACAGGTTTTCAGTAGTCGAAAGCGCACGAGAGACTGGCTGTAGAGTGAGCCACTAGGCTCCTATCACCCGATAGGCAAGACAAAGGTGATTTGCGGTCACAAATCAGCATCACAAATTGCCATTTTGATATGTTGGGGAGGGGGAATTTTTCACTTTGATAGTGCACGGAAAATTTGAAATCCGCGAGGACGTGGATGTTGTGGTTAATCCGCTTTTCGTTGTACAACCGTTTCAAGTAGTGGATGTTGGACGGAATGAACTTTTTTTTGTCCACCAACTCCGGCAGCGAGTCCTCGTTTTCCGGGTTGCCGACAATCTTGTCCTCGTCGCGGAGCGGTTCGCCATTCAAAGCGTGAATCAGTAAATGTTCTTTGTATTTCGCGGATTCCGCCCGGACGTCCCCGGCGATCGAGGCCTCAGACAAGGGGTCGACGTCCTCGGACGCGTCGCGGCCGTCCACCGTGTCGGCCAGTTTGATCCCGCCCTCTATGAAATGCAAAAGCATCGTACTTCTAGTATGAATTGCATTACAAATTGACTTAGCATTACAAATGATATTTGTAATGCTGTTTTACCTTGGGAAAGAGATTTGTCAAGCATAACAGCAATTACTACCAGTACGATACTTTTGCAGAGCATACCTTCAACTTTGTATTGATAGGAATCATGGATCTCCTGTTCAAACGGGTCCCCGGTGATTGATTTTTCCGGCATCTCTTCACTGTCCAAGTGCTCCTCATCGTCCTCCTCGGTGGTAAAAAGTTGCTGCTTGTGCTTCCGGATCTTCTTTCGCTGTTTTGTGCTGGTCTCGACTTCTAGAAAAGAGGAGGACGCTTCGTTTTGCAAGGGGAGGAACGACTGCTCGTTCACTTGCAACAATTCCTGGTCGACACTGGGGTCGAAGTCCTCATCCAACTCCTGCTGCATCTGGATCTGCTCTGGCGTGATGGATTGCTGTCCCGACGGAGAAATAAAATTCCTTTTTTTTGCCTTTTTCTGTGCATTTTTCGCGGAACTGGAAGATTTTTTCGCCTTAACACCCATCCGCTCCTTCCTCTTCTGCGCTATCTTCGAACGAATACGGTTATCAAATGCAAAAATGTCTGGGTCTGGAAGAATTCCTGTTTGTCATGCTTGTCTGGCATGACTCTTAAATCTGTCATGCACGTTAGCCAAGAGCTCCGTTTTTCTGTGATGCAGAAGCACAGTTTGTCATGCAGAATAGGCAACACCTAGGAGCTCAGAAATTTGTCATGCTGAGCCAGCATTTGTAGCCTCATCATGAGACGCCACCCAGCATCACAAGTTTCCAGACCCAGACATTTTTCCTTTTGATAACGGTTGGAGTGGAACCATTGCTGCAGGTCCTCATGCGATTTTACTACTCGGTGCTTGTTCCTTCTGGTATGGCGGAGTCGTTTTGACAATTTTTTTTCCTTTGTCATTTTATGTCGTTGATCGAGCTGGATACTGCTGGAGGCGGAGGCGGAAGAAGATGCTGACGACGACGAATCCAACGAGCCAATCTCCCCCGTTCGTTTCCACACGAGCAATTCCTGGCTCGTTTCGTAATCAAAATCTTCCCCGGAAATAACGCAGTACCTTGGTTCCGTTCTTGGTTGGTCCAGGGCCGACTCTCCCGCCGGGAACATGCCCTCGTCCGCGGGGTTGGCCATGTGAAAGGTTGAAGCGAACACTACGGAGTCATCCCCCAAGGCCTGCAAAATCGTGTTGAAGTCCCCCACTCCGAGCCCATAGGGTGCCTTTTCGATCAAGTCGTGGATGTAACTGATGTATGAATTGCAAAAGTATCGCACTCGTCGTATAAATGCATTACAAATTTCCTGAGCATGGGAAATAAAATTTGTAATGCGGATTTGCCTCAAGGAAAAGATTTGTAATGCATGACTGCAATTACGCTTTTGCAGTGCATATGATGATCGTTTCGTCACAGTGCATTTTCACCTCCCCAGGATCGTCCGGAATGATCCGCACAATCTTCGCACCGTTATGGATTGCAAATATATCTGGGTGCTGGTCTGGGAGACATCGAGATTTGTCATGCTAATGTGGCATGACTCTGGGATCTGTATTGCGTGGCAAGAACCAAGAGCTCCGCTTCCCTGTCATGCAAACACGCAGTTTCTCATGCGCAATACGCAACACAGAACCGTGAAGAAACTTGTCATGCTTGGCGGCGCAACATAATTACAGTGTATTCTATTTTATTATTCATATTCAGCGACTTGCATCACAAGTTTCCAGACCTACAGACCGACGATATTTGCCATGCATACCCGTGCTCCGACTGCAATGCGTGGTCATCGGGGGAGCACTTCAACTTCTCCGGGATTCTGGTCAGTTGCAGCGGTTTTCCATAGTCGGAGAGGTTGCCGTCGTCGGGGACAAACCCGACGAGACAGATCCGCCTCTTCCCGTTATTCATCACAAAGTTGTGCAGCGCGTAGTCCAGCGCCGGTGCACCACCCTTGACGTGCGGAATCACGTTGCGAATCTGCCCGCGGATCTTCCCCGGGTGGAGCTTGTTGTGATGTTCTTGTTCGTGGTGATGTGTCTTTCTGTTTTTCTTGTGGTGCTCGTGTACCATCTCGTGGGTGACCTTCTGCTGCCGTTTCCGCTGCATGAACGTGGTCGACGTTGATTCGAATAACCGTTCGAGGAAGGAACTAGCGCCCTGTTGTTCCTTCTTGTCTTTCTTCTTCTTTTTTTTCTTCTTCTCCCCTCCTGCATTGTTGTTTTCTTCTCCCATCACAGCCGCCGTGACGTCTACAGCTCCGGGGTCTGCGTCGACCGGGGCCTGCTCTCCGCCCGCTTGTTCCACCTGCTGCGCGACCTGGCCGTTGGTTCTGGCGTGCGGATCTTCCAGCTTCCGCCGCTCAACTTCGTCGAGCGTGCCCGGCATGTAAAATCCGTCCACGTCAGACGCCAGCATATCGATGTGCGCGTCCAACGACCAGAAGGCCGCGTCGTATCAACTGCAAAAGTGTCTGGGTCCTCTGGAAACATGATGCAAAACTTCTCATGCTTGGCCGACAGGAGACAAACATCTGTCATGCGTGTCGCTGCAATACAGTCCTACATTTTTGCTATGCAAAAACGCAATCTGTCATGCGGGTTACAACTCAAGACGTCGTCATAGAGCAGAGCCTTGTCATGCGTGGCCTCGTATTGACCGTTGCTTCTCTTATGCGGACATTCGCATCACAACTTTTTTCACAGGTGGACCCAGATCGATTTGCAGTGCATACGTCGACCTTCTCGCTGAGCTCGTACTCCATCTCCTGCCTGGAGTCGTTCGCTATCCTGTGCAACAATTATATCGTACTTCTAGTAATTGCAATCACGCATGACAAACGTCCTTCTTGAGCTGAGTCACCATGACAAATTGCATCTTCAATGCTGTTGAGGAGCAAATTTGTAGATTTGTAATGCAACTACTACTAGTGCGATGCATACTTTTACAATGCATATTCACGATAATCATGGTTTCCGCCCGCAGGTCCATCAAAATGAACATGGAAACGACAAGCACCAGCCACACCGTCCAGTGAATACAGAGCAACCCGCCCGCCGAGGGCGTCCGTTTCTCCGGATGGACAAACACCGTGTAGCCGCCGAAGTAAAAACCTGTGCAATAAAGCAGATGGATTTGATCTTGTCATGGTGCGCAATACGGTATAATTGCAACCATGTTGCTTTCTCATGCAGAAACAACAAGCGAATCTACTTTCGTAGCAGCCTTCTTCAGGCAGCGACAGCATCAAAAAAAGCAGTTTCTCATGACAAAAAACCAATAGAATTGATTAGTATCAATACCGCTGTCCGATTTCATCTCATCTTCATCCATTGGCGGCTTCTCGATCCGGTGCTCTTCGTACTTTTGGTAGAAGAAGATCCGAATTCGCGCGATGGTGAAAAACGTCGTCGCCAGCAAGCACAGGCTGGCGAGCCACACAAACTGGTAGGAAAAAACGTCGTACATCGACAGTCGCTCGGGCACCGCGTCCAACCTTTCGCCAGGGTAGGTGGCGTGGTAGAATTCCAGGTAGTCGTAGATGAAGAACATGCCCCGCATTTCTTATGCATTGCAAAAGCACCGTACTAGTATAAATCGCAATACAAATTTTCTCAGAAGGAGATATCTAGTTTGTAATGCTGATTTGGCTAAGAAACAAGATTTGTCATGCATGATTGCAATTAGTACGAGTACGATACTTTTGCAGAGCATATTTCTTCAATCTCCGCGATTTTCGCGTACGCCTTATCGCAAGAAAAAACTGTTTCACTGTGAACTTGTGATGCAGAGAATGGAGCACAGAACTATTTGTCTTGCTACACCTGCAAGAACACATTGGATTTTCAAGCGTGTACTTATTCCCTTGGGAAGCGCGCATGACAGACTTGTTTCAGTGTAGTGTGTAACAAACTTGTAATGCTGCAAAACTTGCAAAATCATCACAGTGAAACAGTTTTTTCGTGGGATACGCCTGGTTCGTAAAGTACTCAATGCCCGTCACCATCCCGACGTGCTCGGCATGCGCCACGTCGAAATGAACTGGTTGATGCGCGTGGACGACTTTTCGCTCCTCACCATCATGACCTGCTGCACCTCCGGGCGCGGATTTTTGCAGCAAGGAGGAAGCGACGGACGTTCGGGACTGTTCGTCGCTGAGGATGTCCAAAGCGTCGTCCTTGGTTTGCTTCGGCAGGTTCAGTGTGTCGTCGGAGAAGGCATTGGGAATCTGATTCTCGGTGTTGTCTGCGCCGGGTTCTGATTCTCCGTCTGCAGTGAAAGCAATGTCGTCGTCCGGCTGGGTGGTCGGCTTTATTACCTGTTGCTTCGCTATGCTGCCCCGGAGGTTGCGCTTCACTGGTTTTTGATTTTGCGACGTTGCAGCGGCAGAAGAGCTTGACGAGAGTGTCATCTGCTGCTGGCTGTAAACACGGCTCTTCCGGCTGTTGCCGCGGAGGTTGCGCTTCTTCTGCTCGAGGAAGGAGGAAGCGTTGTTCTCTTCTACTTTTGGTTGTGGTTCAGCGGCGCCTTCGTCGTTGCCCTCTTTCTTGGTCGGGGGCTCTACTACTTCTGCCTTTGCTTCTTGCACTTCCGCATCGGGAGCACCACCTTGTCCCCCCATCACTGGTTGCTCGACGGGTTCTATTTCTTCGCCTTCTGCGACTTCCTTCTTCTCCGCATCAGCCGGATTTTCCTCAGGCGCACGTACCGGATTTTCAGCGGGTGATTCCGTTGGTTCTTCCGCCGTCTTTGTTACTGCTTCCCCATCTGCTCCGTCACTACCTTCAGCAGTCGTGCCTGCTAGGTTCTTCTTTTGCTGGATGAACGATGAAGATTCTTCTGGCCCGCTTGGTCTTGGTGGTACTCCTGCCCCATTCGTTCCCGGTGGTGGTGGTAGTGGTGGACCTTCGTCTTCTTCCTGTGGAGATTCTGGAGGAGATGGCTCTTTCTCCTCCACTGGTACCGGGTCTTTCTGGAGCTCAGGTTCGGGCACTGGTTCCTCACCTTCTTTCGTCTCGTCCTGCTTCGGTTCTTTTGGTACTGGATTCTCTGCGGAATCTGGCTCTCCCTCTTCCGCGTTCTGTGCTTCTTCACCATCGCCTCCTTCCGGCTGCAGAAAGGAGGTGCTTTCAACTTCCGCAGCCGCCACTGTCTCCTCCGACCTGGCCGGCCAGAGGGTTCCGCCGGCGACGATGAATATGGTAAGGAATCTTACCATACTCACCATCGTCGCCGACGAAGAAATCAAAGTTATTTTCACCAATTATTTGAATTGCTGTTGATGTAACTATCACATTGTCACGTAAACAACGTAATGTTGTTTCAAAAACAGTTATTATAGTTTTGGATGTGATGTGGTAGGTAGTTCGTTGTAACCAAAAGTAGTCTACTACTACTGATCAACCTCCTCTCTACCACTACGTTGTGGGGGTGAAATTTGGAATTTGGTTCATGTAGTCAAGGAAAAGTGCGTGACGATTCATGTGAATCGCTCCCACGATTTAAGATTGTGGAGTTTCAGATGCGAGCGATTTGTACGAGATAACTCCTTGTGTTTTTACACTCCACGACAAGCAGAACCCCTCACATGCTTGCACGACTTTTTCTGGAATTCATCCTTTTGCTTTTTCGTTGCATTTTCCTCTTGTTTTTCTCTCATCAAGTCCTCTCCCAATGAAACAGAAATAAAAACTCACGACAGGTTTACATTTTTGCAACAACGATAAGCACAAGCTCAAGCAAGCGACTGAGTATGATACTAGTAAGTACGTCTCTCCAGCCTAGTTAAGTACGACGGAAGACTGAACACGAGGCAGGTGAAGCAAGTGTGTAGGTTGTAGAAGCTCTAGTCATGCGAGATCGAGATTTTCGCTGTCTTGGTTGAGATTAGAACCTGATTTTGTGCTCAGTAGTACTACTTTCGTGACGGATTCAGAACTTGACATTCGCGAAGATGCGTTGTACAATAGATCTGTCTGCACTGGTTTTAATGTTTGGGAGCTCATTTTGCAAACTTGTCGTATCCTCGTACTCCGTCGCCTTATTCTCCGCCCCGTAACCGAATATGACGGGCATGAGTCGCTCGACAAACATACCGGCCTCGTTTATCAAATGTAAAAATGTCTGGGTCTGGAAACTTGTGATGCTGTGTGGCGTATCATGAGGAGGCGACAATTGCTGGCTCAGCATGACAAGTTTCTGAGCCTCTAGGTGTTGCCTATTCTGCATGACAAACTACGTTTCTGCATGACAGGAAAGTGGGGCTCTTTGGTAATGTGCATGACAGATTTAAGAGTCATGCCAGACAAGCATGACAAACTTGCATTCTTCCAGACCCAGACACTTTTGCATTTGATATCGTTTCCGAAGCTACCACCAGTCGAGCATTCCTGGCCCACCTCCCGGTAGAGTTCCTTCTTCCTCTGCAGCAGGAGGACGCTCGTTGTGGACTGGGCGCCCTTCATTCCCGAAAAATAGTTCCCGGCCTGTTCCCAGGCCGGCTCCCGAATCCACGATTCGTACCAGGAGCGCAAATTCATCGGATCCACGATCGTACCGCTCGGCGACACCGGGGGACGAAACCGGGCCCGGGCAATCTTATGTCCGTCGTACTCCGCGATGAGAAAGGAGCCTGCATCGGCCAAATAATCAACAGACGGATCTTCCAAATGCGCCGACGGAAAATTGTAGTGATTGAAGTAGGCCCGCGACTTCCCCACCGAGAGCGGATCCTGCCGAAAGGCGTTCCGAATTGTGTCAATTCGGTTGTGGTCAAAACCGGGAAACGGCAGGTAATGCAGACGGAGATAAGGCGACGCGCTTGCAGATCTGTTACGAGCAACTTCTTGCTCTTCGTCCATGGTGATAGCGCTTGGCCCCAATCGCTCCGAAGGTGAAGTCTGCAGAGGGTACAGTGCCTGGATCTCGTCGTACTTTTCGTACGTGTAATTTGCAAAGGACGCGGTCTCGCGACCGTTATTCGGCTGCTCCGTGCACACCACCCGTCCACCGCCGCTCCAGCGCGTAGCGGTGACGTCACTGCGGCCCGCCCAAAACCGCCCCGCCTGTGCCCCGACAAAGTGGTCGCAGGGCCCACCTTCACGGAATTTCGCTGCTGACAGGTGCCTCAGCGCGGTCGAGGTCGTGGAAGCTGTGGCCGCAGTGGTCTCAGGCTGTAGTAAAAAATCATCGTCCTTCACGAGCAAATGCAGCTGGCAGTTCATGTTTTCCGTCTCCTCCAGTAGTTGTATGAGTCCCCGCTTCGCCGACTCCGAATAAAAGTCGTCGACATAGAACGCAACAATCAGCCTATCAAATGTAAAAATGTCTGGGTCTGGAAGAATGCATGTTTGTCATGCTTGTCTGGCATGACTGTTAAATCTGTCATGCACGTTACCCAAGAGCCCCACTTTTCTGTCATGCAAAAACGCAGTTTGTCATGCAGAATAGGCATCATATAGAAGCGCAGAAACTTGTCATGCTGAGTCAGCACTTGTGATACGCCACCCAGCATCACAAGTTTCCAGACCCAGACATTTTTGCAATGCATACAGCCAGCACGGGTACAACTTCTTCGGCGGTGCCGAGAAGGTGAAGGAGAACAAAGTAGCAGTCGTGGCATTAGAAGTAGTTGCACTGCTCCTACCTTTCGCTGCGCGTAGTAGTGCTAGTGACCCTACCGATTTTTCTTGCTCCGGCGCAACTCGTCCCCGGCCTGAAGATAATTCTAGTACGGTTTCGTTCGCCGCGGCGCGACCAGGAGCAGTAGTTCTTGTACCATGACGACCAGCGGAACGACCCGAAGTAGACGAAACACGTTCTTTCGTCAAAAAGAATCGCAACATGCTCCCGCGGAGGTTGCGCTTCACTGGTTTTTGATTTTGCGTTGCAGCGGCAGAAGCGCTTGACAGTGTCATCTGCTGCTGGCTGTAAACACGGCTCTTCCGGCTGTTGCCGCGGAGGTTGCGCTTCTTTTGCTCGAGGAAGAAGAAGGAGGTTGCTCTTCCGGCTGTTGCCGCGGAGGTTACGATGAATATGGTAAGAAGCGTTACCATACTCACCATCGTCCCCGACGAAAAACTTGACATCTTCACCAATTATTTTTGAATTGCTGTTTCCGTAACGGTTACATTGTCACGTAAAGAACGTAATGTTGTTCCAAAAACAGTTATTAATATAGCTTTGGATGTGTGGTAGTTCGTTGTAACCAAAAGTAGTCTACTACTACTGATCAACCTCCTCTCTACCACTACGTTGTGGGAGTGAAGTTTGGAATTTGGTTCATGTAGTCAAGGAAAAGTGCGTGACGATTCATGTGAATCGCTCCCACGATTTAAGATTGCGGACTTTCAGGTGCGAGCGATTTGTACGAGATAATTCCTTGTGTTTTTACACTCCACGACAAGCAGAACCCCTCACATGCTTGCACTTTTTCTGGAATTCATCCTTTTGCTTTTTCATTGAATTTTCCTCTCGTTTTTCTCTCATCAGGTCCTCTCCCAATGAAACAATAACCTACAATTTTGCAACAACGATAAGCACACCCTCAAGCAAGCGACTGAGTATGATTATAGTACGACTCTCCAACATAATTAAGTACGACAGAGGACTGAACACGAGGCAGGTGAAGCAAGTTTGTAGGTTGTAGAAGCTCTAGTCATGCGAGATCGAGATTTTCGCTGTCTTGCTTGAGATAGCCTGATGCTGATTTTGCTCAATACATAGTACTACTTTCGTAACAGATTCAGAAATTGAAATTCGCGAGGCGTACTTACAAGAGGTCTGTTTATCCCAGCGCCATGTTGACTGCGCCGCGCGTGAGACTACAATTGCTCTTGGGCAGTGCAGCCAGCAACAACTTCATCCCTCTTCCATCGAGCAGCCACCGACTGTATCCGCCAACGGCACCACCGCGTTCCCACTCAAACCCCCCCGCGACGGCTGCACTTGTCTTTCTCTTTTCCCATCCTCGCTATCCAAATATTTCTCCTGCAATCTATCCACAAACTCCGCGTAATCAGCGGTAGAATCCTTCAACACCGTGTCAAACATCCGTCTGTAATCCATTTCCGTCTCGTTTGTCTTCTTCAAAGCCTGTTCCTCCATTTCCTGACACGCCTTCTCCGCGAAAATCCTCCCGTTCGATTGGTCGCACCGCATCAGGATTCGATACACTGACTCGGAATCCTCGATGTTACAGGGGTCGAACCGGACTAAATTGAATTCCTCCACTAACTCTGCCAAAGATTCGTGGAACTTCTTGAATTTCCGAAATAAGGGGTGGTGGAGGAACTGATTCTTTTTTGTGGTTGAGGAAGTCTTTTGCCTTTCGTTCTGAACAGTGGAGGATGTCGTTGAAGCAGCTGAAGCGGTTCCTCTTCTATCGACACTAGAGGAAGAAGATGAGCTTCCCCCGGCCACACCTGCCGCCGCAGACGATTTTGCGTCTGTCGTTCCCCTTGCCGCTTGTTTCTCTTCTTCGACTACTTGTTTCTCGCCTTCAGCAATCTGGTCGGTACTAGATGTTGGTGGCCCATCTTTATTTCCGGTCGTGGAAGATGATGAACTAGTATCCTTCATCTTCGAAGCACCCTCTACTTCATCTTGTTTGACGCTATGCTCCACAATCTCGTCGCTTTTCAAATAGGCGGTAAGCCGGTCGTAACTCTCCTTATCCTTCTGACAAGTTAACGCCGCTTTTGATGGGTCAGCACAACTCGTCATCCCCTCCATCGTCTTCGACAAATTCACGTCTTCCATCCACGCGTCCCGCAACACCCCCGCGTTGTGCAGTAAATGCGATAAATCCTCGACTCCCAGATAGTAATCTAACCTGAAGGGCAAATCCTTCGCGAAGTCCTTCATCAAATCGACCTTCGTCAACACGTTCACCGGTGGTAACTCCAAGTGCATGGTACAAGTCAACGCGGTGAGAGTTCCGCTGATGAAGCTCCCCGCGTCTCTGCACCAGGTGGAATCGACTAAATGCACGCAGCACAACCTTAAATCCAGCATCTTCTGCAGGGTACTGGTGATGTTCCGCATGGACTCGTGGTGGAGATACAATTCCACCTGGCCGGGTAAATCGAAGATCAAATAGCGGCTGTTCCAGTACGGGAATTCCATCAATTTCGCGAGTTATGCATTGCAAATATGTCTGGGTCTGAAAGTAAAGTGCAACTTGTCATGCAGGTTTTCCATGACTCATGAGGTCTGGAATTATGCGGGACCTAGCATGACAGAGACTGTGAGAGCTCTAATATCATGCCTATCCTGCATGAGAGACTCCCTCCAAACTTGGTCGAAAATGGGCAGCTTTTGGCACTCATGCAACACAGATTTCTGCATGATTCAGATTTAGCATGACAAGTCGCAATCTTCCAGACCCAGACACTTTTGCAATCCATACGAGTAAGAATTCCTCAATGTGGTCCTCGATAAATTCCATGGCGTAAACCAAGCCCCCGTTTGGCCCGAGGTTAAACTCCTCCATCACGTCTTCCACCGTGATGAGCTCCTTGATATCAATGAGGTTTTCCTTGTCGTAGGGTAGCTGATCATTCCCGGGGTCGAGGTTGATTACCATATAGGGTCGTTTCATCGCGAGGCACATCTGCTGCATGCCGTGGCAGTAGGTGGTTTTGCCGCTGCCCGGAGGGCCCAGGACAAACTGCCCGAACATCGCCATTTTTTGATTGCTGTATTTTTGGGGGGTTTTTCGTTATTGGTCTTTTGACCCTTTGGTCTATCGGAACAAATGTTTGTAACTTACTGGGTTGAGTAAAAGGCGGCTCAACTTCAATAGCTACAGCTAAAGCGGAGGAGAAAATGGGTCGTAATCATGTTCCAGGTGCTAGAAAAGTGTCGCTGTCGCTCTAACGGTCCTCGTGCTGCTTCTCCTATAGTGCTGTAGCCGGCCTGTCTTCCTATCCTCCTGTGTTTCTTGTTCCGAATAAGTTTTACGGGCAAATGAAACGAAGAAGAACTGGATTTTGGCTTCTGTACTTAGAAAAATGATCTTCATTTTGATCTCTGTCTGTGGATTTGTCACAGCTTCCAACTTTTTTTAGAACGCAGGGCATGGCATCAAACTTCTATCTTTTTGCTTTTCGCTCGAAAAAAAGTTGAGGAAGATCTTCACGATGCTTAATGACTAAATCCCGAAATTCATCAGAGCGCAGGCGGACTGTATTCATCATCATCATCATATTTGTGCGTGTCCTTGATAATTCATTATCGACTCGTCTTCTCATGAGTGGACGGGCACCCAGTACTGCTTTTTCGGAATGGCCCGAGAGTTACTCCGCTTGCCAGGTGTCATCCTGGCATCTGTAGAAAGCGATCCCGCAGACATATTTAATTTCTCTCCCCGTGTTTTCACAGAAATCTTCACTGTCTACGTCGAACAGCTTTCCCCACAATAAGTACCCTCTTGCGTGTGACGCAAGGGCGCAGTCAGGAAGGCGGGGCGTCCTCCATTTTCCTTTTGCGGTTGATTCGTCGCTTTATCGAAGCTTTACTTTTGATGTGGACAATCGAAATAAAGCCAAAAGTTGAATATTTTGCAGTCATTTTTGGAGCGCATAATTTTTGATGTCGCAACTTCTTCCCTAGTAGTCTTCCGACTGACTGTGGGACCTGCAAGAACCATACGCGGAGGAGGTTTCGAGCAGTGTATGAGATACAGCAGGCTCGATTTTCCAAATCCTAGTAGGTGCTTTTTGTTTTTCTTTCAAAAGCGTGCTTTATGTTTGAATGAGTTGCAAGAAACAACAAGAACTTCGTCCGCTCTGTTATTGTAACATGGAGGCCCACCACAACATTCGAAGTAGGAAGATTAACACCAGCCTAATTCCGATTACTTAATATGTTCTTGAATCAGCACCAAGTTGTTCATTCTAGGGCACCACTCGTCGTGTAAGTAAGTCTACAGTGAATACCTCCACATTATGACTCTGCACCACTCACAATTTGGTGAAGATGAAACTGAAACATGATGGGCTGTCGCAACGGCCACGTAGAAAATAAATCCCACCGCTCGTCCCGGACTCGGTAGTTCAAGTCACCCGTGTGACGATCCGTGAAAGGTACTTAGATTTCTAGCTGATTCGAAGAGTCGGATTTGCCGTTCCGGTTTCTCTTTCCATTGCGACCCGCATGATCCGCAGCAAGGGGTCAATTGGGCGACCATGTTCATCCGCAGCCTGGTGGTCTTATTCCGCAATAATCATCCCGGTATTAACTTTGGCTGCTCGTCCTCCCGGCACCATTCTTCCAATGGCTAGACCGCACTAGTCTTTCCCGGACGCCGGTATTTTTCTGTTCATCCCGATTTGTTCATCTGCTTCCGCCGCGAACAATGCTCGACTCTCGTTGTTCCTCGTGCAGTTTTTTTTCCTGTGAAAAAACCCGTAAAAACAAGCGACGCATCCAGTATCTCACATGAAGTCATCTTCTTCCGCAGCAGTCACCGCGGCGACCTCGGATGTGGGTTTATTACTCTGGTGTTTCGAGGATTTTTTTTGCGGTTTGTAGTTGTATTCGTACTGCTGGTCTTTGTGATACTCGTACTGATGTTCCTCCTTCTTCTTCTTCGGTTCCTTCGCCGGAACTGGCTTCGGAGCAGGAGCAAGCTTTTTCATTTGCGCAGCGGTAGTACGGGCACCACGACGGTTCTCCTCGTTTTCCCCCTTTTCCTCCTCCACCATCACTAAAGCCGTGAACGCGTTCACCAGATCCGTGCTCGTTTTTTTCTCCTCGACCATGTTGTTTTTCCTCTCCTCCTTCTCCTTCGTAACCTCCTCGACGGACCGATATCGCACGATTTGTTTTTTCTCCTTCTCCAGCAATCTAATCTTCGTGTCCAAATTCCGCATCTCCAGCACAACCCGCTGAATTTCCGCCCCGGCTTCGTTGTACTTATCCTCTTGCTTCCGCAACTGCTCTATGAAATGCAAAAATGTCTGGGTCTGGAAGAATGCAAGTTTGTCATGCTTGTCTGGCACGACTCGGGAATCTGTGTTGCATAGGCACGAAAGAGCCCTCTTATCTGTCATGCGAAAAGGCAGTTTGCCATGCGGAATACGTAAGACATGGCAGCCACAAAATTTGTCATGCATAGCTGCGTATTGCGGCGCGTCTATCATTCACTTTTAGCATTACAAGTTTCCAGACCCAGACATTTTTGCATTTGATATGCTCCCGGTTCTGCTCGCCCCTTTGCAGCATGTAGGCTTTTTTGCACGAGTCCACGTTTTTCTTCAAATCCTGCTGTTTTTTCTCGTTCAGCTGCTTCTCTTTGAACAGTTGCTGCTTCTCCTCGAGGATTTGCTTGATTTCACTATTCACCCTAGCTTCTTGCTCGATAATGTAAAACAGCGGGTCTTTTTGCAATCGAGATTGCCATATCAACTGCAAACACGTCTGGGTCCTCTGGAAGGTGCCGAGATCATTGTAATGCAGTTTTTCCAAGCACCACCAAATCTGGAATGCAGGGCCTAGCATCACAGGATCTGTCGCCCCTTGGTCGTGATGCCTGTTCTGCATGAGAAACGCCCTCACAGCATGGCCAGATACTTATGTGCACCTTTTGCAAGTCACGCAACACAGATTTTTGTACGATCAGCAACATGCATCACAAGTTCACATCCTTCCAGACATCCAGGGATATTTGCAATGCATATGCCACTTCGTGTCATCCTTGGGGATCAGCATGTACTCCCAGTTTTTCACGTAGGACATGAAACCTGATTTTTGTATAATGGTTTGATGAAGCTTTTCGCATGACAAGGCAAGACCGTAGCTGCATCAAAATCTATTCATGCTATGGAAGTAGATGAAAACACTAGCATAGCTGTATCCGTATCACGATTTTTTTGCATGACAACATTGTTCACTTCAAAAAATACCCTTCTCCTCCGCCAGCGCCTCGTGTAAGCTGTACAAATCCGTGACTTCCCCATCGAACATCGGGAACTTCAAAACTTTCCCGTTCGTCAACTTCGCATACTGTTCCTCGTACTTCGACACGGGCATTTTCACTTCCTTCGTCCCCTTCTGCTCGGCCCAGTCGATCACCATTTCCCGAGTATGCATTGCAAAAGTATCGCTCTCGTAGTGAGTAATTGCATTTATGCATTACAAATCTCTTTCTTAGGCTGGCTCCGCATGACAAATTCCCTTTGTCATGCTGAGCTAATTTGTATTGCAATACTGCGACTACGATACTTTTGCAATTCATACCGAGTTGTGATCAACAACTGTCGCCACTCCAATTCCGCGATCCACGCCGCGGGAGCTTGCTGCTGTTGATCTTGGAGAGAGGTGGAAGAATCCGCGTTCTCCTGATTGGCGTAGAATTGTTCTTTCGTGTTTGTTTGCATCAGTTCCGGAGAAGAAGCGCTGTCTTCTGGAGAAGATTTTGATGATTGCAGCTCCCCGTTGGCACCATCGACAGCAATTCCATTGTTTTGCGCAGACCTCGGGCTGGTGGCATCGTTGGAACTCGTGTAGTTGCCGCCGGTTTTTTTGCTGACCACATCCTGGCCTTGCTCGTTTATTTCCGCGCCACAGACCACAAGGTCTCTATCACGACCCTGTTTGTTATTTTCCTCACCAGACGTCAGCTCCGCGCTCTTCGGCTTGGAGTTGTTTGCTGCAGCGCCGATTAGCGTGGTGATTTTCGTGACTTTCTCCTTCTTTTCCTTTTTCTCCTTCTTGCTTTTCGATTTTTTTGTAGATGATGTGTCGTGGTCCGCAGATGGTTGTACAATTGTTCCGCCAGGAGCGCCTGATACAACTGCACCAATCCCACCACCTAGCGGATGTTGACCAAAGCCCGGAACAAGAGGATGAACCGCAGCTCCACCGTGCGCTTTGCTTTTGTAATTCAGGCTATCCGCGTCGCAATTTCGATCGTAAAACTCGTAGTCGTTGTTCTGCGCCCGGACGTGCGCGCGCCACGTGGCCTCGTCAGGCTGCACCGACATAATTTCGTATTGATTTGCTTTACTTTGAGGATTTTTCCCTAATGCTAATCAATGCTAGAAATGAGCGTCTTTCCGTGTGCTAAAAACAGCGATAGCATAGTTCGCATGTCAACGTGAATGTACTTTTCCTTACGATGAGACGAGGCAATTAAAACGGCAATCAAGAACGTGGGCGCAAAAGAAAAAGTGGATTGGGAATAATTACAAGTCAAAAATTGAACGTCATAATATCTTGGATGAGTGTCGTGAGACCATTTTGACTCAAGAAAAGCTGTTAGTATGCTCTCGGCGGCATTTTGATTTTTAGTATTTGCAGTAATAAAAAACTTGTTGAAAGAAAAAGACAAAAGCGTAATTCTTACTAGCGCTCTTCGTCGCTCAGACCGGGGGAAGTGACAGGTAGTTCGTTGCATTTTCACAAAGAATTCTTTTCATTCTCACCTCGGAGATATATCTCGTTCGGAGAATTTAACTTTTGATCATTTGCCAGCGTGTTGCTAGAGGCTAACTACTTACACTGGCGTTTGAACACATTTCTCAGATGAATGGCGTTCTTTCCTTCCACACGCCAGCCTACACAAAAATCCGCTTTGGAACCTCTTCCGGGCAAAAGTGGTTCTTGCGCTGGTGGCGGAACGAGAACCATTTTCGTTTTGGCGATCATAATCTGTTCAAAAATAATGTACAATTTTGGATGTATCGTTGTAAAACATTTTCGATCCACATGCTGTGTTGATGAAAAAGCCCCGTTATTGTAATGAAACATGACAGAATCATAATCAAACCTAAAAACTACAATGAATTTGTTATCATCTCAAACATAAGATACAGTGTGGAATTATAGGCAAAAAATCTTCGCGCTAAAGGACTCTGAATGCAGAAAAACCTGCTGTTCTGAACAGAAATAGCTCGTATACAAGATGCGATTTTATTTTGTCAAAGCTGCTGTCAAAACTGAACTGTTAAACCATAAAAACCGAAAGAAAAATCGCAATGAAATCAAGATAGAATCAAATCGAAAACTTTTTCATCTCCTCATCTCCATAGGTGTTTCGTAGTATTTCGGGTAGCTCCTAGCTATCGCACTCCCCACGTAGTAAGAAGTTCCTCCACTTCCTCTTCTCAGATGCGCCACATCACCGTGCTTCCCAGAATCTCCTGACTAGTCTATGCTGTGCAAAAACGTCCCCACCCCAGAGTTGTAATGTAGATTCACAATCACAGGAATGCTTGTAATGCGCCTCCCCATGAGAGACGCTATCTGTCGCGCTTTGGCATTTGTGATGCTGCAAGCCGGATAAGCAGATGGATTTGTAATGCGGCTGTCCTTGTGAACCTGCACTACACTACAGAGAGAAGCTTGTCATGCGTGACTCCCAAAAGTTATGGGTTTGTGTTGCAAAATCCCCATCTTGACTCTAGGGTGGGGAGGTTTTTCCTCAGGATATAGTCCGATTGTGGATCAGCCCCCTTGTCGGCACGTTCGTCTGGTTCACCACGTGCCTTTTGCCCGTATCAAATACAAAAATGTCTGGGTCTGGAAGGTTCTGAAACCTGTCATGCATGTTTTGCATGGCCCAGGATGTCTGTAATACACGACCCAGCATCACAGATTTTTAGAGGGCTTCCCGATGTTCATGTTGCCTACTCCGCATGACAAACGCCCTCCCCACGTAGCACAAACTAGACTCCTCTTCCTGGTCACGCAATACAGATTTTTTTAGAGTCCAAATTTAGCATCACAAGTTCCAACCTTCCAGACCCAGACGCTTTTGCATTTGATAGCCCGCTCGGTTTCGCAAGTACCAGGGGACATAAAACTCCTTCCCAACACCCGCTTTCCGCTGGCGGTCGGCCTGATAGAAGAAGGTTGTCATGTACATAGCAACATCATCATCACGTTGAATTGCGACACATTCGTCCTTTGCATCACAAGCTCCGAGAGGACTTTCTTATCAAGAAACAAGCACGAAAACTTCTAGACTATACGAATGCATCCGGCACTGGCGTATCCTTCGCACTGACGTTCTTAAACCGAAAGGTCCACGGCGGTCGCTCCGTAAGGGGATCCACACTCGCAGACCTTTTCCACTTGGTCGCCGCTCTGGCCGTGTTCCGGGACAGAGGTCTCGGTTTGTAGTGGATTTTTGTCATCGAACTGTTCCACGCGATTTCGACACTCGGCGTCGTCGCCCGCTTTGACGCGAGATTTGTACTTGTCAATTCCGGTGTCTTCGCGTACAGATTGACGCCCTCGAGCCGCGCTTTTTGGAAGAAGTTGGAGGAAGAAGCGCTTTGGTTGTTCATCGTGTGATTTTGTTCTAGTGTCGCGACGGACCCGTCTAGCGTTCGATTTTCGTCGTCTGTGAAGAAGGAGAGGTTATCATGCAGGTCGGTCATGGTGTTGTTTAACGACAATGATTATCAAATGCAAAAATGTCTGGGTCTGGAAACTTGTGATGCTGGGTGGCGTATCATGATGAGGCCACAAGTGCTGGCCCAGCATGACAAGTTTCTAAGCTTCTAGGTGTTGCCTATTCTGCATGGCAAACTGCGTTCCTGCATGACAGAAAAATGGAGCGCTTGGGTAACGTGCATGACAGATTTAAGAGTCATGCCAGACAAGCATGACAAATATGCATTCTTCCAGACCCAGACATTTTTACAGTTGATAATGATGCTCCTCCCAGTCCCATGTTGGCAGATGAATTTTTCAGACTACTCATGCCCGACGGCCTGCTGTGTTGATTGTTGCCCTGTTTCGTTGAGTTGTGAGGCTTCTTATTCTGTTGGAAAGAAAGATTGAAGTCCACATTCCGGCCAGATTTATTTCCGCTCTGTCCCGGGCCACTGGGGGCGGTGGCCACTCGTGCTGGAGAATTGTTGTTGTATGCATTGCAAATATGTCTGGGTCTGGAAGGTTGGAACTTGTCATGCTAAATCTGAATCATATAAAATTTGTGTTGCGTGATTACCACGACAAGCTGTCCACTTGTGACCTAATCGAGACGCCGTTTCTCATGCAGAATAGGCATCGTAGAACTATCACAGACTCTGTCATGCTATGTCCTACATAACAGACCTCATGGGTCATGGAAAACCTGCATGACAAGTCTGGCATTCTTCCAGACCCAGACGTATTTGCTGCAGTTGATATGTTGGCCGCGCGGAGACTACTGCTGTTATTCGTACCCCCACCCATCGTCAGGAGCGATGAGGTAGAGGACGCTGGGCGCTGCATTTTTTGCGGATGTAGAGCTGTGGCTTGAACCTCGTTGGGACCAAACCAATCCACGCCGCTATGCTTGAATCTAAGCTACCCCGGCGGTGCCCGATTTTTTCGAAAAAAAATAAAAAACTGGCGGTTTTTACGGAAAAAAAACATAAAGGCGGAGTGTGATTTTTAAGGAGTACACCAGGCTAGCACGTACTACGACGAGCGACACACGATTTGGCTTTTGAAGATTTGATCTAAAAAGCGAATTTTTTTCAATACGAATGAAAGGACCATAACGGCACAACGAAGTCCGAAACCGATTCTAGTGCCGTGTTCTTGCTGGTTCACAACGATGCAGCTACTACACCGATCTGCTGCAAGTGCCACGCTTCGTTCCCCCACCACGGCAATAAGCGAAGATTTCTTGGACCTTGGTTCGCACCTTCCAGATACACGTACACCACCCACCCAACGATTTGCAATTACTGCTCGAACAAGAAATGGAGTGCCGCCCTGTCCTTTTAGGAGGTCGTGCCGCACCCGCACGAACAACTTCTAAAAGGATTTTTCATGTTGTGCGCCCCACCCAACACCGAAACCGAACTGAAACAATCTCTGGCCCGCGTCTTTTATCGGCAGACTTTCATGCGAACAGCAGGACGACGACAGACTTATTTTCGCTTAAGAAACGAATTTGTGGCGTCGCAGAAACTGATCATAGCCAGACCATTATATAGAGCACATCTTTGGCTTTCTGACCTTGATATTTTGCGTTTTGGGGCATCGATCGCGACCCAGCATTGGGCTACCATGTAAAGGAGAAGGAAATCCTTCATACTTGTTAAGTGGAAAATACTGTCGCACAGCACCCGAAGGAAGCGAGCAGTGTTATACTCTTCAAATTCAAGACGTACTTTTTGTCCTCGAGCGGCTCTTCAAAGATGGATCTCGAAGGGCTTCACTATATTCCTGAAATAATCAAGTAAGTACAAAAGGAATCTGTAAGACTTCGTAGGGTGTTTTCTTGAACTGATACTGAATAAAATTAAAATGTAAGTGCATCACTTAATTTTTCTTTATCTTTTTGGCAATACAAATCACTAACAATCAAATTGAAATTTGTAGTGCGTATCATAAACAATAAAAGCAGCGAAACTACACAAATGTAAATTTAAGAACTAAACGTAAACCATAATATTGCGAACAAAATAGATACCACAGGGCGGAAGCACGCAACAATACATAGGCTTAGGCATAAAGAAACAGTACATATTTAGATGATGTCCTTGAAAATTTGCACGAGGCTCTCTCACAACATGAACATTTATTGTGGTTGAAATCAATCTCATTTATTTCTGGTTGCACTGATTTAACTTCCACCGCCCATTCTTTTTCTCATGCTGGGCGTTGGCGGCACGTCGGCTGTGAGAACCAACTGCCGCTGCGCCTGGGGTCCGGCGCTCGCATCGTTGGTTCCCCTTTCCGCGTGCGAGGCAGAATCCGCACCATGCGCGGTGGAACTGCTGGCTCCCGGTGTGGACGGTGGGGTTTGCGTCGGTGTGGACGGTGGGGTTTGCGGTGGGGTCACGTAGATCTGGAACGGGACTCTTGCTTCCTTCTTCCCTTGCTTTGCATGTTCCTCCGCCTGTTCGTTCCCGGTCTTGACCACCAGCTCCGCCTGTTCGTTCCCGGTCTTTTGCAAAGTCGCCGACACCTGCGGGAAAGCGAATGGAGGCTTTCGTTCGGAATAGGCAAGATGGGCACGTTGACGCCATTCATTTTTATTTCGAATAGTCCTTGAACATATGGATATCAATCAGTATCACAAAAAGGTAATTGGAAATTAATAAAATATCAATACCGATCCATCCCAGAGCATCGCTGCGCTCACGTCGGTCGCCTCATCCCCATCCTCGGGGGGGGGGTCATTCCAGCGCGCAAGTTCTGGTTGTATGCGCGAGCGAAAAGCCAACCTGCGTTTTGAAGGATGTTTCCTGAAGCAGAGTCAACAGGATTTTCACGAGGACATATATCAAATAACTCATTATCATAATTTCTAGTACTGTAATGGTCCTCGCACGGGCCAACCAGCGGAAGGATCAGCTTGAGGGAGCGCTCGGCGCGCTTATCACAACCGGATTTCGATTTCTTGCTGCGCGGCATGATTTTGTGGCTAGTTTATTTCCACACTGACACTAACTTGTGTAAGCAAAGTACGAACAAACCAGCAACCGCACACCAGTTGTCCCTCGAAAAATCTACTGCGGTGCAACACTGTTTTAGGACGAGAGGGGCGACGTAATCAATGTATCTGCACGAGCGATACACTCGTAAAAAAGCAATTCCGACTGTGAGGGACTAAGTACCGAGAAAAGGCTTGGCTCTGAATGTCTATACCAGTACGAATGCTTCCGGTTTAAGTTTATGTAGCTCGCGGCTTCTTGTCACTTCTTGCAGGACGGCATGCTTCCCTTCTATCTAGTTCTTTTTTTGCCGCAACGATATCCTTGTGAACCACTACGACCCAGGTGCAATGACAAATCCGTCGAAACGAGGCCCGAACTAGTCCTAGTTGGCTTCGACTTTTCCATGATGACAATGAAATTCCTCCGCAGAGAGAGACGGGAGAGGTTCTTGCATGCAGACCGAGGAAACGACACGACAGATGGAAACGATTGCGAGGATTTGCATCCGAACAGCGGAATCACAGCACAACAAACTACTTCCAAACGACGCACCGGCGCGTCGTTTATGTAGCAGCTTCTAGTAGAAAGACAGTGACAGGATTTTTCATGTTACAAATACGTTAAAAACAAGGTATCATGATCTTCTCGTGCATGAAACATTTTCAGCGAGAAAAAGTGCTAGGGGTTCATTTGAAAAGAAAAAGGTCGCTTTGAAGAGCAGTAGATAGAAGTAGACTCTACGGCATAAGCTATTTTTAGACACCATCATACATCAATCCACCTGCTATAAGTTTCCTGATTCTGCTACTGATCGCTGCGTTTTACAGATACTACTTGACGTGTCGTTTCTTGTTTTCCTACCTGTTGCGTTCGCCTTGTCGTGCCGTTTCAGATGAATTTAGCTATTAAGCATAAGTCGAAAAAGACCCATCCTGTCTACTGTCAACATGGGTACAGCCTAAAGGAAAAACAAGCTAGACATGGTCATTTGGGCGGGCAAACTAATCTAGAATGTTGTATTTTTAAAATTGGTTGGGATACTAGTATATTTATGTCGAACCTGATCGTGCTAACATTTTTCTGACGGAAGTCTTTTTATGTAAAAAGGGGGTTGCGATCTACGAGTTGTGATAGTATGCGATAGAGGTGTTCGATGAAAAAGTGTATACAAGGATAATAAACATGCTGATTCGATTGACCTGATAGGACGAAATAGAAGAACAAGAAGTTTTTAGCACTGTAAGAGTTGTAATAAACAGAGTTATTAGAAACTAGTATAACAGGATTATAACAAGTGTTTTTGACAACAGGTTGATGTAGTCGACTTAGCTGTGCCTCGCGGGAGGTGGAACTTCTCGAGTACTGCGCTCGTCGTCGATATTTATAGTACAATAGGCCATCGTTAGATACCCTAATAGATTCCCATTGTGCAACATTTTTGGTTCGTTTTGTCCACACGGTGCTAGTATCTCGTTGTCCTTGTGCCTTTACGTCACTACGAAATAAATATATGGTCGCCTGCCGTCGCCCCGGCTTCGTTTTGACATTTTTTCCTTGTTCGCGAGGTCGTGGACATTTTTGGTTTGGAACTGCTACTATCAAAATCTTGTGCATTTAGTCGTAATTGTAATGTAAACCTAAAACCGAGAGAAATGTAAAGAGTGTACTATGCGTATTTAAGTGTGAAAAATGTCTTGACTGTAAAATGGTATTAAAAACTTAACAAGCAGATAAAGATATCAAGGTTGATGTACTATTGTCGAAGAAAAGTTTCTACTTATTGAATCCGTGTAGTGGATTTTTGTTTTCAATTTCATTTTCATCAAAACTGAAACTGTACTTTTCTACTACAACTTATGAAAGCGTCAGGTTTGAAATCGTCAAGGTTGAAATAGTTTGCCATGCATAAAACCGATACCAGTCGGAAGCCCAGTTATCAAGCGGCGCATGACAAATTTTCTGAGCAGTGGAATCCAATTTGTCATGCTGTTTGGGCACAGAAGACTGCTTTTGTCATGCTACTTTAGCAGCTCTATCTCAAACCCTAAACAGGCTTACAATCGGCCTCGCTTGCCATTCCTGCAAGAGAGGCACTTCATGCCTTGCATTTTATGCATGACAAACTATTTCAACTTTGACGATTTCAATCCTGACACTCCCATACAACTACGGTTGTGAGTACTATTAAACGTCCTGTTCGTGGACACTGTCAAAACTTGTCGGATGATCCAGCCGATTTTTACGCCGTCGGGTTCACGGTCTGGTATCCCGAACAAAATAAACGTCCCCACAAAAGAGTCAACAAGACGGGAAATCTGCTAGACAAATCAGCCAGCTTCGGCTGTTTCGCATCACAATAAATTTGCGGCATAGTGTAATCCTGTTCAGCTATAGTTCAGCAGCATCACAGATCTAGCGCATCATGCTGATTCGAGCATCACAAAGAACTCCAAAACACTACTGTACAAAATGCTTCTTATGATCTCTGCATGAGAAACATTTTCAGCATGCAGATTTGCATGACAACTTTGGGGATATGGGTACGTTTTTACTCAGCATATCTGGTCGCGCATCATTTCCCTGAACTCGTCAAAGTCGATGCAGCCGTCCTTGTTGGTGTCGTACTCCTTCATCAGGTCCGCAATCTTGTCGAGCTCCTTCTTGGGCAAGTTCTCCTGCAGGCCGCCGTCACCCTTGACCACTCGCGTATGCATTGCAAATATGTCCGGGTCTGGAAGGATGCAGAGTTTGTCATGCTTGTCTGGCATGATTGAAGAGTTTGTGATGCGTGTCCAAAACGAGACACTTCTGCTTGTCGTGCAAAAACGCAGTTTGTCATGCGGAAAGCGCAACACTAGGCCGCGGCAATACTTCTCTTGCTTGGCTGTGCATAACAGAGCATTCACTATACACAACGCAGCATTACAGGTTTCCAGACCCAGACACATTTGCAATGCATATCGCGCCAACTCGTCCAACGTGATCTTACCGTCGCCATCGATGTCGAAGACCCGGAACGCGGACCAGAGCAAGTCCTCCCGGTGGTGCAAGTTGGTTTCCATGGTGGCGGCGATAAACTCGGTGTAGTCGATCTTGCCACTTCCGTCACTGTCGATGGAGGCAAAGATCTCCTCGAAGTTGGCGGGGAGCGGCACGTTCTGCTTTTTGCACCCGTTCTTCACCTCTTCCAGGGTTAACGTGCCGTCCCCGTTCTTGTCCAGGGTCTGGAAGGTCTCCTTCAAATTTCCGATTTCCGCCTCGGTGAGGGAGGTTGCGATGGCGGTGAGCGCGATCTTCTTGATTCGCTGGGTGCCGTGCCACGATTTCAGGTTCACCATGGCCTTGTTGGACACTTTGCCCTCGGTCTGGGCTGTTGTGCCGACATCCGTGAACCACTTGTGCTCCAAAGCGGCTTGGGCGGACATCTGGTGGTTTTCGTTTTTTTGCATCACAGAACTTGCTTGTCATCGACCGTGGCAAGAAATTGCAATACAAACCTATACCTAAATCAGATTGATATATCAAAATTAATCCGAACTCCGCATCACAAACTGTTGAATAACAAATACCCTGTCATCCTCGGCGTAGGTCAACATTTTCGTGATGAGGTCCTTGGCACCCCCGGAAAATTCCACGCCGTCTTCCGCTTCCGTTGGAAAGGAAAATTTGCCCTTGCGGACCTTCTGGAGAATTTCGGAGTCCTTCTCCCCGTAAAACGGCGGGTACCCGGAAAGGAGAATGAACATGATGACACCGATCGACCAGATGTCGCACTTTTCGTTGTAATCACCCTTCAACACCTGCGGAGCCACGTAGTACGGTGTGCCTGGAATTGTTGATTGATCGTTGTGATTGTGTTTGTTTGGGATATTAGATCGTTTGAAGTCTTGTTGCCACGCAAGAAGAATGGTGCACAATAGACAGTTTGAGTTTACTTGGTTTATTTGGACTGCGACAAGCTGCATTGCAAACTCCTAAAACATCGTTGCATTCCTTGATCTTGACGATTATTTTGCATGGTCTTCAAACACATCATTTAAAATCGATCCATCTACTTGTATCTATACCAGCCTTGGTGGTCATGCGGTCGCCCTTTTCAAACTTGGCCCCCAACCCGAAGTCAATCACCTTCAACGGCGCGCCCTTTTCCTATGAGAGTGCACAACTCCCCTTCTCCCTCATTTGTATGGCATGAACAGCATTACAACAACCAGCAGACGCATGGCCTGCGCATGACAAGTTCACGCAGTTCTAGTGTAGTACTGTTTGGGCTCCTTCCGGAATCTGTCATGCAAACAGTGCCACAAGCTGGCGCTGGGATTTGGTCATTTGCATTACAAATGAGGGGGAGGGGGAGTTGTGCAATCTCATATTTCCTTGTTGTAAAACAGAAAGTTCTCCGGCTTCAAGTCGCGGTGCATGATCTTGTTTTCGTGGAGGTAGTAAATCGCGGCCAGCATCTGCTTGATCAAAACGGCGCCGTCCTTTTCCATCAAAAACCCCGCAGAGACAATCGCGTCGAACAGCTCCCCACCGGTGCACAGTTCGAGGATGAGGTAGATGTTTTTGTGATCCTCGAACGTCTCAAATATCAACTGCAAATATCCCTGGATGTCTGGGAGATTGCGAGATTTGTCATGCTAGTCTGGCATGACTCTGAACTCTGTATTGCGTAGGGCCGTCGGAAAAGCTGCTCCGCTTGCCTGTCATGCAAAAACGCCGTTTCTCATGCGGGGTACGCAACTCAGAACCACTGCAAAACTTGTCATGCTGGGCAGCGCGTTACAGTGTTTTCACTATTCCCTTCCTTGCATCACAAGTTTCCCGACATCCAGGGATATTTGCATTTGATATCGAACAATCGGATGATGTTGGGGTGGTCGAGTCGTTTCATCAGGTCGATTTCTTCCCGGAATCGCTTCTCGTTCTTGATGTTTTTTCCTGATAAGCGAGATTCATTTGATAACCATATTTTTGAGTAGAAGTTGTAGTCATGGTCATTGTTTGTGATTTTTGTCCAACTCCACTTACTAACTGCATATCAACACGACATCAGAAAGAACTACCTGCAGCTCAATAACGAAATGTAATGCGGCATTAGCGGCGTTCGATTATGCATGATCAAAACAAATCAATACTGGCCATGGCCTTGCAGGCTCGCACGGTCTTGGTCTTCTTTTATCACAGGAAAAAATGCTAACGTTAACGGAATTTGTGATGCAGGAATGCACGAGAAACGAAGCCCAAATTTGTATTGCATAGCATGCACGATAGCAAAAATTTGTCATGCATGACTGCAATGCCTCAAAACCGTTAACGTCAACACTTTTTTGCTTGATATCTTTTCGACGGCCTTCACGACGGACCCGTAGGTCCCCGTTCCCATCGCCTTTATGCATTGCAAATATGTCTGAACTTGAAAGGATGCAAACTTGTCATGCTACTTCTGGATGGTGCAAAAATCTGTGTTGCGTGATTACTTACCATCAAAAGCTGTCCACTTTTGACCAAGCTGAGAGGGAGTTTCTCATGCAGGCGAGGCATGATAGAGGTCGGGGAGAATCTGGCATGCTGGGTCATGTATGACAGACTTCACGCGTCATGGAAAACCTGCATGACAAGTCTTCCAACCTTCCAGACCCCGACATATTTGCATTTGATAGCCTTGGTTTCGACCTCATACCACTCCAGCAGGCCACCCTGTATGGAAGCGTCAGGACCGAAATCAACAAAATCGAAAGGATTTGCGATGCATAAAATGGATAGTACCAGTTGGAGCCTCAGTTTCGGTTTCCAACTGGCGCATGACAAATTCTGGGAGCTGCACCAAAATCCAGTTTGTCATGCTGTTTGGGCAAAGAGGACTGCTCCTGTCATGCTACTCTGGCAGCACATTGCCTTCCCCTAAACAGGCTTGCAATCGGTCTCATTTGCCTGCTCCCCAACGCAGGCCATACGTGCCCTCCACTTTATGCATTACAAATTTTTCGATTTTGTCGATTTCGATTCTGACGCTTCCATACCCTGCCTGTCGCTGGTGATGAACGCTTGCCTGTCGATGGTCGTCATAGCGTTGTGTTTGCTTTTTGTATGATTATACACTGAATACTAGTAAGTTTTAAATCGGGAAAAAAAATCGCGGTTGTGTGCTGTTGACAAGGATTTTGGTTTTCAAAATTGTTGATGATGTCAAAAGAAGGTTGATGTCGAGTAGTAGTAGTTTACTGAGGGGGGAATTATAAAATCACAACTGTGACACTGTGAGAATTCATTAGTTCAAGGGTGTGAATTCAAAACTACGTGCTCGTCAAGTGGTGCTGCTCAGAAAGTATTCACTTGACGTAGAGCTGCTGTACTAGAACTTTCTCGCTTTTCTGACGGACCAGACTCTACTATAATTGAGGACGGTCGCACGACTTCTAACGGTCTACTTCTTTTTGCCGCCCCCGCCCGAGTGTAGTACTTACTTACGACAGCAGGCTTACGACAGGAGGAGTTGTAGCTGTAGAGGAGAAAATCTTCACGCACGCAGTTCTAGAAGGACGGTCATGGTAAGTAGATGTGGTCCGGAAACTACAAGCATCGTACGTAGTAAACCGATTCATTCGACCACGAGCCAGTTCATGTTCACAAAAAAAAACGTTTTCTTGTTGTACTAGCAGACCCACCGACGTGTACAAAGCATTCATGGTACTAGCAGACCCACCGACGTGTGCAACGCATTCATGGATTTATACTAGTATGAGAGCGTCAGGTGCTTATTCTTCAACTACTTTCAAAATTTTTCTTTGGTGCTTGGAGGGGCATTGTCTCATGTTTTTGCTTCTTGCTTGCAGAGCGCGCGCACCGACGCGGCCTGTGCTCGTCCGTTCTGCGCACCAAGACGCTTAAAGCCTGCAGGCCTCTGTCCTGCTGGCACGCACAATCTGGGACCGCAAGACAGCCCTTTCCTGGGGTGCCGTGTTTGTGGGGCTTTCAGGTAGGGGCAAGCGGAAAGTCAACATACGGAAAGGAGTTGCCCCCGCGCCGATGGGCAGCCGCTCGCACGCTCGCAAATATATCGAAATGGCTGACGCGCCTGCATCAAACACACCAAACAGGGGGAAAACTCCGCGCGGCTGCGCATGAGTCTTCTTGGCACGGTGTGGCGACGTCGCACTACCAAGGTCAGACAGAGAAGAGTAGCATCACACCGGGCCAAGGGTCTCGGTAGAATAAATTGCCTACCATCGCTCTCGCATGGGGGCGCGAATAGTCTCGGAGAGTCGGGCTGACGTGTTTCCTTGAATTTGCCGTCAAGTGGATTCGGCCCATCGCGTAGCTGCCCAAATGGGCCATTATAACATGTGCAGGAGAGGAACGCAAATCGCAACGCAGTGGCGCCAGCGCGTGATGTAGAGGCCCAGCATCCCCAGTCTTCGGGCCGCCGGCAGGCGCAGTGGGGGTTGCTGACTAGGGCGGCATAGGCAGCAGGCACTCTTGCCCGGTGAGTTGGCGAGAGGGGGCCCTCTGGCCAGATATTTCATTTTCCCAAGAAGGGCGACCCCTTCTGGACCCTCTTCGGGCACCCTCTAAGTAGTTGAGGACTAGGGGCAGCCGAACGACCCCCCAAGTGACTCCAGGCCGCATGCTATGGCGATTTTTTTCTCAACTACTTAGAGGCAGCCGAGAGGGGTGCCGGAGGGGGGTGAAAGGTACTCGTCTCGAAGGCGCCTCATGAATGAGAGTTCGAATTGTTGCAGTCAGGACATGGGGCGGACTTCGGGCGCCAAACACAGCGGCCGGCCGAAGTCGTGCACCTGTCCAGCAGGAGGCTTGCCTTTACCCGGCCAGCCATCTTGCAGCGCCGCTGCCAGGGCACCATTACGCCCGAGGCGCGCCCATGCAGAAATGCAGAAGGGGCCGATGCGTTCGCAAGTGGGCAACGGCCGGGAGACTGCGCCGCAAGCGCATCAAACACCACCCGAAGAGCGGAGGTGGCCAGCTCCGCGCTTGGCATGCGAAGGCGCCCCTAGTCAGGTGCGGGGGCGGTGCTGCGGCCTTCCTGCTCACTGTGGCTTTCCTGCTCAGGTGCTCCTGTGCTAGCAGACCCACCCCACCGACGTGTACAACGCATTCATGGATTTATACCAGCGTTGTCTTTGCATCAATTCTGAAATTCAACTCAGCGAGGCGGACGATCTAATCTTTGCCTGTACGATACAGTAAAACTCAGGACGAAGACGTGTAGTTCTTATCCTTATTGGCTTTGCGCTGTCTAGCTCGGCAATCAAATGAAACGAAGACCGATCATTTCTTTGAGGAGCACCGTACTGCCTTTGCGATCATACGAAGAAATAGAAAAAAGAGCAAACGCAACCGATTTGTCCCTTTGCAAAAAAGTTGTACTATCTTACCGATCTTTTCCTATAGTACTTATCAGTCCCGAACGGAACAGCGTCAGATTCATGCACTTCTTTTGACGAGATGAAGGATCATGCTCTGTGCTTTCTAATTCTGACGTGAGTTCCTTTTCCTGATTGATAGCAGGAGGGTCGCCGCAAAATAAATCACGTCTTTCTCCCTTTCTTGTTTCTTCGAATTTTACACAAGTACACGTGGTTCATCTTGGGGACTCGACGATAAGGGATTAGTAGTACAAGGGTGCATTTCTTTCTTCATCTCGAGCTAGAGATAAGATAGATAGAGGACACTCTGCCACCACGTCTTCGTGCCAATACAAGGGTACAACAACAGAGAAGCTTACTCCTTCACTTCTCCATACTATTTCATCATACAGTTTGTGATGCAGAAACCACTGCAAACAGACCTAAAACCCGGGCGCACACTTCACCTCGATCGACAGCAGCTCGTGCTCGTCGTCCACAAGTTTGCGGCTTGGAGGTATGGATAGAGAATTAGGAAAGTTTGTCATGCGCACTGGAATATTAGCGTGGAGAAAATTTCACGTTTTGCTGCTCGTCGCAGAGAACGACAAGAAGCAGCAGCTGCTGCATGACAACGCTCATACCAGCACAAGCACCCACTGCATGACAAAAAACCGCCCTTTTCCTCTATCCATACCCTTGTATGCGAACACGTATTCATTCTTCGGGCAGGAACAACCCACCCACTCTTCACTGGTGGCTGGGTCGTATCGCCCCCGGCTGATCGCCTCCTCCAGCGAAAAAAGTTTCACGGCTTCTTGGGGCACCATTAGCGTGTCGCAGGCTGTTGAGAGATTTGTTTTTTATCACGTTTCGTACAACCAGCATGAGAAAACCATTTTCCATACAGGAATCAGCATGACAAACTGGCAATATTAATATTTTCAATACTTATCCATCCCCCGTACTTGTAATCCGCGTACTTTAAGTATCAAATGCAAAAATGTCTGGGTCTGGAACTTGTGATGCTGCATTTGGATGTCTAAAAGATTTGTGTTGCATGAGCAGCAAAGGGAGTGCAGTTTTGGCTACGGGAAGAGGGCATTTGTCATGCGGAATAGGTATCAAGAATCCCTCAAAAAACCTGTGATGCTAGGGCATGCATCACAGACATCATGGCCCATGCAAAATGTGCATGACAAGCTCCGACTCTTCCAGACCCAGACATTTTTGCAATCCATATCAAGTCGTGTTGTTGCTTGTACTCTGGAAACCCTGCTTTGCATATGCACTGCAAAAGTCAAAGTGTTGTAATTGCGGTCCTGCATTACAAATCTTTTTCTCAAAGGTAGAACCGCATTACAAATTCCACTTCGCATGCCGAGCAAATTTGTGATGCGATTCCTACTAGTACGACTAACTTTTGCAATGCATAGTGCAGTACAGTTCGAGCACCGGGTGTAAACTGATCATCGACACAAGCCCTATCAAATGCAAAAGTGTCTGGGTCTGGAAACTTGTGATGCTGGGTGGCGTCTCATGATAAGGCCACAAATGCTGGCTCAGCATGACAAGTTTCTGAGCTTCTAGGTGTTGCCTATTCTGCCCGACAAACTGCGTTTCTGCATCACAGAAAAACGGAGCTCTTCGGTAACGTGCATGACAGATTTAAGAGTCATGCCAGACAAGCATGACAAACATGCATTCTTCCAGACCCAGACATTTTTGCACTTGATAAACCCCCGGTCAAAACAGCTTCCGTAGATGGACCCGTTGTCCAATCTCGTCAATCGCATGGGATACAGCGCAAACGACGTCGGCGTGAAGTGTGACTGGTCCCGTTATGGTCTTTGCAAATATCGATCTGGGTCTGGGAATTTGTGATGCAAGAGCTGAAAGACAAGAGGATCTGTGATGCATGAGTACGAGTGGCCACTTTTTGTGTCGTGCTGGAGGCCAGTTTGTCATGCGTTTTCCAAGAACGAATGAATCTGTAACATATTTATATGCCTCTGAAAATTATTTCTGATGCCGTTCTGCCGTACAAGCGACCAACCTGCGATGCGAGCTTCAGCAACACAAATTTCTAGACCCAGACATATTTGCCATCCATACCCGCCTCTGGCACGCGATTTCCCAGTCGGCGGTGGACTTCAACCCTTTCCTTCGGAAGCCGGACACTAGGTACTGCTCGGTCGTTTTCGTCCGGAGGTTTTCCTGTGTCAAACCGCATTTCACTATCCTATGTAAAAGCGTCCCCACCCCGGAGTTGTCATGCGAATCTCCATGGTAAAAATGTTTCTATTGCGGAGCCCCATGAGAGGCACTTTGTGCTCGTGCTTCGAAATTTGTCACGCTCCCATCGGCATGATGTGCCAGATCTGCGATGCTTCTGAACTAGCTAAACAGGATTACACTACGAGGCCAAACTTGTCATGCAGAACTCTCAAAACTTGGAACTTTGTCTTGCAGATTTCCCAACTTGACTATGGGGTGGGGATGTTTTTACATATGATATTAACCACGGAGGCGCTGTCCTCTACTGATACCCAGCCATCCTCCGCCTCGAAGTCGCCGTCGCCAATCCCGATGAACCGCGGCCAGCGCATCATATGTAAAAACGTCCCCAACTTCCCAAAGTCAAGTTGGGAACTCAGCAACACAAATCCAGAAGTTTTGGAAGCCACGCATGACAAAATGGAGTCCGCAGTGTAGTAGTGCATGTTAGTAAGGACATCCGCATCACAAATCCATTTGCTTATCCTGTTTGCAGAATTACAAATTCCAAAACTACACGATTGGAAATGCCTGTCATGCGGAAGCGCATTACAAGTGTTCGTGTCATTGCAAATGTGCATGACAACTCTGGGGTTGTGGGGACGTTTTTACACGGGATACAGCGCAGCGAATCTTCGTTCTGCTCGTCTTCCGCAGCTTGGGCTCGTTCGTCATATCCTGTGCAAAAGCATCGTACTCGTTTTAATTGCATTTATGCATTACAAATCTCTTTCTTAAGCTGTATCCGAATTACAAATTCCATTTGTCATGCTGAGCTAATTTGTAATGCAGTACTACGAGTACGATACTTTTGCAATTCATACGTCACTCAAGTCGTTGAAGGAAATCGTGGATTCTCGGCCTTATCAAATGCAAAAGCATCGTGCTCGTATAAATGCAGGTCTTGCATTACAAATTTCTTTGTCAAGGCAAATCAGCATTACAAATTTTATTTCTCATGCTGAGAAAATTTGTAATGCATTTATATGAGTACGATACTTTTGCAGTTCATAGGCCTGAAGGTCGTATAGAAATTGTACTCATTTGAGTATCATAGTCACTTTGCACCATGCTCGGCGACATTACAAGACAAAATCAAAAAATAGCAGGTGTAGCTCCAAGAACTCCATAATACGGTAATATGACAAAAACCAAACCGAAAATCAATACGGAGCCACGTCGGATGGAACACTTCGTTCTCGCCGAGGTATTTTGACCCCTGCGGCACAAACCCCGCGGTTTCCCGCTGCGTTGCGCGGCCGTCGCGTTGCGCGGTGGTGGAGTGCAAGAAAGAGGAGGTTGCAACAAGAGTGAGGAAGCAAGCTGTGTGGTTCGATGAAATGGTTCCTGGACGACCCCATCGTTTTGTCTTTTTGCGGGCCCGCGCCATCTTCTTTGGCTGTTGTTCTAAAATAAACGCTGTAGCGGAAATTATGTGCTTACAACACCAAGAATCTTCTTCATCTTCACTGGTGAAGTTTTCATTTTTATCTTCGCAAGCTACAGGTCTTCAGAATTACGAAGAGGAGAAATTGCAATTCGCGACAGAAGTGTGGTCCTTGCTTTGTGCTACACGTAGTTCCTTCTTGCGCCCTCCGTTTTTCTCAGGAACAATTTCCGACCTCGCTCAACACTTCACTCGCAACTCTCGAACTGCTGCCACGCACGACAACTCACCATGATTTTTTGATACACAAAACTACATGCGTTATGTTAGAACAGTATCGTGTGTAGCGAAATTTTTTGCAGCAATGAAGCAGTGCCGTGGCGTGCTGTTTTCGTCCCGGTGATTTTTTCATTTCTAAAATGATATGCCAAAAGTAGAAGCCTAAATACCAGTTTTTTTTTTTTTATGGTCACAAACGAAGGTAGTTAATATTCTTCCGCCCGTTCTTTTAGGCGACGAGAGAAACCACCTGCAGGGGCAGCTTTCACAATAACGTAACACCAACGTAGGTGTTGATTTTGTGACAGCTCGAAAAACGAAAAATTGTACATAATGTAGATAGGCAAATAGAGGTCAAAACAAAGTAACAGGCAAAAAAATGTACGTAGAGCGACCAGGGGTTATTTTTCGTGGAAAAACCTACCTTAAGACGCCCGTCGCACAAAATCATACAAGTTGGAGCGGTGCAACCAATAAACTACAGCCCGGCACGACGACCGAGTGCAGCTGGTTAGAATCAGGTAAAATCATACATAAACATTTTTTCTTCTCCTTTATTGTAAATCCCTTTTGAAAGTAAAAAAAGATAGACTTCGTGTCAATGCTGACAGGATCATCAATGGTGTGACACAACTCCGTGTCTACTTCTTGGTTATCTCTAGAAGAAGTTGCGGCTCCCCGAGAAGATGTGGTCTACTTGTTGAGGTGAATCTCTTTATCCAATCTTTTCTGGTCCTCGGGTCTGTGTTATGTTTCTTCCCTTTCTGTTGTAAAAATTCCTCTGATGATGTTGTTGATGAAAAAGCTTTTTGTAAGTAGAACAACCAGCCCTGTTGACCGACAAAATTGCTTGCCTGGTCGTGGTTGTGGACGAGGACCTGTGTATAAAAACTATACACAGATTTTGTTTCTAGCTCCTGAGCTGTTGAACTACTCTTGCTTGTACCAATCATTTTACACCGTCTCGTTCCGCGTCCATCCAAACCGGACGTAGTCCTTGACAATCCGCATCAGCGGCTTGCCGTAGTGCGGGTGGTCTTTTACCTGGCCAAACGCGTCGCCCTGCCGAATTCGCAGCATGCACATCACCGCCAGCGTCCCGAGGCCGTACCGCGAGGCGACAATCAAAAGGGACAGCAAGAGGTTCAACCAGGTCGGCAAGCTGTGCGGCGCCTGGCAGCAGATGAACAAGACGGGGCACATATCCTGTGCAAAAACGGGGCCCACACCCAACAGTTGATGTCATGCAATAAACCTGCATTCATAGTCCCCTAAAAATGTTTCTCATGCGCAGCCACGACCATATAATGAGGGCCGTTTTCTAATGCTATATCTGGGAGTTTGTCTTCGTCATGCTGGAATCAGGATAGGGTAGTCGATTTGTGATGCGGTTCCACTAGTACGCTACCTGAAACAAGATTTTTACACTAAGAGCCCAGATACTTGTCATGCGAAGCAGCAAAAACTTCGTGATTTGTGTAGCGAAGCCACTATCTTGACTCTGGGGAGGTGGTGACGTTTTTACTTAGGATAGGACAAGAGCCACAGGGGATGCATCACAGCCAGGAAGAGCAGCTGCAGTCCGTAGATACTGACTAAGGCGATTAGATACTCAACCTTCACGCCGGTCTTTTTCACCATCCAGAGGTATGGGGGTGTCACAGGATCGAAATCGTGTCAACGTTAAATAAAGTATTTTGTCATGCATAAAATCCCAAACAAAAATCGCCTCTGTTGCAGAGGACGCAAGGGAGGCAGCTCGTAGTGCTGGCAAGGGTCGAGAATTTGGCTGCTGATTAGCATGACAGAGGGGACGACGAGTCCTTCTCCTGTAACCAGCGTGACGGAAACTTGCTTCAAAGGCAAAGGAAATTTGTCATGCGCCGACTATAAACGGTGGGCCCAGGCCCAACTGGTAAATCGATTTTATGCATTACAAATTTTTTCCACCTTGTCGATTTCGATCCTGACTCTTCTCCCATAAGAGGTTCAACGCCGGTAGGACTAAAGAGAGAAACCCAACCGGAATTAGCAAGCCGGTCGGGACGCCGGGAAGCCAGGGATTGGCAACTACATTTACCCCAACATTGGCCGCGGCGATATAACGCTGGCCGTAAAACGAGTACGACACATTGATGTTGCGGAAAAAATCGTTGAGGAGCGGAGTGTATCAACTGCGAATATGTAGTCCGGGTCTGGTGGGATGCAAGGTTTGCGTTTGTCATGCTTGTCTGGCATGACTGAAGCAATTGTGATGCGTGTCCAAGATAAAGAGACCCTTTTTCATCTTGTCATGCAAATAAACGCAGCTTGTCATCGACAAAAGCTACAACACTAAGCAGCGCAGATACAACTTCTCATGCTTTACAAGTTTCTACACCCAGATATGTTTGCAATGACAGAAAACTGGCGTGCTTGGGTGTAATTAAGATGCATGACAGACTTGAGGGCTATAAAAATGCTGGTCGAGCATGCCAAAGTTTGCAGCGCTCTTCCACCAGACCCATATTACATTCTTGCATTGCATAGCGTGTTCGCGAATTCCACCCCGAAAGCAAACAGAATCGCGCCAACACCCAGTTCCAGTAGCGAGGTGAGCAACAGGGCAACCAGCAGCCAGGTGGCGCAGGTGTTCAGAAGCGGTTTATTGTTCTCACCAGCATCCACCGCCGGCGCTTGGACAAAGTTCGCATGATTCCCCGCGGAGGAGGCCACACAACCTACAGGAGTTCCCTGCACAACAACTTGCTGCACACCGCTGGCTTGCTGTTGATGGTGGTCTACCAACATGTGGGTCTGCTCGTGATCATTCTGCATCGACTCGGCGTAGAAACTCTGTTTGCCCGAACAAATCGCGCCGGCCTGGAGCATCTGCTGCAGCTCCGCGTCGTGGTTGTCAACGTCGGCGATGTGAGTGCCCGCGGGCATAGGTTCTCCTTGCTGGTTCATTTGCTGCTGCCGATCTTGCGTGTTCATAGTTTGTGTCATGATTTAGATTTTATTGCACTCACTCAATTATAGAGAAGAATTATATACGAATAGATTGATAAAGATCACGTTTGCTGATGTAGTTCGTGACAATTTGATGAAAGCACAAGAGCGCTAGGCTCGTAGGACTATATCAAACCACTTCTAGTAAGTAGAGAGACCGCTGCAGTTAATATTGTTGTTACCAATGCTGTCGGATCATTAGGTTGGTGTTCCCATACGCCACGCAACGGTACTACCGCTTAGTACAGGGGCAGACGTGGTGGCGGTCCTCGAAATAAGATCAAAAGCTACTACAGCATTACTTAGTGCAGCCTCCGACTGCGAGGACTACAAAAGCGTTATAAGTACACTTTGTGATCAGCGATTCTTTTTTTTCTGTCGAGAAGATCGAAATTTTTCATTTTCTTCAAGGGATCAATTTCTCTTTCTGCCATCCGGAGGTACTTAGGGAGATCCTTATGAATGTGTCGGTGAGCAGCGAGCTCCATCGGAGCTGAAAGTCGCGATTCCATTCGTGCTGTATCGATTCATTTCGACAAATTTCCAATTTCACCAACAGTTTGTGTGCAATGTTTAGACGTTCACATCATGTGGGATCTTCATTCCAAGCAAAACTTCTTCGTAGCGTCTCTGTCTTGTCTTTTTTCAGGCTAATGGCAATGTGTCAAGAACGGGCCTCGAAAGAGCAAGTAGAACTTCAATGGAAAAGTATCTATGATCAGTGGTTGTGGTCAAATTTAATTTTACAGAATAAGGTCGTGGTGACAACATAAAGCCGCCGATGTCATGTATGAATGCTTCCGTAAATAAAAACCCGTTCTGCAAATTTTGGAAACACTATCGATTCTCTGAATGAAATTGAATTGTCTCAATAAACTCACACAGCTCCGTGCAATTGATATGATAGATGGTGTAGTCGCAATCGAATGACCCTCTTTGCGTATCAGGCGTGTACTATCAAATGAAGCAGAGTATCTTTCTACTACTTATTTAACACAAGAAATAAAACAGGAGGACCTCCTCCTCCAAGAAATGCATGACGAAGTAAGTAACTCAGTCCTTAAAAAAGCGCTCGTACTCGTCGTGACCCTCCTCATTGTCCTCGAAAAAGTCCGCCGGCTCAACTTTTCCCTTGTTCGACGAACTGCAGCCCTTCGTCTTGTGCGCAAACGCGTTGCGATGGACGATGTGCACTTCCTCCTCCTCATCCTCAAAACCGTCCAAGTTCGCATCGTTGTAGTAGTAGGTTTTATTCCCCGGTTATCGCAAGAAAAAAGTGTTACAGTTACACATTGCGTTGCAGGCCAAGCAAGACAGGCAAGCTCTGTCATGCCGGATATGCATAGGAGCCTCGTTTCATAGGCGTTTTCCCGTAGGATTTCTGCATTACAAGTTTTCTCTCTCATGCAGAGAAATTTGTGTTGCTGAATTCACTACAAATGTGTAACTGTAACACTTTTTTCGTTGGATACCGGTGCAGATGATCCATCCGAAGATCTGAAGCCGCTGGAGATCGTGGCCTGCTCGTATCCTTCGTTCAAACCGAATTGTTCCGCCTCGCCGCTCTCCCGCGCGATGGCTTCTCGTGCAGACGCGGCATCATGGTGGGACGTGATCGTGGCTGCGGCAAGCGGTGCGCCGATCAGGTGCGTGACATCCCAGACAAACTGTTCCTCCGCTGGGATTATCCATTTTTGGAGAAGTATTGAACTGTAGCTGTAGCTGTACCAGTACAAATTGCATGACAACTTCTTTTTATCTTTGAAAACTAAATTTGCCATGTAGATTCCCGTAGTACAAGACAATGACAACTTGCATACAATACTTTTATTGCAGAAATGGGATAGGTTTCCAGCAAAAGAGTGTGTAGCAGCAGCCGCAGCAGAAAAACTCCATCAGAATCACGATCAAGATGTCCACAGCGTTCGAGCATCCCTGCCACGCGTAGACGGCGCAGAGGGGAAACAGACAGTGACAACAGCGGTCCAGCGGGTGATAGCGGCAGCAGCTGCTGCAGCAGCACTCCAGTTCCTCCGTCACATATCGCGAGGAAAAATCCCCCCTCCCAATATCGAAAAGGTACGCCGCAGAAAATTTGCAATGCTGATTTGCGACCACAAATCATCTCTGTCTTGCAAGAAGGCAACTCCGCAGGCTCCGCCGCATTATGCAGGCAGCTTGTGATGCTATTAGGCCTACAGCGCAGACGTTTCTCATGCTAAGCGCCTAGGCCAAAACCTCTGTTCTCAGGCTTGATATAGGCCTGCAGTCCTCGTCTCCAGCAAGACAAATCCGATTTGTGTACGCAAATCCAGCATCACAAACTTCGTTTTGATAAGGGGAGGGCGGGAGATTGTTCATTTTGATATCACACTCCGGAAACGCTTTTGGGATTCGTTCGGTTGCCAAAACAGGAGGAAGATGTATGCATTGCAAATACGTCTTGGTCTGGAAACTTGTGATGCAAGTCTGGGAATGGTGGGCGCACTGCAATACGTAGCCAAGCATGGCAAGTTTTTGAGCGGCTATGTAATTCGTTTTCCGCATGGTAAACTGCGTTTTTGCATGACAGAGAAAAGGCTCTACTGCTGCCCACGCAACACAGATTTCAGAGTCTGTCTGAATCATGTGAGACACGCATGACAAACTTGCATTCTCCCAGACCCAGACATATTTGCATTTGATAAGATGAAATACCGCACGAAAACCAAGGACGCGACGACCAGCACCAGACACGTCGGACCGAGAAGCGCGAAGGGGAAGACGAACCCGTAAATAACGGGAAAGGCAAGCCACTCAATCAGCACCGCCAGGACAATCGTGTTCCGATCGCATCTATGCAGTGCAAAAGTATCGTGCTCGTACTAATTTTTGCGTTTATGCATTACAAATCTTGTTTTTTAGGCCAATCCGAATTACAAATTTGATTTGTAATGCTAAGTCAATTTCTTGTAATGCACTTTATACTAGTACGATACTTATTCTGCAATGCATAGCATCCCTCCCACGCAAACACAGCCATCACTGGGCAACAGGCTTTGCAGAGCCCGCTGGTCGGCTGGCAACCACAACATTTGTCGAACTCGACTGGCATATTGTACTATTTCTACGGCCTCGGCAAGATTATTTGCGCACAAGATGTTGAATCCTTTTCCGCGATTTAGGAGAGAGACCCTGGTGAGGAAAATAAAGCAAGAGGAACTACGATTCTCAAAATGACTTCACCCCACAGTCAGTCCGAGAAAAAAACTCGCCTCCAAGGTTTTCTAATATGTTTATCCAACTAGTATCTGACTTTTCAACTTTTCGAGTTTGTCAGTTACTATTCGTAGTGGTAAAGCAGGTAAAAAGAATCGCACTATTTTTAGCGAAGTGATTGCGATTGACACGAAGAATAAAAGGTGGCATTCTGAAATTCATCAAGGGGAGAGTACGATGGTGATAGTTCAAGTGTTTAGCACTTGCTACAGAAACGACTACGACTACCTCTACCCACGACACCAAGTATAATGGGACGATTTGTTCTTGCGCCACGAAGCTTTCTTTTCTTCCGGACCTAAGCATATCACCCCTAAGTACCACGACCCACGCAACGACCTAGTACTGTGCTATGTCTAAGACATTGCGTGTGAAAAACCGGGCCAGTAGAAGGTCTTCACGTCGGAGCAAGATAGAACTACCGAGCGGTAATAAACGGCACTAAATTTTTATTGAACGCAACATCATCTAGCAAAGCCGCAGTTAAGAAGTACTTATCCCCTTTCTCTTCGTCGTCGTCCATGGTCATCTGTATCAAATCATATCATACAGCACTACTCCAATTGTTGTGTCAGCGAACGATCTCCGCTTTATATTACGCAATTTGTTCCAATCAGCGTTCTTGCGACTCAAATTTCGTCCAATGTTCTGGCCAAGACATCTTCAACAATCGCCGAGCTATATCTTTAAAATTCAAAACAACAGCCTCAATTATAGCTACCAGTTTAACTTCATTGTACAAGGAAAACAAAAATCGTGGTCCAATGTTGAATGATAGTACACAAGACAGAAACTAACGTAGAAGTGTGGTGGATGTGGAACAAGTAGCACTACAACTAGCACAATGTCTACTGACAACATCAATTTTTTCCGAATTTCTAATTTTTGAAAAATTTCTCGCCCTCGTCGTCGTCAGCTGCATGGTGATCGATGAAACCATCTTCGTCCGCGGGTTGGACTTTCCCCTTGTTGCGCGAGAACGAGCTCTGGGGGCCCTTCGCGACGACCTTCTTGTCCTTCTTCTGCGCAAGCACAGCATATCGAAAGGAAAAATCCCCTCTCCCCATATTGACAAGGTACGTTTTCGAAAATTTGTGTTGCTGATTTGTGACCACAAATCGTCCCTGTGTTGCATGAAGGCAACTCCAGAGCCTCCGCCGCATTCTCCGGGCGGTTTGTCATGCTCATGTTCCTACAGCGTAGACGTCTGTCATGCTAAGCGCCTAGGCCAAAACTTTTCTTCTCAGGCTTGATATGAGCCTGCAGTCCTTGCCCAGCAAGACAAATCGGATTTGTGTACGCAAATCCAGCATCAGAAACTTCGTTTTGATATGGGGAGGGGCGATTTTTCATTCTGATACAGCAGCGGGATGCTTTTTGCGGTGGTGTACGTCTCCTTCTTCTTCCTCCACGAACTCGTCATCGTTGTAGAAGTAGTACCCGTATCCTGTGCAAAAGCGTCAAAAACGCACTAGTGATTGCAATATTTTTGCATGCCAAATCTCGTTCCCTAGATAAAATGGCACGACAAGCTCCGGAATTTGTTTTCGAAAAAATTTGTGTATGCATTTGAAACTAGCGCTCGACGCTTTTGCAATGCATAACCCGCCTCTGTTGTAGTCGTAGGTCTTGAATCCGTGCGCCCGGGCCGGGTCGTAGTAGGTATCCGAGTGGGTGATCGGATCGAAGTCGTCGTTGCCCACCCCGTATCAAATGCAAATGTGTCTGGATGTCTGGAAACTTGTGATGCTGGTTGCCGGATCAAGAGAACGCCACAAATGACGGCTCAGCATGACAGGTTTTTGAGCTAATATGCTGGTTATTGTCCACTCTGCATGAGAAACTGGGTTCTTTTGCACGACAGAAAAATGCAAAAAAGGCGCTTTAATATTTGGGTACCTTGCATGACAGGCTTGACAGTCATACAAGCAGAGCATGACAAACCTGGCATTTTGTTTCCAGACCCAGAGGACATATTTGCAATGCATACCTCGTAGTTCCCGTCACCCCAAGGCGAAGGACCTTCGCGTGAGGCCCCCGCAACTATCGGAGCACCGATGACATGCGCCGAATCGCCGCCCCAGATGAGCTATGGATTGCAGAAGTATCGCACTCGTATAAATGCATTACCTCAGCATGAGAAATAAAATTTGTAAAAAAAAAAATGCTGATTCACCTATTATAAGTAATGCATGACTGCAATACGAGTACGATACTTTTGCACAGGATATGAACTGTTGGTCAGCGGGTGTCCAGCAGCAGACTGGGTACAGGCACCCGCAGCCAGGTAACAGGCAGTTCAGCACGATCACACACAGAATGTCGACGACGCTGCTACACCCCTGCCAGGCGTAGATCGCATGCAGCGGAAACCAGCAGTGGCAGCAGCATATGACAGTGCACAACTCCCCCTCCCCCTCATTTGTGTTGCACGAACAGCAACAGAAGCATCAGCAAGAATGCCGGTTCTGCATGAAAAATTTGCACTGGAGTGTAGCGCTATTTGGGCTACCACGACAACTTGTCATGCATAATAGTGACAGGAGGGAAAGGGTGGATCGGGTATTCTGCATGAGAAATGAGAACGAGGGGGAGTTGTGCACTGTCATACAGCAGTCCAGGGGGTGACAACGGCAGCAATAGACTTTCCGCTCTTTTTTCGCGTCGACGGGGTGAAACCGCTTCTGCGTCCTATGAGAGTGCACAACTCCCCCTCCCCCTCATTTGTCATTCAATTTCCCAAATCCAGGCTCTGCCTCTTCTTAGAGGCACTGTCTGCATGACAAATTCTGGCATCCCAAATGGCACTACACTCCACTGTAAGTTTGTCATGCGAAACCGGCATTCTACTTGCTGATGCATTTACTTCTGCCGTTCATGCTATACAAATGAGGCGGGGGGAGTTGTGCCTTGTCATACGTCCCCTTTGGCTGCCACAGTAACGCAAACAGGCAGCGACACGGACACCCAAGGGTATCGCACAGACAGGCCAACCACAAGTTGCTGCTGAACCCCTCCCACGCGAAGACCGCCAGGAGCGGGCAGCAGCATCGGCAGAGCAAGCTTATGAAATGCAAAAGTGTCTGGGTCTGGAAGGTTGGAACTTGTGATGCTAACTTTGGACTTGAAAAAGATCTGTATTGCATGACCAGCAAGAGGAGTCTAGTTTGTGCTACGCGGCGGGGAGGGCATTTGTCATGCGGAGTAGGCATCAGGAAGCCGTCTAAAAATCTGTGATGCTAGGTCGTGCATTACGGACATTCTGGGTCATGCAAAATATGCATGACAAACCCGGCAACATTCCAGACCCAGACATTTTTGCATTTGATACAGCTGGTCGGCTTGCAACAAGCATCTTGTTGGCGGGGCATGGTTGTCGCGATTGGTTCTTCGGGTGGAGATTACTTATCAATTTTTTCTTGTTCGATGTACAACAAAGAGTAGAGCGGGTCAACAACTTTTTGTACAGTCCTTGTATTAAAACACCAGCACGACCTCAGTAGAGAGTGCCTTTTTTGCAATACTGTTCAATTGAACAGGATCAATAAAAACTTCGATTGTGGGTGAGTGCCAGCACGAGTTTTTGTCCTTGCTACGTTGTTGATGGTGAATCGGTTTATTGTTGAGTCGTAGGTACACCAATTATGCGATCACTTGCGCCCACTACTCTATACATCATATAGGGCCGCCCACGACCCGTACATTTCTTGCGATGACACACGATGACGTCGATTACGACGACTTGTATAAGCGATTCGTATTCAGCAGATGAAGTGTGCTTTTTGTCATCTTTCTGATACCGCACACGTGGTTCTTATCTATTTACGACTAGAGCTTTCATCCACGACCCCGGTCAACCGAGCAGGAACGAAGATCGTGTTGAAATAACAAATTGGTACTTACAACACAAGATGATCCTTGGAAGTAGAAAAGTTCAGACGAAAGCAGTTCTGGACCTGCTTACACGACCACATTTTGAATGAGAATGATCATCGCGATGCATGATGGCATCGAGAGAACGAAGCGAAGGGGAAGTGGAACATGCGCGAAGCCACGCAAACACGGAAAGTTTACGTAAAGATGAAACCGGGTGGATATAATTACTTCTGCTCTCGTACTTGTTAATACTTGTTAAATATTGTACACAAATCGAGTGATCGCAACAAATCAGTACGGGTATAACCCTGCACCAGGGTTGCGACTGCGACACGACCAAATCAGCAAATGAATAATTTACAATCGTATAGAAATCCTGAGTTAATTTTGTACAAAACGAATCGAATTTGTAGCAGCCAGATGTACACATGAAAATCCAAATCCAAAATAATTTCTGCGTATGCTTGCAAACTAAGCCTACCTGTCGTTTGAAATTCAATTTTCAGTCGTCGAATGCGCATCAAATTCATGAAAAGTCTTTTCTTCGAAATACGGCTACTTAGCTTCCTTTCTCTTCTACATGACGAGTTCCATTCACAGAGCTTATTGCCAAAGTAGTTAATGATCTTCATACTTTCATTCATTTCCATCATCTCTCCTGTTCTTTTCCACCAGTGAGTACTTCGTGCGTTTTTTACACCGTGTAGGTGCTTGGTGGTCGCGGCGGCAAGAGCGTCTCATCCTCATCGCTCTCCGCGATCGGCTCGATCTTTATGCCAGTGGAGAGAACCACGACTTTCCACCCTCGTAAGAAGTACTTCTCATTTGTAGTCATGCGGAAGGCCAAAGAACTCATGTCTTGCTCTTGCTTCTTTTATATTGCATGACAAGTTGTTCATCATGAAACCGATAGATACCTATCTGGAATTTCGCTGTGAAATTTGTCATGCTTTTCTGTTGCAACTCTGCGAATGAGAACAACGAGGGGGGAAGCTGCTACTTGCAGTCATCTCCACTTTCGTACTTTTGCCCGTGTCTCGGGAGCCTCTCGCCCCGGGAATTCTTGACCTTCTGGAACCAAAGTGACCAGTAGTCGAGCTAGTTGTAGAGGCGGCTCCCCTGGTGCTCCGTCCTGACACTTCTTCTTCCTCCGCCTCTGGGCCGAGTTCTGCGCCCGGCACTGGCCGTAACCCGCAACACTATCCAAGAAAAATAAATAATGTGTTAGTTCGCATTAAAAAATTTCAAGCCTCCCAGTACACTTCTCTTGTCACGCTCGATAATGATATGCTTATGCATCTTCATAGCAGGCTACTATTTATTCGTCCATTTGTGGTTTCATCTTCACACGCAGCTACCGAGACAAAATTTTTTGATTTGTCTGTCATGCGAGACATGTGAGGATGCTGTAGTTCATAATCCAGAAACAAGGCTAATAGTCTAACACAGTTTTTTTCCACCTGGATAAGCATCCGTAGTGTCGCAGCAGCGGGCTAGAATTATTGGGAAATTGAAAATTCGTATAATTTTTTTCAAATTGATGAATCTTCATCTTTCTTTGGAAAGGTGGAAGGAAGAGGAATCAAAATCGAAAAACCAAACGACGCACACGAAAATTATCGAATAAAAATTTGCCGCTCTACTTCGACGTTCGTGCTACAACATCATCGAACCCAGGAGCTAGTGCCATCTTTATCTCTTAGTTTTAGCACCTAATGGCTGCTATAAAAATTCCAGCTACTGAGTTGTACTAATATAGCAACTTACACGATCCCGCCCGATGATGCATGGCCGGAGATGTAGCGCGCGTCGCTCACCCCGTCGTCGCTGGCCTCTTCCAGCGTCCACCGCCCATAGGCCGCTGCCGGGATGCCGAGAAAAAAGAGCAGGAAGCAGCGCGAAAACAGGCACCAGGTATCCATGTAGTAGAACGGAGCCGAGTTGGTGAACGCCTTCATGGTCAGCAAAGTCTTCATTCCCTGCCGCGCCGCTGAAGAGGTCCATCAAATGCAAAAATGTCTGGGTCTGGAAACTTGTGATGCTGGGTGGCGTATCATGAGGAGGCCACAAGTGCTGGCTCAGCATGACAAGTTTCTGAGCTTCTAGGTGTTGCCTACTCTGCATGACAGACTGCGTTTCTGCATGACAGAAAAATGGGGCTCTTGGGTAACGTGCGTGACAGATTTAAGAATCATGCCAGACAAGCATGACAAACATGCACTCTTCCAGACCCAGACACTTTTGCATTTGATAAGGTCATGAATACGGCTACAACCTGCAGGAGAAGGAGGAAGAAGAGCGCTAGAATTTAGAAAGAAAAAACTGCTTTAATGTGACAACTTCTTTGCAAGTTATGCAATACAAGTTCGTATTGTCGTGACACATAGTTGCCATGCGTGCTTCCTAAGGCTAAAGGAATAAATTACGGCTACAAATCCACGGTCTTGCATGTGTGGCATGACAAACACGTCTGCGATGCATTTTCTGCATGACAAGTTTACAGTGAAACAGTTTTTGCTCGCGATATGGAAATGCGCTGTGTTTCACGCTGATCACTTTTGCGAAGCAGACCAGGTACAGCATGCCGAAAGCAACCAGGGTGGAGAGGAAGCCGTTGCACTGTGCCTGAATGTATCAAATGTAAAAACGTCTGGGTCTGGACACTTGTAATGCTGCGTTGGGAATAGTGAATGCTCTGTGATGCACAGCCAAGCATGAGAAGTATCTGCGCTTCTTTCTCTTTGTGTTGCGTTTTTCGCATGACAAACTGCGTTTTTGCATGACAGGCAAGAAAAGGGTCTCTTCTTGGACACGCATCACAAACTTTTCGGTCATGCCAGACAAGCATGACAAATCTCGCATTCTTCCAGACCCAGACATTTTTACATTTGATAGAATGGGGCCCATTGGAGCGGGACTTTTCATCACCGCCGCCTCCCCATGTGGTCCTTGCGGCCGCTCGTCTCCTATCAAATGCAAATATGTCTGGCTCTGGAAGATTGCCAGGTTTGTCATGCATATTTTGCATGACCCGTGCAGTCTGTGATGCGTGCACGAGCATCACAGATTTTTAGAGTGCTTCCTAATGCCTATTCCGCATGAGAAATCCCCTCTCCGCGTAGCCCAGTCCTCTTGCTGGTCAAGCAATTATACAATTTTTTTTTGAATCCAGAGACAGCATCACAAGTTTAGAATCTTCCAGACCCAGACACTTTTGCATTTGATATCTCCACCCTCGGGGGTTGTCGTTGTCCCGTCGCGCTCGGCCTCCGCTTTCGCGTCGGCGCTTTTCACAAACTGCAGCTTCTCGCCATATCCTGAGGAAAAACGTCCCAACCCCAGAGCTGTAATGCAAATCTACATGCTTAAATTGCTTCTCATGCGGAGACACATGAGAGGCGTTTTCTAGTGGCGATTGGAGATTTGTCATGCTCGAATCAGCGTCACAGACTGGGTCTGTAATGCCGCTGCACTAGCTAAACACGACTACACTGCGAGCCCAAATTTGTCATGCGCGATAGCGAAAGCTTAGGGATTTGTCTAGCAGATTTCTCATCTTGACTATGGGGGGGGACGTTTTTACTCAGGATACGCCATCCGATGTGATCACCTTTCTCGGTAACAACACCGTCGCATATCCAAGGAAAAAACTGTGTTAGTAGGAGGAATAGCATCACAAGTTTGCTCTGCATGACAGAGAGAGCCTGTCATGCGCGGCTAGTACTACGTGAAAACACGTACGGAATTATATATAAAGAGGCTCTGACGCATGTGTCTAGCATGACAAGTGTAAACTGTTTTGCATTTTCTGCATCACAGACTTGCACTTACACAGTTTTTTTCTTGCATATCGCAGCCTGACCGTGCAGTGCTTTGGCCTCGTGCTCCCTCGTGAATCCGAATTGCAGATAGAGGACCGCAAACGTGACCTCGCAGGGGATAAAAACCAGCAGGAGACCGAGCAGCACAATGAGCATCGCCCGTCTGTGTCCGCTGGTTGCCGTCACCGACGCCGCTCTCGTCCGGGCCGCTATCAAATGCAAATATCCCTGGATGTCTGGAAACTTGTGATGCTGGCTTGGCAATGGTGGACACACTGCGATACGAAGCCAAGCATGGCAAGTTCTTGAGCTGCTATAAATGTGTTGCGACTTCTGCACGGCAAACTGCGCTTTTGCATGACAGGCAGGCGACTCTCATCCTGCTCATGCATCACAGGGTGAGAAGTCATGAGAGACAAGCATGACAAACTTCCATTCTTCCAGACCCAGATCGATATTTGCAATGCATAGCCGCCTCCACCTGCTGAAACGCTTGAGACGCCTTCTTGGCGGCGGTTAGCCGCGAACTCGGGTCGTCGGCAGTCGCGTCCATTGTGTTGAAGATGTTCTATCAATTTCTTTTGCGACGTGTAGTATTCACAATGATCAGGTGAATTTTTATCGTAAGGTTCGTCGTGTAGAAAGCAAGATGAGGTGGCACCTTGATTTTTGGCGTACAACTTCGAAGATACTGTCGTCTTCCGTAATACAAGAACAACCTCCGAGGTCGTAAAGCAAACACTATAACACACACCTCCCCGCCTACGGAGGTGTTTCTAGTCTGTTACCAGCCAAACAAACTATAACTACCTTTGTACAACGGGACGGAACAACATTCATGTAGAGACGAGGACGGATGCGTAGTACTTTGCACCACAACATATTATCAAATATCTATGTTGAAGAGCGACGAGTGGGCTCAGACTCGATGTTGGTGACTACGACAGAGATCGAACGGGCAACGAAAGGTAGCCGCAGTAGAGCTCGTGCGGAACGAAGATGCGAAAGTGGAGCTGTGTTCCCTTCCTTCGCGGAAGCCCAACATCACGACACTGTACAGATACAAAACTGCTTCTGATGGCGACAGATGTGATGGGTACATATCAGATCACACTGTACAGATACGACGTAGCCCCATAGATTTATAGTTTTGCAACGACCACGAATAGTACTACATTCACGACCAAGAGATCGAGAAACGAAATCGAAAAGCGAATTTCCGACCTCCCACGACGATCGTACGTTCTCCTAGAAGATTATAGGTTTTCACGCTAATTCTTGCCCGGCCTGTCCTTTAGCTCAGATCTCATCTTCATCGAAGCTTGCAAATTGAAATTCGCTCACGAAACACATATGATGTGAATAAGAATACCTCGCAAAAATAAAGGCAAATCAAAAAGAAAAAATCTTTTATTGTTCCTCGTTTCAAGAAACTTCTACCCTGGTACCGGTCCTCACCAGACCGTCCGGTAAAGCAGAATTCCTCTGCGACAAAAGTTCTTCGAAGTAGATGTGGCCCGAAGAGAAAATAGACCACAGCGAATTTTTGCCTAAATAACCACTTTTGCAAAAAAGTAAATCTGGAGGGGGTAAGTATCATTTTCTTGTCTTCCGCTCGAAGATCAGAATCGCAAAATCTGAATCAATCGTACAAACTCTTGGAGAAACATTTTTCCTCCTGTTATATAAAATTTACTCCGATGTGAGATCCACCATTTCCGTTTCTCTCTCTGGAATCCGGCCCCGCTTGGCAGTTCTAGGTCTTGCACTACAATCATCGTCTTCACTATCACTGACCACGATAGCAGATTCTTGTTCTCCTTGTTCTACTCTTGTCTGATTCAGCATCTCCACGTTAGCCCCAACACTGATTTCCGGCAGCCGAAACTTCGTACTGGTGCATCCAACACTGATTTCCGGCAGCCGAAACTTCGTAGAGATAGAAGTTGTCCTGGTGCATCTACTATTAGCTGCTGCCGCGGCACCGCTCCCGGGGTTTTTGTACTTTAGTTGTTCTTCTTGTTGCGCCGCCGCGGTCGTGGGAAATGAACCGAAGTTTTGGTTTTCATCGCACACGACCCCAGGCAGACGGAAAAAGGACGCGTGCGCATCACTGTCGTCGTTTTTGTTGCAATAAGCCAGCTTCTTTTTCTCACTCGCATCCCCTACTTCCTCGGTGAGATCGATAACACCAGTGCTGTTGCCGTTTATTCCTGTGGGTTCTTGTTGTACCATCTCGACGTCGCGAGTAGAGTCTGCTTCTTGTTCCCCAACATCAAAGTGCTGCTGTTCCCCGAAGTAAAAACGACCAGGGCCCTCCCGAAAGTGGGCCACCTTGTTGTTCTTATTCAAAATTTCGCCACTGTAGTTCTGGTTCACAAAGAACTTTTTCAAACCAAATGAATTATCTCCATCGTCACGACCCATTTGCTCCACCGCTGAACCACTGCTGCGGTCCCCGTCGGAAGAAAAAACGTCAACGTCTTCCTCGTCCGAGCCCGCAAACAGCACGTGATCCGGGATTTTTTCTCGCGCTCCTCGCGGTTGTTGAAAATAATGGCTGCTGTGGCCTGCTGCTCTGTTGTGATCCGACCCTGATGATGAAGAAGTCGACGATGGTACCGGGCCCTCCTGCTGCATCAGGCCCGCGAAGAGGGTGAGACTGCTATCTTCTTCCAATCTTTCTCCTAGAAGTTGCGCCTGTAGTTCCTTCTCATCATCCAGATAGTTGCCGTTGCAGGCGAGTTGGTCACTCACTTGATGTAGTTCCTGGTCATCCACCAGAACCATTGCCATGTCCTCCGCGTGGTCCACCTCTCCTGTTTGTTCCAAAGGAGAAGTGCTTCTTCTACCGTCATTTGTGATGCAGTTCAGCAGCTGCTTCTTGTTCATCTGCAGTTTATCCGTTTGTTCCAGTTTTTTCCTAATCGTCTTGTGAATTGCAAAAATGTGTGGGTCTGGAAGAATGCAAGTTTGTCATGCTTGTCTGGCATGACTCGAGAATCTGTGTTGCATAGGCACGAAAAGGCCCTCTTACCTGTCACGCAACGACGCAGTTTGCCATGCATAATACGTAAGACACGGCAGCCAAAAAATTTGTCATGCATAGCTGGTATTCCAGTGCGCCTATCATTCACTTTTAGCATTACAAGCTTCCAGACCCAGATATTTTTGCAATCCATACGCCTCCTCCACCCGCAACTGGTCCCGTTCCAGCTCATATCAAAAGGAAAAATCCCCCCTCCCCATATCGAACCCGAAATTTGTGATGCTGTATTTGAGTACACAAATCGACTTGTATTGCTAGAAGGCCAAGAAACGTAGTCGCGGCCTTAATTGCAGGCAATAATTTGTCATGCTGTTTCCCACTTCCAGTTGCTCTCTGTCATGTTGAAGATGCAAGGCTTTCCTATGTCGCCCAGCACTACAGTCCGCTTCTTTTGCCTTCTAGCATCATGACAACAGTATTTGTGGTCACAAATCATGCTACACAAATCTCCGCTCCAGTATGGGGAGGGGGCATTTTTCATTTTGATATCTCATCCCTGACATTCATCGCCCCCACCCCCAGTCCGCCCTGCTTATGCAGGAACCGGTCGAACAAGCATGCGTAGGAATGCAGGTTCGCGACCTCCTCCTCCTCCGTCGCCGCCTTGATCCACTTGTGGCCGTAGAAGTGCCGAATGGGGAGATCTTTTTTCTCCACGAGGGTCCAGCCCGTGGTCTTTTTGCTCGCAGTGCTGGAGGTTGCTGATGTTTCTTGGGAATTTGCCGGGAGATGATGAACGCCGGCTTCTTTGATATCCTCTCCGACTTGGACTTCACGGAGGACCAGATCAGTAGCTCCTGACGACGTTCCTCGTCCACCCGTCGTAGTTGTCTTGCGCGGTGGAAAATAAGGTACTAAATTTTCATTTGCCGACGCCTTCAGGGTCAGGTCGCTGTTATTGTTGTTCTCCTCCTCCGCCAGCACGATAGCAGATGTTCCGCCACCAACAGAAGCGGTTGTCGAAACTTTTTTATTTCCTTGCTCGTCCACTAGGTGCTGCAACAACCTCTTCGGAACCCTTGTACTCACATGCGGACAGACCCTGCGGAGGTGGTGAATCGCTTTGTGGTGGATGGAACAGGAGGCGGTGTTCTTGCGAAAAGCAGCGCCTCCATTATGCAGCTGCGCTCCTTTATGATTTTTCAACCCGATCCTTCCGATGTCAAACTGGATTCTCTTCTTCATCCTCCGCTGCTTCTCTCTGTCTTCAAATTGTTTCTGCAAAAGCAGCCTCGCCTGCTGTTTCCGTTCCTTGTTCTGCAAGGCGTTTTTGGACGCACCAGGCTGGTTGTCGATAGTTTGTTCTTTCCTATCCACCATGCGGGAAGAAGATGAGGAGGACGATAATTGAGCACGGGGAACAGCAGCAGCAGCGGGTCCACCTGCAGTTGTATTTTTCGCAGCGGATTTGTCCGCGCTCTTGTTCTCCTCGTCGGCAGCCGGGAAGAAGTTTTTAAAGTCGGAAAGTTCCAAATCGGAATCGTTGGACGAAAGGTCATTTTTCTCTGACCCGCTGCCGAACTCGTTGTCATAAAAATTGTCAGAAGATGTACCATCACCGTCGTTCCTCAATTCTTCCTGATCCAAGGCGATGTCCTCCTGGCCCCAAGTTTCCGCTCCCTGCATGAAATAATCTTCAGAGAGCAGCAGTTTTTCCGTCTGGCGGTGTTCCTCCTGAAGAATGCTCAGGACTTGTCCGGACCTGGGGGAAGGCGCAGATGTTGGCATCATGATGATTTTGGGCGCGCAGTAGATGTAAAGGCTGTTGAAGATAAAGCGTGCTGCCGTGTGCTCTTACCGTCGTATCGGGATGATATTCTAATTCTGGTCGCGCAAGTTTGTACTACTTTTTCAACTTAAGTAACATTTTTCTACCGCGGTGTAGATCTACTTCTTCCCATCTTTATAATGGAAAGGGCGCTTTCAACATCGCAGTCACATTTGCACGCACTACCCTCAGAAACGAACTCTCTTTAGGAAACTATGCACACAACGCTCCGTCTCTACTCAAGTTCACTCGTCACAACAAAAACTCCTAGCTACGACATCTTGTTTGGACACGATTTGCAGACTTGCTCTTTTGCGGGGTTTGTCTTGTCGAAAGATGAGACCGGTGGAGTCAGTTTTGCTTGCTGCTACTTTCACTTGCCATTCGTTGCAGCATTCCGCTCAAGGAATAATCGCGCCGCGCGACCGAGGTTTTTTTTCAGAGGACCGCCCTCTCGCACCACATGCGCCCAGCATTGGCGCTTCGATGCTAAACACGACACGCCGGGCGTTGGGCTGAGTGCGAACGGAGCACGGAGCCGCCGTGTGACATTGCTTGCCCGAGGCGCTGCAGGTGTGCCAACGAGCAGAAGAGCCCGGGTGGCGTCCTCGAACCAACGCGGGCGCACCGTTGCCGGCCGCCAGAGCGGGGATCGCGCGCGCGCAATCGCCACCGACGCGGGCGCGCAGGCAACTTCGAGAATACGGCCCGCCCGTACCCAGGAAGCGCGGGCCCCGCGCAGGCGCAACGACGAAGAAATCGGGCGGCCTAGAGCCACCGCCGGGGGGGCCAGCTCCGCCCCCCGGCAATGGCTTCGGCGCGCGCCCGAAATGCGGCCCAACCAGGCGCGGCCGGGGGGCCGGCAGAGGCCCGGCGGGCGGGCGGGCGGGCTAAAGGCGGAGCCGTTCACGAAGAAGCGAGGGGCTTGGAGCCCTCTGCTGAGCCATCTGCGCTTGAACTTGGAAAGTCCGCCGGTGGCTCTATCGCATTTAATTGCGATAACCACTCTGCTCGTCATTGCTCGGCTTGCCGGCTTCGCTGTTCGGAGGTTCTCCAGAACCGTCCGCGCCATGCCTGCGGGGGCCGGCGCTGACTCCGTCCGGCGGGGGGATGTCACAGACGCGTGGCCCGCCAGCGCCCCAAGGCGGCCGAAACACCGCCAAGGGCAAACCGGCACACCCGCCCGCGCCCCGGCGCCGTCCGGTCCGTCCGCCCCCCCCCGAAGGCGCCCGACCCGCTACCGCCGGCCGCCCCGGCGCGTCGGCGGATGTCTGCCGCGAACGTGTGGCCCGGGGGCCCGTTGCGTCCCGGAAGTCTGGCACATGCCTGGCCCACTTCGCCCCCCCCGCGTTTGCGTAGCTGATTCCGGGGCTGGCCGTTGTAGCTTCCCCGGTCGCCGTTGGTCTGCGGATGCGCGGGCGCGCGGCGAAGGGCGGCGGTATAGAATAGGCCAAAGCGCTGCGGCCGCGCAGGGCTTTCCTGGCGCCAAACGGGGGGCCGGCGAGGCCTTTGGACGTGTGCGGGCCCGCCCAAAACCATCACCATCGCACTGCACTGGTTTCCAGGTCGCGGAGTCGCAGTAAGCCACAGCCGGGAGGTTGTCGGCGCCGGCACGCGGCCGAGGGCCTGGCAGCCAAGGGCCCACCCGCGGCCCCGGCTCCGGCGAGCGGGCGGAGCGACCGAGCCCGCCTAAGCGGCGGCCGCGCGCCCGCACCGCCGTGCCTGGCGGGGGGCGCACTGCTGGCGGTGCTGATGCCGCCCGGCAAGTAGATCAGCGGCGCCAGGGCGAACATCTGAACCGGGCCCGCCATGGAGGAATTGGCCAGCCCGTTCGCTGACAGAGGCTGGCGCGCCGGGCATGTAGGTTCCGGACTTCGGGGCCCGGGTTCCCCACGCCTGAGGCCGCGACCCGCTTGCGCGACTGGTGCGCGGAGGCTCCTGTTTTGTTGTGCGCCCGTGGTATTGGGTATGATTTTCCGGACCCGCTGACCACTAGCACGCGGGCACACGACAGCACGCACTCACAAACACACACAACACAACGGATAGAAAAACAGCCCGCGGCCTCCTTTCTCGAAGCCCGGCTCCCCACGGCTTTCTCAAAGCCCGGCTACCTCAAAGCCCGGCAGGAACAGGATAAAGCAGCTGCTCATACACATTTGCGTCAACTTTCGCGGAAGTCGCTTCATGAACTTCGAAGAAGAACTGCTGAAAAATTCAAATCTTACACAACTGCGAGCAAGTTCATTTCATTTCAAAACCGTCGTGTAAGTGACGCGACAGAAGTGGTCAAGAATACGATTATTCAACAGCTCTGAATCATACAAGGGCTTCGCCCTACTTTCATCCACCCCTTCTCTACCATCCTGTTTCCTACCCGTCGCTTTCCCGCCTTTAAACGTCTTCCAAATCCACTCCGGGTGTTCATTCTCAACTACAGCTGCTGTGGTTTTGCCTTTATTGTTCATCTTCCCTGCTTCCTCTTTAGAAGTACTTGCTGACCCCACGGCACTACTTCTAGTATTCCCCGTTCCACCACCTCCCCCCTTCGCAGGAGCAGCGCCAGACTCACCACAACTCGTCATGCTACTTCCGCCCGTGCTCCTCGTCATGCTTGACGCAACTGCCAACGACGTCGTGGTTGTTTCATGTCGGGGAGCCGATGTTTCATGTTCGCCAGCATGAAGATCTGCTGCTACTTCATTCCCGCCTCCACCTCCGGTAATAAACATTGTTGCACCAGCACTCGCCGAGGTAGTTGAACTGGGAACGCAGGAACTCATCGACCCACCGCGGCCATGAAAATCCTCACTAGTGCCGGAACTATCCTTTTCAACTTTTGCCACATGCCCCGACACGTGTTCCTCATCCAAAACGTAGTTGACGTAGTGGAAAAACCTCTGCGAGTCCTTCAACTCCCGTTCCTCGTCTATCCTGTGTAAAAAGAACGTCCCCGCCTCAGCGTCAATGATTGCGAACTTAGCATGCCACGAAGTTATCATGGGAGTGGTCACGCATGAGAAGATTTTCCTCGCGGTACTATTGTAGTGACAAAGCCAGTTGTTGAAAGCGTTACAAATTCCAAGAAACGACTGGAAATGAGTCCCATGGGGAGGCGCATTAGAACAAGTGCTCGCTCCTGTAATTGCAAATCTGCATGAAGACAACTCCCGGGTGGGGACGTTTCTGCGCAGGATATCGTCGTAGAAGTAACTCTGCTTGATGTCCGCGAGCATCGCGTGCAAGCTTTTGTTGGCCGCCTGCCGCCGCTTTTTGTCTTTCCGCATGGTCTGCAGGATTTCCCCCTTCCGCAAGTATCCTGAGGAAAAACGTCCCCGCCCCATTTGCATATAATACGGAAACGTTTGTAATGCGCATCCGCATGTGAGGGATTTCTAGTGGAGTTTTCGTATTTGCAATCCTGCAACCAGGATAAGCAGATGGATTTGTGATGCGGCTGTACCCGCTAAGAACGCGCACTAAACTACAGAAACAAGCTTGCCATGCGTGACCCCCAAAACTTCTGGATCTGTGTTGTAAGATTATCAACTTTTACGCTGGGGAGGTGGGGACATTTTTTTCCCCAGGATAGCGAGTTCGGGTTCGTTAATTCCCGCAGAGCCTTCGCATACTTGTTCGACCGCCACCGCTTCACGATCTTGTTCTTCGCATTGATCTGTCGCTCTAGCTCCTCCTGTTCCAATATGACAGCGCGCAACCCCCCTTCTCCCTCATTTGTCATGCAAAATACCCAATCCACCCTTTGCCTCTTGGCACTGTTTGCATGACAAGTTCTGGTAGCCCAAAAAGCACTCAAATGATCGAGTGCAAATTTGTTATGCAAAACCGGCACTCTTGCTGATGCCTGTATTGCCGTTCATGCTACACAAATGAGGGGAAGAAGAAGTTGCGCACTGTCATATCCAACCGACGCTGTTCCTGGACCAAGCGGATATCTGCGATCACAAGAAAAAGTGCTAGAACATTTACGGTTTTCACAGATTGCAGCCATGCATCACAAATCTAGCCTAGTATGCATGCTATGCATGACAAATTTGGGCACGTTTTGTGATGCATTGCCGCATCACAAATTCCGTAAACGCTAAAGCACCTTTTCCTGTGATATCTGCCTCCGCAAATGCATCTTGGAGTTGCTGTTCCGGGGATTCGGGATTCGCACTGTACCTCCGGTTGGTCGGGATCCGCGTGTTTTCAGCGTTAAAATAAGAAGTAGATGCGCTAGTATCTACTTCGTAGTTCCCAACAGCAGCAGCACCAGCAGCAGCACGAGAAGTAGAGGTGGACGTAGATGAAAAGGTTGTTCCCGCGATTCGTGATTTGTCTTTTGAAACGGGAGCTGAACTACTTGCGCCAGACGGTTTAGTTGTATTTCGTGGCACAGAAGTACCAGTTGCTTCATCGAAGTTGTTCTTTCTTGTGTGAAAATCTTCGAACGAAACTGCGGAATGAGCCTTGCTGGGGGCTCGGTAGTTGCTGTAGGGTGCTTGTTTTGGGTTTTGGCTGCTAGTCTGGCTCAGCGGGGGGTGGTCGTGTGCAACAGCGGCCACTCCGGCTCGAGACGCTGATTCTGCAAGATGAACCGCGGGCGGTGGTGCGGTCGTCGTCCGCGCAGGTTGTTGTACTCCTACACCTACATTTGCTGGTGCAGCTTTCATCATCATTCCGGGTTCTGTTTTATATTCCTGCTGCCGTCCACTCGTCCTCTCCGTCACTTGTTCATGCTGCACATCGGCGACTTCGTCCGCCGTAGACCCGGAATCACCTGTGCCACTGACAACTCTGACGTGCGTTACCACGGCTGGTAGTGGAGGGTGGAACATGGTCTCATCTCCTCGTGGTTGTGGTTCTCCTTCATGCGCCACGAAAGATGAACTCGTCACGGGAGTCGCCTTCTGATCCTCGTCCTTGTTTTTCTGTGCGCTGTCTTGTACCGTGCCAGGGTGGCGTGCGTGTGCCCCCGGTGGTTGTTCTTGCTGCTCTTTGGTGAAACTACTACTGTCTCGCCTCCCCACCATGGAAGAAGATGTGGCTTTACCTGCACCAGTAAGGAGTCCCGCGGCTGGAGGAACGACAAACGGTTCGTTTTTCAAAGTGACATTCTGGCTGTCAACAGGATCGATTTGACCATAATGGTCCGCCGCGTTTCGTCCATCTTCCCTCGCTGCTGCCTCTTCCTCTTTGCTCAACACAATCACCTCAGTTCCCGTGGCGTTCAAAGGCAATGACTGCAAGGACCGGGCACTGAACTGCGGTTCTTTGCATGCGACGTCATTTGTTCCCGGTCCTGTTCCTGGCGGAGGTTCTTCTAGTACTTCTTCCCGCCTGCCAGCTGATCTTTGTCGTTCCTGGCGCTTGCTATTCTTGTTGTTCTCCTTTGCGCTAGTATTTGAGTCCTGCTGTCGCCGAGTGGGGCGTCCGGGAGGTAGTCCAGGCCTGAGCAACCGCTCGGAGCCTTTCTTGCTGTCGCCCAGTGGGGCGTCGGGGAGGTAGTCCAGGTGGCCCAGCTCAAGTATTGTTCTGCTTCCCGCCTCTACGGGAGCAGGAGTACTAGTCGCAGGAACACCGGTGTTGGCCCTGCTGTCGAGCAGCATTTGCTGCTGTGACGGAAGGCGAGTAACCAGGCTTGGCACGACAGCAGGTGGCTGCGCAATGGCAACTGCTGGTCGTTCTTCTAGTTCCATTTCATCTTTGAAGCCCTGCTGCAGAAATTCTTCTTGTACCCCTCTTTCCCCTGCAGGATCTTCTTCCGCCACTAGCACCAATCCATTTTGTTCCTCATCTTCCAGCCGTTCCAAGTCTTCTTTCAGCATCTCCAGCACAGAGGACGAGGATTTCTTTCGCAATTTCTCTTTCGGAAAATCATCATGCTGTAATTTCTGCTGCTGCTGCTGCTGTTGTTTTTGAAACAGTGTGGTAAATGCGCTCTCCGCGATCTTTCCGGGTTCTTGTTTCATCGGTTTAATATTGTTCCTGACAACTGCAGGCGCATAATCCCTCGACCGCATGGCTAACTTCCTAGCCATCAGACCGGAAACGAGAGACAATTCTTCCAGATAGGCAGCCTCGAAACTCGTGCTATGGGGGGCGTCTTCATGACGAAGAAGTTCTTGTGACAAACCTTCCTCGTCGTTCTTCCCTTGCAATGCCTGTAATGATGTTCCTAGTCCTACCTGCGCGCCAACAGTACTAGCCGCGTGTCGCGCAGCACGCTCGGTTCTTTTCTCCGAGCCGCTTCTGGTCAATCGCAAAACGGATTTCAACATGTGAACCGTTCGGGAGAATTTGCTCCTTTTCCGCTTCGGAGGGGAAGAAGTAGGAGAAGCTTTTGCAATTTCTCCTGCAGCTGCTGTTCTACTTCTATCAAGATCATACCGCCCAACATTCAGAAACTCTTGGTGGATCAAGGAGGTGAGTGAAGCCGTGGAACTCGAGGAGGAAAAGGCGATTTGGTTAGAGGCATCGTGGTCAACATCGTACTTCCGACTGGTGCTGGAAGATGCGCTACTAGAGAGGACGCCTGCACCTGTTCTACTCGCGGAGGATGCTTTGCTGGTCGAACGGGACAGGATTTTCCCTTGATGCTGTACGCTACTCTGCATGTCGAATGATCTTCCCTGCGAGTGCTGCTGCCCAGTATCGTAGTCATTTTCAACGTCCTCACCTCCACCTCCCGGCGCAACCTTCGCTGTCACTTTTCCCCGTCTTGAAGAAGAGGAGTTCTTTTTCCGTAGCAGTTTCGCAACCACCCGCGCAACTCTCTCCGTCGTGGAGGAGGATCTTGATCTGGGTAATTTCGGTGGTTGTTCTACCTGTTTTGGAGATGGTTCTTGCTTCCCCTGCCCAAAGGCCACCTCGTCCTGTTGGTCCAGGGTAATAGTATTCCGATGCTCGTCCCCAACTTCCCCACGAGTAAGCAACCTTGAAGTCGTCTGTAGTTGTTGTGCCGTAGTAGTTTTTGCCCGCTTAGCAGAAGGTTTCTTTAGTTCAGAAGTTCTCGTCGTCTCCCGCTGGTCTTCCTTTTCCTGCCCTGCAGCGCGCCTAACAGGACGCACCGGCGCTGTGGCAGATTTACTGAACTTCTTCTTTGCTTGAACCTTTTCTTCGGTTGCGGTGACTAAAGGGGCTCGCTGTACGTCAACTTCTTGTAGTTCTGAAGGGCGGCCGAGAAAAGGTTCAGTTGCAGTTGGGTTTTGTGCAGCGGAATTGTTGCTGTTGAATACGTCCATCAAATTGTCGGCTTCCTCCTCCTCTTCCTCCGTGCCCGTCTGTTGGTCGAGGAGGAAAGAGGTCTTGTTATCCAATGATACAACGCCGCGGTCACTTGTTTTCTTATTGTTCTCACCAGCCAGCTGCACGACCGTGTCAACAACATCATGATCATCTTCAGCAGGATACTGATTTTCCAGCCCTCGTTCTTCGTCCACTGGTGATATGATCGCACCCGCTGGCACCGTATCAACTGTAAAAATGTCTGGGTCTGGAAGATTCTGACACTTGTCATGCACGTTTTGCATGAGCCATGATGTCTGTGATGCATACCCTAGCAATGCAGATTTTTTGAGGGCTTCCTGATGCCTATTCCGCATGACAAATGCCTTCTCAGCGTAGCAAACATTGCATTCCCTTTGGTACTCATGCAATACAGATTTTTTTTAGAATACAAAAATAGCACTACAAGTTGCATCCTTCCAGACCCAGACACTTTTACATTTGATACACTGGCGGTGGTAGCGGGACCTTCACTTTCGGCGCTTGTAGCGGGACGGGATTTGCTGGTGGCGCAGAAGTTCTTGTTCCGGAGGACGACTTCTTTGGGGCTTGCATCTTCGTATTCTCTTGGTCATCAACACTGCTTGTTATTTTTCCGCCAGTAGAAAAATCTTCTTGTTCAATAGAACTAGAAGTTCTTGTGTTCGCCTGTGGTTCTTGCAGCATGGCAGCATTCTGGCTGTCGCCAATAGAACTAGAGGACTTCGCTTTTTTCCTCAGGCCATCGTCCTTCCGCGTTGAAACGTTCGAATTGGAAGGTGAGGACGTTCTTGCGTGTTTGACTTTGATTTTATCCACCTTCCGCGGCGGTGGCGGAGGAGGAGGTGGTGAAACAAGTCGACTGGAGCCGGAGCCAGAACCGCCGGAGATCTCGCCGCTGCTAGCCGTATGCTCCTGTGGTCCTCCACCACGGTCGTGAAAAAGACTACTTTGCTTATGTGAAGAGCTGCCAAAAGACAGCTTTTGTTCGTCAAGAAGCTCTTCCTGTTCCTCGTCTGGTGGTTTATTAGAAGATGCAGCAGCAGCAGCTCCACCTCCGGTTGTATTTTGATCATCCTCTGCAGTTTCAACTTGATTGCCCTGTGTGCCTGCTTCTGACGAAGATTTAGATTTCTTGTCCGAGATAGAATTAAACGAGTGCTCCGACATCAAGGATTCCTCCTCCCGCTCCCTCGCCAACGCGCCCCAGGAGTCCTCACTCGGGTCGGGGAAGCTTTTGGCGTCTGCTTCGTTGTCGGTTGGGTTGGCGGGATGGCGTTGTTGGTCCGGCAGGTCGGGGCGTTCAGGCTCTTCAAGATGATCGCTGTCTTCTTCACTGGAGGACATCATTGTAGGTTCTGATAATGCAAGAGCGACAAGAAGATGTAGCGCTTTCGTAGGAGATTCTGGCGCGATTGACGCTGTGACTCACTGCATAAGCGGTTCTAAGAGCTGCGTGGACTCTCTTGAAACTGGGATACGATCTCCAATTTGCAAAGCAGAACCGGAATAACGACTTTGCCACCACGAGACCGACAAGAACAAAAATCGCGACGAGGCACCTGTTACGGCAGCCGTGCCGGCACGGTAGCTGCCACAGACAATGAACGCCTGAGGGCCGGCGGATAGCAAAGAAATATGAGAACGCGGGCCGGCAATGGGGCTAGCGCACGCCCTGCCCCCGAAGGCCGACGGGGGCGGGCCCGGGCGTGGCGGAGGCCGGAACGCCGAATAGTAATACTAGCGCGCTAAAGTGCGCGCTCGCAGACCACCGGGCGCAATTAGCCACACCCACACCGCGCGGGCCTTGGCTTTGCCTTCCGTCGCGGCGGGTGTGCGAGGCACTGCCGGGCGGCTAACCTCGGCCGCAGTTAATGAACCAGCCGCCCCCTCGCTCCCAAACAGAGAAGACGGGCGGGCGATAACGTAAGGAAGCCACAAGGAGGCGGCGGGCGCCCATGGGGGGAGGCGCGCGGGTGCGGGGCGGCGCCCGCGCACGTCCTGAAAAACTTCAACAAGACCAAAGGCCGGCGGAGCTGGATCGCCGTCCGCGCGTAGGCCAGCAGGACCCGCGACGGCTCCGACGGTGGCGGGCCGAAAAGCTCGCCGGAAGCCGGCGCGCCCGCAAGCAAACGCCATGGCCAGGGCGCCAAGGCTATCCCGGTGCGGCGCATCGAAGTAGACGCGGACGCTGCGCCCGGCCAGCATCAGCGAAGCCCAGGACCTCCCCTGCGCAGCCCCGGCGTTCGTCGGTCGCACCAATGGCCGCAGCGAGGCGGCTGGCTCGCAGTACGACTGGCCTGCAACTCGCAAAAAGCATGCCACCGCGGCGGGGCGGTGGCTGGGTTGCACCGCGTGGCCGGAAGAGCGGCCGCCAACCAACTAGCGCCGCACCCTACGCCACGAAGCGAGTGGCCGCCACATCCCTAGCGCAGCCGCACTCGTTCGCCGAACGCTCCAGGACATGCTTCAACGCATCGAGGGGGCCCACGCCCGCGCGCGGCGCGTTGCTGCGGCCGGCCGGCGGGCGCAGCCTCTTCGCGGCCCGGCCCAGGGCCGTCGGTCCTTCCTTCGGCCCCGCGCTGTCTTGCTGAGCGACAGGCGCCGCGGCCTTCTCCAAGGTGGCACGAGGCTGCTACTGTGCTTAGCACTATATTTCGAACAAACGAACAGAAACAGTCAGCCTCGAGATTCGTGTCCACTCGGGCCCCAAACTTCTCTCGAACAACCTCCGCTATGTCGAGGCCGCCCTCGTCGGAGAGCGATCTTCGAACAAAATTCATGTCCTTCAAACGAACACTCTGACTACACAGCGTCTTGCAATACCCATCGCTGGTCAACACAGTTGTCATTTACATCAGCGAGAAAACTGTTGTAGCAGCTTCATTGAAAAGCCATTATTTCCTTTTCCATCATACAGGACGCGTCCGAAGCAAAGAAGGTGCGTGTCGGTCCATTTCGAACGGATCGTCAAAAATCATACAAGTCGGCCATTTGTAAAAGTACTTAATCCTTCATCCTTACCACGGAAGATCCTGATCTAAAAGGGCAAAAACCCCGATCTCCATGATCATCTCCTACCAAAACACCTCCGCCACCATACATCTCACACCCCCACCGCCGATTTTCTCGATGGTTGAAACGTCGCAACAAACCAGCATGTACCCGCTCTCTGACAGAGTTCTCTTCTGCTCCTCCGTAAAAGCTTTTTCTGCTGTTGTGGACAGCAGCCAGAGGAATTCGAGTTCTTCGTCTTGCTTGTTCATGTTTTCTTTTTCATCAACATCGCCAGCACCGAAATGAGTTGTTGCGGTTGTACTAGTGCTCGCACTTTTATTACTCCGTGCAGCCAGTTCCAAGCAATTCCCCGCGAAATTCTCAACTTGAGCGAACGAGATGTCAATGATATCGAGTGCCAATGTGTCTGGGTCTGGAAGGTTGAACCTGTATTGCATGTCTCGCATTCCTAAAAAACCTGTATTGCAGAAGCAGCAAATGAAGCGCCACACTTTCGTCATGCAGAAGCGCAGTTTGTGTTTGTAATGCGTTCTGCGCATGAGAAAGCGATTGAAACATTTGTCATGCTGCACTGCACTTACAGGCACACTCAATCTCAATCATGACACTTCAGCATTACAAGTTTCCAGACCCAGACATATTTGCAATCCATAAATGACTTTCTTCAACAATTTCTGTTCCAGCAACTCCTGCAGTTCTTGTTTCGAAGAGATAAAGCAGGTGGTTTTGGTAGTTTTTCTGTGTCGAGTAGAAGCTTTAATCTTTTGCTTTTCATCGGTCGTCTCGTCTCCATTTTGCTGCTGCTGCTGCTCTACTGCGCGTGCAATTTTTTCATCATAATCCCCCGCGGCCACGCCCTTCACCTGCTCCAAACAAACCACTGCGACGCTTTTCCCGACCGTCATAATCACGTTTGTGTGGTATCCTGAGTGAAAACGGCCCCGCCCATTAGCTCCTGTCATGCAGATTTGCATCTACAAAATCATCTGTAATGCAGATCCGCACGACAGTTATTTGTAGTCGTGTTCTGGGATTTGTGATGCTGTAAACAGCATACACAGGCGTTTTTGTGATGCGGCTGTCCTTGCTAATTAGGACTACAGTGCAGATCGAAACTTGTAATGCTCAACTCCCAAAACTTGGAAATTTGTGTTGCAGATTTACCAACTTGACTATGGGGTGGTCACCTTTTTACACAGGATATGTGGTAGATGTTGTTCACCGTTTCAAAAACCACCAAATCGTAGCCCATCCGGTCATATGAAATGCAAATATGTCTGGGTCTGGGAACTTGTGATGCAAAGAAGAAAATAGGCAGCGCACTGTCAAGCATGATAAGTCTCTCCATGGGTCGCAGTTGCGCACTTCGCATGAGAAACTGCGTTTTCGCATGACACGCAAGAGACGCTCTTATTTGCGGCCACGCAATACAGAGTTCAGAGCCCATGCCAGGCTCGCATGACAAATTTCACAATGAATCTCCCAGACCCAAACATATATGCAGTTGATAGGTCGCAGACGAGAGATTCCGCCAGCGCGACGGAGTTCGCCCTCGGGGAGAGCGCGAGAAAACTATCCGAGAAAAAAAGTGTTACAGTTACACACCTGTTCTTTGGCAATCAGCAACACAAACTTGGTCTGCATTTGACAGCGGAAACTTGCGATGCAGAGATCATAAGGGAAATAAACACGTGCGAAGAATAAACTAAGCCCCCAAGCTGCATATCGGGCATGACAGACCTTCTCTGTCTTGCTTGATTTGCAACACAACGACCATGTGTAACTGTAACACTTTTTTTTTCGCATAAAAACAGGTTCGCGTCCAGTGGTCGAAGACGAGACAGCCCGTGCCTTCCAGGAAGACCTTGCTGGAACGAGAGGTAGATCCCGCTGTTTTTGCGCCCTCTTCAACATCTCCCCGTAAGTCCACAATTTCTGTTGTGGATTTGTCTTGCTGGAGCTGCTGCTGCGACTCTGACTCACGAACTTGTTCTGCATAATCATTATTCCACCCTATCAGCTGTACCAGACTTTCGATCTTCACTTCCCTCTGCCGGGATGGACACAGCATCGGGTAGATGGCAATCTTCTTCGACATCAATGGGTGATCTTCTCTTGCTGAAGTTCCATCACAATTGATGGTTGACGTTTTGTCATGCTGATGAAGATGATCACCTCCTCCCCCTCCACGCGGAGACGAAACGAAGGTCGAGAACCAGTTGTTGGGAAAGACGGCGTCGGGAAGAAAATCTGGTTTGTCATGCTGTTCCCCCATCAAAACGGACACTTTCACCCCAAAGGCCTCTAACTTCGATTTCACGTTGTGCCACTCGATAGACGCCTGCTGCTGTACTATTTTTGCGGAAGTAGCCGCATGATCTGGTGAAGCGGTTCTTGTCCCGGGTGCGTTGCTGATGCTGTTGGACGTCGAGAGATTGGCATGCATGAACTCGTTCGTGCCAGCGGTCTCCTCGTTGAAGCCAAAAGACGTCGGCGGAACCATCACCACATGGTTGGCGACGCATCTTTGTCGACCTGTTGACATGGTTATTTAGTATCAAGCGCCAGCTGTTTCTGTTGCGCGACAGTGGGTGCAGCGACGTCGAGGTAGAATCTCTAAAAATGGCGACAGTGCGGCGTCGAGGTCGAGTCTTTATAACAAAACCAGTGTAGTCCGCAATGGCTGAACGCCACCCACAAAACGGCACCGGCCTGCGTGCCACAGGTCGGTGGCAATTACGGGGGCCGGCATTTATTTTTCCCTGGGGCGGGCGAGCCTACGGGGGGGAGGCGCTAGTACCGGCATCGCTTCGCCGACCTGTTACAGCCGAGGCCCGAACCCCGGCACGAATCTACGCCACTGTGTTGTTCGGTGCCTTCAAAGAACCTCTGCCGCCGCTCGTCTCTGCCTTCTTGCGTCGCTCTGATTCATCAGACAAGTCGCAGTAGAACCAAGCAACCCCCGCAAGTGTTTTTCTCTCGGCGGGATGAAACAAGCGCTGCTTACCGAAACAGAACACTTGTGACTGGTTGAAATATTTTTAGCTGCGGAGTACTTCCACTCTGACCAGGATTCTGTGTTCAAATTTGTGTCAAAGTGAACGACGACAAAGCGTCAGCAGGGTGTGTGTTTTTTGTTTTCAATTGTTCAGCCCAATAAAGTAGGTGCGGTAGTTGCGTTCTTACCCGGGAAATGGAAATGCACTAGACTGTTCATCAGTTCTTCATCACATATGGAGTTAAAATTTTTATCACGTTTCCCCTGCGTCCTCAAGTCAGTGCTTCACTCAACACCACGACTTCTTTTATTGCAACTTCCTATTTAGATCCACTTCGACTTCATCCACAGCAACCCTAGTCATTGCACCACAAAAAACCCACAGTGTTCGTGTTCAACTTCCGTGTAAAGGTGCGGAAAAATAAAACAGCACGAGCACTCACGAATAATCCGCCTAACTAAGTGAAATCTAAAAACTGAACAGATTCCCCACCTCGGTCGGGACAGGAGAAAGCCCCGCACCAGACCTTCCCCCCGCACCACTCGAGAGTCCACCCATACTCCGTATTCTGGCGAAAATCATGACTGCTGCAATGACCGCATGGTAGGCGTGCCAAATTTGCAACGGGCCGAGGTTCAGAACCAGAGAAATATCCTGTGCAAAACCATCGTACTAGTATAACTCGCATGACAAATTTCCTCAGCATGAGAAAAACAATTTGTAATGCGGTTTTACCTATAGAAAAAGAATTTGTAATGCATGACTGCGATTACTACTAGTACGAAGATACTTTTGCAATGCATAAGAAATCCCGCAAATCACAAACAGGTCGTAGTTTCTCAGTAGCACGTGCCGCATGTTCCAATACAGGTAGAAATACCCCGGAATGATCACATCGTAGGCAACCATCGCCGTCATCGGCCCAATGTAGTTTTTGAATTTCAGGGTGTGGATGAAAATGCTGATGGTACATGCGTACGCGCCGATCACCTGAATCCCGTACAGCAAATACCGGTCCTCCTCCGTGATGCGGTATCCTCTGTAAAAACGTCCCCACCCCAGAGGTGTAATGCAGAATTACAATCACAGGAAAACTTGTAATGCGCATTTCCATGAGAGGTGGCATTTTCAATCGTGTTATGCAATTTGTGATACTGTAAACAGGATACCAGGATGGATTTGTGATGCGGTTGTCCTTGCTAACCCGCGGCATTACAGTACAGAGAAAGACTTGTCATGCGTGACTCCCAAAACTTCTAGATCCGTGTTGCAGAGTCCCCATTTTGACTCTGGGGTGGGGACGTTTTTACACAGGATATGCGGCCGAGAAAAATCAAGTAATTCGGGAAGTAGGACACGAAATGCTTCTTTCGCAAGAAAAAACTGCTTCACTGCGAACTTGTGATGCAGAGAACGAAGCACCAAGGTGTTTGTGTTGCTACACCTGCATAGAACATTGGAGTTTCAGCCGTGTTTTCCCCTATTGGAAATGCCCGCATGGCAAATTTTCCGTGTCATGTGTAACAAACTTGCGATGCGGATCTTGCAAAATCACCACAGTGAAACAGTTTTTTCGTGGGATAGCTTCGCGAACAGGTAGAATACTTTGATGGCGTAGGCGGACGCGGTGAGGCTCCAGGCGTTCTCGGGAGATTTGTATCAAAGTGAAAAATCCCCCCTCCCCAGATTGAAAAGGAAATTTCTGTTGCTGGATTTGTGTACACAAATCAGCTCTGTCTTGCAGTGAGGCACTGCAAGAAAAGGAGCCTCAGCCTGTGTAGGTGTGTTTTGCTGTAGGTGCTTAGCATCGCAGAGGCCTACCATGTAGCCGCAACAGCATTACAAATCGCCTGCAGAGGCCGGCGGATGCTTTGGATTTGCCATCTTGCAAGAGAAACAGGATTTGTGGTCACAAATCAGCATGACAAATTTTTAGGAACATGCCTATTCAATATGGGGAGGGGAGATTTTTCCTCACAATAACTTGTTTTTCGCGTTTTTGACCGCGTTCCGGATCCGGGACACCGGCCAGAACACCGATCGGAAATAGAAGACGAAAAAGACGAAGATGGGTTCCAACAGGAAAAAGAAAACGCGCTGGAATACCGGTTTGAAGCTGTTGTTCTGAAAGAAGAAGAACTTGTTTCCACCTGTTCCGAGGACATCATGATAAGAACCGGCTCTTGCGGTATCAACTTCTACACTTGATGTCATGCTAAAAACGCTTGATTCGTCCGACAGAACAACAAGTCCTCCTGGTGGTGGTACCGTTTCCGTTGAAAAAAGCGTTGCTGCGTGCGGGTCTATTTCTATTTGCGGTGCTATTCCTAAATTCTTCACCACCTTCTCGTCGTAAAATCCCCTCCAAAACCCGTCTGGACACTGCAAATAGCAGCAGATCCACAGCAGTTGCATATAAAATGCAAATATGTCTGGGTCTGGAAGGTGGTAACTTGTCATGGTAAATCTGAAGCGTCCAAAAATGTGTGTTGCATGAGTGCTACAAGCTGGTGTCCACTTTCGACCAATTATTTGGGAGGGAGTTTCTCATGCAGGATAGGCACGGCAGAGACCTCGCAGAGTCTGTCATGCTAAGTCCCGCATTCCAGACCTCAGGCATCGTGGAAAATCTGCATGACAAGTTTACACCCCTCCAGACCCAGACACTTTTGCACTCGATATTGCATCGCGTAAAACGAATTCTCCCGCACCGTGTAGTAACTCAGCACGCTTTTGTATCGTGGGAAAAAAGTAGTGCTTACAGTTACACACTCTAATCGGAGACATCAAGCAAGACAGACAACCTCTGTCATGCAGGAAATGCTGTCCAGCCTCATTTCGTTTGTGTTTTCCCTTATAGTCTGCGCATCACAGCAGGTTTTCTTATTGCCATGTCGAACAACTTTGTGATGCAGAAACTCCAACAATTTGTGTATTACACAAATTGTATTACGGTTTAAAACCGTAACACTTTTCTCCTGTGATATTTTGTCCGCAACGGCCGCGAACCCCGGGTCTTCCTTCCGCGGGAGAAAACGGAAGGTTAGAGCCGCGTTTAAAGACTGCACAAACCCGGTTAAAGGGACAGACCAGACGAGAATGGAAGATTTGAATTTCTCGTAGTCCGTGAAGTACAGGTACACTTCAGCCGCGTATTGAACTAGGAAGAGAAACCCGAGGAGCCGGTGGGACAAAAATTTCTTCTGTAGGAAAAACAGGTTGGTAATTGTGTACGGAAAGCGGAGAACCATGCGAAGGATGTTTTTAGAAGTTGTACCAGAGCTGCTAGAAGTGGAAGATGTAGTTGTTGAGGACCTCCCTAGTGCCGCTGGTTTCGAGTTGGTTACTTGCTCTGCGTCGTCCTCGACTTTACAGCTACTTCCAACGGTTGATGTAGCACAACTGCGGTCGACCAGACCATCTTCTTGTGTGCAGTTCCTCGGTGTGCTCAAGGTCGAGTTTGCGGCACTGGAGGCTGTCGTGCTGGGGTATTTTTGTTCCACGGTGTCTACTACTAGGCCGGCTCCTTCCGCCTTGCCGCGGGGCGCGGCTGCGGAGGGAGAAGTAGAGGTGGATGCGAGGACAGTCATTGCAGCTTTATTTGTGTTGTGGTCCTAGTGGTACGGCTTCTATGGACGTCGAAATTCCCAGCCAACTGTATGTTGGTGGTTTTGTAGAATGCGGCGCAATTCCTCCATACACAAGTGCTGCAAATTTTTTCAAAAAGCTCGCGCCCTTCAGCAAAGAAATTCATCATCTCCAGGCGACCTCTCCGTCACTCGCGGCTCAAAATCGTGAGTGGTCGGCTCAGATCTAACCAATGATCAGGATCTATAACTCGCTCCAAACCTCGCCTCTCGTGTTATTTCCTTGTGCTCGGCGGGGACAGATTTCCCTTGCTCCGACGGCCCGCCGACACACGACGGAGCCAACTATATGGCGCAGGACCCTCACTCCGAACAGGAACAACGGGAACGGCAGCAGGCGCCCAAAGTAAGTAAAAAAGCGACTGCCGCCCGAGCATCTTCTACTTCTTCAGTCCGTGAGCCTCCAACTTGGGTGCGTAAGTTTCTTTGCGTCGTCCGTTCCGCCGAGACTGGCGGCCGCGTGCCTTCTTGCATGCAGCGCCACCACCGGCCACTCAGCCCGGCGGGCCAACCAAAGGGCCGCCGGCCGACAAGCCAGAGCGGCCAAAACCAACCGCGCGCCCTGGCGGGCCAAGTAGGAACGAGTCCGCGCGCCCGCAGCACAGCCTGGTGGCGCGGGGGCCCCACGAAACCGGGCAGGGAACAGGGGCCACAACCCCGCGCCCAAAGGGCTGCAAGGAGGGCCATGCGCGCGGCCCCTGCCCCCCACGCTGCATTATGCGAAAAGGGGCGGCAAACGAACGCGGGCGCGTGGGGAGCGAGCACACAGGCCCGGCCGCGCCGGCCCGCCGTGCTGCGGCGCACTGAATTCTTCCAGCTCTGGGCGTCCTCGCGTCCCCCGCGTCCTCGTGCGGCAATAGGGCTGAGCGCCGGCGCGTTCGCCGGCGGCAGACGCGGGCCTGGTGCTGGCGCCGGCGCGTCCAGACAGGCTGGCCGCTGCAGCAGTCGAAGACAGAGAGCGCCGCCGCCGGCCAGCCCGGCGCCGTCACTGACAGAGGACAACACCCCGGCCGCGCCGTTCCTTTCGCCTTGCCGCGCAGGTCTCCCACGGGGGAAAACGGAGGACGGGGAAGCAGCCACTTTCCTTGTGTTTGTGACAGAAGAGCTGCAACGAAATTAAAGTACCCCAATCGGCCTAACAATGAAAATCCCGCCTTGTTTCGTCTTCATGGAACCTGTCTTCCTTCAGCCTGGTCGAGTAGAAAAGACGCAACTAGACCCAAGACTACTACATCATCACCCTGCACTCTCCGAATAAAACCATAACTTTATCTCAGCACAGTGACAGCCCGGCGGCGAGTGAAAATAAGTACGCGTCTCTCTACTTCGTTCTGCCAAAATTGTATACAGACAAAACCAAACGGTCACAAAGCTGAAACGAGCAACCATTATTGCCTGCAAGACTTATCCGGCCCTGCAGGAGTGGCAACATGTCGCCCAGGAGACCACTCAGTGGACGTCTGCCGTTCTACGAAAAAGAAAAACGCCAGTCCGTCCGACCGGCCACACTCTCACCAGACAGCAGCCGCGCACCAGATTTCAACACATTTTTGCGTAGCACACGAAAAAGGCCGGCGCCGGCTTAAGGCGTTCCGCCACATCTACTTCAATGGGAGAAGCATAGTACACTGCGCGGGGGCCTCTACTGCTTCATTGCATTTGCATTCTAATATTCTTATAAACCTACGACTATATTAGCGGTGTAAAAAAAAAGTCACTGCGTGATCCCGCCTGAAATGATGACTTAAATCTATTCGAGGCAGTAGTCCCCTCATGATTGCACTCTAGGTAGTAGTCCCCCCTAGGATTAATATCCTCTTCCGTCTTGCACTTCGTTGCTTGGATTGTTTTCCGTAACCGCCCCAGATATCGGGCTTGTCCAAGCAGGCCTCCACAAGTTTCACATAGTCTTCGTCCCCCTCCACCGTCATGATATCTCTCCAGGACCTCAAATCCTGCTTGAACCGTTCGCACTTATCAAACATGAACTCCACATCTTTCAACTTCGCCACATATGAACTGCAAAAGTATCGTAGAAGTAGTACAAATTGCATTACAAATTTGCTCAGCATTACAAATGGAATTTGTAATGCGGATTTGCCTATAAGCAAAAAATTTGTGATGCATAAAAGCAATTAGTACGAGTACGATACTTTTGCACAGGATACCACATTCCAATCTTTGATATCCTGATTGAAATTCTCGCACCCCGCAAACATCCCCTATCAAAATGAAAAATTCCCCCTCCCCACATCAAAAAGGGAAATTTGTGATGCTGATTTGTGGCCACAAATCAGCTTTGTCATGCTAGAAGGCAAATAAAGATGCGGACTGTAGTGCTGGGTTGCGTGGGAAACAAGCCTTGCATCTTCAGCATGACAGGAGGCAGCTGGAACAAGTGGGAAACAGCGTGACAAATTGCCTGCAGACGAGACCACGACTGCGCCTCTTTGCCTTCTAGCAATACAAGTCGATGTATGCACTCAGATACAGCATGACAAGTTTCGTTTTCGATATGGGGAGGGAAGATTTTTCCTCACGATATCCCCCGCATCGTGGTCACGTTGGAAACGTCCCAATGCTTCAGCTTATGGAAGCGTCAGGACTGAAATCGTCAAAGTTGAAATAGTTTGTGATGCATGAAATGCAACCCACAAAATGCCTCTCTTGCAGAGTAGGCTAGGGAAGCAGATTGCAAGCCTGTTGAGGGGTAGAAATAGAGCTGCTAAAGTTGCATGACGAAAGGCGTCTTCCTTACCGAAACAGCATGACAAACTGGATGTAGGCACCACCAAAATTTATCATGCACCACTTGAGAGCTGGGCTGTGACTGGACTCCATTTTATGCATGGCAAATTATTTCAACTCGGTCGATTTCAAACCTGACAGATCCATACAGCTTCCGGTCGAAATACGCACACCCGAGAAACATGCCGGCCATGTTCGTAGCACCCGAAACGTCCCACGCACTGTATGACCTGCTCAAACGTTACAATCTCAAACGTTACAATAGAGTCGGGAAATCTGTGATGCAAGAAATGCATGATCTAGCCAACTCTCATAGGACTGCGCATGACAAGTTCCGGAGTCCCACACCGCACTACAATCTGGCGAAATTTGTATTGCAGAAAGTGGAACGGTCTACGAGTCTGTAATGCTCATGATGCAAGACAAGTCCCAGATTCTATTGTAACGTTTGAGATTGTAACACCTGAGCGGGTTATACACTGATATCGCTGTTGAAGTAGCTCGTTTCAACATCATCGGGATTATTCAAACGGGGATACCAGCGAGCAGTAGAACTGAAGTTGGGAAAGCGCGAGAAGAGAGCGGAAAAATCTTGTATCAAATGTAAAAATGTCTGGGTCTGGAAGATTGTGAGACTTGTCATGCATATTTCGGATCACGCAAATGGCGTCTGATGCAGGCAAAAGCATCACAGGTTCTGGGCACGTCTCATGATGCCTGTCCCGCATGAGAGACTTCCTGCTTCCGTGCGAAGAAGTGGACAGCTTTTGGCGCTCATGCAACACAAATTTTTGTGTGTTCCAGAGTTTGCATCGCAAGTTCCAACTCTTCCAGACCCAGACATTTTTGCAATCCATATCTTGGATGGCACTGCAATCCCAAATTCGAATCGGCCCGTAGAGCTCTTCGGCTTCCATATCAAATGCAAAAATGTCTGGGTCTGGAAGATTTCTAGAGTTGTCATGCATATTTCCCATGATCCGTGTCGTCTGGAATGCAGGACCTAGCATGACAGATTCTGCCAGATCCCTATCATGCTTACCCTGCATGAGAGACTGCCTCGCGATTAGGTCAAAAGTGGACAGCTTTTGATAATCATGCAACACAGATTTTTACATGATTCAGATTTAGCATGACAAGTTGCTTTGTTCCAGACCCAGACATTTTTACAGTCGATATTCCAATTGCGTTCGCGAAACTTCTTTGGAACGGTGAAAAGTCCGGTTTCGCGTGTCCAGGTAGGGGAGTAGGATCCGGTTTAGAATATTCCGACTGGGAACCGGATATCACACCAAAGAGTGTTAACGTTAACGAAATTTGGCATGCAGGAATGCAGGATAAATGATGCCCAAATACAAATTTGTATTGCATAGCATGCATGATAGCGAAAATTTGTCATGCATGACTGCAGTGCCCCAAAACCGTTAACGTTAACACTTTTTTGCTCGATACCGGATCAAAGGTCTTGATGAAGAATTTCAGATTGAAATAATGAACAACTACTTGTTCATCTACATCCGCACTGTTCATCTTCCGCTCCTCCTGATCGACGACGTGTGCTGGCCTACTTTCGTTATGATTTGTTCCCACGTGGGCGGAAGTACTAGATGTAGAAAACGTAGAAGAAGATGGTGGAGAATTTTCAAAAACGTAGTTCCGCTTCTTGTTTTCCCGGTCGATGTTCTCTGAATAGTTAGCCAAGTACCGTTTCACCGTTTCCGCTACCACAGAGTCTATTTTTTCCTGGTCTACCTTGGTCCTCGAAGCTGATGAAGATGAACACGTAGTTTCCCTCACCACGCGCATGATTTCTTTGTCCTGCTTCATTTCCTGTTCGAGGAGAAAGCTCAACGCGTTTTGGCTCGGCGTGGCGGTAACGACATCTGGGTTTGCTTCATCCACAGTCCGAACAGCGTGGTTGTATCAAATGTAAAAGTATCTGGGTCTGGAAGAATGTCATGCTAAAAATGAAGCAAGCAAAAATCTGTGTTGCATGAGTACCAAAAGTCGTCCAGTTTTGACCAAGTCGGGCGGGAGTTTCTCATGCAGAATAAGCATGAGAGAGATTGATCGCACAGAATGTGTCATGCTAGGTCCTGCATTCCAGACCTCATGGGTCATGGAAAAGCTGCATGACAAGTCGCCTTCTTTCCAGACCCAGACATTTTTGCATTTGATAGGTTGTTAGCCGCGACGATTTTCCAGGAGGTTCTTGTCGACTCCTGTTTCGCTGCACAGTTAATCTCCCCGGTCGTGCTACTGCTACAACTACCCGCTGAAAATAAATCTTCAGGTCGTCGTGGAGAGGACAACATCACGCCTTCTACGTCTTCGGAGTGAACATTCGTCCCGTTCTTGGATGTTGAACGATGGTTGGAATAAACAGATGAGTTGCATGCTTGTTCGGCTGCATTTCTTGTCGTCGCGGCCACGGTAGAAGAAGAAGTACTTGAAGCAGTTGCTCTTATCGTAAGGAAAAACCCCCCCTCCCCATATCAAGAAGCTACTTCTCAGAAAATTTGCAATGCTGATTTGTGGCCACAAATCTTTTTGTCTTGCAAGCAGGCAACTCTACAGTCTCCGCCGCATTATGCGGACGGTTTGTGATGCTGCTTGGGCTAAAGCATAGACATTTGTGATGCTAAGCGTCCACGTCAGAAGCTCGGTACTCAGGCACGGCATATGCCTGCAGTCCTCTACTGCAAGACAGCTCTGATTTGTGTACGGAAATCCAGCATCAGAAACTTCGTTTTGATATGGGGAGGGGGGATTTTTCCTCTCAATAGTTCTGCCGCTATCATCAGACTCGATCATCAAAATGACGTTTTCCCAGAATATCAAATTTAAAAATATCTGGGTCTGGAAGATTGCAACTTGTCATGCTAAATCTGCAGCATGCAAAAATCTGTGTTGCATGATTACCAAAAGTAGTCCAGTTTTGACCAAGTCGGGAGGTAGTTTCTCATGCAGGATAGGCATTAGAAAGGTCTCGCAGAATCTGTCATGCTGGGTCTCGCATTCCAGACCTCATTGGTCATGAAAAACCTGCATCACAAATCTTGCATTCTTCCAGACCCAGACATTTTCACATTTGATACAGAACACGGGCCGCCGACGGTGGGACAGCTCTCGCGGAGGTCGGGCGGGTTGTAATTCTTCAACACTAGAACAAATGACACCAGGCGTGGCCGTGGTCCCGCGACCTCCATGGTCTGGTACAGCAGTGCGGAGTTTTCCGGATCGTCCGCCGGGGAGATCTCGGTCAAGCCCTTCTGCACGTTGTTGATGAAGCCCATCAGCTGCACAATCCGCTCCTCGACGTAGCTGTGCAGGTACATCGAGTACTTCTCCTCCCACTTCGCGACGTACTGCACCAGGTTGATCTTCACGGGCTGCGAGTTGATGCGCAGCCAGTGGATGTCCACCGGGGTTTTCGTCCCCGCAATTTCCTCTTTCAACCGCTTGAATCGCGTGATCTGCTCGTCGAACCTATGCAATGTAAATTTCCCGGACATGTACAAAATGCATGACAAATTCCGCTAACTTGCAGTGTCCAACTTGTCATGCTAGACTAGGATTGAAGGCAAGTTTTGTCATGCAGAGACTTCTGCATTTGTACGTGTACGAGAAATTTCCTGTGGATAGAACCGCTCGAACGGCGGGATCTTGGGGCCCATGTCGATGCCGGCCGTGTCCATCAGCGTGTGGAAGTCCATGCCGTCCTCCACTTCCGGGTTCACCAAGTCCTTCGCGCCGTCCAGCAAAAAGTCGGCGAAGGTCTCTTCGAGGGATTCCTTCCACAAAAAGCTGTGCTGCATGAACGTCTGCCGGTAGTCGATGCACTTCATCTCCGTGTTGTCGATCAGCTCGAACACGAGAGACAACAAGCATTGCATCTGAAATATCAAATGTAAAAATGTCTGGGTCTGGAAGGTTGGAACTTGTGATGCTAACTTTACACTCTAAAAAAATCTGTATTGCATGACCAGCAAGAGAGGTCTCGTTTCTGCTACGCGGGGAGGGCATTTGTCATGCGGAGTAAGCAGCAGGAAGCCCTCTAAAAATCTGTGATGCTAGGTCGTGCATTACAGACATCCTGGGTCGTGCACAATATGCATGACAAGTTTCAGAATCTTCCAGACCCAGACATTTTTGCATTTGATATGAAAGTGCTCCTTCATCTCGTTCAGGTAATCCCCGGTACCGGTGTCCAAACGTGGCATGGTGACCGCCGCCATGGCGAAGAATTCAGAACAAATGACACCAGGCGTGGCCGTGGTCCCGCGACCTCCATCTTCTTCCTCTTCTCTTCCAAGTAGCTCATTAGATGAATTCTGCCTTCCGTAGGAGCCATCCTCTACTTCGGTCCTCCGCAGTTCCGTCACCCGCCGGGCGATGGCTTTTCGCAAGGCCAAAATCGTGGTCCTTTCCGCGTCGAAGGCGATAGAGTCGTCGTCGAGGGCCGAAGGAGTAGTATGATCGTCTTCTGCCCCGGGAGACGGCCCGGCACAAGAACCTAGTACCGCGGGGACACCTTCCTTATAATTTTTATTTCCTCGTACTACGATTGATTCTTTATCCTCGTGCGGGAACGGGAACCGTAGCGGCTCTCCCGACAGCGCGTTGCGGATGGATAAGTAAAACACGAGTTTCCTCCTGTCGCGACTCTGCACGCTGTCTGTTCTCTCCTTTGTTTGTTCTTGTTCCCGCCCTGCGGGCCGCTTCTTGAATGCAGTAATTATGCTCCTTTTTTTTTCCTGCTTTTTCGGATCACTATTTTTCAGAACTTCTTGATCGTGGTCCACTTTTTCTTCATCCTCTGCTACCAACCTTCGGAACGAGAGAGGCGTGAAATAAACTGAGGAAAATGCCTGTCTTGCAGAGTAGGCAAGGGAAGCAGATTACAAGCCTGTTTCGGGGTAGAAATAGAGCTGCTAGAGTAGCATGACAAATGGCGTCTTCCTTACCCAAACAGCATTACAGACTGGATTTCGGCTCTAGTTACATTTGCCATGCGCCGCTTAGAAATTGGGCTTCCATCTGGTATCGATTTTATGCATTACAAGTTATTTCAACTTTGTCGATCTCCTAGGCAGCATGATCTCGCGAGGAGGAGGAACAGGAAAGATCTAGTATGCAACCACTGCTACCAACCTTCGGAACGAGGGAGGCGTGAAATGAACTGAGGAAAATGCCTGTCTTGCAGAGTAGGCAAGGGATGCAGATTTTAAGCCTGTTTCGGGGTAGAAATAGAGCTGCTAGAGTAGCATGACAAATGGCGTCTTCCTTACCCAAACAGCATTACAGACTGGATTTCGGCTCTAGTTACATTTGCCATGCGCCGCTTAGAAATTGGGCTTCCATCTGGTATCGATTTTATGCATTACAAGTTATTTCAACTTTGTCGATCTCCTAGGCAGCATGATCTCGCGAGGAGGAGGAACAGGAAAGACCTAGTATGCAACCACTGCTACCAACCTTCGGAACGAGGGAGGCGTGAAATGAACTGAGGAAAATGCCTGTCTTGCAGAGTAGGCAAGGGAAGCAGATTACAAGCCTGTTTCGGGGTAGAAATAGAGCTGCTAGAGTAGCATGACAAATGGCGTCTTCCTTACCCAAACAGCATTACAGACTGGATTTCGGCTCTAGTTACATTTGCCATGCGCCGCTTAGAAATTGGGCTTCCATCTGGTATCGATTTTATGCATTACAAGTTATTTCAACTTTGTCGATCTCCTAGGCAGCATGATCTCGCGAGGAGGAGGAACAGGAAAGAACTAGTATGCAACCACTGCTACCAACCTTCGGAACGAGGGAGGCGTGAAATGAACAGAGGGTTCTTGTCGACTCCTGTTTCGTTGCAATATTGATCTCCCCGGTCGTGCTACTGCTACAACTACCCGCTGAAAACAAATCTTAAGGTCCGGGTCCCCCGACAGGAAACGTTGTTCCGGGCCTCCCGCACAGGAAAATTGTAGGCCTCTCTGAGCCGCGGAAAGTTTCGGGCCGAGAGGCCAGCTAAGGTGCATCCGGGACCCTTGCATGAGAAACGGCAGGCCCCCCGTGGCGTGGGAAAGTTCAAGGCGAAGGCGAAACAGAGCCCAGGGCGCAGTATTTCTCTCTCTTGCCAGGAGCTCGACAACCCCAGGGCCGCCCCCCCGGCGTGCCAGTCCCTGCCTCCCGAAGGTGAAGAAAACTCTGGAGCCCCCGCCGAGGCGGGAAAACATAAGCCTCCCGTGGGGAGAAAATTGTGGCCCGGCCGGCAGGGGAATCCAATTGGTTCCTGGATTCCGGGAAGACAATGCCCCGGGCCTTCCGGAAGGGCAAATTCCGGGCCTCCCGGGCATGAATGTGACGGCGCCCCAGGACGCAAAAGCCTCGGGGCTCCCCGGCGCAAAGGCTGTAGACGTCCCCAACCCCTCAATCCATCACTGTGCATCAGTCGTTCGGTGCGCCTGCCTTGGTCCAACAACATCACGAGCGATAGATTTTTGCTCGATGAACTCTACTCGCGAGAATGGAAGAACGCACGGCCGGTGATGCGTGGACGCGCCGAATATGCATGGCAATGTTGCGCGGGCTATGCGTGGCGCAACATATTTTTACTCATGTTTACGCGGGCTACGCGTGGCATTTAGCTACCAACCTTCGGAACGAGGGAGGCATGAAATGAATTGACGCCCCATTCCAGAGTTGTATATGCAAAATGGCATGCCTAAAATGTTTCTCATGCGCAGCCCCATGGGAGACATTTTGTCATGCTATCTGGAAGTTTGTGATGCTGCAATCAGGATAAGGTAGTCGATTTGTCATGCGGCTGCACTACCTGCCCAAACAGCACTGCACTACGAGTCTAAACTTGTTATGCGAAACAGCCAAAACTTGTTTTTTTGTGTAGCAAAATCACCATCTTGACTCTGGGGTGGGGACGTTTTTCCATATGATACTGTCTGTTCTCTCCTGTGTTTCTTGTTCCTGTGGTCCTGAGAGGAGCTTCTTCTTGGATGCAGCTGCAATCATGCTCCTTTTTTCTTCCTGCTTTTTTGGGTCAACAGTTTTAACAGCTTCTTCGTCGTGATCCGCTTCTCCTTCTCTTTCTTCTTGCGTCTGCGCGTCCAACTTGCCATAATTTGATGTGCCTCGGGGGCCCAGCACTGCAGCTTCCTCTTTCGTTGGTTTGGACACTCCTTCTCTTCTGCTCGCATGCCGCGATAGTATCCGGTCGCTTTTCTTGCTTCCTCGATTTTGCTCTGCACTTCTACCGAAGAACCGCGATCTTTCTGATGGCGTTCTTGGTTCGCCAATGTTCTTCTTCCCAATTCCGATCCACTCTAGTGCAACTTCTGGTTCTGCTCTGTCCCTGTCCGCTGTGATCATGTAAGAATAATCGCCGGCTTCTTCATCTTCATCCTCTGCTACCAACCTTCGGGACGAGGGAGGCGTGAAATGAACTGAGGTTCTTTTTTATCAAATGTAAAAATCCCTGGATGTCTGGAAAAGTGTAGACTTGTCATGCAGATTTTCCATGACCCATGAGGTCTGGAATGCGGGACTTAGCATGACAGACTCTGCGAGGTCTCCGCCATGCCTGTCCTGCATGAGAAACTCCCTTCCAACTTGGTGAAAAGTGGACAGCTTTTGGCACTCATGCAACACAGATTTTTGCATGCTTCAGATTCACCATGACAAGTTGCAATCTTCCAGACCCAGACATTTTTGCAATTCATATTTTTTCGCAACGGTGCGCAGTAGATGAGCGATTCATTTTTTCATGTGGACAACGACAAGCAATAAGACGCGGAAAAATAAAAAATTGAAGTTATTGTATATTTTGCGTCAAACGTGGAGTACTATATATTTTGTGTTGAGTACTCGCTTGTCGTAGTGGGTTTTCCTAGAGAAGATGACGTAGTATCCGATTCCAAGTTGATGCGAAGAATTCTGTTTTTATTTACATTTACTCCCCCCATAATAACACTTTTTCATGATAGATTAAGATTTTTAAATCAACGTGGCGGAACAAATAGATTGGAGAAAGCTTGAGAAGATGTAGTTGCTTGCGTACTATCAGAATAGTACCATTAACAGGACCTGATCAATGATCATGGAGTTATCACATCATCAACCGACAGGTGAGTGAAGATCTGGTGAGAGCAGCTGCTTCCGCCTTGACAAAGACATCAGTCAAGCTTGTCTACAGTGCCACCTCCAGGAGCCGCACGACGACAGACATGGCATCGACAGATGAATTTTTACCGTCTGCTCTACAACCGATACAGTGGCGAAGAAACCGACTAGACGTAGTTCTTGAAAGCGGCACTCTATGACACATGCGCCCAGAAGTACCGGCAAAACCGCTTGAGAGCTGTTTTCCCTTTCACTTCCCCCTCCTAGCCTAAACCGATACCTCGGTCCAGGCACGTGCCTCGATTTTACTGTTCTCCCGGACCTCGGCAAGCCTCGGCTTCAGGCCGGGTAGAGTCTCTCCGGTTGTCGTTAGTGTATATAGAGCTGTAAAGACAAGGCAGAAACAACTTTCGATCATTTATTCTGCCAAAAATGTCTCCTACCGATCAAGAGATTGTTGGGATTCGTTTTGATTCCTAGTACGCAAATTGCTCATACACGGTGTTTCTTTTTCATGTCGAGTTGAAAAAAAGAATGTAGAATCAAAAGAAGGCCGTGTTGCTACGTTCGCGCCATCCGTCCCCGGTAGATGACTCCTGAAAGCAAGTGCTCGGGTCTCCATGAAAGAACAAGTGAAACGGCAAATAGGAAGAAGAATGGAAAGTAAGATATGAAAGTGGAAAACCTAAACTGAACAGAAAAAAAACGTGAAAAAAAGCGTAGCGTTTAAACAATCGATGACGAACCATGCTCGCAAGACGTCCAACAAGAACTACCTTATGCACAAGTGCTGCTTTCGACATGTTGATGATAAGGATGGCACTAGAGATATTGTAATTTTAAAGACATGATTGGCACATGTGATTTATGTCTGATATTATTTCGTCCTCCCGCTTCTACTACCAATGGCCCATCATGTAACTCTATCAAGTGCAAAAGTGTCTGGGTCTGGAAGATTGCCAGGTTTGTCATGCATATTTTTTTTTTTTTTTTTATTGGCTCGCAAATTTTTCAGTTTCAGTTCAGTTTCAGTGGAGCGCCCCACCGGTCGAACACTTCTGATGGTGAACGAGGACCTGGGATTTGCGGCTTCGCGCCGCGACGACTTGATGGGGGTCCCGCACCCACCCTCCGTTTCCAAAAATGCAGCTTGTGCGTGAATGCTGCAAAACCTCCGACACCGCGGCACTAAAAAGGAGCAAGCTCCTTATTCACCATACACAAACCCAAAGAAGGAAATCATCGGGAAGAGATTTTGTCGACCACAATCAATGACACCAATGGCAACTACAACCCGAAGTAGGGGAGGGGTAGCTACTCCCGCACAACGCGCGAGATTCGTTTTCTACGTGTCGAGCCGGTAGCAGCGGCACACGTCCGATAAAGCTTTTTCCACGTCGACGAAGAGCTTGCTTTTTTTTTGCTGAATCGGAAAACCCTAAGCCCGTAAACCCATCTAATTACAACGGGAGGAAGCAGCCCCGGTCTTTTCACGAAGTTCGTAAAACGGTCAAAAATGATTAAGCTAGTGCGCTACGCTACTGACTGTGTGCACGCTTCAGAAAACTTAAGCCCACACAGGTCCGCATTTAGCTACCGCCCGCCCTGAATGAGGCACGTCCTAACCCCGGTAGCAGCGAGGCAGATCTTGTTTTTTGAAAATTACACCGGGCGTTTGCAGAGTGGCGATAGCCGCAGATGCAAGCCTGCGGCTGTTAAGACGGTTGTAAAAAACTAGCGTACTTGTTTTTGCAAAGCTAATAGCACCCCCCAAGCAACAATCCGCTGGCTAGGCGGAAAAAAAAAGAGAAGCCCCTGCGAGGATGCGGGGTCCGCGGAACGCCTAGCGCTACAAGACGTGGATCAAGCAAGACTAAGTGCGAAGGCCACAAGACTGTAAAAGGGTAGAGACCTACATATACGTGGGACAACACCGGGCACAGGGAAGATCTAATTTTTCAAAGGCGAAGGAGCGCACGAATTTGCGATCTAGCTCCTTGGACAAAACGAACGAAGAGCGGCAAAGACAAAGTGCTGAATAACGACTACAAGGCGGCAGGAAACATACAAAGCATACATAGCAGCAGCAAGCAAATCGGATTCACATTGCTGTGCACCGGCAGAAACTTCAATCACAACGAAACCCAGCCCCTCAGCCGCGAGGCCTTAAACTTATGCGAGGCCCAGCATATAAATTCATCATTTTTTTTAAGCTAGGAGCCGGCGTGCGTTACTTACTTACTTTTCATCATTCACTATTTAATTTTTTGCGCGAGCGGGTGCGATCTCTGAAATGTGAAGAGTGTAGCACAATTCACATACCAGGTTACGCGGGTATACGGCATTTTTTCCCGATTTGTACCTTTTCGGCTCTCGTCCTCTGGTCCTGCACTTCGTTGTCGATTCCTGTTTAGTTCCCTCACCCACTCTGCTGGCAAGACAGAAAAAAAAAACGTAGCCCCTGTCAGATTAATTAAGCAGGAAGAAGCCCACACAAAAAATTCCCTCATCTACCTAGGGGCGACTAGGCAGATGGGGTGCGCCGAAGCAGGAAGGGGATGTTTCTAGTTGCAATGAGTTTACTCGGGAAAAGCATGAGGGTATTTTGGCGGGGTCCGCTAAAAATATCGCAAAAGCGGCAATTGCAATAAAATCAGCTCTACTTCTACTCGACGGCAAGCTAGTAAGGGGCACAGCATAGACTAGAAAAACTACTGGATCTTTCACGATACGGATCCCGCCCCGCAATGCGTGGGTCCTTTTGCTTGTACGATACGGATCTTCATGATCTTTCTCTTTCTTTATAGGTCAGCATTGCAACAGGGGCCACTCTCCCCTGTGCATGCTACCTTTTTATCTATCAGTGCTCCCCAACTTACATCCCGCCGGGTGAGGCGATTTGTATTGCTAGATTCCACCCAACTTGACTACGGGGTCGTGGGGACGTTTTTGCTTAGGATATGCGCTCTGTCATCTTCACCCCCACCGCAACAGGAATCCTCGACAATGTCCTGGACGATTTGCTGTTGTTGTTTCTCCACCTGCTGCCGCGCAGCGGCCGCCGATGAAGCAGCAGCTGCAACTTGAAGGGTCGTTGCAGCTGGTGTGCCCGCTTCTACGTGCTGGTCCGCAACTACGTCTTCTTGAAATGCTGATGCTGCGCCTCCAGGAGAGGCAACATGATCCTCGTCATGATCTTCCATGATCTTGTTTACAGGAATAACTTCTTCTTGCACGAACTTCTGGGCAACTGGTGTCCTTCCTTTACTGTGAAGAGCAGCATGTTGACCCCCGGCACCGCCTCCACCCGTAGTCAAGCTGGTGATGGCAATCTTCCGCCTCTTGGTCGCACTTTGTCCTTCTCGCTTCTCCTTGTTGCGGCTTTTCTGTGCCGTGAAAGACAGGGCGTTCGCGAAGATTGTGATTTTGCCATGGTCTTCTTGGCCGTTGATATTAATACAACTACTTCCTAGAAATAGAAAGCGACAGTAGAAAGAACAGCCTGAAAAAGACAATACCAAGAAGGTCAACATCTTTTCCAACAAATTGAAGTTTTTAATACTCGCTCCCCGCCGCGCGGCCAGGTTCATGACCAACAAGTCCGGCGGGAAACGAAGAAAGAAGAATTTCTTGTGGACAAACAGCGACATCAATTTGTTCTGATTTTTCGAGGGGTCGTGGTAAGAACAACCTTAACCTTTCGGGAACAAGATGGCGCTTGAGCCAAAATGGTTTGTCATGCATATTTTGCACAAGTAATCTGTGATGCTAGGTCATGCATTACAAGTAATGCATGACCTAGCACCGCAGATTTTTAAAGGGCCTTCTGATGCGTATTCCGAATGAGAAACGCCCGCTCCGCGTAGCACAAACTGAACTCCTGTTGCTGGTCATGCAATACAGATTTTTTTTACCTTCCAATCACAAGTTGCAACGTTCCAGACCCAGACATTTGTGCATTTGGTAAACTCGACGGAGAGCTCTCGCCGCGCCACTTTCCCCCTTTGCACCGGGGTACGCGGCACCGGGGTACGCGGCACCGGGGTACGCGGCACCGGGGTACGCGGCACCGGGGTACGCGGCACCGGGCGGGCCCCCCTTGTTTCCTTTCGGCCCAGCATGGGGACCTCCTCCTCCTGGGCTAGTACTAGCGCTCTTCCCCCAGGCGGCCGCTGGTGCGCTCGGGGAGGTCGGACGGCCCGCTTTGTTCCACGAACCGCTTTGTGGCGCAGCCGCAGCCCCCTTGCTGCTCCAATGGCCATACGAGCCGCCGCCCTTTCGCGGGCCCGCCCACGAGGAGCCTTTTCCCGCCTGCGACCAGGACGACTGCGCCCAGCCTCCGCCGGCATATCGTAAGGAAAAATCCCCCCTCCCCATACTGAACAGGTACGCTTACGGAGATTTGTGTTGCTGATTTGAGGGCACAAATCGCATTTGTCTTGCAAGAAGGCAACTCCACAGGTTCCGCCGCATTATGCAGGCGGTTTATCATGCTGTTGGGCCTACAGCACGGACGTTTTTCATGCTAAGCGACTAGGCCAAAGCCTCTCTACTCTGGCTTGCTATGGGTCTGCAGTCCTCTCCAGCAAGACAAAGCTGATTTGTGTACGCAAATCCAGCATCAGAAGCATCGTTTTGATATGGGGAGGGGGGATTTTTTCTTTTGATACGGCACGGCCAGACTTCACGTACGATCCCCCGAAGAAGGCGAGCACGACCACGACGATCACGAGCACCGCCACCCACCACGCGTTGTCCTCGTCCACGTAGACGGTTCCGTCGTCAGTGGCTGCTGGTGCAACCACCGCCGGTTCCGTGGTGGTGCTCGTCGTGGACGACGACGTCGATGCCGGGTTCGCGCTCTCGACTTCCCGCGGTGGAGCCACCCGAGTCGGGAGGGAGGTCACGCTCGCCGCCGCGACCTCGGTATTGCGAAAGGTGTTACTGCTGTCCGCGGCAAACGCGTCGCTTAAAGCCTCCGCCACGCCGGCGGCAGTTAACTGATTCTCGAAGCGCTCCAAGGCCGCTTCCAACTCTGCCGTCGAGGAAGCCACTCCGTCCTCAAGGTACAGGCCGTACGACGAAATGCGCACTGCGTAGGACGACGACGCACTGGCCGCAGAAAGCCCACGATCTGCGTGGAGCAGGTTCCTCGATCGGCTGCGCGTCCGCGACGAATCGGACGCCGGAAATGTTTGAACCACCTCGGACTGGCTGCCCGTGATCTTGACCAAGTTGGCTTGCTGCATCAGGAACGCCGTTGGAACGCCGGCGTCAGTAAGCCACGGCACCACGACCTCCGGCTGTTTGTGCAGGGTGCGAACCCCGTTCTCAACGAGCCGGAAAAACGTTGCTGCGGTGGCCTCGTTGGTGCCGACTTCGTCCATGAGGGTCGCGAATCTCTCTGGAGACAAAGTAGATGACATATGCATTGCAAAGATCCCTGGATGTCTGGAAACTTGTGACGCAAGGAAGGGAATAGTAAGCTCACCACAATGCGCTGCCAGGCATGACAAGCTTTTTCATGCAGCTTCTGAGTTGCGCATTCCGCACGAGAAACGGCGTCTTTGCATGACAGGGACGAGGAGATCTTCGCGGCCATGCAATACAGAGCTCAGAGCCATGCCAGACTAGCACGACAAATCTCGCGATCTCCCAGAAGACCCAGACATCTTTGCAGTTGATATGACAGGGCGACATACAAGTTCTGCATCCGTGCGCGCAGATCCTCACTGGCTCCCTCTTCGGCCGTGACGCAGCAATGCTCGGCAGAGTCGCAAGCACTGCCGTCCGCGGGACACAACTTCCACTGCGCGAACCCCCGGATTTTTATACCGGCTCCCGCACTACTCTCTGCAGCTTCCCGGCAAGCTTCCCGGACAGAGGAGTCCGCGTCTGCCTCTTCGCACGTCGACTGGCAGCACTCTGCTTTGGTGCACGCTTCGGCATCTGCACACATTTGTGAGCCGAGAAGAGCGGCCTGCGTAGGGCAACCGTCATGGAACCCGCTACCGCAGCTGCCGATGAGCTGGCAGCAAGTGGCCGCGTCAGCAGCGACTGTGCAACTCGTACCGGCGCAGCGTGCGGAGGCATCCGGTGTCAAGGCCTTGCCAACTGGACAACTCAGCTGGCCGCTGGCGCCGCCAAATGCCGCAGCGCACAGCTGTTTTGGGGAACAGGCTGGGCTGTCGCTTTCCGCACCGATCAGAACGAAGTTTGGATGGCACTCACGGCACCCAGAAAGGCCGTCTCCCTTGCAAATCTCGCCGCTTGACGCACCGGTGACAAGCGGATCTCCATTCGTGCAGGTGCACACATTGGGGTAGCACTTCTTTTGCTGCCCTTCCAGAGAGTGCTCCCCGGTCGCACACTGAACCGCCGGAGGGGCATACACTTCGATTTCGTCAACATAACGGATCGTGCGGAGCTTAGCCGGATTTGTTTCGAGGACGCCATCAGTATCCTTGGTCTCCTGTTCCTCGGCCTCCTTTTGCGTAACGCCGGGGAACTCCACGATTACGTAGTTTGCTTCCTTTCCCTGGTTGTGATGCAATGCAAATACCCCTTTTTCAGGTCCCGGTAGGCTGTCCGAGTTTGTCATGCTCATGCCAAATCTGAATCGTACCGCATCAAAAGGTGCCCACTTCCTACCACTCAACAGGTAAACTTCTCATACGGAGTGGGCGTTGAGATAAGAAGCTCTTTCAAAATTTCTGATGCTTCTGGGTGCACTGAATAATGCCAACTTTGTACAATATATATCGTAAAGGTAAAGAACCACGAGACGCGTGACAAGTCTTCCAGTCTTCCAGGCGAACAAGATTATTTGCACTGGATAGCAGTCGACGTCGACATAAAACATTTCCCGGCTGCACAGCCACCATGCGGCTCCATATGCCTTGAACGTTGAGGACTGAATATCACAAGGAAAGACCCCCCCTCCCCATCTCAAAAGGAAGTTTCTGATGCTGGGCTTGCGTATATAAATCAGGGCTGTCTTGCAGTAGAGGGCTGCAGGCTCCTGCCGAGCCTGAGTAGAGAGGTTCTGGCCTAGGCGCTTAACATGGGAAACGTCTATGCTGTAGGCCCAACAGCATCACAAACCGCCTGCATAATGCGGCAGAGTCTGCGGCGTTGTCTTCTTGCAAGACAGACGTGATCCGTGGTCTCAAATCAGCAACGCAAATTTTCGGAAACATACCTTTTCGATATGGGGAGGGGGGATTTTTCCTCTCAATACTGAACGGGGTGCACCGGATCAAAATACTTTGCCAAGAAGCCGCCTTTATCAAATGCAAAAATGTCTGGGTCTGGAAGATTCTAAACTTGTGATGCTGTCTCTGGATTCGAAAAAAATTTGTATATGTATGACCAGTAAGAGGAGTAGATTTTGTGCTCCGCGGAGATGGCATTTGTCATGCGGAATAGGCATGAGGAGGCGCTCTAAACATCTGTGATGCTAGGCCATGCATCAAAGGCATTATGGATCATGCAAAATATGCATGGCAAATCTTGCAATCTCCCAGACCCAGACATTTTTGCATTTGATAGTCTTCTGTTTGGCCCGTCTCCGACAGGTCGCGAGTGCCCACGAAGGCCGCTTGCGCTTTGTGCCGTGCTTTCGCGTGATCGTATAGTGGCTTAAAAAGGTCGCCCATTTTGACGCCCCCGGATCCGGAAGCGGCGCTCTTAATATGCATTGCCAAAATAAGAAACAGCGACCAGCCCTTTATTGAAAGCGCGAAAGCGGCGACGCCCGGAACGTCAGCACTACACGTGTGCTGCGAAAGCTGCAAAACCAAGCCAAGAAAACAGGCTGGCGACCACTGAAAAGGTTTCGCGTTTTGGCTAGAATTTATTGAACGCTTTGCAGTATACATGTTGCAGATCTTCATCATGCGCGCCGACTACTTCCGTTGTCCCGTTTTCGCCATCGCAAAAAGCTGGTAGCTGTTTGTTATAATTTTGCCCATGAATAATCGACAGGCATTGACTGAATTGCGATTCCTTCAGGGTCTGCTGCTGTTCCGGGAAGGGTTACAATGCCGCAGACTTTTTCATCGTCCCCGACGTCTGGATCCGGACAGGTTTCATAGCTTCGCTCCCCGTTTTTTTCCGTTGACATCCTCGCCCGCTGAGTATCAAAAGGGAAAATCCCCCCTCCCCATACATTTTCCGAGGGAAATCTGTGCTCATGCGCGATTCGTGTACAGGAGTCGGCTTTGCCTTGTAGCGAGAGACAGCAGGCCGCAGGTGGTCCTACGCCTGCATAGAAGTGCCTGGCATAGGTGCTTCGTTGTTACTTAGCATGGCAGTGGCCTGCCCTGTGCGCACCCGCACAAGAACAGCTGCAGATATATAATGGCGGATCAGCTGCGTAAAAATGCGGCGGGCTCTCTGGATTTGCTCTCTTGCAGGACACCAGACGCGGTCTGTGAAGATTACAAATCAGCAGCACAGATTTTCAGAGGCACGCATGTCTTTTCGATACGGGTAGGGGGATTTCGCCTCATGATACGGAGCGTTTGCGACCTTGACCCGAAGCCCGCCCTTCTCGAACAAAGACGTCAAATGGTCCAGTTTTGGCCTCAAGTCCTGTTCGTTTGTATACGTAGATGGCGTGCCCCACCCGGGCACCCAATCCCCACCCGTGAACCATATCAAAATGAAAGAACCCCCTCCCCATTAGATCAAGAGCGAAGACTTCTCTTGCTGGATTTGCGTACACAAATAGGCTCTGTCTTGCAGCAGAGGACTGCAGTCAGATACAGATCCTCGGCCTGTTTAGGAGAGTAAGTGTCTGACAAGCCATATGCCAAAGGCCAAACGCCTTCCCCGGATGCCATACAGCATGAGAAGTTCCTTTCGTAAAGCGGCGCGGCAGCCCTCTGCGCTTGCCTTTTTGCACGACAAAGGTCACTTGTCCTCACATATCAGCATGGTCACAGATCTCGCTTTTGAGCATAAATAGGGGAAGGAGGGATCTTTCCTTGCGATAAGCCAGACCCGCACTTTTCCAACTGACACGGGAGAGGACTGTGGCGAGGGCACCAGCTGCATTTGGTACCAGGGACACGCCTATCAAATGCAAAAATGTCTGGGTCTGCAAGATTCTGAGACTTGTCGTTGTCATGCACGGTTTGCATGAGCCATGATGTCTGTGATGCATGCTCTAGCGTCACAGGTTTTTTGCAGGATTCTTGATGCCTATTCCGCATGAAAAATGCCCTTTCCGCGTAGCAAAATCAAAAATTAGAATCCTTTATGCTTCTCATGCAACACAAATTTTTTAGACATCCAAATGCAGCATCACAGGTTGCATTCTTCCAGACCCAGACATTTTTGCATTTGATAACGCCGAGGTCGCGTGCTCCAGCCCGTTGAATATCGCCAGGAAAAACTGTTTCACTGTAAACTTGTGATGCAGAAATTGGAACACAGAACTACTTATTTGTCTTGCTACACGACCTGCAAGACCTTGGATCATTTCCAAGCGTGTTTTATCCCCTTGGGACGTGCGCATGGCAAGTTTTCGTTGTCATGTTTGTAGAGCGAACTTGTGATGCGAAACTCGCAAAATCGTTACAGTGGAACACTTTATTTTTCCCGTGATATTGAACGTAGTCTGGCTGCTGGTTCCATCGTAACCATCCCCCCACTATGGATTGCAAAAGTGTCTGAGTATGGAAGAGTGCCAGACTTGTCATGCAGGTTTTCCATGACCCGTGAGGTCTGGTATGAAGGACATAGCATGACAGATTCTGTGGCAGAAGTTCTATCATGCCTATCCTGCATGAGAAACTGCCTCTCGATTAGGTCAAAAGTGGACAGCTTTTGGTAAACATGCAACACAGATTTTTACATGATTCAGATTTAGCATGACAAGACTGCACTCTTCCAGACCCAGACATTTTTGCATTTGATACCCACCGACCCAGCAGACCATCGTAAAGCTGCGGGTAGTCAGGGCCCGGTTGTATCCTGAGTAAAAACGTCCCCACCCCAGAGTCAAGATGGGGATTTTGCAACACAAACCTGGAAGTCTTGGGACTCATGCATCACAAGTTGCAGTCCGTAGTGTAGTGCAGGCTAGCACAGGCAAACGCATCAGAAACCCATCTGCTTATCCTGGTTACAGCATTACAAATGCCAAAACACGACTAGAAATTCAAATTCCTCTCATGGAGATGCCCATTACCAATGTTCCTGTCGTTGCAAATCTGCATGACAACTCTGGGGTGGGGACGTTTTTACAAATGATAGGTTGTGCGCTTTGCACAGCGACAGCGTGCGCGGTCGCTCCGTACACCTGCAGTTTTCCCGCGCCGGGAGTCGTCGTGATAAGTCGCGACGTAGGGCCTACGCGTACAACAACATCCTGACAAGCGTCGTCATCAGGATCTGCTATCTCACATGTTCGCTCCTATCAAAATGAAAAATCCCCCCGCCCCATCTTGAAAAGGAAATTTCTGTTGCTGCATTTGTGTACACAAATCAGCTCTGTCCTGCAGTGACGTACTGCAGGCAAAGCCTCAGCCTTCGTAGGGGTGTTTTGGTGTAGGTGCGTAGCAACGCAGAGGCCTGCCGTGTAGACGTAGCAGCATTACAAACCGCCTGCATAAAAAAGCAGCATTACAAACCGCCTGCACTCTTTGGATTTGCCCTCTTGCAAGAGAAAGAGGATTTGTGGTCGCTTTTAGAAGCATTCCGTTCCCTTTTAGTATGGGGAGGGGGGATTTTTCCTCACAGTAGCTCCTCCTGCATGTTCAAGTCGTAGGCTCCGTAGAAGTCGAAGGCGGCGTTTCGCTCACTCTCTAATATGTCGCTCCCATCCGCTTTTTTGCGGTCCTGTTTTCCGTACCATGGTGGACAGGTTGTGGTTACTGTCGCCTTCACCGGTAAAACAGCTGTGCCCGTGACGAGACACAGCAACCGCAGGACGCGCCCGGTGATCATGTCCAGCCACATACTCTGCTTACTCGGAAAAATTAGCAGGAGCTGACAGAAATTTATAATTTCTTTTTCAATACGAACCACGATCATAAAATTGCGAAACGTCTTCACATAGTAGACCAGCAGTTCAGATCGGAGGTCGTGTAAGAGGTGATCCAGGTTCATCCGATCTTTGTTTCGTTCATCGCGGAAAAAGTTCACTTTTTGTTTGACATCGAGATGGAGATCGGCTTCGAAGAACATGAAAAAATAAACAAAAAAAAATGTATACCTCTCGGCCTAGTCCACCGTGGTGAAGATTGTCTCCAGCGAACAAGGAAGAGTCAGCTTGCGCTTAGCCTCAAGGATCAGGACAGGCGGAATTGGAGCAGAGTATGCATTTTGCAAAAATGTTTGGGTCTGGAAGAGTAAAAGGTTGTGTTGCTCTACTTGCATGTTGACTCCCAAATCTGTCATGCAGGATACAACCCAAAAGCTCCGATTTTCTGTCATTCAAAAACTACGCAGTTTGTCAACATGCTGAATAGACAACACCTTGCAAGAACTCAGAAACTTGTCATGCTGCGCCGTCATTTGTGGCGTCTTCACGCTTCGCCGGCCAGCATCACAAGTTCTTTCCAGACCCAGACATATTTGCATTTGATACAGAGCTAATCGAGAGACAGTGAAGTTGTAGACAAGGACGACACTGACACTGCTGCTGCTTTTCTTCGACTACACAAAAATGAAACGAGAAGGGGAAATAAGTGTTCTACTTCGTGCAGTTCTGGGTATTATTAACTTAACAAAAGGTCCTGAAATAAGAAAGTGGTCCGGAAAGGTAGTGAATAAAGGTTGTTTATTATTATCCTACGGTGCAAATAATCGCAACTGCGGATTTTTCCAACATTTCTCAATAAAGGGGTGGTAACTAGAAAATGGAGGACGAAGTCGTGGACGATGAAGTTGCTGTTTCATAGCGAAAGGACGAGGATGGAAGAACGAACAACTTTTCTTTGAATATTCATTTTGAACGAAACGTAAACCGACAACGACACTACGGTACAAATCTCGAGTACTATCATGTCGAATGATATTATTCGACATCATGCAACTGCACGAAAAACGTTCAACATCTCCTCGTCGTTTTTAACTGGGATTTCTATTTATTGTTGACCGATCATCAAACAACTTTCTCTTTTTCGACGACCACGCACGAGGAAATAAATAATAACCCGCGGCTGCGCTAGTTGTTGCGTAACAAGACGACGACCTTACAAAATAAATTCACACGAGCTCCGATTGGTCGCGAACAACAGCAGGGCGACCTTTGGAAGTTGTTGTATATTCAAAAGGAACATCTTGCGGGTGGTCGCACCCCTTTCTTGCTCGCATTTATTTTGCCAAAAATCTCTTTTCTACAGATCAAGAGAATGTTGAGATTCGTTTTGAAGATTCCTACGCAAAGTCCTCGAAATAAATCTCAAACAAAGTTCGGCACCTCCGCAGAATCTGTCGATAAAACGAAGTACTAGTTTATCGCTTTGTCAAAATGTTGAGCAAATAAATGGTAGCTCACCAGCACTGCAAATTTCTGTATTCTAATGCTATTAACGCACAAGTTGTCAGGCTAGTAAATGCAAGACTGCTGTAGATGTCCTAGAAGAACCCTTCAGAAAAATTGTCGAAAATCATCCCTTCTCCTCGTCCGACCGGGCTCGGTTCTATCCGGGACCTCCCCCGCCCGGACTCCCGGGCTAGCGGTCCCGACGAGCTGCGGCTCGCCTATGGAAGTGTCAGAATCGAAATTGGCAAAATCGAAAAATTTGTGATGCACAAAATCGATGCCAGTTGGAGCCTCAGTTTCCACGTGGCGCATGACAAATTTCGGGAGCACCCAAATCCAGTCTGTCATGCTGTTTGGGCAAAGAACGCTGCTCCTGTCATGCTACTCTGGCAGCACATTGCGTACCCCTAAACAGGCTTACAATCGGCCTCATATGCCTGCTCCCCAATACAGGCCTTCAGTGCTCTACATTTTACGCATCACAAATTTTTCGATTTTCTCGATTTCGATCCTGACACATCCATATCGTCATCTGCACTAGAACTTTTCGCCGTGGTTAAAAAAACCGCTCCCAGAACTGCCGGCAATGGCTATCAGAAGGAAACATCCCCCCTCCCCATATCGAAAACGAAATTTGTGTTGCTGTATTTGAGTACACAAATCACATTTGTCTGGCAGTAAAGGACTGCACGCAGATCGTAAGCCGAAGGGGGGCCCCTTGGTCTAGGGGACTAGCATGGCAGACGTCTGCCCTATAGGCCTTGCAGCATTACAGATCGCCTGCATATCGTGGCGGAGTCTCTGAGTTTGCGCTCTTGCAAGAGAGACAGGATTTGTGGTCACAAATCAGCATCACAAACTTTTAGAAACATACCTTTTCAGTATGGGGAGGGGGGATTTTTCCTTTTGATAATGGCATACCCGCAGCCGTTACCCCGTCTATCCACTGCAAATGTCGATCAGATCTGGGTCTGCAACAAACTTCAGATGCAGGCTGGACAAAAATCATGAGCACCCCGCACTTGAAGACCAAGGAGCATACGTCGTTTCTCTAACTGCATGCCAGAAAATCAAAATTGGGGTGTAGGTGTAGAAGTTCGGGTACTTTTTATACGTGCATGATACACTTGAGTGTGGTCATGCTGGTCGAGCATGACAGACCTGGAATCATTCCAGAGCCAGATCGATATTTGCAATACATACCGTCCAACGCGTGGCAGAGTATCCTATCGTAATTCCCAATACAGAAATATGGAATAGGACAGTTGTGTTCCTTCTTGCCATGCACTTTATCATTATTTCCACTTTCAAACTATTCTAGATCGAATTTGCTAAAAGTAATTGTGCATGACAAAGACCACTTCTGTCAATTCCATAATTCGAAGTGGGACACGCAGCCGGGATGTCCCGGCCGGACTTCGTCAAAATCGAACACCTATGCACTGCAAATATGTTTGTCTGGGTCTGGAAACCTGTGATGCTGAATTGAGCATGAAAGAAGCGCTTCCAATGGCAGCCAAGCACGACAAGTTTTTGAGACAGTTCTGTTGATGCCTAGCACGCATCACAAATTGACTTTTTGCATGACAAAGGAACCTGCTCTTTTGCTGCTCATGCAACACAGATTTTCCAGGAATGCAAGACACGCATCACAAGTTCCACTTTTCCAGACCCAGACATTTTTGCATTTAATAACACCAAACCTGAGCCGTTTTCAAAACAGAGTCTGTGAAGATGCACACCTGGTGGACAGTCCGAGCCCTATCTGTGGTCAAGGTCAACATGCACTCAAACCTAATAAGTACCAATAAATAGAAGCACAATATATTATACCTTGTTTCAGCACGTTCTGGGGACATTGCCCCTGGCAAGTGGACCAGCAGCGATATGACAGTGCACAACTCCCCCTCCCCCTCATCTGGATGTTGGCATCCACAGCAACACGAGCGCTGGCACAGATGCGGCTTTTGCATCACAAATTGTTCACGACCGACTCTAGTGCTGTCTTGGCTTCGAGAATCTGTGCTGGAAGCAGTGTCACAGGGCGAAGGGTGGGTTTGGCATTTTGCATGACAAATGAGGGGGAGGGGGAGTTGTGCACTCTGGTAAGCGATCACCCGCCGATAAAACCCCGTCCTCCAAATCTTCACACAGCGGCGCGACCGGCGACTCCGGGTGCGCCTGCATGGTGGACGCCTCCTTCCAGTCCAGCGTTTCGTCTTGCTTTGCCGCGGTCGCTATGCAAACGAAAAAGTGTTTAGACTCACACATGATTCTGGCGCAGGCCAAGCAAGACAAAAAAGGCTAGCCAACTACATGCCGGATATGCATAGGCGCTGCGAGCCTTGTTCTTCTTTTATACGTAGGCTGGTATAATTTCTATTTTTTTCTCATAGAAGCTGAAGCATCTCTGCGTTTTACAAATTTTCTCTTTCTTCCTTCAGACAAAATCTGTGTTGCTGCATTGACCACAGCAAATGTCGTGTATTAAATAAACTGTAACACTTTTTTCGTGCGATAGCCGCCGCGTCTTCCACACTGTCGAAGGCGGTTTTTACGACTGCGGGGTGAAGAACTGTGTGGTGCAAGAAGGGCACGGCACGACTGGATGTACTGATGGCTCTCGCAAAAGAACCGCTCGCAGATGAAGCTGCATTTCCGGCCGGTCGAGCAGCTACAAGGCTGTCGAAAAACGACGTCGCGTGGATTTGGATCGGTGTCGTGGTGGAGCCCCCGTGGTCGAACATTTTGTGCTGCTGAAACAAGCGGCGCTTTCTTCAAAACGCGCAAGAATGGATGAAAGAAATAGAAAATACTAGCCTCGCAGTACAACTCATCCTGAATAAAGCCAATAAGTTATTTTTGGCTTTCTACACATACTCAGGCTCTTCAGGTAAAAAAGAATGCTTTCTGAATATAGCTCCTTTCCTAGTTATTCGCAACGAAAGTTCTTGTTTTTGATCTCTATCCCTCCTCGTTCAACCACTAAGCGCGACCGCACTTTTTCGAGCGATGGTTGCGAAGACCAGACTATCACTCTGAAACTCTCTCGAAGAAGAGGAAAATGCTCCGATTCATTTTTCTGGTGGAATCACGAGGGCGATAAGCAAGAACTCCGCTCAAAAGCATCAAATATACGACAAACGAAAAATTGTAAGAACGCGACTCACCTGTAATCAGACTTGTACCGTGCTGTGCAGAACTCAATTTTTTGGCCTCCGATAGACTACAACAGAAGGAGGCGAAACGTAACGAAGGCGCTTTTTTGGTAAAAATTTTCTCGTGCCAGAGTTGCGATGTTGAGGATTTTGCGATTTTGCAGCCAGCTTCTTGCGCTTCTAATTTTCTCTTCTTCTTTAAGATTAAGAAAATCCGCCACTAGTACTTGCAGCCAACCCTTCACGTACTTGTCTTTGAAGCCGAAGGGTGCGACCACCTCGGTGTTCCAATCTTCATCCGTTGCACACGAATAGAAACAGAATCGCGATACAGGTTGTCAAAGCTTAAGAAATTGAAATTATACTAAAACGATAGACCTCTCGACCCTAGAATTTCAGCTTGGCCACGGTTGATAGCTGTCATCAAGGATAGTTTTCAACAATCAAATCGAGAGACTAGAATATACTCCTCGAGGACACCAGTACTCGAGGCAACTGCGCTAAACAAAGTAATCATAATTCGAAAAGGTACTGAGTAAAAATAAAAATGGTAAACAACAAATACAATGTTCTGAAAAAACTTAAAAACAATGGTGAAAAAAATTATGATATCAAATGTAAAAATGTCTGGGTCTGGAAGATTCTGAGACTTGTCATGCATGTTTTGCATTGGCCATGATATCTGTGATGCATGCCCTAGCGTCACAGATTTTCTGAGGGCTTCGCGATGCCTATTCCGCATGACAAACAAGGTCCACGCGTGGGGACAGGGTCCCCACGCTGGGGCCTTGTGCGCATCCCTAGTGGCGCGAGTGGGAGAACATTGCTCGGCATCGCGGCGGACAGAGTCCGCCCTCGCCTCACATCAGGCGCGCGCGCAGTGGCTTAGTTCGCAAAGCGGTAGTGGGGGAAGGGTGTTCGGCATCAGTGCGGACAGTGTCCGCCCCTCGGCCTCGCCTCGCATCAGGCGCGCGCATAGTGGCTTAGTGCGCGAAGCGCTACAACCGGGCGCAGGGTGTTCCTTCGGCAGCGGGGCGGGCAATTCGAAACCACCCCGGGAAAAGCAGTCCGGTCTCAAAGTTAAAGCTGCCTTTGTGCATCACAGGTCGGAGACTTCCCTCTCATAGCGGTATGGAATTTCTAAGCCGCCGCTGAAAATGAAACTCGATTGCAGCATTGCTTTTGTGCAATACAGATCGGAGACTTCGTCTTCAGGATGGTAGGGAATTTCTACGCCGCCTCCTGCAGGAGCCAAGTCGATGGCGTAGAAATTCCATACCGCCCGGAAAAAGTAATGTCCGCTCTGTATTCCACAATCGCAGCCTTGCGAGGGGATATCTTTTCCAGGGGCGGCGCGGAATTTCTACACCCTCGCCTGGGCTCCCGCAGGACGCGGCGTAGAAAGTCCATACCGCCCGGGGAAAGAAATCTCTGCTCTGTGTTGCGCAAAAGCAACTTCGGGGCCGGATTTCTTTTCCGGGGCGGTATGGAATTTCTACGCCCCTTCCTTGGCTCCCGCAGGACGCGGCGCGGAATGTCCATACCGCCCGGGAAAAGAAATCTCCGATCTGTGTTGCGCGAAAGCAACTTCGGGGCCGGATTCCTTTCCCAGGACGGTATGGAATTTCTACGCTCCTGCCCCGGCTCCCGCAGGACGCGGCGTAGAAAGTCCATACCGCCCGGGGAAAGAAATCTCCGATCTGTGTTGCGCAAAAGCAACTTTGGGACGGGATTTCTTTTCCAGGGCGGTATGGAATTTCTACGCCCCTTCCCTGGCTCCCGCAGGACGCGGCGTAGAAAGTCCATACCGCCCGGGAAAAGAAATCTCCGATCTGTGTTGCGCGAAAGCAACTTCGGGGCCGGATTCCTTTCCCAGGACGGTATGGAATTTCTACGCTCCTGCCCCGGCTCCCGCAGGACGCGGCGTAGAAAGTCCATACCGCCCGGGGAAAGAAATCTCCGATCTGTGTTGCGCAAAAGCAACTTTGGGACGGGATTTCTTTTCCAGGGCGGTATGGAATTTCTACGCCCCTTCCCTGGCTCCCGCAGGACGCGGCGTAGAAAGTCCATACCGCCCGGGAAAAGAAATCTCCGATCTGTGTTGCGCGAAAGCAACTTCGGGGCCGGATTCCTTTCCCAGGACGGTATGGAATTTCTACGCTCCTGCCCCGGCTCCCGCAGGACGCGGCGTAGAAAGTCCATACCGCCCGGGGAAAGAAATCTCCGATCTGTGTTGCGCAAAAGCAACTTTGGGACGGGATTTCTTTTCCAGGGCGGTATGGAATTTCTACGCCCCTTCCCTGGCTCCCGCAGGACGCGGCGTAGAAAGTCCATACCGCCCGGGAAAAGAAATCTCCGATCTGTGTTGCGCGAAAGCAACTTCGGGGCCGGATTCCTTTCCCAGGACGGTATGGAATTTCTACGCTCCTGCCCCGGCTCCCGCAGGACGCGGCGTAGAAAGTCCATACCGCCCGGGGAAAGAAATCTCCGATCTGTGTTGCGCAAAAGCAACTTTGGGACGGGATTTCTTTTCCAGGGCGGTATGGAATTTCTACGCCCCTTCCCTGGCTCCCGCAGGACGCGGCGTAGAAAGTCCATACCGCCCGGGAAAAGAAATCTCCGATCTGTGTTGCGCGAAAGCAACTTCGGGGCCGGATTCCTTTCCCAGGACGGTATGGAATTTCTACGCTCCTGCCCCGGCTCCCGCAGGACGCGGCGTAGAAAGTCCATACCGCCCGGGGAAAGAAATCTCCGATCTGTGTTGCGCAAAAGCAACTTTGGGACGGGATTTCTTTTCCAGGGCGGTATGGAATTTCTACGCCCCTTCCCTGGCTCCCGCAGGACGCGGCGTAGAAAGTCCATACCGCCCGGGAAAAGAAATCTCCGATCTGTGTTGCGCGAAAGCAACTTCGGGGCCGGATTCCTTTCCCAGGACGGTATGGAATTTCTACGCTCCTGCCCCGGCTCCCGCAGGACGCGGCGTAGAAAGTCCATACCGCCCGGGGAAAGAAATCTCCGATCTGTGTTGCGCAAAAGCAACTTTGGGACGGGATTTCTTTTCCAGGGCGGTATGGAATTTCTACGCCCCTTCCCTGGCTCCCGCAGGACGCGGCGTAGAAAGTCCATACCGCCCGGGAAAAGAAATCTCCGATCTGTGTTGCGCGAAAGCAACTTCGGGGCCGGATTCCTTTCCCAGGATGGTATGGAATTTCTACGCTCCTGCCCCGGCTCCCGCAGGACGCGGCGTAGAAAGTCCATACCGCCCGGGGAAAGAAATCTCCGATCTGTGTTGCGCAAAAGCAACTTTGGGACGGGATTTCTTTTCCAGGGCGGTAGGGAAGTTCTACGCCCCTTCCCTGGCTCCCGCAGGACGCGGCGTAGAAAGTCCACACCGCCCGGGAAAAGAAATCTCCGATCTGTGTTGCGCGGAAGCAACTTCGGGGCCGGATTCCTTTCCCAGGATGGTATGGAGTTTCTACGCTCCTGCCCCGGCTCCCGCAGGACGCGGCGTAGAAAGTCCATACGGCCCGGGGAAAGAAGTCTCCGCTCTGTGTTGCGCAAAAGCAACTTTGGGACGGGATTTCTTTTCCGGGGCGGTATGGAATTTCTACGCCCCTTCCCTGGCTCCCGCAGGACGCGGCGTAGAAAGTCCATACCGCCCGGGAAAAGAAATCTCCGATCTGTGTCGCGCGCAAGCAACTTCGGGGCCGGATTCCTTTCCCAGGACGGTATGGAGTTTCTACGCTCCTGCCCCGGCTCCCGCAGGAGGCGGCGTAGGAAGCCCATACCGCCCGGGGAAAGAAATCTCCGATCTGTGTTGCGCAAAAGCAACTTTGGGACGGGATTTCTTTTCCAGGGCGATATGGAATTTCTACGCCCCTTCCCTGGCTCCCGCAGGGCGCGGCGTAGAAAGTCCATACCGCCCGGGAAAAGACATCGCCGATCTGTGTTGCGCGAAAGCAACTTCGGGACCGGATTCCTTTCCCGGGACGATATGGAATTTCTACGCTCCTGCCCCGGCCCCCGCAGGAGGCGGCGTAGAAAGCCCATACCGCCCGGGGAGAGAAATCTCCGATCAATCTCTGTTGCGCAAAAGCAACTTTGGGACGGGATTTCTTTTCCAGGGCGATATGGAATTTCTACGCCCCTTCCCTGGCTCCCGCAGGGCGCGGCGTAGAAAGTCCATACCGCCCGGGAAAAGAAATCCCCGATCTGTGTTGCGCGCAAGCAACTTCGGGACCGGATTCCTTCCCCGGGACGGTATGGAATTTCTACGCTCCTGCCCCGGGCGGCAGGCTCCCGCAGGACGCGGCGTAGGAAGTCCATACCGCCCGGGGGAAGAAATCTCCGATCTGTGTTGCGCAAAAGAAACTTTGGGGCGGGGTCTCGTTTCCAGGGCGGTATGGAATTTCTACGCCCCTTCCCTGGCTCCCGCAGGACGCGGCGCAGAGAGTCCATACCACCCGGGGAAAGAAATCTCCGATCTGTGTTGCGCAGCAGCAACGCTGGGACGGGATTTCTTTTCGAGGGCGGTATGGAATTTCTACGCCCCTTCCCTGGCTCCCGCAGGACGCGGCGTAGAAAGTCCATACCGCGGCCCGGGAAAAGAAATCTCCGATCTGTGTTGCGATGCGCGGAAGCAACTTTGGGGCCGGATTTCTCTTCCAGGGCGGCATTGAATTTCTACGCCCCTGCCTCGGCTCCCGCAGGACGCGGCGCAGAAAGTCCATACGAACCGCCCGGGGAAAAAAATCTCCGATCTGTGTTGCGCAAAAGCAACTTTGAGACCGGGCTCCTTTTCCAGGATGGCATGGAATTTCTACGCCCCTGCCTTGGCTCCCGCAGGGCGCGGCGTAGAAAGTCCATACCGCCCGGGGAAAGACATACCCGATCTGTGTTGCGCAAAAGCAACTTTGGGGCCGGATTTCTTTTCCGGGGCGGTATGGAGTTTCTACGCCCCTACCCTGGAGCCCGCAGGACGCGGCGTAGAAAGTACATACCGCCCGGGGGAAGAAATCTCCGATCTGTGTTGCGCAAAAGCAACCTTGGGACCGGATTTCTTTTCCAGGGCGGTATGGAATTTCTACGCCCCTGCCTTGGCTCCCGCAGGACGCGGCGTAGGAATTCTTCGCCAGGAACGTCCGCCCCCCGCCTCACACCAGGCGCGGCGCGCGTAGCTAGTGACTTAGTTCGCGGCGCGCTAGTGGGGGGAGGGTGTTTGCCTGTCGTGGCCACCTGCCGCAGACAAATGTCGCGGCCACCTCTCGCGGCCACCTGTCGCGGTCACCCTGTGTGTCGGAGGGTATGCGTTACCAGAACCCGGAAGGCTTTTCTATTTTTGAAAAATAGAGAGCTGCGCAAAAAGTTACTCTTTGCGTTTGCGCATGGCGATGGCAAACATGCTCGAAATAAATTCGAACTTCTTTGCTGCAGCGGAGGTCGCAGCTTTATGGTTTATTTCTGAGAAGGAAAAACGAATCTGACGAGGCGCCCGGGTTCTGTAACTGTAATCAGACACCCCAGGCGACAGGGGGCGGCGACATGTGGAGGCGACAGGCGACGGCGACAGGTGTGGCGACAGGTGAGGCGACAGGCAGAACGACAGGCAAAACGACAGGCGAAGGGACAGGCGGCGGCAACAGGCCAACAGTGCCAGCTTTTATTTCTTTGACGCGGTTCCGCACCAGCAGCAGCAACAAAAAAACCAAGAGCCCTTTTTATTTCCGAGAAGAAAAAAGCAGCTCTTTCATTTTTATTCACACGCAAAAAATAACTTATTTCCGAGAAGAAAAAAGCAGCTCTTTTATTTCTATTCACACGCAAAAAAAAGCTATCACGCTTCGGATATTATGAGTAAATTAATTATTTTTTGCGCGTGAATATTTTTGAAAATAACAGAGATGCTTTTTTCTTCTCGGAAATGAATGACTTTTTGCTTTTTTGTTGTTGCTGCTGCTGGCGCTGAACCGCATGAGAAGTTGCCGCTTTTGGCCTGTCGTCGGCGCCTGTCGTTTCGCCTCTCCTTTCGCCTGTCGCTTGGCCTCTCCTTTCGCCTGTCGTTTCGCCTGTCGCCGTCACCTCTCGGCGTCACCTGTCGCCGTCACCTGTCGTCTGGGGTATGTGATCACAGAACCCGGAAGTCAAGCAATATAAATATTAATGCCCTCTCCGCGTAGCCAAAATTGCATTGCCTTTGCTGCTCATGCAATACAAATTTTTTTGGAATCCAAATTCAGCATCACAAGTTGCATTCTTCATCCAGACCCAGACATTTTTACATTTCATATATGAAAAAGCCAACCAGTGGCTTCATCAGCCCGCCTGTTCCAATATCAAATGTAAAAATGTCTGGGTCTGGAAACTTGTGATGCTGGCTGGCGTCTCAAGATGAGGCCACAAATGCTGGCTCAGCATGACAAGCTTCTGAGCTTCTAGGTGTTGCCTCTTCTGCATGACAAACTGCGTTCCTGCATCACAGAAAAATGGAGCTCTTGGGTTAACGTGCATGACAGATCTAAGGGTAATGCCAGACAAGCATGACAAACATGCATTCTTCCAGACCCAGACATTTTTACATTTGATATCCAAATTATGGTTTGAACCGCCCCGAGTTGTGCTCGTATCCTGCCCGGGATACAATTTGTTTTCGCCGTGTGCTTCTGCTTCTCTTTTATTTAGCATTAGCAATCAAATTCTCTAAGTAATTGTAATCCGTCTCCCATGTAGTTCATCATCGAGATGTCGCTTTGAAAAAATAGGGCAGCTACGTACACCCTGTATCTTTAATACTTTTGAAAAAAAACCGGCAAAAAAGTAGTGGTAAACAAAATCATGACGTGGGCAAGGATAATTCAAGCGGTGGTCCATTTCAAAATCATCATACACTGCCACTAGAATATCAGCTTGCACCACGCCAATCACGATAAGAGGCTGAGTACAGGTATAGTCAAAATGTCGTCGGCATAAAAAAAAAAGTGGATTTTATTCTCAAGGGGCGGGGGTTAGTCTTAGTACGGTGGAGAAAGGCAAACAATAACTACAAAAACGAATTGGCAAGAACAATGAAACTCCTTGTAAAAAGGAGTAGCGAGCTCGTCCTCTAGTGCTATAAAATAAGTGTACAAATAAATCCTGCACGTCGCAGCAGACACAGGAGTACAGCACAAACCGCTTTACAATTCCGAATAGTCGTAGCGCAGCATTTATGAACTGCAAAAGTATCGCACTCGTATAAATGCATTACAAATTTCCTCAGCATGAGAAATAAAATTTGTAATGCTGATTTACCTGAAAAACAAGATTTGTAATGCAGGATTGCAATACGAGCACGATACTTTTGCAGGGGATAGCATCTTGTCCAGTTGTCGCAAAGCCCGGACATCATTCTCCTCCGGGGACAGTAGTTCCCCGTTCGTTCCGTAACCCACTTATCGAAAGGAAAAACCCCCCCTCCCCATATCACAACGAAATTTCTGATGCTGGATTTGTGTATACGAATGCGCTTTGCTTTGCAGGACGGCACTGCGGCCAGATCCCCAGCCTGGGTAGGGGCGTCTGGGTCTGGTTGTTCAGCATGGCAAATGGCTCCCCCTTAGGCCCAACAGCATGACAAATCGCTTCCATAATGGGGCGGAAGCTTCTGCCCTTGTCTTCTTGCAAGACAAATGCGATCTGTGACCTCAAATCAGCAACACAAATTTTCGAAAACATACCTTTTCAATATGGGGAGGGGGACTCTTTCCTTTCAATACCATTAACCGGATCTTTTTGTCCTTTTTCTTCTTCTTCTCGGTCTTTTTCGAAGTAATCACCTGTATGCATGGCAAAAGCAACGCACAACTAGTATAAATTGCATTACAAATTTGATCAGCACGATAAATGGAATTTGTCATGCTGATTTGCTTTGGGAACAAGATTTGTAATGCAAGACTTGCATTTATACGAGTGCGATACTTTTGCAATGGCATAATCTCCTCCACGTCCTGATTTTTCCTTCTCTCCTCGGAAATCTCCCGCGCCCGCTTCGCCTCATATCAACTACAAATACGTCTGGGTCTGGAAGATAATTCCGAGACTTGTCATGCAGTTTTCCCAAGCTCCGCCAAGTCTGGAATGCAGGGCCTGGCGTCACAGGTTCTGCAGCCCGCCCTTGGTGATGCCTATTCTGCATGAGAAAAGCCCTCTCAGAAATGGCCAGAATAAATGGGGACCACTTGCAAGTCATGCAACACAGATTTTTGTATGATCCGCGACACGCATCACAAGTTCGCATCCTTCCAGACCCAGACACTTTTGCAGTTGATACCTCATCGGACTGAAACAAACCGGCAAGCTGGCGCATGGAGTCCTTCTGCGCGTTCGCTAGCCGTTATCAAAAGGAAAAACGTCCCCACCCCATAGTTGTCATGCAGATCTGCATGGTAAAAATGTGCCTCATGCGGAGACCTATGCGAAGCATTTTCTATTCGCGTTTTGACGTTTGTGATGCTAAAATCAGCATGCTATGCTAGATCTGTTATGATTCTTAAGTAGCTAAACAGGATTACACTACGCGGACAAACTTGTCATGCCAAACAACCAAAGCTGGCCGATTTGTCTAGCAGATTCCCCATCTTGACTCTGATGCGAGGACGTTTTTCCTCGCGATAGCCGTTCCTTGTAACTCATGCTGCTCATCGGGTTGTGGTAGGTCGCGGGATCCAGTTTGTTGTAGCCATAAGCATCCGCTGTCGTGAATTTTTTCTCCAAAGCCTCCGCGTCGATCTGGATGGGGATTTCCTCCGGGATATTCGACCGCTGATGCTGAATTTTCCCTTTCAGGGTTGCTTGGATCCCGGCTGCAGAAGAGTTGTCGACGTCTTGACTGCTGTAGATCCCGGCGACGGCATCGTAGACTTTTTTGTTGCCCTTGCTCCCCGACTCCGGTAAAACTGGCGAATCGTAGGGGAAGAGCGAGTTTTTCTCTTCCTTTTCTTTTTTCTTCTTCTTCTCCTTCTTCTCCTTTGTCCGCGGGGTTTCGGATTGGGGTTGCGAAGTGGAGGTTGGTGTGGATAGTTGTAGTACTTGTTCCTGATAATGATCATGATGCCCTACTGCCACACCGGGTTGCGCGGAGGCGAGAATTTGGCTTGCGGTGGTGGAGAAATCAACGGCGAAATGCTCCGTCGCTGGACTGTTTTGTTGGTTATGGTTTTGTTGGTTTTGCTGCTGCTGCTGCTGCTGCTGCTGCTGAGATTTTCGCGTTTGCTGTTCGTAAGTGAGTTCTTGCTGGTCTTGCTGCTGCTGAGAGAATCGCACTACATCATTTTGAAGATCATTTTTGCCTCCAGGAGACGGAAGCTGCTGCTGCATTGACGCAGACGCTCGCGCTCCTGGGATTACAGTGTTAGAAAAGTTCTGGTCTTGGTCAGCAACCCCAGTTTGGTGTAGTTGACTTTTTCTCTTTGTCGCTGTGGTCGTCGTCGCAGTACTATCTACACGGTCGCTGGGGTCTTGGGGGTTAAGGTTGGTGGTGTCTGGTGGAAGAGCTGTCGGAGTTTTCTTGACTTGTTGTTCCGTTGAACTTGTAGAAGTTGTATTTTTTGATGTTGCCATTGATTTCTGGTACTCGACAGTCTCTCCCTTTTGTCATGCGGAGTAGATGTCGGAAACCTCCGTTTTCAGTTTTTTCGTGGTCAAATCTATCAACTGCAAAAATGTCTGGGTCTGGAAGATGCGAGATTTGTCATGCTAGTTTGGTATGAGTCTGCACTCTGTATTGCGTGGCCACCAAGAGCAGGTCCTCTTGCCTGTCATGCAAAGTCGCAGTTTCTCATGCGAAATACGCAGCACAGAAGCACGAAAAAACTTCTCATGCTTGGTGGCGCATTCCAGAGCTCTTATTGTTCACGGACTTGCATCACAAATTTCCAGACCCAGACATTTTTGCATTTGATAAAATCCAGGGAACAAACAAACTGCGTCGGGATGGTATCCCACGAAAAAAGTGTTACAGTTTACACATTTGTTAGCATAAGTAACAATTCAGCAACACAAATTTAGTTCTCTGCATGAGTAGAGAGAAAACTTGCATCAATGCAGAAATTTTATAAGGGAAATAAACACGAATGGAATGAGGCTGGAATTGGAAAGCATTTTATGCATGACAGAGCTTGTCTCTGATGCTTGGTCTGCCTAGACTATGTATATAGAACTGTATACTCTTTTTTCTTTGCATAGATGGGCATCTCTTTCCAGTCGTCGTTCTGCATGATGTTCAAGTTCAGGTTCTGCGACTATCAATTGCAAAAATGTCTGGGTCTGGAAGATTTGTCATGCAATTTTTGCATGACCCGTGAGATCTGTGATGCAAGTCCTAGCATCACAGATCATTTTTTGAGAGCTTCTTGATGCTTGTCACGCATGAGAAATGCTCTCTCCGCGTCGTGCCAAGAACTGGACTCCTCTTGCTGCTCATGCAACACAGATACTTTTAGAATCCGCAGAGAGCATTACAGGCTCCGCTCTTCCAGTAGACCCAGACATTTTTTCATTTGATAGCGACAGGCTGTGCACAATCTTCGCGTTTTGGGCGCTCTCGGTGTGGAGGTACACGTTCAACCCGTCGACTTTGTCGGACTATCAAAGTGAACAAAGCCCCCACCCCATACTAAAACGGAGATTTGTGTAGCATGATTTGCCACCACAAATCTGGTTGTCATGCTAGAAGGCAAAAGATGCGGACTGTAGTGCTGGGTGGCGTGGCAAAGCCTTGCACTTTCAGCATGAGAGGAGGCAACTGGAAGTGGGAAACAGCATGACAAACTGCCTGCAGTCCAGGCCACAGCTGCGTCTCTTGGCATTCTAGCAATACAAGTCGATTTGTGTACGCAAATCTAGCATCACAAGTTTCGTTTTCGATATGGGGAGGGGGGATTTTTCCTCGCAATACGGACTGAATGGTGTTCACGGAGCCCTGGCAGTGGAGGTAAATCGTCTTGCAGTTGATGATATCAAATGCAAATATGTCTGGGTCTGGAAGGTGGCAACTTGTCATGGTAAATCTGAAGCATGCAAAAATCTGTGTTGCATGAGTGCCAAACGTTGTCCACTTTTGACCAAAGTGGACGGGAGTTTCTCATGCAGGGGAGACATGGCAGAGACCTCGCAGAGTCTGTCATGCTATGTCCCGCATTCCGGACCTCATGGGTCAAGGTCATGGAAAATCTGCATGACAAGTTTACACTTTTCCAGACCCAGACATATTTGCAATCCATAGATCACTTCCACCGCAGATAAGACGTCGTTGATGGCCAGCCCAACCTTCTCGCAGTTGTTATCAAATGCAAATATGTCTGGGTCTGGAAACTTGTGATGCAAGTCCGTGAACAATAAGTGCCCTGTAATGCGCCGCCAAGCATGACAAGTTTTTTCGTGCTTCTGTGATGCGTATTTCGCATGAGAAGCTGCGCTTTTGCATGACAGGCAAGAGGACCTCTTGGTGGCCGCGCAATTATACAGAGTGCAGAGTCATGCCAGACTAGCATGACAATCTTCCAGACCCAGACATTTTTGCATTTGATAGTTGTCAACCGTGATTGATTTGATTTTGTTGTCGATTTTAAACGTGGTGCCGTTGCTGTTGGAAATGTACCTGATTTTTTATTTGCAGTCGGGAAAAATCAAAATGTGCAACATGTACTAGAGACCTTTACTTTATTTACCTATCGTGGTTTTATTCATCCAGTCTTTTACGAAAATTCATCGGACATGACGATGACCATGAGCAGTAGGTACTTAGCACGACAAAATAAAGGCGTCTCAGATGATGTTGTTTGCCCGCAGAGAGCCTCAAACCTAGATCTCAGTAAAAAAAATAGTACGCGCTCTGCTTCTGGTTTGTGTCCGGCAACTCGACCATACCGCCGTTTTCGTAGTTTTCCACGATCCAATTCGCATCCCGCTCCAGTTCCTTCTTCGGTTCGCCCTTTGGTTGTCCAATCTTCTTCACTGCCTTTTGCTGGGCGGCGGCGCCTATCCAGTGCAAAAAATATGTCTGGGTCTAGAAGGCATCAAGCTTGTATTGCAGAATTCCCATGCCCCATTGTGTCTGTGATGCACTACATGCCCTAGCGTCACAAATTTATTTCTGAGGCCACTTTGAATTTGATGCCTATCCCGCATGAGAAACTCCCTCCCCCCGCGTAAGTGGTACAAACTGGACTATTTATCTTGCTGGTCACGCAATACAGATTTTTCCACCATCCTGAGACAGCATCACAAGCTGCAACCTTCCAGACCTAGACACATTTGCATTGCATAGCCCCGCCGCCTCCACCGCTACCCTTGGCCGGAACGACGGACGACTGTTTTGATCAGAGAAAACGGTTTTGCTTTTGTACTAATTGCAATATATGCATGACAAATCTTGTCCTGAAGGTCAAACAGCATGACAAATTCGATTTGTCATGCTGAGGTAATTTGTAATGCGATTACTACTAGTACGATGCTTTTGCAATTCATAGGAGGACTGTTTTGATCCGAAACCGGTTTTGCTTTTGGTTGCTGTTCTTTCTGCATCACGTCAATTTTTATATCGCAGCTTTCTTTGCGTACTACTTTGTACTTAGTTTATGCATCGATGACAAAAAAAATATCATAAACGTACATTATTACCGTGCTCGCATCTTTGTTTTTGTAATTTTTCTCCGAGTCGTTGACTTTTCTCAACTTCCCCGCCGCACCCTCCTGGATGCCGGAGAGCAGGCCGCTTTGCGGCGCGCTTGGTGACTCTGTCATGGTGAAAAGCTACCTACGTTTATTTTGCCCCACAGAGTAGATAATGATATTAAATTTAAACTCACGAATGCTTATTTCTCAATAATACTTCTAACTAGAGCGGCTATAATTTTTATGCGAGTTCGTCATGCAAAACGTGTAGTGTTGTGGTACTTGTTTGGAAGTGTAGTACACAATGTGCTGTCCACTTCAAACTCTTTGTATTCTTAACCAGGCTTATCTTGCAGTCACAAGAATCTTTATGCTGTACTTACTTACTACTCCGATAGAAATGCTCGCATGGCAACAGACAAATTGAAGCGAAAAAAATGTTGCGAACTTTTCATTCGCAAACAGGAGACCACGTTTCATGTAGTGGAGCAGATCTTGCTTGCGGAAATAAAATTTTCTGATTTTTTTCAGAAAAAACTATGAGAGCCCGAAGATTTTTCTTGGAGGTGAACGCGAATGCTTTATTTTTCTTGTCGTTCACTAGCTTTTGGTTGTCTGAGTATTTCATACGTACTTGTCTGGAATAGGGAGCTGCATCACTGGAACACGACCGAACTACAACTCGACCTGGAATAAGGCACTTATATTTCATTTCATCAGTACAGCAGGACCACAAGTGGACATGGAGCAGGAGGTGATACTACTAGAATTACCATAGCACAGCTCCAATAGAAGGTGCATTTTTACCTACGAGAACCGATCGTGGAGGCAGCTCTATCATAAGGCAAGACACGAGCGACGTGTTGTTCCAGGCAGGAGCTACCTCCCGTGAGCATGGGCTTCACCTCGCCTAGCTAGCTTTTAGGTAGAAGTACTGTTGACGTATGCGCCAGGAGCCTATATGATGTCTAGAGCCTCGCGCGATGAACGTCGATTCTTTTCAGAACGTAAGTCGTACCCAGGGATGTGGGTTCGTCCCCATCAACTACGCATATAATGCAACAACCCTGCTTGCATAATATGATCGCGAAGACCTCCTGCTCCATACGTCGCACTTTACTCGTCCCTTCTGTAGTTGCAAAGTTTAGTACATCCTTCCTCGTGGTGCCGCGCATTTATATGTAATGGTAATCTGAATCTCCCATAGGGCAAAAAGAAGTACATAACTTTTCACAAATTGGATAGCTGTTGGTGGCGCTGGGATCTTTTTCTCCTTCTTTTCCACCTTCTTGCTCGTCCCGCTACTCCGCTCTTCCGGTGCCGCCATTGCCGGCCCAGCTGATCCTTCTTCCTGCGCCCCCGCGGGCGCTGGTGCTTCTCCTCCTGACGGGGTAGGAGCAGCGGGTGCAGCGGCTTTCTGGGTCGTCGTGACAGGAGCGGAAGCGATCGCGAGCTCTGGGTCCGGCCGCGAATTCCACTTGATTCCCATGCCGAGGTTGGTTTATGGATTGATAAAAGCTGCCATATCGTACTTCGGTTCTCGTATGAAGAAAACTCGGCGCATGATAATCAATTTACAAGAGTGCTCGTCCGCATGGAAGAAGATGGAGTTCTTGGCATGGTACGGAATAGGTGCAGTTCCATCGTGTTTCATGTTTTTGCTTTAAAAGGAATTGAAAAAGTAACAACAGAAGATCTTAAAGGCAACTCATTTAGAGTAACGCACTCCATAAAATGGTAGACATTTGACACACATAAAGAGGAGGTTGTTGGTCTCCGGTCCTCGGTCCTCAGTCCGTCGCGAGGTAATATATGAGGAGATAAGAAGGGAGAAGCGCCAGGCACATAAGAAGGAGGTTGTTGGTCTCCGGTCCTCGGTCCTCACTCCATCGCGAGGGAGTAGATGAGGAGAGAAGAAGGGAGAGGCACCAGACACATAAGAAGGAGGCTGCTGGTCTCCGGTCCTCGGTCCTCACTCCATTACGAGGTAGGACGTGAGGAGATAAGAAGGTAGAAACACCAGACACATAAGAAGGAGTCAGGCAGACAGCCCCGGGCGGTTTCTGTTTCTAATTATTTCCTAAAAGTTGGCTAATTGGGGAGCTCGATGGGTGTCTTGTTGGCAGCAGGGGGGCCGCGTTTGGCCGCCCCCGGGGCAATGGCGTGGCGCCGGTTTTTGTGTGTGTTTTGTGGGTACCGGGAACGCCCCGGACGGTGTGGCGCGTCGACAATCGGAGGCCCGCCGCATCCTCTCTGTGGATCCTCACCGGCCCCGAGGTGCAGGCTTCGCATTTGGGGCCGTTGCCGTTTTGTCATTCCCCTCGGGAGGGCGCCAGGGTTCCCGGATTTCGGTCTGTGTGTGGTGCCCTCTGCCGCGCGGGGCCCGCGCCCTGACTCCGGGGTCGGGGCGACAGGGGATCGCGCCATTGGTCTGTGTTCTCCATCTTTTCCCGGGGCGGCCGTCCGGTATTCTCCCCCGGGAAGAATCGGCGGGGCCTCGGGAAAAAGGCCCGCTTTTGCTTGCTAAAACACCTCCCGGAAAATTCTAATTTGAAATTCTAAAACGCCGCTAATCTGTTTCGGGCCCAATTCTGGACCCGAAAAATGCCCTGGCTAATTGTTACCTAATTTGTTGCTAATTGATTGCTAATTGGCTGGCTAATTTGCATCGGGTGGGAATTTCGTGTGTGATTTCGCCTATACCTCGGGCATAGGCAAAATCGCACTTGTTTTTTGCGTTGTTCTGCAAATTAGACAGGGCCTGGGGCCTTGGGGTTCTGCAAATTAGACGCAAGTTAGCCCACCAATTAGAACAGGGGGGCAAAGAAATTAGATTACAAATTAGCAGGGTTTTTTTTGGGGGTCCGCCGGGTCCCGGAGGGCGTTCCGGGAGTTGTTTTAGCCACCAATTATCCAGCTTTTCTGCCTTTGCCGATTCGCAAATTAGCCGGCTTCGTTGTCTCCTGCTTCGGGTTTCTGTTCTGTGTTCTCCTCGCCCGGGTTCGGCGCAGGCGATGTCCTCCCCATTCCGTTTTTTTGAGTGCTTGGGGGTGGCCAGGTTAGTTGGGCGATGATGCTCGAGGTTGGGGCTCATGTTTTTGTGGTGCCGATCCCATGTCCCGGTCGTCGGGACAGCGTGCGCCAATTTCGCCTCTTGGGCGCAGGCAGACCCACGTCCGGAAGGTGTCCTTGGTTGTGTTTCTTTTGCCGGGCGCGTGTATTGCCATCAACATGTTTCGCCCATCGCTCGGACTTTGGGCGCCTGTCGTTTCAGGTGGGCTCGCCGAGGATCGACCCTTCGCGTTTTTTAGTACTCAAATTAGCCAAGAACCAGAATCCAATTAGAAGAAAAGGTCGCCCGGGCCTGTCTGCCTGAAAGGAGGCTGTTGGTCCCCGGTCCTCGGTCCTCAGTTCCTCGCGAGGTAATACGTGCCGAGACAAGGAGGCAGAAGCACCAGACACATGCGCAGGAGGATGCTGCCCTTCGGTCCTCGGGCCTCAGTTCATCTCGAGGCTAGCAATATAGGGCGGGGCAAGATAGAAGGTAGAGGCACCAGGCACATACCACCTTGCTGGGCGTTTCGCAGTGCGGGGGGAAATATGAGGGCAGGCATTTGCTTGTCGTTTCGCGGAAGATGATGCTCGTTGCTCTCGAGCATGCGCATCATCTCCCGCAGGCCGCAGGCAGATATCTACAGCTGCCGGATCTTACATGGTTCCGTGAAGCCGAAGCAGGCGGCGGAGTGGGAATCTTCCGGCTCACCGGAAGAGCCTTCCGGTTCCGTTTCCGGTTTTGCCGTCCGAAGTGCTTCTCTTTCATCTTCTAAAGCCGCGAAGCTGCGACTTTGTGTGTGATTTCGCCTACCCGGCAGCTTTAGCGGATTTTTAGAAGCCTCGAAGCTGCCGCGTGGGCGAAAGAATTAGAAGAATTGCAGAGGCGGAATTAGAAAGCAGAACTAAAGGCATTGCTAAAGGATTTCTTCGAGGCCTTCTCAGAGGCCATAGCAGAAATGGACCACCAGGAGGCAGCTACTTGTAGCGCAGCACTGCGCAGCCGCCCTCGGGTTGTTGAAGCGACCACCTCAGCACCGCCCGCATTTGCAAAAGCTGAGGCGGCCACTTCGACCATTGGGGCGGCACGTGCTCCGCTGCATGTTCTCCGCTGCGCGCGGGCACCAGCGCGCGCCGCGAGCTTTTTTTCAGTTTGCGGGCGCGCGTCGCGCGCTTGAAGCGCTTTCTTTTGTTGCATCCGTATGCCAATCCACGCGCGCGCCGCGCGCGCCCAAGCAATATCTGTCGTTCTGCTTCATTCTGTTCCAGCTACACCGCAGAAACCGCGCAGCGACCCAGCTGAGAAATCGCAGCAAGCAAAGCAAATTTTTTCTCGCCGGGGCGGGGAAGTTGTGGCCTGAGATTTTTGAAGCCCGAAAAGGAAACACTGGTCGGGCCCGGATGGGCCCGGCCATCTGTGGATACCGTCAGCCGGCCGATGGCTCGCAAATTTGCCGTCTAAAAGGCTGCCGATTTTTTTCTAATATTGTGGGGCCCACATTGTTCCGGCTTGTGGCCCTCCTTTTTTCTTTTCGTCGTGGCCCCACGAGTGTGGGGCCCCAAGGGTTCTAGAGGTAGTCCGGGCAAGGGTTTTTTCGTCGGTAGTTTTTGCAGGTTTTGGAAATTGGGGCGCTGGGGATTTTTTTTAATTTTTTTGGCGAAGATTGCCCGCCCCAGTGTCTGCAGGGCCCGTGGCGCATCGGGGCCCGGGGTTTCCAAGGTTTGCGCCCCTGCGATTTTAGTTTTTGCCCCAGAGGGAAACGGCGCGACTGTTTTCCATTTGTCTCGGGCCGCATATCAATGGCCCCGGCCCGCCCGGCCGAGGTTTATGAGGGGCGCAGAGGTGGGGTTGGGGGGGGCTAATTTGGGGTCTAATTTCGCGTCTAATTTGTTTCTAATTCAAGCATAGGGAATGCGAAAGGGTTTGCAATGAAAAAAATTAGCCGTGATTTAGCCAGGAATTTAGGCGCGAAGTTAGTCGCCTGCCTTAGCATCGATTTAGGCAAGGAATTAGTCGGGGCAAGAGGTGCCCCGCCCGGTCTGTTTCCGGCTAGGTGGTTGCTGTTGATCATTTCGCCGGGCGGTTTCCCGGTTTTTTGTGTGGGCGAATTGCCGCCCCCCCCTAATCTTGCACATCGCGCCTGGCCTCCCCTCGGGGTCGCCTCCCTTCTGGGCCATTTTCTCTCTGGATGGGAGGAGCCCGAGGGCGCTAGGTATTTGGCCGCGAAGTTCTTGGCCCCGTTCGTTTTTGGTGTCCCGCCCCCCATGATTTTTGCCCGGTGGTCTTCGGGTTGGGTGTTGTCTTTGGCGGCATTGCCGCCACTTTCTTTTTTTGTTTTCCTTCGCGACATTAGAAAAAATATAGCAAGTTTTAAGCCTCGGAGAATGAATGCCCGGGGCCGGCTGCCTGAGATACGGCCCGCCAGACGACCGACCGCGCCTACGTATCGAGAAGGAGGCCAATTAATCGCGCGGCCTCTAAAACAAAAAAATAAAAATGAAAACAAAGTAGGGCACAAAAGTAGGCCAAAAAAGTAGGGCGAAAAAGTAAGACAAAAAACAACAGCAAAAAATAAGAACAAAAAATGAGAACAAAAAGTAAGACACAAACGCAAGCCCAAAACGCAAGAGCGTGAAAGCGCCCCCGAATTAGAGCGCGGCAAAGGTCTCGCACACAAGGGCGACGCCCCGACGGCTTTCGCCCAATTCCGGAAATGCCATGGGTGGGCGGCCGCAACACAACAGAGGACAGCGAAGAGGAAAAGGGGGCGCAGCCAGAAGCGAAAGCCTGCGCCGGAAATGGCCAAGGCCGACCGTAAATTTTTTAGGCTTTGAGTGGGGCCGTCTCCGCAAGGCGCGGCCCAGCAAAAAAAAAAAGCACATGGGCCGGCGCGATTCTGATTAGTGCGATCAGCTTCATGCCCGTAATGGATCAAGATGGTCCCGCCACTTTGAAATGGGCCAAGTCCCGACCCGCGTGCCCTTCCTGATCTTTCAAACCAGGTCGCGGCCGACAAGCAACTGAAAGGCGAGCCGCGGAAAAAAAAAACGAAGGCCGCGCGGGTCGTTTTCATTTGATTGGGGCGGATACCTGCTGGGCGGTGCAGAAATGTATGCTGAAGGCTGACAAACCGGCTGGATTTTGTTCATTTCGCCCGTAACTAATCGGACAGCCCGAAGCCAACCGGTCGGGGGTGGAAGCCGAAGGGGCCGGCGCAGATACCGCCTCGGACCCTTCTCCCAGCGACAACGACGGACAGCAGCCCCCGGAGCCCCGGCCCGTCGCCTCGAAGTTCCGGCGATGACGAAGGCGGCGCAGGCGGCTAGTGATTTCGGTGGGCGGCCACCAATCTGCCAGGTGGCGCGTTTCGTGTTGAAATGCAGGGGGGCGCAAAGAACAACAGCGCGCGCGCGTGGTTCACAGCCTGGCAGATCGCAAGCGAGGCCGGGCGCGCGCTGTGCATCGCTATCTTTGTTCCCGCGTAGTGCACCGCTTCGCCTTCAGAGCCAGGCGAAGGAATCAACGAAAGCCGTAAGACCCTGGCGCCGTATGTGGGCGCGCGCGGGCTCACGTCCGTCGTGTCGCTCGGTTGCCGGTTGTGTGATCAAAAGCAACGGGGGCCGGGGCGCCGTGGCGCTTCAGTTCGCCGCCTGTTCATTTAGTATGTACGGGCGCGCCCGCCAGGGAGGCGAGGTAAAATGGCGGCGCTCGGTCGCCTCCTGTTGCGCCCGGGCTCCCTCCGCGACGTCATTCATTTTCATGTGCGTCACGGCCGCGGCCGCTGGAACAAACAAAGTCCGGGGGCGGGGCCTGTGCGGGGGGAGCGGCGGCCGGCCCGATTGCTTTCGTTCGGCCTCCCTGCTGCCTAGCGCGACACGTATTGTTTGCGCCAACTCAGATATTACCAACCTCGGGAGGAACGGAGGGCCGAGGACCAGAGACCCACACGCCCCCGCCGATGTCCGTAGGCCTTCGACCTTTTTCTGTATGTAAGTGGTGCGCCGCCCCATGAGGGACGGAGGACCGAGAGCCGGAGACGAACAGGCTCCGTCGTAAATGCCTGGCCTTTGTACCATGCTAGCAATCACGCTCGCCGGGTCTGATCGCTCTACAGACTCACTCAGGGCCGAGGACCGGAAAGCAGCAGGCCCCTGCGTGGGGGCTTTCTGCCTTCTTATCTGTCTCGCCAGGCGCCGCCCCGCGATGAACTGCAGACCGAGTGCCGGAGACCAACAGCCCGCGCGCATTTGTGTGAGCTTTCTGCCCTCTTTCTTATCTCGCCAGCTGCTGCCCCGCGATGGACTGAGGGGGGGCCGTGGACCAATTGGCCCCCTTTTTTTTGTGTGGGGGCTTTCTACCTTCTTTCCCCGTCGGATCTTGCCCGGTGATGGACCGAGGGCCGGAGACCAACAAACTCCCTTTGATGTGTGTTGGCCTTCTACCTTCTTGCCTCGCCATCTATTGCCTTGCGATGGACTGGGGACCGAGGACCGGAGACCAGCCGGCCCCCTGTGATGTGTGTGGGTTTTCTGCCTTCTTATCTCGCCAACTACTACCCTGCGAAGGACTGAGGACCGAGGACCGGAGACCAACGAACTCCCTCTGATGTGTGTGGGCTTTCTCCCTTCTTCTCTCGTCGTCTTTCTATTGCCTTGGGATGGACTGAGGCCCGAGGACCGGAGACCAACAAGCCCCTTCCTATGTGTGAGCTTTCTCCCTTCTTCTCTCGCTGTCTTCTATTACATCGGGATGGACTGAGGACCGAGGACCGGAGACCAACAAACCCCCTTTCTTGATGTGTGTGCGCTTTCTTCTTTCTTCTCTCGTTGTCTTCTATTACCTTGGGAGGGACTGATGACCGAGGACCGGAGACCAACAAACCCCCACTGATGTGTGTGAGCTTTCCCCCTTCTTCTGTTGCCTTGGGATGGACTGAGGACCGAGGACCGGAGACCAACAAACCCCCCTTGATCGATGTGTGTGGGCTTTCTCCCTTCTTCTCTCGTTGTCTTCTATTGCCTTGGGATGGACTGAGGACGGAGGACCGGAGACCAACAGACCCCCTCTGATGTGTGTGAGGTGTCTCCTTTTGTGGAAGTTGAGTAGTTGAGTGGTGTCTGTTGTTGCTGCAGTTCTTGCTCAAGTAGAGAAAAAACACAAATCACGATGGTGCTGCACCTATTCCGTACCATGCCGAGTTCTTGTTCTTTCCCCTGCTGGTTCACACTTTGGAATTTGTTTTGATGTCATTCCCAAAAGCAAATTTGATGTAAGTATTAATGCGGTGTCAGTAGGTCGTGCAATGAGTACAACGAGTACGATACTTTTGCTTTTCTTCTTTTGCTTTTCTTTTCTGTATCTTCTTTTTCTTCTAGAAGACGCAGCTTCTAGAAGAAGCTGCTTCTTCTCCCTAGAAGAAGTCACAGTCACCTCGCTTGGACACGCGGATCGAACTGTCAAGCGCAAGGCACCAAAGTTCGCAAGTACAGCCGAACTGGCACGGCAGCCTTATTTCTGGCCCCCCCAAAGTGTTGCGTGCCTATCACAGGAATCCTGTGATGGGCACACAATGTCAGAAAACCAGAAACAAAATCGCTACGCCGGTTCGGCTAAACTTGCGAACCGCCGCGCTCTGCGCGTGAAAGTTTGGGCCGCGACTCCAAGTGAGGCAATTGGAGGCACAACACACAAATCCAAGGAGCGCATTGCTGTAAGTCTACAGCGTAAGATTATGCTGCGCAGTTCCTCTGACCTGCTAACTCGTGGATGTGCGCTCACATGTGAGGAGTTCTCGGACGTGAGCTCGCATCTGAGGAGTTCTCGGATTTGAGTTCGATAGCAACAAATTTTAGGAGCACACTTCTGCAGGCCAGAGCACGAGAGTGCTATCCGAGTTTGTATTCTGACCTTGAAACACAGAAAAACCCGCACAAGATCATCTTAGGCGGGGGCTTTGCAGAACTATGATCCCAGGTCTCGATGCGGCGAAAATCCTAGGGGCGCACTTCTTTATCTCCCCGACGTCGGATGATTTTGCGCGAGGTCTTCAGACCTGTCGCGGCCAGAGCACAAATCCGACGTGGGGGCCTTGCCGAAATGTGCTTCCAGGATTTCCAGCAAACCTTGGAAACGCATTTCCGAAAGGCCAGAGCGTGGCAGCTGCTGGGCGACCCCTTATATTGAAGGCGCGTTGCTTTCGGGGACCTGGCGCTGAACACGAATTGCTTACAATATACTAGCACAGCAAACAAAATACTTTCTATGCCAAGGCATTGCAAGGAATTCGTTTCCAATAGCAGGGCACTTCGAAGCAACTCGCTTTCAACGAGCAGGAGGGCAAGGCCCACTCCTGGCAGCCCGGCAGGACAAGCGCGGCAGCCCCGCCGAAGACGGCTGCCCATTCTCCCCCAAGCTCGCGCGCTGGCTGCTTCCCAGCCACAGTCTTCATGGCCTTCGGCCATTCCAAGCGACTGCGAGAGTGTGCAAGCTAAACCCCCCTCGCGGTTTGTTTCCATTTTTTTCAAACCTAGGCTTTCGGGAACAAGGGTAGGAACTAATTTCTGTAAGCCTTAAAGCAGGTCGTGCAATGAGTACAACGAGTACGATACTTTTGCAGTGCATACAGTTTTCACAAACGCGATCATGTGCTTCACGTAATCGGTCAAGGCCCGCGTCTATCAAATGCCAATATCGTCGATCTGGGTCATCTGGACAAAAGCACACGGGTTCGGTTGTCAGTGTCATGCTGAGCATTGCATGACAGGCACAGGGTTCGGCTGTCATGCTGAGCATTGCATGACAGAGCGATCATGCTGTGTAGTACCCGGCATTACCGCATGACAAATCTTCTCTCGCTCTTGTTGCGAGTTGTTCCAGTTCTCCTAGTATCCTAGTCAGCATGACAAACTCTCTTGTTCCGGCACTAAAGAAATAAAAATCATCTTCACTCCGATGTATTTTCATGCATCACAGATACAGATCTTGTTGTCCTTTTCTCTTTCGATCTTTGTTCAGATCTTCTCGCAGTACAAAAAATCCAGACCCAGGTCGATAATATTTACTTGCACTTGATAGCATCCATTTCTTGTCGGGGTCGTGGCCGTTCTTAAAAATTTTCAAGGCGTGCATCTCCATCTGGTCTTGAAAAGTGCCGATGAAAGTCATCGGCGTGTCCGGCGCCATTCCCGGGAACATGGCGATTGGGAAAATCGAATTCAAAAAGTCAAAAATCTCCGGCGGAATCCTGTCAGGGTGAATGTTGAAAATTTCCATACTATGTACTCACATGCAAATAAACCCACACGTCGTTGACAACCATCTTCTGAAATAGGCCTACGCCTAGCGCAACTACATGACAAAAGAATCTTCAAATACTCGTCCTCTCCCTGCTCCCCCTTTTTTCTCAATTCGTCTAACTTCGGGTTGGCCAGCTCCTGGATGGGTTATCATCTGCAAACACGCTCTCCGGGTCGTGTGGAACTTGTAATGCTTCTTTGACACGATATCGCGACTTTAGCTGGTTCTTTGTGAAAAAAGAATTGCTCATGTGGAAAAATTGCACCCAACTACACATATCTCCTAAAAGAACTTGTCATGCTTCCCTGCCAACTGTAGTAAACTGCTCAATACAAGTATCCGCGAACCAGCAACACAAGTTTCATCCAGGCCTCCCAGCTGACGTGTTTTTTTGTGATGCATATGGGCTTTATCAGTCCCATGATTTTGTCCGCCGACGGCTTCGGCCCCGCCTATCAAAAGGAAAAATCTTCCCTCCCCAAATCAAAACGATGTTTCTGATGCTGGACTTCCATACGCAAATCAGGTTTGTCTTACTGGAGAGGACTGCAGACCCATACCGAGCCTGAGAACAGGGGCTTTGGCTTAGGCGCTTAGCATCTAAAGCGTCTGCGCTGTAGGCCGAACAGCATGACAAACCGCTTGCACAATGCGGCGGAGGTTGTGGAGTTGCCTTGTCGCAAGACAGACGCGATCTGTGGTCACAAATCAGCAACACAAATTTCCGAAAACGTGCCTTGCCAATATGGGGAGGGAGGATTTTTCCTCGCGATACCGCCGGGCCAATCTTCAAAACTATCTGCCCCGTAATCTGCATGGCGGAGAAGAAGAGCGCTATCCAGAGGAAAAACGTCCCCACACCAGAGTCAACATGGGGATTTCGCAACACAAATCCAGAAGTTTTGGGAGTCACGCGTGACAAGTTGCAATCCGTGGTGTAGAGCAGGTTTATGTTAGCAAGGATAGTCGCATTACAGATCCCCCTGCTTATGCCGTTCACAGCATTACAAATTCCAAAACACGAAGCAAAACGGCTCTCATGGGGATGCGCATTACAGTTTTCCTCGTACTTGCAAAACTGCATGACAACTATGGGGTAGGGAAGGTTTTACATAGGATAAGCTTGCACGCTTCCTCCACCGCGCCGGATTTCGGGGACACGTCCTTCTATCGCACGAAAACAAAACTGCTTCACTCTACTACACTTGTGATGCAAAAGATGCAACAGAGAAATTTTCTGTGTTGCTACTTACACATGATGCATCAAGACAATGGATTTATTTTTTTAGCCGTGTTTTTATTTCTTAGGCAGAACGCATGGGAAATTTTCTGTGTCATGCTGAGCAATCTTGTGGCGTTGACGTAAAACTAGGAAAAATATTACACTCGTATACAGTGAAACACTTTTTTCCTTCGATACCTTCGCTGCTTCCAGCACCGGGTGCTGGAACTCCGTTATTAAGTGATCCCAGTCGGCTTTTGACATTTTTGTCTTTTGAATTTGAAATGAAATCTATTCCGTGAAATACAAGTGTCAAGTCGTAATTGAAAAAGAAAAATTATGTCAGTGAAATCATGATGGGGGTGCGTGGAAATAAAACTATAAAGTTTTTCCTGCTTCAAGAAGATTTTTACGCGATTAGAATCAGAAATCAGAGCTCACACAACGCAATGCAGCCTATGCGGGATAGAGATTCGTCCTTCGGGAAAATTTTTTTCATATCTTCGTCACAAACCGATGCAAAAAGCTGCGCAGGAGCTTCTCCCTATTGTGCTGGAGAGCTACTATCCAAAACCGAACCAAAACTTTTGCTCGGAACATACAACAACAGCGGCAGACCGAAGCTGATGTGTCAACACGACCGAAACCTTTTTTTTTTGATCGTGCGACCGACAAAGCCTACAGCACTTCACGTTCATTTTCTTACGGTGAAGACCTTACAAAAGACACCGAGTTCTGTTGTTACTGTTCTCCTCCACGATAATAACGATACACGAGGACTTCTTCTGCCACCACACAAACCGACGGTTGTAAGCGTAGCGATGTTGACTTCAGCAAGAAGAAACAAAGCGGACCGAGTCTGGAAGAAGCACGAGGAAATGATCTAGAAGTACCTAGCAGCACCAGAAGGAACATACTACACACTGATGTGCTCCTGTAATCGTCGATACTGCCACACCAGAGCGTCTCCAGCGTTGCAAAATATCAATCGTGAAAAGGCCTCATCTCCTACTCATCCTGATCTTCATCTGCGCATGGTGGGGTAAAATGGAAGTAGTTCTCTTTATATTTCAATAACATCTTCACTAAAACTACTGCATCAGTCGGTTGTGTCGTGGTCCTTTATAGTTTTGTGAAGATTTTTTGCATCTGTAAAAGTCTGTCCTGCTTTTTTCCAAAAGTAGCAGACAGAGTAGACATCTTCTTTCATGTCTGTCATTCTGGCTTCAGCGCTACTAAATGGTGCATCAATCGCTCGTTTTTCGCTAACTCCTGCCCGGACAGCCCCAGCAGCTCGTAGCAGTGGCGGACAAAGAAAACCAGGCGGATCCATTTTTTCGTGGCCTTTTTACGCAGTAGTTGTCTTCGCATTTTTTCCACTTCAACCTCAACGTCCGCGTGATTCTGATTCCCAACTATACCCTGCTCCCCGTCAAATTTTGTCTCGCCGGTCGCTCCTTCGTAGAAGAGCTCTTTCCCGGGGATCGCCAATACAAAAGGTTCCAGCACGTGTTGCAGTAACTTTTGGGCCTGAAGACCAATGAAGACCTGGTCGTGCTGCATATGATCCTTTTCTGATAGAAGTGCGGCAGAAGAAGTATCGACACTGTGCTTCTTGTTCGCTATATTTAACATTTCACGCTTGACTACTTCCTGCTCCGGTGACTGGAAATCAACAGTAGTCATGCTCTTTTCAACATTTTGACTCTCCCCCTCCACCTGCTTGTGCTTCTCCCCCTCAATACAATTTTTTCCAGCAGCATCTTGTTCGGGTGGAGAAGTAGACCCTCGCTTCAGTTTCTTCACCATGTTAGTTTTATTTCCCTTCCCCGGCGTCGTCTGCAACATCTCCATCACTTTCTCCGCATCTTCTTTTTCAGGAGCACCCTCTGGATGAAGATTTTGATGACCGTCGTGTTCCTGCTGTTCCCGCATCCCCGCCGGCGTTTCAATGTACCGCAACGGGTAATGTGAGGTCGGGAGTAAGGCGGAGGAGGACCCGCGATGTTGCTGACCTTGTTGACTGCTACAACTCGCAGCAGCAGTAGTGGTCCCAGCTGCATTGTCTTCCTTGTCGGCCACAAACGGGTTTCTTTTTCCTGGATGCTGGTCCGTTGATGTCCCAGCAGAAGGAAAAGAAGCACTCCCCCCGGAAGTCGTGATGTTCACCTTTTTCCTGTTCTTTCTGCAAGACTTTTTTGACACCAGAGCCGCTCGTCGTGTGCTGCTTGTTCCCGCCCCAATTTTATTCCTGATCAACATTTTTCTTTTCCTGATCCGTGTTTTCATCTTCCCGCCAGGCAGAAGGTGCAACATGGAAAGACTCGTCTTCAACCGCTCGCTCAGAAACTTCGAAGTTACTTCGGGGTGGAAGAGAAGCGTCTCCGCAATGATGGGATGAAAAAAGTGAGTTCTTGGCGAGTTAAGGTTCGTTCCGTTGTTCTTACGATTGGAATCGTTCTTCGTTGTCGTGGTAACCAGATCGAGAAGAAACTGTAATGCTGGGTTCTTGTAGTCCTTTGTTGATGTTGTGCCACTACTTCCTTGACGCTGTTCATCTGCTTCGCAGTTTTCTGACTCCACCAACATGTGTACATCCTCGTCTGCAATTTTGTCGCCGCGATTTTTATCCCCAATTATACGTGGTTCTTCCTCCCCCCCATCGGATGATGTTGATTCCGATGAATCGTCGGAGGTGTAGTTGTCCTCCAAATTGTCCTGATTTATTTGATCTCCACCCTCACTGCAAACGAGACTCATCACGAACCGGAAAAACAGCCCCGGGTCCGTGATCTTGCGCATCAGGATTTGCACCAGTAAGGTCTTCCACTTCGGCGTGCTCGCTTCTCCTCCTTCTTGTGGCCCCGCTCTTCTCCTTGAGAGCAGCAAATTCGTGAACTTTTCGATCACTTTTTCTTTGGAAAACAAGCTTATTTCGTCCTGGGAAGTAGATGATACTGGTTCTGGCACTTGCCCCGGTCCGGCAGAGGTTTTCCTCGTCAATATACTGCTGTTGTTCCTGTTCCCACCGCAATCGAAGTTTTCCAGAAGCGCAACGGCAAGTTCTTGCAAATGGGCTGCGTCCATCGTCCCGCCCTCCGCCAGGTTCAGAAAGGGACTGACAGGTTGAAGATGTTCTTGCACTTTCATTCCGTTTGATGCTCGTCCCGCATGACAACTCGAGATGATCGCAGCCGAGCCGAAGAAGAAAAGTAACAGCTGCTTCTGCACATTGATATCAAACGCGTTTGAAGTTGTTGTAGAGAGAAACCGGAACAGGGTGAAAATCTGCTCGATCAGCAATTGGTTTTCAGCACTCCTTCGTAGTTCTTGCATCGTCGTCGTCGTCCCAGAGATGATGTTGATGTTGGCTCCTGCTGCATCGGGTCGCTGTTGTACCAACATCTTGTCGCTAGTAGTAGTGCTCAACAAGAACTCTGCATGTCGGCCTCCAGCGTGGTCCTGTCTGAGGAAAAACAGCATTTTCGCCCACAGCGACAGCCAGGTTTTCACCTCCGCAGCAGCTTGTGCTTGTCGTGCAGCTGCGTGCGAATTTGGCTTGTAATTTTCTCGCGCAATATCAATATGTTGACCAAGGTCGGAAATAGTATTCACCGCATCCTGGTCAACAACATCGTGGTCTTCATCTTCCGAGCTTTTTCCGGACCGCTGCACTTGTTGATCAGGTACGACCAGAAGTTTATCACGAGAAAAAAGTGTTACAGTTACACATTTGTTGGAGTTTCTGCATCACAAATTTTCTCTGTGTGGCACAGAAAACTTGTAATGCGGAGATCATAATGGAAAACAGGAAGGAAACGCGACTCCCAAGCATTTCCTGCATGAGAAAGGTTGTCTGTGTTGCCGGTCTTGCATAGACTATGTGTGTAACTGTAACACTTTTTTCTAGCGATAAAGTTTCTTCCGCAAGTAGTACAGGCTCTGGGAAGTGGTCGTCGCGTGCTGGTCCGCACTACTTTTAGTACTATCCGTCGCATGTAGAAGTTCAACATCCTTGTTCATCATCGTCCCACGACCACCCAGCAGAAACACCGGCACGCACTTCCGGAGCCGCAGAGGGATAGCGTCCGCCGACTTCAGCTGCAGTTGCTCTTCGCTGGACAACGTCATCAACTTGGAGAGACAGAGGACGTCGAGCTCGAGAGGTGGAGGAAGCATCTTCGACGAGGAGGAACCAACCCCTTCTACAGGAGCGGTGAGGACACCAAGACCTTCTACGTCGCCACTCCCGACGCCATTCAGGAGAGGGAGGATTTCGTGCAAAAAGTAGTCCAGCTTTTTCTCGTAACTGTCAACGACGGTCTGCACCGCGGCATGATTATTCATCCGAGAAAGATGTTGACCTTGCGTCCCGTTAGAAGTACCAAATGTTGACAAAGACGTCGTTGTACAACTTCCAAGCATCTTCATTTTCCAAAAGCCGCCTCCACAGAGCGTTTTTTGGACGAAGTGAAGGAGAAAGGCGACAACTTTCTTCTCCATGGTACTAGAATAATTCGCTTGCTTCATCTGCATCATCCCGGGCCGCAGGTGGTCCCGTTTAAAAATGTTGGTCCGCCGGAGCTGCAAGAACAATTTGGCAATTTTTAAATTCACCGCGGGAAGCAGCGCGGAGGTCGCGTGCGCCAGCGCGCCCTGGCCTCCGCGGCCGAAACCCGCGCTGCCAAACTCGCTCGCGGTGAGGGGAAACTCGTCGTAAATGTGTTTCAGCTGGGGTAGAACAACCTCTTGAATGAGTTGCAGCTCGTGGTTGACGTCGTTGTTCGAAGTAGAATTATTGCCGCAGAAATCTTCTTCCATACGACCATCGTCCACATTGTTCCCTTGATCATAATGTCCAGATCCACCACCACCACCACCACCTCTCAGCATCACCTCCAACAAAGACACGCAGTACAACCGCCGTTCCAGGTGGCTTGTGATGGTGGCGATATCGACGGTGTTCATCGCTGTATTCCCGGTCGAAGCTGTAGCTGATGTGTTGTTTTTGCACACCTTCGACAACCGCCAAACTCGGATGATGTTCTCCACGCGCTCACGGACCTGCTGCTGCTGAAAAGAAGTAGATGTTCTTCTTGAACTACAGGTGGTTCTGGTGGCAGCCCCGGCTGCAGCTCCGCCGCCGTGCGTTTGATGTTTGGCTGACGCATGGGAATGATTCGCCGCGATTTTCACCATCATTTTCTTCTTCGCTGGGTCATCTACTACAACTTTGGGCAACACAGAAGGAGCTCCTCCTGCAGGAGAACCTGTGGACACCAACATCATTTCCGCGAGCGACAGTGCCTGCTGTTGTGAAGTGGATGTGTAGTCCACCACAACTTCTGCGGTCGTCCGTCCACATCCTGCTGCTCGTTCGTCCAGAAGTTGTTCTATTTTTGCCTCATACTTCCGGGGTCCTCCTCGTCGACCACCTCGTCCGCTACTTCCGTGCATCAGTAAATACCACAGATTTTCCAGCGCCAGACCGGACCGAACCATCCCCGGATCGAGGTTGGTGTTCGCGTTCGTGCTAGTTTGGGCGGAGAGAAAATTGGAATGCAACAGCTCGACAAGCAACTCGTGAAAGGTGAGAGTGCTGGCCGCGTTCATCTTATTTGCTGGGGAAAAGTTCTTTTCCTTGCAGCCCTCTTCCTCTCCGTGCATGTTGATCATTCCGGAAAAATAAGAACTTGTTCCAAAGCCACCAGCACCGGTAGTTGCACCACTCGCGGACGATTTCGAGAAGAAGAACTCGTGCCCAGCGTCGTTTTCACCTCCAGTTCGGTCCAACAGTTTTCCGCCGTTGTTCTCTACAAGAACTACACCTCCTTGTTTCATCGGCATCAAGAAGAACGTCGCAAAGAGCTTCACCAAGTACAACCCCGTCAGCTTGACGGACGAATCGACGTGCGACAGCGCCTATGCGTTGCAAAAGGAGCATCGTATTTATGCTCGTACTAAAAATCTTCGCATTTATGCATTACAAATTTTTTTGTCATAGTTAAATCCACATTACAAATTTCATTTCTCATGCTGGGGAAATTTGTGATGCGATCTTTCATAGTACTAGTATCGGATTAATATACAACTTTTGCAGTGCATAACGCCGATTTCAACTGGACCCGGAGCAAGGGGAAGTACGGAGTGAGCGCATCGAAGGGACCACGAGAGCTGCTGCTGCAGTTCACCGGGCTACTAGAGGTTGATGACGATGTTAACCCACGTCCCGACTGCACGACCGCCAAAACCGCTTCCAAGTATTTCAAGACTTCCTTCCGATATCCTGTGTAAAAACGTCCCCGCGCCAGAGTTAGGATGGAGATTTTGCAACACAAGCCTAGGAGTTTTGTGAGTCACGCATGACAAATTGCACTCAGCAGTGTGGCGCAGGTTAGCAAGTGCAGCCGCGTCACAGATTCATCTGCTCATCCTGTTCACTGCATCACAAATTCCAAAACACGTCGGGAAATGGGAATGGCTCTCATGGGGATGCGCATTGCAAGTCTTCCTGTCTTTGCAAATCTGCATTACAACTCTGGTGTCGGGACGTTTTTACAAAGGATATCCGAACCGCGAGACTCAGGTCCGTGACAAGGCGAAGAATTTTGATGGACAGGAGAACATTCATCTGCGAAATGACATATTGCCGTGCGGCCAACGCCAAGTTGATGTCCCCTGTTGTACAGTATGGATTGCAAAAATGTCTGGGTCTGGAAGATTCTGAGACTTGTCATGCACATTTTGCATGGGCCATGATGTCTGTATGTAATGCATGCAGTAACATCACAGACTTGTCGAGGGCTTCGCGATGCCTATTCCGCATCACAAATGCCCTCTCCGCGTAGCCAAAATTGCATTCCCTTTGCTGGTCATGCAATACAGATATTTTCGGAATCCAAATGCAGCATCACAAGTTCGGATTCTTCCAGACATCCAGGGACATTTGCATTTGATATACTACTTCTAGAAGCTCCGCCGCGGTCGTTCAACATCCTGTGGTCCCCTGGGATAGTACTATCACGACCTTGTTGTAGTTGCAGCTGCTGCTGCTGCACGAGGTGGATCTGTTTCAGCAATTGCTGCACGAATTGCCGCAGTTGCGCCACCGCGGTCTCCCGCAATTTCGCGTTTGTGTGGGTCAAATTCTGGAAAAATTCCTGCTCAATGTTCACACGGAGCAGGTTCGGGTCGAAAAAGTTCTTGTGGGGCTGCGGGTCGTTGTTTTTACCATTTTGTTCAAGAAAATGTTGGGTGCTGGAGGATTTTTTGTTACGACCAGTAGAACTATTATTCATTGGTGTTCGTCCTCCACCACCGCCGCTAAACAGCTGCCGGCTTGCCTCGTGATCTTTCTGCAACCCCGCCTGGGTCGGCATCTGTATCTTTTTCGCGCGGAAATCCGTCCGCGTCGCGTTAGTCGCATGTTTTTTCGCTTTGCCCACCTTCTGCTTCACCTTCTTGAAATCCGCAGGGGCGTCGCGTTTCTGGCCCGGCAGGTTTTTCTTCCCGCCGGCCTTTTTCGCCGGTTTTTTGATGCCCATGGCGTCGCTATCTGGTGGGTCGTTTTAGAAGTCCTCTGATATGCCCTTCTAATATCGAAGTTCCTTAAGTCTTGTAGTGAAAATTAAACACTCTCGCCTGTCGTGTGATGCACCATCAAGTAGAACTCGGGAACATATAGATGCGAGGACGCTAGTAGTGTCGCACACTTCCTTTACTTACTTTCTACGGAATAGTAGTTTACTTGCTTCACCATCTTCTTCCTGTTCGCCTGTAACTTTTATTGGTGTAGTCGACATTGACAATTTGAACGTCGCCGGGAGTTGTTTCTCAAGGTCCTGACCTGCGAAGTTGATGTTAATATTGTAGATCTAGATGATCAATACAATGGAATAACTACAAAAAGCGTGGAAAGAAAAAATGTGGTCACCGTGGATCATCTTCCACCTTTGAAGGCGCTTCGACAACATCATTTTCTTGGCTAATCAAGATCTAATGAAAAGATTTGCATTTGTTTCGAAGATCGGCTTTTTGAGCAAGAGGATCCAAAACCACATTACGAAACTCGTGGAGAGATTCCATTTACCAATCTTTGTAGTCGGGTCATGCCTTTTATTGTGACAATTTGAAAAACCTTTGCAACAGCGGTCATTTTACTCACCAGCTAATGGCAAAAATACCTTCCGATAGATAGATTCTGATCGAACAGTTGTGATGATCTCCTGTGGTTATCAAAAGGACGAGCCTCCAAGTTGTACGACTCGAATCTTCACAGAGGCGCACCAGAACGAGCTATGATCCAACTGTAGCACACTACACTTCAATGCGAGATGAAAGTCGAATTGGCTTTTCTTTATTCACATCTTGCAGAATTTTGCGAGATGGAAGCCGAATAATTGGCGTTTTCTTATTAACATCTTCGAGAATTTCATCTATTAATTTCATCGTGGGGAATTTACTTTCAGCGCAGTGTTTCTTGTCACCATATTATCCAAAGAAAAAACTGGCTCACTGTCATGATTGTGCAAGATCTGCATCACCAGGCTCTTGTAGTACACACATGACAAAGTAAACCTGCCATGCGCGCTTCCCAGGGATGAAAACTAGTACACGCTTAAAAAATCATCCAATCATGGCTTGCAAGTGTAGTTGTAGTAGCAAGACAAGCACTGTGGTGTTTCGTTCTCTGCATCACAAGTTCTTCAACACAGCGAGACAGCATTTTTTTCTTGCGATACATGTTCTCGATCACACCTCTGACGGTCGTCGGCTTCGACACCTTCACCACCTGCCCGGACTTTGTCCGCCAGAAACCCGGTCCGTCGCCTGGATCCTGAAACGCAAACGCATTCTCGCTCACGGTAAAGTCTGGCAACCCCATGAAATTCCCAATTCCGACCCTTGGCGTCCTGGTAACCGACCGCTCCAAAAGTTCCCTGGCCGAATCTGTCGCAGGAAAAGGCTGCCGCAGTCTCCGAGCTGCGAAGCTCTCGCTCAGCGTCAGAAACGATTTGCTATGCTTCCTGTCGATGACACGCAAAACCAAAACCAATGAAGATCATGTTGCGCCAGAAGGCGGCGGCCCCAGCAGTACAACATCAACTAGAGAGCAATTAAAACTACACGTAGAAAAAACATATAAATGCGAACCATGTAGTTGTCCTCGAAAGCGTCACGGAAACTCTTTGTTAATACACTCCGCACTTCGCAACTTCAGACTGTCACCCTAGTATATTTCACTTCCGATAGATTCGGGCAAAGCTTTCGCCGCGCCAAGCTCGACGTACTTGCGTTGTCTACCCACAGACACCCGTCCGTAGTCGGTGGCGGTGGCGGCGGCGGAGGTTGTGAAGTTGATGCCCGACGAGGATGCGTATCAAATGTAACAATGTGGTCTGGAAGGATGTAAACCTGTGATGCGCATTTCGGAACACGCAAAAATCTCTCATGCATAGGTAGCAAAAGCTGCTCACTTTCTGTCACCAAAATGGGGGATTTGTCATGCGGGTTCGGCGTTGCGGAAGCTTCTCGAAACCTGTGATGCTCGAGCTTCCATGCCAGACCTTCTGTGTCATGCAGAAACAGCATGACTGTTCCAGACCCAGACATTTTTGCATTTGATAATGCGTCAACCGACGCGGCCGCCGAAGTCATTGGCGGTTTTAGTTTCCTTCCAGTCGATATCCTATGTAAAAACGTACCCACCCCAGAGTTGTCATGCAATTCTGCATGCCAAAAAAGTTTCTCATGCGGAGCCCTATGAGAAGCATTTTCTATTCGTGTTTTGGAATTTGTGATGCTAGAATCAGTATGGTAGGCTAGATCTGTAATGCTTCTGAGCTAGCGAAACAGGATTACACTACGAGGACAAACTTGTCATGCCAAACGACCAAAGCTGTGTGATTTGTCTAGCAGATCTGCCAACTTGACTCTGGTGTGGGTACGTTTTTACTCAGGATAGTAGAACTCGTTGACGTTCTGACAGGTGGTGTATACAACGACCTGGTCGTACTAGACGCTGGTTGCACGACTACGCGGGATAAAGAGTTGAAATTCTCGCTGGAGGTTCTTATATTGTTCATGTTCATCCACTTCCCCCCAGAGGAATTATTGTAGTGCCCGCCCAGACTTGTAGTTCCACAGACTGGCGCGGTACTAGCTGGAACACCGACAACTCCACTGGAAAATTTTTCCTGTGATTCTGCTCCTTGTTGTGCCGAAGAAGCAGCAACGACAGCTGCATTGGACGCGGCTTTCACCGGAGGAGAGGTAGTGCTAGTGGTGGAAGCAAAGGGAGCAGCTGGTGCCATCGATAGTTGTTGATGTGCAGTTGCTACTACCGGCGTCGTTTGTGGCATGATCTTCTTCATCTCGCGTGGTATAATCTCCCGCGCAGTGGTCTGCTGGTTCAACGGCGCGGGCCAAGAAGTCTTCCCTTGATGTTGCGTGTGAAGATTTGATGTCCTGTCTTGTAGTACCAGGTCTGGCTCCTGCTGCACCGGCTGCGACACACTCGGCCGTTCCCGCGACAACCATGGGTTGGGCAACATCGGCTGGGTCGTGTGCAACACAGCCCCAGCACTCATCTGCGGCGGTAAACTGCTTCGGGGCTGCAACAGGGTAGAAGTTTCTTGCCGCGGCGGAGGTTGCAGCGTAGTTGTACGGGGATTATTGCCGAAGGGCGCCATGAGGCGCCGAACATGATGATCACCTTGCGCTAAAACCGGCTGGTGCACTAGTAGGCCGGCCCCTGTTCGTGGTGTGCTGCTAGTAGCTGGAAGATGATTTTTATACGAGTCCTTGTTGGCGTTTCCTTCCGCCGAGCTGTTCGTTGCCGTCCTCCTTCCCTCACTGACCGTACTGATTGCAGTAGAGAAGACACGTTGTCCGGCTGCAGGGGCCTCGCGGACGTATCCTGTGTAAAAACGTACCCACACCAGAGTTGTAATGCAAATCTGCATGCTGAAAATGTTTCTCATGCGGAGCCCCATGAGAAGCATTTTCTAGTCGCGTTTTGCAATTTGTCATGCTCCAATCAGCATGAGAGACTAGATCTGTAATGCTGCTGAACTAGCTCAAACAGCACTACACTACGCGTCCAAATTTGTCATGCGAAACAGCCAAAGCTTGTGGATTTGTCTAGCCGATTCCCCATCTTGACTATGGGGTGGGTACGTTTTTACATAGGATAGGACGTGCTGCAAAATCAATGGGCCGACGTGGGCTGATACGTTTGCAACTTCTTTTGCGCGCGGCGGCCCAACTAGTACCTTTTCCTCGCTGTATGGCGCGAAAACCGTGCTGCTTTCCGAAACGCGCATGTCCATCATGGAGGAGGGTTCCTCGGGGTGCCGTGGACGAGGTATGATCGTGAGAAAAAAATGCTATACAGATCCACACTCTAACGCAAGACTAGCAAGACCGACAACCTCTGTCATGCACGAAATTAATATCTTCGAGCCTCGTTTCAATTTCGTGCGTGTTTCTGTTTTCCCTTAGTGTCTGCGCATGACAAGTTTTCTTTGCCATGCAGAGCAACTTCGTGATGCTGAAATTATTGCAACAAATGTGTAAGAACTGTATAAAACTTTTTTCCGGCGATACGAGCAGCAGCAGGTGGTGCGGGATTACTGCCGTTTCCCGCGGCCACGACCGGCGCCGCCGCTCCTGTCTTGGGATCGAAATTGAATACTTCTGATGAAACGGCGCCATCGCCTCGGCGTCCTCCTCCTCCTGGAGCTTGAAGTTGTACTGTAGATGTAATATCATTGTTCCCGGAATAAAACAACCCATCCCCTCTTGCAGCTAACTGCTCCTGCATTCGGCTCAGAATGGTCTCTCCTCGACTCATCAAGTCCGTTTTGCTATCGGCGTTTGATATTTTTGAAACGTCGGACAGAAGTACTTGCTGCATCTTCGTCCCAGCATGGTTAGAAGAAGTGCCACGACCACCTCTATTGTGAGGAAAAATCCCCCCTCCCCATATCAAAACGAAGTTTCTGATGCTGGATTTGAGTACACAAATTAGGTTTGTTTTGCAAAAAGTACTTGGCGGCATTTTCTGAGCCTGTTTGGGTATGCAGAAGGCTAGCAATTACGCATGGCGAACAGGTTTGCAGTAGCCGAAAGCGCATGACAGATCGGCTTTGAAATGCGCCACATGGCTCCTATTGCCCTATAGGCAAGACAAAGCTGATTTGTGGCCACAAATCAGCATCACAAATTTCCATTTTGATATGGGGAGGGGGGATTTTTCATTTTGATAACCTCCAAAATTTATTTCGCTACTTGTTCGACGATCATCTAGAGGTACCGGCACGACAAGAGCAGCTTCTTCCACCCCTGTTCTTCTTGTCGGGGCATGTGCAATTGGCTCTTCTTGTGCAGGAGCTCCGGACCGTAACAACTGTTGAACTTCTCGGTGGTACGCGACTTCTGGCCACGACGCCGCCGGTGCTCCTGGGGTACTCTTATGCTATCCTGCGCAAAAACGTCCCCATCCCAGAGTTGTACAGTGCAAATCTGCTATAGGCTCTCGGAAATTCATGTGAGAGTCCATTTCTGAAAATTTAAAATTCGCAAACTTCGAAACCCTCTGCGAATCTTATAACACGCGCCCAAAACCCGGCCCCGGCGAACCCCATTCAGCTTCCAAAGTCAACAAGGCCCCGAAAAGGGGGCTTCGAGAACTCTGAAAGGTACGCGCCGT